CGCCCCGAATCCACGCCCGACGGCTACCACCCCGCCTCCCCGCGCCTCCTCCTCTCCCTCCTCGCCACCGCCTTCTTCCTCTCCATGCCCGCCGTCGCCTCCCAGGCGCTCCAGCTCATCCTGCGCACCGTCGGACCGTACACCGCCGTGCGCTACCTCAACTTCGCCGTCGGCCATGGCGTCGGTGAGCCCGACGAGGGCGAGACGGGCGACGGTATGGAGGCGGCGGTCGGCCTCGAGGAGATTGCAGAACTAGTAGCGGAAGAGGCTAGCAGCGTAAAAGGAGGACGAAAGCAGGAGGGCGACCTCGTGCAGAAGATGAACGAGCTCGACGTGACTGACGACTGCAAGATCAAAATCGAAGAAGCACCCACCTCAGCAGCCTCTCAAGAATCCTCCTGCGGTCACCGCGAAACGAGCATGGGCATCCACAAAGAGGCGCCCCTCTCCATCCTGTCCGACACGGACAGCGAGGACGCAGGGATCGCCGCCCCGAGCCTCGTCTCCGCGCTCGAGCCGCGCTTGTACTACGGCGCGGTGTCGGACAAGGTCGGCGAGGCTGCCGCGTGCTGGCTTGCACGCTGGGGCGTGGACGTCGTGCAGTATGAGCTTGAGGTGGAGGAGAGTTCGGGTGCGGGCGCGGAGGTGGGGCGAGAGCAGAGCGTGCATGTTAGGTGGGATGCGGCGGACGCGGGACGCAGCGCGGCTGGGTCGAGGAAGCGCACGGCGACGGCGCCGTCGAGGTTTGTAGAGCCTGTGAGGAACGGCGCGGGCCCCAGTGGGAGCGCGTGGCACAATCAGGGCGCGGGCGTGAGCGCGAGGGAGAGGGAGAGGGAAAGGAGGGATTGGGTGATTCCGTTTGTGTGGCGGTGTGGTGGGTTGAGTGCGCGATGGGTGCGCGGGTTGCTGTCGAGCGACGCGCTGTTCGTGAAGGGGGAAAAGGAGCGGTATGATATGGCCAAGACCATCGTGGAAATGAGGAGGAGGAAAGGTATCGACGAGGAGGAAGAGCGCGAGTGGGAGGAGTTGTTCCGGACGGGGATATACTACGAGAACATGGTGCGTGCGAGCTTTGGCATCTTTCGGTAACGAGACTTACGGCCAGTGCGTCGCAGGGTATTGATGACCTGATGGCGATCTCTAGAGATGTCTCGCCGACGATGGGGCAGCATTATGTACCGCTGCACGTACTGCAGTCCGCACACTGGAACCAGGACGTCCTGCGGCATCGCATCATGACGCGTCCGTCCAGCACCAGCAGCAGCCCGGTTTCCCCGCCGCTCTCGCCGAGCTCGCGCGAGAAGGAGCTGGGGCTGAGCCTGCCGACGACGGAGGTGGCAGCAGTGATAGAGAAGGACGCCGCGTTCTTCCCTGTGCCTGCAGACTCGTCGGTGCGCATTGGGGATAGTACTGCGATCGATGGAGGGTCGCTGGAGGGATTGTTCGACGCGAAGGAGCCGACGACCATTGACGCGGCGCCGCGCAAGACGGGCATGCCGCCGTCGTGCGAGGAGAACTTTTTCGGGGTGGGACAGCAGCGGTTTGCCGTCTCCACCGTTGCGTCCTCCTCCTCGTCTTCCTCATCCTCGCTTGCGCCGTCGGGCAAGTGGACTCCGCACCCGCCATTCCGGTTCGCGGTCGAGTTCTGGGACGTGGATGCGCTGAAGGAGAAGAGCCGGCTGCATAGCCACACGGTGTGGTACGCGGGGAGCCTGTACAACGTGTACGTGCAGGTCGTGCGCAAAAAGGGCGTGCAGCTCGGCGTGTATCTCCACCGGCAGAGTACCGTCGACCCGATCCCGCACATGTCTGCGCCGGTGAACGGCGTGTCGTCCAGGTTGATTGGGGTGCCGAGCAGTAATCATGGAAGTGGGAACGGGAGCAATGGAAGGCCGTCTTCGGCAGGGGCGTCGTCGTCGTCGGCGCAGCAGCCACAGAACAACTCGGGGACGAGTCTGCAGCTGTCACGCAGCCTGACGCCGACGTCGACGCCCAACTCATCCGCGCTCGGGTCGTCGCTGCTCGGCGGGGGCGCGTCGTCCAACACGCTGCCGGCGACGGCGCTGTCGGTCGCGCCGCAGCAGCCGTACCGCGACCCGCGCCCGGCGGTGTCGGCGCACTTTTCGATCGCGTGCGCGAGCGCGACGGGGGCGAGTTTGACGCGGTTTACGAGTGCGCCGGATGTGTTTAGTGTGAGTCAGAGTTGGGGGTGGAAGAGTAGTAGTTTGAGGACGGAGGAGTATATGGAGGTGGGTCTGGATGGGATGCCGAGTGGGCAGGCGATGCCGGCGGGGAGGGAGGTGAGTTTGCGGGCGACGGTGGTGTTGGGGGTGGTGTGAGTGGAAATGAACATGAAGTCATGACTTAACGTATGCGATGGACGCTGGTTGGATTGATGCGTACTCCCTGCTCTATGTGTTACCCATGTACGATGTCCGATACCTCTTATGCGGGCCATTAATTGTTTACAGCCTGTCTGTCTATAGACTAATGTATGTACATACATGACGAATTCCAGCTCTCTGACTTTGGATTGGGCCGTGGCTTAGCAACCCGCGGCGATCACTTTTAGCTTCGCACCCCTGGCCACCATCTCGTCTCTCTCTGGCCCTCGACATGTCCGCCAGTGCTGCCACTCACAGCACCCCGTCCGAGCCGCCCCCTCTGCCCCCGCTGCCCAACCCATCAACGGGCAGCGCCAACCCTGCCGCCTCGCTCCCCGCCCTCTGGGGCTATCTCCAGCCCGCCCTCGACCACATCGTCCGCTCCCCGACGAACAACACCTCCAAAGCCCCCGCCATCGAGGTCAGCTACCACATGGGCGTGCACACCGCCGTCTACAACTACTTCACCTCCCAGTCCGAGCAGGCCTCCCCGGGCCCCGCCGTCGCGGGCCTGCGCCCCATGCCCTCCGACAAGGGCAGGCCGAGCGGCACGGACCTCTACGAGCAGCTCGACCGGTACTACGCCGACACCGCGCGCGAGCTCTTCCTCGGCGCACCCGCGGACGACAGCACCCTCATCCACTACCTCGTCCCGTGCTTCCACCGCTACTCCGCCGGCGCGCAGAGCGTGAGCCGACTCCTGAACTACGTGAACCGCCATTACGTCAAGCGCGCCGTGGACGAGGACCGCGGGTGGCTGAGGCTTGCGGACGTGCTCGATGCCGTCGCGCGTACCATACAGGAGGACGACACGCGCGAGAAGATCCAGAGACGGCTCCGTGAGCGTAGGGCGGAGGAGCTCCGCAAGTGGGGGCTCGTCGACGGTGCACGGCCCGCGGAGGTTGCACAGGCTGAGGCGTACGCCGAGGCGGCGAGTCCCCCCGATCGCGTGGTCCCCCTAACCTCTGTGGCATATCGACGGTTTAGGATGGAAGTGCTGGAGCCCCTGTTGGCGGTGCCGAAGATGAATGGAAAGGGGAAGGGTAAGAAGAAGAAGCCCCCGGCGGCGGCTGGGGCGGATAGGCCTGCGATGCCCAAGGGGAGGCTTGCGAGGGCGGTGAAGGAGCTGTTGGAGTCGGAGGGCGGAGATGAGGAGGAGAGGAAGAGGTTGGCGGGGGGATTGGCGGTTGCGTTGAGGACGTGTGGGATAAAGGTCGATCATCCCCTCCGCAAGAAACTCGACAAGTTCATACCACCACCTCCCGCTGTATCCTGACAGGACGTGGTTCTATGTGGATTTGGGACTCGTCGGGAGCCTGGTGATATATTTTATAATGTGGATGTTCATGCTGATGCAGTATGTTATGCACGGGTCACTTTGGTTGCTGACTTGCGGATCAGGGTTTGCTCATCCGACATGTACAGACTCCCGGGATGCGAATGACACATAGCGATTACAGCAAAGCAACGAAAGCGCTCACAAAGCACATAACAGATATCAAAATCCAAGCATCGAAAGCTCCTTTCCGTCATATAGTGATCCACCCCCGACAACTGTCCGCGCCGCATATGCACGGCCTCGCACCTTCAGGCAATATGCGCCTCCCTTTGCCTTTGCTCCGTCTATGCTCCTCTGTGGCTTTTGGATCGTAGTCGATCGTGAGCTCTGTTCGCGCGACGATGGTCTGTGTCGTCACGAAGGCTAGATAGGGTTGGTTGAGCTTTGGGATAGCATGTGTGAGCATATCTGAGCGGACGAGCGGCGTGGACAGCTTACCTCTGGTACGGTGTCCCATACGACGGGGTACACGCGCATATTCGGCTCGCAAGAGTGACTACCTCGCACAGTCAGTCATGTCTACTATGGCGGAAAGAGTCAGCCACGCACTTGATGAACCGCGTCCAGTTCCCTTTGAGCTCTATTCAGATTAATTACGCGTGCGACAGTTAGAAACGAGCGTACCGCATCTGTACGAGTCCACAGAGTACTTTGCGTATTCTTCTTCGACGCTGTCATCGTCCGCCTCGTGCACGTCGAGGTCGAAGATGTACGACTTGCTCTGGCCGGTGCGCCGGCGGGCCTCTTCGCGCGTTCTGCGAAAGTCAGTACCCAGGCAGGTTATAATGATGTTAAAGCCCACGCACATCAATTCCCTGCACCGAGACATATTAGCTACATGAAAAAGGATCACGACGACGGATCGTACGCACCCCGTATATATGCCCAGCACCTTGCCCTTCGGCAGATCCGACGTCGCTCGCACGCCCCAGCCGCACTCCTCTGTGCGGAACACCTCGATGGGCACATCTCGCGGCTGCTGTGCAACGCGATTCGGGCACGACCTCGGATCGCAACTGCAATTCTTCAAGATACGTTCAGAAAAGCAACTTGGAAGCACAAAAGTGAAACGATCACCTTGTTGCACTCGATGACTTCCTCGCCCGGTGATAGATTGTCCTTGAATTGCCTCTGCGAGCATTGCGTCAATGTCGGCCGGGCAGGCGAATGCACGGTGGACACCTAACCTGGTCTGTATAGGCAAACACCTTGTCGCCGAAGTCGTCCACGATATCCGAGAGCTCTTGACACCCGCAGACCTGCGCGTCGCAAGACAACTCACACTCGCAACTCAAGAGATATTGCTCATCCGGCTCTGGGACGCCCACTGCCCTGTGCACGAACGTGAGCACCATTCCCCACAGCACACGAGCCCGTCTCATGCGCGTACCTGATGTAATGCCGCTCACAATACCGGAACCCGTCCAGCCCAGGAGGAACTTCCTCAGCATTGACCTCATTGACAAAGTATATGGCAGCTGCCCCGGCGCGCGCAGCCATTCGCGTCCATTGCTCCTGGAGCGTCATGTGGCGTGGAGATGGGGAAGATCGGGAGCGCACGAACGTCGTGCGCGGTGGAGACGGGGAAGAGTCGGAGCGCACGACCTGTCGTCGTCGTCGAGGGAGAGGTCGCGTGGGTCGTGCGGTCAAGTCGACGGCCATCGCGTCGTCGTCGTCGGAGGAGGGTGAATCTCTGACGAACCTCGGGGTTGGTTTGGGCCGGCTGGGAGGGACTGGGCGCGGTGGGTTGTTCCGGGGCTCCTGTGGCTAGGCGTTGTTCAGTTTAGTTGATGCGCATGGAATAACGGACGGATACTGTGTGTAGTCAACGTGTGTCGAGGATGCGTACCTGTGTTGCCATACTCGATGTCCGGTCTGAGGAAGGCCTCAGTCGTTTTCGTTTCGGGAGGCGAGGCGACCCCGTAGAGTCTGAGGACTCGTCACCAGCTCCACCGCCGTCCCTGCGCTGACCACCATCGTCCGAGTCAGAGTGGACCGACTTCAGGGTGTTGTCCCATCTCGCATACAACTTGAGGTTCCGCCGCAGCGCCTCCCGATACTGCTCTTCGTACCCGCGTGCCATCTCGATCGTGGCGTCTTCGTGCCACACCTGCCCCGGCTCGAGGCGCACCTTGACTCCCGTGTTCCTCCTCGCGGCTTCGAGGCGCTTGTCTTCTTGCATCTCGTCCCACTCGCGCTGCACGTCGGACATGTCAGACATGTCGCGCTGCCAGGTCGTGTTCGTCCCGTCGGCGCGCTGCCAGTCTTTCCATTTGATCTGAGGGATCTTAGCTTCCTCCTTAGACCATACGTTCAGCCAGGGTACGCTACCTCATAGCTGGATCGATGAGCATACACCGCAAACGAGGTCCACGATCAGCCACGCACCGTTTCACTCCGAACGTGTCAATCTCTTCGCCGACGATCCCTGAAAATTCCCATTCACGGTCAGTGCCGTCGTTCTCCCAGTCCTCTAGTGGACGCCTTGAAGGCTTCCATATCTCTCGACGAGCCATGTACGAGCAAACTAGGAATTGGCTGGTACGAGCTCGCCGGCCGTTGTGGTGTGGCGCTGATGACTCTTGGAAACAAGGCCAGCAGCGAGAGCCGAGTTTGTCACTCGAGTAGGCTGAGACGGAGTACGAGGTATGTAAAAATGGATCTATCAGAGCGCAGACACGCACGGCTGTGCGTCGGATACTGCAAGTGGGAACTGAGAGAGGACAACTCGAACTTCGGCGCGTGTTTGATCACGTTAGCTCGGAGAATATTGGTCCACGTGACCGTGTCGTGTCCGGCACACGGAGGATTGGATCCTCGCGTTCAATGCTCCTGAACGAAATAACGTTCTCGTATGTATGAAGTAGTAATGTGCCAGCTCAACCGGAATCGTCCTCCAGTTTCTTCTTGAACCGTACACGGTGTTAGTTTTCACCTTTCCGTCCCCAATTTACTGCTCGTCCTAGAGTTCGGAACGTGACATCCAAAGAACCTCAACAGAGTGTACTATATTGCACGTGGATGCTGTTTGCAACATTCATGATTTCCTCAAGTTCGAAGCTGTCTTCTAGCAGCAGGATCCACTGACCCACGGTTACTTCGGTCCCATACTGTTATCTCGACAAGTATATGGGATACGCATGGGCGTATTAGTGGTGTTTATACGTGACTTATCCACTTTAATCGTCGCGAGACTCAGCCTTCACACGATGTACAGTCCATGAGTGTGAATTGGACGTCGTTCGACAGTCAGTTACCTTGCAGCTTGAACGTTGAACGTCGACAACCTGCATCGGAATGACATTCAGCTTCAGCCTCGTCCAACTTCTATGTGGTGCATTAGGTGTAGAGGTATCCGACGCAGCTACCAACGACGGCACTTGCGTTAAATGCATCCTCCTGATAATCAGCCCGATCAGAATATTGATATGACCTTCGAAAGGGGTTCCAAATATTTATTCTACCTCTTCCGGCGGGTAGCTGCTAAATGACACAAATTTGGCCAAAGGCAACCAGGAACCCATTCTCACCACCTCTTGAAGGCGAAGGCCTGGGCAGGAGCACAGGCTTCAGGCCCACGATCGTATAAGCCTTTGAAAACAATGGCGCGTCGATATGTACGCTGCAAGAGGCCGCGCATAGATGAGGCGCGACATCGCTGCATCCGAAATGTGGCACAAAGGACCCATCAGGGCGAACATCACCGGCAGACCGTCCCTCAGGCGATCAAGCACACAATGGGAGAGAAGGGCAGGATTCAAGGCGGTCGTTCCCAACGCGGAAACTAGCACGACGCTCGGCGAGGCATCGAAGAGCGCTGAGAATCCCGGGGTATTGTGGAAGGAGCTTCGGAGGGAGCAAGCGGAGGAGGAGACGTATACTGCACGAACGTCATCGGGTAAGTTGTCATAGTCCATTCGGCGCGTCTCCATGACACGCTGAGAAGCGAGTCGCTTAGCATTACTTCACTGATGTCGCCTTGCTGCGTCTGTTCGCGAAGAAAGTGAGCCGCAGCCGCACAGTCTGCATTGGTCGACATCTCATCCACGTCCGGCATCTCGCGCTTGATGCAGGAGCAATCCTATGAAACGTCTTCAAGACCGCTCGCCCAGCTCATGCACTCGTTGCATAGGAGCCATGACATCTATATGTGAAGGCGCGCATAACCCAGGTCGCGCTTGGGCTCTTCCCAAACGAGATGATCAATGTCCACAGTCGGATGTCGACGACAACTCGCTGATGTGGTGCGCGGGCAGCGGCTGGCTCAGACAGGACAAGTCCGCGAACCCAGAACGGGACGTTTTCAGTGCGCAGAAAGAAATCCCGACAGCCCATCCAGGAGCTGAGGAGGACAATGCACGGATGGCACGGGCGCTATCGCATACAACGAGTTCATCTCCAGTAAGGTACGTATCCGATTGTCGCGTCCATTCTGTAAGTATCCGGATTACACGTGCACTTGTAGACCGTTGCGGTGGATGACAGTTGGGCAGCTCACAAAGCGTGGGGTGATTAAGCGAAAGAGTTGTGCTCGACCGGAGGTCTTCAGTGTTCTTGTATGCCGGTAGGAAAGGGAAGTCCGGGCAAGGTGTGGGACACGACACTACCAGAGTGGATCATATCGTTAACATGTCCTGAAACACAATTCACGGGCAACGCCGTCAAGGCAGATGAATGAGACTTACTCAGAAGAAGCGGTCCATCCGCCGGTCTAAGAAGGAGGGCCAGTAATGCCCTCTTATGCCGAAGCAGATTTGAGGTATTGTCATTTCCGGTGTGTTCTGCAACGCTTTATACTCCACTGAAGGGAAGTGATGGTCATACATGGTTTTCATGACCATAACGTGTGGTTTCGCCCCGTCTGCATAAGTTGGGAGATACTCTATCGATAGGTGCGATAATTGAAGTACCTGTTGGTGGTGAGCAAGAAGCTTGACGACGGAGGCTGGGGGAGGGTCATATCGCCAACTCTGGAACATTACGCGGAGTGTATGCAGTTTGGGGCATTTAGGGCGGATCTTGTTGCCCCCTGGGTGCATCAAGCCAACCAGAGTGTCTTCAATTCGGAGCACATCGGTGATCACCAAAGTTTCCAAGCTGAGCATGCGCGGGAACAGACGAATAAAGTGATCGGAAACGTGCGTCGAAGTAATCTCTGTAGGTGCGGGTAGCCACAGCTCCTGGATCTGTGGCAGCGGTAGTGCCGCAATGATATCGTAGGGGCCGCGAATGCCGGACAAAGAGCTTGTGCCGATGACAAACTCGGGGTCGACAAAGACCTTGGTTGTTGCCCCGACAAGCGGTAGCTGAGAAAGCACATTCAACAGGGGCTGCCCCATTACGCATCGTTGGCCAAGCTGTATTGCGGCATCAGGACTGATATTGAGAGCAGAAATCACCGCTCTCGCGCCGTGAATGGAATCGTCGCTCATGGCAAATCTACGCAGTTTGGGCAACGACACCGTCCGACTCTCTAGATCGTCGGTATTGAATGTGAACTTAGGGTCCCAGATGAATAAGTCCGATAATTTGCAGCAATTAGACAGCAAGTTCAAGAGGTCCCTGAGAGGCGCTTGAGGAGTCTCGAGATATAGGGCGGTGAGATGTTCGAATTTTTGATTTGGCACCCAATGGATGCGTTCCAGACATAGCTGCTGTAGAGACGGTGCACAAGCGGCGAACAGCGTTGTGGACAGTTGAGTATTTGACCTTATAAACCCTCCAAGCTTCAGTCGTAGAAGCTGCACAGCATTCACAGTGAACTGAAACGCATCATCGCTGTCATCGTAGGATCGCAACCGTAGTTCCTGCAAGCGTGGAGCGTGGGAGGTCAACAACATTTGAAGAAAAGGACTAGGGTTTTTGGTCCAGGTGGCGATGCTGATCTCGGCAGAAGCGGAACGCTGAAGGAAAACCTGCTGGACAGCTTTGCAGGAATCGTCAAAATGGGTCCACAACTTGGGAATATCCAACGCGACCTCTCGCCACCTGTGACAGACATGGGTGATTGTACGTAGGTAAACCCACTGTGCCGACATCGATACCCAATCATCGGCGAGATTGTCTCTCGAGTAGGACGGCGAGCCATGCAGGAATATCTCTTCCAGAACCTCAGTGGGGAGGCGAGCAGTTTGAGAGTAGGAGTTCTGAGCTCTTCGTAGGGACGCAAGCGTAAGCATCAATGGCTTTTCGGCTCGCTTTGTCTACAAGCATTCTCAACTTGGTGAGTGTATATACGCACATGTCACTCACCATCTCTGCACTTCGAGCCCACGGAGTCAGGATATAAAATATTCGCAACGTCGTACTCGTGCTCACCTCATAGAGGCAACATCCCTAGAAATTCTGCATGCCACCGTTTCCAACAGCTCTACGAGGTCCATGTTCATCAGCACAGGATCAGGACTCCATGATGCCGACGCCATCAAATTGCTGGCGTTACGGACAAGCTGCTACGTAGACAATGTCGTTCAGAGAGCACTCGGCTAAATCTGAAGTCTCGTGTTGCAGCTGCACGTAGGAAGACTCGCGACGTGCAAGCAGTATGAGGTACGACTCGATGATTGCGCTAGTCACCTGCTAGTCACAAGTCACAGTTCACGCTCAGCGCCACAAACGCGTTACCTAGCGCCCGTTGGCGAGCTGCCCAGCAGTCTGACCATGCCACCGTGGCGAATGACTCAACCATTAGCCAGGGGAAGAGACGGAATCGACAGTCCCTCGACACTCTTGGTAAAATCTAATAGAATCTGTGTCTTACTTGTTTTTCACTTGCTCTTGAGACAGTCCCACAACCACTTTCCAAGTCCGTCATCAATGACAATCATATGCTTCCTTCAGGCTGCGTTCGCCCAAGGAATAAGGAACTGGAACGGCATGAGAAGGATCGGAAATACCTCGGTGGAGTAGGGATTACGTACCTTGCCGTTGTAGTCGATCGTCTCGGGCATAATTGAATAAGTGCGCTGTGTTAGAATACAGGATGACCGTCAGATCCTACCGATGTTCATTGGCAAGCGAGCCTACCCAGCGGCATCCGCTGCATGCGAAATATGATCTGCCTTGAATGTCTGCACGAACGAGGGCTAATAATGCTGTAAGTGAAATTTCATGTTCCCTGGATATCTGTAAGAGCAAAATACCGTCTTGCAGAGCCGCAAAGAACACACATGGGTTGTAGGATGCCGAAGCGATTCCCTTATCTGCATAGCGCTCAACACGCACGCCGCGCATCACAACCATGATGCCCTGCATACCATAATTCGGTATTGTTAATGATAACACAAGCCGTGCAGTCATGAATTTGCTCTGCGAGTACTACCGGAAGGTGTTATGCATCCTCGTCCTTGCCAGCCCGTCCTTGAATGAGTCCAAGTTCATGCTTCGTTAGTGGCATAGAAGTGCCCTTTACCTATAATATTCATCCCAGACTGCATATCATAGCCATCTTGCGCTCCAAATTCTACAGGAGGAAACACAACACCACTACAAACTTTTCAGCATTGGAAGAATGAAGTAATGCTAGCTGATAGTTACTGATTGTTAGATAATTCTTTTCGTTTTGCGATGAAGGATGTGTGGAGTCCATCTTTTAGCCTCAACACTGAGGTGCACATACCTTAAATCTCTTCTGCGGATCACTTAGTGACAGACGCCAGACTGTTGTCAAGTCCAGTTCCAAGCAGGTCACTTGCTTGCCAGTCTGCCTTCGTAGGTCGTTGATAGCCATGTCTGCTTTCTTTTTGTTGCGAGAGGCCTCAAAAGCCATAGCATTGTGTTTGAGAAATGCCTACATAGGATCTATGGGTGAATTGAACGTGATCAGTACTAGCCCTCTACATTTGGCGGTCCTCCTGCCAATATCGTCCCTTTCGTTTTGCCTATTTATGTCAGTAGCACTACCTGCTCAAGTCGACGACACGACATTGCACACCTGTCTGGCACAATCATAACTTTACCAGACAGGTCCAGGATTTCGTCTGTGCTGAATGTGGAGGCAGGCGGGTATGCCTGACAGACAGCATCGCACATTGTGACACCACAGCCTTTCGTTAGGCAACAAACGTCAAATATAACAGTAGCAAAGCTCGGATGAAAGAAGCCATATAGGCTTAACGTCACCTCAATTCAACTGCAGCAAGGGATTGCCGCCGTTTTCGCTGCAAGTCAGCGGCCCTCATCCAATGCACATGTCTCGACCAGCGCATGAAAGCAATTAGTTGCATCTCCAATTAATCAAGATGGACCGTTCGTTCACCCTTCATTTATTTGCGGGCCGGAGCCTATAACCACATAATCAATGGGCCCGTTGTGGTAGTATGCTGATTCCAAGCATCGCGATTTGGGATTCCCACAGCATCACTTCAGATTTTGGTACAGTGTTTAACAGGTGAGAATGTCTGAGAACGCAGTATGCAGAAAGAGCTGCTATATGCTTGGACTGAGGACGAGGAGCACTAAATGACGGTGAACACTTAGGTAGGGTCGCAGCATCCGCACGGTCCAGTTGCCATTCCTGGGAAAAAGAGGAGGGATTTCAGCACTTCATGGCTGATCATATTAAGAGCTTCCACGGTACCATGTAAGTGGCGTTGATCGACTTCATAGTAGGGTGTGCACTGGACCTCTCAACATGGAGGGCCAATCATTGTCTTCATCAGCTAAACAGGCGTCGGGTACTGTCATCCGAGCAAGTCCATCATGATCCAATAACTTCACGTCAAACTCCACCGTCGGGAAAAGATAGCCATATTTAGATTTGTATTTATCGTCGGAGTAGCCGCCATATGACGGAATCCAATGGACTGAAAACCGCGATAATTGCAATTGCTGCTGACATTTCGCCACGTGCTCGAAGATTGAAGGCCAAGGCCGTGGGCCATTGATGTTCGTCATGATGATACGGATTGTGTGCAATTTGGGACAAACAGGACAGCTCTCGATGTTGCCGGGAGGTGCCAGGGTAGTTAATACCTGACGCAATTGAAGAATGTCACAGAGGACCAGAACTTCCAGATTCACCAGAAGTGGAAGCAATGTAGGGCAATGATGGACGCGTGTCTCGTAGTGATCATCCTCTTGTCCGTATACCCATAGCTCGCGGATTCGCTGCATAGGTAGTGCCTGCATGAGGCTACAGGAGCCGAGAATGCCGGAGACATCAGTGACTGCGATAAAGACTGTCGAGCTGATCGCCGCTTTCGTTGTTGCCTGCATGATCGGAAGTCGAGAAATTGCTTCCAAGAATTCCTGCGGCACGTCATCCGTGGTGGCATGAATCTGTGTCGCTACACTAGGCGTGCTCAATTCTTAGAGTTCGGCACGCCAGTTCAGTTCGTCGACCTCAAATACCAAAGGAACGGCGATGCCGAGCAAATGCCGAGAATTACATAAGCAAATGTGGCTGTTGAGATGTCCGGCAGTTAATTCTAACTTTGGAACATTCCTACATTTCTTGTGTGAATTGCTGCTTGTGTAAACCCCAAATTGCGATGCGGACATCCCTGAAAAGAAGACTGCACACCCACAATCTTCTCACGGTTTGTGGTGTCCAGCTGCAGACAACCTCGGCGGGGATCACAGTGACGAATGGCTGTGTATCTCACTCTCACAAAGTCACAACATAGATGAGGAACAATAATGACATTGACAGCAGCTACTGCATGGTCCTGCATATTGCTGTCATCAAATGTGCTGTGATAGTCTGTGTAATTATTGCTTGGAAGCATTTTAACATTCAGGCTAAGCAACTCTGTGCATACATGTTGCAATCCATGGTAAACCAGAGCACTAGGGAAGCTGCGACGGGAGATGGCAATAAAAATCGAGAAAATGTAAAGCAATCCTTCGGAAATAATCTCGCCACTCCTGTTCCCTGCCTAGCGTTCCCACGAGCCACTTGGCTTACATAATACTCGGCATCTGCTCGGCATCGCCGTCCCCTTGGTATTTGAGGTCGACGAACTGAACTGGCGTGCCGAACTCTAAGAATTGAGCACGCCTACTGGTGCTGAGGGGGATTTTTGAGATCAAGGAGGCAGCAAGGACCGACCGACCGATTTTGATGCGTAACCTGCGCAGATTGGGCAATGAAAGGACGTAATCATCATTTGCACTGCCTTCACGTATTTTGGGATGGAACAACTGCAAATCGGTCAGGTTTGGACAATTGGACAGTAGTTCAAGGAACTCTGGTACAGATGCCCGGACGAAAACGAGTTGTAAATATGTCAGGTTGTCGAAGCGGTGATGTGGGATCCCATCGAGGCCTTCGAGCTGCATTTGCTCCAAGGACGATGAACACGCAGTGAATAACATAGTCGCAAAAGAAGGTGTTGATCTGGTGAAACGGGTACTCAGGTTCAACCGACGAAGCCGTATAGGTTTGATGCAGAAATCAGGAGACACCTCCTCGTACCCAATCCACATGTGTAACTCACGCAAGCGTAAGGAGTGAGACTTGAAAAAGTGCTCAAAGTCTCCATCCTCATTGCTTTCGCCAATTCTGATTCTGACAGCAAGATCGCCGGTGCGACTGCGTTCGAGGAAGAAGTGTTCGGCCAATGGATAAGAATTATCCAAACAATTCCAGAGGGCAGGCACACCATGAGCAACTATACGCCAATGACAGCATACGTGCAGCACTTTGCATAGAGATTGCAGTACTTCCTTGAGACCTGTCCAACGCTGAGCAAGATGACACCTGAAGCACCACGAGCAGGCATATTGGAATATCTCTCCTAAGATCTCAGGAGGCAGGCGAACCATGGGACGAAACGAGTTCTGAGTCTGTCGAAGGAGAGCTATAAGGCTTCCGAATGATCTCTCCGTTCGTAATGCCTTGGATCGCGATTAGCTTGAAGCAGAAAAGTGGTCAGCATCGCTCACCATCTGTGCACTGGAGCAAGACGAATCAGAGTGAGATCAGCTGATGAAAACTCGATAATGCCCACCTCATAGACGCCACCTCTTGTTTCACTCTATATGACACTGTCTTCATGAACTCTTCAAAATCCAGGCTCATCAGCAGCGGATTGGGATTCCAATTCTCAGATTCCATCGCGAGGCCAGATGATCCAACCGATCTGACAATCAGGTGCAGCTATAGAGGAAAGATTGGAATCAGAGTCTCAGGTCTTGGCGTCCGGCGGAATGGAGTCAGGACGAGACGGACAAGTGATACGCAGCACTGCGAACGATCCCAACCAGCTGAGATTGTCTCACGCCACAGACGCGCTGTGGCGTGCAAGCGAGTACACTCCTCGGACAGCACTGCTATCTTATACAATTGAAGGCCCTTGAGATTGATGATCGTGGAGAGACTGAGACTGCTCGTGACTCTCGACGTTGTACTCTTCGAATTGTGTTATGCGGAGGGTCTTCCTATCTTCTCGCTGGCACTGTTGGACTGTCGTATGAGTCGGTGCCGCATGCTTAAGGCCACACCTGTCAAGGGGCGACGTGTGCCGCTCGCGCCATGATATCGTACTGGAGAACGCGAAGTGAAAGGTTGACTGCGGCGATATGACAACAGCTAAGTACGCGAAGCTCTGTTACATGCCCGATACAGTAAAGTTGCTCATGATCTTACACAACAGCTGAATAGCAGAGAACATGATCTCGGCAGATAATGTTATGTGTCCCTGGCTGGGCGAATAATCGATCGCATGCATCAGAACCTGCCTTATTCACCGTGGCCCATGCATGGTTCTGTGGCTCGGCGCCGCGTACAACGTTGACAGTTTCCTGTCTACAACACAACGGCTTTATAGATGCGTTTCTGCAGGAGCGTCCTCTGGCGAGTACAGCACCGGACAATGGACGGTCAGAATCGGGCACTCAGACAACCGATACGGACAGCGTTCAAGGTTGAACCATATTTTCTCTAGGGCAGAAATGCCAGATTGTTGAATCTGACTGTTGGCAAAGCTCTTAGGAAGGAGCTCAACATGTCAGCGAGGACGCGCAAGACGAGAACAGAGTAACAACAAATGCGGACATGTGGAAGGCATTCTCCATAACCGAGAGAAACTGGCGTTGAGCTGAACAGACATCTCTCCAAGGCACTTCGTGCACACGCGTACATTGCGTGGAAATCAAGTCAGAATGCTCCTCAGCCTGTTTGCATGCAGATGTCAGAACGACTGCATATAGCCTTGCATTACATTGGTTCGCTCACTGATTCCGTGCTGTAGGATAGCAGGGTCAGAATATGGTATGCAGAATCGTTAAACAATCGAAAGCATACCTTATGAAAGCTTTCGCTCTTGTAAATTTGCAAAGGACGGACATCATTAGCAATCCAGGCCCATAGCAAGGATACCTCGCTCAAAATCTCAACAGTTCAATCGGGATGACGGGCCATGTGTTGAGCCAGGTGGGTTTGCGACTTGAACACCGTATCGCGGCGGGAGCAGAGCGGTTGTAGGCAAGCTCTATGAGACCATCGGTACTACAAGAGAAGCACAGATATAAGTACTAGTGACAGGGCCTAGCGCATATAATGACCACTAGCCCATCACTCTTGAAGTCTCGTCGCGAACGACCAAGGTTGAATGCACAGTAGATACATGTATACAAGTCGGGCACGGAAAAGGCGAATCTACACCCTCACTTGTCCTTCACCTGCTCCTCGAGCCAGTCCCACAACCGCGCACCGAGCTCGTCATCATACGCCTCCTTCCTGCATTCGCCCAATCTAGCCCACGGTATGAGGAACTGTCGTTCGCCAGTAAAGATCAAAATTAAATGCTTAGTATGTGATAACCGACTTGATGCATACCTTGCCGTTGTAATCGAGCGTCTCGGGAACAGTGCCTGCCCACAGTTGGGTCAGGGCACCGTAAGGCGGCGAATACAGGGCGAGGTTCTAAGGTGCGCGAGATTAGTCGCCAAAATATGCAACTAAGAGGGCAGTTTGGAACCCATCTTACCATCAACATCCGAGCCGCCGAAGGGAGGTATCGTTGCAATTCAGTCTTGATATTTCCTGCCCGTCGGTGTGTGAGGAAATCCCAACGCTGCCCCGTCACGCGAATCAAAGTCCGAGGAACTTACCAGGATTGCAAGACACAGAAACGATACCCTTACATGCGTACCGTTTCGCAAACTCACGAGCTACCACGACGTTACCCTGCCAGAGTGTTAGGACGTAAGCTGAGTGATATATTGGAGCACCGCACTCACAAACTTGGACTGGCAATACAGCGTGTTAGTGCTCATTTTCCTCCTTGCAGGACCATCCTTGAACGAATCCCAGTTCAGCGTGTACCGGTATGCAGCACCAGACGAAGTCATGACGATCCGGGCGTGGTGATCTGGCGAAGTCTCTGCCCCGGCGATGAGCGCTGGGATCAGCAGTTTCGTAAAGAAGAAATGTCCTGCGCAAGCTAACAGTGAACCTTCGAATTATCGGTGTATTTCGCAAGAAGACAAACCTATGACATTGGTGCCAAATTGCAAGTCGTAGCCGTCTTCAGTCAGAAGCTCCCGAGGAGGCCACATGACACCACTGAGTAATCCAGCTGTAGACTGCTGGAAGTATTCATGCAACGGCGGACTTACGCATTGTCGAAGAGCACATGCAAAGCCTGCTCTTTGCTGCGCGATTCAAGTATCAGCATCTCGCAATAGTACAAAGGAGCAAAATTGTGCACTTGAGGAACTCTTCAGCAGCTTTCCGAACCGCAGCCAAACTGCTCAGGTCCAATTCCAGGAAGAGTGCTTCCTTCCCTGTCTGCTCCCTCAGGTCCCTTATGGCGGCCTCTGCCCTTTCTTGGTTGCGAGACGCCATGTACACTTTGGCATTATGCTCCAACAACGCCTATGCGTCTCTATCAGTACGAGTGGGCGGCTAAACACTTGCTACTGTCTTACTTTGATCGTTTCTCTGCCGATGCCGGCGTTCCCGCCTACGCAACGCTTCAGCAAACCGCCTTAGCCACGATCTCTCCCAGAAGCACACACCAGTCACAATCATGACCCGGTCAGTCAGGTCGGGGATCTGGTCCGTGCTGAACTTGGACGCAGGAGGGAACGCCTGCGTCGCCATAGACCACAAGTTGCCCATCCTGAAATCAGAGTCGAGAATACGTCGAAAGATAGTCAACAGTGGTAGTAGCAGGAAGGTGAGAAGGCACTGCCAGTGGACGGCTCAATAGTTCCCCACCTGCCTATCGTCGCGTGGAGCGGCCCAGTCCTCCGAGTGCGCGGGGAAGTGGTCCATAGCGACCTTCGACAAGCCCGGTAGCACTCCTTTCGCATTCCCATGAATAATGTATCAGGGTAAAGCTTGAGCGGCCGCCGCCCTTCTTTGGGCTCATCGCGCTCCCACAGGTGCCATTGGATGGAGACGAACTCGTCAAGGCGCTTCGACACATACACGATCACATGACTGCGTCGCATCGCGTCAATGTCAGCGCTTCCGCCTGCCGGCACGTCCCGAGCGCTATCTCTGCTTCAATCAACGACCCAGCTCGCCGCCCTCCAACTTGGCCTGCAGCTTATCAGTTCGATGACTCCTTCGTGTCTCGCTAACCCCTGGGTACCTGGACGCCGGTCGTCCTCCTGGGCTGCTAGTGCGTTGTGAAATTCCGGTAAGCTGTTGTGCTAGTGTCCTATCGTACATAGATATGAAGGAATCGGGTGATGTGCTCATATTTATTGCAGAGCGGCAGTCCAACACCTCCGTGACGCTGAAGTTTGACAACGATGTGAGCGGAGGGGTCGCATCTGCTTCAAGTTACTGACTGACTATCCACAGACATCAGATCGCGCCTCAAATTGAGACTTACAGCGCCGGAGACTATGGTTCAGATACATACGCTGGCGATTGATCCGCCGCTCCTGAACGCGTCCTGCATGTGGGCGTCAGAACTCTCCCAGTTGCGTGAACTGTACAACTCGCCGTTCACCGGTGCCGTCACCACTCGCACAGCGATTCTTGATGGGTACAAGGAGAACGAGTCGAACCAAGTACGTCTCGCAAAGACTTCTCTTTTCAGTCTTGCATCGCAGACGACGATACTCATCAACTCCATTCTCATACCTTAGTTCGTGTTCTCTGCCGACAAGCTCACTACGCTGAACAGCTTCGGCTACTCCCCTCATCCCCTCTCCCAGTACATCGAGTGGGTCTTCACAGTGCTCACATCCAGCGAGGCAGCGCCCACGCGCGCCGCTCCCAAACCTATCATCATGAGCGTCACGGCCTCCAATCCTATCGATCTCGCCCAGGTGATAACGGACGTCCAGAGTCTCCGCGAGCGCCTGCGCACGGCCAGCTTCCCGTCACCCATAGTCGACCCAGCCACCCTCGTCGCGATCGAGCTGAACACCTCCTGCCCTAACATCCCCTCCGCGCCCCCGCCGTCATACCACCTCCCCTCTCTCCGTCCCCTGCTCGCAGTCCTCGCAAGCGCCGCGCACGCCGATCCCTCATTCACGATCGGCCTCAAGCTCCCTCCCTACCCCGACGTGACGCGCGCCAAAGACGTCCTCGACTGCCTCGCAGAGTACACCTCCAGCGGGAGCCGCAGCCCGTTCGCGTTTCTCACATGCACGAACACCCTCGGCGGGAGCGTGCTCTTCTCCGACCAGGTTGATGGCGGTGTAGGCGCCCACGGGACGCCCGCGTTCGCCCTCCCGCCTGCGCTCGGCGGGCTCGGCGGCGTGCAATTACATCCGCTCGCGCTTGGCACAGTCCTTTCGTTCTCGCGTGCGCTCGCTGCGCATGCGGATCCGGCCTTGAGGGCGATCAAGATCATTGGGGTGGGGGGCGTAACCGATCGTGCGGCGGCAAAGAGGATGAGGGCGGCGGGTGCGAGTGCTGTTGCGTGTGCGACGTTGTTGGGAAAGGAAGGCGTGCGGGCGTTTGAGATCCTGTCTGAACCTGCAGAAGAGAAAGCTTAAGGCATTGTTCCGTTGAATTCTGGGTTGTGTTCACTTTAGCGTAACAGTACATGGTGCAGTGCGCGTTGTAGAGTATAAAACCGTAGCACGGGAAAGAATGCTAGTTCACAATGGCTGGATAGTGATTGGACAGCAATACGCTCAGGTATCGCGTTACGTACTTAACGTTGCGTCGCGATCACGTGGGCCGACCATCATTTCGGACGCGCATCAGTGGCAGATGGCGCATCGATCATCTCGCTGCCGGAGCTCTTCGAAGCCAGACTACGGATCTCGTCTCCCACCATCATCTAACGCTGCTTCAGTTTCACTGCTAGCGACCTGTGACGAGTCGTTGTTTTTTTTTCACTCGGACGAGCGGTGCGAGTCGCAGGAAAAGAGCCATCAACATTGTCTATTCCGACTGAAAGCCCCTGAATGCGGTTTCTACGCAAGCTCCTGGGACGCATTCCACTCTCCAGAACGATCTTTGCAAGAGCGAAGCATAAGCCAAGCACCGAGGCTATGCGAAGGCTTGGCGGAGCAGCACATGGTTTGCTAAACTACCAGCGACGTATCTAGGTCGCAAGGCAAGAGGGAAAAGCTATGGATCCATAGCGAAGATGAACTAGCGTAGCGACTATGCAGTCGGGGCCAACCCCACCGAGGCCGTCATCGGCCGTCAGCTGAGTTTGCGAGAGGAGGTGCCAATATCGTTTCGTATGCGACCGATTTAGTGGTACGTCGACGTTCTTCAGAGAGCACCTGCGTAGATGTCAGTCCGAATTGAGCCGAGCGCAGCAGAATGAGCGTTGTAGCTGACGACCACCAACGCGCAGGACACCGTGCCAAGCCCAAGCGCAAACAGCCGGATGAACGATGATCGAGTCCCTGAGGACCCCAGAAACCTTGACTTCATTTATTTCCAAACCGTAGCCCCAGTCTGCTCTGCGTCCCCTCCATCCTCCACCGTTCACATCTTGCGTCTTGCCGCCAGCCTGCTTGTCTCTTGTCCATCACGACCATCTCAGCAATCAGCACATCTTACACTCCGCTTTGATTACGATCCGCACGACACAAGCGCAGCATAGCCTCAGAATCCACACCGGCGGTCTTCCGCTGACAGCGAGCCACACGCGCACGCGCACGCCGTTATCTTCTGCGAGCTTGGCCTCTGCCCACATCTTTGCTAGTTGCATCCACTGCAGGCCAGAATGCACTCCATCTCCCTCAAGGACTCGCTGCTCCCGCAGCCCCCGTCCTTCCAGAAGAAGAAGGCATATGAGATCCACAAAGTCTTAGGGGAAGGCACGTTTGGGAAGGTCATGGTGCGTCGCCGGTCACTTCACATCTGAGGTTGCTTGATCTCAGGCTGACGTCTTCTTACTGCCCGGCGCTCTTATGACGGGTCGAAACAGCACGCGACATGGCATGTCCCGCCCGATGAAGAGCACATTGCCAAGTACGGCGCGGCAGCAGCATCATATAACCCTCCGACTCCGAGCCTCTACCGCTCACCCAGCGGTCACTCTCGTCCGAGCTCTCCGGAGCCTCCGAACCCTCCCTCGCGCTCCAACACAACCACGTCCAATGGCAGCGGCGGATCCCATCTGACCGCGAAGGGTTACATATCATCGTATTTCGTTTCCAAGGAGAAGAGCCAGAGCCAGATGACGGTCGACGTCGCGCTGAAGGTTATTCCTAAAAAGAAGGTCAAGGGAAACGAGAGCAGTGTCTGGAGTGAGATGGATGTGCTCAAGGGGCTCAGCCACCCAAACATCGTGAGTTTTCGCCGCAATCATGCCGTCTCCCCTTCCCCTTCCCGTCCCGTTTGTGTTTTCTCAGTTTATTTCCGTGCGAGGTCTGATTTGCAGTACCAATGAGCAGCGCTTCGCCCGCTTCTCTTCGTCTCCTCTGCATTTCTCCGTCAGATGACGTCATCACCATCTTCCCACTCATCCTTGCGCACGATCCAATCTGATACACAGCCTCCTGTCACACGACATCCTGTCTGATCTAATTGCTGTGACATCCTCGTCACGGCCCTATCTAATTGCTCGCCCAGGTCAAGTTCTACGAATGGTTCGAGTCACGGACGAAATACTATCTTTCCTTCGAGCTTGCTGTCGGCGGAGAGCTGTTCCAACGCATCACCCAACGGGGCAAGTTCACAGAGTTTGACGCGGTCGCCGTGCTCAAGTGTGCCATTTTCGCGAAGTTTTGCGTGTCTGGGCCCTGATTACTTTCTGTCCTTGCAGGTCTATCCTGTCCGGTGTAAAATATCTACATGAACATGACATAGTGCACCGGGATCTCAAGTAAGTTGCGTTTCCTTAGCTCTTGGTCGAACATTTTCTCATTCAACAACTACAGACCCGAGAACATCCTGTACCGCACGAAAGACGAACACTCCGACATCGTAATCGTCGATTTCGGCATGTGAGTGATCTTCTGTCGAAATGCACTCGGGCTCTGACTGGGTTGATATTTAGTGCCAAGCACTTGGATACACCGGAGTCGCAGCTGCACTCCATGGCAGGTAGCTTCGGCTACGTAGCCCCAGAGGTGCTCAACAAGGCTGGGCACGGCAAGGCAGTAGACATCTGGTCAACAGGGTATGCGTCACTTTTTACATCAGTTCGATAGCGACACTCATTGTTTGCATCGGGATACAGCATCATCACATACGTGCTCCTGTGCGGGTACTCACCCTTCCGCTCGGACGACACAACTGAACTCGTCCGGGAGACGACCGCAGCACATGTCGAGTTCCATGAACGATACTGGAGTAACGTCTCCCAAGAGGGTATGTATCGCTTTCCATCCTGAATTGCCGCCTTTGCCTCATCTTATTGTGCAGCAAAGGATTTCGTCAAATATCTTCTCAACCCCGACCCAACAAAGCGGCCCACTGCCGCACAAGCGCTCAAGCACGCCGTACGTGTACTTCCTTAGGAAAACCTGTTGTAACCTACTCAACTTCAATCCAGTGGCTCACCTCACACAGCCCCTCAACCGAACACGACCTCTGCGGCCTGCGCGAGCAGTTCAACCCCCGTGCGCGCTGGAAAGCCGCCATCACCGGCACAATCGCCCTCAACCGCTTCGGCACCACGAGCAGCAGTGGCGGCTGGCGCTCGCGCACCATGCTTGCTGCGGACAGCGACGATGACTCGAGCGACGAGTGGGCCAATGCGTCTCTGCGGGAGAAAGCGAAGGCGAACGGGAAGGCGCCGCCGCTTTCTGGGGAGAATGAACACGTTAAGGTCTCCCCGCCAGTTGAGCGGGCGGGTCCCGATGCACCGTCGCCTCCGCCTGCGAGCGAAGCCCAGCCACATGCGGACGCAAGCAGCCAGAACGCGAACGCTTCGGGCAGTGGAGCAACCCTCCCTGCGTCCAAGCCGAGCCAGGGTCACACGCTCCGACACGAGAAAGACGAGGCGGCGCGCGAGCCTCTGCACGCGAAGGTGCCCCAGGAACTGCACGAGCAGCAAGCAGCGCGGAAGCAGGCCAAGCCTTCACCTGCGCACTTGGATGTACCGTCGGACGAGTCCACTCCGCGGCGATCGATCGAGAGCGAAGAGCTGCCGATGCCAGGGTCGTTTCATGGCTCGTGGAACCATCACCATCATCACCATAACCACCTGGAGCACCATCCGCAGGTCGAGAGCGCGCTGGACAGCCTCTTGCGGAAGATGCATATTCGATGATCTTGCGAGCAGGAATATACGTATATATACTTTAACTTATTTACACTCATGTATGACGAATGACTGATGTGACGAGGACGTGTATCAGCTGCTTTTTGCGCAGTAACGGTCGATGTCGATGATCCCTCGTCCTTAACGTTTGTGACGATCTTTATGTCCTGCCTACTCTAGTGTACAACATAGCTCCGCCTCTAATCATCCATGCTAGATGGCACACGAGTAATGCGAGGACGTTATGCTGTCTGCCACATAAATTCTCGAAAATCCTCAATCGCAGCCAACGTTAAGCAGACCCAACCGAATGAGATTGCGGAATAACTACAGGATGACAAACAAAATACTGCTTCGTTGATATACTATAAAAACAAATTACGAGACCTAAAAAAATGAGTGATGCAAAGGTACGCTGTACAAATGAGAAGTACGCAGTACAAGTGGGCATGCGCGGAAACAAGCAAGAAAGGGTCTCTGTATATGCCTGATAGGGGGGAATACGAGCAAGCGACAGGAGCGATGTGTGTGTTGCGATGCGGCAGTGCAAAATACAAATGCGCGATGGTGGTAATATACTTACGTGCCCGGCCCGGACAAAGCCCAACTAAATGAGTGTTACTATGGAGGATGCATGTCGGAGTCTGGAGGAGTAGCCAGCATAGACGGCAGCACAGGTATCATTCCGCCCAGGGCGAAATACTTGAGAGACGAATTGTATTGTTGCGGTGCGATGCGATGCGCCCTGAGGAGGGAGTAGTATTGTCCGTACGATTTCACCCATTTTGTGGCAGTGTAGAGGAGCACCGTTTACATGCCATACGCATACGTCCGCTCGTACGGGTTCGCAGCGACATTGAAGCCAAAGTTGAGGCCCTCGTAGTTGGAGAACGAGCCGGCATGCGAGTGCGGCGGCGGCGTAAGGCCCGGGCTGTGGCTCGACGAGCTCTGCAACACGTAGCTGTCGATGTTGTGTGGCTGCATGCTGTGCACCTGAGTAGAGTGCAAATTCGACGTCTGCGCCTGGATCCCGTGTCCACCATACACGCCGTTGGGCGCAGTGTACGCATCCGCGAGCGCGCCTGGCGAGTGCAGCCCCTGGTGCGACATGTGACGACCACCCTGGCCGCTCATGGCGTGATTGCCGAGAGGGGCCTGATTATGGTGATACCCACTGCCGCCATAGCCGTCAAGGTGCTCACGTTGCAGCTTGTTCTGGATGCGCTTGCCATATGGAGTGTTCCGAATCAGAGGAAGAACCGGTCGGATACCCTCCACAAGCAAGGCCCGCTGTCCCGGTTCCGCGTAGTCAAGTGCGGTCTAGAAGAAAACCTTGACTGAATTCCCCCGACCACGAGGCGTGTGACAATCCACGCACCTGCACACAGTAGTTGCCGTACGAATCGCGCAACAGCTTCTCCAGCCTGGTCCGATTGAGCAATTCCCCAATAAGCATCTTCCGGGTGTTGTGCTCCGCGACCCGAATGCACTGTAAAGTTTTCGCAGTCAGAAAATGTTACATGTCACCTGGACAACAAACGCTCAACGAACCTTCTCGATGACATTCGAACTAAATTTCTGCACTGACAGCGCGCAGACATTGCCTGTGAACTGACGGATGACAGCGTCGCTGAACCGATTATCGTTCAGGTCCAGAATGTATTGCACGACCTAGATGCACGCCACGAGTCCCGTTAGCATGCACGATGCACGTCAGGAACCGAAAGCTTACGTAGTTGCCGTAAGGGTCCTGTACCAGGGTCAAGGCATTGTAGGTGATCTCGCTGACCAACTGCACACGCTGGTGATCCGAAGCGTGATCCACGCAGCGCTGCAAGACGCAACAGCCGTGACGGTGGGTAGCAACCTCAACGCAATTGGCAGCGACCGCATTGTAAATAAACTGACAAAGGGAATGCCCGATAAGTAAACAAAGCCATACGCCGCATTGAATGTCCACGTACCTGGTTATCCTCCGGCGCGAGCTTGTTCAGACACTTTTGAATGACATGATTGCCGTTCAGGTCCTTGATAAGCACTACAACGTGAAGGCTCAAAGCAAGAATGATCGAGTGAATCTGAGCATTGTATTTCGGGTCAGCCTGCACTCGTCCCGTAAGTGATAAAGTGAGATCCAACTGGGACGAGACTTGCCTGTCTGCGGGTCGACAGAAAGTCAATCATCTTCTGCACGGCGCGCGTGCCGTGCATGTTGAGGGAGATGTTCACCAGGTCTTGCGCGACCGACTCGCAGATCACGTTGCGTTGTTCGTCCGTAGCGTACTCGAGGAGCTTCTGGCACAGGTAGTTGCCGAACGGATCTGCAATACGTTCAACACATGGTTCACAGTTGATGTGAACAGACTTACCGGTCATGAGTTCAGCAAAGTGGCTGAAGGTCTCTCGGAAGATCATATCACGATGTTCCGGGACACCCTCTTCGAGCTTCTTCTGGAGATAGCGGCACCCATGCTGATCCTTGCAGAGCTGGGGAATTTCGCCCTGGAGGTCCTCCAGACGCATCCCCGCGAATCGGTTGACTGTAGAGGAGCGACGCGTCAGTCATTGCCCTTTGCAGTACACCAACCTATGAACGTACATTCGCGATCCGCATCGCCGCGCTTGTGCTTAGGACCGTGCAGCCCGCCCATCTTGCTGTCGACGCCATTCGGACGGCCATTGATGCCCAGGCCATATCGCGCACCTTGGGAATGGTACAGCGCCGTTGATCCCGGCCCATTGTTCAGACGACCGTTGGGCTCAAAGTACGAGTTGTACCGCCCGTTCTCGAGTCCGTTGCCGTTCATACCGTTGCCATTCACACCATACATCGAATCAACACCATACTGCTGCTACATCATGAAGTCAGTACGCGGTCAACACATGATGGCGGAACATCGGCCAACCTGGAGCGAATCGTCCTCGCTCGACTGGATCGAGTTGAACGTGAGCGGGCTGCCCTCATACGCATTCGCCGAGTTCATTCGCGACAGTGTCGGGCTTACTTCTGTCTGCGGCGACTGCTGCGCGCCCAACAGGCCATTCAGCCCTGGCATGCCTTCCGTCAGCGGGGTCCCCGGGGCCTTGGACGCCAAAAACGACGCCGCGTTCGGCATGCCGCTCGGAAGGGGCGTCGCGGGGACCGAGCGCGCCGTGAGCGTCATCGACGACAGCGAAGAGATGTCCGCGATGCTAAGCGGCGAACCGCGGCGGGAAGAAAGGCCCTGAGCAGCCATATTCTGGGTGACCTGCTGCAGCAGCGGCGTCGCGGATCCCGAGACCGAGCCTGGGATCTTGCCTGCGGCGGAAAGCTCGGCAAGCCCGGGAGAGAGCATTGCAGGGTTGACGGAAGTGCGCCGGACGAAGGCCTCGGGTCCACGACTGCTACCGTTGAACTGGGGCCATTCAGACGGCTTCTGCTTCTGGGAGAGCGGGGCTAAGTCCAACGCAGCCGACACCGTAGATAGCTGAGCCTATTTTGGGAATCAGCTTGTGATGTGGGATGATCGAAGTCCATGCCAGAACACACCTTGTTTGCGTACGCATTCGCAAACCTGTCATTCGCAAACCTGTCCTCGTCGGACGCCGGCACATTCCTCATCACATCTGAGAACAGATTTTAGGACAGCTCAATGATTGAAATCGACGATCTACGTACTGTGCATCTCTTGATCCAACTGCTCATCAAGCATCATACCGGCGTTGTAGCCATTACCACCGAAGTGCTGGCCGTTCGCGGCTCCGAAGCGTTCATTTCCATTTCGCAAAATAGACTGAGGAATCGCGCTAGAAGGCGTCGGAACACGGTCGCGCTCGGCCCTTTCCCCAGCAAGCGACAGACCCTGCAAATGGCCCGCAAGCTCCTCGTCGTTCTCGCTGGCCGAGGTGCGCCGGCTGGCAGGCATGCTTTTGGCTCCGGGGCGCGCAAAGCCCTGGTGCGCCACGTTACCCGTGGGCAGCTCGGGCGAATGGTTCACCGAAGGCGCATACGTGACTGACTTGCGCTTGTCCGACGCCGCTGAGCCCACAGCCATTGAAAGCACCTCCGCGTCCACCGCGTTGTGCGAGAGGCCCGAGCCAAGACCAGACACCATCTCGTCATTGAGGGTAGCGTTCACGCGGGGAGGGGTTGTGGGAGCAGAGACGGCAAAGTGCTGGAGCGAGATTGCGTTGACATCTGGAGGAATGTTGAGCAGCTCGCGAGCCTGCTGCTGTTCGAGTGCGCGCATCTGGTCCTCGAACATCTTGCGCTGGAGGGCGCGCTGCCGCTCATGCTCGAGACGCTTGAGAGTGCGCTGCGGTTGCATCAGCCCAGGGTCGAGGAAAAACCCACGTTCCGCGACACGTACAGCCGATATATCCGGAATATTATTGCCGTAGCGTGCAGCCTGTCATACGCGTGTCATTACAGAGCCGAGTGGCAAGAGCAGAAGAGGAGGACTGACCGAATCGGCGAGGTCGAGGAAAGCCGGGGGGCTCTGCTTGGCCTCGTCAGGAGACTGACGACTGTCGGCAGGGGTAGTAGACGATTCCAAGGTAGTACTCATATGGGCCATTACTTTTGATCCGGGAGATGCAGGGGTAGGACAGAGAACAGATTGAGCAAGTACGGTTAGAATAGCAAACGAGTAAGCCTAATTGCACAATGGTTATCCTGTCGGACGTGGTGGGGTGAGGTGAGAGCTGGAGACGGGGAGGGTGATGGGACAGACCTGCCAGCTGTTTACGCCCGTCTATAAGGATTGTTGATACAGTGGGTGGACAGCTGGGGGAGAGTGAGTGTTGGAGGAGGAGGAGAGGAAGGAGAGACGTGGCAGACCTTGGGCACTTTTGAGAGATGAGTAGAGAGCAGTGTGGTGAGGATATTAGCGGTAGTACACGGCCGGGATTGACGAAGAGCAGGCGAACTCTAATAAATGTGACGGGCAGACACCCTCTTTTTTTGATTCTCCGACTGCCCAATTCGGCCCAACCCACGCGGCCCCTTGAAACCCCTCCCGCCTTCACGATGGCTATACTTTTACAGCCGACGTGCGCACCTCCTCCATCCCTCCTTCCGACTAATCTGTTTACTCCGTACACGTTCTCCTGCTCGCATGCAATCCACTCTCCTCGGCTCGCGCATGCGGGGACACCCCGCTCCTGATCTCGTCAACAACACCCTCGCTTGTCAGCCCACGCACTGCGCTGCACGTTCCTCGCGCTCCAGTCTGGGACGCGCCCGCGCCAGCCGACCCTCCAGCACCCTACGTCGTGCGAAGCTGTCTCAATCCACGCTCCTCCGTACCTGGTGACCGGCTGTCGGTTCCCCAGGTGGCTGGGCTTGCGCACCCCTGCAGACACCCATCGTCCATCCCTATCCAGATTCAGGTCACCGATCTCATTATGCGCTGCAATTATCTGTACTTGGTGCTCGACTGCGTCCCGTGAACCTTCCGGCGCGAGCGAGGGTGCGCGCGCACCGCGATATGTCGGCCGCCTGCCTATATGTACGTCCCCGCCGTCGCCAGCGCACGCGTCCGCGCGGTGGCGATGCAGGCATCAATCAAGCTTTCGAGCCTCGGCTTCGTCGTACGACATGGACGCGGCCCGACAGGGATCGTCCATAAAGTGCAGTCCGCGCAAATCGCGGACGATGACTGACTCAGAGGAGCAAATGCATTGGCGAAATCTACTAAGCGTTGCGCTCTCTCAGCTTCCGCGCCATTCACTGTTGGGCCACAACTTCCTATTTGACCCCAGAGCGGGGACGGACCTGAATGGTCGTCCGGCGCATGTTTCTATGCTGATTGCCAGTATATTTTCCGCGGTTGTTGCGGTCGTCCGGTAACAGACGATCTGGGAAAGTTTACCGCTGTCGAGCATTAACTGCGGTCGTTGCAGTCATCTAGTAACAGACGATCTGGGAGAGTTTACCGCTGTCGTGCAGGACCATTAAATGCGATTGTTGCAATCGTCCGGTAACAGACGATCTGGGAGAGTTTACCGCTGTCGAGCAAGTCAATTAATCCCATTACCGAGAACGTCGGCTGCAGCGAAATAGCGGTATCCTAATCTATATCGCAAGCATAAGCGACGAGCGGCCGATAGCACACACCATAGGAGACGGAAATGTACATACATACGTATAAACCGTCCATAGCGAATAGAAGGTACTGTCTAGCAACAACGTCAATGTGTGCCGTTCACCAGCACAGCCGGCGTGGCTCGATCGTGCACGCTCTCCTCCGCCTTCTCGCCCGTACCGTTCTCCTCACCATGTGCGGCATGTCCGTTGCCATGCGCCTCCAGCCCGATCTTGCCCTCCTCAGCGCCCTCCCCGTGCCCACGAATCGTGCGTCGGTCATCCTCGCTCTCGGCCGGGCCCGCCTCCGACGTGCCCTCGTCACTCGCGTCAGTACTCGTCCTCGTCGTCGGCGTCGACGAGTCCTCCTGCGATCCCTCCGGCGACTCCGGCACTGATCGCACCATGGGCCGCGAGCTCGACGGGTAACGCGCGCGGAGGAAGCCTGTTAGCGGCGCGAGGTCGAGGAACGCGCGCGACTTGCGAGTGGAACTGCCCGAATCGGGATGAGCCCTCGTTGGCGTCGTCGACCCGCTCTGTGGAGGAGATTCGGCTCCGTGCTCATCCGCTGACACATTCGTCACGACGGCGGGCAAGCCATCGGGTTTTGCATCGACGGTAGGCGTTGCGATGTCGGAAGGCGCAGGCAGCGAAGACGCAGTAAGGATCGGAGACTGCAATGAAGATATGGACTCTGAGGAGGCGAGTGGGAAGCGATGTGACCTAGAAAGACCAAGGCGATACTGTCAAGGACGATCATCGGACGAAGCAGCACGCTGCTCACGGGAGCTCAACACTCTCGTTGTTATCGATGAGAGTCAGAAGCAAGTTCTTCAGGTTCGGTAATGTATGTCGCATGTCTAGAGCTCGGAGATTGCGTTCAGACATGAGCTAGTATATGGACGATGCATTCAGGATTATCAGTAGCTAGATCAAGCAACGACAGCGTGGGCTCACAAGCTCTATGTCTTTGTTGAGCAGGAAGACGCCATACTCAAAGCGGTAAGTATCGACGCCTTTTGAGAAAAGAGGAAACCTGCGAAAAGGCCGACCATCATCCTTGAACAAGTTAGCATTATACAGAAACTTAACACTCACATCCTCGGCCCCACCATCGCCGATATCCCGTCCTTAATCAAGCTTCTACTGCCCACGCAAGTGACTGGATACACGAGGCCTTTGCCTATGTACGCCGCGAGCATTTGCACCACCTGCGCGGCATATCCAAGCGCGGTGGCCACGGCATCCTCCGTAACCTCCTTGTGCGACGATAGCGACAATGGAGGGGCAGGGTCGTTGGGGCCCAGCGGGATGGGCAGCGGCACATCGAGGATGGTAAAGAGCAGATCTGGTGGCGAGACGAGCTCGATGGGAAAGATGAAGGAGAGCGTTGTAATGAGTAGGCTTCGCATGGGCCCGATCTGATCTCGCAGAGTACTCAGACGTCCCCTGATTGCAGTGTCAACACTTTGTGTAGTAATGCATTGCAAATTCAAACATGCCTTTCATTAATGAGCTCCTCCTCTTGCTCGAACTCCAGCTGGGAAGCGTTCTCATTCAACTCACGCGCCAACGCGAGAAGCTCTCTGCGTTTTTGCAGATCTGCTCTCCGAGCCGCGAGCCGCTCTCTCACTTGAACCGATTCAGATGAAAACTCTTTGCTCGAACGGGTAGAGGCCACGTACGCTTGTCCGACTGAGCGTTCAGATCTGCGGCTTCGCTGTGCAGCTGTCCTATCCAAGCCTCGCGTTCGGATACTTCGCGACGCTTTCAGTCAATAAGCTTAGATTGAACCCGCAAGCAAGAAGAGGGAAAGCCAATGAACATGATAGACAAAGCGAACGTGGGCATGAAGGCATAGTTGGAATGCAGAGCAGACACTTACCACGAGGCCCGCACCTGGTTGAGTGACCAGCTTGTCAATCTTGTGCACGATATCCGAAAGCGATCGCTCGTTATCCAGGATGCATGTCTGCAAATTGATCAGTCTGTTGCCGCATTCAGTATTCAATTCACTCGGCATGCACTTCCACTAGCCTACCTAAGTAACTCTTGCCAAGAGGCCGTTTTCCGCTTGCCTTTCCGTCGGAGTGACCCATATTCCTTCTGCTCAGAATCCTCCACTTCTGGCTGATCACTAAGCTTTTCGGACGTCCAGATCCGCTCGCTGGGCAGGATGGTCTCGTCTGCAGCACTAGTTTTTCTCGCCTCGGACTCTGGATCTGAACTATATCCAGCGTCATAAGGAGGAAGCGGCGATGGCGGCGTCGCGTCGGGTGTAGGCAGATAGTACGTCCGCCCAGGCGGGTAGAGAGTGACTAAGAGCGAGTTAGACGGCAGATGTGATGGATAAGTGGCAAGCTGAACGTGATCTACTCAGTTGAATATCACGCCGGAATGTGAATATTGAGCCCACCTCTTTGGATAACGGTACCAGATCGCCCAAGTCAACATCCCAACCTTGCAAAAGTTTCCATTCCAGACCATCCTGCTCACTGCGCTCCCTTTCCTTACCTTTACCCTTCAAGTCCCGATCCCCGCTTGATGACCAGCCCAACCCACGCTTGACGTGCCCCCACACCTCCACCCGCATCTTCGATCCGCTTAGATCCGCTCCCGGTGCGAACTCGCCTCGCGACCGCGCATCAAGTTGAAACGCAGGATTTGTCGAAGGCCAGTGTATAGGCGAGATGAAGCTTGGTACACAAGGCCCATCATTCAAGGTTGCTTTGTTCGGTCTCGGAGAGGAAGGTGTACTTGGAGGCGTCGAATGGCGTGAGTGTGCAGTTTTGAAGGTCGTTAATGTAGGAGATGTGAGCGGTGAGGGTACAGGAGGGCGTTGCTTGCTTCCAGAAGGTGAGGTTGATGACTTGGCCGGCTTGTTAGCAAGTGATGACGAGGACGCAGATTTGATGTTCACGTCAAATGAACTGCTTCGTGATGAGCTGACGGCGGTCCGATTTGTGGAAGCTGATAGCCGGGATGAAGATGTCTTTGGCGAAGTTGTACCGTTTGTGATTCTTCTATTGCTCGTCCTGGGAGATTCCGGCTTGTGCGTGGAGGTCGATGCTTTCTCCTGCTTAGCTTGCGAGGCAGCTTTGGAGTAGCCCCCTTCTGCCGAAGCACCGTCTATCTCGGCTGTCTCTTTGAGAGGAGTGTCGGACTCTGACGGAATAGACGGAAGCGTAATAGTGAGGAAAGTCTCGACAAGTCGGCTCTGCAGGACTTTCTCAAGTCCTCTCTGAGAAACATCCTGCAGAAGATTCGGAATATGCGAAATGCCAGAAAGAGCGGAGTCATGCTGATCCACAGCTGAGAACAATCCAGTGCGTGAGGACGATGACGCGCCTGATACTGTGCGCGGTCGGTGAGATGGGCGTACAGTAGGTGCCGCCCCTGCTACCGAAAACCTCCGTGACGAATGCAGACCAGAAGCCGCAGAGGGAGGATGGATGCTAGATACACTGGTTCTGGACGTTGTTCTCCTTCTGGTCCCGATCCCGTTCGGACCGTCGAGATCACGGTGGACCTCCTCCGTGCCTGGTCTGTGATACACTATGTGTATGCTGGACGAAGACGACATCCGCCTGGCTCGTTTCCGCCCAATCGTAAGGTCAAGGTCATCCGAGAGGTGGCCCTGTGGTGTGAACTGTGGCTGCTCCGAGGATTGTTTGAGAGCAGAGGCAAACGCATCTCGAACAGGGAATGGTGTCAGATTACGGACTTGTACTGCAGTAATGTGCCTAACGCGACGCTATATTGGCGTCCGCAATTGCTCAAGCGTCAACTCTAAACCACTGATCAGAGACCCGGGAGAGACTCAACTGGATACCGAGCCAGCGGATCGACAACCTCTGCCTCAGAGGCATCCTTCGAGTGGTTCATGACTGTCGCCGCTTCCGAGAATTGTGTACGAACACGGTGTAGGCTTGATGCACAGTCCGGATTTCACTGTGACGATTGGGAGCAGGGGCACGCCGAGTGTGCATGTATGAGGAGAATCCTACTGCCGCTACCTCAGCCTCAAGCTCAGATTCTAGCAGTGACAGTGAATGCTAGCGAGAGAGGTATAAGGGAATTGTGCTCGTGTTGAGGCAGTCGGCTGCAGCAAGTCGAGGGCCACGGTGGCGGGAAGTAAGTACAAGAGGCGCCAGAGGGCGCCAGTTTCGGTCACCACGCCGTGCATTGGCCGTGCTACCTTCTTTCGACGTCCTCCATCTAGTGATTCAACCATTGTCCTCACATAATCGTGCAGGACATCCTCCAACCAAGACGACAAAACACTCCGATGATCATGCCTCCCAAGTTACCTCGAAGAGCATCCACTTCGACAAAAGATGCACTTGCTGCATCCAAAGCAGTGCAGAACGCGTCGATGCCGCCGCCGCCAGACCCCCTGCCGCCGTTAGGAATTATGGAGGCAGAAGCGAACACATTGTCATTGTCTCTACGAGTAGGTTACCAACTCGAGTGTCGGCGCAAAAGACAATAAACGTTGCCCATAGAACGCCACGGTCAAGATAGGCCAGGTGTATGAGTTTTACGCGGATGCCCGAAAACTGTAGGTTACTAGCCAATACTAGGACTATCTGAAAAGCTCTGAGTGTATGGTGTTTTATTTTATAGCGGGATTCAGAAGTATGCTCCCAGTCCGCCACGGTCGCTTACAGCTTCGTTAGGCCGAGAGATTGAGAAGTACGACCAACTATGTGATGCAATGGAAGCGCATCTAGTAGGTTCTCACTTAAAACAGCACATGCGCGTACCTCTGACGAGACGTAGCACCGTGCTATTGCAGTCCTGCAAAGGGACATCAAGCGTGAAGAGCAGCGTTTGAAGGCGGATGCGGAGGCTGCCGCAAAGGCCGCAGCCCCTGTGCTTCCTGAAGCATCTTTCACCACAACTCCGCCCGCCTCCCCGACGTTGTCTACGTTGTATACTGGGGCTTCCGCGGAAGCATCAACCTCAAAACCTGCTCTCCCGCTACCTGCTCGCCGCCAGTCGACTGTCTCCCTGTCATCTCTGCAACGCCCTCCCTTCCCGCACAAATTAGATCTCTCTTCAGCTGCATTGCGCATGAATCCTGAGGAAGGACTTATGAGCGGGCTCTCCTCGCCAGTGACACTCGCGCCCAAATCTTCGCATAAGTCGATGTCACAAGATATGCTCTTGGGGTTAGACGATGGCACTGATGGTCCCATCCACATTGACCTTACGCAAGTGGGCGATCTCGAGATGAATCTGCAGAGAGCAGCGGCATCATCCGTAGCAGGGATGGATTCATCGTTAGGCAATTCCGCTGACAAGCCCATCGAACTAGATCTGGACATGGACGTGGACCTCTTCCACGAAGGTGCCAATAACTCGGCCAATACTCAGGGGGAGCACTTGTTTCATGAGGCGTCTGCACCGGCTATGGATGATATCCATGGTCAGAGCCTCTCGCTGGACGTCAAACCCAAAATAGAAGACGATATCTTTATGAATGCTCTTCAAGCGGTGGATTCTACAGGGGGAAGCGATGATATCTTCGCTACTCTCGAAGGACCTTCGCTACCCGATGCGTCAATAGACGACCACGGCGCTCCGGGTAGTCATCACGCGGTGAGCGAGAATGCGGCGAATGGCGCATCATCGTCTGCCTCTATTCTGGCAAGTCTCAATACTTCTTCCTCGCACTCTGTCAATCAGCCTGCTCAGGACCATGACGGCCGATTCGACCTTCAAGGTATCGACCTGTCCAACTTCCCAACCCTTAGCGCTGACCTCTTCCGTGACGACTCGGCCGAGCATGGTTTGAACGAATCCGACATGGCGAACTTGTTCAGCATAGGAACTGAAACTGGTGATGCGGAAAAGGGTACCAGCGCTGCGTAGGCATGGTGCTTTTGAAGTGAGCACAACAAGTAATGCGTTTCGATTTGCCAGTAGGGTGTGTGTACTTGAACAACAATAGATCGAATATGGAAGAGTCGCGTGCAGTACATCCCTCGAACGATTAGTACGATGTGTAGCCTATGCAGTCTCGCATTTGTAGCCCGATCAACTCACGCCCGACCCCCCTTCTTCTTCTTGTTGACCACTTTGAATCCTCCCCATTCAGACTGCGTCTGCTTCGGTTGCGCCTTCACCACGTCTGCTATGGACAGTGGCTTTGCAGACGATCCCGACGACGCACCATTCTTGAGGCGAGACGCAGCATCGGCTTTGCGTCTACTCACGAACTCGGATGCGAATCGACGGCCATCAAGAGTCGTGCTGCTGGCATAAATCAAGTCCGAGATGATCTCAATGGTCGAAGGATCTGGGTCCAGTGGGAAGGAGAGCAACATCGAGGTAATTTCCTCAACTGAAATCACAAGAGGGCATATTAATGGGTTTATGAGAGGAGATTATCTTAGAGCACATACAATTGACACTACTGTTGAGCCCCTTGAGCGAGTCGGCGAGCCATTTCATGAATTCGTGAGACGGCGGAGCGGGAAACTCTTCGGCCTTTGGAGTCGCTACCTTAATCGGCACAGTCGGGGGCCGCGTCGGCACGGCAGTCGCGGAGGTCGACCGCGTAGTTGCAGACGGTGCCGACGTTGCAGGAGCAGCGCGAGGAACAACCTTGGTAGAGGTAGACACCGCGATTGCAGGTCTTGCTGCCGGCACAACTGCCACAGATGTCTTACCTGCAGAACCCACGGTCGTCCACGCACCCCCCGACGGCTGAGTAGGTGCCGGGGCCTGCTATGCACGTCAGTGAAACAAAACTAGCAGCAGTTTGAGATTCCTCGTACTTTGGTCATTGTCTCCGCATAGCCACGTTTCGCAGCAGCAGCAACAGTCTCTTTCTCCTTGATGGCTTGCTTCTTCCGCCGTTCTTCCTCTTCCTGTATCTCCTTCATGCTTTTCTTCGTTACTGGAGCTTTGGACGAGTTCGTCCACACGGGCATAGCAGGCGTGGTCGGGGCTGTACCTGGAGCCTCTTTGACAGTAGCGACCAACCGAGCGGCATGTGCTTGAGAGGTCGGCAAACCCCAAGAAGCAGTGAAAGGCTGGAAGTCCTCCATCTGAGAAGCGTTGCTAGCAGCAACTCGCAATGCCCGCTCTTTCTCGCGCTCAGCAGCCCTTCGTGCTTCAAGCTTTTTCATTTCTGCCTCTTGGATCTCGCGAAGTCCGGGTGTGGCGCCAGATGGCTTGCCTTTCTTATCATCGTCCGTTGTCCAAGCTGGCTTGAGTTCAGTTGGTGGGATAGGGGACGGTGGCTTCGCAGCCGCTGGCTGAGCAGGGACGACCTTAGTCGCGGTCAAAGGGGCTGCAGACGCGGTAACTTGCGACTTTCGCCGGACCTTCTGAGGAGCTACCTCGGCCGTTGGCTGAGCGGCAGGCACCGCTTCCGTACCATTTTGACGCGACTCAACAGCGGGTACACCCGCGGAAATCGTCCCTACTCCATTCTGTAGAACACCATTAGGAATGTCACGCCCCCCGGACCGGCGCTGCTGCTGCTGGTCATGTTGTCCGAGATTTGCTATCGTTAAGTTGCTCGGATGCTCAGAGAAGCCAGCGGAACCCCGGGACGGCGCCGCATTCCAGGGAGATGCTTCATTGATAGAGTTGCTCTGCGCACGCCCATATGTGGGTTGACTGGTCGTAGATAAGCCAGTTATTACAGTATTACTTGCGGTAGGATAGTTGACATCGAAAGGTCCAGGGCGACGCACAGCAGCTGAATGCTGATGGGCCCACGGCGATTGTGGCACCGCAGCAACAGGAGAAGATATGAGCGAATGTTGGAATTGTTGAGTAGGAATAGCATGAGACTGCGTTGTGGTCTGTCGTTCGGGGATGGATGAAAGAGAGGCTACTGGACGACCATCAGGCACTGGTGTATATCCGAGAGAATGATTTTGAGAGAATGGCTGGCCATTCGACGAGAATGCCGCACTGTTCCCGTTGGGGAAAGGACTCCCAAACGGAGCAGCACTTGGTGCATCGTTACCTGCGGCCCTGCTAAAGACGTCCCTGTTGATGACTCGTGAAGCTGCTGTAGGAGTATGCAGACTTGCAGAGGGACCGAATTCCGTGCCAATGATACCTGACGTCGCTTGAGCGGCAGTCGTTGCCAGGTCGGCACGCAGAGCTCCCGGCCCAACGCTCATTGCGACATCGCTGCTAGAAATTGATATGGTATCTGCAGCGTTGGCTTGTGTAACAAATGGCGATGAAGGACCAGCCGAGCTCATGCCATCTGCAGCTGAAGAATAATCAGAGCAATCCGGCTATGCGCAATAGGATAACATACTGCTGATACCCAAGCCGTTCATGGGAATGGCTCTGGTAGCAAAGGGCGAATGTAATGCAGGAGACGATTCATATGAATCAGTGAAAGGCCCCCGTCTCTGTCCGACTACTGAAATCGGGGACGTAGGTGCTGCAGAAAGTGCCATTAATCGTGAGCCAACCGCGAGTTCGGTATTCACGTAGTTTCCACCTCTACCATCGAATGCGTGTGAGTCGGGGGAGGCATTAACGAATCGTGCCGGGCTAAATGACGACGATGGGGAAGCGGATGCACTGGAGGAATTCTGAAGGAAGGAATCATAGGTCGAGCTACGTAGATTGCCAGTGGCTGTCCCTTGGAACACAGTGCCGTGGAGTCTGTCTGCACTCGGTGCTTCCAGCAAAGACTCGCTTCGACGAGGTAGTCCAGGTGGACCAGCAGACGTTACACCAGGCGTGAGGAACACGGGATGCCCGCTAGCACGTTGAGCTATTTCCCCAACAGATATCCAATCTGTGTCGAGGTGCGTACGCTTCATGAGGAGATTGGGGGTGAAATAACCTTCATCATACCAGCGTTGCATGATGTCCGCACGGAAGGGACCTATTGAAGTGGCTGGTTGTTAGCTAGAGTGTTGGTTTAATTGCTTTAATGCTTGCCTTGTACTTGGCCTTGAGGATCAAGGTAAGACCACTCGATGCTCGCGAGATCTTCCAAACCAGGGGGTTTGGATACGACTTCGGAAGCCCGACTGTGCTCAACTGACGAAGTGACACTAGAATCGCTACTGCCTAGGGACAGACCAGCCATAGTGCTATTCAGACTATCTGCAGGTTGGCCTATGGCACTCCCGGGAGTTTTGTTTGGGACAGCGGCCGTTGAGGATTCGGGCTGAGACGTAGCCGCCCTATTGACGGAAGGCTGTTGCTCATCCTCCACGCGCTGCTGTGGGCCGTGATGCTCGCCCTCCTCCTCTTTAACATCTGCGCCTTTCGGTTCGTTTCCAGGGTTATCCTCATCCTTATCCTTCTTCGCCAATGGATCAGTATGAGGCTTGTTCAGGTGCTCTGAAGCACGGCGTCTAGATGACCACGATTCACTCAACACGCCATCGAAGCCTGGCGCAAGTCCGATACGCGTCCGAGGGGACGGAAGAGCGGCCTCTCGAGGAGACGTTAGCGGGCCCTGTACAGACGACAGAGACAGCTTTCTGGGTAACGTCAAAGGCGGTGGTTCTTTGAAGATCCTACCATGTCAGAAGGTCCAAAGAACATAACAAATGGATAATACCTGTACTGTCTCGCCTTCGACCCATCAAGCCTCCCATCCGCTCGCGCATCGGACTCAACGTGGTACTCGCAGAGTGGCCTAGCTTAGGCCTCTCTCCCAAAGAGCTATTGAGAGGAGAGAGGCCATCAGTAGGTTGTCGGCGTCGAATTTCAGAGTTGAGAGGGCCGGAGAATATCTATGCATCGCATATGCTCACATTGCCCGTAATCACCTGTAACAAACGCCTCACCTTCTTCTCCCCATCGCTCATCTCTTTCAACCCAACTGGGTCGCAACCTACCTCGCGAACAATCCCATCCCACCTCTCTACCTCCAACCCGAGTCCTCCCTTACCTCCCCCCTCCTTATAAATTCGGAGCATTTCTTCACGGGAATATCGGAATGGATTGGACATATCGCGTCGCTCCGGAGCAGTGCTGGTCGTTGGAGTGACCAGCGCAGAGTATGTCGACATGCCTGGCGGCACAGGAGAAGTGGCGAGCGGTGGAGAGGGCGCAGGTCGCGCAGGACCCTTCGTACGCATCCATTCGGGACCGAAGTGCATGGTAGTGGTAGTCATTTCAACTGGCAGATGTTGCAGCGGTACAGAGGGTTTCGACACGAGATTCGTGCGTTTGGTCGTATAGGCAGCGGTCGCGCAGCGTACGAGGTATGTGAAAGTCACAAAGTGTGCTAAGCCACAGGCATTCTGAAGCCACGACCAACCTCAGGGCCGGCGCCAAAAAATTCGTCTTCCGCCGGTTAATGCGTCGTTCCTCCTGGTTTACACGTTTTGTACTCTACGTATTACATGCAGACTGGAGTGATTTCAAGATATGGCGGACGCAGCACGCAAAGTTGCGACACCTATTATGAGCTCACGAGAACACCCGCCACTTGCTCGGAGGAATAGCTGAAGGAATAGAGCATTTGAATTCGGGCGCACAAAAAAGCGGGCTAGCCAACATACCCTGCAATCTCTTTGCTGTCGGAATCATGAAGAATATGACCGAGAGCAGTCCCAAACTCAGACATATTCCTGAGACAATGTAATAGCCATCGCGCTCTGTGACACATTCTCCTCCGATCTCAGCGCATGCTGTCTTGCCGTGTTCAGAGACACATTCGGCCGCTAAACAGAGAATCAAAATCTGGAAGGCACCGCAGTGAAACGCCGCACCTGTTACAGACAGGTCGTTTCCGATATTGCAGGTTGCTATGCTGAAGAAATCCACCCCTGTAAGGAATCGTTAACTATTGAGATTGATGATGCACGAGTCTTCTGTACCTTTGAGCACGAAGTATCTTGGCCACGTTCCTCCAAGATTAGAGAAGGTAGCGAAAAGCTGTGGGAGACTTTGATATATTGTATCCCGCATATTCTCAAAGAAGCAAAACGTACTGTCATGTACGTTCCCCCAACGATAGGATCAGAGATACGAGTATGGAAAGCCGCCATTCCTCCGAACTGAATTGTGCTAGATTGCGCGCCATGACCCCAGTGTGACAGCACATCAAATCGGGCGACGTACGATGCGAATGAAGAAGCAACGGTTTGCAGGATGATCAGAAGGAAGAACCATGTCGAGATTGGTGGCTTTGGGAACCAATACACCATCAATGTCGCGAGTAGTGTCAGTCCCAGTCGAGGCCAATAGGCATACGACCAAGCGCGCAGGGGCTTGTCGCCCCTAGCCCACTTGCCGGCTAGCCAACCGCTCACAATTTGGAACGGAAAGTCAATGAGCACGGTCATAGCTAGGTCCTCCCTACCAAGTCCTTTCTCTACCATTTTCAGCGAGGTGACCGCTTCGTGAGCTTGAAAGCCGATTTTCGCAAAGAGATGCACAATCAGCAGCGTTTGCACATCTGCAACAGGCCTTACAACTGCACCAACTATTATCGAGCACTCGACGTACGTTTCAGCTTGCATATCGTCCACATTGTCATGTAGACGGACTTGATGCTGATATCGAGGTCCGCACTCTCCTTGTCCTGAGTGAGATGTTAGTAGAAGTGCCACGTACGCGCCGGCGCAGGAAGCTCACCTCCTTCTTGAAGAAGATCCAGACTGTCACAGCGTACGACATCATGCTGCAGAAAAGCAGATACGCATTCAAACTCAACCGAGGGATGCCCCACTTCTCACTGAGTCATGGTTAAGCAGCGCGAACAAGTGTCACGTTATGACGACGTACGCAAATGCCTCGCTGTTGAGGGCCAGGAACACGGTATAGGATAGAAGGTAACCTGTATTCAGACCGATGGTCTGAGACGTTGATGCATAAGGTAGGTTGTCCTCGGAAAGGAGAGTGAGTGCCCAACCTAGGCATTGAACATCAGTGCACTTCGAATGAAGCAGCGTGGCGGTGGAGCGCGCGCCTCACCGTCAACAGCTATGTCTACATGTTGCGACATCACGTCAGTGAATTGCCACGGAAACGATTGTGAACAACGCGAACCTTGGGTAGCGGATAAGAATACAAGTCCGGTAAACGCTGCGGTCAGAATATATATGTATCCGGATGGCTAGTGCATTGGTGGTCAGGGACTGCACATCGACACGGGGGCGCAGGACTAACATCGTTCATCATTTCATCTGCATGGAACGACAATGCGAGCATGATGGTGCCCACCAGCAACTGCATGGGTATGATCCAGGATTTGCGACGACCAATAGAAGGAAGGTATATGGAGTCGACAATGGGCGACCACAAAAGCTTCATGGAATAAGGATAGCTAGATAGTGAGAATATTGCTAGCTGAGAATACGACAAGTGTTCTCTGAGAAGGAATGGAAGAGATCCTGTTGGAGTGTATTAGCTATGTCCATCGCACGCAGGCTGAATGCTGTTACCTAGAGCAAGTCCTAACTAGAGCCAGACATCATGAATGACTGCAATAAATTTCAGTACAAGAACACTCACAGGAAAGCCTTGTACGAGGTCTTCGTGCAGAGTGTAGAGATGGTCAGCGAAGCCGAAGTCATCTATAATCGCGTGACTCACAAAGAACGATGAGCATCCCTATAGCCTGCTTGTCATGCGACGATATTGGACGCTTTGCATGGCCCTGCTCGGCTTCTTCCTCCAGACCAAGCGCTGCGGCCCGACGCTCATCCTCAGCCAACAGACTGAGTTCGATCTCGTCGAGGCCAATCCCATCCTCAGAGTCCCATCGTTGGTGGCTCGCCGGTGTCTTGGGCGTCCGCGGCTGTATTTGAATGCTTTCCAATGAGGTAGCCAGAGCAGTGGATGGCATGTGCTCGTCGTGGATGCCTTGTAGGTCAGGCTGAGGCCTCTGTCGCCGTCGTGGTTCTTGAGCAGCGCCTTTCTGATGGGACATGACAGAACAGTTGCACTGGGACAACCGCGTACGGGTACGCGCCCGATCATCATACAAGCGCACGGCGCGTGATCTTGAACACGTCAGCACATCCATATATGCTCCCATGCTATATGCGGCAGTTTGATGGCGGCCGTGGTTCGTGGTCGTTCTCTCACTCAAGTGAGCCACATCGATTGGAGAATCCGACGATGGACTCTGTCAATGCACTGCAAGGTCTGCAGGGTGCGACGGTGATTGATCTGTCGCACATACTACTATCATGCATTAAAGAGCAAGGGGAGCGAATGAGGTGCGTGCTCGAGATAGTTCGTATCGGCTGCAGTCGCTAACATCTGCCATTATCGTAGTGTGGATGCGGTACGTGGGTTTGCATGTATCTGTGGACGCATTCTGGTGGTCACTAATTTAGTCAGAGACGTCGTAGATCCGAGCAGCTGACGCAAATGTTACTGCCACCCTCGTTCTATTGCGACGCATCGCCAACTCAAACGCTTTCATCGATAGGCTCCATGCTGAGCTATTGATGAGGATCTTCGAATACGTACCAATGCCGTATCATGCAGACGACCCTAACGTCAAAATCGACGACCATTTGCGCATTTGGAAACTGGGGATTGTCCGACTGCGCGAGATTATGACGTTGACCCAGGTCTGCCACCGTTGGCGGGAGGTCGCGATTAGCCATCCCAGGCTATGGGACAGCATCGCATCTACCTACTCTCCTGCGCAACAGCGGATGCTGCTGGAGCGCAGTCGTGGGTCAATGTCTCTCAAGATTTATTTGGAGCCAGGACAGAGCTACCTACTCGATGCCTCATTGGGTACGCTCACAGAACGCATTCAAGAGCTACATTTTTGCCATCTTAATGCGCACGGCGCGGAAGTCTGCAACTGGCCAATGCCTCGACTAGAGGTCCTCACGGTGAAAGGCTGCGACTACGACGACGTCATCTGGGAGATGAAGGGAAGTCCGTATCTCTTCGCCGGCCACACCCCTCGTCTACGGTCTCTCTCACTCTCCTCTCTGTGTTGGCTGCCGGGCAACCAATTCACCACGCTTAAACAATTATTCCTGACAAGACTGCGCATGCCGCATTGCACCGCCCGCGTGCTGGACTTCTTCGCACAATGTCCGAACCTCGAAGACCTCGTCATCGCTATCCGAACTCACCTGTCGGACATCGACGTGAGTGAGCGCACGGTGCCGCTAGCAAAGTTGCGCCGGCTCGCGTTCCTCGAGACAGAACGTCACGTCGTTGTCAACATGCTCTCACACATGATCTTTCCGAACACCACCGCTGTGCGCATTGTCGTCGACAAGGAGTCCGGCGACGTCTTCGGCACAATCTCCTGTTTGCCCGTAGCGCAGACTATCCGCGCGCTCTCCATATATACCCGGACGGATTGGTCAGTCTGCGCCGCAGTAGGCCCGCACTCGGGTTTCGCGCTATCTCCGATGCACTTGCAAGACAGTTATACCACGGAAGCATGCCTCAGTTGGTTCCGCTGGTGTGGTGATTTGACATCCCGGATCAAAGAGGCGTGGCTGATCGGCGATCAAGTGCATGGGCCCGTGGTTCCGATACTTACCAGGCTGTGCAACCTGGAGGTATTGGCCCTTCAGCCGCACGATTTGCTGGCCGGGCATCCGCTGCGACGCTCTGTGCACTCGACGCTAGAGCTGATCTCCCGCCCGCTGCATTTCAGCAAATTGACTACGCTGCACGTCCTGCACGCACCCCGCGAGACGGAGCAGAGCGTCACTGACACAGTCAGGCAGCTCTTCATGAGCGGCATTTATAGCAAGCTGAAGCTCCTCACCATTGATTATCTGCCCGGCTACAGGGGAGAGAGGATATACAAAACGGATTTTGACGGATACTTCGCGTGTGTGAAGTACAGAGATCTGGACACGCTGCCTCACATGGCGATTCCGGAAGTCTGCAAGACGGGAGCTAACATGTATTGGTCGGGATTCGAGCCGGAACTGGACTTGTATACCGGCGAAGCGCCTTATGGCCCTGTTGTGAGTTATGCATTCAACACTCCTGAATTATATCACTGACAATTACCAGGTAGCTGGAAGGAGCGGAGCTGCCAAGGACGGGAAGGAACTACTACACGAAGCTCGTCAGGATACCCATCTAGCATACGGCTCGACACAAGGCTCAAAGCCTGCGTAGAGACATTCCTTGTATACTCATCGCTAGCGATCACTTCTACTGTACCATCTCAAGTAGGATTCATACCACTAGGATTATTTATCGTCACGATGTTCTGCTGTCAGCACCGCATTTGACTCTGCTTGTCTTACCCCAAATGGGAGCTCGTATGTAAACATAGTCGTAGCACTATTCAATTACACCTTCAGACATTTTTGCGCAGCAGGCGAAGTGCCTGCGACGACTGGGGTATTGAAGGCAAGGCGCTGAAGAGTTACTGTTTTTTAAACGAGCAGCACCTCCACGACTCACTCTACGTACGTTCCAATACAGTTATATGCATCCGCTCTGGCAGCCGCACAATCTACAGCAAGTTGAGCTTTCTAAGGCCGCCGTGATGCCGTGATAACATAGCCAGATACGTGCTTCACAGCACACAGTGTACAAGCCGGTATATTCATCGTTGTCAACGAAGGTGATCGTGAGCGGGGAGACAAGCAAATACGGGCTGATGCCCATCAACGAGAGATGTCTCCACAACCACTGGCCGTTAGGAAGGTCTCGTTCCGCCGGTACAGTGACGTCGCAGATGTTGTTCCACAAGTATAAACCGGCATCAGACGATTCCAGGCTCATATTGCATAGTGCTACGAGACGGTCCGTAGGTCAAGAGTCTTCCGCAAGCACTTGACCTGCCGAGAGAGCGAGGAGAGAAAGCCACACCCGGATGAACATTTTTGCGATTCGCTGGGAGAGCAACTCTTACATTTGTGGAACCGACATGTTGAAGCATCAGGATCATCATACGGCATGTTAGCCCGTGTAGAGCGTTTGCCAAGGAGTGCCAGGCCCCGCTTTCACGCCAAGTTCGTTGGAACGAAACCGCTTCTTGAGCCTTTGCACTTAGCTCAGAGAAGAGCTCCACGACGGCCCGTCGATCACCGGAATACGCTTTTTGCTCTTTCGCAATTATGCAAGAATCCGAGGTTACGGTCTGTGTTTCCCGACTTCACCTTAGGAATGTAATTTGGTCGCATCGCATCAGATTGATCTGCGTCATTGTCATGCACCGTACCGAAATCGAGCGTGAAGCTGGGTAGGCATGATACTTGCAACAAGCTAGACCGCTAGAACGATGTGCAGCGCGGGGGTTTATGTTCCTGCCGCGGCCGACATGCACGATCGTTCAAATATGACTCATGGAAAGCCTGGGCAATCGTGGACTGTTGCATGATGGGATTTGGGTCAGAAGTCACTCACTGTACTATACCACAAATCGCCTACCGATGGACAGAGGCCTGAGGATTCAGCTTAGTCGCAACATACTGTATTCATGGCCAACAAAACCCCTCGAAAAGCGATGATATGTGACTCGGAGCACGATAGGCTTAATGGGCCTCTGCGGGTATAGAATCCGCGGTTCATCAAATTTGCGGATGAGAGTTCCTGCTGTTTTCTCGACAAATCTGGGTTGAGGAGCGTTGGATGTACATAGGCATTCGCGTTCTAGCCAGCGGATCGCTTTGGCTACGACCCTTCTACCAGCGGCGGACCCGAGCAGCGAGATGAAATTGAGCTTCCTTGACGACGACCGACACGGGAAGAAAAGGAACCTCCCCGATCATGCATCATGTGGCGACCCCCTGAGCCGCTTTGATCCCGGACAAAAAAGCCCACCCCCTTAAGAGGCTACGGGCACTGGAAGAAGGTAAGAGGACCGAGGCCAGGCCACCCGGGGTGGTCATTCCAAAAGTTGGTCACGACGCGCGCGTCGACATGTTTAGATTTGCTTCCGACGATCAGGATGGCGGTCGTTTCACCCTCGACTAACTGCTGTAGAAAAATCCTGCTTGCTCACCAAAGCTTGAAGTAGGGACCGTCTGGATCAGGGCACCGTGATGGACAAGGCGCCGTCAATTGCAAACAACGGCCTCGTGTTGGCCTTGTTCCTTGGCGTAGTCGATCAGGAATGATTGTGCGCTGGCTTTTCTTTCCTCTCCGCGGCCTCGCGAATTTACTTCGCCGATTGCGGCTCATTTTTTCTGATAAGGCCCACTGTTCTCCTCTTCTGTCTTCTGTCGCCGCCATCATCTTTGACCGCCTCCCGCCACGTCCTCTGGACCAGCCGTCCTCATCTTCGACAATCCTTTCTGCGTCTACTGGGCTGCGCCTAGTTGTTGTATAGCTTATCTCGGCGGCTCTTCACCTGCGTCGTGACCTGCAGCTTGCCATCACCACCAGTCTTTTCTTCACGTCCAGGACACGGCCAACATGTATTTTCACCTCCCGCTCATCCTCCTCCTGCTCGCCAATGCAATCTCATCTGAGGCGAAACCCTTCCTTCGAGGCTCGGACCACATTATCCGGGGCATCGACTCAGCACATCGCCACGCTGTTAAGCGCAGTTCCAGCTTTGCGCGGGATCTGCGCCGTGCACTTTCTGGGGTGCTCGAAGAGAGGGCAGATAGCGACTCAGAAAAATCATATCATTGTGTTAGCGAGAAGAGCGCAGGCGTGGCAGTCAATGTTGGCGGCTCGTCTGGTCAGTCCACATCGACTTCAAGCTCGACTGCGGGATCTGGCGTGGGCTTCGGCTCCAGCTCGGTCACGGCATCCGGCACCGCATCGGCATCAGCGTCGAGCGCTAGCAGTACTGCTGTGTCGACTTCGGCATGGAAGCTCCAGCAGTCATACGTGCGTCTTCTACTCTGCCTATGTCTGAATGAGTAGCTCATAGCCAAACAGGAAGGACAATCGTTCTTTAACGGTTGGTCGTTCTACACTGACGCTGATCCTACCGATGGCACGGTGCAATATGTAGATTCGAGCACGGCAGTATGTCTCTCTTTTCTTATCATCGAAAGTCCTGCGCCTCAAATTTGATCGCCAGAGCTCCAACAACCTCACTTCGATCACTAGCTCCGGAAGTGCCATTATGCGTGTCGACACGACTGAGACGGTTTCCGGAAACCGTCAGAGTGTACGAATCACAACTGACTACACTTACACCGGCGGACTGGTGATCTTGGACGCCGTACACGTCCCCACCGGATGCGGTACTTGGCCAGCATTCTGGTCCAACGGTACGTCGTCTCTTCATATTTGCTCTGCCATAGCATGCTCACGTCGATTTGCCGCACGTAGGTCCTAACTGGCCTGCCGGCGGAGAGATCGACATTGTGGAAGGCGTGAACACCTTCACCGCCAACCAGGCTTCCATACACACGAACCCAGGCTGCTCCCTACCGTCCAGCGATAGCGACGCGCTAACCATCAGCGGCACCGTAGTTGGCGGGACCAACTGCGCTGCGGCAGAGACAGGCGACGCGGGATGCGGCGTCGTGTCGACCTCGGACAGCTCATTCGGGTCTGGGTTCAACGCGATCAGTGGCGGTGTCTACGCTAGTACGTCAGCGTCCATTTCCTGCCATTTCGCATGTTAACTGATTATGCTGTAGTGGAATGGACGGACGATGGCATCAAAGTGTGGTTCTTTGAGCGCAGTGCCATTCCGTCGGACATCACGAGCGGTTCGCCCGACCCTACAGGTTGGGCTACCCCGCTGGCGTCGTGGCCGTCCACAGACTGCACCACATCGGACTTCTTCTACGACCATTCAGCCATCTTCGACACCACCCTTTGGTGAGCATGCGGCAGCCTTCAGCAGCGGTCGTACTCGCTCGACTGACACTTGATTGACACGATAGCGGTGAATGGGCTGGTAATGCGTGGGACAACACCGGTAGCGCGGGCCAGTCTGAGAGCTGTGCGAGCATCACTGGCTACTCCACTTGCGCGGACTTTGTCCAGAACAGTGGTTCATCGTTCGCGGATGCCTGTGAATATCTACTTCCATCTCTGCCATTGTCGGATTTACTGACAATACCTGTTTCAGATTGGGAGGTTAACAGCGTGAAGATCTATCAGTCGAGCTAGATGCTTCTTCCGGTCGACTTTGCTTTGAACACGTCAGTAAGAACTCCTCTCGTGCTGACGACGACGTCCGATTTCAGCCGCTCGTCTCTTTGGGCCTCTCATATTCGACATATCATACTCGACGTATCTTACGGTCCCATGACGATCTGCGTATCTTGCTTTTGCTCGGGTCAGCTGTAGCACTAAGGTTTGTAGCATTCGATAGCACACGCTAGATTGCGTGCTTGTATCATACACGTAGTGCTCCTTGCTGAATGAGAATGCTGGTCATTCATGATCTGCTCTCCGATTGGTATCGGTGTATGATTTAAAGCCTCCAGCTTGCTGGAACTGGCTTTTCCAGCTAATCCTCGGCCGGGATTTCATGAACAGTCATCACAATGCGCTGGCTTATCATGCGAGAGTATTGTTGCTCAGCATAGCATAAGGGTACATATGAGGAGGCAACTATGCGTATAACAAAGATGAGACCAGAAAACAGTGCATAGCGAGAGGGGTGGAAAGAGATGATGATGCAGGGCTCATCGTGTCTGTTCAAACGAATGCAACTCAGCACAAGACAGTACAAAATAGCACTCGCAAAACACACCTTCTGGAACCCGATAGCGGCCGACTTTTCGCGGAAGCACTGACGGCAAAGGTCAAGACCGTACTTGCGAATCAAACCAGCCTGGTGCGCGCAAAGGCGGCTTCCAACCAACAACGCGTCAGAACTCTCCTTCGCTCCCGCTCCAGTCATCCAAAACAGCCACTCACCACTGGCGGCTGCCCTTACCGTACTTACGGGGGCGAGAAAACCAGACGCTGTCGTGTGTCATTTTGCCGGATCTAGAGGGTGCGGAAGGATATGCGCTGGAGAGATACACGGTCAACAGATGGGGCAGAGAGGCGGGGTGCAGCAACTGACCTGGCCGGGTTCTTGCAGATGGCTTCGCCGTTGGTTAACGAGGCGGGTTCGCTTTTGTTGTGCTGTATAGTGGCTGCGAACTTTAGGTTCCGCTGCGCTTGTCGGCAATTGCCGAAAGCGTACATAACCCATGATATAATTCATAATAAAAAAGCAAATATTGCCTGCCTAGCTCAATCGGATAGAGCGTCAGACTCTTATGAGTGTTTGGGCATCTGAAGGCTGCGAGTTCGACCCTCGCGGTGGGCTAGTATAGTTTTTCTCGTTTTGCACCGAGTCACCCCTTCTGTTGTGCTCGTTAACTTATGAATTCCATGTCGCTATCTACTGGTGCTGAAACTTGGTATTACTCAAGTTGGAGAGCCACACTGCTCCGCAAAACATGAGTTCCAGGATTTAGAGTCGTACGTGTTCATCACGGGAATAAAACGAACGGCATAAGTGACCACCTTTCCGCGCAATGTGGAAGCCTGAGCTTGCCAAGTGGTTGCCATCACAGAGCGTTCTGCATAAAAATTCCTTCACAGCTTCAGAGGACCTGGGCTCCGCCGATGTGCGATAAAAGATCCACCTGGTCTTCCAATTCACTCGCAAAACATTTCATCAGTTCCTATCTTTTGACATCGGACTCGGAGGACCCTCTGAACTCCGCTCTTATTCAAGTCATGCCGGAGCGCCAGATCACTCTGGCTTCCAGATCTGGCTGTTGAACTTCCGACGTGCGAACAGCAGAATAGACTAACGGGCAGAGGTGACCGCAAAACGTAGCTCATGCCTATGCAACTGTTCAGACCTAAGCCACTCCCATTTAATCATTCTGACGTCCTAAACCTATGACGCCGTTTCTCCAGCACTGATATAAATGGCCCTCTGGACCACTGACATGTTTTTTTCCAGCATTCCTGTCCCTGCTCGATCATGCATAACGTCCTGCGATCCAGTTCTGTCTATTCGGTTCTCGCTCTCATAGGCCTAGTTGCAGGCTCATGCAGCTCACCATACAGTCTTTCCCTGTGTTGCATTTCTCTCGGTCCATACAGTGACAACGCATATGTGTGGGAGAACGAATGTGGCTTCGACTCGTCCGACGAGAGCATTCTCGTTGCAGCCGGATGTGAAGTGTCCGCGACTGACTGGTAAGCAAATCTGCTGCGCTACTAGTGATATACCCGCTGATGGTATCGTCCTAGCTCCGAGAATATGTATGAGGCGTGTTGCGTGGAATATATGCCAGGTTTGCATGATTCGAAGCCCTGTAATAGGCAACGGCCTGGTGGGTGTTGACGATTTTTCGTGATTGCGCAGGTTGCCCCTCGTACGATGGAGCCGTTGGATATAATTGCACGGGATCTCTGGTTGAATGAGCGCGGCCGTGGCGTGTCCATTAGCAGACCTTCCGCTGCATGTATTTCCCTCGACGATTCTTGAACCGCTCACGAAGCTGATCTTTAAGTGTCTGGTGTTGAGCGACGTCGAAGGCTCAAAGTCGAGCTGCGGGATGACCGCGGTCGCGAATTAAATAAATTACGCTTCTCCGTTGCGTCTGCAGTTCCACGTCAAATGCACCAGAGTTTACTTCTAGGTACCTATTTCATGAGCAACGGTATGTTCCGCATTCTTGTAGAATGTTCTACCTGCAGCATTGAACTCGCGCTTGAGCCTTTTTGTTTAATGTTCGGCAACACGGAGGTCCTACCTGACGCCACAGACGCGTCCGAGCATCGCAACTGTTATGCTTCTTTTACTCACGGCGCGACTTGAACGAGGCAAGCACTACCTGCGTAGTACCATCACCATCTTATTTCACGCCTGCCACTGTTATCCGTCTTTGTCATGGCAGACGGTGTCAAGGCAGCGCTTGAATTGAAGGCTGAGGGGAACGCGCTCTATGCAAAGCAAGACTATCTTGCAGCGTATAAGAAGTACTCCGACGCGACTGAGATCGATGATAAGAACGCCGTTCTATATGCGAATCGTGCTGCCTGCTCTCTGGGACTGAAATGGTGAGCACCGCGTGTCTTGCAATCTCTGAATGCGCCATCTCACATTTATGCAGTTTCTCGGATGTGGTAGCTGATGCTCAAAAGGTATTCGGTCTTGGGACTAGAGTTCTTCATCTACGTGAACATAGTCCTCATAAACCTTGAACTAATTCAGACAACCGATATCGACCCGAAATATGCCAAAGCATGGGCGCGCTTGGCCACAGCACACAATGTTCATTCTTGCTTTTTATTTTCTGGAGCGAGCTCATCTATCTAATACCTTTATAGGCTCTGGGTAACTTTGATGCTAGCGTCAAGTCTTGGCAAAGGGCACTCGGCATGTTACCTGTCGAGAAATTGAGCATGGTGGAAGCCAGACAAAAAGAGCAGTATGAAAGCGAACTGCGAAACACGCTTGCTAAGTCCAAGTCTGCAACTGCAGCAAGTAGGGATACACATCAGATTCCTCGGAATACGGCGCAATGGGCCCGTGCAAGAGCCATGGTACTAGAGCTGGAGAGATGCGCACTACTGAGGCAGTGAACAGCAGCGTGAGGTTCATTCGCATGAAGATCGCCGGGCCTACTTTGACGTTTCGTTCTCCAGGCCTGGGTGATTTTAGGGGCAGCATCGGTGAGTGTTTATGAAGAAATGTGTCATTGCAGAAGGGTTCATGAAGCCATTCAAGGACTAGGACAATGGCATGTCGAAAATGAAGCAGCTAAAGAAGGTTCCAACTGCAACAGGAGTGAAGGTTGAAGGGATCCCTGGTGTGAGCCGCAATCTATATGATAGCAGAACGATTTATTTGATGCTTCCCAGGCTCTGATAGACCTATCCAATGCGATGCTCGAGGATCCCAGAATTGTCCACATCAACGATAACAGTTTTCTGCAAGTTTACAGTGAACAAGGTATCGTCATTATCTGGGTATCATGATTTATTCTGATCCGGATCCTTAGCTTTGTTTGAAGCAGAAATGGATGGAGTTTGGTTAACAGGAAGCGCAAAGGAGGTCATTGCTGATGCTCCAGAACGGCAACGTAAAGAAGGCTGGGCTTCTGTTCGCGCGGCCATCTCGACGACTGTCCGGTAGGTGGCCTTCGATTCGTGCGCTCCATCTGACCCAAGAAAATGTTCAGCATGTGGATTTTGCGTGGATATATGGCGTTGGGTGGTCGGGACGATGGGCCCGCCGCGATTAAAGACTACTCACAAGCCCTCGAGGTGTTAGAGTGGGGAAGGCAAGCTTGGCGAGACGTGAAGAAAGAGGACAGAGGTATCATTTTTGACGACCAATTTTTCCGCGGCGTCCGCTCCATATACTTGCAGGCACTTATGACGGTACGTGGCCATTAACCCTTGACGTCTGGCATGCTACATGTTAAAGTTGTTTTCCAGGCAGAGCGGCAGGCTTCTGGTAATGATGCAGAGGATTTGTTGAACACCATCCTAGAAGAAGCACAAGATATGTTGCGCGACATCAGCTCACCTGAAACTGCGTTGCCGGAGGGTATTTATGACCCTGGATTCGTTTCATCTTTCGTACTTTATCCTAGAGGGCGCGCACTGTCGTACGTTGTTTAACCTTCTTCGTCACACATCAAGGCCACTCACTCGTCGGCAGAATGGTCGGGTACTATCACAACCACATTGCTCGGCAGCTCGTGTTGCAGAAAAATGCATCTGCATTCGAACATTTTACGAAAGCTGCCTGTGCGTACTTCGAAGCTGGCCAGATGTACCCCGAGGACGACGAATTACATGCATGCAAGTCATTGGACTCACGATCTCGCATGTTCCTGGCTGACTGACAGCATACAGGGTTTTTACATTCTGGGCTGGTAGCGTCGAAACTCTGCGGTTGTCCGATTAGCGAAGCGTTGCCCATTTTCGAGAAGATCCGACTAGCCATCCCTAAAATGAAGCCCATCTGGGAGTATTCTGGATTGGCTCACACTGGAAGGGATGGAGCATTGCAAGAAGATGTAAAAAACGAGGAGAGTCTTCGTAAAGCATTGCAGGAAGGCAGGCTCACCCCAGACGACTTCATTCTGCCAGAACCTCTACAGTTCTCACTCTAAGGTCGATGCCGCTGATGCTTGCTTGCTTGCTTGCTTGCTTTCGAGACTGGCTACAATGTATTTCATGCTATCCTTGTAGGTTATAACTGGTGTATATGTAGATCTCCTTCCCTGCGATGAATGTGATGACAATGGAGAGTCAGACTCACTATGATCTTAAATTTACGATAACCTTCCAATCATCCACATGCCAGGCATTTGAACCCTCCGATACGCACTGACCTAGTGCGGTTTGATAAATTGTGCGGGCTCTCTGGTTGAATGAGCACGGTCGCGGCATCGTCCCCAGCAGATCCTCATCTGTAACTTTCTGTTCATACTAGTAAGTTGGCGATGAAGTCTCTGTTACCATATATCTACCACGAGGGCCTTCATTACCATGGCAAGCACCAGTTACAAGATGTGTATGTAAATCTGCAACAAGATAGATGAGCTACAGTTGGTAGATATGTAAGTACAAGTTTACGAAGCATGCAGTAAATATGAATTTGTACATGTGGATCGTGACATTGCTTGTGAAGGGCGACCTCCATCCCCACGACGATCTAGACATCTGCTTCTCGGAAGATGTTGATCGATCCAAAGACGTGCGCGATGACTTCGACCTCCGAATCCTCTTCGTTGGAACTCTCTACGACAATCACAGGCTTCTTGGAGTCCAAGACTGGCCGAGGCGGCAGATGGGTTGGAATGCCAGAGAGACTGATGCCGTCTTTCGAACGAGTGGGAAGGGGTCCAGAGCGGGGGGGAGCTAAAGGCGACGTCATAAACTGATATTTGCTACAACGAAGGGATGCACCCACCGTTGCTTTGAGTGGAAGGCAGGTGAATTCCAGTCTTGGCGATCGGTGTGCGAGGAGCACGCCGTGTGTTCTCGAACAGAGGAATGAGTCGGCCGGCATTGCATCGTCCGCATACTAGTCACATATTTAGTCGTCATGTGCTAACCCACTTGTGGTGTAGCACTCCGCCGGCTACTCACCAGCGTTTGGTCGCATAGATTTTGAATGGCGGCCGTAGCTAGAGCAAAATAACTCGCCCGTCATGAGACATCAATGTTAAGAAAAGGAAGCAACGTACATGTGATTACATTGCTCGCATTCTAGCAAATTGTCCGCTAACGTGAGCTGAGCTGAAAGAATGAATTAGGACCACTTACTCCATTGGTACTTGCATACGATGTCGTAGTTGTGTCTGGTCTGGGGAACATGGCTTGAGCTGAGGTCTTCTGCTCACTAGAAGAGGGTAATACCGTCACTTCAATGTCGGGTCTTTTTCTCATGACCTTTCTCGCCCTTGCATGGTCACTCGGAATGAATAGTGTTTACACAACGAATTCAGCAACGCGAACATACCACGCTTTGAATTTTCTCCCGTGATGCTCTTTGGGGTCTTCGTCAATGATCCAGCATGCCAGATGGCACATCTCATGGGAGAGTGTGTTACGGATACGTTCTGGGTTTGACAAGCATTGAGAGAATGTCACATCGCTACATAAGAATACGTACCGTCACAGTCCAGAATCTTGGTCGCTAGCTCGATTTCATATTTTCGCGCATTATCATTCGACCTGGATGTTCTGTGAGCGGAGGATGATGCATCACCCTTTCGGTTGCTATCGAACGCACTTGTGCCATCTGGCCCTCCCGGCAGTGGTCAGCAGCCTCTTGTTCCACGTCAATTGTGTGGTAGCGGGGATCTTTTCACCGAAGATGGTGCGATTTAAATCTTCAAATAGAGCGCGAGCAAAAGCTTCCCTTCTTGCCTGCTCGGCATCTCTCATTGCTTTCTGTGTCCTGCGTGGAGTTTTGCCGGCTTTCCGAGGCGTAGCGGCAGGCGTCCGCTTGGTTGGACGCACTTCCACATCAGATTCTGAACTGGATTTATACGAGCCAATCCGTCTTGGATGTGAGTGAGAGGCGGGGGGAACATTGTCTAAGTTGGAATGAGGAACCGATTCGTTCAAAAGAGGTCCTGCTTTGTGTGCTCCATCGGGCGCATCCCTATGATTTGGATGTCCATTAATCATTTTCAACAAGGTGAAAAGGCTTACAGCACAATGATGGGCTCGTCATCTCCAGCAGACGTTACACTGTCATCGTCATCAACATACAGAGGCAGAGGTGTCGGAAGCACTTCAGGGTATCCTATGTGCCTCTGATGGTGCGTAGGTACCGTATTTGAGCTTGTTGGCGTCTCATGTATAGTCACTGCCTTGATTGCACACGCATTGTCTCCGTCTGAGGATTCTGATGAGCTGAGAGTCAAGTCAATCACAGGTCCGCTCGGTTTGACAAGAACGCGGTCTTTGCGTGGCCGTAAAACTGGCTTCGGCTCCCACAATTCACGATCTGACCGTTCTGAGTCTGAGCTCTGTACTATGCGTCGCGCTCTAGCTGTTGTGCGTTGGTGATTCCTCCGCTTGGAAGTACACGACGATATTTCGCTAATACTCGTTGAAATTGTTGGTCAATACAGCATGCACATGGAATCAGATACTCACTTTTCGTCTTCATCCCCCGAGAAGATCTCAACAATGTCGACGCGATTGCTTGCATTGGCGTCGTTGCGTTTGTGCGCCGCAAACGACCTTTGCCTGCACTGAATAAGTCTTCGTTCGGCATCAAAACGACGGGAAATGTACTTCATTCTGTCCTCGTCTTTGTCCAAAACAACATCTTCTTCCTGTTTCGCGTTTGTGTGGGGTTCAGCGTGTGGAGGGCAGCCGGCGACGTTAAGAGTAGCTACTGCTACTATTGCCAGTGCAAGAGCGCCTGAGAAACACTAGCAAACAACAAGCTAGTGAGTTACGATACCTTTAGAGATCTCAGTCACTTGTGGCATGCAGCTTGTGGCCATCTTGGTAGCGAAACGGGAGCAAACTGCAGCAAAGCACCGTATGAACAAAGATGAACCCCAGGTGGCTGGCGCCGATGGCCAAGTTGACGGATCGCGTCGCGTCGCGACGTCACGTGGACGCGTAGTACATATTTCAGCCACCTAAGCCACTCACAGGCTCAGCTCAGAGCGACTCCTCATGTAGTCGGAGTCTCAGTGGCAGCTGGCCCTGCAAGTAAAATTATGAACTGAAGCATACTCCTGGTTGTCCAGCATCTGCATTTCAGCCCGAAACTTGCTCGTAGCGGTGCACACGGCGTTAGCGAACATTAATCCTGCGCTACTTGTCATCATAATGGCGTTAGAATCAAATGGAGAAGCTCCTGCACATTATCGAGAGGACGACTGAGATTCTCTTTGGGCAACGCGTGTAGGGCGAGATCTTACGGCAGGACGATAATGCTGACATAACGGTGGACGTTTATCGACCCGAGATAAACGTGAGCGAAGTTCATGGTCAATGCTAGACATGTTGTTTCCTTGTCAATATAAATCCAACGCATTGCAATGTGTAGTACGCAAAAAGATGTTGTTCGATACATTCTGACTCTATATATTGACTGCTAGTATGCGACATCTATCCACCATTGGGCTCGTTACCAGCACGGAAACCCTATCACAAATGCTAGGATATCTATACATCGTCGTTGATCTCATCCGATCAGCTCGTCTGGTAGATTTTCACGCTCTTTATCTCCCAGTCTGCCAGATGAGTCGAGAGTCAGACATCAGATAAAATGCAATAAGGTGTAGTCGTTGTAACATGTACTTACAGGCTTCCTCGAATGCGGCACCGTTATTCGCCACGAACTCCTCGCATGTCGCCAGGCCCGTCCGCTGTGCACAGCTCTGTTCCTGCCCAGGTGCACCGGTCGAGTTCCAGCCGTCGCCTGCCCAGTCTCCACTGCAGCAATTATAGATGTCGTCAGCATCACTCACACTGTGTCAATAGCATTGCAGGATGGACGCACCAGAGCGTAGTGTCAAAGATTGCCGAATGGTCATAGAAGAACTCCGTCGAGTTGCACGAGGAGGAGGGGAAGTTGGCGATGGGCGTGCCCCAGCTCGTTGGCTGGGGAGCGCCCGTGGTGATATCCGCTGGGATCGCGCTGCGGTTGAAGAAGTGTACGGTGATGCCTGCATCGTCCCAGTTCACTGCAATGTTCAAACCACGCAGGCTCAGCAAACGAAGCTCCGGTCAGATATTGCACGCAAGCACACGCACTCGCATAGACCCCACCACCGACCGCGTTGAACGGCGCACCGAACGAGTCGGTCTGGGTCGCGCGCACTCCGCACCCCGAGTCGCCCGTGCCCGAGACGGAGCAGTCAGTCCCGCTGACGAGGGTACCCGTGATGTCGAGTTGGGCAGTGTTGTTGGTGGGCAGCGAGCAGCCAGTGTTGGTATGGAGCGTGACTTGGTCATTCGTGTAATCATTCACGCCCTCGACAATATCGATCTCGCCGCCATCAGGCCAATTCGGACCTGCCATGACGCATATGCATATGAAAACCTAGGGAGCAACGAAGGGCTTATCGCACCCACCATTTGACCAGAACGCGGGCCAAGTGCCGCAGCCGGTCGGCAAGTGCACAGCATCGAGGACGACCAGAGCCTTCGTATACGTGAAGTCGGTAGTGATCCGCACGCTTTTGCGATATCCGGTAACCACTGGTGTCGTCTCTACCTTGAGGTAGGCATTGCCGGCACTATTGACTCCCGTGAGGTTACTCGTTTCCTAAACGGAGAAGGTCAGCATGAGACATCGGCGACAAAGCAGAGTGAACGGCATGTACATACCGCAGCATCCCCGTTGACATAGTCAACGACACCAGCTGTCGGATCCGTATAGGTGAAGAACGCCCATCCGCCGAAAAAAGTGTTCCCTTCCTGTTGTTCTGGTTTGAACTCTCTGAGCATTAGCCAAATGTAAAACTGTACGCACGTAGCTCTGTTGCAGCTTCCAAGGTGAAGACGCCTCTGCGGAGCTACTCGCAGAAGGAACTGCCGCAGAGGTACCCGACGCTACCGCGGAACCGCCAACGCCACCACTAATGCCACCACTGGACGAGCCGCTCCCACTCCCTCCATTTAACGTGGACTCGTTAGATAGCACGTTGATGCAGTACGTGCCGCCTGAACCGCTGTCGGTTTGATCAACGAGTACCCCGTGGTATGCCGTACGCAGGTCGCGCATGAGGCCAGTACTTCGTTTGACCGCATTGTGGCGTACGCGGCTGGCGGTGCGCAGTATGGTGTCGGATCCCCGTGTGAATAAATTAGCATCTGAAGGAGCGACGTTTTCGAGCAGAAAGAGGAGAAGAGAGACGCGGATGTACATGGTCTCGCGTCAAGCTGGCCGTCGGCCTCTAGTCGTTGCGGTCGCTGAAGCTTGAAGGCGAGGAACAGGCGTGGAGATGGATCTTGGACGCGCGAGATTGTGGAGCACGGTGCAAGCAGACAACCAAGCGAGACGCTTCGCGAAGATATCGAGAAGTTGCTCAATCAAGAGGTAGAAAACTGATGAGATATCAATGCGAGTCGAGGTGAGGTAGACCGGAACATCGCTGTGCGCTGCGGCGACTGTCGAGGAACGTACTGGCTCAATCCTGAGAGCAGCAGGAGGGTCTGTGGACGCGGCGCGGTCGCACGCGGGCCGCGAAATTGTCAGGCGCTCAATTCTTCTAGCCACCATCTCTATAAGTTTCACATTAAATGCTTCCTCTCTGCTCGTTCTCTTTCGCTCTGCCAGAGACACTTGTCAACTGTGGGTCAACCAGTCTGAATGCTCTGCTGTGTCGACTCTGGACGTGTATCCCAGATATCCCCAATCTCTTGGGATGACACGCAGTGCGGTATAGCTACTAGGTGCAGAAAGTTCAATCGCAATTGACCGTCTCGCTGGTTAAGTGAAGTCGTCACGGTAGTCTGGCTCATCGAGAACGCGCCTCCTATGAAACGTTCGGATTCCTATGACTCGCTTGACCAGTTAGTGCCTACAAATTTAAGTAACCGCTCCTTCGGCCGACGTCAGGTCAATTTGTAGATTCTTGGCCGGGTAGGGTAACGTGTGCGGCTCCCCGCTGCTCTACGTTGTGGCCGTGCTCAGCTTCTCGTATCGTTGGAATTGCGTTGGGTCGTTAACGACATCCCGGCATGTATCAGTTTGCTTCTCAGTCCTGTTCCCATGATTCTGTAGGTGCTGAGCTACCATCCCACGATTCAGCTCTCTGTCTGTTGAGCATCATTCGTGCATGAGTCACCTCTCACGCGATCCTTTGCAGTACTGAAGGATGTGGGTCAGCATTTGTTGCACTTTCGGTATGTGCAGAATGCGATGCATGATGTACTTTAAGAGTGTGATTGTGATGATCCCGTCGCTGTATGAGCGGCAACGTACCGGTAACGTTAACGGGTGACGGGTCCCTTGTAATTTGTAGTGGGGACTAAAATTGCTCGAGTGCTCGTGGAACTCCAGCGCATAAGCAGTGTTTCGGCTTCCCTTGCGGGGCTCCGAGGATAACTCTGTTACATAACGCGTTCCAAGCGTCAATAAAGCTGCAGCGCCTATTTAGATCGCACAGCGATGATGTTCCACGAAAACCGTGCCCCGTCGGACAGCTTCAGAGGAGGGTTGACGGTGCATCCGAACGCACCCTTCTCTGTACACGACCATGCCTAAAAAGCAGACCTATCCATTTTGGTGAGCGATGTTTTAGCCAGAGCCTGTCACTCTATTGGCTCATACAAGCGTCCAAAGGCTTGGAGGTTAGTCTTCAATGACATTAGAACTTCGAACGACTCAATCTGAAAAACCGGCGTGTTGCAGGAGTCGCAGGGTCTAGTTCGTGTTCTTTCGCTTTATTATTCTCCGTTCTTCCGGCTCATCTGGCGTCGCTTCCAGTGGCAGCGTGCTGCACGCATCCGCTTGACCTCACCAAAGTGTGCGTCTTGCCGCATCTGGACAGCTTCGCTGCGGGCTCTCAATATCAATTCTCTCTTCTCGTTCACCTGACCCAGTCGCATGCAGACCATCCCTCCCCTGCCAGGTGCAAAACGCCCATCAACGCTCTCGGTCATCCGCACGACCGTCGCCGAGCAGGGCGTCAAGAGCCTGTACACCGGGCTGACGGCGTCTCTCCTGCGGCAGATGTCCTACTCGCTCGTGCGCCTGGGGTCCTATGAGAGCATGAAGGAGCACTTGTCCAAGGATGGCCGGCCGTCAGGGGGCACGCTGCTGCTGGCGGCGATGCTCGCTGGTGGTCTGGGCGGCGTAGCTGGGAACCCTGCAGGTGAGCCGTCAATGCATGATGTCTCTGATATTTCCCTGTGTTGATCTGAGATCCGAAAGACATCCTGCTAGTCCGGATGACAAGTGATTCTATAAGGCCGCTAGAGCATCGGTATCATTACTCGAATGCGCTCAGCGGATTGGTGACCCTTGTCCGACATGAGGGTGCAAGGGGCTTGGCGAGAGGGCTTGGGACCAATACAGTGAGTTCCGCCGGTATGATCGACCCTGCTCATTGATGACGTATTTGATCAACAGACAAGAGCTGTCTTGATGAACGTAAGTGCCAGTGCTATATCGCTTCCTGGTCATCTCACGCAGTCGTCTTGCACAGGGTTCTCAAGTTTGGTCGTAAGTAGAGTCATTTCGTGTATATATAGTGTTATTGACACTCCGGATCAGATACGATCTATTCAAAACTATTTTGCTACGACATCGCATACCGGTCATTGACTACCATTTTCACGACAACCTAGGCTTACATATGGCTGCAAGCACGTTAGCCGGAACGGTAGCGACTAGTATGTCAATGTTATGTAACATCTTCATAGTTGCTTACATTTTTGCTATGGCAGCCGTTTGCTCTCCTGCGGATGTCATGCGGTCAAGACTTATGTCAGCGGTACGTGTTGTTCCAGCCACGGTAAAAACCGCTCTTCAACAAAACGTACAAATAGAAAGGCAAATCCCGCCCTCTAGAGGTGCTCACGCGCTCCTTGCGCGAAGAGGGCCCCAGATTCCTCTTCAAGGGATGGACACCAGCATTCATCCGTCTGGGGCCCAACACAATCTTTATGTTCGTGTTCCTCGAGGTACGCTATGATTTCGATGCCTGGCGAGCATGAAACTGATGGGAAATGTACCAGCAATTGAAGAAGGGCTGGAGGACCCTCTTCCCCGCCCAGTGACGGGGCATTTCCTCCGGCTTTAGAGTGTCCGTATGTATGACAATATACCGCATCGGGAATTGTTTGGGGGCAGAGATATCTTTGGCATAGACATGCTACAGTATATAGCGACTATATAGGATTTAGAACGTACTACGAATACCCGTAGACCAGTTGTCTCCCAGCTTCTCCGTCTCTGTTATCTTTCAATTTCAATCGTCACGCTTTAAGTCCACCGTCCAGATGTCCCCTGCAGGCTGTTACGACGCGACGCGTTAGCGCTCACACTGCAAATTAGCAGTCCATTGTTGCACGTGATCGCTCGACGGCGGGACTGGCGGAGATCTATCTCAGCTCTATGTAGCTCTCAGCTCGTGCGCTCGTCCGCATTCCCATTGAATCTTTATCCGCACATTGCTTTAGCCCTTGTCTCTTGCTATTGGTGACGGCAACATGGAAGCGTTTCAATTACTTTCTCGCGGAGGCGCACGCTTCGACAAGAAACGGTTCCAGAACGACGTGCAAATATTTAATGTTAGTGAAGTCCAGTACCTTTCTCCACGTAGATAGTCCCACTTAAAAACAGAAGGAGAAGGCAAGCAAGTCCAAGGGCAAGGCGCCAGTCAAAGCTGTTGATGGAGAGATCCCGCCTGAACTAGATTTCTTCAAGTATGCACAAGGCAGCTCTGTCAAACGGAAGGAGCCGGAGAGCAGCACGCAGCTGGAGAACGACGAGGCCGATGCACGAGGGAAGAAGCAGAGAACAGCAGCTGCGGAGGACGATGAGGACGACAGACGGGAGGAAGAGCCACCCATGCCTAGACACAGGGTCACCACGAAGGGCTCTAATGTCCCGGCGCATGTGGAATCATTCCAGGAACTGTGCGAGAGATACAGTATGTCTACACATCTCCTGCCCAACCTGTCCAAGAGCGGATACAAGTGCCCGACTGGAATTCAGTCGTACGGCATCCCTATACTCATGGAGGTATGTCGAGACCGATGAATCGAGTAGAGAGTTTATGGTTAATATTTTCGGATTATCAGTCGCGGGACCTGGCTGCAATCTCTCCGACGGGTACAGGAAAGACATTGTCCTACCTCTTGCCAATCATGTCCCATCTCGATGCTCCATCCTCGCGTTCAAAGGCCGATTGCGGTGCCGGCGTTCGGGCTCTTGTCCTGGCGCCAACGCGCGAGCTTGCCCACCAAATACATAATGAGTGCCTCAAACTAGCTCAGGGTCGAAAGTGGAGAGTGGTGCTATTCAGCAAAGCGACTGCTAGCACGCTAGCAGACAAGACCGTCCGCGACAAAGTCGGTTAGTGCCTCGTGAGAATTTATCGTGGATCGGGGCAATGTCCGCTCATTTCGCGCGTAGACATCATCATCAGCACGCCCCTCCGGCTGGTCTCGGCCCTCCAAGCAGGGCACCTCGAACTGAATAAGTGCGCCCGTCTCATATTGCTTTCTAAGGAATGGTTCTGATTCTGACATTTATAGCGTGCGACATGTGGTTCTCGACGAAGCCGATCGCATGCTCGATTCAGAGTTTCTGTCCCAGGTGCAAGAAATTATTGCCGCTTGTACGTACCCACAAGTCCAGAAGGCCGTCTTCAGCGCTACGTTGCCGGCAGGCGCGGAAAGGACCGCGATGGGTATGCTTCATGACCCAATACGCGTTGTGGTTGGTCTCAAGTGCGTCGTCCTGCCGTTTGCATAGGAGTCATTTCTCCAATTTGACATCTTCAGAGACACACCTCTCCCTTTAATTTCGCAATCACTTACCTATGTTGCCGATGATTCTTCCAAATTGCCGGCACTTCTACAGTACCTGTCACAGCCATATAATCCTCCTATCCTGGTCTTTGTCTCGTCTCAGCCACGTGCAACGTCCCTTGCAGAGGAGCTGGTATTACATAGTGTACCAAACGTGGACTGCCTGCATGCCGGCATGACAAAGAAAGAGCGGGATGAAGCTGTCGCGCGTATGAGGCGGGGTGAAAGCTGGGTGATGGTCAGTACCGAAGTCATGGCAAGGGGTATGGACTTCAAAGGCGTGCGGGAAGTGATTAATTACGATTTCCCACAAAGCGTCCAGAGCTATGTGCATCGCATCGGTGAGTTGACAGCTGGGCGCGTCGCCTTGCGTGGTCTTAGCGACGGACGTTTTATATTCGTGGGTTGACAGGGCGAACGGGGCGTGCTGGTAGGGAAGGCAAGGCGATAACGTACTTCACCGATGAAGACGCACCATTTTTGAAGACGTAGGTCGTCCCCGAAACCTGTTTGGGACCCGCTTAGAGACGTTTCATCATTCATCCCCTTAGCATCGCCAATGTACTCCTTCAGTCTGGATCGACGGTGCCTGATTGGATCATGAAGCTTCCAAAGCCATCGATGCTCAAGAGGCGGCAAATGGGGAAGGTGAAGCGTGCTGAAGCGGTGAACAATGCAAGCAAGGTAGGCCGGGATGATGCGATCAAGAAGAGGTTCGTTCGTTCAATACAGTATCTTCCCATAGCCGAAGCAGCGACTGACCATCGATAACAATATTAGAGAGATAATTGCTGGTTCGATGAGACGGAAGAATAAGGCAGAGAAAAAAGCGGATGCGGCAGTCAACAGCGATGGCTCTACGGGGGAGCAACAGTAGTATAAAAGGACAACATCTTCTGCAAGCGGTAGGAGTATGACGCATATGACATCGTGACGGTTCTCATCTCGCCACTCAGATTGCAATGAGGCGAGTACTAGACGAGCATGGAATTCTATACACTGTTCTCTCGTTATTTAGTGCGACGCCTCCTCTGCTATCGCGCTATCGAGTGGCTACGCACAGAGAACGTGACTACTCGGAGTGGCCGGCATCAGGTACGGGGTGGACACGGGCACCAGGCCTTTACAGCATGCTTCGCCATATGCGGACAGCACAATTGCTCCCCGCGCCATTGTAAGAGAACGAAGGCCAGCTTTCGGAGAAAGACGAGAGTCTAGCTGTGGTTCGTAAGATGATGATGATTATCGCGGATAGACAAAAAATCGCGGCGATAGTGTATATGCAGTTGTTCGGAGATTCATCAGAAAGGATAAATGTTGAGGGTTTCTATGCGTAAAGTTTGCTTGTTATGATCATATTTCTGTCACTAGAATCCTCCGAGCGGATCCCGTGCAATTCGAACTCGTCGCCGGATCAGGACAATCTCGCAAAATTCGCATCGACCGAATTTGACCGTCTGCCAATTCACATCGAAGGAAACGCATATGTTTTCTTTTTGCGACAATTGTCGATTGCCATCGCATTGCAGAACCAGTCTGCAGGGATAGTTGCATTGCCAGTTTTCGATTGAAAGTCATGACAAAAACCAAGTGATAATTAAACCGCTGATCTATACCAAGCCTGAGCGAGTAAGGGCCAAGAAACGACGTGGAAAACTGCGGGACGTATGAGCTGGAGTTGCTCCGGTATAATCCAAAATTGCTTCCGCGAGAATTCGACGAGATCGGGTGTGCACCGTCGAAACTTCAAAGTCAGCTCAGGTCTCGCAAAACAAAGAAATACAAACGACATGACTTGAAAACAACCACAAGGACACCATGAGGTGCCTGTCACCGACGGTTCTCTTTCTCGCTACCATGACTGTTTTTGCATCCATGAAACATTCAAAAGGGATGCGTCAAGAACCAGTGGTGCTCTCAATCCCCACCCCATAGCGGATGATCTGGAGACTCTCCCTACTCATAGTCATACTAAGGCCACCATATCCACGTCTACTTATTCATGCCTGCTCTCAGATGTCTTCGTCGTTCTCGCCGTCTCTCGCACAGGCCGCCGCTCGACCCAGGTTCGTGTTTGTCGCTTATTTGCTTTTGTGGGTCCACACTACGTTCGTTCCTACTCACTTGCTTGAATTGGATTGCAGAGTTCGAGTTTGATGAGCACGATCTACAGGATCTGCAGTTGGCGTATCCCGAAAGTGGCTCGTCGCGATCTCCATTGTCTGATCCCCCGTCGCTGCACCCGACGCCCGACGCCAGCCCTTTCCTTGACTTGTGCCTCTTTCCGGATTCTCTTTCCGATGACGAGCTTCCCATCTTCGTCCCGCGCTCGTCACATTCTCGCAAGAAAAAGCCTGGTCATATTCCCCGTCCTCCCAATGCGTTCATGCTATATCGATCTCACCTCTGTGCGAAGGAGAAGATCAAAGGGACGGTCGTCAATAACTACTGTCATATCAGCCGTATCGCCGCTACTATCTGGAGGGACCTCCCTGAAACTGAGCGCGCCCCTTACCGACGGTGGGCAGAGGTCGTGAAGCGGCGCCACGCTGAGCAGCATCCGGACTACAAGTACTCTCCCGCGTCCAAAAAGAAGCCAGTTCAGAGGAGGGGGAAGAAAGTGAAGAGTAGCGACGAGGCAACGTCTGTGCGCTGCGATGTGGTTGCGTCTCTATTGAAGCAAGGAATAGAGGGCAATGAACTGGAGAGGCGAATCAAGAAGTTTGATGAAGACCAAGAGGGTACCTCCTCCTCTTTCCTCCCTTCTACAACTATGAAGAGCAAACATGCTCGCGTGAGCTCTTCGGTACACTCACGAAAGTCGAAGAAGGCGCGTAGATGCACGACGGGCTGCGCAGAACAGGAGTATGTCGACGTTCCTAGGCCCGTCCCGCATAGTCTGCCTGTCAAGGACGAGCCATCGAGTCCCTGTCTGCCGTCTACCTCATCGCCCCGTCCTATGGACATCCTAGCTAGTGTGGAGGTAAGGCTAAGATATTCTTCGTTGTCTTCCAGTTCTGACACGCTACTGGATTATTCAGGCATTCGTCAAAGGCGAGCCGGTAGAACGTCCATGTCCTTCTACAGAAGTCGACGTCTTCGCGTCGCGCCTCAGTCCCTTCGCCACTCACCACGATCTCCCTCTGTTCTTGACAGGAGGACCCTCGTCACATCTCGCACCTTCATCTACCTCATTTGCCTCTTTCGGTGCTGAACACACAAAAGCAGCCGAAGAAGGGGTATGCAACGACCCCGTTCTATCACCAGAGAACGCGAACGAAGACTTCGGAGGTCTTGAGATTGGGCCTTACTACTTTGGTACTGCTAGCAATTCTACGCTTATGGACATGGAAAGTCTTCTCTTCGCGGAAAAGGAGATGGACTTCTCGCAGTGGTTTGGTTATGAGGCTGCTGCTTGACGCTTCAATTTCTGCACCACGTTGCTTTCACTGTGATAAATGATGGACGTCTGGCTATACTGGTGGCACCAGCCTTCTGCGGTTATCTCTGGGTTTTCGCAACGGCGATGACTCCTGGCATATATCCACATCCATAGGGCTTCTCTTTTTCCCTTTAATGTTCGCTATTTAGCGATCAAGTATGTACCATTTTGTACAGTCAGATTGGTGTTGTAGTGGCTACAGTCCGTGTATTGCATACATCTAATGTAGGAGCGCAGGGATATAAGGCGCGCTTTAGGTTGACTGTAGTAAATGTTTACAAAGTCTCTCGTCTACTCATCGCTTTGCCTTCTTGGTACTCTCATCAGCACTGTTACCACCCTGTCTGCGTTTCGACGGATGCTCATCGATGGAAATTTCGATTCTTCCTGCTGCATGCTCGGCCTTCAGCCACTCCTGGCATTGTTCTTTCGTACCTTCCGGGTGGGCTAGCTGCCACTCTGTCACACGCGCGAGCACCTGCCCAGTCCACGGACCAGGCCTTGCATCGAGGATGCTTACAACGCCGCGTCCCTTGCAGTCGACACAAGTTAGTCCTTCACGAATGCTAGTGAATAAGCACGCTCACATCCAGGATGGGTTTCGCATCAACAAGTGCTGGGAGACCGAGTTCCTCTATCCGTGATACGAAAGCGTTGTACTTCTCCACCTGTGTTGTGGCATTGTCCACTGCATAGTATACATCTCAGGAAATTCCACAGACCATACCATCACTGAGCCAATTACCGTCCAAAGTATTCCGCTGCACATCCCAGAACGATACTAGGTCCTGTACGAGAGAGAAGAGGAGAGATACCTGCCACTTTACGTCCGTCGGAAGCCAACGGATGGTCTTCTCACGCAGGACTAAACCTACATGAATTCAGCGGGACATTTTCAAAACCGGTGAGCTGTTAGACATACCTATCTTCACTCTGTCCTCCATATCGGAACCCCTCGCCCATTGCGATACAACTGGGCTGAGCCGTTCCCAGGCTGCGAACAGCGTAGGTATACCGTCGAGATAATGGTGCTGTGTTCCGAGTTTCAGGCTTTCGCGAATGACAATATCAGTCGCCGGATATAGTTTCCCCTTTGTGTCTGAATACAAGATTCCTCGGTACGGTGTAAGGGCACAAGCTAAATAGAGACGAGGGATCGGTGACGGCTTTGCGTTCACTTCGGAAAGCAAGAGAGGATGAAGAGGCGCGAGGTTGATCGACGAGAAGAACAATGGCGGCGGAAGCGATGTCGAGCGACGAAGGAAGTATTCGAGTGTAGCTGCTGCTGCTACTGACAGGGGCGATGGAGCTGGGGCTTGCGATAGCTTCTGGGCAATCGAATCGGGCACGTGGAATACAGGACCGTACAATGACAGCTCATAAATGAGCTTAAGGGCGCGCACTGGATGGCTTCCTATCCGTTGAACGTATCAGTGAATGTATGGATCCTGCATTATAGGCAACATTTCCCTACGAAACGCACCTTGCATCATCTTATCTATCTCCTCACCGACCCTTTCTCGACTGATCTTCGACACAATAGCACTCTACGAGAAACGTACGAATCCCTCAACGTGGGAGCATACAGCAGGATTGCGCCCCCATGACTGACCTGTATATTTGGGTTCTTCGCAGCATCTCGCAGCTCGGGATCCAGTTCGAAGCCAAAGCGGCTCGCAAACCTGATACATCGGATTACGCGCAAGGGATCATCTGTGAGGGTCTCTATTGGAGGAAGCGGGGTACGAATGAGCCCGATGCGCAAGTCTTGCACACCCTACTTGAGCAGCATCAGACAATCGTTCCCAGAAGGCATCAATATGACTAGCCTTGCCGGTATGATCCTCCACAGACCTCGAATGGACGTTGTAGAAGAGCGCGTTAATTGTGATGTCTCTCCTTAGTGCGTCTTGCAGAGGGGTGCCAAAGAACTACGAGCCCTAGCATGAGAACCATTCCACCTTCAGACATCTCAGGGAAAGATATACTTACGACCTGACTGGGTATACGACTATGCTCTGCGTACTCCTCACTCCTCAGATTCACAAAGTCCAACTCGTGCCCTAATACAGTTGTCCTCGCTGTTTCAAGATGTTTCGACTGGTCTGGGTTGCTCTCAATTTTCGCGATATGCTTTGCGGAAATGCCTTTAACCTCAGAGCAATACGCCACAAAGCGCTCAGCAAAAGTCATACCCATCATGTCGGTCAGCGCGACGTCGATATCGTTGCTCTGCATGCCGAGTAGCTTGCACGTTATCCGTTTCAGCGGCACTATGGAGACCGAGGAGAGACACGTGTGCTGACCTTGTCCCGCACCCATCCTCCTGCAATCCTACATGAGGTCTCCAGGCCCTCATTTGCTCGCATGTATTTGGTGCATTCGTCCAAGAGTACGCAGAGCTGGTCTTCTTCTGCAGTGAGCTGGATCTCCATTGTTATGGTACGCCGTGCACCGACACAGTAGCGTTTATACAACGCCGAACGTGCGTGTCTTGGCGAGTGGAATTGTAGCAGGCGGGCTGGCAGATTGCAGGGAAACAGGAGCATGCGGTGCTGCTTTTCGGACGCGACTCAAACGCGACTTGCAGTTTACACCCGCGTCTAAGTTATTGAGTATGTCATGTGACCTACACAACCCTGTTCCCTCCTCTCTAGTCCTCCAGAGTCTCCTCATTCTGCTTCCAGAGGGCTCTGAATCGGCACAACGCAGTATTTCCTAATCATCGAGACTGCGTAGCCAGCATTCCGCGTCTGCGACAATCAACGTCCTAATTGAGTGATTGTCTCCACCAAGCTGCACGTGGCGGTGGTCTGCAACCATTGGTCGGCTCTTCTATACGACGCACACATTGCCTTCCTTCTGTCCCCTCACCTTCCGCATAGTGCCCTCGACGATGGGTGTCGTTTCTAGCTGCTGCGAGTCATGTTGTAAGTGGAGGCTGTCTGCGGCGCTCTAGTCCTGTCTGTTGCGCACCAACATCGGCACTCACTCGCTATTGTACAGTCCACTCACGCAAATCGCAATCGTATGAGCCGCTCCTGCTCGAGAATGAACGGGAGGCGGTTGCGGATCTCTTGCAATACCTAGAAAGTGAGTATTGGTTAGTCTGCAGCATTGCGGTTGTCTTACCTGCTTCGTCGCAGATCGAACCACGACTAATTTCTTCTCCGGCTCGCCACTGTCTGCCCTCACGACACTCTCCTTTTCCGACAACGTCGACTTGCAGCGAAGTGCTGCACTCGCGTTCGCCGAAATTACAGAGAAGGAGGTCCGCCCAGTAGGACGAGACACGCTCGACCCAATTCTCTTCCTTCTTAGCAGCCATGATACGGAGGTGCAGCGCGCAGCTAGTGCTGCGCTCGGAAACCTCGCTGTTAATAGTGGGTTGAGCTATTGCTTAAAAATCTTATATCTGACACTATGGCAGCGGACAACAAGCTGCTGATTGTAAAACTGGGCGGACTGGAGCCTCTCATTCGCCAAATGCTGAGCCCGAATGTTGAGGTGCAGTGCAATGCGGTGGGATGCGTGACAAATTTGGCGACACACGGTGTGTACGATTATTGCAAATCTATCGCGATCTTCAAGTCGCTTACCCCGCTTAGACGACAACAAGACGAAGATCGCCAAGTCTGGTGCCTTGGTACCCCTCACTCGTTTAGCTCGCTCGAAGGATATGCGTGTTCAGCGCAACGCCACGGGCGCTTTGTTGAACATGACCCATTCCGGTACGCTTCTTCCTTATCAGGACGATTGCCTGGCGATAAATGGCATGTGTTGGTATTTCTAGACGAGAATCGGCAGCAGCTCGTCAATGCAGGCGCTATTCCGGTGCTTGTAAGCCTATTGAACTCTCCAGACACCGACGTGCAGTACTACTGTACGACGGCGTTGAGTAACATTGCTGTCGATGGTGAGCATGACAGTCATGAGCTCTTATTCGGTAGTTTCTGACTACGTGCGCAGCCGTAAACCGGAAGAAGCTCGCGCAGAGCGAGCCGAAGCTGGTAACGAGTTTAGTGCAGCTCATGGACAGTCCAAGTCTCAAAGTACAGTGCCAAGCAGCACTCGCGCTACGAAATCTTGCTAGTGACGGTGAGTAATGCGTTATCAGTGATTCCCATCGTATCTAAAAGTTCCGCAGAGAAGTACCAGCTGGAGATTGTGAAGGCAGACGGTTTACAACATCTGCTTCGGCTGCTGCAGTCAACCTACTTGCCGTTGATCCTGTCATCCGCGGCGTGTGTGCGGAACGTGTCCATTCACCCGCAGAATGAGTCTCCCATCATTGAATCCGGCTTCCTTCAGCCATTAATTAACCTCTTGTCGTTCAAAGACAATGAGGAGGTACAATGTCATGCGATCTCCACGCTGAGAAATCTTGCGGCAAGCTCCGAGAAGAATAAGCAGGCGATTGTGAAGGCGGGCGCAGTACAAAGTATCAAAGAACTTTTGCTCGAAGTTCCAATGAACGTGCAAAGCGAGATGACGGCGTGCATTGCAGTATTGGCACTGAGTGGTGAGTTCTAATTGATTTCATGCTTTGCAGTTGGCATTGATGCGATATAATTCAAGATGAATTGAAGGGACAGCTGCTCGAGATGGGAATCTGCGAAGTACTAATTCCTCTCACAAACTCCCCGAGTTCCGAGGTGCAGGGCAATAGTGCTGCAGCTTTGGGCAATCTGTCATCCAAAGGTGAGTGTATCATATGCGCCTTTACTGATATGGGATTAACCTTGCACCAATCTAGATGGAAGAACTACCAGCGATGACTATTCTGCATTCAACGAGGTTTGGGACAAGCCGGACGGCGGCATGCACCGATATCTCTACCGGTTCTTGACCAGTCCAGATGCTACATTCCAGCACATCGCCGTATGGACGATTGTACAGCTGCTCGAGTCCGGAGGTGTGTCTACCTCTGCATTCCACCGTTTTCAACACAGGCTGATTATCATTATGCAGATCCACAGTTGATCAGCAACATACGCAGTTCAAATCTCCTCGTCCCCAATATCCGGCAGCTTGCACAGACTCGCCCGTCGTCACCAACGTCGTCCGTCGGTGGTACGCCGCACTCGCACCATTCGCAAGCTCACTCGTACCAGGACACAGAGACCGGCGATGGGCAGGGCGAGATTCAGATGCTGGCGCGGCGCATACTCGAGATCACCGAAGAGGAAAGCGATGGTGCAATGACTCCCAGTGCTGCTGCTTCGCAGATGCAGGCGGCCTCCCTGCGAGAACATGAGGGCAGCATTGGGCGCGAACATGAGGAACTTCGGAAGAGCGTGAGGGAAGCCTTTTCGGGCAACTCCATGGGGCACTAAATTTTCGATTGTTGATGCTGGGTGGAGGTCTTGAACGGACAATGATGAGGGAACAATTGCATGTCTTGCGTCGCTTTGTAGATTCCTCATTATCGAACGCACGTGCATGGCATGTGTGCTCTTTTCTGCATTCTCTGTGTGTTTACATTTTCCGGCTTGGGGGGAGGGGGGGGGGGTGACTAGGTGTTGCACTTGTCTGCGTCTGTACGTATATATTAATTGCCTGTTTCCAATCGCTCCCTCGTCCCCTCTCTGTCTTTTTCATGTGCTTTGACGATGTTAGTTATGACTGCAATGATGTCGATGCTCATTCTGGTGCAATGCAATGCGTATACTATTTAGTTGTTACCCAAGCGCGACGCTCTGGGAAAAGACGAATGCGAAGATGTCTCTTAAACAAGGAGGGCTTCATTCGTTCAGTCACACAATCGTCTTCTGTGATGAAATGGTTGTAGTTGATGATCAAGAGCATATATGTACAGTGCAGAGTCCATGGTCCATAATCCAGTTCGAATGTCCAATGTCATATCAATGATGATGTCTTGGGATAGTAGTGAGTAAATTGAGTGTCCGTATCGCATGGCAATGTCTATCAATAGGGTAGAATGTGGATAAGAGAAAGATGTTTGGAATGTTTATGAGATGTTGCATCACGAAAATTCGGGAGCAGGAGAGGGAGCAATGGGTACATTGATACCAAGGCCAAGGCCGATCGGTGTCAATGAAGGAAAAGATGAATGTTGGGATGACTGTGGGGGTGAGTGAAGTATGGCTTCACTCGTGAATGTAGGCGGCGCGCTATGTTGGACGAGGAAGAGGTGGATAGGGAAGCGCGTCGCAGGAGGAGGTGTCGACGGTGGCGAAACAGTTGTCGATACCTCTGGTGTGATATACGGATACGATGCGACGTCTAAAGAGAATCGCGGTGTGGGTAGAAGAGATGGAGAGGGCGCGATCGACATGACACTGCTGAAGCGAGGGTGAGTATGTGTGTACGTTCCTTTTTAGCTGGTGCTGACCTTCGCATGCGAGCGGCCGTCACAGAGTATCCTGGTTTTCTGTTTGACTGGGCAGCACTACTGGGACGGCCCAAGCCAAGGAGGTTGTACGCTCGTGCGCGGTCGTATTCTGTAATGCCGCTGTGAGCAGGGCGACGGTGTGCCTTGACGGCAACCCCAAAGGGAACACCAAGGCCGAGTCCACTTGCAGCGTACGACTTTGCGCGCTTGTACGTCGAGCCGGATGGCGAAACGCCTTGGACGCGGGGAAAAGGAGAATATCTCCGCTTGTGCCTTAGGCGTATCCGCCTAGCGATTGCATCGCCTTCGCCTTCGCATCCGGCTTCATAGCCTTTCTCGCATGTGTCTTCCATCTCCTCGTTTTGAGCATTGGATGAATTGCGCTCGAGGGTGCTGTCGGACCCCGGGTCCGAGTCCAGCTCGGGGGTATATTGGGGCTCGACAGAGGGAAGGCGGGGATATACGATATTTTCCTCGGAGGGCGAGGGAAAGCAGGATACTTGACTACGAGCGTTGCTCGAGTCAGATTGGGTGGACATCTCTCGCCCATGCTCGATCAACGAGTATGAGGAGAATATAGGAGGTAGGAACCCTAGACCAGCTAGGGGAGGACGAGTGGCTTCGGTACGAGAAGACATCTTGGGTGATGTTGATACGAAGAATGAGGAATTCGCTAGAGACAATGGGCCTTTTATGCATTGAGAGCAACGCGTAGACTTCCGTCTACCGTGTATCCAATACCTATGGACATTGATGCATTCATGGTCATCCGTGTGCGGATGACGGTGAAGCACATCCATACCAATATCCGACTCACAGTGTCGGATATTGGTATGCATTTGTCTCTCTTTTGTATCCGCATGTCGGTCAATTTTGAAACGGCACACTTCTTACCTCTATACAATCTTCGTCTTCCTACACGACGATGACCTGCATTGCCAGGAGCTCGGCGTATGCTTTCTCAACTCACTATACTCAGGCCAGAGTACGCACTACTTAACTTTGCAGTTGTTGCTGAGCCTTCGTATTGGAAATCGGCGTAAGGACAAGGATAATAAGCAATACTGCATATGTCCAGTAGCGAGAAGTCGATGAATGGGGTTTATAATTCACTATCCTGATTATTAGCTCGCTTTTTGCATGGAATGCTAAGGGTTACATCGCGAGACTGTCGGAAGTTGCCGGACGCCCGCCACTTGCATTAGGTTCGATTCGGCAGGACGCGTCGGGCGTCGCCTTTTTCTCTCTCACCGCCACCACCAACCAACGACAAGATCTCCCTGTCTAGCTTCCTTTGCCGCTTTCTACTAGCTTCTATCCTTATCTCCCTCTTGCGACCATGAGTGCCCACGACAATGAGAACGAGGAGCTCATCGACTACGAGGACGAGCATGACGTCGTCACCAACGGTGCCGCAGTGCCATCGGCGTCGAACGGTGTTGCAGTCGCAGCATCTGTCGCCGAGGGTGAAACAGACAAAGAAAAGAAAAACTTTTCGGGCATCCACTCCACCGGTTTCAGGTATGTTGCCCTGTCGACGACATATCCGTCAATGGGCGCTCATAGTAAATCACACAGGGACTTTCTGTTGAAACCTGAGTTGTTGCGTGCCATCAGTGACCTAGGTTTCGAGCATCCCTCGGAAGGTAAAAATAGTCATAGCAGAGTTCTCGCGCCACTGTCATCCTGACTTGCGTACACAGTCCAGCAGGAATGTATTCCGCAGGCGGTGCTCGGAATGGACGTCCTGTGCCAAGCAAAGTCTGGACACGGCAAAACGGCGGTGTTCGTTCTTGCGACCTTGCAACAGCTCGAGCCTGTGAACGGCGAGGTGTCGGTCATTGTGCTGTGCCACACCCGTGAACTGGCGTTCCAAATCAAAAACGAATACACCCGGTTTGCCAAGTACATGCCCGACGTACGGGTCAGCACTTTTTATGGTGGTACACCAGTTGCGAAGGATGCGGAACTTCTCCGTGACAAGAACAAGTGCCCGCACATTGTGGTCGCCACACCCGGTCGATTGAATGCCCTTGTGAGGGACAAGGTCTTGGACGCGTCGAAGGTCAAGCACTTCATCCTGGACGAGTGCGATAAAATGCTGGAACAGCTTGGTCAGTCATGCGAATTTCGACCCTTCCTATCTCCCACCTGCTCCATGCGCCTGTGTTTTCGTCGCGTCGTCGGCCATGTGGGTTTTGCCAGTGTTCTCGCCTGTCTGCATCCCTCACCGCGCGCCAGCGCCGTACACTCTCCTTCGATCGAGTACGGAACCGGTCGGCGGGTCCCGGTACGGCATCATTGAGGATGGGGAATTACGGGAGGCTCGAGGTAGATGAACGCTTCGACGAACTCAGCATGCAAGGAGCGATGTCTGTGAAGACATGGCACCGGTCGTCAATTCTGCGTCAAGGAACAGAGAGCTCGGAGTTTTCGAAGACCCCTTATCGTTGATTTTTGTTCTTCTCCGACGGCATGATTCTCACTTATCCGTTTTACTTGCTGCCTTTGGTGCCATCGATTCTTACATCTTCCGACATCGTCCAATAGACATGCGCCGTGATGTACAAGAAATATTTCGGGCCACGCCGCACCACAAGCAGGTGATGATGTTCAGCGCGACATTGGCGAAGGAGATTCGTGCGACGTGCAAGAAATTCATGGCCAACGTAGGTATTCAGCTCGTATTCACGAGTTCTCGTCTGACTGAAATTCTGATTGCGCAGCCTCTCGAGATCTTCGTTGACGACGAGACAAAGCTCACCCTCCACGGTCTTCAGCAGCACTACGTGAAGCTGGAGGAGGTCGGAAAGAATAGGAAGCTGAACGAGCTCCTGGACACCCTCGAATTCAACCAGGTTTGCAAGATCTCGTACTACACTGACTTTTTGGCTGATAAATACATAGGTCGTCATCTTTGTCAAGTCCGTTGCTCGTGCGATCGAATTAGACAAGCTGCTGGTGTCCTGCAACTTCCCAAGTATCAGCATCCACTCCGGATTAGCCCAGGAAGAACGGTATGTGATATGGAAGTTGTCAATTCGTCTAATGCTAAGCATCTTATACAGTATTAACCGATACACTGCCTTCAAAGCATTCGAGAAGCGGATTCTCGTGGCGACTGACATTTTCGGCCGTGGTATCGACGTTGAACGTGTGAACATTGTCATCAATTACGATTGCCCTCCCGATGCAGACAGTTACTTACATCGTGTCGGGTAAGCCATCCTCGTTTGCATGCTCATTATGCCGTGCAGCTAATACACATTCTAAGACGTGCTGGACGTTTCGGCACGAAGGGTCTTGCTATCACCTTCGTGTCGTCGGAAGCCGACCAGCAGGTGATGGCTGCTATTCAGTCGCGATTTGAGGTTGCGGTGCCCGAGTTGCCGGATCACATAGATCCCGCTAGCTACAGTAAGTTTTCATGTTGGAGAGGTTGATGCGCGTAGGCTCACGATACTTTCTTTCCCAGTGACTTCTTGAAGCCCGTCTCTTGTCCTGTAATCCTGTGTTCATTTGTCGCGTATCGTATGGTCGATGAGAATGTAACCATATCGTTTTTCTTCTGATTCTCTCCGCTCACTATGGATACTCTTGTGTATCGAACGACTCCGCTGCGGAGGGTGCTATGCGAGATCGAGCAAGGACGAACGCGACGCATAATGTCCTGCGGAGCATGAATTTTGAATCAGCGAGCCAATCTCCGATGCCGTTACATAAGGGGTGGATACTAAGATATCGTCACACGTGACATACGTGACAAATGATTAGCCTAGACGGGCCACCAGGAAGTCAGGTTTTTGATGCTGACACAGGCTGCTGTGACATTCCGCGGCACATGTGTATCTTTTCTCGAAACGTCAGGCTGCTTGCTGGATAAGGCCACTGCTCCATTCTCGTCCCGCTCCTCAGCTAACGTCTCGTCGCCGTTGCTATCGTCTGCGACCCTCGCGCGGCTCGTTGCTTCTCACCCTCCATCATGCGGAGGAAATTCGCCCAGCCAGTCTTGCCGACGCTCTACTTCAGAGATGGCATTCTTTCTGTGCCAGGATACACGTTCGAAAAGGCAAGTCCGTTCAGCCACCACTCGGAAGTACTTGTCTAAATCCCCTGCACAGGCGACGCCATGGGAGGACACGGGAAGTATGACTATGCTCGCGGAAGGTACGAGTTTGAAGGATGGTTCGAGTGTGCTCGCCAAGATAGTGCCCGCGCATTCCAACGCGTCCATGCTGCTCGAGCGGGAGGCGCATATGTGAGCCCCTTTTCATTACTGGTGTCGCTCATAGTCAACGTATTTGCGCATCAGCCTTGAACGAATGTCCACGTCTCCCGAGTCGTCGAGCACTACGCTCCGCATGGTCGAGTTCTTCTCCATACCCCGCATTAATGGAGATTGCGTAGTGCTCCTGGTTGCGCATCCAGGTCTCAATCTGCTCGGCCGCTACTTCCCCCCGCACAAAGTGAACGATCTATTGCTCGGCGACATCTCTCGTGTGCGCCCGCCGCCATCTCACACCGATATTCTAATGATGGGCATGGAGGAGCCGTACGCTGTGGAGGAAATGGAAGCAATTGAGATCATGGATCTAGCGTCATTCCTCGAGTACGCTGTCCTCTCCACGGTGATTACGGGCGCTCAGCATTGACTCATATGCAGATTCGCCATTCAAGCGACGCATTGCCTGGAGATGATGCATCGGTACGTTATTGACCATCCCCCGAGCTAATTATAGCTGAGCACCCCGTAGGTCTGGCCTAATTCATCGTGAAGGTGAGTCGCAGAGTTGTTCCCAGCGCACGCATACTGACGCGCCCTTGTACAGTACGCGCCAACGCGTTCCATTTGAACGCTTACAGCGGCTTAGTCCGAATAGTGCATTTTGGTAATCGGGCGGTATCACTCGAGCAATTCGGTGTCCCATCTACGTTCGTCTTGAGAGCAGACGCGTTTGAGGAGGCTAAGAAGCTCAAAGTTAAGGAGGCGCTATGTTACCTAGGTATGTAAAGCATAAGTAACGGTCTTTACCATGTGAATACCCTAACTCGTCTTTGGCTGTGCAGCGCCAGAACAGACGGGTAGCATGGAGGCGTTGAACGAGGACCACAGAACGGACTTGTACTCCCTCGGAATAATGTTCTGGACGTTACTCGTCGGACGGGGGACGCTGCCTTTTGAGGGCGGTCCGCTCGAGCTTTTGCATGCTATTGTGCAGAAACGTCCGATGCCAGTGCATGAAGTCCGCCGAGACGTGCCGCAAGTGCTGGCGTTTATCATCGACAAGGTGAACGTCTAGCATACGTCAATGGAGTAAGAGCTGATGTCCATCATTGTTCCGTTCATAGTTATTGTCTAAGAACCCGGATCAGCGATATCAAAGTGCATATGGGCTGAAAGCTGATTTGCTGCAGTGTCAGCGGCTACTGTTGAGAGCGGTCACCGTCGTGTCAGACCAATCACCAGAGGTGAGAGCGTCATTTCCAAGTGTTTGTCGGGCCGGACGCTGAGGAATTACACTTAGCTTATACCGTACTTCGACATCGCAACAGACGACAGGTACATGGTGAGTGTATTTACTCGCTTTGCTCTGCGAGGTGTTGACATTGACTATCAGGAATTCACAATCCCAAGTCCACTGGTATAGTTCTATTGCTATCATTCAGCGTACACACAGACTGATTCTCCCTCAGTTCGGTCGGGAAAAGGAGCTTGAGACCATCCGGAACATTATCCGCCATACATCCACCTCCTATTCGCGACATATCGGTGTCTCGCACGGATCATTCATTATCAGCTCTTCAGACAGCGGCACGAACACGGGGACGACAGAAGACCCAAGTGACTCGCGTTCTTCGAAGAGCGAAGGCTCCGCCCATAGTCCACTCAATGCAAGCGATAGCCACAGTCCGAAGCTGTCGTCGACCCGCCCGTCGGACCCGTCAGTCACGACGGTGAGCGTGAGCGTGAGCACAGGTGCAGGTCCATCTGGAAGCGACGGACTGAGAAGGGTGGCGTTGGCACCATCGAGCAGTCGAGCACGGACACATGCGGTGATTGTTACCGGGCCTCCAGGGTAGGTCCATGCCTCTAGCATTAGGAAACTGGATTGACGTGCTCACATTGTATATGTGCAGCGCGGGCAAGAGTTCGTTGATCATGGCGCAGCAAGCACGATGGCGATGTATGTGGGTAGCTTGCGGTAGTAATGTTCACGCTGATATTTCGACTTGTGTAGCTCATGGCTTATGGGGTCAGGCCAAATTTTCTGACGTCGAGGCAGCGCCTTTCTCGTCATTGGTTAGCCAGAGATCTGCTCATAGTACATACATAATGCTGATATGTCGTTTCTCTAGCTGGCATGCCTTTCGTCCGTCCTTCGCCAGTTGATCGTCTTCCACACAGACGTGCACAATTTCGTGACAGCTCTTAAGCGCCATCTAGGGCCCCAGCTCCATAACGTTCCTCTATTGTATGAAGGAGCACCGGAGCTCCGTGATATTTTGAAATTGTTCGACATCACGATTGAGGCGCCCCAGGAGGTACTGGAGACGCATGAACTCAGAGCTCGCTTTCAGAGCTTGGTTCAAAGTGTATTCTCCGTGTTGGCCGAGACGCGCTTGTTCGCGTTGTTCTTAGATGATTTGCATGATGCCAATGACTCGTGAGTGCACCACTGGGAGCCTTTCTCACGACGCTGACTAGCGCTGCAGCTCGCTTGATTTGATTAACGCGTTGGTGAACTCACGCACCCGTATAGTATGTTTAAACATCCTCGACGCCATGTTTGTGCTGATCCTTTTACAGCTTGTCTTTGCGACAGTACGCTCAGATAAACCGTAAGTGTTCTTTTCGATTACAGGTTTAAGAAGGTGAAATCTCAATGCAGTTTCAGAGCAATTCTGGACAGGATGCGAGCGACATTTTCCAGCAAATCGACGACTTGGATCCATCTTGAACCGTTGAACTACACTGCGATCTCAAGCATGGTGGCAAGAACTCTCCATCGGCCGAAGGAAGATTGCTCTAGTTTGTCTCGCCTTATTCATGCCGCTTCCATGGGCAACGCTTTCTCTGCGAGGAACATCCTTATGACTCTGCAACGCCAACATCACGTATGTGTGACCATACGGTGCATTCGCGACTAGTGCTGATTGCTTACGCCCAGATTACGTTTAATTGGGAGAGAAATTGTTGGGAGTGCGTAGATCGATCCGTTATCGTTGTATTGACTGACCTTCCTGGTAGATATGACATAGCTGCTATCGAGCCAAGCCTGCATGATAAGAAGATGATTACTGACCCAAGCGATCTTTCCTATCTCATAAACCATTTTCATGAGCTACCTGAGGATGCAAGGAAGTACCTAATCTGGGCCTCGTTCTTCGGCCCTACGTAAGCGTGTATCGATGTCCGTTGTATTTGTCGTGTTGATGTCGTGCATAGATTCAAGGTGGCAGAGGTCGCACTGTTAATGGACTGGGAGGATTCTAGTGGCACAAGTGGCAGCAGTGGCAGCGACGAAGAAGCAGAGGACATGTGGAACGTCTCCAAGGCGGTTAAGGCGGTTTCCACCATTAGTGACAACGCGCAAGGGTCAAGCAGTCGTGGATCCATGCGGGGCCTGCAGACTTCCATCGCAGAGGGCTGGCTCGTACAGCGTGCACGGGACATGTGCAGTTTTGCGCATGACCGCTACCGCCAAGCTGCTCTGGCTGAGGCGGAGAGCCTTCCTCAGGAGACTATTTCCAAGATGTCGTTTAAGGTAAGTGTTGAGAACGTTCGCATCTTTGAGAGCTTAGCTGATGTTCTCAAAGATAATATTGATGATGTTGCACGAAGCAACTCCGGACGTCTACCGGATAGCAGAGCACGCGAAACGGTCGGTTCGGTTCTATCTAGCATAGTCTGTTGCTTATAGTATCTAAAGCTGTTTGCCGTTGCTTCGCGAGCATGCGAAACGTGATGATCTCCTCAAGCTTTCAATTGATGCCGGCGATTCGGCGCGCGCTCGAGGTGCACACGAGGTCAGGGCGGGTTGTGCTTCGTGTGTTAGAAAAGTACTGACCATCATTCGTTAGTTGGCTCTACAATCCTACATCAATGCCCAGTCCCTCCTTGATGCTACGTCGTGGGCGAAGGATATAGACCACGCCTGTTTGATATATCTGAAGCTAGCAGAGTACGTCCATCTCAAAAGGGCACGATCATCTTCTAACAATGGGTTGTTCACAGGTTATACTCGTGGAAAGGTACGAAATGCCTTTGTTTCAGTGACCTTGAGCTCATCCGTCTTCAGGCGAATATGCAACGTCCGATGAATTAGTCACTCAGTGTCTGGAACATCTCGACGATCCCGAGAGTCGGGTTCGGATGCTACGTTTGCGGTCTAAGAACCAGTGGATGCGTGGCAATTACAAGGCTGCTTTGGCGGACACGCTGTTGGGCTTACATATTCTCGGTGTGGATATCAATTCTACGCCTAGTCAACGCGAGGCGGATAGTATGTTCGAGCAGGTCAAGAACGAGATTCTTGCAGTAGGTTTTGATAATATTCTCTCAATTCCTCGGGCGAGGGATACTCGGACCGATCTTGCAATCGCCTTGCTAAATGACGCAGGGCACAATGCATATTGGAGCTCTGGAGAGAGGTTCCCGGATGTCGTCGGGTTGACGGTCAGTCAGTTGTTCCGTCGCTTGGCCTCTGACTCATATGCATCGCGATTGCAGACTATCAGGTTGGCCTTGCGGTGAGTCTCTCCATCATGTGATTTATGGACTTGTACCGACGGCATCATAGGTTTGGCATGTGTTCGGGCGCTGCACTTGGGTTTTTCTGGGCTTTGGGAGGTAGGTACGTCTGCAATCCGCATTACTGAGACATTGATGGGCATATGAAGGGGCTGCTGAACGTAGAGAATTGTATCGGTTTTCCACCGATTTGGGCAAGTTGGCCTTGCGCATCGCCGATCAGCATGGCACCAGCTATGAGAAATGGTAGGCTTTCAATTCACGCCTTTTCCCAGTGGTAGGGTTCTTATGTCAACATAGCCGAGCGCTTGTCCTCTTTTCGTCGATGGTTGCTGGTTTCGACACCGTCCATATTCGCGCTAATTTGGCTCGATTAGAGGAGGCGATTAAATATGGTCAGAGCGCTGGAGACAGGTGAGTGGAAAAGGCTGTGCCTATGAGACAATGATCTCATTTCTCTGCAGGATATACACTAGTCTTTCTAGTGTGCATTTGCTGCAAACTCGCCTGTGGATTTGTGACCATGGTCAGTGAAATCCCGATTGATCTGCATGGCGAATCTGACCTTCAGTACAGTCAGCGAGCTCGTTGTTGCCGGAGAGGAGGTGAGTCTAGTTGATCGTGTTGATCGCGTCAGTTGACTGACGAGTAAGTAGTGTCTCAGTGATGTCTCGCAATGGGCTCCAGGTGGCGATATCGCTATCTTAGCGCAAGGTCGGTCTCATATTTCAGATGTTATCAGGTCTTCATCTGACGACGCCACGATTACCAGGGATTCTGAATTGCATTCGTGCAATTGGGGGATACACCTACGCATACGACGCTGATACTGTGTTCGACACTGAAGGATTTGATGAAAAGCAGTTTCTCGAGGTCGCAGCTCAAACATCCGGTAATTTTGAAGGTGCTATGGGATGGTACGTACACACAATCATGAGGTATTTTTGCGGCGTAACGGCGTTATCTTCATTCAGGTATCAAGCCTATAAGGTAGGATTTCTTATAACGCCAGTTGCAACTTCGTCTTATGGATTGGCACAGGTTGTAGCGCTATTTTGTCTGGGCTTTCCCCGTGAAGCAGCTATCCTTGGGTTCTCTATTTATCAAACACGAGGGAACCATCCAAAGTATGTGATTACCCTTCTTTTTGGGGAGACACTCTGATTTTGTCCATGCAGTCACCGACATACGCGCTATGCGCTATTTTTCCATACCCTCGCCATGATTCAGTGTATCCGCAAAGGAGACATTGGCTTAGAAGACCGCAAACGTTATATGAGGCAGATAGAGTTGAACCAAGCGTATGTGAGAAAGTATGGCCACATTTGCCAAAAGTGCTCGCTGCGTTCTGATTCTCATCATACCAGATGGCTCTCCCCCAGTCCTGTCAATACTAGTGCCTGGGTGGCTCTGGTGGTGGGTAAAAGATGGTGATATTAAGTAGAGCGTCGCTTATTTCTCGCGATTCAGGATGCCGAGCTAGCGTCCTTGGTGAACAGCCCAGACGCTTTCAAGCTATACGATGTTGCTGTGAAGTAAGCTTTTACTGGCCTCATACATTGCAATCTCCTGATTGCTCATCCATCAGGTTGGCGGTCAATAACGATTGGTTGCTTGAGAGTGGGTGGGCTATGTTTCTGGTAGGTCGACAATGCTATCATGCCAGTTAACACTGGCCTGACAAGTTTATAGCAAGGGAGTCATTTCGTACGCTGTGGCGTGGAAGGACTTGGCAGCGAGCTTCAGCGCAGAGGTATTGCGCGCCAGGCTCAATGGGGCGCTAGAGGAATCGTGTTCGTGTTGACAGAACATGCCATGGCGTTCGCTCACATCCTCTACAGGAACTATCTGTCCTCTCTATTGGACAACCGAGCTCATTACGCTCTCAAACACCATATATTCTCTGCTGACGTTGCCGTGCAGACAGACAACATTGTCATGTCGACTTCACCACAAAGTCCAGGCTCATTTGACAGGAAGATGGAGCACAGTGAGGAGGACGAAATATCCACGTTGAGTGCCTCGGATCTTGCATCGATTCTGAAGTGGAGCAAAGAGATCTCGAGCGACATTAATCTCCCGATGGCACTTCAACGACTAACGGAGATTGCTACAGGTGTTTTTTTTCTCTCCTGGAGTCTTTGACTTGTGTTTACTCACTTATCTCTCAAGAAACTTCTGGTAGTCAATATACTTGCGTAGTGATCGCGCGGGAAGCGGGAGATTACACAGTAGCCACTAGCATGATACCCCCTGAGCCTTGCCAAGTGCACGAGTGCGTCACGCCTTTCAACGCAGCCGTATCATTGCTTATTGGTACCGTAGGAACCCGCTGCCTATACGTTCGATTAACGACCCACTACGGCGTGCGATCATTCAACATGGTGAGTTTTCACGATCTTCGCTGGTTCTGTGGAACACGGATCTTACCCGCTATAGCCTTGAACTCTAAGGAGAGAATCTATTATGAAGATGTATCGATTGAACCGCGCTTCTCCTCCGAGGCTCAGCAGAGCACTTCCAGATCCGTGATCTGCTTGCCTATTTTCAGCAATCGCGGACAGACTTTCGGAGCTGTCTATCTGGCTTCGAAATATGCGTTCTCGCCCAATACCGTCACAATCCTGACACTGCTCTGTCAACAAGCCAGTATTGGAATCTCAAATGCTCTGCTGTTCCGTTCAGTCCAGGCTGGTACTCGGGAAAACTTGAAGATGATCGCTGCGCAAAGAGATGCATTGGAAGCCGCACGGAAAAGCCGGGAAGACGCATTAAAAGCCACGAAGGTTCTTTTGCGCACGAATTCGGGCTGAGCGGGATTTCTCACTATACTATCCAGATCAAGAGTAACTTTCTCGCTTCCATGAGTCACGAGCTGCGCACTCCTTTCAGGTGAGCAGTCCTTATAGGAACCTTCTAGTAGGTCTAAATCCTTTGCTTAGCTCTTTTTATGGACTGCTCGATATTTTGAGCGGGACTGAACTGAACCCTGCTCAGAGGGAGATCGGTTAGTGGACGCATTATAAATTTCCTTTCTCTCTGACTGGATCATCATCTTAGTCCAAACTGCCAAACAGTCATGCGAGCTGCTCCTGAAGGTGAGCATTGATGAGATAGCATATAACCTAACCTTACCCATTATTCAGATCATCGATTCTATCTTGGATTACAGCAAGCTTGAAGCGTCTGGTAAGCCTCCGCGACAGGGAGCTCATTTCACATTGTGTGATGTTTTTGTGATCACAGCTCTGAAGCTCGAATACTCCGGGTTTTCGATGGAGGACATGATTGCAGTAAGTCGAATAACTTAATAAGTCCTGCTGCGTCGGCCGGCTGAACAGCCCCCCTTCCAGGACTGCATGGAACTTCTACTGCCTATGGCTGCCAAGAAATTGGATTTATCCTACAACATCGAGCCCGATGTCCCTTCTTGTAAGGACTTCCTCTTTTCGTGGGTCAAGCCGCTCATGAGATTCCAGGGGTCCGAGCCGACTATGCACGGATACGACAAGGTAAGACTATTAACTAAAAAAGAGGGACGAGGATGGCGCATAAAACATTTCACAGTTCTGATGAACTTGATTGGCAACGCGGTCAAGTTCACTGCACGTGGATCAGTTCGCGTCTTGTGCACAGTCGACAGATCCACTCCCGCCCCTCTAGGAGAGCCAGTTTTGAAATTCTTCATCACGTAAGTTGACTCGTTTCATGATTCATGACATTCTGAACTCATGAATATTTAGGGATACCGGGATAGGAATGAGTGCCAGGTTTGTAGATTACCTCAAAGCAGCGATATGAAGTGCTAAAATGGTCGCCAGCGACATTGATTTGCTTTTTGTACCGTTTCAGCAGGCAGACAATTCGTCGACACGGCGTTTTGGAGGCACGGGGCTGGGATTGTCAATATCCCGTCAATTGGTCAAGCTCATGGGTGGTGCTATTGGCGTCAAGTCCGAACTTGGCGTTGGTTCTACCTTCTGGTTCACATTACCTGTGAAGGTATACGATTCTGAGGAATCCAGACAGGTACGTTCACGATGTTCGAAGTCATTCCATGCCTCAGCTTATGATCGGCAGGCTATGGTAGAGATAACGCACTTAAGGCAGCTGCTCCTCAAACCTCGACCTCTACGCATACTTGTCAGCTCTGCATCGGATGCTACGCAGGCGCTGCTGAGCACGATGTTGAATGGCTTCTCCATCAGCACGGTCTCCTCTACCGAAGAAGCAGAAACAGTGCTAAGGAACATCACTGAGGCGGATCTTCCGCTAGATTTTGTCATACTCGATGACCAATCAGAAGCTCGAGTGGACGAGTTTTCTCGCGTTCTTCGTTCTTTACCGTATTCGGCGATGGAAGATACGAAGATCATACACCTCTTCACCCCTACGACGGACAACCTTTCAGGTACTCCGATGCTCAGGGGTGACGTGAACGATGGGATCTTGCGAGTCACAAAGCCACCGCGTCAAGCAAGGCTCCTCCAGACGCTTGCAAGCTTGAAGAATCTGCCAGCGCATATGTCGAACACGCCCATCCTCAGTGCGAGCGCCTTGCGCGAAGAGGAGGCTCTTGCACGACGGACCTTGTACGGAAACGTGTTGATAGCCGAAGGTCGGTTCCGTCCACTGTCCATTCAAATACGCCATGCGCTAACGTAATGACTGTAGATAATCCCGTCGCTCAGAAGCTGCTCGTCGCGCAGTTGCAGCGATATCAACTGAATGTCGTGGCGACATCTAACGGCGAAGAAGCTATTGCTGGTACGCTCGTATGTTGAGCTTTCTCTTGATTTGATTGTTCACGAGTGGACGCGATAGAATGGGAGAAGCACGAGCCTGGTTACTTCAGCGTGGCCCTCTTCGATCATCGTACGACCATGATTTCACGCTTTTGGTGTCATGTTTACTGAATCCCATGCAGATATGCCGATATGTGACGGCGTCGAAGCATGCAAACGAGTCCGTATCATCGAGAACAAGCGCAGAGTACCAGTGTCATTGCCGAGTATGTCACTTCTTTCGCAATTCCCAATTGTAAGGACTCACTGTCCTTCCAGTTGTTGCTCTTAGTGCCGATTGTCAAGAGTCCACGAAGCAGCTCTGCCTCAGTGCTGGTATGAATGAGTTCCTGAGCAAGCCGCTGAAGAAAGGTGGGGGCAAGTCCCCTGTGATATTGCGACCTCTCTGCTAACTACACCTAGGTGATCTTCTTACTCTGCTTTCAACGTTTGGTGAGCCGCTACCAGGCCCGAAGTCTGATAACACGTCTGCAAGTTCATAACGCTATCTCCGCACATATTTATCCTTCGTAGCTATCCATCACGCATTGTTCTGTGTCGCATTTCTTCCGTCGCCATGTACTCGAACCAGCACATATATCACCTGCGATATCAAGACCATCCGATCTGGTGTACACCATCCTAGATATACCCTACTTCGTGTAGCGTTCTCTTGTATAACACATAAAGTATTCCGTCGTAATGCATGATTATGATAACGAGGAGCGGATACAAATGATTTTGCTCCAATCACGCGGACGATGTATTGACACTTTTTTTCATTCGGTCCAAGACCTGCCTGAGCAACGGCTTGTCACCGAAGAAGCAGAAGGCTAATGACATAGCAACGACAGCGATACCCATACCGAACAGGCATATGGCCATCCATCCTTTACGAAGATGGTCATAGAGCTGCGCAGGACGGTGCGCCTTAGCCAGCGAGTAAAGATCATAGGTGTGATTAATGCCTCACCTGACCGCCGATAATGGGTCCTACTAGATTGCACAGATGTACAACTCAGCGACAGTCTTGATTTAATAAGTTATAGACTTACACGCAGAACCCACCCCGTATGCCAAATTGAAAGCCCCATACACATGCGCATCTAGTAATTTTGCGCTCAGTTTGTTGCATTCCCATTCAGCGAGCAGACCTACAACCAACGCCGTCGAGGCGTTTCGTGACGTCTGCGAGCTCTGCTGTGAGCGCAGACACTATCGCTGAAACGCCAAAATCTACGATGTGCGACGTGAGCTTTGCTTCACCTTCCAAAAAAAGCGAGCAGGTGACTCACTGGCGAGTGCAAATATCACGATGAAAAAGGCGAGCGCCTTCTTGATGATGAGTAGAACAACCCATGGCAAGGAGAAGAGAACCGAAACGACGGTGATAGCCCCCGTTCCCTTCTTGTCCACCAACCAACCGGCGATCGTCGAAGCTCGCGAGAGGTCAGCATGAACGCGCTACCAAAGGGCGGTGCTGAACTTACAGAACAGAGTGGGTACCACGGCCGCGATGTACACGAGGCCAACCTTGGCGGAGTCAAGACCCCAAACGGCGTTCATATACAGCGGAAGGGCTGGTTCTTCGCTGGTCAAGATCATTCTGGTGGTTACTTCAGCTACATGGCGACCGACAAGGTGAGGAGACGTTAGACACACCCATATACTAGCGTGCTGATGCAAACCGCAATGGCTCTCGAAGACGTGAAGAGCTTAACCAATACTCCTACTAAGGATATCCGATGGGCGAAAGCCGGTGCCGAGTCCTCTATTTCGTTTTCATTCTCTACGGGAGCGGCTTCTGCAGCGGCAGATTGCACATCTCGGGAATCCTCAAACTCCCTTTGAATCTCTTGAATCTCTTGCTTATCTGAAGGTTGTGTGAGAGTTGCAGCGCCGTCGTTATGCCGAACGACCAAGTCCTGCATCTGAATCTCCTCAGGCTTGGAAGCAGCACTTCTGCTTACTGCGGGGTCCACCCCGTAAAGAATCGCTTGCTTGCGCTCGATGATCAACAGGCGGCCAATCAGGTCAAGCATGGTGATAATAATGCCGAAGATGAACGGCGCCCTATATCCGAAGGCGTCGTAGAGAGCACCTGCCACTGGCGGCCCGACCAGCGCGCTATTGAACGTGAACAGATGTGCTCAAAACTCGGCGTGTCTGTGCATACCCAATGGACAAGCCACTCAAGGCAATGCCGAGCTTTGCTGTGGGTTCAAATAGATATCAGCATGACTGGAAATTCAATGGGAACACTGGCATGAATGACCTACTTCCCACTGATTCCTCCGGGGCAGTGTCGCATCTTTATTGGGAAAAGTATAGCGGGTTAACAAAACCCGATATAGGATATGAGTATACTTACAGTAAAGCCAACCCTGCGACCCAGATGACAGAAGAGCTGATCCCCTGTAACAATCGAGCCAAAATCATAAGCCAATATCGCGAGGCCTCCATCATCATTATTAGGGCACCAATCAAAGCTATTTGCCCGCATAACAGTGGTGCTTGTCGCACACTATAACGCTCCGACAGAAAAGCGATTGGGGGTGTGACTGTTTGACATGTGAGCTTCTAAAGAATCTGAAAGCTTAAGGAGAAACACACATGCGACAAGACCTGCGGACTGGTGATGAGCCAGAGTATCAGCTTAACAAAGCCTGCAGTGTTGAGAGCTGAATATCGCACATATGCAAATAAAAGCCAGCCAACGAGACCAGATACACCGCTGTATCCGAGCTCCTCCAAGCGGAATGGAACGACAGGGACGATCAGCGTGTAGATTAGAGTATCTGTGGCAACACCTGTATACTATTAGCGAGGAGAAATGCTCTGCAGAAGTACGGTGCCCTATACCTAATGCGACGACTATAAACGGTACAAATCCATCATTAGCTTTGGTTGTCTGAGTATTATTACATAGGCGATGTACCTATAGTAATGAACCAGACAGAACATCGCCAAGCAAGCCCTGCTGGTCTCGAAATCTTTGCGATGTCCTGTGCATCGGGTTGACTCATCTCTGTGTCCTTTGCTACCGTTGTTCCGGAGACATCATGCATCAGGCCTCAGGAAGTACTAACAAATCGACTGTGGAACATCCTTACCTTGATCCATTTATACCAGTCGTTGTGAAAATAATATCAGGCAGCCAAGCAGTGCGTATAGAAATCTGTGAGATTAGGAGTCAGTTCACCATCAACGGCTGCGGATTCAAAAGGACTCCGACGCGATCTTCTTCCACGACGCCTTCCTTTTCGGGAATCCCAGGCACATGTATAACGCCCACCACAAACGAGCGGCAACGAATTGAATTGCGACGAGGTGTTTGGGCAGAAGGATCATCGATCATCATATACAAATCATGCTCATAAATACACAGCCGTTCGAAACATCGCTGAGGCCACTGGCCGCCAGCATTTTCAGAGAGGACGCCTCAGCTAGTACAAGGACCGTGTCAGAACTGGCCAACCCGATGCTGAAGCGCTGACGGCTGCCCTTGGGCTGTCGTACGAGGGCGGCGACACCATTAATGTGGCGTCCAAAGTAGAAACAAACGAAGGTTCCATTATAGGCTATTCCGGCACAACCAACTGGGAATTTGTGGGCACTAAGTTAAGTAGGTTTTGATGATGTCGAAGTATGTTCAGCGCATGTCATTTCGGAAGGCCCTTCCACAGCCCGTATAACGAAGCGAAAGTGTAAGATCGGAATCATTCACGTCTCATCGTTACAAGCTTTCTTTAAATCTTCGCAGGCCGCGGTCTCGAGATTAAACTCTCCTCGTACCCTTCGGGCGAAGACAGCTCAGAAGTAGGCGTCATTTGAAGATCTGCCCCAGAGCCCACTCGTCGATTCGCTTGTTCCATTGATTGGGAAGAGAGGAAGTCGCTTGACTATCCGAGACGAAGCCGAGGATTCGTCCGGCAGCACGAGTCACGACCAAATGAATGCAGCAACGAACATCTTTTTATCACGCAGCCAAGATGCGGCAAGATGTGGGCACAAGTACGCAAGAAAGTTGTGACCAAATGAGTGATTACTATCATTGCCATAGCGTACGAGGTACGTGCCACACGCGATGTGAATGTCTCGAGACAGATCTATCCGCAGTACAGTACCGATGAATTCCGATGGAGAGAAAAGGGAATGTACATGATGATATAGAGTTACAAACATGCAGACGTGAACCGATAAAGAGAGAGAGCAAAGTAAACTCATAAGCTTGCCGTGAATAGTGTAAAGGCGACGAACTGCGATGACCGAGAAACAGTCCGGCTGGTGCTATCGCCCATTTGATGCGTACTGCTGCGGGTACTGCATCGCATAGGCCGCCGCCTGCGGTTGAGGCTGGCCTTGCGTCTGTGCTTGCGCCATCGCTATGGCTTGAGCCTGCGCTTGAGCCTGGGCAATCCGCGCCGGGTCCTGCTGACTCGCATACACGGCGGGCTGCCCGTGCACCAATCCGGTGGACTGAGCCTGCAGATATGCAGCCTGGGCTTGGGCCTGTGCCTGGGCATGCGCTTGCTGCTGCTGCTGTTGCTGTATCTGCTGTTGCTGGTGCGCGTGGGGGTGAGGATAGTTGTACGGAGGCGGAGGCATGGAGCCAGGTGCAGGTGCTGGCAAACCGTGAGGCACGGAGCCCGTGAAGTATGGGTGTGAAAGCGCATCGGCAGCCGTGATACGCTTGGAGGGATCAAACTGGAGGAGGCGCTCCAGGAGGTCGAGAGCTGCGAAAAGAACATCGATTGGTGAGTATGAGACTAAGACAATATAACGAATGTCGCGTACCAGGAGCAGACGCCTTCGGTAGGACCTGGCTAAACGGGATCTTCGGGTATCGTGGATATTGCTTCTGCCCTGTCGGCACCTCGGTTTGCTGTAGCGCAAATTTCAAATTCAGCACGGTGTAGTGGCCGGGATGGAACGACTTACCCCTTCGGCAGCAATCTTTCGCAAAGTACGGTCATCGGGTGTGCCAATGATTCGCATGATGTGAAGTAACTGGTCTTGGTTGTCTCTACCACGGAAGAGAGGTACTCCAGATATCATCTCCGCGAAAATGCACCCACAAGACCAGACATCGATCGATGTGCTGTACGTCCGCGAACCCATCAAGACATCCGGCGCGCGATACCACAGCGTGACAACCTACGCATTCAGTGATATGAGGGACAGGACATGCATGCAACGATGGATAAAACGTACCTCATTGGAGAACGTGTTCACCGGGACACCAAATGCCCTCGCCAAGCCAAAATCGCCCAGCTTCAGCTCACCCTTCCTATTGATCAGCAGATTCTGCGGCTTCAGATCCCGATGCAAGACTCTGTTTTCGTGGCAGAAGGCGGTGCCCTTCAAAAGCTGATACATGAAACTCCGGACGGTCACAGGGTCGAGCGCGCCACGATCGCCATGGACGTCCATGTACTTCTTCAAATCGCGTTCGCAGTATTCGAATATGAGGACGAGTTTAGTCTCGGTGTGGATGACGTCGTAGAGACGAACGATATTGACGTGTTTGAGTTCTTTCATCAGGGAGATCTCCCGGATGGCGGTCGATGGTGTGCCCTCCTCTGCATCGAGATGGATCTCCTTAAGCGCAACGATTTCGTTTGTCGTTCTTGACCTTCCCTGTGTATATGCTATTGACGATATCCATGATTAAAGCCATAAGCCACACCACATACCTTGTACACTGTGGCATATGTACCCTCCCCTTGCGTATTCGTGAGTGGCGAGCCAATCGGACGTTCTACGATACATACCTAGTTTCTCAAGCTATTTTTCTGCCATCAGTAGCGGCCTACACTCAGAATATCCGCCACACACCTGAACATAGTTCATGATCGCCAACAAAGCTGATGCCCGACGTCTCGGTGTAGTGGCTGCGTGGCAGCTGTATTTGTTGCGCTAAGTCTTAGTTGTTCGTCGTGAAACGAGAGGATGGTCTCGGAAGGAAAAAGTGTCAATGAAAATTGAACGTGGTTGATGTAATAGAGAGGAATGCTATGCTGGTTCAGAATGCCATCCATTCAGATCACGTGCTCGACGGTTTGCGCGTAACGCGTAGCGTGGACCGCGACGCGTCGACGAACGTTGCGAGGTGTAAGACTTATGCGACGATGGCAAGCCTCGGTCTTCTCCAAGCAGTGGTCGATGAATAGTGGGCCTGGAGTATCTACCGTGATTATGAATAGAATACGACGCTCGCCTCTGAGGTGCAGACATGTGTATACAGGCTACTCTAGATCACTCGCTCCCTTCGCTCTCTTCTTCGCTATATTCCTCCGCCTCGTCGTCGATGAAGCCATTGGTTTTCGGAACACCTTCCTCCTCGTCGTCCTCATCCTCGTCCTCATCCTCCTCTTCGTCACCGTCCATATCCTCATTTTCCTCCTCCTCTTCGTCCCCTCCTAGCTCAACATCCTCCACGCTCCCTGCTTCATCGCCACTGTCGACCTCGACCGCGATATCTGCCTCATTGTCCTCCTCGTGCTCGTTCTCACTCTCTCCCTCTACGTATCGTGTCGCCCGATGTTTTTGCGGCCGTTTGCGCTTATCCTTGGGAAGGGCTAATGGCGCCGGCGCTCCTGACGAGCGCAGCTCGATCTGAGATATCACCATATCTAGACGACCATTCAGCGCAAGCAGGCTATCTTGGAGTGTGAGACGAGTCGTGAGAGTCGCGTGCAAGCCTGACAGGCGTGCTACGAGGTCCGGCATCTGTAATGCATGAATGAGTTGACAGCATTAGTTAGAATTCAATCCAACACACCGTCATGAGATGTCCGCTATGGGCGGCTAGGACAGCCTTAACCCAACTTATCAACGCCGTCCCTCTCTGCGAGCTTGCACCGCCACCGCCGCCCTTCATGTTAGCAGCGCGTGCTCCTCTTCCGAGTCGTTCCACGCATGCCGTGATGAGCGGCACTGCCAGCGATGGCGTGAGTCTGCGCACAGTGTTACGGATCAGAGCAGCGTCCGAATGCGCAAGACATGTTTCGAGCAGACGAGCATCGGATGAGTGCAGCGCCTGGATCAGGGTCCGGGTCAGCGAGCTCGCAGGGACCACCTCGATCGTGTCGACCGTTCTGCGCCGTTTTGAAAAGGGAGGTTGTGTATCGTTCGATGCAGGTTCCTGCTCTTCGTCGCTGGAGTCGGATGAGCGCTCAGCTTGGCCATTCGTGCCGTTAAGTGCAGTCAGCCTCTGGCCAAGGCTGAGCTCCGCCAGATCTACATCGAGGTCACCATCGACATCGCGCATCGCAAGATCGTCCATTGACGCATCTTGGCCCAGCTCGACACCTGACCTGACAGCAAGGCCTGCTGATTCGGTATAACGCTTCGTAGGTGCACCCTAATAATAAGCAAGGTAAGCTGAGAAGTTCAGAAGACATGCCAATTGCTTCACGAAACGTTGACTCACAATAAACGGCTCTCCTTCGGTTGCTAATCCTGCATCGGCGTCTGAGATGAGGACGTTCTCAATGTAGTCTCCTGAGTCGTCAAAGTATGTCTACAACGCAATATGAGCTTGTCAACTAGCCATTTTTATTTGCGACTTACAACAACATCAAATGCTGGCTGGACGCCATTGACCAGCCTCGCCACTCGCACTCGACCCTCCTCGTCGGGTATGAATGCCGCCGCCACAACCTCAACGGTGCCAGTGCCCTTTTTTGTCGAAACACTGATAGTGGACTTCGGCGTCAATGTTGTGATCTTCTGCTTCGCTTTCGAGGGGCTAGGAGTGCTGATGTCGGAGGACAATGGGAAGACCGAGACCTTCCCTGAAGCAGACACTGTAACGAAGGATGATGACGACGGCGACAATGATAAATGTCGTGCATCTGAGTCGAGGGGAATCGACGCTGCGATCTTGCCTTCGTCACCAGGTGTGCCAGGAACCTCCCAGACGTATACGAATCTATCCGCCTCCGCCATTGAGAGGAAACAAGACGGACCACTCCAGCGCAGGATGCGGATTGGAGATGCGTGGCCCGTAAACCGGGAAAGCTCCTTCGGTTTCTGCTTTTCAGACAACTGAACCTCTGACGGACTGCTGTCCACCGACAAGAGGCGGATGGCATGATGTGATACCAGGAGGTCGGTGTGCTCCTCTGACACTACTGAGGGCCGGACTGCCATGGAGGTATGGGGTATTCGCTCATCACTAGCCCAACTGCTCATGAGAACATTTTTTGAGGCATCCCAGAGACGAACAAAGCCGTCGGCGCCAGAGGTCCACACAAACGGTGAAAGATGGCTTGTGGACTCGTCAACGGCAACGGCCACGATGGCTGAGGAGCTTGAGCTATGAGATAGCGTACGCACAGGCCGCCCGTGAGTGATGGAAAATAGCGAGAGTGTACCATCAGAGAGCCCAAGAACGACCACTTGAGAAGGTGCGGTTCCTTCAGAGTCGGCTGCGACTTGGCTGTGGCGTTTCCTCCGCCTCCGCTTTTTCTGCTGAGAAGACTCTGGGTCTTCTGAAGGATACTGCTGCGACTCGGAGAGGTCAAGACTCGCCCAGCAGAGAGAGGTAACACGAGCCGTGTCCACGACATGCTCAGCGATAGACTGTCTCGACACGGTGTCATAGACGCGTAGACGATGCTTGTCAACCGCAAGAGACAGGAGTGCAAAGAGGTCTCCTCTCGGAGAGAAGGTTGATAGGTAGGTTAGTGCTGAGTGGTCCGCGACCGCAGGCTGCGAGAGCGAGTCCGTCGCGGCGGGTCGTCCTCGCGGCGGTTTGGCGTGAGTTTTCTTTAATTTTGAGGGTACGGACGACATTTCTTGTAGTTGTGAATGAGTACGTGCATTGAAGCTGGAAGCACGATACTCACTGACTTCTGAACCAAGCACTCCCTCGCGTACAGACGAGTAGCAGAAAATCTGCGAGAGGTCAATTTGATTGGCTGTCTAGTAGTATTCAGTCACGTGGACTACTTGAAGCGCCGCTACTTGAAGCGTGCGCTTGCATTCGCGAGTCAGTTTCAACTCCTTGAAATAGGATCCTTAGTGATGCACCGCCAGAATGGGAAGAGGACATGGATGCAAAATAGGTGCTTGAACACGAGAGCACGGTAGCACCGGTAGGAAGTGGCAACGCACCACGGGCGCTTCCTGAATGCAAAGCCACATGGTAGCCAGGATCAGTCTAGCTCGTATTCTGTCCACTGCCTCCAACGCGTTGGCTCTTCTTACTCTTCTCCTCTTTTTCTATCACTGGCCATCAGGTTGTCTAGCCGTGTTGACTTTCCAAGCGGTCAGACCGCTGTGAACAACCTGGCCACCCCGCCCACATCTACAACGCCTCCAGTAGAGTCTCCCTCGAGTGCGACGCACTGGGACCTAGCTAGGACTGGCTCATTGCTAGCCCTGCAACGCCTCAACAGCGCAAACGCTAGTCTTCTGCGCACTACGCTAGCTCTCCAAGACAGCCTCGTTCGACTCCGTCAGCTTCGCGATACGCTGGCCTCGAGGGACATCCCTTCCCACAATTCCCCGGTAATCACCCCACTTTCACTCACGCCCTCTGCTGCAAGCATGGACCCTGGCCAGGATGCAATCGCTCTGACTGGCTCTGGATCAGAAGCCGTAAACACATTGGCAAGGCTCCGGAGGGAGATGGCTACACTGCTGGCACGACCTCGCTCGGAATTTGGAGAGATTGATCCTCAACTTGACGTCTCTCGAACCCTCGACGTCGTGCGTGAGGCTCGTCGCAGGATGGAACAGCTAAACCAGCCCTCTGGCGACTCGCGCACGCAAACCCGCCTCCGTGCTCCTCAATCAGCAGGGCCGACGAGATTCGGCCCACGTCCAGAGCCATCACACCATCGTCTCTCAGCCGCTCGATGGCAGTCGCAGCCACTCTCACGGTCAGACTTTAATTCCGCGGATGCGTCCACTACCTTAGGAAGGCGCGTCGCTGCTAGGACGGCCAGCGGACAGAGCTCCAGCACGAACGCATCCCAAACACTCAGAGATAACCCTGCGGAAACCGCGAATGAGATTTTGGCTCGAGCAATGAGGTACCTTGCTGAGCATGACGAGCAGATGAACGCAATGGTACAGCGAGCCCGATCGGCTAGCGTGCCACCAGCGGCCAGTGGCTCCGGCGCTGACGCATCTCAGTCTGGGGATCAACCGCGCGGGGAAGATAACGGAGAGGCGGAGCGTAGCTCTCGAATGCTTTCTCCGCTGTTTCTAAATATATCACCATCTCCTCAAACGGCACCTCAAACCGACCCGCTCGATGCGCCAGCGCCTCTCAGGTCCAGCCAAACCAGCCAATCAGTGCCAACGCAGACCCGGCCTCCCAACGTTCGTCTCTCGCAAGCTCCTCCTCCCGAGGAGATTGCGCAGCCAATAGGCGGAAGCAGCTCATGGATGTTTGGGGAGGAGCGTGCGCTACCCGACTTGGACGATGACGATCCTTTCAGCTGGCTTCTGCCCTCACGTTCACGAGACGAGTTTCTCGGCCTCGGCGGACCAGTCAGGACACGCGAGCCGTATCGCTTTGCAGATGCTTTCATTGCCCCGGAGGAGCGTCGGAGACGTGACAGAGCTGGTCAGAGTATGGCTTATCCACAGACAACTCTAAGCTCCAGAAGCGATGCCGATATAGGCCAACAGAGAGCTTCTCGGCGCCCTAGGCGGGGATGGGGTGCGTCTGCTCCAGCGGATTTATCTACTCTGCTCATGATCTATTGCAGCACGTCTTGATCCAGACGGTGATGAGATACCGACAGATGAGGAGGAAGAATACGAGCGCCACCGAGCGCAGCTACGCGCTCGCGCCCTCCAGCTAACGTCGGGGCAGGCTTCACGGCGCTTCGACGTTGCGCCGCTGTTCCCGGAGCCACCGCCCCATCAACGACGACCGCTTTTCATGCCGACAACACAGTCAGTCTGGCAGTTCTCTAACGACGAGGATATCCAAGTGCGCATCAATCCAGCCTTACCTTCGTCAGACTCGCTGTCGGATTGGGAAAGACCTATCACCCCACGCGAAGATGATAATGAAAGCCTCGCGCCGACGGAGATTATACCTCGGGGTCCTCCGTCACCAGAGCTGATCGGATCCTCTATTCCCTTCTCTCCCAGCCCACTGCCTCTGCCTCTGATCGACCTATCTCCTTTGAAACATACTCGGCATCGGAAGTTGAGCTCTGCAAATCGGCGCATAAAAGTCTCTTCTGCGGCTTGCCTCGCAGGGCGGTGAACGATCGGTTGCACGCATACCAGCTTCCGGTTTCGCATCCATCAGTCTTTTCTAGATAGATATCCTAGGTCGTCTTGATTGCTAGTTCATCTGGTTTGGCTATGCTGACTTGGTATATTGCATGTGGATCCGGATACCATGGCTCATCTCAAATGCTTTCTTGCATAAAAAGTATTACTATCTGGTGGATAAATGACGTGACTTTCGCTTCGACTGCTACTTTATATCACTGAGGGCATGAGCCCACGATTCTGCCGGAAACATTTTGGACACATCACGATAATAGTCACAATGTAACTCTAATGTTACTGATGTAAACATCACAGAATAATTTGAATTATTTTGAGTGAGCTCATTGTGGAATAATAGTGATATTATGCAGAAAGATGCCAGGATGAGACAACAATTTTGCTCGGGCCAGCATTCATATAATAAATTGGTATCATTTTGAATGAATCTTAAGGGTACATTACAAATGTGATCAATGTGATGTTATGATGAGTACTAGATGCTTTCCATCATGTGTCAGCTGAAATCATCTTGAATGCATTGGGGATGTCCTAATATGATTAGCACATTACTATATATATAGTAATAACAATTATGTGATCACAATGAACCCATTGGAAACATCTTGAAGACATTATGGCCACTCACAGGTATCATTTGAGATTTTCTCCCAAGAAACATTTAGGATGCTGTCACAATAATGCTTGAATGCTGTCATCTGCAGCATTGGGGTCTCATTCTTGCATCTTTATGAATGCTATCAAAATTGTGCCACAATGTTGATGCTTAAAACATTTTAAAACATTCAAAATGATTTCAAAATGTATGCACTAAAAACATTGCATAATTATTTGGACTGTTATTGCAATGTGTCCAAAATGTTTCGGGTGGAATCATGGGCCCATGCCCCCGGTGTATGTTTGGGTTAATGAGGTGCGGATCGGAAGTAAACTTTAATAGCAGAACGATCATACATGTGGCATAGTTCTCATGAGAAGACGCTCATGGTGGCCCGCCCACCCGGCGAACACCGCTTAGTCACAAGTGTGGCGGGCCCATTTCCAGATCCTGACTACAGGTGTAGCAGCTCTCTTTTGTTATAGGTGTTAAATGCTGTCTGCTGGGACACTTGGATCAATGATGCACCCGTCCGACCGCATATTTCCAGGCGTCCGAGTCGCGGCCGAGCCGTACATCGCACAACTCGAAGCTGCGATCCTGCTAATTCCATGGTTGCTCGCATGCATTTGTCTGCTCACCACCTTCATCATCATAGCCAAATGCGCGACCAATAGGTGCCACTCGCCTCCGGAGCATGCTTCGCAAGCGACCGCGGCTACAGTGACAATTCAAAAACGACGAACCGTGTTGGAGGTCGCGGCTGCGAAGACGAGACTTTGGACTTCACCAGCATCCAGAAGGCCACAAAGGAAAAGGCGTACCGTGGCTGCTGAACCTTTTGAACAAGATTTTACTTACCCTGCAAAGCGGCTACAAGCCAAACTGCACTCCGGAGATGGTATGGCCACAGACACGAGATGCCCACCGGATCTGTTGAAGGAACGCCTGCCTTCAAACGTTTCTGGCGGGATTTGCTTCTCAGGGATCAGCAAGCATGCGCTTCAAAACCGCCCGGTTTGTACGCCGATATATTTCGCCTGCGGGCGTGCACCTACTGCCCGATTCGTTGCGGCCGGCTCTGATTGTGCGCAGCGCTGGGCACCCAACGCCTTGGAGATTACAGACCCAGCACTACGCTACCTCGCATCTGTGTCCAAGCACACATATGCTGCATATCACGTTTTCCCTGCACCTTGGCCTTGGCACTCTGCATCGCAGCTTGTCCGATTGCAAGGCATGCGTACCTCCTCCATCTTGACGTCTTTGCTCCTCCACATGTTCAGTGAAGGTGCTGCCATCTATGTCTCTTCGTTCCCACTATGTCACACAGTACATGACTTGGCCATCCATCGGCATACTCTCGATGATGCGATTCTCACTATCATCGTCATGAAAATTAGCGATAGCTCCAGTGGCCCTTCTTCAGTCTCACACGCAATAATACTCGCCCCTTCCCCTGTCGAGCATTACCCTACCTCGGGTGGTGATGAAAAACGGGCAGGTAGTGAGGAACAGCGAAAGCCGAGGAAACGGGGTGGCCACAAATCTGCGGCAAGACGTGCCCGCGAGCGCGCGATGCAGTCACCGTTGATGAGTGTGATCACCAGTGATGACGATACTGAGCAAGTAATCATTAACGGTAAGAACTAGTTTACTCTATATGCTGACCATGATGCTGATCGTGGTTTTTCAACTAGATGAAGAAGGAGAGGATCTCTCTCGCAGAAAGCCAAGACGACGCGGTGGTCAGAAAGCCAATACAAGACGTCTCCGCGAGCGTGCGGAACGATCGTTGCTCACGACATCGGTTGCCAGCGTCGAAGACATCTCCTCACGATGTGTAAGTGAACGTGGCAGCAGCAATGTTCCCCGCAAAGGATGTAGCGTTAGCGAGATTTGACGTTGTATTGTACCTTCAAGTTTGTCTTGGTCGCCTCGCGCGGCGAATCCGATGATGCACGCCTATGGTCTTATGATTGCTCAGCGGGACTTCCAGGGAGACCGAAAAACATGGGCGGAAGGCGCCATGCCTTTCTACTCGTTAGGCGGCGCACATCGCTGCTATGTCGATGTTGTCGCTGCGGCACACGAGATCCGAAGAAGTATGGATGACTATATCATCTCTCAAACGCACTGATAGGCTGGTGCGTAAATAAACCGTTCGCTGGAATTACGTGAAAGCCAATTTTCTTCGCAGGAATATTGTTCCATATACGTACGTATGCAGATCGATGATACAGGAATGAAAGGCAATTTTGCGTCGCACTGCTGACAAATCTACAGGACAAACTAATATGTGCTTTAGTACGGAAATAAGGAGGTGCTCGAGGTCCTACCACCTCAACCTGAGTGCCGTTACTGTAACGCGATTCTCGTATCATCATCATGAAAGTTAGCGATAGTTCCAGCTGTGGCCCTTCTGTAGTCATACTCGCCCCTTCCTCTGTCGAGCATTACCCCGCCTCGGGTGGTGATGAAAAACAGGCGGGTAGTGAGGGGCAACGAAAGCCGAGGAGACGGGGTGGCCACAAATCTGCGGGAAGACGTGCCCGCGAGCGCGCAATGCAGTCACCGTTGATGAGTGTGATCACCAGTGTTGACGATACTGAGCAAGTAATCACTAACGGTAAGAACTGGTTTACTCTATATGCTGACCATGATGCTGATCGTCACTGTCTTCTAACTAGATGAAGAAGGAGAGGACGTCTATCACAGCCGCAAGCCAAGACGACGCGGTGGCCGCAAAGCCACTACAAGGCGTCTCCGCGAGCGTGTGGAACGATCGTTGCTCATGACATCGGTTGCCAGCATCGACGACATCTCATGCGCTGAATTATTGAACGTGGGATGTTCCGACCCGCAAAACATGTAGCGCTAGCGCGATTTGATGCTGTACCTTTGTCTTGGTCGCATCGCCTGTGTATCCGACGATGCTCGCCCATGGTCCTGTCATTGTTCAGCGGGGCTTCGAGAGAGACCGGAAAACATGGGCGGAAGGCGACACGTCTTCCTACTCGTTAGACAAGCACATCGCTGGCCATGTCGTTGTTGTCGCTGCGGTACACAAGGTCCGAAGAAGAAGTAAGGATGACCATAGCGTCTCTCAAACAGGCTGGTGCATAAACTTTAGACCGTTCGCTAGCATTACATGAAAGTCGATTTCCTTCGCAGGGATGTGGTATCAGTGCAACTGCGGGATGGTAGCCATTGTACGTAGCTTGCTGTGGCCACAGTTTGCTGTGTTCATGCCCGACGCGAACGACGTGACTTGCCTGTTCTGGATATCCCGCCGGATGTTTACAGCGGCGCCCTGCCGATGTTGAGCGGTCGGGACGAGCCCCGCCACGCCCGGATGGCGGCCAGGGCGGGCTTGGCACGAATATAACCGGTGATGAGTAAGCGGCCGTAATTCCGCTCATCGCCCGATTTTAATTGGACCAATGGGAGCGCGCGCGACGGGAATTTCTGTACGTCTAACAACCAACAAAATGTCCTTCCGTGTAAGGTGCCCGAATAACCGTATCCCGTTCTCTGCCCTCCCTTCCCGACCACCATGGCGTCCGCGATGAAGGACCACTCCATGAAGGCGACCATGCCCTCCTACACGTCGGGGCCCACCCACCGCGTCCCCTCCTCGTCTTTCCTCGCGTCCTCGTCCGGCTCTGCCACCTGGCTCTACACGACGCTCGCGATCGTCCTTGCGCTGCTCGTACTGGAACAGTCCGTGTGGAGATACAAGAAGCGTCATTTGCCTGGCGACAAATGGACGATCCCTCTTATTGGCAAGTTCGCCGATTCAATGAAACCTACGATGGAAAACTATATGAAGCAGTGGAACTCGGGCGCTCTCAGCGCTGTCAGCGTATTCAATATGTAATGTGTTCCCGAACCGTATCTTGGCAGCGCAGTTTATTGAGACACGTTGTGGCGGACATTAGCTTCATCGTGATGGCATCTACGAATGAGTTCGCGCGCAAGATTCTCAATTCGCCCACCCATGCCGAGCCGTGCCTTGTGCACTCCGCGAAACAGGTCCTCCGCCCCGATAACTGGTATGAATCTTCTTCTAATACCAGGAATGATGTCAGAGCTGACTTCTTTCATTGCCGTGCAGGGTCTTCCTGACCGGAAGGGCACATGTCGAGTATCGCCGAGTGCTCAACTCGCTCTTCACCCGCAAGGCGCTCGGGTACGTGACCTATCGAAGCCTGGTTCGCTCCGCACCTGTTGATGCTGGTTTGCGTTTGTTGCAGCGTGTACGTTCACATTCAGGATGTGATCACGCGCAAGTACTTCGCGGAGTGGCTTGCGGACGCCGCGAAGGACCCGGCCCCGAAGCCCATTATGATGAAGGCGCGCGACCTCAACATGGACACGTCGCTGCGTGTGTTCTGTGGCAAGCACATTCCCGACCACGCCGCGAAGGAGATCACGGACAAGTACTGGGCCATCACCATCGCGCTCGAGCTCGTCAACTTCCCGCTCGCAATCCCCGGTACGAAGGTGTACCGCGCAATCCAGGCGCGCAAGATCGCCATGGAGTGGCTCGAGCGTGCGGCGGCGGAGAGCAAGAAGGCGATGGCGGCGGGCGGCGAACCCGAGTGCCTTCTCGACCAGTGGGTGCACGACCTGCAGGACCCGGAGTACAAGGGCCGGCGCGACTTTAGCAACCTCGAGATGGCAATGGTCGTGTTCTCATTCCTGTTCGCGAGCCAGGACGCGATGAGCAGCGGGCTGATCTACGGGCTCCAGCACCTTGCGGACCATCCCGAGGTGCTTGCAAAGGTGCGCGAGGAGCAGGAGCGCGTGCGCGCGGGCGACTACGAGAAGCCGATCACCCTCGAGATGATGGACGATATGCCGTATCTTCGTGCAGTGGTCAAGGAGAGCATGCGCGTGAAGCCGCCCGTGACGATGGTTCCGTATAAAACGACGAAGGCGTTCCCGATCTCGGACGACTACACCGTCCCTGCGAACAGCATGGTCATCCCGTCATTCTACAACTCTCTGCACGACCCCGTGGTGTTCCCAGAGCCGGAAGCCTTCCTGCCTGAGCGCTGGCTGGATCCTGAGGGCAGTGCGAACCAGAATCCGCGCAACTACCTTGTGTTTGGCAGTGGCCCGCACAAGTGCATCGGTCTTGAGTACGCCATGATGAATATCGGTCTCGTCCTTGCCGATGCCGCCGTTCTCATGAACTGGGAGCACGTTCGCACCCCGGAGAGCGACAAGGTTCAGTAAGTCGACCTCTCTGTATGAGCCGTTCGTACATCTGCTGACGGTCCTTGACCCAGGATTATCGCGACGCTGTTCCCTCAAGATGGACTCCTGCTGAAGCTCAGTCCCCGTCAATGATTGCAGAGACAATTCGAGCTGTTTATCGTATCACCCACTATTAGTTTCATCCCGCTCTGAGCATATGGGGGGTCCGGCAGTATACCCCTCCTTCATTAATTTCTTGTCATGCTTTAGCTGTGTAATGTGCAAAATGCGAACGCCATCACGTCCGTCACGTTATATTGATCGCATGTGAAAGTGAGTATATGCTACAAAATACAAACAAAAAGTACAGTTTCAGGTCGTCATGAGGTGAGGGCGATCATTTCTGTGCTTCCTTTTCCACATCTTCCTTGAAGTCTCGTGCGCGTTCTCTGACATCTGCTGAAGTCTTCAGGGTATGCATTAGCAACAAATCTGCAGCCGAAGACACCGCGAGACGCTTACCTGGCTGGCTTTCTCGCTAGCTTGTTCTGCAGTCGCCTTTGCCTTGCCTAGTGCAGGGGCCACATGCACTGATATTTATCGATTCAGTCAAGTACTATCGCTGATGCAGCGGAGGCACTCACCCAACTTCTCCGTCGCCTCCTCGCCCTTCTCAATGGCTGATGCCAACCCCCGTCCTACCTTCAAGTTCGCCTATGCAGCCCGTGTCAGCGGCATCTTGCCCAGCAGCAGTCGACCACGCACCTCATGTGCGACCTCTTTGACCTTCTCTGTCACAGTCTTGCCTGCGATGGGCGAGACGTGGAATGCGCGTGACGCGCCGCGGACGGCGGGCGTAGTGGAAGCGAATGCGGTGCGAATCATGGACATGGTCGTCGTGATCGTCAAAGGTTATGTTATCGTTGTGAAGCTTTGAAGTTTCAGGTCGGTCGGTCGAGATAGGAGAAGATGGTGGAGGGGCGGGTGGCGCGTCTCCTCGCTGAAGTACTGTGGGCGGCGGTGACGTACTGGATTCCACGAGAGGGAGCGCATGATGAGATTTGATGATGTCACCTGCACCGGTGGCCCGTCGTGGCTGCTCGAGGGCATATCGAGATCGCCGGAGAATTCCACTGATCAAATTGTGGCCACCCACGGGACGAGCTGCAGCCATTAAATGAGCTTGAGTACGTTCAACGTGCCGATCTGTCTAGGGATTGTGTATTCATTTAATGAAGTCTGACACCGACTCTAGCTAGTGTATCCGAGTATTTAGAATTTCAGACTTCCACAGCGCGAAGCAACCTTGACACATGTGGGCCATCCGACGTACTTAGTAGGCGCATTCCTACACTCCTGACGAGAGACAACAGTCTCGCAAAGACGGAATACCTTAAGGGCCTTCCTCAGAGAGGAAACCACAGGATGGATTTGCGTGATGTCCATCACAATATGCAGACAGAATACATTCTGGTCTTTGTGTCACATCTTGTCTCCTTCGCAGTCGAACAAGTTTCATCATGGGCTACGTACCAGCTGGGTGGTTGGGATGATTACTCCGAAGAGATCAGATATTGAGATGTCAATGATTGCCCCGAGGACAGGACTAGCACGACTTTCGGATGCGCTTAACGATTCTTCTAACGTTTCGAAGTCCGTTCAAGTTGTTCATCGTTGTCGCTTTCAAAGATTTGAGGTCCATGCTGACGCTCCCCCCTGTGGCTGGCACCAACTTAGTAACGACAACGACTGCCATGGCGGCCTGCCGCAGTCGTCTCCCTTTCAAAGCAGGTCGCGACGTGTGCACGATCCCACACGTAGCTTCCAACTATCACGGTCTCGCGAGTACGACTCGACAGAAACTCAGTGCAGAGTTCTGAGATTGATTACGATGGCAGTGTAAGTGAACTAATTTGAAGACGCTCATATAATGGCTGACGGGCATGACTTGATACGGATAATCAGAATGTTGTGATTGAGCTGTCAGCAAGGTCCCGCTTTAGGGATGCGCCATATGCAATCACGACGCCGTTGCACATGGGCGCACTGCCCTTCGCTTAGCTTCAGGCAAGTATAAAGTTCAAGGAGCACCACAGTGCCACCGCCTCAATTAACAACGGACATGGTTGGTGGCGCTGCATTGTACCGAAACAATGTAAGTACATCAAGTTCTGCCTGGCTGTATGTCAGGTGCGTCTGTTCGATGCGATGGTTGCCTGATGCTGACGATGCCTCAGTCTTCAAAACATTTGTGTCCCCTCCCTCTCCTCGACTTTCATTGGCCTCCAGCATGCACCTCCCACGGTGTCATCGACACTGTGCGCCGACACGGTGGGCGCGGTGGCTCGGTTGAGCGTGGTAATGTTGCCTCTCCCGGCTACCGAGCCCACATATCGCGTCGCTCCATAGGCTTTGACGTGGTACCTGATGTTTCCAGATCGCACATCGCGGCACCGGTATGCGCACATCGAGCTCCCATGCCCACGCTTTCTATCTTCCGTCGTCGACCCGGACGTGTTGCCCGTCTCTTCCACTCGTTCTCTTTCGCTCTCTGCCCCTAGTCAGGACGACCACGACCATCTGGATACGGCAAGACCCTTCGCTCCTTGACCTGTCATGCCTCCGGCCGCAGTCACACTGATCCTCACGTGTCTCTGCTCAGTATGGTATCACAGCTTTGTCCTCTTCGCCTCTGCCGAATGGGTCAATATTACCATCGACGACACCTTCGGAGACAACGTTAACGGCCAGCAGTTCGTCTATTCACCAGACGATAAGTGGACGACTGGACAGAACTGCACCGGTTGCCTTGCCCACCCCAATGCGAGTGAAGCCTTCGATCACTCATGGCATGACTCGTCGTTCTTCCCCGAAATTGAAAGCAGCGCGCCCAGTGCTTCTGTGTCGTTCAATGGTAGGTCCTGTGTGGTTTCGGCCCCCTGTTGAGATCAACATGGTTGATTCGAATCGGGCCACAGGCACGGCAGTTTACGTCTATTGCATCATCTTTCATTCAGATTTCTCGCCAGATGGGTACACAAATTTGAATTTTGCGATAGACGGTGAGATGGTGGGCGAGCCGTTTATCTCGATACCCTCGAACTCGACCAGTATCGATTACAATCGCCTGGTGTACGCCAACAACTCGCTTTCATGGAGCCCGCACACGTTGACTATCACAAATGGCGCGAATGGTTCACAAACATCTCTAGCGCTCCTGGATTATATCCAATATACGTGAGTTGTAATTCAAAAAGAGCAACACGCTATGCGCACTACTTATATTCCTCCAACGGCAGCACAAAAGTGCAATTGATGCCGCCGTTGTCGTCCACGATAACATCTACAACGTCAGCATCGACGACAACGGTGTGGCGGACAGCTAAACCTAGCGGCATGGATACGCAGACACGTGCTATTGTCATTGCTACCACAACCGTTGGCGGCGCTATTTTCTTTGCTCTCTGCGCCTTCCTGGTGTATTTCTGCAGGCGCTATTCATATAAGACATATGGGCCACCAGCAGAGGGATTTTCCATCCAGCCGACACAGCGAACCCTATGTGAGAGCGAACGGTCCAGTGGTTGGGTGGAGGATACGTGGACGAACAACCTCGTCGGACAGCGGTTCTCTCACATATCGATTCGGAGTGTACGGCAGACACTTCTGACATTCATAAGCGGGTCGGGTAGGAAAGGCGAACGTGCCAAAGATGACACACCCGTGTCGTCGGGACTCTATGCAACGAAGGTTGAAGATGACGCACCGATTGTGCTGGAAACAATATCCGTTCGCCATGGAATCTCCCCATTGCACAAAATCGAAGGCTCCTTGATCGATGGAAGCTACCGTGCGAGCCGGGATGCGCTTGCCACTCCTCTTGTTCAGGCGAAATCGCTTTCCGTCACCATACCTGCACTCCCTCCTTTACCGAAGCCCATCACCTCGACGCCTCAGATATCATCCCCGCTTCCACCCATCCCCAGACCTTCTACAGCATCCAAGCTGCCCGAGCGCCCCAAGTCAGAAGCGGCGCCCTCGCATCCACCGCCGACCGTCAAGGCGATCCGCCGCCTGACGGATATGCCCGCGGCGAAGACGAGCCCGACCGCGCACCGCACGAGTGCATTCGGGAGCGACCGCATGACGATTATGACATCCACGAGCGCACTGACGACGCCGACGAGCTATGTCCCGTCGGGCTTCTTTATTTCGAACCCGAGCACGCCTTACCTCCCCGCCCGCGCGGACAGCGTGAAGACGGTGGACCCGATGCCGCTCGTACCGAATCGTCGCAGGTCCAGTGCGACTGAGAGTGGAAGCACACCCCAGGAGAACATCCTGCCCATCCCGAGGCGCGGGCGGAACCCGAAGGGCGGCACGAGCAGGAGTCGCTCGCGCTCGACGGATGGAGGGCACAAGTTACCTCGGTAGCTGGCGGGGATGACCGGCCGCCGTCGTGTCGCACGGCGAGTCTTTGGCTTCAGATTTGGCGTGGCGAGGTCACGAGATGGGTGTTTGCGGTATGATGCCGGACTATCTATATTCGATTAGTTCTATCCTCGCGTCCATTCGCTGGGCTATGTATTGGCTATGTATTGACACTGTTTCTTTGTTGTATCGGCTGACGGGTTGAATTCTTCGCGTTTCATTGGATGTTAGAGGGTAGTGATCTTTCTCGCTAGTTCGATGTGTGCTGAAATGTTCATAGGTCCTCACTTTGATCAAAATCATCATGTTTGGGGAGGGTACGTCTATGATTAGTCTGAATGCATGCTAGGATTTCTAACGGCTGGGTTTCTATCGCCTGTTATCTAGGGTAGGAGTTCGCGAATAATACTACCTTGTTCGAATAACTCACAATTCCATACCTTCGAGAGTACAAGGGCAATCCTCATCTAGGCGCATGACTGAGGTGTCTCGCTCAAATGCCGTCAGCTGATGGCGTTTTCTATTCCTCTAGTCTTCGGCAAGAAAACCTCGGTAGCATGACTGTCAAGCGCTTCAATGCCGTAAATACCCTGCCGCCCATTTAGGTACTTCATGGCCCATCCTTGCCGGTTCTCCTTATCGCTCCGCATGTCAACGTGCTGCATCTTGCCGTTCCTACATATGAAAAATTTTATTCTCGGACATTCGCCATAGGCTCCCCGTGAACGAATGATATTAATATGTAAGGCACGCCAAAGCAGGGTATCAAACACGTCGTACGACAGCTACAGCTATATTTCACAGCCTACTCAACTGGAACCCGGAAGGGAAACACTGCAATTGTGATATTGCCACAGTAAGTTTCGCGGTTTATTTCAACGTGCTCATGAGATGTGTTCGTCGCGTCGCGTCGCGTCATGAGCACATATATGTGGCAAAGGGCGTTCCTGTCTAAACACGCTTATACATGCCATAGGCCTCCGTGGTGTTGGTAAGTAGCGGAATCAGTATCGAACGTAGATGTCCACTACTGATCCCTTATAGATCGTGCCAGCTTGTGGTGAACGGCAGGATGATTAGCTACATTGTGATCGATGATCAGGACCAATTTGAAAGCCCACTTGCCGCACTATCTGTCCCACTATTCACTGACTCTGCCGAGGATACATAAACGTGAACACGTGGGATGCGAAAATGTCCTCCCTCACTGCTTCTCAAAATCTAATGCAGCCGCGCTGCAGCTTTCGGTCTCTGAGACAAGCATCTAGTACCTATAATACCGTGAGTGTGCCCTACAGGATCCCGTATTGCTCATGTTATCACGAGACGTCCTTGAAGTCACGATATTCGCTGACTATTATGTTGTTGCTGACTATGATGTGTACGTATAGACTCATCTGGCGTGGATCTGCGAAGACAACCTGAGAATGAAGAAACCCACGGTGGCCCAGCTTCCGAGACTGAAGGCCATAGCAAACTTGACAGCTTTAACTTTAATGAAGTCTCTCTTCCAATGTCGGCCAAGCGACTGCCAGTGTTGGTCAGAATCCTGACTTCGAGGCTTGGTGTGGGCCCTCTTGGTAGACATAGATCCCACACTGACGATCCTCTACGCCAAATCAGTCTGTGCGTTTCCATATGTGATTTCATATCAGCTCCTTCTCAATTTCTACATCGGCAAGAAGATCCGCGACGTGACGGAGAAATACTTGATCGCCGACTTTCACCCACACCACGATGCGAGATGATTCGCATGAAGCTGTTTGCATGTGCAGACCGGGCCTGGATTGAAATCTCTACGTCCTCATCGCTGTTTTTGATCGCTATATTGTGTGATACTAAACATATGCTGTCAGCATTTATAGCTATCATCGTCCTACTGAGTCAGAGCATAGCAATTTGCGGAAGAGATCGGTAAGCATTAATATGGCATGACTGGACTCAGAATTCTCTCCTATGCAGCTTATAGTTATATGTCCGTCTCTGCACGGTGAGTACTTGCTTCCCATCGTCATCACTCCAGAAATAACGTCTTTTCATAAGAGACTATGCGTATGGAATCACGAATGACGGTCTCTCCGTGGCCGTCCTGCGTGCGCTCTACCGCCCTGTATGAATGAAACTCTCAGCCGTAGCTGATGACGAGACACTGCAGCCATGTTCATGCAGTCCTTCGGCGACGTTCATTGGAGCGTTCATTGGACCGTGATCTATCTATAAATATCTATCTTGTCGCTGGACGCTGTCATGGTTATATGCGGCTCGAGTGTGGGTATGAAGGTACGAACTTGTCACAGTTTCGTGAGACATCGCCGCAGCGAGTGCTGAACTATTCTGACCATGCATGATGTTCAGGCCCTCAAGAGAGCTTCTTTTGTTCTTTGCAAGGCACTGCTCGGATCAACTCTACCCTTACCAGGACGGCCAGTCTCTTCCGATTCTTGCCATATCAATATATTTCTACTGTGATTCGCTTCAATTAGCATTTCTCCGACGAAGTTCGGTGAAAATGATTTTATTGCAAAGGCGTTCAAGGACTCGGTCCGTCATTTCCGACTAAATAGATGTGCCTTGTTATTTCTTCATCATATGCCAAGGAAGGTTCGCCGTCGTATCATGCTGACAGCACCGGACTTGGGGCCCAGTGGAGATGTCCTGCATCTGTCTCAGTGCTGTCGACCATGCTTAGCGCAACACATCATTAACGAGTCTGGGTTGCTCTCCTGCTCTGCGGAGTCTCGTCTGACCTTGCGTGGGGATGAAGTTCTCCTGTGAATGTTCGGCGTGGCTGAATGAATTCGGAGGCTCGCGGTAAGGCGTCACGGATCGCGGTCAGCATGGAGCAAGAAGCCCGTCTATTAAGCCCTTCGCGTACTCCGTTTGCCGCAAAAGTGGCGATATATCTTGCAGGATCCGTGTTGGCCCGACTGGTTTATTCGGTTCGAGACAAACGCTGGTACTCGCCGGATATAAGAATGAGAGGGGATTGAGCGGCTCTCTGCATTCTAGGCTCCTCTGCTCGTTACGACACTTACGACGTGCACTTTACCTGACGAACCTATCATCAAATATGTCTTTCTTCAAACTTTCACTCAACAAGACTCATAACGTTCGTGCATACCGGAGGGCTCGGCTAGCTGAGTGACTGAGCCCCACATAGCGATCCGGCGGCACTACTCGCAAGCCTGCATTGGATGTCGTTGATCTTTCAGGGTCCACCCAATACACGATTCAACTGGTTAGTCCCCACATAGTCGCATTGAACTCGCCTCACCGTTTGCACCAGCCACTCGCGTCGTCGAGTTCTTCTGGCCCAAAATCGACATCACGTTCTAGTGACGTGGTAGGTTGTCTCTTCGCTGTCGGACGTTCTCCCTATTTAACGCTCCTACGCAGGCCGAGATGCTCGACGAGGACAACATGGCCTGGGGGTCCCCACCGAAGAAAATTAAACACAACAAATCAACCTGATACTCGCAATAATGCATGCGCACTCGACTCTTCTCGAACGCGGGTAAAGCACAAGATGGACAGCGATGGTAATCTCCTGTGCTAAACCTCACGAATCACCGGGGCATCATGACCCACGAAAGGCCTTCCTGCACGCACATTGGACAATGGTCGGACATTCTGTTGGCAGACGAGTTATATATTTAATGAGCTATTATCATGTGCATAGTACTGTCATCGTTGATCGCACGAACAGATTTAATACATATATTCCAGATACAACGAGAGACTTTCATACAATCAGCTTAGGAAGGTGCAACAGCTCCGGGCGATTAGAGCCGCGCTCGCTCCAGAATATATGGCGAGGACTTGATCGACTTGACTTTGTCCACATCGGCCATAGAGACTGGCTTGCATTGATGACCATGGTTATAACCAAGCCTAGAAGAACTGGTCAGAGCCTTCGATAAACTTCTTCGCCGACTAAACCGCACCTGTCTCTTCCATCCTCGCCTTCCGCATTGAAGAACTCAGGCCGGCGAAGCAAGCTGCATACAACGGCCCCTCCGATGCCGATGTTGTGCACTAGGCCATATTTGCCCCTCTTGTCAGTGTCGAACAGACCGGGCGCTTGCATCGGTCCAGCCCCTGGAACAGTCGGACAGTCTTCGTTAGCATTCGCATCCTGTAGGCGGGTGTAGAAGCTCACACTGTCGCAATTGCACTGATAGCCGAGTGGTGAGCGGTGTTTCTGCGGACGGATGCACGAGAGCTACTTACTGGTGATATAGAAATGCATACCTAGACCGGTTGCTCCGAGCGGGTGGCCCTTCGCTTCAAGGCCACCACTGGGGTTGATCACGTATTTCCCACCGTACTGAGATGAAAGCTGTTGGTGAATGTTCAATTGGGATTCATGAGTAACGTACCGTGATATCCCCTTCCTCGACCATTCGGTGCGCTTGGCCAGGTTCGCATAGTCGAAGCGCCTCGTACGTGATCAGCTGTTGAGAATGATGTCAGGAAAGGAAAGCAGCTCGCCGGGCGTAGTGTCAGGTGTACCTCGTTGGCTGCAAAACAATCGTGCAACTCAACCACGCCAACCTGATCTCTGCCATCGCGCTCATTGAATCCAGCATCATGGAATATCTTATCTGCACATTTCTGCGTCATTCCAAAGCCGACAACTTCCATGGCACTCTTGCTCTCAAAGGTCTCCGGTTCATCGGTGTACAGCGCCTGAGACACAATCTCAATTGCCTGGTTTTCCAGTTTGTGCTTGTGCACGAAATCCTCTGAAGCAACAATGCAACAGGCAGCGCCATCCTGAGGATGGTCCGTGAGCAGACGTTGACAACTATCATGAATGGACAAACTGAAGTAGGACTGCACATGAACTTTGTCAGCTGCTTGTTGATCTTGGGAGCAGCGAGAATTTGTTCAACTGTCCAACCGTCTCGGAATTGCGAATATGGATTATTAACTGAATGCTTGTGATTCTTAGACGCTAAAGGTGAGCATGCCATCAGCACATATGCTCGTTAACATTAAACTTTTTGACAAAGCCTAACCAATCTGCGCAAGATGCGTCATGTTCGCTCCATGTTTGTCAAAGTATTCTTGTGCTGCGTTGGCGAACATCCTCGGGGCACCAGGCCCATAATTCTGACCACTACTGAGCTTCACCTCAGCTTCTTCCGTTGCATCAGCGAATGGGGCAGTGGGGGACGGCCTGTCGGGAAAGTTTGTGCCGAGACTGCCCGGCGCCATCCTTTCAAAGCCTAGCGCGAGGGCGCATTCCGCCAGTCCGGATTTTACCATGTTGTTCGCATGGTAGAGCGCGGTGCTCCCGGTTGAACAATTGTTGTTGACGTTCGTGATAGGTATGCCAGTCATGCCGAGACTATATAGTGCTCTCTACGAGTATGTACGGCGTCAAATTCTCAAATTGGTTGTATTGCGTCTAGCGATGGTCGCTCACCTGGCCACTCGTGGAGTCACCGTAGCAGTACCCTACGAAAGCGGTTTCCACTGCATCATATGTGATGCCTGTGTTGTTGAGTTGGTTCGAATTGGTAATCAATGGTTCTCAATGCCACATGAGTCAATTGAAGCGTCACCTGCATCGAGGAGCGCTTTCGTTGCGGCTTCTAGTCCCATCTATACATTATTCCTCATCAATGAGCGTTCCATGTTCATGATAAAGATTGCACTCACGTCTTCTGTTGTCCGTGTAGCTCGAGGCTGACAGAAATAAGAGAGTCTTCGTTATACAGTTCGTGACGACTCGAAAATTGCAAGACAGCATGGATCTCCTGCTCAATGCTCACCTTGATGAATGCAGTACATCCTGCTCCCACGATGAAACTGCGTCGTCCTTTCGAGTTCATGTTGGGTCTGCTATCTCGTCAGATGTCGTCGAACGAGAACAAGAGGAGCAAGGCACGCTAGGCTGTACATTGTTATTGTAGTCGGCTGCTGCTCGAGCGCGCACGATCATATGCCTTGTCGGCAGGCAGCCTCGGGCGCTTAATTGTTAACGATGCCCGTAGTTGTCAGCTTTGCTCATGACCACGATGTCCTCTCTCCCGCCAATATTCTATCACTATTTCTCGACACCTCTTCCATACGCAAGGACCCTATCTTTACAGGAATATTTGCATAAGATTCAACTCACCCAGCGACGCGCTGGTGTGAATTACAAGGATCTACTGCTATTGCTGCAGCATCGACCAGTGTATACGGCTGGACGCAGACAGGTGTCCTCTTCTCCGGAGGTCGTGGCTGAGGCAGCTCGCCTGAGAGATATTGGTGCAGACTTTGTTGCTACGCAGCGGGGGGGTGAGACGACGTACCATGGACCCGGTCAGATTGTCGGCTACCCGCTTTTGGACCTCGGGCGCTGGTCGCCCCCACTCGGCATCCGAGAGTACATATGCAAAATGCAGAAGACCCTCGAGGCGCATCTTTTGGAGGCACACGGCATCAGGCATTACCCGAGCGAGCACACCGGTGTTTTCTTAAACGACCACACGAAGATTGCCAGTATCGGGGTACAGGTTAGGCATAGGTTGACAACCCACGGCTTCTCTCTTAATATCACCCGAGAACCCCTTGCGTGGTTCTCAAGGGTGGTTGCGTGCGGGCTGGCGGGTGTCGATGCTGGATGTATTGCCGATGCTACCACCCGTCCCAACACTCATATCACTGTGGAAACCGAGGTGGATGGATTGGTGACTAGGTTTGGGAAAATGTACGGAAGAGATATGGCCAAACTCAATATGGGCAGCGAGGAGGAAGTGGTGCAAGCGATACGGGCCGTAGAGAAGGAAGCAAAGCAGGCAGAAGGCTGGCTTGAAGCACCAACTCAATAGTCTGTTTCGAGGTTCGTCCCCGTTTTCGATCGTGTTCGGAACGTCTGTCGTTTGATTGGATTGCTGTCGTGTTGATCACGCCATACTGGGTCCAGGCTCCAAATTTGAGGAACAACCAACTACCGATTCGAACCATGCTATTGTTCGTTATATAAACTCAGGGCCGGACCTTAGCGGTCAAGACATTACAGAGACTGCAAGGCTCGCGACGATACCGGAATCGGAAACACGTAGATAAGGGATACGCAATTATATGGGCTTCTGAACTCCTGGTTCTCTACACGCACGACTCCGCTCACGCAAGGCCTACAGGGCAAGTTCTCACCATCAACTTATACCTTTTGCGCTGAATGTGCTGGTATGCCGGATGCATATTGAACGTAGGTTAGGCTGGCAGTATTTGATCCGCAGACTGTGAGGAATTGACATCATCGCCGCCGATAGTCATGCACCTGATGACTCGGTGTCCCGCCGCTCTCAGCCCAAGCCCGAAGGTTTCTTCCGTAGCGCGGAGCTCATGTGGTTTGTTAATGCAAACACTACTCAGACGAACGTGCGGTAAACCCCCGGCAGCTTGAATCACTTGACGTTCATCATGCCAAATCAAGTTGTCTTCCCTCATGTCCTTCGTGGACGATCTACATACTGCGTCTGCGTGCAACTTCGAATCGCTGTCCCGCTCGGCGTTACCATGTACATGTGTCTGACCTTACACGTGTAGACGCTTTGAATGCTTGCTCCGTTCTTCCTCCGGTTCTCGGCTGAAGTCCTGAGGTCGTCTTCAGGTACTGTACCCTCGCAATACCCGTAAGATCGTTAGATCGTTCTCACATATCGTCACATGCAGCATATACTCCACCTCCTCATGTCCCCGGGCGTTGTGCGAGCCTCGCAAGTGATGGCATTTCTGGGCGCTTTCATAGACTGATCGATAGTTACGCCGCAATGAGTCTACCAATGCACCCTCCGACGTATTGCACCCATCCATTCCACGGGAACGAACTAGCTAATTCGGCCATCCCTATGAGAATGGGCGAACATGGACCGCATGGTTTGGCTACGGCCCATGAGCAGAGCCTCAAGCGAGCTCCATCCGTTCATGAGCAGCTGTTGTCAGGTGTAAGAGCCCGTGCATTGATCTTCTGGACGTTCCATCTGGCAATCAGGCCATGACCGCCTGTATTTGGCTCTCACATGCTTCTGCCACCGATGCCCATGCTGGCGCTGCGAAGCGGCTCAGGACCTGAGTCCGCAGGTTCGGTTTGCAATGACTGTTCTAGCGATGAATCTCGGGAAGGCATGCGTCTTCAGTGCACATGCGACAAGATCTCGGAGGCACATGGATGAGCCTCAACATCCTGGGACAATGTCTGCCAAATGTCTCGATTATAATATGGTCTGACCCACCGAGAGGTATAAAGCGCGTCCATTCGCGTCGTGAACGTCAGCCTCCTGTTGCTCCGTTGGCCGACCCTTCCCCTCTTCCAGCATCATGTGGTCTGCACTTACATCCCTCCTGATAACCTCAACTTTGGCCTTGCGAGCGCTCGCGGAGACTTGGTCAATAGATGCCACCTATATTGGTCAAGATTTTCTTAATGCTTGGAGCTTTGAAAACATCACGGACCCTACCGGTGGAAGAGTGTGAGTAGCAGCTTCTAGTTCGCACTACGTGGCTCGCCCTGCGATTAGTGTCGCTCATTCGTACGCTTGCGCGGCCTGTGCTGACGTTACTTAACCTAGAACCTACGTAGACCAGGCAACAGCGCTAGCGGACAACTTGACCTACGTTACGGACGACACGCTCATCATGCGCTGTGACTATACGACAGTTCTGACATCCGATGATCCAGGACGGAACAGTGTCCGTATCAAGAGCAATGCACAGTACAACTACCATGTTACTGTGTGCGTTACAAATAGAAAGCTTCTTCGCCAAGCCGTTGACCCTCATTTCCCATAGTTTTAATATTAGGCACATGCCACAGGGCTGCGCCACCTGGCCAGCTGCGTGGGAAACCAATGACAGCGATTGGCCAACAGCGGGCGAGGTCGACGTCGTGAGTGCGCGCGTTCTGCATGGAACGCCTTATGCGACTAATAAGTACACCTTATCTAACCTCCTGGACGACGCGATGCTGTAGTGAGTCGACTGTCACGCATCATCTTCACCTCATCTCTGATGTTACTGTCGGTAGGATCGAGGGTGTCAACTCCGTGACCCCAAACACAATTTCGCTGCATGTTGGTAGCACATGTGCGATGCCAGATAGTCTCAATGAGACGGGGTTAGTAATAGTCTGAAACTTCGGACAAAGTCTGGCTCAGCAGCATTTTTTGTTCAGCACTCCAGGGTCGACTGACTGCGATACGTACACTGACAACAACAGTGGTTGCAGTGTGCAAAACCCTACAGACAATAGCTTCGGCCCCGACTTCAACGAAGCAGGAGGAGGATGGTATGCGATGGAGAGGACAGCTGACTGGGTGAATGTGTGGTTCTGGACGAGAGATGCCACCGATGTACCTTCAGACGTTTCTAGCGGCGCTGATTCGATCGATACGAGCAACTGGGTACGTGGTCTCACGACGAGTCTTCCACAGAATGTGCCTTACTATCGTCGCACGCAGGGAACCCCCATCGCGTACTTTCCTAACACCGATTGCGATATCGACTCAGTCTTCGCAGCCAACAATATCATCTTCGATCTAACTCTTTGTGAGCAGTATTGCATCGTCGGTATTTTCCAAGTACTGAACTTGATTTCCAAGGTGGCGATTGGGCCGGTGTAGCCTCAATTTATGAAGCTGCTGGCTGCTCGGGTACCTGCGACGGTATGTAATCTTCACATTTCATGAGACTGGGTACCAGCTGACATCGCTTACCAGATTTCGTGAATGAAAATCCAAGCGCTTTCTCCGAAGCGTACTGGGATGTGGCTTCTGTTCTGGTCTATACGTGAAAACCAGTCCTCGCACTGGCATGACATCTCTCACGCTCTCCCATGTTCCTCATTTGGCTGGCATTATCATTCCATACACATCGATGGGGTAATCGCTGGAGCATCACGCCTGTATTTGTACCTGGTATCGCAACACAGTAGGCTCAGTTCCGTTGTTCATTGTCACAGTCCCACGTCTGAATGTATTCCTTCACAATGCATCTTCTATGAATCAAACGCTGGCCATAAATGTTCTCAGAAGCAGATCTGCGAAGCTAGCCAGAAGACATCGCTGGGCTTTCGAAGCATGGCATTGGTCGATAAGTATGTATTGCGTCCGGAACATGCGCTGAAAACCGCACAAAATAGTCTCCCGTGGGCAGACGAGACGATTCTTTCAAACCTCCGCGGGAATGCTCCAGATATCCTTGTCTGACCAAGGAGTCGAATGCTGGAGTCGAATGCTGAAAAGCAGCGCGCATCATAAGCAGCGTACGACCGAATGGGTGAAGATCTCATCTCTACGTGCTAAGATTTGGTGAAGCGTATGCGACAGCTGCCAGTTACTATGCCGCTATGGTAAACTGCTTTGGTGCCAAATATGCTGCTTAATCTGCTTGCTCGCTTCCTCATAGTCGAGCACATGAGTTTGTAAGAACTCTTCCAATAAGCTGTCAGATTAGAAAAAGGAAACTCGGGAGGCTAATCACATCGATACGCCCTTGCCTATACCAGCCAGCCACTCTTCGGCATTGCTAGTACGATCTTTATGAGCCATACCACTGATCTAAGAGGAGTCGATAATCGTCCAACGAGCAGACACAGTCTCCTTATCATGGCGAATCAATTGCTAAAAGCGGTGCACCTGTTCTTGATTTCTTGGCAAGTTTTTCGCAATCGCTCCTCGCCAGCGGGTTGCAAGATGTCAAGCACCCCACAGTCCACACGTGGCGGTATCGTTCATCTTGACGGTAGGGTGGCGTGGAACGGCGGCGGACACGATCTCCTCATCACAGTGTGTCGTGTCGAGGCTATGAAAACACAACTTTGTTCGCAGCGCGCTGATTCAACGCAGCTGTGATGTTATATTCAGAGTGGACAATAGGCAGAGAAAGAAAGATCTTATTCACAAGTAGAGTGAACGTCAGACCCGAATGTCCATTCGCAGTCGTCATCGAAGCCTGGAGCATTTCTCTCGATATCCGCAAGGACCTTCCCCAAGCGTGCGCAAATTCTTCCTTTACATGGGTCTTCATTCCTCCACATTTCTTCGCTAATACGTTCTCCAGAATTTCTAGAAGCACTGCTCACCAATACAGCAGTTGGCGACCGGAATGCCTAGTCGCAATGTATTCGAGATAGGTCGGGAGTAAGTTCGTGTTCTTCCGGCCGAGAAGACCGCCGATGTTGAGTGTATCTGGATTAACGATGATGTTGCGATCAGGTAGTTCTCCGTTTGTGAAAACGAAGCGATCCTTTTTGACGAGTATATATTTCTATTTGCAAAATGACTCCGCGCGACGTGTGTCCACGACATGATCAACGATGGCGGCTCGCTCGCTTGATTTGTTCCTCTCATTCCACAATCTAGAACAAAAGAGCCTAGTCTTTCGGGAAGAACGTAGTGCCTGTGACCCGGCTGTCCGGCATACTTGAATGCGATCTTTCGCATTGAAAGCAAAATATCACATAGCTAATCCTCGGTGATTGTGCGCCCCGAGGCAGAGATCGTCCCATAGCGTGCTGAGGGGAATGCCTCGCACCTAGTCCAATATAATCGCGTACTCATTGTTGGGTGTTCGAACGAAGGCATGCATTCTTGGGACTATGAGCGTGCCCTCAAGGACGCAGCGCTCGAGGACAGTCATTGGAAACTTCACTCTCGCTACCATCTATCTTGAGCAGACGCGATGGCATCAGATGGCAATGGAAGCGACGATTAATGATGGGGGTGGTGGAGCTTTCGAGATGGATGAGGTCTTTGTGTACGAGCGGCGGCGATTTCCACGTCTGGTTGACAAAATCAGGCTCCCAGTTGACGTTCATGAATTTGCTGATGCCCCTTGCATGTTATCCGGAGTGAGCTGTCTGCTTTATGCGTAATTGTGCTAATTGTCCGCAGCTGCAGCATGAGGGCCGTTCAGGTATAGAAGCACGTTAGGAGCGACACTGCCTGTTATTTTTGCGATATGCAAATCTATTCATATATAAATCAGACATCATCGCGGGAAGATAGAACCAACTGAAGCCTACATGAACCGAGAAACTGCTCTGAATGTTTTGTGAAATCGCAAGCGATCTGCGCAGCCTGCTTCGTCATGAACGAGTAAAACACCCTCGTTCTGATCGATGTTGAAGAATGCACATTAACGTGAACAAGAAGGAAACAAAGGGGGCCGAGAACGTCGGAGGTGGAGAGGGCAGAAATGGCTGTGCTATTCTCATGCGTGGTAAGCGTCAGAACGCAGATGTGAATTTGAGATGGATTTCGTTGTGTAAATCCATTCCTAAGCTAGTGATGTATCCGGTGACGTTGGAGTCTAGGAGACCAGTTGGTCAACTTCGTCACATCTCGCAAGTGGAACTTAACGCCTCGGTATTGAAGAATTTTCATCCTTCTCGAATCTCATGTGAGCTGCGTACGATGGACTGCACTGGAGGAAACCGTGGAGGTCAAGTTCTTACTTAAAGTTGTACGTGCTCATTGATACATACCGTTCTTCCCAGCATAATTCTAGTCGTAGATCTAGATCACCAAGCCTTCAATGGGACGATATAAGTCACTTTTCAATCCGTGCAGCACTCTTCATGTCATAGAATGAGTCTAGAGGGGTGACGAGACCGCATTAATATGAGGTTGAGTCCGACTCAACGAGTACAACAAGCCAGTGGAAAGGGAGTATCGATGTTCGAAGAAAACGGTTTTGTGTTAGCCGCACCAGGAGGTTGGTTGAACTACTAGGGTGAACTTCCTATACATACCCCCGCGCGAACGACCCAGTTGACCTATCATTTCAAGTTGACACTACTCTTCAGTGGCATAGTATTTGATGTTGCGGTACCTTTGCCTTGCCAGTGCTTTCTCCTATATAGGTTTGACCAATCTCGTCTATTGCTTGCATCAGCCTGAAACCTCAAATCGACTTGTGGCCCGAGAGCCTCCTTTTTGACTGGTTCTCTAGGCTGGTTTTGGCTTGTGCAAGCCAATTAGCACACGATAAAACCTCCTAACCCGGAGAAAAGTTCAGAACAAGGAGGTTCTGAGGCTTTTCTTGAACTTCCTGTCTTTTTGGTGATGGCAAGCGGATAAAAGTGTCATAAGTCGAGTTTGAGTTTTTCTGATGGCCTTCGAACCTGAACGAGCGCCTCCAATGGGGGCTGCCCGGGCTGCCCGCTCGGGCCCACTGCTCAGCAACTCATCCTCGCCGCGACTGGCACGCAACGGAATGTGAATTAATGAAACATTGAACTCAAAATCTCCTCACATGAAACATTCCTATCTTGAGATACACAAACTTCTAAATGCAGGAGCTTTCACGGACAGAATCTAGCCCATCTTTAGCCTTTGTGCAACTCGCAAGACATCATCCCATGAAATACCGTTACTGAGTGCCTGGCAGTAGTACGCAGAGACATACAAGCGAGTTTTCGATGCTCAAGTGCCAGTGCCAACGTAGCTGATGACGGACCTGTATTCTGCGCAAATGCTCAACAGTCTCGTGCACAAAAAGTTACGCGACGGTAATTACATTTTACACGTCCTCAGACCTTGTATAATTGGGTGGGATTACAGTGGGTGCTGTGTTGGACGGAGTCCAACGTCCAGTTGACCTTTACCCCATCATCCTGAGTTTGCTGTGCAAAGTCTGTGCTGCAGCAGGTCGTCTTGGGTCGGCTTCCGGACAGTCCGGTAAAGACTGAGCTCAGTAGTATTCTATGTAGAACAGGCACCAAAGCTCGTAAGGCATCGCTTCGGATCCCAAAATATCCGACCGTGAGGAAGTCCAAGTTCGCGATCGTCAGGTGAATGATTAAGTCGATTCTCAAACTTCATCAGCGGGTCTCACAGCCTCCCTAGGTCATATTGGAAATCTCACATAGTAGTCGACTTCGAAGCACATGCTGCCATGCTAGTGTTCATGCGAACTGAAATGGTACATGGACAGAATGGTGTGAAAAAAAGGTACTTTATTGTTCTTATCTTATTGACCGGTGATCCCGATACCCAGTCTCGGTGCTGAGTGAATAAGAAGTTGACCTTCCGGCGTCCGGGTGCAGCACGAAACTTCACATCCTACCAATCAGCCTCAATATATTGAATGTAAGACGATGCTTAGCACGACAGTTTTAAGACTCGATGCGTGTCGCTGCTCCACGCAGTTGCGACTTTTGGTGCCGAGGTTTGTCCGACTCTAATTGAGACATACATAGCATCTTTTGAAAGATCAGCCTCGTCGTGGATTTTATCACACAAGCAGGACGCTATTCAATGATCGAGGACTGTCGACAGCGTACCGAAATCGGAGCGTTTTCTCCCTTCCGCTGTCACCATCGGGTTCCAGCATATCATGCAACCAATGCTACATTCCTTCAAGGCAGGTACTCATATCAGGCTCGCATACAGAACCTTGGGATCAACTCAAACAGCCCCTTCCATGCTCGTTTAACGGTTTATATGCACTCATAAAGTGGATGCGATCATTGATATGGTGTATCAATCGCAAAAATTACATTTTAGCCGCTATCACTGTCGCAATGCATTGCGCAGGCCATCGTCTGCCAGTGGAACTTGTCGCTACAGATCACAGGATATGTCCGATAGCGCTCGTACTCAATGAACTATGAGCAGTGGACGCTGCTGCAAAACTACACATGGGAAAGTGTCAACTTTGTCGCCTAGGAGGTCTCGACGGGCCCCACGTGGTATCCTCATAATCCAACATCTCCGCCTGTTGAGTAACGTCCGAACGTAAGCGAAATTTGACATGATGATTATCCCCCCGCTATACTCACAACGTTGACCGGTCTTGCGGTAATTCCTTTCTTTGGGGATGTGGGACGGGTTGTGGAACCTTTTGGCTGAACCGCATCGTGAGTCGACGAAACGACAGTTTCCGTAATCGCTAACTGACCAGTTCCACGACGTATGCTACGGTGCTCGGCATCAAGATTAAATGTTGTCGATCATCTGCAGTTGCTAGCGGTGCAGAATGCTGCAAACGGCGAAAACTTGTCAGTGGCCCAAAGAGCATGTCAGCATTGTGAAGCGCACTTTTGGACTCATACGAGTCTTCAACAATGATATGAAGGATTGCATTGTAAGTCGTGTATTCGAAGCGAAATCACCGGCAGTAATGATATAAAACGATGCACCGCATCTTCGTTCTTTATAAATGTATCGAAAAAAACGATCGGGCCGGTGTGCTCTCGAAGTCAAGCAACTGCTTCAGCGCGAAGGGTCCAGGTCACGCCTGCTGACATCGCTGATCGCTCATTGCTAAGACATAGTGTCCGACGCACGGGACGAGACAACATCTGGAATCCTTTGAATGTGAAGAACAAGTTCGGTCCTCCCAACTTCTCCCGAGCTCGCAGAAGCCGTATTGGGCGCTGGGCGAAATTGAGGTCCACCTCGAGCCATCTCGGTTGTAGAACCTCAGAAGAGGTCTCGATGCGAAGCATAACAGCGCTATTGCACCGTCAGCCGCCCGGGAATCTAGGCGGCGACGTACGGGAAATCGACGATAGAACGAATGATCGGTGTCTTCAAGGTACTTTGCCTCCGTGATATCGAGAAAACGCTGGTATCACCGAGCTCTTATTATCGGGCATTACATGGACACGGGACGGAACTCCGTATCTTGCTGTCGCATGCGAAACCTGGGTTCCGATACAAGCCTGGCGTAGCAGTGGCAGTGGCCGTTCATCCCGTGATGCTGACTGCATGGTTGCATGGATCGTCCGGCGAGCAACCAAGTGAAGCATACGCAAGCTTAGTCAAGCTCAGTGGTAAGCTGTCCCGTGAGTCTAAGGCACAGTCCCATGAAACCACATTCAATTGTCCGAAAATAAGCTGCTGGAGTTGTTCCTGGCATCATTGCTAGGATATGTTTTGCACAGTTTTCGTTCATGATCGCCCTGACATCTAATGAGAGAGGCGTGCGTTTCGGAAAAAAAAAGAACTCCATTGGAACGCTCCGATAGCTACTGCGCTGAAGACACTGCGTGGATCCTCGCCTTCTGTGGTGTACTTTGTTATAAACTACCAAGTGAATCCCTCCGAAGCCCATTCGGGCATTTCGGTTTCGAACGTCCCCAGGCTGGTGGTATACCTTAATGCATGCAGGAAGATATATAGGCGCTCCGGTTTTGGATCAGGATGCAAGGGAAGATAGCACTCTGGACAGTACGAAGCAACCTCGGCGGCAGTCAACGTATGGGATGATTCATCCATGATCGGAGCAGGGACGGGGAATTCCGATGGAGTGAGTAGAACGGGAGTCTCAGTGGGGGATTCAGCCGTCTGCAGCGATTCGAACTCCTGCGCTTTTTCAAGCGCTTCCTCCAAAGTCAACTGTGTTGGCTCTGGCTCTGTATTGGCAGCGCCATTCGCGCCATCATCCTTTTCATGAGTGACGGAGCGGTGTACAGGGCCTCCTCGTTTGCGTCTGTTCTGTGGAGGAAGAGGCACTTTCACGCCATAAGGAGATAGTGCGCCTTTAGCTCGGAAAACAACGTCGCGCCAACGACTCCAATCTTCGTTTTCATCCTGCAATACGAAGGATACCAGCATAACAAGGCAATGTCGGTACATGAACACAGAACGACGTGTTATTTGCAGCGTCAGAGGCGGTCAGGGACAAGAACGTACCTTCATGTTCCTCAACCGGGTGATAACGCCCACCATTTCAGCGGATAGCGGTACTGGTGAACCCAATCCAATATCGTGTCCCGTTTCCCGCGGTAACAATTTAGGACGGCCTGCGGACGTCTCCTCCTCTTGACCGTCCTGGTTATTCGACGTCTTACCAGGCAGTTCCTTGGGTTCCGTTGGTTCAGCGTTTAGTTCCGGAGTCCTGGATGGCTGTCTTCGCGAAAGCGATTCCGGATTGTCGGCCCCCTGCAAGTTAAATTGTTCTGGCGGCGCGGGCGCCGAGCGTTCGTCACTTGGAGTCAAATCTAAACCACCTTTGCCAAGTTTTTCTCCCTATGAAGGACGCGCGATCAGGATCAAAATTAGCTCGGCACAGAAGACTCATGGATTTGCGAGGAGTCCACGAGGAGAGGGAACCGTGCCTACCCATATTTTTGTCTTTGAGTAAACGGGATCGTTCGCGATAGGGTAGCCGAGGAATTGCAAATGTACGCGGATCTGATGAGCTATAATCGAGAATTAGTCAACGAGTTGGACACGATGCACCAATTTAACTCACAGCGGCCCGTGAACGGCCGACCTGGGCAAACAATGTAGCTTCAGTTGATGCCATCAGAGTGATCGAGCATTACGTACAATGTACTACACTCGTATTTGTGTTCACATCGTAGTGCAACCGCTTGAATGTTGTTTTAGCTGGCTACATAGAAATCAAAGGGATTAGATACAGAGTGATTGAGAACCCGCATGATTTACCTTGCCCTCGGGATGAACGATATTCAGACCCATTTGTCTGTCGACTGTAAGCAAAGGCTCTTCGCATATGATCTCCTCACTGAACAAATCTTTGCGGTCAAGACATGCGTCATAGCACGGAAGGGGCTCGTTGTCACTTACGTGGGAAATTTACCCTTGCACCGAGCAACGTACTGCTTTCTAACGAGACCAGTGGCAAATTCCTGAGACAAAGTATTCGCCAACGATGCAGATAGTGGGATAATCATAAGCCCCGAGGTCAGCCGGTCCAATCTGTTGATGGCTAGTCAAGAACAGGATCAGCATTAAGTCTCCAATTTGTGGAAAGCACAGAGAATACCGGGGAAACATACTGTGGACTTTCTCAAGGCCGAAGTCATTCTTGAGAATCTCGACCAGACTATTGCGGAAGTAGCGGCCGGTGGCGTGGACAGGCTATACATGGTCAATTAGGCTTGAAATAACCGTCACAGTGAGACAAAACGCACGATTGATCCTGGTTTATCAAGTACTATAAATTGACGTTCCTGGTCATGATGTACAATGCGGACCGGTGTTGACGTTACCGGGGGCTCGTGTCTATGCACCACATTCCTGTGACCATTATTAAATTAGGCGACTGTAGATCAAGTCATGCAGCCGGTAACGCAATGCCTGCAGCACGTACTCGATGCGGTCTCCGTTCTGAATAATGGTGCCCGGCTTCGCCACCTTGCCATTAATTGTGGTCACTCCAGAGTCAAGGGCATATCGCTACTCTTGGCAGACCGAGTGTGAGTGAGCGATATATAGTGCAGTTCGCATCTGAAATGATGACTGATCGATGGAGCCTGAGTCACGCCATAAACGGCTGCATAGGTCCCATCGATCCGTCATGCTGTATGGATGGCAGAGAACTTGACAGCAACGTACATAATACTCCATTGACCGGTCACGGAACTCTGTAGACACGACCTCCAAAATCTCTCGTCCTAGCCAACGACCCTTCGCCATAGTCGTATGCGGGTACCAATATGGCGGTATCTTCTTGAGACTAAGTCGTGTCTTTGGCGGTTGAGAGCTCGTGAGTTGTGCCGTATCGGCGGAATCATCGGTTTTTCCATATGGATCAGACATGGTGGAAATCAGAAACCGAGACACAACGTGGCGAAACAGCTGCCTGTCTGGGATAGAGACGAGCGGGTAATGGACTCTGGAGGGTCGAGAAGACACCGCTTGTCCCAGTATGTCGGAAGCCAAGGTGTCAGATATAGGTCGTAAGAGTTTTGGCAAGAGTTAAGCTATTTGCGCCCTGCGGTCGCAAATTTTACGGAGACGTGGAGGACGATGTGGCGGCACGAACTGAATGCAGCGGCCACAAATTTGGTGCCTGAGAGTTACGATCAGTCACGGGCGTGTAAATTGTGACCTATCGTGACGGTAGAGCGTTCTCCCAGGACCTGCTTGCAGGGTACCCTTGTTAATGCATTGAGCGAACAATTGAGTACACGGTGTCATCCACTCTAGTTCAACATTAATCTAAAGTGCGTAATCCGAATGTTTCAGTAGCTCCTCCCATTTAAATTCTGTGGGATTATCATGGAACGACTCCAGCAACGCCGTTCGCTCGTTCTTCCCTTCACTCCACAGATAGAAGTTTTGCACCGCTATCGCCAAGAGCTGAGCATCCTGCTGGCTCAATAAATAGCTTCCCTCACTTCCATCAGCAGCACGAGCGTGAGCAGACGGTGTGATCTCTCCTCGCAACAGGACGAGTCCGTGCGAGCGGGCAAGGTCAGTGTAGTGTGTCAAGATCAGGTATGGCGTAGCAAACGAGTTACGGAGCTTGTACTCCTGCAAGGGAGTGAACAGGATCGTCGATGTTTGCGGGTTGGAAGAGGGCTGTCGAGGTGCGAAGAGGTCCCTGGACGGTTCCGGCGGTGATCCATGGAAGCCCCATTGCATGAAGTAGAACTCGTGCGCCGATTTGTTGTCCTTCTGCTCGTCTGTATGCCCGCCTGGTCTTGGAAGGGGAACCAGAAAGGCCGGGTATCGGCGTGCGACGCTCATCATCTTCTCGTAAGTATCAACAGGGATGCTGGCAGATAAGAAGCCACGCCCGGTGCCTCCAGAGCGAGAGTCATGATACGCTCTCCACAGAACGGAGATCTGATCAGGAGTATGCGGAGTACTAATCAGGCGATCAAGATTCAGGATGCTGTTCAGCGGCTGAAAGCGCAAGGTCAAGGATTTATCGCTTGCGGGTTTACCAAACGATATGACAGACATACTTTAACAGGAGAGCTGTCCTTCCTCTCACTTACACCCGCGCGAAGTAACTTGGCAGACTCTGAGAAAGAGGCACTATCCGCTTTGAGCGCCTTTGCTGCTTGCTCGGCCTCAAGGTCTCTTTGTCGCCGTCTCTCCCGCTCCTGTTCTCTCAACTCCTCGCGAAGCTCATCAAAGGTCATCCCGCGTCTACACAAAGAACATTCTGAGTCCTCCACTCACTAGGTGCATGTCGCGAGGATACTTACTCTTGGGCCCGCTTCTGCAGCTTCTCCGCGTACTTTGATTCATAGTGCAGACCTTGCAGCTGCCGAGCGGTGGAGCAGAATTGACACCTGCGTACCGGTTGCCTGATGGCGGACGAAATGAGGGAAAGGCGAGCCAGGTACCGCATGCTGGCGATCCTGCACGTTGCGGTGTGCAAGCAGCGAAATTGCAGAAAGAGGCAGGCAGGCGCCCTAAAGCTAATTGCATGCACGGGGGCACGTGGATCCGGCAAGCGGCAAAGCGGGATTGGCCGAGTGACCTCAGTCGCGTAGACCCCGCAAGGCTGCAGGAAACGAGCGACCTTCTCCGACCTGCCTGCCCCCTCGGCAACGCCTCGAACTCCTTGATGAAGCATGTCGAACACGCGTAAAGGACAGTCAAAGAAACGCGAACAACGCCCTTCACCTCTTGGAGAAGGTCCCTCAACTTCGTCTTCAAACACGAGCAGGTTCGACGCCATGGGCAGGGCTCTCATGGCTCCATTTTCTAGCAACAAGCAAGATTCTGCCAAAGTGCTTGCGGACTGTACGCATGATGCTCAAATTCTATCTTGCAATGTTCTGTAACGAACTTTTCTATGTGCAGTGGCTCCGGTCATCATGACTCCTCGAATGATAAATGCTGCGACATTCTCCGGAAGGTCTCGCGGCTCGGTTGGCAGCGTTTCGGACGCGCGCATGGGTTTTGCAACTCTTGGTCGCGCACCGCTTCAGCTAACATTAGGCAGGCGGCGCATAACGTCGCGTGACCTGCAGATCGTGGAGGCTATCGATGAACTACTCAGCGAAGAGGTCCCGGAGCCAGAAGGTGTTGCGCAGAACGTCAGTCTGCTCAAGGGATTCCATGCGACGATACCGAGTGCGGACAAAAGCCGTATACGGCGAAGACAGACCCGTAATGTGGAGGCTCCTCGGCTGGGTTTGAAAAGGCTAGGCATGAGTGCGCGAGGTATGCTGGGCGATGAGGAGGACCATGAGGGCTCGAGTGTTGCGAGTGAGGAAGACGTCGTCTTCGTGCCAAATGAGGGGCGTGGTCGGAAGAATAAGGCGAAGCGGAAGGGTAGGCATCCACTGAGCGCAGGCAAGACTCTGGGGCGGGAAGAGCTCGTCCGCCAAACCAAGGAGATCGAGCGTGATAAGGAGAATCTCCATGTTCGTCGCGTGAGTAATTCTATTCTACTGGCAGATGGATCCCTTCGACATGATCCCGAAAGACCCTCATCAACAGTGAGATAGCCGAGATCACTCACAAAATCGAAGCACTTGATGCAATGCGCGCGAGGTTGGAGCAGGACCTTCTCAAATTGCAGGAAGACGAACTCGAGTTGGATGATGAACGTACGTCATGGAGATATGCACTGCACCGTCCACTCATTGCCAAATGTAGTTGAGGGCGTAAAGGAGCGGCTTGAAATCGAGGAGTCGAGAAGTCGGACTCGGGGTGCCCCTGTCACGGAGCATCTGCCACACAGCTCCCGTAGACGAAAAGGTTAACAGCATCAGTTTCCTCTGCTCTATCGCATCTCATTGACTTCTTCCTAAGGTCCTGTATTCCTTCCCTCAGAACATGATGAGCTTCCTCCCGGAGTGGCTTTCATGGTGAGCAGTACACCACATCTAGCTGTGGAGTGAGTAAATAATGCATGTATTGCAGACATTGACGGGACATCCTGCCCCAATAACCGCGTTAGACTTCTCAGAGCCTTACGGCACACTTGTCAGCGCATCACAAGAGGAATCGCAACCGCGAGTCTGGGATCTCCTCACGGGAGCTGAGATCGGCCGGTTGCGAGGCCATCGAGGTATCGTGAAGTGCATGCAAGTTGAAGATAACGTGTGCTTGACTGGCGGCGAGGATGGTGCTGTCAGGCTGTGGGATTTGCGCAAAGTGGACGAGGATGAAGAGTGGGAGGGCGGCATGCTGAACCTGAGCGACGTCGCAGAGGAGGACGAGAGCCACGATGGCGAGTCGGCACATACCAACGGCATCCGTTCGAGCGAGAGCAGGCCGTCCAGCGTGGTTGAGGACGGACCATGTGTGCGCGTGCTGGAAGGACATTCGAAGGCCGTGTCTACTCTGTATTTCGAGGACCAATGTCTGGTTCGTTCTCTCCCTTCTTGCATGGGTTGCCAGCGAGCCGAACGCGTGGATATAGGTTACAGGCGCGTCGGACAAGACAATGCGGCAGTGGGATCTGACGACTGGTCAGTGTGTCATGACCATGGACATCCTCTGGGCGATCTCGCATCCGCCGGCTTCGATACCGGGCAGTGCGCTTCCGAATCACCTCTATCCTGGGGCGGCCGCAGCTGCAGGGACATTTGCTGTTCCCATGCCGCCATTTGCAGATGGTACGTGGGATATGTACGAGGACTTCGTTGGCGCCGTGCAGTTCTGGGGCTATGCGCTGGTTAGCGGAAGCGGCGATGGCGCAGTGCGCATGTGGGACAGTGAGTGGCTACTTTGAACGCCGCAATGGCTGACGCGACGTGGTTGACCTGTGCTCTCGCAGTGCGCACCGGACAGCCCCACCGCACACTGCTGGGCCACACCGGTCCTGTTACGTGCTTGCAGTTTGATGAGCTGCACGTTGTCAGTGGCAGTCTTGACAAGTCCATTCGGGTGAGCTTCGAGTCGTTTCAGGCCTTCGATCCTGATTGAATTATCGCTTCTCTAGATATGGGACCTTCGAACAGGTGGCATCTTCGAGACCCTCAAGTTCGACCATGCCGTGACCGCACTGCAGTTTGACACAAGGAAGATCGTAGCTGCGACCGGTGAGAATGGCGTCAAGGTCCGTTTCATTACACCGGTGTCTTTGCATATCGTTGATTCATTCATTTGCGCAGATTTACAACCGCACGAGCATGCAATATTCGAGCCTTCTCACGAATGGCCATATGAAGCCAGTCGAAAAACTGCGCTACATGGATAGATACCTCATCTCTGGTGGACGGGACGCTGCGCTGAAGATCTGGGCTCTATGATATTCACGATCATCATATGTAAGGCAGACCAGGCGACAGCAATGCTGGACTTCGAGATCTCTTCCGCAGTAGACACATTAACAACATAATTGTAGCATATAAGGATGCATATCTCAGCTAGAACCAATCAAATTCTTTGTAATTGTCGCTCACCGCTGCCATAGGAACGTGAAGTTATTCTGATGCTGCAAGACATAACGCGTTCCATGCAGCCAATATATAGCATTACAACGCGGATCGTTGACTTCTGATTCTACTAATAACCTGATGGATATGAGTTACGCACAAAGCGATATAGGGTACTGCTAGAAATACAAAGGACAGCATCGACAGCAATATGAATGTGTATCCCAACAGCAACTGGAAAGACCGGGATCGAGGTATCATGAATGCGATGTTGACCATCCGAAGTCAATTATGAGTGCGAAGCCATACGGCCGCAGGTCGTACTCCCGCCGAAGCAACGGTAGTTTTGGTGTTTCTGGGCGCGAACGTTCTTCTCCGCTCGTCGGAACTGATGTCGAGTTCTTCGAGCCGGGATCAACGGGTGGTCTCGATCCGGAGTGGAGAGTCGGTTGATGTGATGGGAGTTCGATCGTAGGCACAGGTTCGATTGACAAATGTGGCGACGTGGGAGGTGTCGTGTCCGTACTCGTGTTCGCTTTGCGAGAGATGGACCAGCCGGTGACGGCATTCCAGACGTGCGACAGCATCGATCCCTGACGCTTCTCGGTGGCCTCTTGAGCGTGGCGAACGAGTTCTGCGGCCTCCGCGTCGGGTGTCGACTCGTGCTCGTTTTCTTCTGGAGGCTCCTCTCGCTTTGCCTCTGCAGCTTGCGCGGCGAGCTCCATCTGTCTCCGCGCGTTAAGTTCGTGCTCGAGCTCGTCCTTCAACTTCTCGACACTGTTCAGCTCCCACTGCGTGACGTTGAACGGCTCGAAGAGCTTGGTGCTCGAGAGATCGCACCAGCAACGGTCCAGCATCGGCACGTCTGTCGGCATCATGTCTTCCGGCAGATCAGGCAGCAACGACAACAGCGCATCACCATATGTCGTGATGTTTTCCGACCAGGGCATCGTCAGGGCGGTCTCGAGGGGCACCGGGGGCCAGTAGCATGACGACACGAACATCGCCGAGAGCAGAACGATGCAGTAAAAACTGATGGTGGCGGGATCACATCACCGATTAGCAGAGTTAGCAGGGGAGAACACTGAAGTGGCATCACCATGGTCGGGCATGCATCGTCGTCGAGAGAAGGAAGAGCAACAGGAAGTAGGGCGGTGCAATGGGAAATGGGAGCAGTACGAGTGGGAGATACCAACGGGTGCACCTGTTTCGTGAGCAGCACTTCAGACACGCCTGTCACAGTAGACTGGACACCACGTACCACATTTTGCGCAACAGCCCGAGCACAGAGAGCTCAAAATGTCGGACAATGCTCGCAAAGCTGCGTGGTGGCGCGTATGTCGTCTAAATGTGTTCAAGTCAAATTCGCCTGCCCTGAGTCCGAGATGCATCACGTGCTTTGCGCGCCTCACGAAGCGCGCGGGCGTACGCGCGGTGTTCTCCAGCATTCGCGATCTTTCCAAGTCAACTTTTATTGCCTCTCTCGTCTCGACGCCACCATTTCACCATCGTCGACATCCACACCGACATATAAAGAACCAACCGCTAACATGCCAGTACATCCTGAAGTGCTCTGGGCTCAGCGTAGCTCTGAAGTCGACGAAAAGAAGGTGCGTCGCTTTATGCGCTCGATGTATATCCGCGTCTGGAGGTGAAACTGACGGGCAGCGGGCGCGATCGTCTAACAATGGGCGCGCCGCTAATCTGTACAGAACATTCTCTATGTCACCGTAAATTTGCCTGACATCAAGTCCGAAACTCTCCAGTACAACCTCACTCCGACGACACTATCCTTCAAGGCTAAGGCGGGAAAGTATGTCACGATCGATCGTTGAGATGCAATATCCAGTTTCTTACCGATTTTTCAGCGCTGAGAAGGGTATTGAAGAGAAGGATTATGAATTCAATTTTAATCTCTTCGCTGAGGTCGTTCCTGAGGTATGTACTTGCCATCCATGCGCCACTTTTCCTTTCCACTTACCAATGTGATGCAACCTGTAGGAGTCCCTCAAAACCCTGACGAGCCGGCATCTCACGCTTGTACTCCGCAAGAAGGAAAAAAAGGCCGAGTTCTGGCCGCGTTTGACCAAGGAGAAGATCAAGACGCCGTTCGTGAAGACCGACTTCAGCAAATGGGTCGATGAGGATGAACAGGACGGTGAGGCACCCGCGGTCGACGAGGATGCTGATATGGGCGGCATGGGCGGCATGGGCGGTATGGGAGGCATGCCAGGCATGCCAGGCGGGTTGGGTGGAATGGGCGGCATGGGTGGAATGGGCGGCATGGGCGGCATGGGTGGCATGGACTTTGAGCAGGTAAGCCATCACGAACCCGCGACCGTTATGGCCACTGCTAATACTTATGGGTCGCTTGTAGATGATGAAGTCCATGGGTGGCGCTGGCGCTGGCGGCCTGGACGAGGAGGCAGGACCGTCAGGAGTTGGCGCCGAGTCGGACGACTCGGACGACGATGGGCCCCCGCCGCTCGAAGAGGCGGAGCCCGCGAAGGAGTAGACGAATAGCTGCTGGACCTTATGATGAGCGTTATGAACGAAGTGCATGGTCGATGAATGCTGCTATTTCTTGCTGATATCACATTGTTGTACGTTCCGGTTCGCAGGAGCAGTCTAATTGTACTTGGCGCCTTTCACTCAGGGCCGCCCACGGATGCGTGCCTTCCAAACACGCAAGTTAATTGTCGGGGTCGAGGCTTCGGCGTGTTGCTCCCTGCTATCCGTGACATCGAAGCCATCAGTGATCTCACCGCGCATTTAAAGCCGTGTACGAGCGACAATAAGTATTCTATGGAATTGCTTGGTCTCATGCTCAGCTGTCATATGGGAGACTTTTGTCCTATTGTGACTGTCGTATCTAACAGCATATCCTCGACGCAGATGTGTGTCAGAGCCGGTTCCCGACATGGGTTTCTGCCCTTTCTCGGATATACGACGAAAGGCCTCTTTCGTGCAGCCGCGTGTATCTGGAGAGTCCTGATGGTGTGCAAGATTAGGGTCCTCGAGGCCTAAGGCCCTCAGCCTCGTGGTGGCAGACAGGTACCGCAACTTCCGAAAGGCGGCCGCACTGAGGTCCAAGATTATGTTGCCACGGCGAACCATGATTGACAGACCTGCCTGCCGTGTTGTGTCAAAAATGCTTGCTCACGTGGTCGCGTTACATTGTCCCCCCACCGCGACGCGTAGACAATTGGCTCACATCCATACGCATCTCCTTCCCATTCTCCGCGATATTCAGTCCTCCCCCGCGCCGATGCCTCCTCGTGAGACAATGATACGCTTCCGGCCTTCCCTTGCCGCGCTTATGCAGCCGAACGAGTGCTAATTTTGAGTCCGGCAGCCGTCCAGCACGTTGCATCGGCACCGAAAAAATTGCTAGATATAAAAGAGCCAGCTGCGCATGTACTGGCCATCTCATCTTTTCTGCCAGAGGCGTTAGCTGATACAGGACTCGTTCCATTACATTCTTTCCTTTCCCTTCCGGTCTGCGACTTTCATTCTCTTGACCTGGTGTCAAACTTCACCGCTCTCTGGTAGAATTAGAAAGTGTCACATCATCCCCGCTAACTGTTTACGACTGCACGGTCATACGTCATGAAGTTCTCCGCTATCGCTGTTGCCTCCGTTCTATTCACTTCTGTCGCCCACGCTCTGCCGTGGTACGTGCCCCGCGATAGCAGCTTCCTCCTCGCAAATGGCGAGGAGGCCATTGCTCAAAAGTACGTATTATTGCGGACTCGTTGCTCGATCAAGGCTGACTTCATCATCAGCGCACAATTCGCAACCCTCACTGTGAACTCCTCGTGTACGAGTGGCACCGATGCCTGTGTCAACAGCGAATTTGCTCAGTGTGTCAACGGCGCATACCTCCTCACATCATGCGGATCTGGCTTGATGTGAGTTTATGAGATGGCAGTGCCAAGACAATAGGCTGATCACGACTATTGTCAGTTGTGCCGCACTGCCCTTGGTCAACAGCGCAGGCACGAGTATTACTTGTACGACTGAGGCCGATCTTGAGGGACGTATTGCGGCGACTGGCGCGACATCGGCATCCAACTCGACTTCATCCAGTATCGCAGCATCCTCTAGCGTAGCTGTTACGACTGTGTCTGCCACTGCCTCGGCTACCGCATCGGCTGCGGCTGCATCCAGCACTTCCGAGAGCTCAGATGCACAGTCATCTCTGACGCTCCTCGACTCGCTAGTTAACACGGGCTTCAACGATGACGGTACAAACGAGTGAGATGTGCCCATTGCTAATGTAAGACCCAGAAACTCAACTCTCCATACAGGTTCAGCCCCGAGGCCGGCGAGATCGCCTCTGCCACTTCCACCAACAATTTCATCAACTTCTGCGCCACCGTCAGCGTTCCACTCACGAATGGCACGCAGGTCAAGAACGGCTCTTGCAACGCTGCACCCATGGGCATGATCGCGTCTACAAGCAACATGCCATCTGCCAAGTTCGTCTCGCCGGCGAACCTCGACACGATCGCCGCGAACTCGACGTTCAACGTCACGCTCGCCATCGAGCGGCTGCAGACCGGGCACTTTGTGAACCCCGATACGAATTTCTTCGCCGCGCCGCAGACGGTGAACACCACGACCGGCGACATCCTCGGCCACTCGCACGTCGTGATCGAGCAGCTGACGGCGCTGAACCAGACGACGCCGACGGACCCCGGGACATTCGCGTTCTTCAAGGGCCTGAACAGCGTTGCGGTGAATGGACAGCTGACTGTGGAGGTCACCGGTGGCCTGCCAGCAGGAGTCTACAGGATGGCCTCGATCAATGCCGCTGCGAATCACCAGCCTGTGCTTGTGGCCGTAGCCCAACACGGTTCCCTCGATGATATGGTCTAGTACGTGCTTGCGCTCTGTCTCGCTGATCCGACTGCTGAGGCAGCCTTGTTTGCAGCTTCACGGTGCAATGAACGTCCCACGATCTTGATGATTTGACGATATTCTCTTCACGACCTAGATCAACATCCGTTGTGGAACGACGGTGCTGGGATGATCTTTTTTGAGGTTTTGTTTTAGCTGTAATATTATTACAAGTCCTTCGTTGTATCAAATAGCGTATCTTGTGCAGACAGCGTCTCTCAATGCAATTGTGTTTATCAGTCGTTTACATGAGTGGCTTGGACTTTTGCAAAGCCTTGCAACTTGTCATTCTCAATAGCAAGAATATAGATCATCCTTCACATACCAGAAGCGAGTACAGGAATCAGGATCCCAACCTGAACGTCGCGCCCGGTCAGTACATTGAGCCAGAGTCGACGTCCCACACGTACATCCGACTGTGGGTAAGATTCGGGCGGAACCTAGCCACATCCCGCGTAGATTCTGTGACGCTGCCTTCAGGCTTCCTGCACCAGACTTGTGGACTTCAGACCTCCTTCTTCATATGATACTGTAGAGCATGACATTCCTGCTTATCCCCCTCAAAAGAAAAGTATGTCGACTTGGCAGTTGACTCGAAAATTTGTTGGGAACGATACATGAGTCACGATCGCAAACGCTCTCCCTGGCCCATATCCGAGCTGTGGCGACGCTTTGACGAGTGCTCGAAAAATCTCCTGAGTTCGTACGGCGGACAAAGCAGCGCATATAGCCGCCAATGGCAGAAGGCTCGCGGTCATTCACCATCCGCGTCCCCGCGACCTCCGCCAACATTGGCCCTGGGTTCGATGTCGTCGGTCTCTCGCTCTCGCTCTACCTCACGCTCACTGCGACTATCACACCGCCAACACCGTCGTCGCCCGCCGCACCTCCAGTTATCCGCTACGCAGGCGAGGGCGCAGACGAGGTGCCTCTGGACGCGTACAAGAACCTCACGACTCGCGTCGCGCTCTACGTGCTCCGGTGTCATGGCATCACCAAGTTCCCCGAAAACCTATCCATCCATGTGTGCAACGAGATTCCCTTCGGACGCGGGCTCGGCTCCTCCGGTGCAGCGGTCATCGCGGGCGTGCTACTGGGCAACGAGCTCGGCGAGCTGAACCTACCAATGTCGCGTGTGCTCGACTTTGCGCTCATGGTCGAGCGGCATCCTGACAATGTCACCGCCGCACTGGTCGGCGGATTTGTAGGGTCGTATCTCCGGGAGCTGGACCAGGCTGCGACGGAAGCTGCGAGCGTGCTCTTGAGCGAGGTGCTGCCAGAATACCCGCCGGATGCTGGAGAAGACTGGGGCATGAACCCGCCGCAGCCGCCGCTGGGGATCGGACACTACGTTCGCTTTGGCTGGTCGGACAGCATCAAAGCCGTCGCAATAATCCCCCGGTTTGAGCTGAGCACGGCAAAGGCAAGGGAAGTGTTACCAACGAGTTATTCGCGAAAAGACTTGGTGCGTTCTAGATATTACAATCTTCGGTGGTCAGAGCTAAAGAGGTAACAGGTCTTCAACCTGCAACGACTAGCCGTGCTGACCACTGCCTTTGCACAATCGCCGCCTGACCCGGACCTCATCTACGAGGCAATGAAGGATCGAGTGCATCAGCCATATCGCAAAACTCTCGTAGGTCCTCCGTACAACAGAATGAGCTACTGTTGCTAAAGCCAACTTGCGGTCTATTAGATTCCCGGTCTTCCAGAGGTCACCTCGAAGATAACCCCTTCGAGCCATCCTGGACTGCTCGGAATTTGCTTATCGGGAGCTGGGCCCACCATTCTCGCTCTGGCGACGGGCGGCTTTGAGGGCATTGCTGAAGATGCACGTGCCATATTCAGGGAACAGAACGTTGAGGTTGACTGGAAGGTACTCTCCGTAGTAGGCGGCAGCGTTGTAGAAAGGAACCATAGCATGTCCTGCATAGCTCAGGATGGTAACGTTGAGCACAAAGAGCCTGCGATTTCATAGCAAAATACAAGTCATACACACATTCCAATCTCAAATTACATCCAGTATAGTGAGTCGTACAGGTATCGTCGACAGACATGCGGGTATCGTCGGTAATCTAACACTCTATGCCGTACGTGTTCTAACCGCCTGCCGTAAGACACACCGCTCTAGTGGCCACCAAAGCACCTGCTGCGCTATCGAACGGAAGGTCCACCGTGAAGAGAACATGGCTTCTGTCGTTGTTGAGATAGATGGGAAGGTTCACCGTGCCTACGGGTGTCGTATCGTCTGCTTGCACCCAACGTATCTGAGAGGGGTTGAGGCGGACAGCCTCTCCATCGCTCAGTACGAGCTTCTCCGAATCCCATGTGGCACCTTCTAATACAAGACCTACATGCAGACACATTGATTCATATGGGCGAATTTGAAAGATGAAACGGCCAAGCTCACCATCCACAATGAACGCTCCAGGATCATTGACTTTCTCGATGTCGAGCTTGAGGTGCAAAGTCTCGAGACTCCACTTCTTCCTGTGCGCGACAGCCTGGCGAGTTGCAGTGATATACGCTTCCGGAAAGAAGAGTCCACCTAGCCAGACTTCGACATTGCTGAGATTGTCCAAGCCTGCGATCTGATCGAGCTGTCCCAGCCGGCGCGCAAAGTCGGGGATCCAACCGGAGACTGCCATCGCTTTGTGGACCTTGTACTGTCTCCAGTGGTCGGGTATGGTACCTAAGGTCTGACGTTTGAGCCAGTGCGACACACGGCCAAACGTATCACGTACCCTTGGTCAACGAGCTCATCAATGTACGAAGGTGGTTGGTCTGCTTGAGAGCACCTTCGCAGACTTTGACAACGTCTGCCAGATCCCTGCGCACTTGAGAAAGAAGCTTGCTTCCGATACTCCCTTCACGATAGAACAACCGGTACAGAGGGTCTAGGTTCTCGCCGCTCTGCTTCTGGAGGGTGTTGAAGCTCTGCCAAAAAAAAGCCGGCGATAATTAGACTACATGAATGATAACGACAATCGGTTACTCTTACCGACGGCAGCTGCTCCAGCCATTCCCGGCATCGCTCCAACAAGTGCCTCATCCAGGCGGGCTGCTGGGATACTTGTCCCTTGGAGGGGCCAGCATTCACACCTGCTGCCTCATCTTCGTCATCAGCAAGCATCCTCATCTTGCGAAGCTTCCCGAGAAGCTCGTTTCCTTGAGCAACGGCGATCACGCGTTCCGCAGTTGGTGGCAAGCTGAGCCATGACGGCGGCTCTAATTCAGGGAGCTTCTGCGTCCACGCCAGGAAGTGGTCGAGCTTGGTTCCATCGGGCACGCCAAGGACTCGAGAACCCGTTGTGCTAGGCACAAGGTCGAAATCGACGTTGTAAGCCGATGGAGTGAACAGTCCGTCAACGAAAGCATCCAGGATCTTCTGATCGAAGTCGCTATCCACTCTACCACCATACACGCACTGTTTGACGAGCGTTCGAACGGCGTCCCATGGAATGATGGCAGGATCAATATTAGCACGACCTTTTGCAACGGCATTGATCCAGGCGTCAATCGTATCGAAAGCAGCAGCCATATCAGAGTCGTTGAAGTCATAGACCTTGCTCCAGCCAAGCGGCACGTAGCGCAGACGCTCTTGTACCACAGCATGGAACCAGGCGAGAAGGAAGTACAAACGAGCTTTCTCGGCAGGACCTTGCGTTAAACGGGAGGAGGATATGCTACGCAGTGAGTCAGACAGATTAGCTTTGATACCCGGAGGTGGCTCGTTCATCAGGATCCTCGACTGACGGAGGATGTTCACAGGAATGCTGGGGTTCGCTTCCATAGTAAGGAACAGACGGAAGTTTCTATGAGGATTGAGTGTCTGCAGCTTCTTCTCGAGTTGACCGAGCCACGAAGGTGCGAGATGAACATTCTTGAGCAATACCCACGTCCCTTGGCGAGCAGCGAACGCGATAGCCTGATCAGCCAGCGTGAAGCCTTCCTGTGAGCCCATAGCGACCGATGCGCATCGTGCACTCGTGTTCTTCACAAGATTCTCTACACGATAACTTGCATCGTACCCAGTGACAGAGACCAATGACAACGGGGTTGCTGGCTGGACTTCGTCTGTCACCATTGACCCAAGATCGTAGACGGACTCAGCGTTTAGGTCGATATTGAAGACCATACGGACGAATGCTGCTGTTGTTTGCAGCAGCCGATCGGGACGAAGACACTTGATAATGAGCATCCGCCGAATTGCCTCAACAGCCGCTGTCATAAACAGATTGAATTAATTGGAGACTGTCAGATGTAATTTTTAACTTACGTGTACTTGGATCCCACGGTGAGGGAACACATTGCTCGGGGTTGGGGGATTCGAGGAAGGGAATCCACTGTTCTTCATGTTGGACAACGTGAGTCACCACGGGTTCGAATAGCGGGTGTTTAGCATAAATTTCCAGACGTTGCTTCTGCTCCATCGTGAGGAAGGAACAATACTGCAAATCGGCATTCTCAGATCCGATGGCGACAGGACCGTCACCACTCTCCAGCAGGTATTCGAGCTCATCCGCGATCTCCTCCACTCCGCGCAATTTCACTTGCGCCAATAATACTGCCAACATGACATGATCTCGATGTAACAACGCTCGGGAAGTTCTCTTGTAGACCATGAGGAACAAGTCATTCAAGAGGATCTCTCTGCGTCGATTGTGGTCGGCAACGTTCTCCAGGTTGGGATTATGATGCAGGACATAGTCGAATATATCGAGAAAGAATCTTAAGGAGAATTGATAGAAATGATTGACGAGATTCAACTGTTCCAGGATGAAGAAGACGGCGCTGCAGGCTTGCGCTAACGGGAGATATTCCGCTGTGACCTGTTCTACCTCTTTCATGACGAGATCAGTCTCTTCCACTTTGTGAGTAATCTCCGCCGCCTCTCGTTTGAGAGTTTCTAGGGTATCGATGACTTTATCGTCGTCGAGAATATTTCCAGTAGACTCATTGAGCGCCTGGAGTAATAGCTTCTCTAGGGTCCTCAGACGTAGGCGGAACTCGCCTTGCGTCTTCATCAAGTCCGTCCGCTTCCGCTCTGTATCAGGCCGCTCGACTTTGAGAACTTGATCTAGAGATTGGCTCTGTAAACTACTCCTTGTCATCGTGAAGTTCACGAACGTCACTCGACTGCAGATGTCCGGAGAAAATTCTACAGATGGGTCCCGTGTGGATAGGAACATTGTGAATGATGGAGAGAAGTCTATATCCTGACTTCCAAGACGAATAAGGACACGGCCTCCCGTTCTGCGAATCTCTTTGTTGAGAACCGGGTTGAGAATTGGGTCCAGATGCTCGACATCTTGGATCAACAGGGTGTTCCCGAACCGTAATGCGCTCTCGAGCACCTTCAAGAATGCTTCATCCAAGAAGCTCGTAACAGTGATCTTCCGATCTCTGTACTCGTGAAGCAGGAACTGCGTAGCTTGACCAGTAGGGTCGATGATGAGAGGATATCGGCTGAAACGCTTAATCATGATCGCATTTTCGGTGCACAAATTGTCGGATGGTAACCCCTTAGATTGCCAGCTGAGGCGATCGTCGGCAGTGGATAAGTAGTCCGGAAGTGACAACTCCGTCTTGAACTTGATGCCGGCTTCTGCCAGATGTATGGACCATTCACGCCACATTACCTCGCGATAGTGTTGATCGAAGAAGCCACCGTATGCCAAGAACGCCGCAGATAACAGAACATCGCCAACGATCGTGCTCATTTCCGTATCGAAAGTGCGACTGCCAGACTCCCACCTGGACTTCTCAGAGGACAAACTCTCAAGGAGTTTCATGCTTCGTTCAACCTTGCTTTCGACGCGTTCCATTTCCGTCTTGATCGCTTGCGTTTCTCTGATGAGAGCGGCATATTCCTCCTTGTACTTCTCTATGCTTGCCTCCAACTCGGAAATCATAGTGATAATCATCTTCGCCTGTTCTTTGGTATTTTCCGCCTGCTCCTCCAGGGATTGCACTTCGTTACGCAGAGGCTCCACCTTGACGAGAATCTCGGAGAATCGAACCTGAGCGATTGCCCACTTGACCAAAGGTCCACAGGCTTTGCTTGCTCGTTGAACAGTCTCGAAATTGTAGGAAGGTCGGCTGAGGAAGTCTCTCTTCATGACATCGCGCAGATGCTTCGTCATCTGATTGGTGGTGTCGAAGTTCACAATCCTCTGGATGAAGTCATCCCTCCTAATGATACCTTGAACGGTACGCCAACTATCGATCTTGTGCCCGAGAAGTGTGCAAACAGACTCCATGGCTAACTTCACAGCCTCGGGAGGATTGGCCATCGTGCGTACTTCCTGCAGATGCTGTCGTTTGATGTTACTCACAGCAGCTTGAGCGTCCAGTACTGCGGGCTCCGCATCTGCGAGATCGGCCATGACAACGGCGCGCCGTTGCTCGATATGTTTATCCTGCTCAGCAAGAGCGGCTTGAATTTGAATGGATGCGGCCTTCTTCTGTTCTGCCTCTTGTTGGTCTGCAACCATACGCTTGAGCTTCTCGTTGGCTTCCGCGTTTTTGGCCTCTAACTGTGTGCGCTTAATCGCAAGGCTTTTACGCAATTCCTCGACCTGTGTCACGGTGTCCCGCAACTTGTCCAGACCGACGTGCAGGTGGCGCTGTTGCTCCTCTAACTCTTCTCGTTTCTCGTTGTGCAGGCGTACATACTGGTTGATGCTAGAGGGAAGTCATCATAAGACAAGGTAACAGCATGAATGGAGAGAACTTACAAGTCCAAGTAGTGTCGTGGAGTGACGTAGTTGTATCGTCCTTGCCGGCGACTCAAGCGCTGATTGAACTGGTGAAGCGACTCGTGCACATAGACCATTGCGTTCGCGATAGCATTCCGATGATCTGGAGGCATTGATAACTCGCGGTACGCGATGGGGAACATGGCCGGAGGATTGTATGATGGCAGATCAAGATCAAGAGTGTGCGTGAACTCCATGCCAACTTGGTAGAATGCTTGGTCAGACCAATCGCCGAACCAGTCAAGGACGCAACGGTTGAACAGCGCAGGAGACGTCGCTGCACGAGAGGCCAGTCCATTTTCTGGAGGATTCATGGTGAAGACCACGTGAAGATTCTTGGCAACTTGTTGGGTGAACCAACGGTAGAGCTCTTCGTGAGAGTCTAACATTAGTCCATCGCGTTGAGAACCCTCCTTGCAAGCTGTCATCAAAGCGGAATGCTCGTCTCCTTCGAACAGCCCTGGAACTTCAGCATTCGCCAGAAGGGTGTTCATACGCTCCAAGAAACCCGAGTCGAGGACATTTGACTCGTCCATGATGAAGCATATTTTCTCTCCTTTGCAGCCTGCACGACGCAACACAGTTCGCAGGTCTTCGTCGAAGTCTTCCCCGGTGTATTTGTTGGAGACCTTGATTTGGAAAATATTTAACCCGTTCATCCACGCAACAAAGCGTGACAATGTGGTCTGCAAGTCATGGATTGGCATCCTGACACTTCAAAAGATACGGATAACGCACCTTTCCACTACCACTCACGCCAATCAAAAGGAGATGCCCCTGAATTTGCCTGAAGACTCGATCGATACGGAGGACATGGTCCAGAACATCGTTAAACAAGACAAGCGGGACATCGAGCTCCTCCTCATAGAACACTCGCAATCGTGCCTTGGTGTATTCGCGGAGAACGTCACGGTCGACTGGAATGTAGTCCTTCGAGGTCCAGTTCGAAAACAGGATGGGACGCGCCAACGCCTCATCGCGATTGATCGTAGGGAAATTATCCATCGCGACCATGTCAATACTTTCGTCTGTCCATTGCTTCTCTTCTTCGGTTACAAGTCGGTCTTGGAACAGACGCAAAGCTTCATGTGCCCAGACGCGCACAAGACCCTCTACAGATAAGACTTCCAGCGGTTTGATGGCCTCATAGAGACCGCGAACCCAGCGAGTGAGCTCACGCGGGCTATACACGTAGTGCGCCTGGACATCAGTGGTGAAGCGCTTCTGAGAGGCGAGATACAACGCGACCATAGCATTTGTGAGTGGTTCTGCGTAGGTGCGGAGGTTCGGAACCACTTTGAGTAATGCACGATTATAAGTTCCATATATCTGTTTGAGTGACACTTCTCCGGGGTAGTCCACCATGACCAATGGAGCATGTCGCAGAAATCTGTGGCTGAGAGGAACACGGCCAGGATCTGTGGGAGGATTGCAGGCACCGACGAACTGAATTCGTTCCAATTTGACCCAAGCCATGTCTGATGTCCTCCAATATCCTCCAGACTCCACTAGCTGCCTAATGAATGAGATTACACGCTGTGTTCCATACTTGTCCGTTGCGGGCAGGTTAATTTCATCACAGAAGACGACAAGCCAACGTCCGATCTGAATGGGTGCGAGAATCACGCCGTTGGGCGTCTTGCGATACTCGCAATATTGCTCAAATGTCTTCAGAATCAAATCCGGTGTTGTCGCACTTGAGAAATTCAGGCCAACGACCTCCATATCTGGCAGCTTACGGAGAGCACTGAAGAGTGTCATCGTCTTGCCGGAACCCGGCGGGCCACATAACATGAGCGGCTTGTGTTCAGAGAGCCAGGAATACAGAACTTCCTCGTGACGGACAGTGTCGATAGTTGGAACCACAACATCAGAAGCTGTGACCGCATGGGCTTCAATTTCGATCATGGGGACCCGGGATTGCCATGCGAACCACTCTCCATTGCTGACCTGGACATCATAGTCGAGCAATGTGCCACTTTGACCCATTGGCGGAAGGTCTACGCCGGTTTGCTTACGCAAGAATTCACCCATTTCCGCACGTAGCTCCAAGCGAGCATCTCCAGAGAATGCCCAGATGATGTTGACAAGAAGGCGCTTCGTGACATACTGCTCAACCCGTTCGAGAGATAGAGGGAAGTCGGAATGCTGCAAGTTATATTCGATGATGTTTCGGACGGTCTTGTTGACGAGGGAGAAGAGGGTGTTGAGAGCGCGAGTAGTCGTGAAGTCCATGATATGCTCGATAGACTCGGCATAGGAGAGAGCAGACGTCACAAGACCATCATCAACAAAGTATGGCTCCAAAATCATCGCGACTTGCTTTTGCGTTGCGAGGTTGGCAGAAGACGCTTCGTCTGAAGAAAGAACGTCCATATGATAGCCGGGAATGTCCACTTCCTCGTCTTCAGCATCCAGAGGGACCATTGCCAGTGTATCGAGATAGTGGCGGAAGACCATGCTTGGCTCGACAACATCCTCACTGAACCAGATCATACCGCACCGGCTGACTGTAGCCAAGGTCGCGTATCTCAAGTGCTCCACCTCGAACATGATGCGCACATTGGGCGGTAGGTTCAGACGTTCTCCATTGGGGAGAGTCAGCAACTTATTGTCGTCGAGAACGCTAAAATGCGTGGCATCAACAACGAGACAAAGCACCCAAAGAAGCTGATGTACCTGTTGAGGTTCTCTACCCACTCTGGGTCAACATCACCATCGAAAATGATCCAATGTCTCTTCCCACTCTCTCCTCGGACATCGTCGACGATCTTACGAAGAGTGTGAGTAAAGAGACCATCGTTCCATTCACGAGTGGTGGGATCCAGAGTACCGTAAAGGGCGTCCTTATGCATCGCCTTGGGATCAATGACATACGCGACACCTTCGGTTCCATCGAGCCGTTCCATGGCTGCCAACAAGACTTGCCACGCATTGCTCTTGCCACTTCCAGATGATCCAACCATCATCAACCCATGTTGAATCTTCTGGATCTGGTACAGTTGTAGGATCTTCGAGACCCACCGCTCGCCTTCTACCAAGCGACGTTCGGCGCATACCTTGCTAATCTGCTCCCGTAGGGCGTCAAGATTCACAGGTATGTAATCAATGCCAGGGAAGACATCTGCTAGAAGGCTGTGCAATAAACGTTAGGCATTTGAGTACAACAGCATCGACTATTCGCCCACCTCGTCAGCAGTGGCACGTCATCCGCCACGAGCTTCGGCACTATCGTCTCCGTCACACTCTGGATGAGAATGACCTGCTCAGATGCAGCATCTGACAATGCACCCGCGTTCTCAACGTCATCGCCTTCGGCTCGGGACTCTTGGAGACGCTCGCGCTTGAGTATACCCGCGCTAGCGAGGACTGCCTTCAGAGCTCGGAGACCGAAGTCATAGTGAGGCTGAGGGGAGAGCTGCTCATCGCAAAGGTTGAAGAACGGAACGATCTTGGATGCAAGGGACTCAGCGGTCCGGAAACCTTGAGAGAACAGCATGACTTGAGCGATCAACTCGCGGTCGGGGCGAGTCATGGCCATGCTGAATAACGGTATTAGTGAGCATCGTGTCAAAGCGTTTTCGTGTACTTACGGCCTGAAGAGTTTCGTCAGGTTTGGAGGAAGAGTGGATCGACCGGCATAATTCGGGTTCGTAGTAATAAAGATACCTGATTGAATTACATAATGAGCAAAGTCGAAGAATCGTACAGAAGCTTAAGTCGTACCCATATTTTTGTTGAGCTTGACGTTCTTTCCGACAAGTTCAATCTCCGTGCTAGGATTCTTCACGAGAGAAGCAAGTCCCTGCTGGATGCTCTGTACTTGCTGCGACACAGCACTCAAGATGCGTTCCTCGAGACGGTTGAATTCATCGAAACAGCCCCATGCCCCTACTTGACAAAGACCGACGAATATGCGGCCCATGGCTTGGAAATCGAACGTCTCGTCGCAACAGAAGACAAGGACGAAACGTCCAAGCTGTACTCCGAGGGCCTTTACCGATTCTGTCTTGCCTGTAAAATACCAATCATTTGCGAGTTCTGAGAATGTTATGGTATTCAATACTAACCTGTGCCTGCCGGTCCGAAGGGAGATCCACCGAGCTGACTATCCAGGGCCTGAGTCAACGTGAGATAGCACCTGTCCGTCAAAGGCGTCTGCACAAGACGATCGGGCACACCCAAGTACTCCCAGCCATACGGGAACGTGGCGTCGGCGACGCGAATGGCAAGCCTATCCAATGGATTGTCCACGCTAGAATCAAGGTAAAAGCGCATCTGGTACAGCCACGCGAAAGCTCGGTTATCAGAGACTTTCTGTTGTGCGAGATTGCGTAGCACATCACGCTGGTGGACGAGCTCTGTGATGAGATGCTCGCATTTTCGCCGCGTCACCGGGCTCAGCTCCGTGAGGACGACATCCGCAAGGAGGTCAAGACCTTGTCGCACAGTATCGAGCGGTCCACCGAGGCCACTGTCACTTCCAAGCGCCGATTCGACAGAAGCGGTCCAGGCAACCTGGACGGCAAGCGTCACCAGTTGAGCGGGGTACTTCTCCATCCATTCCATGAATAGATCCTGTGGAAGTGGTGTAGTTGACCCATAAAAAGTCTGCAATTCTGCGACCGCATCGCAGAGCAATTGTGCCAACGAAACCCTCATTTCAGCCTCCAACTTGGTCAGCCAATCGTTGATCTTGGGATAGTCCTTGAGGAATATTGGACTCTTGAAACGTACTTCCTCTCCTTCTCTAGACGCCATGCCCTGTATCTGTGTCAACTCCTCGTCTAGCATGATCGTGGAGATGCCCGCAAACATCTTCTTCAGATGCTTCACGATGCGAAGGATCTCCTTGCTGTTACCGATGATTTCCAGAAGATCTTCGTCACCGACAAAGTAGAACCGCGGGAATGAGGCACGCTCCCGTTCCAAATATTCTCCCAGTGCCTTCTGGATCTTGTTAAGCAGATCGGCTAGACGTTCCAGACTCTTTTGAACGCCAGGAATGTTCATGACGTCGACGATGAAAGGAGACTTGTACACTTTCTTCATCACTGTCAAGAACTCCGTATTGATGTTTTGGAAACGGGCACTTTCAACAGGAAGGAGGTGTTTGATGTCCGCGCTACCAGAAAATATACCTTCCAGGTATACCCATTGCCTCTGCACGTCAATCCACACGTCTGCTCGATGTGTTAGAACAATGAAATGGCATAGCTTCCTATAACTTACCGAAGAGAACATGAATGCGATTCAGTTTTTCTTCCCAAGAACCGGCCTATGAAAGTTGTTAGATGTCGCAGAGGTCGACAGAATTAGGCTTGCCTCTTCTTCAAAAACTAGTTTCATTGTAAATCTAAGTAAATAAGGATGGCGGGAGGGAGAAAGGAGACGCTCACCTTTATAGTAAGGCGACAACTTCATCGCAACGAGCGAGTTCAGGTTCTCGCTGCACTTGTTAAATAAATCGTCCCAACCACTAGAGAATGATATTTTTATCAATCGTCGAAAAACACAGTGTGCTGGACCACATACCGGATGAGACGACACTTGCTCTGGTAGTTAACAAGGTCAAGGGTATAGCTTGTCCATGTCTCCTTCACTTGCCGAATGTACTCTTCGAGAGCCATCTGCCGTTCCTGTTAGACCTGGGTAGAAAACTCTTGCACGTATGAAGACGAACCTCTCCTTGCGCTTGAATAATGACTTCCTTGATGGTATTCTCGTTCTTGCGTAGATCCATGTCATAAACGTGGCCCAAGGTCATTCTGTAGACCTCCGTCAGAATGCATCCAATTTTACCGCGTAAGCAGTGCATACAATGTCAAACTGATTTGATTCGGCACACGCAACACCTTGAAGAGCTGCTTCCAATGCCTATCCTTGAGTGCCTCTGACTTCAACTCTGACACCAGACTGTTCGCCTTCAACAGGCCACGCAGAGCATCTTGCACGTATTCGAATGCAGCATACTGCCTCATGCGCGTAGGCATATCCTTGGTTGACGTCAACAGTCCGTCGAGCTGTTGCCTGAGCTTTCGCGGCTGCACCGTCGCCCATGCCATCTCGCGTAGTTCTCCGACCTGGCTCCAGATTCCGGAGAGAGCGGTCCATACCGCCTTCAGGTCACGCAACTCCTCGAATATGGGCTCAAGACGCGTATGCCGAACGAGCTCAAGGTCTAGAGCTTCCTTCGCTCTGCAAACCAGATCGTACTCTTCTTGTATGCGGTTCAGTTTGCCCTCGAATACGTTGATGGCGTTCAGAGCAGTGTCCGCACGCATGTTGCCTTGGACAGGACGCGTCTGCTCCCATTCCTGTATGATGTCGTTGATCTTGTTCTCTACAATCTTGTCCTCAGCTATAATCTTCAGCTGAAGTCCCGCTGGAGCGAAACGTTTGAGTAGACACGTCGTAACGCGATATATTGGTCACGCACCTAGTTGCTCCTGGATGGAATCATTCTTCCTCTTCAAAATCTCATTGAACGCACTCCACTCTCCTTGTAGCTGGTCACTATAAAGCCAATCATCCGGAAACTGGTAGCGGAAGCGCTCCAACGTTTTTTCGCCACTCGCACAGAGTTCGATCATAGGTCCCCATTGCTTGGTCTTGCGCTTTAGGTCTTGCACAAAGGTGATGAAGGTGACCGCCGCAGCTGTCGATGAGTTTGAGCCCACCAGCAGCTTTGACAAGTACGTGAGCAATCTGAGCAGCCAAACAGCGTGTACGAATATACCTCCATGGTTGTTGGCTGCCACGGTGTAAGTTGGTCCTGCAAAAGACACAGCGCGTCGCATATAAACACGTACAGCAGACGCTGAACGGCTTTTGCCGAGAGAGCACATTCCGGCGTTCAATCGTGCAGTTCACTTGTGTCGCCACAGTCACCCATCGCCGCCTCCAAGTTCAGTTCTCAATACTCCGCCGAGCACGCTCTTTTCCTTTCGCTGAGTATCCGCCCAACATGTCCAACCGCCAGCAGCGTGTGATGGTCCAGCCTATCGTAAGTATATTTTTCTTTTGACAATGCAAAGGCCTCTCAACCGCTTTACTGCAGAATGTCATCTTCAAAAACCTGCAGCAGGTGTGTACATTTTTATGAACCTATATACATTCACTGCTGAGTAGTATGATCATATTTACAGCGCACGAAAGTCGTCATCTGGCTATACGACAATATTGAGATGCGCATCGAAGGGCGAATCATTGTGCGTGTCTTTCATTGCATTGAAACACATTTGGCGTTGAGCATCGGTTCCTCAAAGGCGTCTGCCACTGCATGATGTCCATTTTTAACGATTTATGCTGTTGTCACGCTGCTATATTTTCCATGCATGCAGTCTTCTTTACTCTCCCATTCCCATCACTGTCGACGAGTCGATCGCTGATGCTCTCCTTTACACAGGGATTTGACGAGTTCATGAACGTCGTGGTAGACGAAGCTGCTGAGGTGTACGTGAAGGATGCGAAGCCACGCAATGAACTTGGTATTTAACACGTCATTCGCGAATGTTCAAATTGCTTACTATGAAGGTCGACAGGACGGATACTGCTAAAAGGCGATAACATCACACTTATCCAGCAGGTGCTATAACCTAATGGTACTGTATGATCTCTGCTCGTAGACGATTGTGGGTCACGATTGGTGAAAATTGCGTTTCTCCCTCGCTTTTGCGGCTTTGTCTCCCCAGTGAGCATCTCGCGCGGTTCTGCTCGTAGTCCTGTGCTGTATATCCATAATGTATAATGACCCTCTACAGATTGTAAATAGGTAGGAGTGATGTGAGACTCAACGACTGCCGACACAGAGGACATTCGGGCTGTGGCTGTCTTCAGCAACCACACGTCGAGGACGTAGTTTCGAAAGCCCACCTTCTCGCGTCCCCAGCCCACTATGCAATCCCAACAGAATAGGTGCCCGCATTCCGTGGCCGTAGTTGCAGTTCGCTCCTCGAGGCACAGTGTGCAACTGCGGCCCGCTCGCACAGCAGGGGGAATTTCCACAAAGTCCATGATCGTTTTGTCATCTTCTTCAGCGGATGTCGATACGACGCTTTCAGGGTCGACAGGGCCTAGCATGATTGACAGCGGCCGGTCATCGAGAAAAGTCTCTTGCGTTTCGTCCGTGTGCCGTTTGCCAGCCGTTACCGTGGATTCCTCTCGTTTGCTGACGTTTCGACAGAAGCTCATGAACCGATGGATAAGTCTGATGGCAAGAAGAAGGCCGAGCAGGGAGTATGATGGCGGCCGAGTATTGGGGTCTTCAGGAATGGTTGAGATCTTCGATAATTGAGCAACGTATGAATGGAAAAGAAGAGACGAGACATACATATTGGATGCCCAGCAATCGCTTGACCAGGTCGTAATATACCCCTCGGAAATAGAAGGCCGCTAAGTTAATCTCAGAAAGTACCTCTGACGTTGGAGGTAGCTTGCGTAGGAGATATCCGAGGTTGGTCGACTGAGGGAGCGACGAACCCGACCTCGCCAAAATATAGGATGGCAGCGCCGGTAGGAGAACGAGGGCGATACGTGCACGTTGCGAGGGAAGACGATGCTGTCTACTGGACCGTTGCCAGATATCTGTGTACTCTTCCCCAAGCGTCTGCGTCGCTGCGGTCAACTTCAGTATCGCCTGCAGCAGTGCGTATATAGGACTCACCACGGCCGACAGTCAAACCGTAATAAAGCAGCTTGGTAGCCAGCTCGACCTCTCTATCCCAACGAGTCAGCCATCGTGTCCCTAAAGTCTGTAAGCTGACCAGTATTCATTGTAAGTTGCGGACGTACCGAGCCAGGATCTGAGGACGCCATCGGCCTGTTCGCGTAGTGCAAAGGCTTGGAAGAAATCTCGCTGGTTGGAACGGACTGTACACGGTCGATGAATGCACGTCTCTCACTCCATGGAGGTCATAGACACACTGATCTGCGCCTGCTGGGCCAAGGGGAATGAGGGCAGTCGGGACATGATGGCCTGCGGAAAGAAGCGCGAACGCGCCGTGTGCCGACTTGCACCTTGTCCTGTACCACCAACTTGCCATGGCTTCCGTGCAGCGGACCCCTCAAGGCCCTACGGTATGGCAGAAGCGTACGTATACTATCGTGACCGATTTCTATGTCTCTGACTTGGTGGTGCAGTGAAGTGCGCTAATCCGTCTTCGCGGTCGGTTTGCCGTTCTCACCGGCTTTGTTCACTCTAGGATGGGAGCTATGATGGGTGCAGGTGTTGGCCTGACCATTGGCTTCATTTTTGGTGGCTATAGCATTATCAGGCAAGTAATTCTTTCATTTATGCGTCCCTCGCCCCTCATAGCTTCCATCCATTTGCAGAGGAGGAGCGGGCCCTCGAGGAGTATTGCCCACCCTCTCTCAGTACATGCTGAGCAGCGCAGCGACCTTTTCCTTTTTCCTCGCCATTGGATCTGTGTGTAAACTGCTCTAGGTCCGCTATGCTCCCACTGAGACCCACCCCAGGTCATTCGAAACGATGCTCCCCTCCCGCCTCATCTCGAGGCCGCGCGGCTACAGCTAACGCCACCAATAATTCGCAGCAGATCAGATGGGCTCTCCATAATGAGAAAACATTGGGAGATTGAGAGAAAACATGAGTAATTCAATTTCATTCCGTCTCCGCAGGAGACGAGGTGATGCAAAACGCCAGTAGGCAAGTGATGAGGTTTGCCGTGGAGTGGCTGTCGGACAAACTAATATTCTATCGCGATATAGTTCACAAGGTGTAGCCCTCCTAGCATTTCGTTGTTTTCTGATTTCATTCCGAGTCGTGCCTGCCGAGCTCTCTACGAACAAGCTCAAGGGAATGAACAAGCAGGCAAGTCCATGTACCTTGGCTCCAGTTCGCAGAACAAAGCCGGGCGGAAAGATGGAACCAATCGGCCGTTCGCAGAGATTGCCATTACAAAGACTGCTGTTGCGTGCTAAGCCAGCAACCAGTTTAAGGTTGACTATCTCCGAGACGAAGCTTTACAAACTCACCAACCAGCCTTGAATTCCAATCATAGCTCTCTTCGAGCCACCCTGCTCCAATACGTCTGCAGTCTGCTGCCACATGTCCGCACGGACCGAAAGCTGCTGCACGACTTTGAACGCAGATCTGCGGCGCTGCCATATACAGTGCATGATGGTCTCTCCCACAGTGGGAATGGCCCGGAAATCGTCGGGCGTGCCTGTGTTGCTTGCGGCTTCTTTTTCAGCCGCAAGAACCACCTGATCTTAAGGAGACGGCGTTTCCTTTTCTCGGGAGTGGCCAACACAGGAGAGTGGTACTCGTATTCATCCTCGTCCTCCTCATAGTGGATGGTCGGCATGTCGAGGAATTTGACCGAAGGAGGCGAGCGTCCGGTTCTTGTCCTGATGGATGAGCTTGACGACAAGATGGACTTCGCCGGCGCTGGCCTTGTACGGGACGACATGTCCGAAGATATGGATGCAGCGCGTTGCCTCCTAAACCTGTACAGGCCTTCGCCCATCGCCCCCACCACTGTTTCACTCCCATCTGTCAAATGTGAGGCACTGGCATGAACGAGGGCCGCCCAGAACGACCGCTCGCTGTTGGTGTCCTCATTTCCACGTCGATCATGAACAGATGGCCGACCCGACGGAGTCTGGTATCGTAGCGACGACGACGAGATAAAGGGTATTTCAGGCAATTCATCGTAGTCCGACTCCGTCTCTATTGATGACTGCGACAACGAACACTCGGCACTGAGTGGGGACCCGGGTGACGGCGGCGTCTACATACCAGTGAGTCCACACAGTACGATGAGAGTCTCTGTCAGCGACGCACGAGTGAATACGTAATTGGAGATGGTCTGTTGACGACGTCCTTGAGCTCAGGGGTTGCGTGCTATATCATGGGTCATTTAGCTGGATGGAGTTCTTGAGGCCACAGTCACAATCCTTACCGGGTCATCCGAGAGAGTGGCCGATGAGAGGCTCCAAGAAGACTACAATGAAGATCGTAAATGCGAGAACCGTGGAGTCTGTAATTGCGAAGCTCACGTTCACGGCCTGCTCGGATTGGAGCCAGTCGCGCCAGATCTGGCTGTCGCAGCGAGAAATGCAAGTGTAGTCACGCTGACGCTGCATTGTCTCCGGACACGCGACGAGATTAGAGTGCACTTGAGTGGAGGACGCCAGTCACAGAAGGGATGGGAGGGTGAAGGCGAGAGAGGAGCTGATGAGTGAGAGCGCATCCACCCAAGCGTCTTGCATTTTCTACACGTGTAGGAACAGCCTGCGCTTGCCTTGCGTCACGGCTCGGAAGATAAGTCGCACGAGCCAGTCATCATTCGGCCGGATGGGATAACATGCAGAAGACGTGCATGCATGATCAGCCATGAGGCACACTCATCTTAGATGTAGTCTTCCGCAGACCGGGCCTCCGAAGAGGACTGTGGCAGAACATAGACCAGGTACGGTGCGTGCCACCTAGTCACCGCCACTTTTGTCCAGTGGCTAATTTGACGGACGAGCATTTTCAACCCTAGGATAGGCTTGTTAGGTCAAAATGCATCTTCTAAGTGAATCCAGGACTATTACCACGATAAAATGCACTTCAACCAGCATTGAAAGTATCAAACTGATACTACGTGTGCCGCCGTTGGCAAGCGCCGCCAAAAATAGAAGTCAAGCGCTCTGATCTGTCCGAATATAGTAACTTGTTGCCACATTTGGAAGTTTATTCCCATTGCTGGCCAGTTTCAAAACCTACGTCTCATCCAATTGTGAGAATTCTGTTTAGCAGTTCAACTCCTTTCGTGAGACCGCGCATTTCTACCACGGATAAGGAATTGTATGATCTATGGCGGGGCTATAATGTTCGGACCAATGTGACTAGGTGGTGCGCACTATACGCGAGATGCATCGGAGCTTTCCGTTCAATTGGAGAGTCGGTCAAGCTTCACCGGGTATGCCGGGAAGAGCTAATGAGATGTAGCATAACAATGCATAGTACAGTACAAGTGAAGACAAAGCCCGGGAAATCTCATACAGAAATTTCTGCCACATACACGAACGCTATCAGCCAATTCGTTGCATGCGGAGGTCTCGACATCCACCTGTACTTCGTGCTGCCCTACAGAACATCCATCATTGAGGCGATTAACGAGTGTCTTGGTTAGATTATGCAGTGCGGCCTAGAGATTGAGTCATGTCACGCACCCCCTCAGAGTCTATATGGCCATCCTTGCGTCAGCCGAGACTCGCTGAACCTACGAGCTTCCAGTGCAGCAATGCTAGATTTTGAAGGGCTGATCGACATGAAGACCACTCCAGATACCCCTTGCAGCTTCTGTGGTGCTCTCCACTGTTCTCCGCTTGAGGGGTTTGATCTTCGCACCCGAAGAATCAAGGAGTAGTTGAACCTTCTTCTCAATTCCGGTGACCTCGAATCCTTTAAGCGAGATGACCTTATCCCTGCCGTTTACTGACGAACATCAGCTGACAATGTGTTCTATCTGCGTTAGAGGGAATACGTACTGTAGAACCCACGGACGACAGGTTCCTTTTGGTTGCGCTGCTTGACAACAACCTCGGCGTGAGGGTTGGCGCGGGCAAGCTTCTCCAGATGATCGCGAATGTAGGTCCGGGTATTAGCTGATGATGGCCATTTATCGCAATATTCAAAGACCAGTTTCCTGATCTGCGGAATAAACGCAATGTGGCCATTGGCGGGTCGAGAGCAGAGCGATGCGCGCATAAGCGGCTTTGTTGCAGGAGGGAGCCTGAAGGGCATGTCGAGCTGATGGAGGACGGAACACAACCAAGGCTAGAGGCGGAGTTTGAATTTAAGCTAAGGAACAGTAAGGTGAGGTTCAAGCTCCGATTGGCTGAAGTGACTGAGATGATTTTGGCGCCTCCTACTTTCGACGAGAGCGTCACGACACGACCTTTGACCGGACGCGTCGAGGTTTTGTGCAACTCGCGAGTCGCCACAGTCGCGTCTGCCTTCCAGCCCAGCGTCTCTTGCCCACTATTCGCAGAATGGCCCGTGCTACTCGTTCGAGCGGTCAAGCTGACAAGGACAAACTTCAGGAGCCTCCAGCTTCGCCCCGCAAAACAGCCTCAAAAAAGCGGAAGCGCAATTCTGACAACGATGACCCCTCCGTCCCAAAGCAACCGCGCATCGACGGCAGCCCAGAACCAGAAGGCCCCCAGCCAGGCGTTTCAGAGACGTCGTCAACTGGTAGCGGTGATAAAGCGATTGATGCCTCAGATGCGCAGAAGATCCTGGACGTTCTTGAAGTGTGAGTTTTAGCACTATTGTTCACCAGGGTAGGACTGAGATTCTCCGAAGTATCGATACCCAGGGCCTTCTCGACCGCGTATTCCCTCTATCAGCAGAAACACTGGAGTCGGCGTCGACAGAATCTGCAGCCAGTACATCCGCAACGTCGCAAACCTATTCTCTCCGCGCGCTACTGAAGAATCCCTCTCGCTATCCTCTGCGCGTTCTCCGCGTAAGTATCATACTTGTGAGTCACTAGAAAGTATGGCCTAAAGGCATCGTCTCCCAGTCCGCCGTGCAGCATCTCTTCCCCATATCCTCGCATCCCCGCTCGTTACCTTCTTCCACCGTAGCGCAGCAGCTCCGGTTCTGCAACCTTGCGCTTTCGCTCCTCGACTCTGCTTCTATCCACTCCTTGCCTCAAGTACTTGACGTGGAGAGTATATTCCCGACTCTCTTCAGTCCATCAACAGATGTTGATGAACCACAAAGCGCCAAGACCGCCTCGGCATCGCCTACGCTCGCTCGAAAGCGCAAATATGCTCTTGTGCAGCGACTGCCCACGGGTGATTGGTGGACGTCGTTGAACTCGGATTTTACACCTGCTTTCGCAGACGACAAAGCGTTGAAGGACTTGCCCGCGGGCTACGCCGAGCTCGCAGCGATACTTCCTTCAGCCTCGACCTCGACGACGAAGACGGAAAAGACACTCGCAGCATACGCCCCCAGACGAAGTAACGCAGCATTGAATCAGCTGCCTGGGCCGCGCCGTGTCAGCTGCGGGCGATTCCTTGACTACGGACCATATGCGAGCTTCGCTCCATCCTTCGATCAGGATGGTATGGAAGTCGGACGGGATGCCCTCGGCGAAGTCATCTGGCAGCGGGAGGAGAGGACACGTCTGCGCAGTCTGGTCAAGGGCAAGCAAAAGGCTCTTCCGCCATCCGTGATCGTGGAGTCGAGCCGCATTACCGAGGGCCAAAGCGACGAACACAGGACAGAGGAGAAGGAGGAGCTTGATACAGCGCTGGAGTCATTGTTACCTCGTGATGAAGTAGCAGCAATTAAGTCTGCTTTGGGCAGTTTGGAGTTAGAGGAGGCCGTGCAACAGCTACTGGACAAGAATGCAAGAGCGTTGCAAAGGCTACACAGGATGCAAAGGGAGCGACTCGGAAGGGAGAGAGGCGTGTCGAGCACCGTAGAGGAAGGGTCAGAGGAGTGGACGACGGGTACGTTGTTCCTCATGCACTCATCATGAATAGTGCTTCTCACACCACTCAGCCCAAGCCATCATAGATTCGTTGACATTGCTGGCCTCATTGCGGCCCCGCTCGTCCTCTGACGATGGGAAAGAGCCCCCGCTCGTTCCGCCTCCGTCTGTCCTGCACGCTCTCCAGCGTACCCTGCCCATCGGAGCGACCCAGGGCTGGTATGGGACGCTGCCGGCGGGTCACACCACTGCTCTCAAGGATGACACAACGGTCAAGCTGAAGCCTGGTGTCACTGTGTCGCCTGCGACAACAGCAACAGCCGCTGCTGCGGCCACTACGTTACCCACGAAAACCTCGACTACGCCGTATGCAGGGTACAACTATCCCAACTATCCGTCGCAATACCGTGGAGGTTATGGGACGTACACTCCTGGCCAGGCGAGCGGCTATTACTCGAACTACCCCACAATTCAGGGACAGACGGCCCCAAGTACACATTATCCGAGCTCCCAGTACAACGCGAGCGGCCAGTACGGATATGGCTCATGGTACAATTACCAGCAGAACCAGCCTGGCAGCACGACTGGTGGCTCAACGTCAGGCCGCGCCACTCCTCAGCAGGCGGCCTCGCCAACGAACGTGGCCGCCAACTACGCGAGCTTTTTCGCGTCGACAACTCAACAGCAATCACAGCCGCAGCGTGCTGTGGCTAACACTGTCGCGAGTGTAGCTGCTGGGACGAAGAACTACCAATCGGGCACGTACGCGGCTGGGCAAAGCGGCTACACTGCGCCAACGTTGCCTGCACATCTTCGCTCAGGTACGGGGGGTTCGAGCACGCCTATTATGCCGCGACCATCCACGCCTGGGACCGGCAGCGCTACCCCCGCTTATTCCTCGCAGAGTTACTTTGGAAATTTACCGGCTACTGCCCAGTCGGCCACGAGATGAGATAGGGATCAATTGGTTCCTTTACTGTAGTAATCGACAGTTTTTCATTTTCTCTATACTTTGCAAGCACTTGTAGGTATAATGTCCCGGGTACCGTATGGCAATGTTGATCTTTGGGACTCGCGATAGTACAGATACATTGAGATATCTCGCGCCGTGAACAGTCGACCTGCATACTCTGTTCGGTGCCGTCTAGGCTCCGCAATCCACAGATAGGACCGAAGAGCTGACAACCCAACACCAAGGCCCGCCGCATCGCATTGCAGCGAAGCCTCACTCTCACACGTCAAACCGCCCCTTCACTGTCTGGAGCACCCATGTAGGTACTTTACAGAAGGGGAAAGCACCTGTTCGAGGCCCTCGACCGCCCATGGGCTGAATAGAGACCAGCGAGGCAGGACAGGAAAGCGTGTTGGTCAAACTCTGAGGGGTAAAAATTCTTTTATAGACTCCATAGTACATGTGCGGCATTTGCCGACGGTCGAACTTTATGGACGCTTGCATCGTAGATGGTCAGAATAACTCCCGATTGCTTTCCACCACATTCATCGCAAGGCAGGACGTACATATATATATCAGTCGTAACGGATAAGAATGGGAGAAGTTATATTACCGCCAACTTTCGAAACCGAGCTAGCAGCAGCAACAGCAGCAGCGATATCAAAGTTGGTTTGAAGCGAGCATAGAAGTTTCTCCGCTTACTTTCATAGTGCCCTTTTTGCTTGATTTCCGCCATACTCAAACTCTCAGCAGGTAATGCATAGAATGTGCTTTGCTGAGACCTGACACTGGCCAAAAGTCCCCCAGAACCTACAGGAGAACTAGATGTCACCAAGGGGGTAAAAAGCGGAAATGGAACGTCTTGTGCTGTGGCCAAGGCACTCATGCTTTGGCCTATCCTGCCAGTGGATCAATATTGGTTGCATGCATTCATGGGTTAATATGAACCCGCCACATTTGAGAAACGGCACAAAGGTGAAATCGACGATTGGCAAACTGTCAAACGCGCAATGCTCATTCTTTCAATCCCAATAGGTGGTCAGCGTACAATAAGACATTCTTGTTATCGTTGGCCTTCAGGTCAAACGCTTTCTTGACCCTGTCTGACATCACCAAGACCGACAAGACCGACAGGCTAAGACGGTAGTAGTGCTGCAGCATCGTGTGTTGGTGATCGCCCCGTTCAGGTCAGATGTGTCGTCAAAGAAGCGTAATAGTGCGACAATGCTCGAACGCGTCTGTGGCATGAGGAATGGCCCTGAACGCGCCACCAGTGGCCCCTGCCAGCACCATCTCGGAGTCGTTGCAGACTCTACTACCTCGCTGACACAATTGTGGGCGCAAAATCTGATGACAGTTGACGTCGGTCGATGGCAAAGGTACCTCGCTGAAAGCTCCTAGAGAAATTTTCAAGGATCGTCAAGGTAAGGATCCTGGTACAATTGGTCTCAAGAGTCCATGACAGACAGTTGATGGAGCGTGCTTGGAAAAAGCAGCCATAGTATTGAGCAAATGGAGCCGTCAAGTGTGTGTGTTTGCTTTCCTCCACCCGGCACCGTGACAGCGCTAGTGCTCGGCATATTTCGCCGCTACGCGGGTGCTTGAGTAGCGCTATTAATGGGCACTGGGTGACCGAAGGATGCTCAACGATCAATCAACCATTACACTGTTATTCAATGCAGGAGAGAAGGGAGTCAACAAATACAGCAGTCACAACATACAAGAACGAGAGCAGATCGAAATGTAGCCAATATCTGGATAGCAAGCTAGCAGCAGCAGCGAGGTCACACTTAGCGTGGTTGCGGTGCTTCGGGCATGATCATGTCATCCAGCGTGAACCTGCCTTCCTGCAACGCCTTGAGAAGATCCTCCTCACCCCATACATCCTTTTGTAGTGCCTTGTCCCTTCCGCCCTGGGCCATGCTAGAATGCTCCCATATTGCCTTCATTTTGGGGAGGGCTAGTCGGATTCTCTTCATGACGGGCAGCAGATCCCTAATGGGTGTACCGCACAAGAATAGTGCTTCCAGCCCAACATGGAGGAACCCTGCTACATGTTGTCAGCGAGGAACTCCGGAGATCGTGCGTGAAGGAACTTGCATGCATGCATCTCGTCGTCCTCAGGGAACATCAACGCAGCCTCGAGATATGCGTTGGCCGCCTTAGCAAAATGCTCCTGGGCAGATGGGGCATCTTTACGCATTCCGAATTGACGAGCGATCCGATTGTGATAGAAACCGACCATCCTGTAAATGGGTGAGCAGTCGTGGTGTTTTAGTAAGCGGACTGGGCAACTTACGACAATGCATGACCTCTAGGGTAGAATACGAAAGATAAAAGGAACCCACAGTCATAGGACTCCCCTTTGGGCACCGCAGCTTCGAGCGGGCTGGTGTCACGCAGTATGTCTTGCGCTTCTTCCAGGAGGGTGTTCAATAGATCCTCCGAATCTCTACTGGAGGCCCGCTCGCACGCCTTTAAAAGACAAACGTGAAACATGTGAAACGTCAAGGATAATGGGGGACACGGACTGTCATGAGCGCTTCCATGTATAGAGAACGGACACCCCGGAGAAACGTGTCCTCAAAGATAACACCTCTGTCGTCTTTCTTCACGTCACGCCAAGCTTGCCTTCCCCATTGTAACACCGCAAGAACTTGCGTATAGAGCTTGAGCGCACCGTCGACGTCGTCTTTCATGTTCAACATTACGAATGCATGCATTATCCAAGCGCTACCGCTTCTATGAGTCCAATGAATGTGAGAACCAAACGCCACCTACCGGACAGTCGTTGTGATAGCCATGCGAACCGGAGTCCAACCCTCCTTACGTTGCCGTTCTGGGGCATCAGCAATGATCTCCTGTGCATCCCCAGTCACCCAAGCTCTGTCTTTTTGTGCCTCGAACATCACTGAAACTCTGAGTCAGAATGAATTGCGGTGCAGCAGTGCTTAGAGGACGACGAAACCTTGATCATTGTACATCTGCAGAAAAGTAGGACTATCAATGTGGAAGATTCTAGGGTCTCTGAGAAGGGCATTTGATAGATCTCTCAGAACCTGGGAAGAATTATATTTGTCAACTGACTGCTATCTGAGCAGTTGCTTACATTAGTCATTCCTCCAATTCCCGGTCCGGCTGCAGTTTGAAACTTCTTCAGCTGCTTCAAACCCGATAGGCCACTTTCCCAATCCTGTGATACCTTCGTCAGCTTTGTCAAAACTGACATTTAATTCAAAGAGTCACCGTTGCTGCCCCCAAAATCGCCCAAGCCTAGATATTAGAACATCAAAGTAGGCTCGGTAATCTTTCGTTGAATAGACCTCACGCTGCTGTTCGCCGTCTCGCTGGCCCTTCTCTCCAGCTCAGGCAGCATGGCTTTCGCACGAGCCCACGGCGTTGTATCCAACGAAGTTGTGTAGGTAAGTCGATCTGCGAGTTGATCTGCGGCACTTGGAGGTTTGGTCCGAGCAACCGTGTTCTGTAGTTCGCTTTCATAATGTTGTTTTTGTTTGACTTCAACAGCGCTCATGTTCTCAGCAGGCAGTGCTCCGAGTGCCTTTTTCCAAGATTTCACGCTGTCTTCGAAGTGTCCTAGAGCCTAGATAGAAACGACGTGTGATGAGCTTGCTCCAGGAAGTATATGAGGCAGAAATCAAACATCTTGTGCTGTAGCCAAGCGCGCCCATGCTTTAGCGTAGCTTGGGTCGATGTCAGTTGCCTGTATCGATGAGATCGTCATCGCATGTCCCGCTATCGACTACAAGTGCGAACCCGATCACCTTTTGTGCATCAGCGACTGCATCCGAGAGCCTGCATTAAAAGTGAGACGGCGAGTTGATAGACTGTCAGGTACGTGAATTCACCGTTTCAGCCCTACAGAGCACGCAGCACGGTTTGCATATAGAACAGCATTCTTGTCATCGATCGCAATCGCGTCTGAGTATTTCTTATACGCTGCGGCGTAGTCTTGCTTTATGTAGAGCGCGTTTCCTTCTGCCTTCAAATCGAGTGCTGTTTTGGCATCGTCCGACATGACGAGACTGATGATAGACGTAAGATCACGATGTCGTTCAGTGCGTTGACAATGCCCTCGTTCGAGTCACGCCTTTTGTGGGTGGGGAAAAGAAGCACAATAAATGCGGCGCTCGAACGCGTTTGTGGCGTAGGTTTCCGAGCAAGAACATTGGCTCTCTGGATTCGGACGCGTGCCATCTCGCCGGCGCTACCCGATTCGCTCGCACGAACTTTGATTAAAGTTTACCACCCAACTGGCAAACATTCTGCATGGTAGACAAGTGTTCCCATCCCTTGGCATAACCGCGGTCGAACCTGTTGCTTACCTTTGGTTCCGTACCTACATATACACAAAGGCCAGATATAAACTCGATTTGTCAGCGTCACTCTGTTTTTGTCCCTGACGCGTCGTGACAGTGCGCGAAGGTTGAGTAATTGCTGCCAGGAGCGCAGCTGAGAGCAGAAAATGCTCACATACTCATGTCGACCGAGCGCGATTGGAGATATAGCGGTATGCCTGTCGTCGATTTGAGCATTTTTCGCGGACTGCCGGCGTGATTTCATTTACTTTGTATATAAGCTGGAGCGGTCGGCGCTTGTCCAACGGAGATTGTTAATCCTTTGATAGGCGCCTTTGTTCTCCCATCATGTCAATCAATTTTGCCATGACTTCGACACAGGACCGACCGCAAAGTCGACGACTATTTGTCGTAGCTTCCCCCACGATGGCCGAGCGCTGTGTCCCAGGCTGGGCGCGGTTGCGATAACGGGTTCCAGAACAGGAAACGTGGCACGCAAATTGGCTGGACGCGTTTGGTCGGTTATTACCGGCCTCTCCATGCAGCCAGAGTCAGCCGCCACGCAAAATATCGTACCCGGCTCGCCAGCCATCGGGATGACCCGCCGCTTACTCCTCGAAGGCGTCTCGTTGGACGACCTCTTCTCCAGTCTCACCATCTACCAGCATCCTTGAAAGACTCCTGGCGCTTACCAGGACGCCCCCTAGGAACGACCGACAGACGGACAGCGATTCTTGTTATCCTCAAGCGGATATCGGATGCAATTCTCGAATGTATCTGACGCGTTCATAGTAGGCGATGACAGCTCCGTGGTGAGTCGTCCACTGTTTCTGGTTAGCTCGTCCCACAAGGTGCAATCAGCGAGATACGGGGAGCCTGGCAAGATCGCCGCGCACTATACGATAGCAGACACGAGATGGATTGCTACACATCTTGGTTCGGGCCATCGTTGGTCGTCTGACTTGGTACGTCGACGCTGTCGTGTGCTCGACTCGCCGAAAGCGTGCAGACAAGCCCCATCTACAGCGCCTGCCTGATGCGGCATCATCACTCCGGCGACTCTCGTGTGTCAAGAAGCGTGGAAATGTTACCTTTCCACCATGCCTAAATGGCTTGTCACTCTGTTATCTCCCCAGCGTTGCCCCTTATCTCTCGACCTTGCGACGCATATCGCTTGCAGCACTCTTTGCTAGAGCCATCACGGAGCTATCTTGTCGACGGCGAGGCTTGACACCCAGCTTGCTACTGTGGTTTCTTCAGCGGATCTGTAGCCAGCTCGTTCTGTGCCCCAGCGCTCATAACTTGGAGCCATGGAGCTCCATGAGGTTCTGACGTAACATCCTCGCAAGTTTCCCATATATCCGTTCTACCGATCATCGTGCAATGATCCGGTGCTAAATGCCATTCACTCATGTATTCAGGGCAACAACTTTGCTCAGAGAGTGGGAGCGCTCTTCAGACGTAGGTGACCTGCCTGTAATGTTCATCCCATCATCGGCTGACATTTTGCTTTCCTTCAGGCGACGATAACCCGAATGATCAGTACGTGTCTCCGTAATATACGCTCGATTGGTACCCCCAACAGATCTTGTTGAGCAGATTTCAAGGAGGCGATGTTGCATTCATAGCTGTTTGTGGAATGCTGGTGTCGTTCATGGTCCCTGGCGTTGGTACGTCTATTCCATCGCATGTCGCTGAACTGAACATAAGCGTGACATTATCTCTCAGCCTTCCTTTATTCTGGCCTGTCACGGCGGAAAAGTGCATTGACCCTCGTGTGGGCATGTGCTGCAAGTAACGCTGTAGTGATCTTCCAATGGTGGTTTTGGGGGTATTCACTCGCGTTCTCCCCGAGCGCCACAAATGGCTTTATCGGCGACTTGAGGAGTTTTGCACTGCGCAAAGTGCTGACGGACCCAAGTCCTGGATCGCCACTCATCCCAGAGCTATTGTACAGCTTCTTCCAGATGGAGTTCGCATGCGTGACAGTGGCTATCCTGATGGGCGCTCTTGCTGAGCGAGGGCGTGTGCTGCCCGCTATGATATTCGGCTTCGTCTGGATGACGATCGTCTACTGCCCTATTGCGTACTGGATATGGGGGCAGAATGGGTGGGCCTGCAAGTGGGGTGTTCTGGACTTTGCCGGTGCGTTTTGTCGTTGATTGCGTTTGTAAACACACAACCCACATTTTTACAAGGTGGCGGACCCGTCGAGATCGGAAGCGGTGTGTCCGGTCTGGCATATTCCTGGGTCCTCGGCCGACGGAGCGAACGAGAGTTGCTCAACTTCCGACCGCACAACGTCTCGATGGTCTGCATGGGTACGTTCATGCTCTGGTTTGGCTGGCTAGGCTTCAACGGAGGAAGTGCCTTCGGAGCGAACCTCCGCGCTGTGCTCGCGATATGGAACTCGATGATCGCCGCTGCTATGGGTGGGATCGTCTGGTGTCTGCTCGATTACCGTTTAGAGCGCAAGTTCACGATGGTCGGATTTTGCTCGGGGACCATCGCGGGCCTGGTCGCGGCCACGCCGACCTGCGGATACATGCCGCAGTGGGCATCTCTGGTGACGGGAATCGTTGTCGGCATTTGCTCCAATTATAGCACGAAGAGTACGTTCTCCTCGCTCTGAGCCCATTTTGCATTCATTGACAAGCGCTGCAGTAAAGTTCTTCCTGCGCATCGACGACGCATTGGGTACGCTCGTTCGTTCTGATATTGGTGTGGTAGCACTTATCTTGATGCCCTGCTTTAAGATCTATATGCCGAACATGCCGTAGGTGGGATCGTCGGCTTGATGTTGAACGCCCTCTTCGCGGATAGGGAGCTCATCGAGTTAGACGGGATCACGACGGGGGTGAATGGCGGGTGGCTCAACCGCAACTGGAAGCAACTTTACATTCAGTTTGCATATGTATGCGCTGTCGTGGGGTATTCCTTTGTCGTGACAGCGTTCCTCGCCAAAGTCACAGACTTCATTCCGATGTTGAGTCTCCGGGCATCTCCAGATGACGAAGTCATGGGTATGGACGACGCACAGGTACGCTTGTCTCTCCATGTATACACCGCTGCCAAAGTTCTGACTATTCGGCGCGTGTCCCTCTCTTTGTAGATCGGAGAATTTGCGACAGATTACATTGAGATCCGTCGGGACTACACCGACTGGACTCCGTATTTCAAGGAGGCAGAGCGCATCGTCGCCGCTGGCGACCGTCATGCCCTTCCGGATACATCTCCGTGGCCATCTCAGGATAGCGCAAGACGGAGTCGTAGCCGGAGTCAAAGTCGCGGCCGTGCGCTGAGCCCAGGGGGATCTATTGGCGCGCTGCCCACCATCTCGGAGAAGATGAACGGTTCTGCTGTTGTCAAAACAACTTCCCCCATTTCCGGCAATGGCAATATTGTTCCCGAAGTACGGAGCCCCAGTGAGAACGGGCACGCAAGAGCCGATGGGCAGGTGACGGAAACACCGGCAGCAAGTATCACAGAGAGAAGTGGCGGCCACGAGCAATAGCCATGACTGTCTCTCCTCTCCCATCCTGCTCTCTCCCTCTCCATAAACGTCTCCTTGGTATTGCGGCTTGTCCTTGACTGTGCTGCATATCATTCTAAACTTAATGTGCGCACGATACTTACGATAGTGTTAATTAACTGTGATGAAATGGATGTGCTAACATAGATAAACGGCATATGTTGCGGGCTTTCCGTGACGGTAGCAAGTGCCGTCGCGCAGGAAATGTATTTTCTTCCTCCAGCTGTTCATGAGACGCGCTTGAGTCTGTATATTGTACAGGTAGCTTCGTCTCTTGGCCAACAGCTATAGACAGAGACCTCTGCCCTCGCGCAATAGTCATGTCATCTGCAATGAAAGAACGCTACAGTGAACTCTCTGCATCGGAAGAATCATGCACACCATGAATCGCGACATACTGATGTTTTGAGAAAGCGCAGACTTCCACTTCGTTCTCCCTCAACACTACGTCAACGCCCACCTTGTAATAAGCATCTGTAACGTGTTGCAAATTCTAGATCTAACTAGACATGTGTCGGCCTTGCTGAGCCTGAAAAGTGCAGGTAAGCTTTGTCATGCAAAGAACTCTGGTGGTGGGGTTTGACTAGTCAGAAATTCATTTATATGAGCTCAATTTAGCACACCGCCCTCATCAGAATTCTCTGCGCATTTGTTCAACACTTGCAACGAGTTACAGCATGCTAGTGGCACGGGCGATGCCTCTGTTGGTTGGGTTAGACACTCGTGGCTAAAATTTATCTGAGCTGCTCGACAGCAAGTCCGAATATTGTACATACATGCGAAAATCCCAGAGCACTTGCCACAATTCACTGCTACTTTGATATATAGTCGATATTGCTTCTCTCATACTACTTCAACCCAAGCTCCTCCGACTGGATCTGCAACGCCTATGATATTGAACACCCGTCAGCCTGATGGACAAGTGCACATGCTGACCATGCACTTACAAGCCTCTTCCCGAGGAACCGGCAATGTTGAAATGTACCCATCGCGATCCAGAGCCCGGGCTGCCCCGACGGTCGGTAGCATGCTCGGAATTCGCCTTCGTCATCGAGCCCCCACACCTCGTGCCCAATCTTAGACATTATCGAAGGCCCGAAGAGGTCGATAACGTTGGCGATGGCGGGCTGATAACCCGTGCCGAAAAGCGGCAACGGTGAGGTACGTGCAGAAGGACGAAAGGACAGACTTACGCGAGGACAACTACGTCTGCGGGGATGCTCGACCCATCTAAGAACAGCGCGTTCTGTTCATCTAACCCATTGACATTGCCGTGATTAACCTAATTCACAATCGTGCGCAGTCATGTCGGCTTTCTCAAGTAATTCCAGATTTCCCTCACCTTAACCTTGCCATCGATTATGAGCTGGCCACATCCCCAGTCCATCACTGTGACTGCTCAGTGAGTGGATGAGAATGGAAGCCAGCGGAGAAAAGGGCTACTCACGCGAACCCCCCGCAAGCCTTTCCGCCACGAAGCCCAGTACGCCTACCTCCGGCCCGCCCTCCTCCAGCTGCCATGTCAGGCGAAAGCCAGCCTTTTCCAGGCCCTCAAAGAGCTCCTTATCTATTGCTTTCTGGCGCGCGGTGCCGCCCGCCGCGGCCAGCTTGAGCGCAAAGCGCAGCGGCATTGACTGGTTCGCAAAGTCCGCGTCTTCGATGTCGAATTTCTCGTTGTATGTGACACTGTATACGAGCTTGTCCGTGGTGCTCCCCGCGGTGACGCATGTCGCGCTGCGTTGGATCATCGTCACCTGCAGTGTCCAGGCGTCAATGTGGACTCATGAGGGGAAGAAGATAAGGCGGCGTACGCTCTCTGCACCATTGTGCACGAAATCGATGCAGATGATCCGCAGCCGCGTTACACTGTTCGTGAGCATGAAAAACGTTCCCATCACGCAGAGTCCTTGAACACTACGTACCGCACCAATTACTACAGCCCGCTTTCCCTTGAAACGAGACGCATCCCGATGCTGGTGCGAATGATATACAGGCCCCCCTGAACTGACTCATGTTGGGGAAGTGCGGTACGTGCGGCTTCCCAATCCCAGTGGCCAAAATGATGTGTTTCGGTCTGACGATCGTCTCTTCACCTTTGCGATCGATGGTGACAGTCCAGCGTTTGGTGACCTCGTCGTACTTCGGAGTGGGCAGGAGCTTGCTAGACGTCCAAATGACGAGGTCTTCGCCAGTAGCGTACGCTTCGAGGAAGTCAGCGAGCTTATTCTTGGAGATAAATTTCGGGAATGTTTTTCTTCATGTCGATGAGCGCATGCAGTATGTCCTGCGCGGTCAACAACTCACGGATATGGATGATAGAGCACTGAAGGTCCCGTGAGATGTGGCGAACGAGTGAAGGGCGGGTCTGTTACCTGAGCAATAATGTGCAGGGGAGTGGAGATGCAAGTTCGGGTGTCTGATTGCATGCTTGAATGTTAGCGTCGACAGCGGTCAAAGTCTGCGACGTCAGCGAACCTCTTTCTCCAAACATCCCCTATGTGTTCATCCTTTTCCACGACGAGAGCACCTATACCCATCCTGCCCAGCCGAGCGGCCAGGGTGAGACCTGTAAGCCCGTCACCAGCTACGACGCCGACATCAAGCATGAGCATTCCAGCAAGCATATTAAGGAGCAGACCACACCTATGAGGACCGTGGGATCATGCGAAATTGCAGCGGCTCGCCGTGCAAGTACTTCATCCCAAGTAGAAAGATCTGGATAAAATCCTAGCGGTCTCGTCCGCGATTCTTCATGGCCTGTTATATCATCCATGCACATCAAGACAGTCGTCGCTTTCCACTCTGAGGGTGATTCTTCAATGAGACGCAGAAATCCCCGGCCTTTACCGGGCGGGGAGGCAAGAACAAATTCAAAGTTTCCCTGCACGCCACGAGCAGCCGGGTTGTACGGATTGATAGAAAACAATGGAGGGCCCAGCGTCGAAGCAGACGCCACACGGAAGTCGTACAGACATGCGAGTGACAGCCTGGTGGTCTCATTCTCTCCAGAGGGTTCGACAAGGTATGAGGTAATCTTCTCGCGTCCGTTGAGGCATCGAAGATCCCATGAGAAGCATAACAAATCTGTTTAGGCTGCAGTCAGCTTAGCTCTGTTATTAATGGAGCGGTTATACCTCTCAGCCACCATCTGTGACCCAGAGACAGACAAACGCCTCTACATTGCCGGCCACGCTTGCAGCTTCCAGGCGTTCGAGCCAAGTAGTCGCAACAGAAGGGGCAGCATTGTTTTGCTCGACCGGAGACATGACAGTAGCTAAGAATGGCAACACTGTCACGAGGAGGTCATATAAAGGTCAACATCCTTGTGCCATCCAGACATCTAGTACATGATCAGGACTCACGCTAAGCGCGGATCAAACCAGTTTGTCAGAGGGCCGTACAATTCTGGCCGTCTTCGCTGATGTGCCGATCTGGGGATTCTTACGCATACAACCGGCACCGTAGAAGAAGTGGAATGAGACTGCACGTCTTCGATATCAATCCGAATGATTTGACATGTCGAGGGCTTCGCAATTGGATCCAGCGAATATATACGGTGGGAAATGCGATTGCATCGCCTGTACATCTCACCAGATTAGAACGGTCCCCACATGTTGCCATAGCACATATGACATGATCATCCGCCAGTGTGGATAGAGCCCGTGATGAACCGCCAGCGATAATGAATGTTGTCTCCTGGTGTCGCTGTACTGTATGGAATAAGACAGCGCATATTGTTTACGGTACTGGGCTTCGATACTTTCAAAATCCTCATAACGATCGTGAGCAGACTTGCCAGAAAGGAACGTGTGTATTTGGGCCCCCGCTATGACAGGTCCATCGTTTGACGGTGAGTCACGTCCACGCGCCCACCGCGGCGTTGTGAGGCACGGAGAGCTAAGTATATCCGCTTGATCATGCCATAAGTATTCTATGGACTCGGCCATCGTCTAACCTCCAGTCGGCAATAAGGTGAAGGTTTCGACCACCCCGGCCCAGCGCAATCATCCGCATTCTGTCTGGTAGGCAACTTCATGTGCCATCTGAACGGCGCGCCATCGCTATATTTTCCCGTGGGCAGACGAGACAAAGCTTCGAGCCTCCGCGGGCTCTGCACTGTATCCTTGTCTTTTTTATGATTCTTGTGTTTCAGCGCGTCCAATTGATGTTGTCGAATGCATTGAACTTGTTCATCAGAAGGCTGTCCTTCCGATTAAATGTACGAAGAAGCAGAAGCTAAGATGCATGACTGAGACTCCGAATCTCGGTCAACTTGGGCGGCGGGAGAGAGGTCATTCATCCGAAGATAGCGTCTTCAATGGATCAACAGAACCGTACTGGCGCCGGCAGTGACGGATTAGTTCACTTCGTTGTGGTGCAAGCGCCAAGACCGATTGCTCGAAGTAAGCACCCGAATTGAATTGTGAATGCCATAGTGGTAATGTTTAAAGGACCACTAGTACTTGCCAATAGACTGTAAACATTTTCTCTGTGCCTTTCACAGATAGCCCGAACAATGTGCAAAGAATCAAACATCGTAAAGCAATCTCTGTCTCAGATCAAATCAAATAGAAACATTTTTAGAGCACCACCCTAAGATTCTATATCGGTCTCAAACCCAGACCTCTTTTTACGCATCCCAATATTCAATTGCTCAGAAAGAAACGGTGCATATACTGTGTGCAGTACAGCGTGTGATCTGCCATTCGCAATTAATGATGCGCACGGGAGAAACAGCTGCTAGGCGCCTGCCGGACCGTATGTTCAACCATGCGCTGCGCTCGGACATTGCAGCTGGGTCCTCCCCCACGACGCCGACTCACTCGCTCAGCACAGCTGCTCCTCACCAGGGCTTTCGCTCACGGTTGCAGGCTGCATGCGTCCGACCCACCTGTCTTTCCGCGGACTCAAGTGAACGTATCCGATGAGCGGTATCAGTTGCAGGCACGGCCTCACCACGATTACCAATACCTGAGTTTGGCCGAGATATAACTCCCCGAATTCTGCCATTCATATCAATTATGACGGACCCCTTCCACCTCACGGCCATGTCGGCTTCGCCCTTCCACTCTCTGCCCGCAGAGCTTGCCGAACGCATTCTGCTCTTCTGCGAGCCTCGCGACGTCGCGGTACGCCTTCTGATTCGAAGGTAACACTCGTTCGGCGGGACTGACACCGTTTCCAGAACTTCGCAGCGACGTGCCAGGGCGCCTACAAGCTCGTCTACGAGTCCGATGACCAATTCCTCTGGCGCGAACTGTTCCTGAGCCACTCGTTCGACGACCTCCGCAACGCCCTCCCGCTCACCGGCCCATCTAAACCGGTTACGGAGCACGACTGGCGCACGGAGCTGCAGCGCAGGGTGCATGCGAAGCATGTCGTCCTCCGGGGGATCACCGGCCCGGCGCGTCAGCGCGCCCTCGAGACCCTCGTGAACGTTGTCGAGACGGCCCTGCCCGCCAAGGACGGCCACGACTCGTCGGACAAGTCTAATAACCTGCAGTGGCTCGAGGCGATCATGCGCGAGGCCAAGTTCGAGACGGGAGGGATGTCATCTGCCGAGCGCCAGCTTCTCGGCCGTCTCAAGACTTACGTCGCGCTCTCGTACGAAAGCGATGAGATCGACGAGCCCACGCGGCGTCTCTGGAACGAGCTGCGCCGGACGAGTCGATGCTATGTGTACGACTCGCGCCGCTACGAGGAGGACACGCTCTGGGGCCCGTTCTCACTCCGCGAGGATGGGGAGCTGGTCGTTAATTGGGAGCATATGGAGCATGTCGTCACGGTGGTGGCGATGAAGCTGCGAGAGATTCCGCTGATTGCGCTGAGGCTGTATAACAAGCCGCAGCCGGGGCTGGCGGCGACGCGAGCATACTCTGCACCGCCTGTGCAGGACCGCAAGCCACACGACTGGGCCGGCGTTGCGGGCACTTGGAGGCGCTTCGTGTGTTTCATGGACTATCGGTGCGTGCTCATTTCGATAATCGAAGACCATTCGCGCTGATACTGGCTCGCAGTGACCTATTCGGTAAGCACCTCTGTAAATGGAGTCTGTCGTGCTGATTGTAGCATTGTCTTTTAGCATTCAATGTAAGTTCGAGCATTCTGTTTTCCGCGCGGCACAAGGTGATAACTCTCGTCCAGTCTGGTTTTTCGTTAACCGCCCGAAGAGATCCCTCTTTCTTCGAGGACGACTACCAGGAGGCGATTCGTCCTGTCGAGCTCCACCTCGAGGTGCTCGATCCCTCCGTCTCCGTCCCAGCCTCCTCTCGCATCTGCATCTCCTCCTCCTCCTCCTCCTCCTACTACCCTTCCACATCCTCGCTGCACCCGTCCTACCCGCCCATCTTCTTCAAGGGCTTCTCGCGCGGCGCCCACAGCAGCGACGCATCGGTCGAAGGATCCGTAACGATGCTCGCCGACGGCGGGATCCGGTGGAGCTTCGTGAGTTTGAACGGGGCCATTGCGGTTCGTGCTCCCTCTGCTTACGCGCGTGTATACGAAAGGTCACGAAATATGACGGGCTCACGCAGTGGAGGTACGCTGCCGCTCGCTCTCCTCGCAGGGTGTGGAGACCAAGTGATGTTGATCGAGGCTGTTTAGCGCGGAAGGCGTCCAGGTGGGCAATGTGTGCAGTGAGGCGGGCGTTGCGGGCATTTGGACGGGCGCGTTCCATGAAGAAGGTGCGTGACAACGTCATTGGACGCGGATATTTGCTCAGGGATACGTTTTCTGTAATTCAGCGGATCCTGCTGGTGCGCTCGCTCGATACATGGACCTGACGTGCAGGTATTTACCGGTTATGTTTTGCAGGCCCATTCTGGATGTGGAAGGTCCATCAAGGTCTGCCCGCCGGCTTTCAACCTTGATAGATTGACAGACTTTTTCCTTGGGCGGTGCACAAAGCATGAACATACCGAACACTGCGAAATCAAAGGCATCACTGGTAGAGAAGTTGCTCTTGTTGTGTGGCTGTATACTTCCTCATGTAATTTATTCCGGAAATATTGTCTTCAACAAGACATATGGATACACGGGTTGTACGGACAATTGCTCAGCGTTGATCTCGCTTGTATCGTACAACAACTATACACTTTTTTCGGTATCGTTTTCTTCTTCAATTGTCGTGCTCAGTGCTTATGCAGGCCACTGGCCTTTCCGAAGAACATGATTAGCCTGCCATACAAATCCTCGAAGCTAAAGCGCATCAAAGTCAAACGTCTATTGCCTCAGCCGGGATAGTTTTCGGTACGTACTCTTTGCGCTGCTTGGCATCCTCCAGGTTGGCGCGGGCGGCAGCGAACCCATGGAAGCTGCGAGCTCAGTCAGCATACTGTCATTAAACCACTCACGAAGAAGTGTACCTGTCGTAGAACTTGTGGTCATTCTTCTCGTGCCAGGGCTTCCTTGAAACGATCTCGACGATCTTATGGTACTGTTGTCCGTTCCGTTGCAGTCAGCAATGTATGTCCAGACACGCTGTGACTAGGAACGGTGAATCGTACCTCCTCCATGGGCTCGTCATGGCTCGGATAGATGCCAAGCGGCACTTTGAGATGGACGGCGTCGTGGTGGGTCAACATGCTGAAGACACGCGAGTGAGTGCCCCGCCATGATAGGAGCCAAGTGACGAAGCGATGCTCACGCAGGGTGTGTAGCGGCGACGGCGCCGAAGGGTGTGTGCTCAACGGATCCAGCGAGAATGGTGACCTTCCCACCTGCGACAGCCCGCCTTCAACATCCGCAATTCGAGTCCCACAAAGATCCTCAGATTGCACTCACCCCAGCAGAAACCAAACGTGCCAATGAACTGCGCTCCGTCCTCCTTGAGCGCACGGCCGATGCGGACGAGTTTCTCGACTGCATCCTGAGGCTTCGCGGGCCCGCCGAAGAAAGCCTGGAGCCGCGCCTTCTCCTCGTGGGTCTTGGGCGGGAAGTGCTCCGCAGGCCATGGGTCGGCGGGCTCGAAGAAGTCGGGCATGACGACGTGTGCGTGGAGCTTGTCGGCGAGGATGTCGGCGCCTTGTTGCGTCTGGGGCTTGAAGCTGCCGGCGCGAGGGCGGATCGCATTAGGGGGAGTGTGAGGTGCAGAGAACTAGTATGCGGCACATACCCAAAGATATCAAAGACGCATACGAGCGAGATGTCGGTGGGCAGATCAGGGCCTGTCACGTATACCTAGTGTATTCACGATGAGCACAACTACGTCCATACCGTCCCCGTCCATGCCAACCTTGTTGAACCCGGCATAGCTCTTGTACGTTCCCTTGGGCGTGTAATCCGACTTGACAGGCGGGATGCTGCAGCACGCAGCGTTATCGTTGTGAACGACGTAGCTAGCCATGCTTCGTGTCGCGACGCGGATGGGCTGGTGGGACGGGGCGAGGTGGTGGGCGATGGCGCGGAGGCGGACGAGCATGGTGGGGGTTGCGCGCGCGGGGCTTATATACGTCGGCTGGTGCGGGGGTCGAGTCCCCATCTATGGCTGATCTTTATTGATATGCCCCACCATTATTTGCGCTCGAAGTTCAGTCGTCATTCGGTCCATCCCCTTCTTCTCTCTGAACTGTCTCTTAGTCTCGTCGCTGTGCATTCCTCATGCACATTTCTCTGCAATTTAGCAATAAAACACAAAGCTTCCGGATACCTTGCCCACAAATCCGACGGAAATTCCGAGCAAAGGACGCGTCGACGTCATCCGCGATCGCGTATGATGGGCAACGCGGGCGCCTGATCACGATCATTCCTATAATCCCGCTTTCCCACGGCACTGCTGTTTTTTTCAACGACCCTCATCACCGCTACGCGTCCATCGTGCAGCAACTCTGCGTCCTGCATCTCGCACACATGGCCTGGGGTATCGAGTCTGGAGAGGGCAGACAAACGCATACATCGAGCTCAATTAAGCCGGAGCGCTCCTCCTCTGTCCGTCCCTACGTGGGCGGCCGGGATGGGGAGTGCTTGACTATGAGGCTCGTACATCTCTACGTCCGTCTATTAACGACATGATATATTTGCACAGAGTCCTCCATAGTGTAGCCTAGTATGTACTCGAGAAGTGCCAGCTGTCGCCGGCGGCAGACCTTGCGAATGAATCCCGGAAGTGGAATTGGAATCGGACGCGGAATACATTGGTTTTCTTCCCCAGGACGAACACACTGGAGCATGACCGCCGCCTGCAGCTGGGGAAATATGTGAAGTCGCGCCTGGAGGCTACCCACGTACGCGCACTCAAAGTGATTGCCTGCCCGTGAGGGTTCCTTTTTCCCCGTTTGAAATACCCGCGGTTCACCATCTGTAATGTGTTGTCCAACAAGTCTTAAACAAATGATTCTTACAACTTTATTTCTAGAATATACAAAGCACGAGAAGTAGTCGACCTCCATCAGTGCTCATCCGCGGATACTGCCATTGATGTATGATCCAGCCTCAGGGAGATACATGATCAATTTTTACTGCCACGGCGATCCGGAGCTTATAGCCTATGTACTTGCTAGCGTGATAGAGCATGAGACCTCCCATATCATTTATGCCCAAACCTGTTGCAACGGTACAGTCGACTTGATCCTCGTTGATTCAGCTGTGCAGTACACACACTTGAGGGGAGTAAACCCGAGCAAACAATATTGTTCAGGATCTGCCTGCCGGTCCTTGAAGTAGTGCGCCATCGTCTTACCTAGGTGCATCACGCTTACCTTGCTAAGCCAATAAGAGAAGGTGAATCCTTCTGCGACGATGCAAGACTCGAGATTGCAATGACCTGACTTGTGATGCTCGATCCCATGCTGCACTTGTTGCCGTTGAGCAGGAGCTCGAGGAATGCCACACGCTGGCAAAGTTTATCTTGAACAATTGTGCGAATGTCTCATCTGTCTTGTAGTTCCGTAGGAGCTGCTAGTACTGTGTGATGCTCGCCTCACCGGCTTCGAAAGCTTCGGCTGGTGGTTTATCATCACACCTGCGTTGTTCACGAGTAGCTGTAGCCGTGCCATGTCTTGACGGCATCTGCGATGGCACGCGGAGTCACGATCTGCGGCATTTCCCTCGATTGGGATCGTGTTTCATCAGTGCTCCGTGAATGAATAAATATGAGTTGTGCAATTGGATGATGTGCCACTCATGTTTGGAGGCATAAGAACCTGACGTAAAAATGTAGGCCAGGGAGGACTTGGAAGGACTCGTTCGCAAGTAAGTGATCGATCGAGACCAAAGATCGCGTTACATTCTGACCTGGGAGAAACCTTGCAGTCGCAAGGTAACAAAGAGATAAATAGAGAACAAGACCCCTAGATCCGCGACACATAGCGACCCGATACATTCGATACGCGCTGGGGTGACTCTGAGTAAGCGACAGCCTGATACATGATTCTCGTAAAGCACCGTAACTCGAGCAAGAAATAAGCACAACACAGCCACTCACGACTTCAACTTCCTCGTGTCGTCATCATCTGCATCCCATGCGTCCGCTAACCGGCCCCGCGCATAGTCCGCCTCGTTCTGCAGCGGCACGCTCAAGCCGACCACCAGGTAGATCAGCACCACGATGAACTCCATCAGCACCGACATGAACAGGTAGATCTCCCAGCTGCCGGAGAGACCGTTGAACCGCGCGAGCGGCGAGTCGCTCGAGACGGCCGTGACTTTTCCGTCTGAGCTGATGCTCTCCGTGAGCGGCGCGTAGGCGGAGAGTAAGCTGTAAAGCACGCGGATGCCGAGAAAGGGGATGGCAATGGAAGTCCCAGTAATCAGCTGCTCGACAAGAGGACCCGTCAGCTACATCATTCTCGCTAGCTCTGAGCAAGGCGACACGAACCCTTCTCCTGAACTTCAGAATTCTCTCGCGGTTCATCCAGCAGTACCCGAGCATGAGGCATATCAGCCCGAAGAGGACCACGAACAGTATGTCCCCGATATGCCTCAAGTTCGTTCCTTGAGTGAGGCTCGATTCCGTAGTAGCCTGTCCAGCCGTCACTCCACCAGCGATAGCCAGCGCGAGTGCGACAGTTCCGAGGAGGCTCATGAGGCGCAGGGCCCTGGCAACGAGGGGCTGGTCATCCAGGGAATCTGCGCATCTGGTGGGTGACACGGTGTCAGTTGACTACGGAGAGCACGAAGGAGATGTACACTGACGCCGTCTGGAGGAAGCCAGCAGTGGCGAGCAGGAGCGGGGAGACACCCGATGCCTCCATCACCGAGTATATGATGATCAACGTCTTGTCCGAGTTGCCATCGCGCTCCGACGCAATGTTCGTCGCCGCGCCTATGATCCTAACTGCGAAGCACGGGCACTCAGCACACAATCACTTCACAGCCACGTACGCGAACTCACTGATCGACAGGATCACCAAGAACACCCACCCCGCACGGCGCGCGAGCCCGTGACGCAGCACGAGCATGAGCGCGACGACCAGCACGGGGACGTACACGACGAGCTCCGCGATCGCGATGTCGCCCCGCGCGTCGAACGTCCATTTTGAACTGCTGTCGGTGGTCGCTGTTGCGTCGCTGACGTGGTAGTGCCAGGGCTGGAAGTAGTGCGAGCGCACGGCCAGCTCAGAGTCTCTACCTGCCAGCGCAACCATGCTTTGATTCCTGTTCAAATCTGTATCCCAGGAGAAGGGTCTGGAGAAACGTGAGCGCCAAGTGGAGGAACAGAGAAGCTGAATGTCGTCCGGGGTACGCAGATCTGCCGTCTCTTAAGGAGTCCACGAGGCGTAGTCACGCACGATGCAGTGGTTGCTTGAATGGCGCCGGTGGGTCGGCAAAGGCTGGGGCGATGCGTCGCATTGTTTGTATGAATTAGGTCCTCGAAGCCGCTAGCCTGAGAGCTCGAGCAAGGGCTGTACGGCATGATACGACGGTGGGCGCTGATGAGTATCTCTCCGCACTTGCAGGGCGTGGTTTACGCCTCGGTCCCTGCGTTTCAAAATTTCATTATTCGGTTTCGCACTCCTACTTCGAAAGAGTGCATCATATATCATACTCCATGGCATGAGCACTTGAAAAATGTGAACGTTTCAAGGGCTGAAGATTGCTGATGGTGCCATATGGCGGATCTTCACAGGAATGATCCGAATGTGTTAAGGTGATTTGCATAAACATGGTAGAGCTCTGTCAGTGCGCGTCGGGATGTACGCCCTTCAAGGCCTCAAGGCCTCATCGGCACCGCCCATGCAGAGGATCAGAGCCTTGGCGGTCATAACCTTCATGGGTTAGCGAGCGGCGCCGCCTGCCTTGAAGCGCGCGGTGTGCGGCGGTGTGATGGCGGTGATTGCACTCGCCAATATTAGCATGGGCGGCTGATCTTGAACTGCCGTCGCTAACGCGAAGCAGCGTGACATGTTAGGCGAGAAGAAAGGGCGATGCTGAGCCTGGACGGGAGCATTGGCACAGCGTGCATAGCAACATTTTTTCATTGGAAAGCAGTAGAGAAACTCTGAAAACATATCAAGCTTCGATTTGGAAAAATAATGAAGAAATTGAAGCTTCCTCCATCATTAGATTGCTATATATGGGCATATACTACCCAAATATGGAAAGTAGTACATAATATCTCTTAGCATTTTTCCAAGGCAGGGCTTTATATTCTTTTACTATATTTTCACGGTTTCTTCAGTGGAAAAATATTGCTATGCATGCTGTGTGGAGCAGTCCGTGCATAGTTGTTTCGAGCTGCAATACTGTACATGGTGTAGATTAATTACCATTTCGACCATAGGTTCACCGGGTGTGACGCGTGACGCCTGTCCGAGTTAACAGGTCAGTTCGGGCGCTTATTCAGCCAGGTGCGGATGAAGCGCCCGCGACAAGATCTAGAGCTCCGGAACGGTGTGAGTGACCTTTGAAGTGAACCGGACTGTGACGCGTGACATTGAAACTGAATTTGTTTTCCAGGGCGGTGTGACGCGTGAACGAACCTATGGTCGAAATAGTGACAAAGAGATACTGCAAGTCCTCGGAGGCGAAACAGCAATCTCCCCGAGCTCGCCATGTTTCTTCGCTAACATGCATCTTTGCGCGATACTAAGCCCTTTCGGACTGGCAGGCATCCGTTGCGAGCTAAGCGCCAACGCCAGCCAAGATCGAGATCGATGCTGCATCAATTATTTTGTCTGCACATCGCCGTCGTGCGCGAGTCGTCGGTCCCGCGGCGGCTAGCTGCAACCGTTTGAATCTTCATTGCGATACACGTAGCACCAGACCTCTGCATTCTGCAGCGCATTCTTCATCTCCGGATATCGACGCTAGGCAGATGAGACTACCGCGACGGGTTCCCTGGGCCTCCATCGGCGAGCTCGAGCAGGTCTGCGCGTGGATATACACAGATGAAAGCGACACCAACGCCCAACTGCGCGCGGTACACAGGGTATGCTCATGCCTCTTTGTTTTAACCGTGTTTGATGCTCAAAATAGCAGCTGGCAGCCTGGAAAGCGATCACCTCCCTCCCGCACGCGCTCGAGTCCACTCACGCCATCCTGACCGTGCTCCTGCAAGACAGCACATCCCAGGCACAGCCGTCATCATCGCTATCCCTCCGGCAATCGTACGCAGCAGCGCTGATCAGGCTGGTGAATGGCCTGGTGGACCCGCTCCAGCTCGGCGCGTATGCGCGCTCCATCACGAGCATCGCTGCTCAGCTCGGCTTGCCGGACTGGCTTGTCGAGCTGCGGCATGCTGCTACACATGAGGATTTGCCTAGCCTAGAGATCCTGCGGGAGGCCGCTCACGAGGTACGTTTGCTACCGCTTTTCTTAGATCATACATCCTCTGAGCTTAAGGTATAGGCCATGGCGTGGCTTCTCAACAATTACTTTCTACCTACGCTGAACCCATCCACGCCCGCCCGCGCCCAGCGCGTATCCCTCCGCCCGCTGTCACCGCTCCTCAAACAGTACAAAGCGCTACTAAAGACGACCACGCGCGATGCGTCGCTCGCAGGGCGGCTCCGGCCTGAGATCACCAGAGTGCTGCGGGAGGTCGAGCGTTGGATCGCGGAGGCAAAGGTCGCTTCACCCGGGGAGACGGGGGAGGATGCCGACGGCGAGGGCGACGGGCGCGAGCGGTGGGCACTCGGACGGCTGTGCGATGCGCTGATTGAGAAGGGGGCGTTAGTCCCGCTATCGAAAAAGTGCGGGTTTTCATGTTGCTCAGGCCAATGCGGTATCGTTGACCTTGTCATTTGCAGAAAGCGTGTCCTTCCCTCCAACACGTTCTCCCCTTCCCCTTCCCTCCTCCAGATCTGGACCCCGCTCCTCACTCATCTTCACATCCTGCATCCCACCCTCCCCTCCGTTCTCGTCTTCCGCATCCTCTCCCACCTTACATCGGGCTCATCGGACCGGCCCAGCAACGACTTCGGCGCGGAGACAGTCTCCCTCGTCGTGGACGACGGCAAGTTACACATTTCGTACGACAGGTGTCTCGCGGCGTGGGCGAACTGGGCCGTCGATACTTATGCAGACAAGGCCACTGAGAACGAGGAAGGTGACGACGAAGAAGATGAGCCGGCTTTGCGGAGGGCGGGTGTGGTGGCGAAACTGATCATATCGCTCGGACCGGCAGGAGGAGAGGCGGTGCAAGACAGAAAGACGTGAGTATATGCGCATTCAGTATCACGTATTCTGCGTCTGACATTCGTGCATTGATGCAGTGCACTGGAGCTGCTTAAGGCACTCTGTAAGGGCGATCCGACTCTTGAAAAAGCCGCCGCAGTGGTGTCCGCGCTACAAAAACCTCCTTCGTCTAATGTACGTCTCTTCTGCCCTCAATCTGCCCATACTCATGTCGCCCGTAGACATGGCAAGAAGCCGACACCCAACTAATGCACTCGCGCCTTGCCGCCCTCCTCACAACGGTGAAGCCCGATGCACCAGACCTGTCAGATCGTGCCGACGCCGATGTCGAAATGGAGGATGGTACGAAGGGCGCTGGCCTCGACAATGGCGCTTTGCGTGGAGAGGCAATGGGGCTACCCCCGGGGTGGAGGAAGATCACAGAGCGCGACAGGTGGAAACATTCTCCCATAGGCGTATTCGTGGCGTGTTCTGGCACGCCCGCATGATCGATGGCTTGTAATGCTATAATCAAAACACCAACCTGCGTCAGCAGGTTTGCGCCTAGGTATAGGTAGTATGAGGAGGGATTAATGGATACATTGCAGTAGGTATAATTGATTACATACTGCGCCGAGACGGATGAACCAGCCATCATACATTATCAATGTTCTCGTCAGAGATCTGCCTCTCGTCGTTCTCCACGACCCCGGCCTCGACTTCGAGGATGCCCTCGCGGTCCTCCCGGATGCATGCCGCGTCCCTGCTGCTGCTGCTGCCCCCCATCCCTGCCCCCCATCCCTTCCATATATCTTGCAGGAACTTCCTGCCTTCCCGCGAGACCTCCGCGTCCCCGTCCCCGCTGCTGCTGCCCATCCCTGCTTACCATCTCTTCCACGTTTCTTGCAGGTACTTCCTGCCTTCCCACGGGGCCTCCGCGTCCCCATCCCCGCTGCTGCTGCTGCCCATCCCTGTCTACCGTCTCTTCCATATATCTTGCAGAAACTTCCTGCCTTCCCGCGGGACCTCTGCGTCCCCGTCCCCGCTGCTGCTGGTGGCCATCCCAGCCTACCATCTCTTCCATGTTTCTAGCAGGAACTTCCTGCATCCCCACGGGACCTCCGCGTCCCCGTCCCCGCGACGGATACTGATGAGAAAACTGCATGGGTCCGGGCGAGAAGGATGAAGGATTCGGAGCAGCTTCTGGCGGGCGAGGACGCCGCTGATATTGTTGCGGCGATGTATTCCCAGCAATTGCACCATGAGGGAAAAACCTGTCGTGTTCGTGCTGCTGTCTGGCTACGGGGCTGGACCACGGGTGGTGTGGGTTGGTCATGTTGACAACGGGACGCCGCGCTTGCCATAGCTGCTCTTGTGACGGTGGCTGATTCATAGGACTTCGATGACGATGGCCGCCTCGGGCGGTCATATTCGCGTACGACGACGGAGCCTCCATCACCGTCACGTTTGATGCGTTGGGAAATTCCGGCCTGCGTCGCGGCCCCCTGGGCTTGTGAGAAATATAATACTTCGATGATGCTACTTTGGTGTCTCCCTCATCATTTCTGGATACCTCCTTCTCGTTTTTCTCGTTCTTTGCCTTCGGTTCTCGCGGAGGAGGGGGCGGACCTGGATCGTAGTTCGGATTTACTGGCTGCCATGCAATACCTTCTGCATCGCACAGCCGGCCATCGACGTAATTGAAGGTGTAGTAGACAAACGATGGCGAGGGTGATAGGGTCAGAGTCATCGCGGACAGCCTCTGGTACAGCCTATAAGCCGAATGGCTATCATTTGCAGCATCTACAATCGATGAGACGTTATCAATGAGGCACAAATGTGACTGAAAGACAAGGACTCACAATGCTGCTGCGGCTCAGACAGCAACGTTTCCCAGTTGCTCCTTGTGATACTGCCCTTGTGTAGTGTTAATTCTTCGTAAGCTTCGCATAGTCTGGCAAGTCCAATCGGTAACGCGTATCTGCCCTTCCAGCGTTCATTGTCCACGGTGCGAGCGAGGAGAGAGAGGTCGACACAATTCCTGGCAACTACGGCATAATCTAAGTAGAGCTTCTTACAGTCGTCTGACAGACGACGTCAGTAGCATCAAGAGAGAACAGGACATGTGCAGACTTTGTATGCCGACCCCCGTCTTAACGATCTTGCCGCTCTCCATGATCTCTTTGAGTTTCTGAGGGAATCCTGCACGATTTGCTCAACTGCTACTCCAGTGCCAGTCAGATGCGTAACACATACCGTTCATGGCGGAAACTTGTAAGAGCAAGATAACGTCATCATTCGCTAGTTGGATAAGAGCGACTGGATTCGCCTTTTGACCTTTGTAGAACGCAGGTTTCCATTCCATATCGAACCCAAGAGGCCCATCTCCCAATTGCGACAGTTCATGATCGGCTGTTTGCGCATCACGAATGTACACAAGTCTTGCATTCGGTGCGTGTACTTTCCAATGATACAGCTTGTAAACGCGAGGGGGAGGAGCCGGTTCTTGAACGGCTGTCTCAGCAGTCTCCGAGGCGACTTCACTTGCAGCTACAGCGTTCTTGATTGACTCCGCAGACGGAAGTGGGCGATTCAGGGCGGCAACGTCCTCACCTCCGCCACTCTCGCGAATGAATTCTTTTTTGTATCTGGAGTCGATATGTGCGAGGATCTTAACTTGACTTGTCATTCCTATAACTTGCGGTGGTGGATATAAAGGTAGCTTCAGACGTCTCTTTTTGATAGGTCTTGGGTTTCGATTGTAGAATTTGATAGTGGATAGCAGACGGCCAAACGATGGCTTCGGCGCGATGATGTTATGAAGGTGGGATCCCGAGAGTGTGAGCCTTAGAGAGCCTAATCTTGCACCGGCACGAGATGTAACATGCATCCGTCTCGTGCACGTCGACGCAAGGAGAAACGTCGACGTGAGCTTTGCAATGTTTTTGCCTTGGGGAGACACAGAAAGTGGACTGCAACAACCGGCCACGAGAAGACTGAAACAAGCAAAGTACTATCAGTGCTTCACTGCAATCGGCCGCAACGGCGAAGGACCAGTTCGGGAATCTCCGGCCGCAATCTGTGGCGTTGAGAACCAGACACTGTTCCTTTCCAGATGACATTAAACGTCGTGCTGTCGGAGATCCCTATTGCGTTTTGACTGCCGTACGACGCGCTGGTGGATATGCATGGCAGACGCACATTGAGGGGCAAACTGTCCGACGACCGTGAGGGGCCACCCTCGCGTTCTGCGGAACCAGGCATGAAATTGACGAACAATTCCAGGGAATTGTGTAGTTTTAATTACTTCCCATATCGCGCAACCAGTTTTTTTTGGTCGTCCGCTATACCGGCGCTGCCGCGCCAACTCGGCAAGACTGTCGCCGTCACGTGATGCTACACCTTATGCGTCTCGGGTTCGATTCGTGGCCACACTTCATTGCGAGCGATCGACCTTATTCATGTTCATGCGGCCAGTCGACGACACAATCTATGCAGAATTCTGGGAGAAAAAAGTACTATGCTGTCAGGCACGGTAGAGAAGGCCCGAAGGTGTACCTCACCTGGGGAGAGGTAAGCCGGCGATAGTTGCTTTTTATGTAATAGCGCCGCTGATGAAGTGTTGATAATTCATAATTCATCCAGGCCAAACAGAACGTGAGCAGATATGTAAGGGCTACATGTCTTTGTTGACTGTTTCCCACCACAGGTGTCCAGGTTTCCGGGTGCCATCCACAAAAGTTTCACCACCCTATCAAAAGCGCAGGAGTGGCTGGCCCAGGCGCCGAACATCCAAGCAGACCGTATGGTCACCACAAATAATGAGTAGTTTGCGAGCTGATAGCAGCAATGTGTTGGCAGATTCACCCATGGCCTCGACAGCGCAGGCTCTGTACCCGACATCGGCTGGTCGCGGGAATTGGTATGCCGGAAAGCAAACAGCTGAATTGCAACCCCCTGCTCCTGCACATGTTGGTATGGATGGCGATTCGAAGCTAGATGGAGAACCTGCACTGCCTTCGCCCCCATCCATAACGTTGTCTAAGGAACAACAGGATGTGTTCGACATGGTTACAGATGGTCAAAACGTGTTCTTCACCGGATCCGCTGGTGTGTTCACCATTCATGTGACATTGATGCATATATCTGAGTGTTGCACATATGAATAGGTACGGGGAAGTCTGTTCTGCTCCGCGAGATCATTAAGTACTGCGGTGGCCGCGGCGATCGTACTCTGGCCGTGACAGCTGCTACGGGAATTGCCTCGGTGAACATTGGAGGGTCAACGTTACATTCGTGGGCAGGAATAGGACTAGGCCTGGAACCTGCAGACAAGCTCCTTCACAAGATTCTCGGAAAGGACAAGCATCAGCGGCAAAAAGAAGAGGAGTCAGGAGTGCCTGACGCAAGTCGGTCTCACATGGTGCATCGATGGCGCGACGTCAAGACGTTGATTATCGACGAGAGTTAGTCGGCGCCCTTGCACAGGTTGACATTTGTTGAGATACTCAGCAGTCTCAATGATTGACGGTGTGCTTTTCGACAAGCTGGTGAGCCTTCACATGCGCCCCTTTCTTAATTTCTAATTCGGATGAGATGTCTAGGAATTCATAGCCCGGGAACTGCGTCGCAACAATGAGTCATTCGGCGGAATCCAGGTTCGCGCTGTGATATGATTCATCTGACCTTGGGAACCAAAGCGAAGTCGATGTATAGCTCGTCATATCTGGAGATTTCTGCCAACTTCCACCTGTCCCGAACAAGCTCAATGGTATTCCTCAACCGCCTACATTTGCTTTTGACGCAAAGAGTTGGTCCAGGTGTTTTAGGCGGCCAGTCATGCTACACCGAGTTTTCAGACAGAAAGATCAAGGTTCGTATAGGCCCGTCGTAACGAGCGCATCATCAATGGTCATACTTTACAGCTTTTGTCGACATGCTGAATGAGATGAGGTATGGTCGTATGAGTCAAAGGACAATCATGCAGTTCACTAGTCTGTCACGACCTGTGGCGTACGACGACGCGATCGAGCCTACTGATCTGTGAGTCAGCAGCTTGTTGTCTTCCGCTTTGCCAGTGACCTCCTTCGTGAACGCAGCTTTCCTACGCGAAAGGAAGTGGATAGTGCGAACGATCTTCGGCTCAGCCGTCTTCCTGGTGACGCTCATGTGTATCAAGCAACGGATGTTCCTGGTTTCGATGAGGCAGGCATGCCATTACCATTTTACAGAGTCGCGAAGGTACTGGGAGATCTCATCGCCCCGAAGAGTATTACCTTGAAGGTGAGAACACTGCTACTTCCTTACTGACGGTAGTCACGCCGTCTGTAGGTCGGTGCGCAAGTGATGCTCATCAAGGTATTCCATGCCTCCTCATGTCAGCCGTCTGTGTCTCACAGCGTATTGCAGAACATGGTGCAAGGTGAACTGGTGAACGGTTCGGTCGGCCGCGTGATACAGTTCTCCACACCGCGAGAGGCTTTAGAAGCGGGCACCCAGCTCGCTCAACCGAAGTCGGGTCACGAATCTGCCGCCGAAAGGAACACCGAGAAGGTACCCGACGAGATTATGAATGGCAAGAACGTATGGCCGGTCGTGCGATTCACGAATGGCATGACGTTACTCTGTATTCCTAACGCGTTTGACGTGAACGATGCCAGTGGGAGAGTCCAGGCCGTCCGTAATCAGGTCAGATACCTATCACTGCCTGAACTATACAAATGCTCATTTGTCTACGAATATCCAGGTTCCTCTGATCCTTGCATGGGCGTTGAGTATACACAAATCACAAGGCCAGACCCTGGAAAGAGTGCGCGTAAACCTGTCGCGTATCTTTGAAAAAGGACAGGGTGCGCGTTATTGTTCTCAATAACGATTCTTGCCGAAACGTCCTTCCAGCGTATGTTGCGCTTTCTCGTGCGACTAGCATGCAAACCCTACAAGTCAATGGCTTCGATCCAGCAAAGTTTGTGCTCCAATGAGTTTGTTATCGTTGTCTGACTCGAGAAATTGTTTCAGGGTCGTAGCGCATCCGCGTGTCTTGCAATGGATGAGTCAATTCACAGGTCAGAGCTATTGGACACAAGAAGAGCTCGATGACGAAGAAGCGTATTGGGAAGAGTTTCATGGCGATTTCTCGATGTTCGCCTCAACGTCTTGACATGATGTTGTCATGATCTTATTTCTCTCTTGTCGTAATCATGAGCATGCGATCTATGTGATAATTCCATCACCACTGGGTGAACCTCACAAGTGGGTGCTACTCGAGAGCTGCCAATCAAGGATACCACTGCAAACAAATTACTGTACAGGAAAGGCTCGGGTTTCCAATTCAGCTAAAATGCCTTTCCTGTTATGAAACCTGGTTTTTCTTTGCTGTGCAGTTTGTGCACTGCAAGTATCAAGACAATTTTTTAAACAGTCAGTCAGTGAAACAACAACAAACAGCGTCACAAATGGGACTTGTCTGGCATGTCACAAGGTTACTGCCAAACGGGGTACACTGGTCTGCGACATGCCGCGAACCGCTCGGGCGCCGATCGAATTCGAACCATACTCGTGGGGGCGCGGAACCTCGGACCTTGCCTTTGCTTTCAAAGAGATGTACTACTCACCGAATAAGCTTGTATGTCGCCTGCGCCACCATTATCATGGTGAGTACTTCAAGCTCACGGAGATCGCATATGATCGACATGGACTCCACTCTTATACTCATAGTGGCACGAACGGCTCATATTGTTGCAGTTGGTCGGAAAGCCGAATGCCAGATCTATAAAGGACAGCATGCCTTGATCACCGATCCTCAGTTCACATTGAACAGATGTTTCTCCCAAGTGGACGCAAGCACTAAGAAGAGATATCATGCGATCGGCAATGGCAGAGAAGAGTCGAACGTACCAACCAGCACGAACAGGGTGAACACGATCTTCGTCTCAAAATCTCAGGCCATTCTGCAGAATTCCAAGTACCCGTTGGCATCTAAACCGCCTACATTGCAGCGCAAGGACATAGATGAAAGGTCCCATAAGATAAAGCACAAAGGACAGCGCCGTTCAACAAAGTCGCCGAAGATCACTGAAGAACAATCTTTCGTCTTGGACTTGGTGAAAAGCGGGAAGAGCGTCTTCTTCACCGGTTCCGCTGGTATGTCGAAGACGTACAAATGAATGCGAATGATCTCTAAAACCATCTTAAAGGCACAGGGAAGTCCTTTCTGCTTCGCAAAATAATTCAAGCTTGCGGTTCTGGCGCGAAGTATGGATTGGGCGTGACAGCATCAACTGGAATGGCCTCGGTAAACATTAGAGGATCGACACTACACTGCTGGGCAGGCATTGGACTGGGAAAAGGAAGTGCAGATGTCCTTTTGGAGAAGATCATCGGCAAAGATAACATGTGGCTGATGAATGAAGGAGCGAATATCAAAAACTTGCGAGCCATTGGGAATTCGGCATTCACTCGGTGGCGCAGCGTTAGAACATTGGTCATCGATGAGAGTAAGCTTGTTACAAAAGCTCTATACAGTAATCTTAGCCGGTGCATTTTAGTATCGATGATAGATGGTGTGCTTTTCGATAAGCTCGTGGGTGACTGATAAGCCTTCGCAGGGGCAAACTACTGAAAGAGTTATTTGTAGGAATATATAGCCCGATTTGTGCGTGGCAATGACGATCCATTTGGTGGAATACAGGCTTGTCATCATGTCATTCCTTTTCCTATGTGGAGTGCTTGCTGACGAACTTACAGCTGGTCTTGTCTGGGGACTTTCATCAACTTCCTCCTGTGCCAGATCAGTATGATGAAATCCCACAGCCTGTCGCGTTTGCTTTCGAGGCTGAAAGCTGGTCAAGATGCATCGATCAGACGGTCATTTTGCAGCGCGTGTTCAGACAAAGTGATAAAGGTTCGGTATGACTTACTGCAATATTTACTATCATTGATTAACATGCATCACAGAGTTTGTAACCATGCTCAATGAAATACGCTTAGGTATTGTGACCGAGGAAACAATGATGAAGTTCTCTCAGCTCTCACGATCGGTCAATTACCGGGATGGGATCGAGCCTACTAACCTGTCAGCTGCACACGTATTACTCGATGTCGTGTAATGTTTGATTGATTCAATGCAGCTTCCCGACTCGAGCGGAAGTGGACAATGCCAACAACTTCCGTCTCGATAGTCTGCCGGGAGCCGCCTATGAATACCAGGCGAATGACATTCCAGGAGTGGATGAAAAAGGCAAACCTATATCGCTGGATCGTGCCACAAGGCTCTTGAAGAACGTGGTTGCTCCAGAAAGCATAACATTAAAGGTAATCAAATTGGACTTGCATACGTCATGAGGTCATCGCTGATAGTACCTCTTCGTAGGTTGGAGCCCAAGTAATGCTTGTCCAGGTGCGTCATCTCTGCAATACTTCAATCCAGCGAGTTAAATCTGTATCCAGAATGTAGTGCAAGGCAGGCTCGTCAACGGTTCCCTAGGCCTCATACAGGGGTTCAGCACGTGTCTCCATGCTTCCAGCTCAGGGGTTGCCAATCTGTACGAACAGCCACCTGATAGCATCCGGCTCAGCGATGAACTGTGGCCTGTTGTGCGATTCACAAACGGAGACACGCTATTATGTACACCTGGTGAATTCGAAGCGTTGAACGCCAATGGCAAAATAGCAGCGACTCGGCATCAGGTATGGACATGAAATATCATGATCCTGACCTGGCAGGCGAGAGCCGTTGATGAACATCTCGCTCCCACAAAGGTTCCCCTCATCCTTGCGTGGGCACTTAGCATACATAAATCGCAAGGTCAGACCCTAGAACGAGTGCGAGTTGATCTCACGCGCACCTTCGAAAAAGGTCAAGGTGAGTGCACGATCCTCAGATTGAAATATGTCCTGATAGTTTCTAGCATATGTTGCGCTGTCTCGAGCGACTAGCATGGAAACATTACAAGTGGAAGGTTTCAACCCAGCAAAGTTTGTGTCTAACCTGTTTACGTCGTCCGATCTGATATGGATTGAACAATACGACAGGGTCGTGGCGCATCCTCGTGTAATCCAATGGATGAGCCAATTTACAGAGAATGAGCAAGAACCAGATGAAGACGAAATTGAGGCATGAGGTGCATTCATCGAAAACTGTCTCCATACGGCATCTGCCTTTCTGCGTTGCTTCCCATACGTTGGACCATCAGCTGCGGTCACCGATGTTCGACGATACGATGTGTTATATAACTTTGTGACGTGTCATACTGCTTAGTGGATAGCTGTCTGGAATCTTAGTGCATTTACCCGCATGACCTATAGGCCGTATGACGCTAAGGGAAAAGTTCCCGGCCGGGCCTCCCTCGCCACCGGCAGTTTCCGATAATGTGCCAATGTGTACATCTCAGCACGACATACGAATCTCATTCTACTGGCAGCTTCATGTAGTAGTCACACTGTATGATGTGTCCAAGGGGATCTCTACGCGCTCTACAATTATGCAAGCTCAATGTCTCCGGTTTCCATGAGTTCAGGTATATATCTTTACTTGATGTACATGAAAGCGGATGCAGCCAACTGAACGCGAGTCATTCTCGCGCAGAATGCGGACACGCAGACTGCCATTCAATATCATGACACATCCTTCATGCAGCGATACAAGGAATCTCAGCTACAGCGCGAGCCTTTCTACCACCAAACGGAGATTCTATGCTGTGAAAAACGGCAGAGAAGGGACCAAGGTCTACTCCAGCCGGCAAGAGGTATTTCACCCCCAGCACATTTCGTTGCTACCTGTGTTGACTGGTTTCTAGATGAAGCAAAATGTAAGCATGATGAAGGCTGCATTCTCCGACCCCGCATCGTGACATAGCTTGATCTCCAGACGAAGGGGTGTCCTGGAGTCATCTGCAGGAATTTTCTGTTCTTTCCAGAGGCAGAAGAATGGCTATTTTCCTCTCCAACATCGCAGCTTCCCCACGATTCAAGAGAAGTCCCCTCGAGGTAGGGGCAGTGTATCATCTTACTCACAAGCTAAAACAAGACAGACATGCCTAAATAGTACACGGAGGAGCGTCCGCGATCCATCATTAGCCATCACATTATCTCAGCGGCAGGAAGATGTATTGAAGATTATTAAGGATGGTACAAGTATATTTCTGACAGGTTCAGCTGGTAAGATCACGTCTCATCATCGAGTTACATGCGTTTAGCGTGTCGCAGGAACGGGCAAGTCTCTTCTTCTTCGTAAGATCATCAAGTATCTCCACTCTGTGTACGACCCCGGTCAATTGGCCGTGACTGCATCGACAGGCCTTGCATCGACCAAGATCAAGGGCACGACCTTGCATTCGTGGGCTGGAATTGGCCTGGGTAAGTTGCCCGCGGACAAGCTGGTTAGCAGGATTCTTGGCACCGATGTTGTAAAGGAAAAGCAGGGAGTAGATTCTGAGAATTCTCAGCTTAAAACCAAAATGGTCGTTTCCAGAGATCTGTACCTCCGTCGATGGCGAAAGGTCAAGACATTGATCATAGATGAAAGTGAGCCCATAGTTCTTCCTTTGATTTAGTTCGTTTGACAGAGATCTCTGCCATTAATACAGTATCGATGATTGATGGTGTACTGTTTGACAAACTTGTGGGTGACGTGTGCTTCAACTGTTGTCCTCGTTTTGAGTCAAGGTTCTTCCAAGGAATATATGGCTCGTATTTTGCGCGGAAATGATGAGCCATTCGGCGGGATACAGGCTCGTTGCATTGCGTTCATCTTCACTCGTCTGAAATGACACAAGCGTTTGTTTAGCTCATAGTTTCGGGCGATTTCTACCAGCTTCCGCCAGTATCTAAACACATCCAAGGCGTTCCACAACCCATCTCGTTTGCCTTTGATGCTGAGAGCTGGCCGAGATGCATTGAAAAATCAGTCATATTGAAAGACGTCTTCAGACAGAAGAACTCGGGTTCGCGCCTCTAAAAAGATCCATCACGCTTCGCTAACCTCAGCTGAACTATCGAAGAATTTGTCGAGGTGCTGAACGAGGTACGGGTGGGGCAACTTAGTGAGAAGACAGTCACCGCTTTGAACAATTTGTCACGACTCGTTGAATACGACGATGGTATCGGACCTTCGGAGCTGTGAGTATGTTCTTTCGCGATGCGCGAGGATCGCCCTCATTCACCAAATACAGCTTTTCGACGAGACAGGAAGTAGATGATACGAATAGGGAGCGCTTAAGCTCTCTCTCTGGTCCCGTCTTCACAAACGAAGCAGTGGACATAGCGGGCTGCGACGAGTCGGGGAAACAGATATCCTCAATGAGAATGGAAAGCCTAATGAAGCATATATTGGCCCCGCAAAGCGTTACATTAAAAGTGATGAAAGTTAGTTGTCGGACGATGCATCGTGCAATTAACACAATTCGCAGGTCGGTGCAGAAGTCATGCTCATCAGAGTGCGGAAACTCGACTCGATCTTTATAAGGCTTTGATTGACGAACGACACCTAGAATCTGGAGCAACGGTATCTCGTGAATGGTTCCTTAGGCCGCGTAGAACGCTTTTGCACAATTGATGAAGCTCGTGCGGAAGGCATGATCATCTCTCAATGTAAGAACGAGGATGAAGATGAGAACGAGGACGAGGAGCAAGACGATGAGTATGCCGACCACGAGGTTGAAGATGACGATGCCGAGGTTCGTAGCTGGCCTGTCGTGCGATTCGAGAATGGCCGTCTCGTGCTTTGCGCCCCGATGGATTTCGAGATTCACAATGCTTCCGGTGAAGTGGAGGCAATGCGGAAGCAGGCAAGGCTTTGCACTGGCCTTTGTCTCTGCAGAGAAACTGACGGACAAGTCGGATTTTTCAGGTGCCCTTAATGTTAGCGTACGCAATCAGCATGCACAAGGCACAAGGCCAAACTTTGCCAAGAGTGCGAGTAGACTTGGGAAGGGCCTTTGCCCCAGGACAAGGTCAGTGACATGTCTATCACGGCCGAGCGAATCTGACGACGATGGCAGTGTACGTCGCCCTGTCCAGAGCCACCAGCATGGAGACCCTCGAGGTCAAAAACTTTCACCCATCGAGGTATGTCTGCCTGGCAAATCGAGCGCAGTAGTGATGTTGATCGGTTTGAAAGGGTCATAGCTCATCCCCGTGCCCATGACTATATGAGCAAGTTAATGCGGCAAGACGACGAGACATCGTCGGAAGACCAATTTGAAAACAGCCCTTTGATTACCGCTCAGGTGCAGGTATGATAATACATCATGATCGCAGTCCTCCAATGTATACTCCGCACACGAGAGAAGTGATCAAGCGAGCATATGATTATATCAGAGGGTTCTATAGGATCATACAGACGGAATACTCTGAATGGGCATTCATTTAAATTCATTAGCAATCCAGCTCAGCATGCTTATGATGTTCTTCGCGTCGCAATCATGCATATCCATTTTTCTCGCATCGAGTGATAAATCATGAGATTGTCGTATGAGAAGAGCTACGTTGACGAAAAACACAAACTGTGCAATGGCGAGACATCGATGGTATAATAGACACAACAGAACAGTCATGGTCCTTACGTCGTGACGCGTTGGCATCAATACAATATACAGGTCACTCCGAGATCGATCGACGACTGCGTCCACCAATACTCGATGCCTGGGGCGAGAAATACTCCGCGGAATTAATATTATCAGGTGGACGTCGGTTGGGAACCAGACGGTTTCTGGAAGGAGGTCGTATGGCTTCGGATCCTTTCGACATCGATGTGTCCAGACTGGCAAATGTGCTGGTAGTGGACGCCGACGGTGGGAACTCCTCTTCAAACGAGCTGTCTCGAGGTTCGACGACCTGCGCACCCGATCTCACGCCGAACTCGTCAGTCCCCATCCCAGAATACACCGTGCTGGGTGTGCCCGCTCGGGATGACATGCCACCTGGAGTCAGTGGCCGAGATGGCATGCGTGGCATTGCGGAGGGGGATTTCCAGCGCTCTTTTCTTGACATGAGCGTCGAATCGGGAGAAGGTTCGCGCGATTTTTGCCTCGGAACGATCTTTGATCTTGACGAACGTCTGCTGTCCCCACTTATCGATCGAACTGATGGCGTTAATGGAGCCTGAATGATATAACTCCTGTGCTCGTCAAGCTTTGGTCTCTCTGGAGGCGGGAGGGACTGTCGTGTGAGTAGCGACGACATCGGTCCTGTCCGCGAGGGATGGATGTTATGTGAGGCTTGCGACGGAAGCTGCGGCGTGAAGTCATCTGGGAGCATATCGCGCGCATCATAATATGAATGAGACGGCCGTGGTGGTAATGATGGCGAGCGTATTAAGCGGGGACTGCGATTGCTGCTGGGCATCGATGGAGGTGGCATGTTCCCGAAGGTTGTAAATGATGAGCCATATGACGCAGGAGGAACCGGTCCTCCAAGTGGTGCAGCAGGGAGCGCAGGAGAGCCATTGGACTGAAACAAAACGTTGACATTCAGTATCAGATCCTCTGCTAGAGTGTCCTATAACACCCCATATGAGCACTCGTAAAATTATGAGAACCATTACGAGCCGCATTATCTACCTTCCAAGACTGTACACTTAACAGATCGCCTCCTTTGGGCATCTCATCTTCACCAAAGATGACAGTGCTGAAGACAATGGCAAGATTCTTGGCATCCATCTTGTTCTTATCCGCGCGCGAGGCAACTAGCGAGAGGTGCTCCACAATCATCTTCAACGTTGCCTGGTGAACTGGAGGTAGCCTTCGTAACTTGCTTCGAAGTAGCTGGAAGTCATTCATACGATGCCCGTCTAGAATGGGGTGATCAGCAGGCAATACAGCGGTTGACGCACAACACGCGCACCAAGTTCTTCGCTATGCTGTATTCGTTCATTCAGTGGATACTTGAACAGGGGCTCCGGCAACTCGCGCAGATACAACTACAGCCATCATGAGTTTTATGCATGTGGGAACGCGTCGTGGACTCACTTTCAAGAGCGAGGCCACCGCATACACATCGTCTATAGCTGGATTGAACTGAAACGCCGCCTCACTCCGCTCGATCTGGTGTTGCAGCTGTCATGCAAGCTATTATTCAAGGTCTTTGGATGGGCACTAAGCTGTAGCTGACCTACCTCTTGGACGGCTGCATGCCTGCCTGAGACCTGCGCGACCAGAATGAGCACTTGGAGAACCTCGGGCGCAGTATGTCTTACCCTATATATACCCTCTGCCTCCAGTCCCCGCATCTCTATCTCGCTCACGCATATTCTTACAATCTTGGGAACCTCGCCCTCTGGCAGATTTCGCGAGGTGGCGTAATCGACCAAACTGACGCCGAAAATAAGATCTCTGCACTCTCCAACAAGGTGATTGTGATAATAGACGGGTTTAGGGATAGATGCGGAGAGCTGGCGGGCGATATTAGGGGCGATGATCGTGATATCTCTCTGCGAGGAAATCTTCAAGATGTCTTCTCGGCCATGCTCACATATCTGCGATTGGGACGCTGCCGTTGCTCTACGTTCAAGCGTTGAGACGCGTCAGTGATGCTGTTGACCGTTACTATCATACATGTATGCGCATACATCATGTTGTCCGTGTACTTCATCAACGTCGACTTGACAGTATCTGCACTTTCACGGATGAACGATTCCAAGCTCTGGTATACGAGTCAAACGTTGCAGTTCCCCCCGGATGATATGACTCACATTGTACCCAGACTCCAAAATTTTGACCCTTCGCAACCGCAGGGTCTCCAGCCAATGCACTCCTCTCCGGTATTCCTTGTCTTTCGTAAAAAGCAATCTCAAAATACAGCCCTTCATCTCAACCTAACGGGAGCTCGCTCACCTGCTTCCTCCGCCTCTCGTTTTGCACGTACTGAGCGTAGAGCATTGTCCGAACGTCCCGCAAGGTCCTTCATATTGCCGCCCTTATCCAGGAACGTCATCAGCTGGTTGAGTTGCCGCTTTCCTGTAAACATAGATTAGTTGGCGCGATCGGCAATAAAGAGGGCAGTCTATGCACCTTGATGAGCCAAATCTTGCAGTGCGGTAGCAGTCGACTGGGAGCGCCCATGCGTGGAGACACCGCCCAAGGACGGACGGCGGTCAGGTATCGGACGGAAAGGTGGCGGAGACGCCGCATTGGAGCGTGGCGAGGGACTGGGGTTGCGCCTGGAGGTAGGAAGAGAGACTGGCAGATCAGGAGGGGATGCAGGTGATGGATAAGGCAGGGCGATCGCAGCCTTGAATTCCTTCCGGCAATAGTCAGTGATTATATCGGTTACCTTGGGCAGAAACATACGTCCACGTCCTGACACTTCTTCACGTAATTTCGCCTCAGTCTTGTAAGGACATTCTCTGCATAGTCAGCGTGCGTCGTCACAGCTTCTTTTAGGTCCTCCTTGATTCGTTTCCGAATACGCTCTTGGGTCTCCTGAAGTGAGTGGTCGGCTATCGGCAGCGGAGGTATCCAAATCTGGGAAACGCACTTTCAATGATATCAATGGTGTGATGACATCGGTGGTGAGGGACTCGAGGAATGCTTGACGAGTGTCTGCCTCTGTATGGCCGCCGCGGTCACGATACCGTAAAATCTGGAGGATAACGATGCTGACCTCTCGCAACATTATCCCTGATTTCTGCCCATGCACGTCTGGTAGTGCTAGGCTCGTTCCGGTTAGGATTGTCGAGAATCGCGTCTGCTGCTTTGACTTTGCGGTGCAGTCTGTGCAGGCTTTCTACGCTACAGCGTGCTATGAGCACCTACGGCGACGCCGTCGGTCGACTCAGACACTCACTATGTCTCCTCTATCTTCTTCCTAATCCAGCCCGCATGAACTCAAGCGGCAACCTAAGAAAATTGGCAGGACGTACCGTTCCAAGAAGAAGCTGAGATACGAATCGGATAAGAACCTGAGATGCAGGTCAAAGAGGGCGATGGCGTCGTGTGGGTGGTCCGACAGCGAAGGCCTGTTCGAGGGTGCACTTTCAAGGGAGGAGGACATGGTTGGTGCGCTGAGCACACAGGAGCGGAGAACGGGCTGGAGCGAGTTGAACAATGCCCGCCATAGACTCACCGCAAGCCCACGTGGCGGGACCCCGGAGCGTCGCGAGACAACTCTCGTTGCCTTCCGCGATTGTGTCCTGCTCAGTTGCCGACGTCAGCGGCCTCCGCATGTATGCCTGCTGCATCCCACGAACGTTTTGGTTATAAGTACTATTTCGTTTCGAGCTGCACCAGAGCAATTTATATGGAATTTTGCGCAATCTACCAGCCCGAGATCAGGGTTCCCGAGCCTGGCATACAGAGCGCCGGAAGGGTGGAAATCTGAGATGCGTTGATAAACGCACATCTTTGATGTTGCCGCATGCGCATGCACTGTCGAGGGAAAACGGTTCTCTCTGATCAGGAACACCGGCCGGCGTCAGCGGCATCCCTGATGGCACGGCCCCGAGCACCGATTCAAATACGGTAGACACCTATCACTTTCACTTGACTCGCCATCCTGCTTCTCGACCAGCTCCTCCCGGCACCTCTGTGAGTGCAACGGGCGAGCATGGCGAGCCACGGACAACCGGGAGGCTATCTATCAGCACTTTGGAGTACTTCACAAGTTTTCTTCGGGCACGATCTGGTCCTCCATTCTATGTCCAACTTCATAATTGCAGCGAAGGAGCAGCCCAGGTATGCATTATCATGCCTGCTTGTGGAGCAATTCTAAGGTGTAGTAGGACGATTTTCTTGGATACACTCGTATTCCCTGCATACGGAGCAGCAGTATCTGTACTCGTTATCCTGGTTCAGGTGATTTTACGAACATCCCCCGCACGGAGGTTGTATGCGTCCATTCCTGCCTCGGATACCACCGCAACACAAATTGAGAACGTAGAGAATCTATCGGAGCAGTCCTCATATGCGATCACACGACATATCCGCCAACTGGGAGGCCCTCTCATCTTCGCCTACAGACTGGCACGATTTCTCGCATGTCTAACTCTCCTTAGCATGACAATTTTCACTGTAGTGGATCGAGCCCAACATACGAGGCATGTAAAACATATTGCGCCTGCCGTGTGGATTCAGGTCGCGCTCTGCGGGACATATGTACGTCGTAAGCTATCGTAAAAGGACGCGGCCTGCTGACGCATACGCAGGGTTACGCGTCTTTCTTGGCGCTCCTATCGGTAGCAACTAACGCGCAGCTTAGCAAACTCGCAACACGTCATCTTGCCCTCGTCCTATTATTGGTCTGGGGAGTCTACGTCTATCGGGACATATGGCCTCTTGCCACCTACTCGTTGACTCCAGTCGACGCTGCAGAGGGTGGACTTCTCTGGGCTAAATTTTCGGTGCTCTCATTCGCGGCCGTGTTCGTTCCCCTACTCGTCCCTCGTCAGTATATCCCTGTTGACCTCACAGTAAGTCCGCACATGCATATGTATGCGTCTCAACTCCAACAAGCCTCACAATAGAGCCCATGGAAGCCCACACCGGAGCAAACGGCTTGCCTACTGTCAATGATGATATATGCTTGGTTGGACAGGACTGTCTGGGAGGCTTACAAAGTCCCCCATCTACCGATTGAGAAATTGCCTGCACTGGCTGACTATGATAGTGCGACGTATCTGGTCAGACGCAGCTTCGAGGTTTGTGCGTGCATGCGTATGGCAAGCAAATGTCTCAATTCTTGCATTGCAGCATTTGGATCCGTTCCAAGTGAAAAAGAAGAGACATCTCTTCTGGAGTTTGATGAGTGTTTTTCGTGAGTGCACGTATGCTGACTGTCGTTGGGATGGGGCGTTTGACGCCTGACACTCAGGCACGGAATACTGTGTGCTGGCCCTCATGCTCACAATTCAGGTGCGTATCAATAGAGAAATGATCTTACTTTATTAGCTCAGCGCCACATAGTCTTTCACTCAATTCGCCAGTCCTATTGGAATCAATCAGTTGCTTCGGTAGGCATGACAACATGCGCATACACGTGTATCTGACATGTATACAGCTACTTGGAACACAATGGCGAGGGAGCTTTCGTTCGCCCATGGGTATGGATTTCTTGGCTGTTCTTCGGGCCTGTACTTGGGTCAGTCGCCGTGCAATGGTACATCTTCAACACGGTACGCATATACTCCATCCAAGGGTGTTACTCGCTCCGTATCTCACACAACACTTTTCAATAGACTCGAATGCTCACACAAGCGACAGGCATAATGACGCAGCTCATCTTTGAACACTCACTTCGTATTCGCGTGAAAGCCGAGGTGTCAGAAACTCCCGCAAGCAGCGCCGTCAACACAGCCGTCGGGACGCCTGATAACGCATCAATCGTCGAGGAGCAGGAACACGAGAGCCCAACCGGGAGTAGCGGCGAGGACGAGACGATGTTCGCGAGTACGGCAAGTGTCGATACAAGCTCGACGCAGGGAAAGCAAAAGGCGAAGGCGGCGTCAGTGAGTGGGGATAGCAAGAAGAATGAGGAGAAGCCTGCCAATGCAGATGGCACGAAAGGTGGAAACTTAGTCGGGAAGATCAATAACCTCGTGACTACGGACTTGGACAACATCATCCATGGAAGGGATTTCTTGTTCATCGGTGAGTTGCATCGAGCGTAAAAATGTAGTGCACGCTGATTATTTGCGCGATAGTCGTGGAGATTCCCATACAGTTGTGTCTTTGCGTCTGGTTCTTGTACTCGATTCTTGGATGGAGGTTTGTCGGCAGTTGCCTGGTGATGATGCTTGGACTAAAGTCATCTTCGGCAGCGCTTTCACCGGCATGGCAGTCATGGTCCTCATGTTTCCTCTCCCGGGATATGTAGCCAAGATTATTCAGAGTATTCAGCAGGAGAAAATGAAAAAGGTAAGGGTATTCTAGCATGATCCGACAAGCCGACTTATCAGGATGGACGCAGACCGATGCGCGAGTTCAAGACGTTACCGAAAGTGCTTCCTTCTTGATCCGTGTATCGTATTGCGCTAACCTTCTTCCGTCTAGCGATGAATGTTATCCGCATGGTCAAGCTGTTTGGCTGGGAGCCCCGCGTCGTGGAAAAGATCTTGGATAAGCGCGAGGAAGAGTTATCTTATCAGTGGAAATACAGGCTATATGGAATGATCAACGCCATCCTGAAGTGAGTAATTCGTGCATCATGGCAATAGCCATCTCATTGTGAATCCAGCCACGTTATTCCGTTCATCACTATGATCGTGACGTTCATGACATACGTGAGTCGTGTCGCGTCGCGGTACATATTCGGAAATCAGCTGACTTCGGGAACGCAGACCGTCTTCATGAAGAGGCAGCTTACTGGTGAGCATGACCTGCTCGAAGATGGCATTGATGGCTGACTTCGTGACAGCTTCCGCTGTGTTCTCATCAATGGCCGGTAGGCAGCTTGTTTTTGTCACGCAGCTGGTTGTTCTGAAACTTGGGTTCGACATTAGTCTTTGACATGTTGCGTCAATCGATGCATATGATCTTCGGTTTGCTTCCTGAGATCATCAGAGGTAGGAATTGATTAAAATTCGTGTGAGCACGATCTGATAGATAAATGCGATTACAGGCAAGGTTTCCCTGGACCGCGTCAATGACTTCTTGCATAATGTTAGCATCACACTTTCAAGTGTCGAGCGAGACACTGAATGTATACCTTCCAGACGGAGCTTTTGGATAAATTTTACCAGGGGTCTAGCGAGTCTGAAATAATCCTTTCGCAGAACAATGCCCCGAACGATGTCATAGGCATTCGCCACTCTTCATTCAGGTGGTCGAATGACGAGGATGGGATGTCCACTCCTGGGACAGCACCGCGTAATTTCATATTGCGCATCGAAGATGAGGTGACGTTTAGGCGGGGGCACATCAACCTGATTGTTGGTCCAACTGGGTCCGGGAAGACGTCGCTACTGATGGCATTGCTCGGTAAGCGAAAAACACTGCCCTTATAGGTGATCCCGAGCGAACATCGGTGTTTGTCAGGTGAAATGCATCACATCCCATCGGGACCGGACTCCTACTTCAACCTTCCTCGTGAAGGCGGTGTTGCCTATGCCGCTCAGGAGTCGTGGGTGCAAAACGAGACTATTAGAGTAAGATTATCGTTGCGTCTCACGCGTTAAAGATGCCCATCTCCACTCCGTCAGGACAATATCCTCTTCGGCGCTCCATATGAGGAAGAACGTTACCATAAAGGTATGCTTAATCTCAGGATGCGAGCATGTGTATGCTAATAATCTTCAAAGTTATTGAACAGTGCGGATTGAAGCGTGATTTGACCCTCTTCGATGCGGGTGACCAGACTGAGGTCGGTGAGAAGGGGCTGACTCTCAGGTGTGTTGCATTGGTGTTGACAGTTTTTACTCTATGATGACCCTTTTTCTGCCATCCGCAGCGGCGGCCAGAAGGTAGAAAACATCGAGTTAACGACTGATTGGCCCGGAGCTGATACTTTGTTAGGCCCGGATCACTCTTGCACGTGCTGTTTACTCCTCTGCAGAGATACTTCTCCTGGATGATGTAGGTCACCTGAGCGGGTGAAGTGTCCATACGCTGATATTTGCCAGGTTCTTGCCGCTCTTGATGTACACACTGCTCGATGGGTCATCGACAAATGCTTTAAAGGCGACCTTGTCCGTGGACGCACCGTTCTCTTGGTCGTACGTCTGGTTGTTAAATCTATCTATGTCCTTATGTCCATATCTTCGCATGCAGACACATAATGTGGCGATGGTGACTCCTATTGCGGAGTTCGTGGTGTCACTTGGGACGGACGGATGTATTTTAAGCCATGGAACCTTGTCAAAAGCTTTGGAAAAGGACAAGGAGCTGTCCGCTGAAGTTGAGGAAGAGAACAAGGAAATTGAAAAGAAAGAGCAGGAAATCGATCAAGTCGAAGAGGAAGCCGGGTCGAAGAAGTCCGATGGGAAACTCATTGTCGCGGAAGAAGTCTCCGTGGGGCATGTCAGCTGGGCTGCTTGTGCGTCTCCCGCCTCCATGCCTGCTCAGCTCACTTCTGATGTGGACAGCAGTGAAGATGTTCTTGTTCAGTCTGGGGGGTTCTCACCAATTTTTCTTCTGGTTTCTCTGTTTGGCGACATTACTAGCTTCTGAGCTCACGGAGACAATCCAGACCTGGTTCCTCGGCTTCTGGGCGCGACAATATGAAGAGCAGGATCCATCACAAGTGAAAGTCTCTTTGTAAGCCACTACCTGTCCTCTTGTTTGCAAACTCTGGCTCATGCTCGTGTAGCTATTTGTCTGTCTATGCCTTGCTTCTGCTAGGATCCTCTGCGCTGTATTGCATCGGTTACATATTTTACATATACGGTGCATTGAGAGCATCGCGATTCATTCACTCAACACTGATATCATCCGTGCTTGGGACGACTTTGAGGTATGTCTCTGTAGCTTGCCGTTGGCGGTTCCTCACGATTGTCTGCAGATGGCTGGACATGACTCCCACCTCTCGTATCATTACTCGTTGCACTCAAGATATAGCAGCAGGTACGTGCTCGCTGCTTTTCAGCTAGGCCAAGCATCTCACGATTTTCAGTCGATGGACCAATCACGGACTACTTCAGGGCAGTCCTGGAGCTGTCCATTTCAATGTTGACTAAGCTCGCGGCAGTGGTTGTAATGTCCCCCATCTTCTTGATTCCTGGCGTTTTAGTTGCAGTGGTAGGCGGGTGGTGCGGTCAGGTCTACATGAAAGCGCAGCTGTCCGTCAAGCGTGAGATGAGTAATGCACGGGCTCCCGTCCTTGGCCATTTCGGCGCAGCTATTGCAGGCTTAAGTGAGTTTCTGCTATCTCGACTCATGGTCAGAGCACATACTCATAGCCATCAAGCATCAATCCGCGCATATGATGCGCAGGAGATGTTCAGAAAGGAATCATATTCTCGCATTAATCGGTGGACGAGGGCGGCGAGAACTTTCTACAATCTCAACAGGCGAGTTTGTTCCGGACAAATTATTCCCAATTACTGATAGCATCGATCCAGATGGATTTGCATTCGCATTGACACTCTCGGCGCGCTTTTCTCCGCTGGTCTCGCTACGTATCTCGTCTATGGAGGGATTTTCACTGCCTCAAACACTGGTTTCTCTTTAAACATGGCAGGTCAGTACATAAATCACTTGATACTTCACGCCCGTAATCGCTTCATCACCTCCTGGCAGTTGGGTTCAGTGGCATGATTTTGTGGTGGGTCAGGGTCCTCAACGAATTTGAGGTTTCCGGTGAGCGAACCATGTTCTTGTCCTATCCTCCTCATGTTAACAACGTACGTCGAACACAGGCAATAGGTGGGTATTACTTTTGACATCTTGTGCTCCGTAGGCTAGGCTTATGCTACCGCAGTCTGGAGCGTATCGAACAGTACGCGTCGATCGAACAGGAACCTGAGCCTTCTGAGCAAGGTGTTCCTCCTGCATACTGGCCATCTAGTGGAAACCTCAGGGTAGAGAACTTATCGGCGCGCTATTCTCTGGTAAGCACACACTGTTAAAATCAAATGTTGCCTTAATGACCTCGCGTCTCTAGGATGGTCCCCGAGTCTTACATGACATATCCTTCGAGATAAAGTCGGGAGAGCGTGTTGGAATTGGTGAATGGTCCTGCTTTTTCGCGGCAGCTGAAAATGCTAACGGATCTGTGAAGTGGGGCGCACTGGAAGCGGAAAGGTCTGTGCGTCTTTTAAAGTTCGTCGTGCTATTCTGATTAAGGGTTATGTAGAGCTCTTTGACATTATCACTCTTACGCTGCATCATCACGGAAGGCAAAGTGTATTACGATGGCCTGGCGACTGACACGATCAATCTCGACGCTCTTCGCTCCAGCATTACCATCATCCCGCAAGTGGTATGTATGTAGTGTGCGTTCAAATGTACTTGTGCTGACTCCGCATTTTCCTTCAGCCTGAATTGCTCAGTGGCACTTTGCGCCAAAATTTAGATCCATTTGATCAGCATGACGATGCCGTATTGAACGATGCCTTACAGGCTGCTGGATTATTCTCATTACAAAGTGACACCGAAGAGGGCAGAATTACCCTTGATAGCCAGATATCCAGTGGGGGAGGTAACCTATCTGTTGGTCAACGGCAGATTCTCGCTCTTGCGAGAGCTATTGTTCGACAAAGCAAACTTCTGATTCTAGACGAAGGTATGCTTCCTTCTCATCTTACAGGGCATCAATTGACGTATTTTTAGCTACTTCTGCTATCGGTAAGAATACAGGCGTATGGCGTAGGGTCGTTGCTCATATACTTGCAGACTATGCCACCGACACCATCATCCAGTCGTCGCTGAGAAGAGAGCTAGACCAGGGTGTTACACTGCTCACTATTGCGCACCGGCTACAGACCATCATGGATGCTGATAAAATCGTGCGTTCCTTTCTTCCTAAAAGTTTACTCATTCGCTTAACATTCATCGCTGCCAGATGGTGCTTGATGCCGGACGAGTTGTAAGTCAAGTCTCTAGGATAAAATGCGACCAGTTGACTGACGAATGCCGCAGGTGGAGTTTGGCAAGCCGAGTGAGCTGCTCAAGAACGAAAAGGGTATGCTCCGGGCTCTCGTAGATGAGAGTGGTGACAAGGAAGCTCTGTACGCGATGGCTGAAGGTGGCAGTACATCAGCATAGAGCAAGCTTGCTTGTCTATTGTTATTAGATAAAGAAGGGCGTGTCCCCTCTTCGTGGTGTAATTAGTGTACAACTTCATAACGACTCGGGCCGCTTTACGCAATCCTGCGCGAAGCACTCTCGAGCCTGTACCTTTTTTTATGTTCTGTGTCGTGTAGAGCACGGAAGAGCAGTATCTATTCTCGACTTTGTAGCTAAGCTAGAATGAGCTAGCGTGGAGGCCAGTACAGTGCCTTCAGGTCGCCTTGGATGTTCTTTGAACGATCGCAACAGGCTAACATCAAGACACTTAATGTTCATACTACAAGCTCTCACCGACGGACGTCGTCTCTCTCGACGCCAGAAACTACTCTAGAGGCAATCCACAGACTTCGCAATCACTGCCACCGTGTGTGTTCTCATATGTGCAATGAGGACAGATTCGGATGTTTCCGCCGCCGCTGCCGCCGCCGCCTCCCCCTGTATTCCACTCGGCTTGTTCTCGTGCAATCTGATCGTAGATTTCCCGCGGTATGTCTTCGTCCATAGCAGTCTGCGTGGGTGCGGTTGGGGCGGACGTGGCCGGAAGTGGTGGAGCTGATCCCGTTGCAGAGGTTAGAATATATCAACGTTTACGCGTGGGATTTGGGCAAACTTACGCGCGGTCTCGCGAGTAAAGGTCATGAGTGTTTGCCATCCCTCCGTACGTATGAGCTCGTCGAGGACGGTAGGGTCGTCCAGGTTTGGCGCAGTAGCCGTGCGGACCAGAATTTTCATGTCATTCTGATACAAGCGTAAGAAACATCGTGAGCTAACACAAATCAGCATGCTGTGCATCATGTGCTTACTGCATGGATCAGTTGCGTAGTGCCCAAGAACGCGATGAGATGCCAGTCACTGAGCCACTTGGCTAATGCCAAACGCAGTTGCGGATCACCGCCCCGTGAGCTCTCCGGGATGTCTGGTGCTCTCAAGTCTGAGAGAGCCCGCAGTACGGTCTCGATATGCTGATCCTCTAGCCCTGGTCGGTTCTCGATGCGGAACTCTGTTGAACGGAAGAGAGGCGATGGGTTCTGCGGGAAGCCGTTCGATACCTACACGAGCCGCATTCAGCGAGGTGAATAGTTGCTGAACCGTTACGGTACTTACGTTCACGAGCAGGTACTCCACGGGGAAGCAAGGCTTCGCACTCTTCTGCACATCAAGGCCGTACTCATTCTTGTATCGGAAGAACACGTCTGGTACGTATCGCGCTGTGTCTTCGCTGCGATCCTCCTCTTTGATGCGCACGATGCCAGGCTCAACGCTCGCTTCGATCATGTCAGCTTCCACCATCGCACAGGCTTGCTCCGAGACTTGGTACGCTGAGACGTCAATGCCGCCGGACTCCGTTCCTGTCAGCACTGCCGTCACCATGCGCGAAGCGAACAGGCCGGTCGGGGACGACTTAGTCGGAGTAGGATTGGCATTCTGCACATGTGCCGCGAAGATGGCTTCCAGTGAGGAGAGGTAGAATGACTGAGGATGACGCTTATACTTGCTCTTTGTCCTGTCTTCCGGCACTGGCTCCAGGTCAGTGAAGATGTAACCGACAATTTGAAGAGGAGACGATGTGTCCTTCGCTAGTGCACGTATTCTTGGCTCATCCTCCCATGGTAGGCCTAACGACAACCCGTCAAGCTCGCCTTCCTGAGGTGGCTCGTGAACAGCCTCCACAACGGCTTTGACGCCCATAGGCACTTTGTCGTACGGCTCGTATCGCCCGATCAGCCACCCAAACCGCTGCAGACCGGTCATTCGCCATGCATGCAGAAACCGGTCAATAATTGCCTCTGATGCGATCTCGAGATGGTCCACCATACGGAATGGCTGGCTCTGCAGCGTAATCGCAGACGGCTGACAAGCCGTACAGATTCCCGCAGGCCAAGGCGGGTGTCCGCCACTCGGACATGGGTCTTTCACTTTGTACGAGAGCTGCGAGAGGGGAGGGAGCAGTGCCGTCGACGAGGCGGTACCGGAAGACTTGGGCGTTAACTTCTGGAGGTAGGCATGGAAGGACAGGTGTTTGATATTGTGCTCCGCGTGGTAGGCTGTGTCGTATGGCTCGAGGGGCATGCAGTAGTCGCACATGGCATTCGCGCCATGCTTGCAGAATTTGGGGTCGCGATTGCGAGGGATTTTGCCATCCTGCGACCGCCAATAGGTGTCCACTGGGTCCTCCAGCACAGACTCCCATGGACGCTTCCCTGAACTGCTGCTTGTTTGTGCCTTCTCAAACGGCTCAGCAGCGGGCGCCGCGTTTGCCGTCCCGGCGGCACGGGGTTGGTACGAGACAAAAACCATTGTACCATGACTATGTATAGCGTTCAGTCCCAGACGGCGATGAGGAGGAGTGACGGGCGTACGCGATGCCTAGCGCTTGCAGATCACTACCCTTCAGCGTCGACACCAAGGTTTCATTGCCGCGAGGGCGATCCGAGATCGCCAAGGTCGCTGGATCCGCATCTGTCGTGGTCTCAAGGATCTGGGCACTATAGTAATTTACGGCTAATGATTGCGCGGGAGAAGTAGCGACGCACCTTGGCCGCGAGTTCTGATATGTCGGCCGTAGGAGGGAGCTCGAAGCGGAAGTTTCCGTCCTTCGACCTAACTCTGACGAGCTACACGACATTCATGAGCAAACCGACCACGCTTCCGACATCAGACATACCATGATTGTGCAGGAAAGACAGACGATGGACGCTGCAGACGAAGGTGGCTGCGTAGGCTGCGTACGCGTCTCAGCGAATACGGTGACGCGTTCCCCCACGTGCTGCTTACGTAATGATAAGGACGCGATTCGACGCACGTGACGTACATTTGATTGCAGCCACCGACATCCTCAGACTGGCGCAATTCTCGGGCAGCATTGCGAAGGCCGAATCACCACCAAGATCAGACAAGGTCGACCAAACACGGAATGAAAGCACACCATGGACGCTCAACCAAAATCAAATTGGAGCAACTATGGAAGATGACGAGAATTGTCGCTATCGAACAGCGGGTTTGCAAATGCGATCATGAGAACATCGGCAGGAGGTATTGAAGTCATGCCCTCTGCATCCCCCATGGACCACAATCAAGGCAATCCCCTGAGTGGCACTGCTCCAAGCTCTCCAACAAACCGCCGTCGCGCCAGATCCGTCAGCCAGCCAGTCTCTTCGTCTCCTGTCGCGGGATCGAGCAGTAGGGCATGTTCAGGCTTCTACTCAACGCTAGTTGGGCAGAGAATAACCGTTTGAACAGGCTACCGATCCATTCGACTTTAGCATCTTCGGCGATTTTGCCCACACAGCCAGTCCATCGCCGGTCTTGCCCCCGAGTTACCACGATCCTTCGTTAGCTAGCGCTTGGTTGGCCAGCACGCTCCAGCAGGGATCCCTTCCAATTATACCACCACCAGCCGTCGCGTTCTCTCAAGCACCGCTCCCGAACATGGCGACCCAGCAGATACCGAACCCAGCCCAGGCCTTCCTGGCCGCGCTGCCTTGGTTGCAGTACATGCAGATGCAGACCCAATACAACCAACTCCAGCAGCAGGCTCATCATGTCCCGTTCATGCAGCCGCCAGTACCGCCGCAGCAACCGTCGCAGTTCAGCAGCGAAATGCTCAGTCTCTTCACTCAGACACAGGCACAGCCGCAGTCGCCTTCAAGCGCGCAAGAGAGCAGCCAGCCATCACCAGAAGCATCAGACAACACGCCAAAGTCGCCGTCGCCAGAGGAACGAGAGATGACAGAGGCAGAGCTCGCCGCCATCGCGGAGGACAAGAGACGGAGGAATACCGCGGCGTCAGGTACGCTTGCTCTACCTTTCCACGAGACACGTGTTGACGTTGCATGTACCATACAGCGCGTTTCAGGATCAAAAAGAAGCAATGGACGCTTAACTTGGAGCGCACAATTACCGATCTGTCCACCAGGGTGCAGGAGCTCGAGACGGAGGCAGCAGAGCTTCGGCGGGAGAACGGGTGGCTAAAAGAGATTGTGATGTTGAAGAGCAAACGAATGCAGGGTTCTGTACCTGATCTAGAGAACGCTGGCTCTTCCAGTGCGCAATCGACTGGAGATGCACAGAATACACCTTCGACGGGGGAGGGAGGGAGCGCGGAGGCGCAGGAGGGCGGATATAGCGCAGAAGAGAAGGGAAAGGGCAAGCCGTCCTCATGATCATCATGCCGTTGCCGCATTTATATACACGACAGCTTGTATCATACTCAATTCCGAATTACCCTCTCCCGAGTCGCCGACTCGCTCGCTAGAAACTGCGAATTCGGAATTCTCCTTATATGGAAGGTTTCTCACCGGCGTCAACGGAGCGCGCAATACACGCGCACACGCGCACACGCTCACACGCTTGTTCAGCTCGCACGATGTCATTTGGACGACCACCGTCGATATCTACTGGCTTCAAGCCGACCGCTCCGGTGGGCAGCCTCCCTCTGCATAATGTCGCCTCACTGACCTCCCGAGCGTCGAAAGGACAGGGGCTCTTTCCCTCTTGACCATTTTGGTAGGAACATTGCCAGATACTGCATTGCAATTCTCATGGACTGATCACGGGCCTTCCCAGGGGAATGCAAAGAGTATATGCAGCTCTATCTTGACTGCTTGCGCAAGAACTCGAGCAATTCGACGCCATGCCGGGTTCTGAATCGCGAGTACCTCGAGTGTCGTATGCAGCGGTGAGCTTGTGCTCTTTGCTCTTGTTCCTTGGCCTGTTACTAAGCCCTGTCAGTGGATTGATGGAGCGTGACGACTGGAAAAATCTAGGCTTGGCGAACGAGGGTTCTCGAGCTGCCGATAAAGACGACCCTCACGTTAGCTCACCTCCAGCAGCAAAAACATAGCCTCGCTCGGATTGCTATATCGACTCTCTGGGTTTGCTCATGCTCCTCTCAGTCTTTGTTGTTAATTCATGAACTGTGTATCACGTCACTGCTATACAAATGCGAGGCAGCCGTTGCCGCTCTTGACAGTCGAACTCTATCTTCCGGTGCCCGCCCTGCGCCGTGAACATCACGCTGCCTATCTCTGTGGATCGTCCTCGCATTCCCTGTTCTCCTTCAAGCACAACCAGACAGCTTGTTCGGTGCGATGACGATCCTAGTTCATCTATGCTATCACGCTCGCTGGGTCGTTGCCCCATGTTTGGTACGCTGATCTGTTGGTACGCTATCCTCGGCGACGGCATTGCTGGTCTCGACTCAGCGTCAACGCGCACACTGATCTGCTATTGCTAAGAGTAGCTGATTGAATGTGACACTTACACAGGTTATGACTACATCAGATGCCGCTATAGCTGCGGATCAAGTAACGGGAATGCGTGACGCGCCGAGAGTCAAGTTCTCCGTGCACGTTGCGACTCTCGCACGTCATTAAAGGCTAAAGACTAATCGAGACTGGGAGTCTGACGGGCCGTTTTGAGGAGGTGCGTGGTGTGCTGACAGATCTTGCTCGGGGCTGATGAGCACGTTCGCCACCACGATTGGCCACAATTCCCAGAATGGCAAAACTCGCCCGCTCCGCTTTTGGGCGCTCGTTCAACCTTCCCTTTTTGACGGCCAGGTTGAGCGACCCGTGGACGCGATCGGGATGAACGTTTGTGCAAAATAGGCTGGCAGGAATCAGCGGAATGTTCCCCCATCAAGCAACGTGCATTAGCTAACCGAGCGGTCGTTACGATCAGCCTCCGGAGATATCCAGACTACATATGCCCGGATCCTGCGGTTGGCGGAGTGCGCTGTCATCCGTCTCACCCCCCATGTTCGCCCCCTTCTCTGTGCTGGCGAACCTCGCCAACCATGCCCTGTTAATCCTTGGGTCTCCTACACAGCAGCCGCTGGAACCGCCTGCGAAGTTGGGGCACCGTCGCTTCTTTGACGTCCAGGTACGGACCCAGCCCTATATGCGGTATCACGCCTACCTGATGTTGACCGCCACAGGCACACCGCGGAGGCAGGGGCAACACGATCGAGAATACTCTACCTAGCTTTGCCTGGTAGATTCGCCACATATGTGGCCGGGCTTTCCGAGCTTATAAGATCCTTTCAGGGGTCTCATTGATGGTGCCACGACATTAGAGCTGGACAATGGCATCACGAAGGTCAGCTCGATCATATGCGGATTTCGTTGAACCACTCGGCTCAATTGATATACGTAGGATGGCGTGGTCGTGGTATGGCATGACGAGAACATGACGCCTGCGAAATGCAAGGACACAATACCTGCTGTAAGACTCAGATGGTTGATACCCAGAGTCAGGCACTGACACCAGCCTGCTCAGTTCCCGGATGACCCTGACTTTCCATACATCGGAAAGTACGTCGCGAACCTCACCCTCGCGCAGCTCAAGACACTCGACTGTGGTTCCAAGCGACAGTACGGCTACCGTAAGGCTCCGCTTTCTTCTCCGCGCGCGCCGCGAATCCGACGCGAGTCCGTGCAGCGATGCAGCTTACGTATCCCGGCACGCGTATCTCGACGCTGCAAGAGGTGTTCGAGTTTGCTGAGTGTGCCGACCCCGCGCACGGGATACTGTGGAACATCGAGTCGAAGATCAATGCGAGTCATCCGAATAGCACGATGGGCGTGCAGGACTTTGTGCAGAAGCAGCATGCGCTGTTCTCTGCGAGTCCATACGCGTCGTCGATTACGGCAAGTGGTCTATGTCAAGCTGAAGCATTTGATGTACTGACCAAGAGATGCAGTATCAGAGTTTTGATTGGAGAACCTTGATTGCGATGAAGGCAGGTCTTGCTCCTCTAGTCGTCACGACACGCATCTGACGGTTTTCTTCGACAGGAGCTGAATCCATCTATTCCAACGTCGGCACTCATAGACGAGTATGCTCATCTGTTCAAGATTGTGGAGGCATGAGTAGCGAGCTGACATTATCTCGCTCCTAGCGACACAGCGTTCACAGCAGACAACAGCACCACACCATGGCTCGCTGGAATCCGTCTAGACTCCTTCCCCGGACCTACCGTCGGCCACCAGGTCGCCCAGGCCGCACGCTCTATCCGGGCAGACATACTCTCGCCCTCCGCGCAGTCGTTCTCGAGCCCCGTCCCGGATCCGGAGATGGCGGGATATGAGGCATTTACGACGAGGGAGATGGTAGAGGAGGCGCATAGGCTAGGGATGGCTGTTAAGGTGTGGACGGTGAGTACAGAGGAAGTGTGCGTTGGTGCGGGTTCTGAGTTTATCGTGATTGCAGGTGAACCGGATGAACATCGCGGAGCAATTGTTGGATTGGAAGGTGGACGGGATCATCACCGACTGTAAGTTGGCTTCATCTGGAACAGTGGCCCAAACCAGCCGGTGTTGACACTCCGTGCAGACCCTAACGTAGTCCGCCGCTTGACGAAACAACGCGGTCTGCCTTCCGCGCCGAAGTACCCCAAACAGCGGGTGCTAACGTGTCTGGACGAGCATCTGGCGAGGCAGTCAGCTTCATAGAATCTTGAGACGAGTGAGAATCACAGCAGACGTTAGAATGTAGACATTTTTGCACTGTATGCACCAATAATTGCCCTGTAGAGTTTACCGCGTCTGTGTTGTTTCATTGCTTGACGTGTAGGGTTGAGCCTTAATTACGGCGTCATAACGGTCCCGTTGGCAGAGATTGGCACTTTGTGCTAGACAAGCTGCCTACAAAGTGGTAATTGTGTTGTTGCGTTGTCCTACATCGCACGAGAGATCATATTGTGCCGAACGGGCGGTGAAGAAAAGAACTGCAACAATGAGATGTGCTGGCAGGCCCGGGGTAAATTCGGCGTCTTTGGCGGAACGCGGTCTCGTGACCACCGCATAGTACAGTACCCCGCCGCGCGATATTCCTGCGTAAGCCAACTGAGCCTTTAGTCTGATACAGATGAGGACATCAAAGTACAGGTGCAAGAACGCGTGCTAGTCTGAGTGACGAAAGCCGTAGTAACGCGGTCCCGTGATCTGTTTGACTACAACGCGTGGCGCTGGCCATCCGCCACTTCGCCTCCCAAGACCAGCATGAACATTGCAAGGCATTCGGTGAATATTACGCGCGCACATGCTCTTTATAAAAAATTCCATCTACTCGATAATGGCGTATGTTACCTAGAACAGTTCTTACACGCCGCGTGAGATCCTACGGTCACCGTCAGCCACAAACGAGTCAATTCGGAACTGTCAACCTTTCGACCGCTTGCGTACTGGTGAACGAACGAGGCTGACACGGTGGCTATGCACTGGTGGCGAACACGCCCCCTCGCTGTATATAAACATAAACCCACTGCTTCATTTTCTTCTTTCATCTTCTCCCCCTTATTTGACTCTGCATCATTTCTTTCTTTTTTTCTTTCTTTCTTTCTACTTCTTTTCCTTTTCCTTTTCCTTTTCTTTCCTTCGCCTTTGTGTTTTGTTTCTTCGCACCCGTCTTTCCTGGCTTTCTGCGTCGATTGGGCGAGCAACATCGTACTACATCGCCGTCTCCTTCGACCTCATCGTTCGCATCTAGCGCCAAGAACTCGCCGGTTCACGTTCTCACAGACAGGTCAGCCTCCTCGGGTGACCTAGTTCTCACATCTAACCATTTCCTACAGCGCGGCGCCGCTGGGGGCGGGAGGCTGGCGCGAATCGCCGTCTCTCTGGAGGGGAGGGGTCGCGGCTCATGGGCTCTTCCCCTCGCATGCCATGGGACGTCCAAGTGTCCCGTGGGACTGTGGCAGGTCATTACTTTCTTCTCTACCTCTGTCCATCTTTTCTATTACATCATTCAAACCATGTCGAGAGGATGGGGGAGAGGGGGGGGAGGGGGATGGGAAGGGGTCTCGAGGGAGGGCCAATTCTCGCATTTATTGCGAAGTCGGTCCTGGCGTAGGCCTTTTCGTGGCCCTCGGGATAAGTACTCAGCCTGTTTGACAGGTCGGGGAAGCCAACATGCGCCTTAATTCCTTTGTTGATGATATCGCTCGGAGTTTGTGTCTTCGCGGTAAGTGCATTTTGACAGTGGTCTGCGACTTTAGTCCCCCTGAAAGTCATATATAGAAACTCTGTATGTACAGATCAGATTCTATTAATATGTCGAGTCAGTCTGGTCCATATATATTGGGCAGAGCGTCGAAAGAGATCACAAAGAACTTCAGGGAAATTACGGGCGCTTGGTCCATGTAAACGCCGGTTCCCTATTCGTCAGGCCCGCTCAAGCCCCGCGAGCGCTCGCATCGGGGAGGAACGGTATGTCCTGTGGGCGCTTGCTTCAAACTCCGCATCTATCTGCTGCTCGTCACTGCAAACCCCGTCGAGCACGACACCCCTCTGCCATGTCTGCCATCCAGCTCGCAAAAAAGGCTGTTAATCTCCCTCCGACCGTGCGCACCCTTGCGTCGGGTGTACCTGCTGCCCCTTACATCAACCTTGCCGTCCGCGAGCCTGTGGGACACGGTCACGGGCACGGGCACGCTGTTGGCCCGCGGCAGGATGTCCCTCCGAAGTGGGCGGGCAGCGTCACTGCTAGTTCATCTGCGGGTTTGATCTCTAAGAGTATGGTAAATGGTATGTAAACCGCATCATTAATAGAGCAAGCCAGATGGATTGAATATATAATGCACATTCCTAGTGCCGACCACTGGTTTCTATCAGAGGCGCCTCATCCACTCGACCGTCCCCGCCAAGGTCGAGCCGCAAGTGCCCGACTTCTCGCACTATGAGGCCAAGTCCGAGTCGACGAACCGTGGCATCGCATACCTCATGATCGGCTCGATGGGCGTGCTGACCGCGTCGGTGGCCAAATCTACGGTGACGGGCCTGCTGACGACGCTCTCCGCGTCCGCGGAGGTGCTCGCGATGGCGAAGGTCGAGATCGGAATGGCGGCGATCCCTGAGGGCAAGAACGTGATCATCAAGTGGCGCGGCAGGCCCGTGTTCATCCGCCACCGCACGCAGGACGAGATCCAGGAGGCGCGGAGCACGGACTGGAAGTCGCTGCGCGACCCGCAGTCGGACGAGTCGCGCACGAAGAAGCCGGAGTGGCTGGTCATGCTGGGTGTCTGTACCCACTTGGGTTGCGTGCCGATCGGTGAGGCGGGTGACTATGGTGGATGGTGCGTGAAAAGTGCCGTTGTGTGGCTCGCAAGCTCTCATTGACGCTGGATATGTGCTAGGTTCTGCCCCTGCCATGGTTCGCACTACGATATTTGTACGTACTCGCATTTCTTGAGCTTGTCCGTTCTGGCTAAAGGTATTCTGCAGCTGGACGTATTCGCAAGGGCCCTGCCCCCGTAAGTCATTTGTGCTCCTTCGTAGAACTGAAGCTGACGAATTGCGTCGCAGAGCAACTTGGAGATCCCTCCGTACGACCTTGACGAGGCGGACGAAAAGATTGTCGTTGGTTGATAGATGCTGCATCCACAGAACTGGACGTGTACAGCGTTATAATGGAATGCCAGATGTCGTCGGACGTGGATTGCACATTGCCTGCATGTGAGATGCTTCCGCTTATCATCCATTACTCAACGTCTGCTTGGCGCAACAATCTCGGCGCGCGCGAGTCTCATACATATCAAGGTCGTAATGTCGTGACGTCAGTGTAAGAGTAAAGTACTAAGTTCCGTCGGTGCTTCTGGCCTTCGGCTTCTAGTGCTGTCCCACAGTGTTGGATCCTGCCTCGGGACGCAGTTAGACTCAATACGAGCATGCTTCATGCGGAAGCAGCGATGTTCCGTCATATAAATACCCTTGTAAGTCCCGGGGGAGGCTCTGAAGCAAGGAGGGTGTTCTCCGTTCTGCGCATCTTGACTGTTTCGGCTCAAACCGTTCGCCAGCAATCATCGACACACAGCAATGTCAAAAGAGCCTCAGGCAGCCAGGCTAGCAGACGGCCATGATCTGGCCCTACCGGCCATACTCCTCTGTGGGGCTGAGCGCTGAGTTCTCGGCTGCTTCCAGCTTCTTCCATGAGTCAGATATTTTGCTCACGCGCTCAAAATTAGTTGGATGCTATGCTCCGGACTCTCTCGCTATCTGATCCAGGAGGGAAGTTTGGTCAAGTCCATGCGGGAGCTATATCTCTATCGTGATCGCCGTTCTGCCTGAGAGGACGCGAGCACAGAAAAGAAGGTTGCAGATGCGCATGATAGGAAGTTCGGACATGGGTCGAGGTGAGCGTGATTGTTATTTGGCCCCAACGAGCCTTGTACGTACTACCAATATCCCATCATGAACGTGGACGTCAGACATGGGCCCTGCAGTGCTTGCGAGCGAGGCGGTGACGGCGAACGGTCTCGTCGCTGCAAGCGACGTCTGGCTGAGCGTGCGGGGAACCTGGAAGCCGGCAGCGGAGATGTTCGGAGATGAGATCTGAACTGCACGTGTTTCCATCATTTTTCCCTGTCACAGCGTGTCACATGTTCAATTGCTGCGCAGGGATTGGGCAGAGCGTGACAGAGCAAGGACGGGCTGGCTAATGGGTGGAGGGCGATAAGGGCGTCCCGACCCGGAGCAGTTGGCGTCGTATCGCCCTCCGTCCACTCTTTCATCTCTCTCTCCCTCAGTACATGGCCCCGAAGCAGCCCTGCGCAAAGTACGAGTACGTCGTCACCCCCGCCGGCCCCAAGATCCTCCCCGTCGCCGACGTGCACAACAAGGATGAAGAGTCGCCCGCAGACTACAACGCTGGCGGGTATCTTCAAATCAAACTCAGAGATACTTTCAAGGACGGACGCTATGTCGTCCTCCGCAAACTCGGGTGCGTATCCTCGCGTACCTGACCCCGCACGCACTAGCCTCTACCGCGTATCTTCTTATACTGACCTGTGCATGTGATCGCGCCATCAGATGGGGACACTTCTCGACCGTCTGGCTGGTCAAGGACAACCAGTGAGTCTTTTTTGCTCTCCGTTTATGTATGCTCGATCGTCTTCGCTCCATTGTTCCCTTCATCGGGGTGCTTCCCGTGGATGATCTGTGCCAATCACGCGCGGGTCACCGGCGCTCGTGTCTGATATTGCCACCACCGCATTGGCCCTCTCGTCTCATAGCATCTCACTCCCCCTGACGCTGTCGCAATACATCATGAGTACCTCCGACATTGAGAGTCTTTGGGCCACACGTGTGCACCATGGTACGTCGTCTGGCGGAAGGCATGGTCCAGGAACGGCCGTTCTTCCCGTGGTTGCGGGGTGTGGATTGCCAGGTGACTGCTTCTTCCGCAGAAGAGGGCCTGCCATTTCACATTCATGCAACCTTTTCCGGACATCTCGGAACCTGTGAAGGAGATTTTGAGAGGTTCCTTCGAGCGGCTACCCGCGTAGTATTTACCGGATGTCAGCTTGAATTGACTGGCGCCGTCGCCAGGATGACTAGTGCTCAGGCTAGGAAGGGTAGCATGACTCGTAAATAGCTCGTCCTCGTCGCTGCGAAGCGCACGAGTGACAGCGGGATGCATGCGAAGGTTTACGTTTGCATCCGCCGGTCGTTGGTTGAGTGCCCCTTGGATCCGTTGAAACCTTTCCCCGATATCGTTCTCCATCCTCACATGATCGCTAACCATCATTCGCAGTTCCGGTCGCCATTCAGCATTGAAGGTTGTCAAGTCTGCTGGGCGTTACGCTGAAACAGCGCGTGATGAGATCAAGTTGCTGAAACAAGTGCGGGAGGAAACGCCCGAGCATCCAGGACGTGATCAGGTTGTCTCCTTCCTCGACTCGTTTAACCATCCTGGGCCAGAAGGCATCCACGTGTGCATGGTGTTCGAGCCACTCGGCGAGAACCTCCTTGCATTGATCGAACGCCACCGGAAGACGGGTGTGGCGCCGGCACTTGTGAAGGTAATTGCGAGACAGGTCCTGCTTGGCCTGGAGTATTTGCACGATGAGTGTGACCTCGTTCACACAGACATCAAGCCGGAGAACATAAGTGAGTGCCTTTATAGTTTGCATTAGGCGCCCGGATTAACTTGGGAGTTCTGGTCTTGTGCAGTGATCGCCATCCCTGACGTGGAATTGCACATTCAAGCCGAGCTATCACGCTCGCCTTCTCCCACATGTCGCAAGGTCGGTGTTCCCCGGAAGCAGCTGACTCGCACCGGCCTCGCAATCCCCCGAGTTACCATTGGTCGTGAGCGTGAACGACACGTCCAAATCTTTGACTCGCAACCATTGTCGAGCCCTTCGTCGTTGACGAGCTACAGTGCCGGTACGAGCCCCAATCTGCGGCCGGTGCTGCAAATGTCCCGGCTGGCCAGCACGCAGAGCATCCACAGCATATTGGGCGTGGGTCTAAAGAGCAAGATCAAGCAGACGTTGGCTTTGTCGTCGACCCAGCCGGACGGTTCACCTCCTGAGCTCTCGGATGGTTCGACCGTCAGCACGGACTCGGTCTTGCCAGCGAGTCTCGCGACCTCGTTCGCGAACGACACAGCGGCGACGTCGATGGCAAGCGTTACAAGTGAGGTGAACAAGTTGTTGATCGAGACGCGTTCGTGTGCGTGCGGTTGCGCTTGCATATGGAGTGAATCGACTGTGGAGAAGGAGATCAAGTTGTTAGCATCATGTCCCACTGGGCAACATGCCAAGCCGGCCAATGGGCCGTCCCTCCTCTCGCAGACAGCTCCATATAACCTCCACAATCGCAACGTCTCTCCCCTGTGCACACATGGCTCGCGTTCTCCCTCACCACAATCGACGCAACGTGCATCGTCCCCCGCGCCGTCCCTGCTTCCGCAATTACCGGTCTCGATCAAGATCGCCGACCTTGGGAACGCGACGCCCTCGCACAAGCACTACACTGAGGACATCCAGACGCGGCAATACCGCTCACCAGAGGTCATCCTCGGGCGCACAGACTGGGGCCCTACGGCAGACGTCTGGAGCGCGGCGTGTATGTTCTTCGAGCTGCTCACCGCGGAATACCTCTTCGACCCGCAGAGCCAGGGCGGCGTCTTTGGGAAGGACGATGACCACATGGCGCAGATCATTGAGCTGCTGGGCGACATCGATGCGGAGGTGAAGTTTGGCGGGCGGTTTAGCCGCGAGCTTTTTGACAGCACGGGTGAGTGTCCCTCCTTATTTGGGCCTCTGAGCCTGGGTGCTGTGCCCGCGCTCGGACGACCGGGCCTGACTGTTTATCGTTTTCCTGTGTTGCGGGCGTTTTGCTAACGGTGGCTGCGTATGATGGTGATAGGCGCGCTGCGGTATATTCGCGCCCTGAAGCCATGGCCGCTCAAGCGTGTGATGGTGGAGAAGTATAGCTGGAATGAGGAGGACGCGGAGGCGTTGTGCGAGTTCTTGGAGCCGATGCTCGTTGTCGACCATCGCAAGCGGACGCACGCACGCGACGTCAAAGACCACAAGTGGTTGGAGGTCGACTTGACAAGTCCCGAATTCTTAGGCTGGTGATGATCACATCTGCTTTCCCCTGATCTATTTTTTGGCTCTATTGGGTTCCGTCGCCAGCCTGGATTAAACTTTACGGTAATCTAACGGTATGCAAGGTAGTATTTTCACAGCGGCGGTGTAACGACCGGCCGTCTCTAATCACCACGCTCCTTCACTTCACATTGTTGTTTTCATGCCCCCATTTCGACTCACTTCCCACCATGTTGTGTCTTTATCATCAATTTTCCGAACACTGCCTTCTTATCCCGCAAGTTTGCACGATAGACTAGACAGTTCTTCCGTCCAATCCACACACTCGCATACCCGCATTCTACTTTTTGCCTTTCGTTGTTGTATTTCTTTGGGCTTGTCGCGTGCATTGGTTGCCTATATGTTACTATCCGCTTTATGCTTAAACTCACTGTCTCTGTAGTCATGTAGATCTCATAGTATCGAATAAATATCATCATTCCTCCGCTCGATGAAGATGCACGAAGGGTGAAGCGCTGACGTCCGCAGGCACAGCATTCAAGTGGCGACAGCGTAACAGCAGTAAGTAGATATCCTTAAATTCACGGAACAGCGTTTTTCATTTTTACCTTGCGACGTTGATCATAAAGAATGCCATTGGTCTCCATCACCGCAAAGGTCAGAGTCAGGGCCCTCAGCGCCAATTGTTGCCGGCGATAAGTAGGAAGTACCGATTAAACAACGATGAATCTGAAGCATCTGATCGATGCGAAGTCCACAAATGACTACACGGCCGGTCCAGTAAGTTGTTTCAACATGAACCGGTCATGTTTATATTCAATCAGCGCAAGGTCGGCCACCGACGGCTCCCACTCAACCACCTGGGATAATCGCATTGGATACTTCACCACTCCCTGCTTGCCAGCCCAGTCGAAGTCGAGGATCTTGAGACGAGCACGAGGATTGTCAGTTGCCATGATGTTTGGCAGACGAAAATCGCCGTGGACCATCTGATTGTTATGGAGGAGGTCAACTGCACGGGATAGCCTCTCCCGATGGATGGCACAGTCCATTTCAGTTGCAGCCCGACCCTTAATGTACTCCATCACAACCATTCTGCGTGGCCCGCAGCCCGCATTTGCTATTGGGTCGTCCTGCCATATGTCGTCACAGTAGTACAACTTGGGAGCGAGACCTTCTTTGGCTAGGAGTTCATGTGCGTCCTTGCCATACCGCTCGACAAATTTGACAACCACCGGCATATCTATGGCAAAGGCTTGGTTTTCTTCATCGAAGATTGCATCTGTATCATCCAGCATGGCCAAAAAGGCCGAGCAGGATGCATCGCCTGACTTGAGATATTGCTTATATTTGAAGGAGACTTTCTTATTGAAGTAAGTGAAAGAGGTCGCTAGCGGGTAGAACCGGTTTTCGAAATTGAGGAGAGCCGTTTGTCGGTATCGCTCTTGGAGAGATCGTAAACCTTCTCTCAAGGCAGCAAAGATACGTGCGACGGGTTCGATGTCAAAGTCGCTAATCAGTGGGGGAGGAGCGAGCCAGCAGAGCCGTTTGAGGAGAGGCTGAACAATTATATCAGTCGTCCAAATGGCACCGCTGATGGACATATACGGCCCCGTTAAGCCGATGAGGAAGGTTGGGCTAAAGCTACGATCGAGTAGAGGCTGCGAATATACATTAGATAGAAGTGAGAGAGGAATATAATAGACAAAGCATGCAAGATGCACCTCACGTTTGCCCCAGTACACGCGGTAATAAAATTGAGCTTGGACGATGGCGTCTCCGCTTTTCCCCAGTTCAGGTTTCTCCTCTATTATTCCAAGTGCAGCCATCTCCGGCCCCGTCTCCATTTCACAAATATGGGGGATGATGTGATCAGCTTTTGCGTCACGGATGCCGGCAGCAATGCTCTCAATGGCAGATTGAAGCATCTTTCTGAGCTGTTCGCGGTTAGATATAGAGTGTTCCTTCTCCAAATCGCGTATATGTGACGCATGCGACATGAAATGCAGTGCTGTCTTCCGCATCTCATCATCCACCAGATCCGAGCGATCAAGGTTTGCGACGAAGGTCGCAAAGATAGGATCGTATACCACAATGGGCAGTGCGAGAGTCGGTATGTGACCAATGGAAGCATAGCGGCCATCAAGGAAGGGTGTGTTTCTGTTCTGGAACTTTATGTAGTTCTTTGTTTGCGCAGCGACAGATGGGCTGGGAGTGTCGTCGATATTTTCTTTCGTTTCTCTGTATCCTATATTAACGACGTTAGTGTGAATGATAATAGATGATTTAGTGTAACGTACGCTTTACCCATGGGTGGTCGTCTGTTTCTGAATCCACATCTGCAGTGTATCTCTTCCTCTTATTCTCCAACTCTCCACGTTGATGAATTTGCGCTACAAGCAGCGGTAACATAACATTGCGTGTGTTTGCTTTGACAGGGAGTACGCAATCACAGGATTGATTGCCATAGTTCGATAGATTGTCGCAGAAGCATTCCAGGTTATAGTCGTTCTCCTTGAGAAGTTCTCGGAGCTTGTCGATATTGTGTACGTGTTCCTTCGGCTGTTTCAGGCATTGAACACATACAAGTAACACGCGAATATACATTGCGACGAACCTTCCACAAAGTAATCATGTCCTCACTTGTGTTCTTCTTTCCAGCGACGTAGCAAATGATATCATCAATGCTAACCACTTCAAGTCGGTGCTCATTCGAATCGGTAGAAGCCTCATTGTGGACCGAATAATACGGTGCTTTGAGGGTATTGGGGGATATCTCGACTCCATCACCATCCTCGGGAATTTGAATAATAGCAACATATATGCAGAGTTTGGGATTCGTCATTGAATGAGAGAGAGAAAGAGAGCAAGAAAGTGGTGTCGACTGGATAGACACCGCAGACATGAAAGCATTTGCGACCGTTACTTAATGACACGAAATTGTAATTGACTGCCTTTTTGGGAAATAAAGTTGCCTAATTAGGGCATAGTGTTGCATAGGTCACACTTTAGAACACATTTTCAGTGCATTTGCAGTGGGAATAAATGCCTTCATGCCTGCAGTGTATTGCCGCGAGGGAGCGCTTACTTCAGCATTATGTAAGCTGGTGAAAACCCTTTTCCGGTACGTGATCGCACACTTACGTAACCGATCGCAAATTCATATAGGTACATACGCCTTATAGTATCAAGACCCCCCAAACTCCCGAAGAAAGGCTGTCAAGGAGCCTGGATCCTGTTTTACCTTGCGACGGCAATGTCTCTCCCGGGTCACAATGGTGATACGATCTTACGATCATTTGGCTCAATCTGTACTTATTTGTCTTGAAAAAGAGTTTTTTGAGGTTCGCATTCGTTTACCGAACTTGTCGTGAACAGGCCATGTTCTTAACCCTAGGGCATACCGCATGAAACAGTGACTTGTACCGGGATCGACGCGCGATTCGCCCGCCATGTTGCGACTTCTCCCTTCCAAGAGACGGCGACGAATGCCAGCCTTTCATCTCCAGTGGCGCCGAGCCTCAGGATAATGATCAGATACAGTGGCTAGCTCATGAGTGAGAAGGATGATATGTCTTTGAGAACGTGGACCAACGAGGCGAGCGGTTGTGGCGAGTGAGCTCGCACGAGAAGCGCAGGGGTATCTGTTTGCCGCTAATATACGGCCACATAGTCCGGCCTTGTTCAGCCATGCGCTGGAAGTTGACCGCTGGCACTGACCGCTCGCTTGACACGACTTACCCTCGGACCAAACTGGAATCCAACGACGGTGAGAAGATACATTTGCTTGTCCACGGCGCGTAGACGTGTTCGCGGTGAATGGTGCGACAGTCGAGGGGACTTTTGACGAAGCTATACAATGCTGGCATTGAACATGGAGATACGAAGGATGGTGGTAAGGGAAGACGGGACGTGTCGCGGTGCCATGCACTGACGGGTTGGTCACGCGACCGCGTCAGACATGCATGCCTTTCTGAGAATATGACCCACGCACTGCACAGGGGACGATGAAGAGACTGAAATCGATGTGACACAATGAGAGCTTGTATCCCTCGCTGTGCTTCACGGCCAAGGGAAACACATAGTTTGCTCACCATTCAGCCTCGGCTCAAGTAGCTCCAAGCCAGCCCTCCGAGAGGACTATCCCTACGTTGCTGGTCAATCGTTATTCACCGTGGGGCGTGGCATCCATTCATATATTCATATAATTGATTCCTGAAACTTCGTTAGTGGTCAGGTAAATTTATGGCCTCTCTCAGATCGATGCTCAGTATCGATGCACCGTGACCACTTTACCTTCAGACAGTGACTTTGATGTCGGCAGCAATGCTGCTCATAGATTCCACCATAGCGTAAATATCACGATGATAGAGCCTCCCAGGATATTTCATGTGCAAATTCGGATACCAAAGATGCTGCTTACTTCACGAATCCTTGCTAGAGATTTGACGCCACATTACTCCGGCAAATGCCGGCGGAACGCGAAGTTGTCATAGACAAATTTTTGCGTGGCCTCCTGAGCGCTGGCGCAACCTCTGTCGTCAACCTCTTTGTTGACCTCCTCTTGCAGACGGCCGACACACCACACTCAAGGATTCTACCTCGCTATGGATGAACAGCCTCGCGACGTCGTGATGTCTGCTCCGAGCGAAGCCGAAGCTCCTACCGGAGGCCATCCTACCGACGCTGCTCCTGCGGCGACAAACAATGCAGATTACGTGCGCGGCGGATCTACCGTCGCGGACAGCGCAGAGGCTGTCTCTGGGGCTAAGTCCGACTCAGGCTATCATGGCGATAAACAAGTCAAGGTGCTTACCCGCTATTTTTTCCGCATTCTCTCACATCGCTAGCGCCTCTTATGCTTGCTGTCTGTTCTATCTGAACGCGCCTTGCTGCACTCCATACTAGCGCCTACGGCTCGCCAGGCCTTTCCTGATCGCTGTTATGCGTGGTGGTAACCCTGTTGGGCCGCTCAACCGTTCAACCTGATCAGCTATGGCGGTATTGTTCATCATGACGACTTCTTTGTGCATAAGTCCTCGCAGGCTCCCACCATGCGTATTAGTCGTCTTTAGTCTTGCCTGCCTACTCCACGGTTTTCTTGCTGCTTGCTTAGAGTCTTGCTTTGATCGAACTGATTAATTGCTCACGCACTCCCTCGTGTTTCCTTGATTCTGGTGGACTGGGTGTTCACTCTTCTGCCGTGCAGCCCAATAAAGTCTACATCGGTGGTCTCCCTGAACACACGCGCAAGGAAGACTTGGAGAGTTGTTTCGGCAAGATTGGCAACATCGTAAACATCGAGTTAAAGTAAGTGAACTCCGTGATTAGTTCAATCCAGAGGCGCTGACCGACAAACTGCCATGTGATCCAGAGTTGGCTATGGTTTCGTGGTATGTGATGGTGCCAGACGTCCTTGACTCGATTACTCACAGGCTGTTGTGTTAGGAATTTGACAATCGCGAAGCCGCGGAGGAAAGTGTAGCCAAATACAACGAAGGCTATTTCATGGGCAACAAGATCCGCGTTGAGTTGTCCCACGGCCGTGGCCGAACCGCCAAATACAGTAATGATCCTGGTGCATGCTTCAAATGTGGCCAGATGGGCCATTGGGCTAGGTATGTCCTTATTGGCGCGAACGTCCTACCGCTCATGGGTTGTGCACACAGAGAATGTCCCAATCACACGATAGATGGGTAAGCTCCTTAGGTACAGTCACTCGCATCACATTACTCACATTCTATAACAGACATCGTCGTCCCGGCCCCCCTAGTGATGCGCCTCTGATTGACCGGATTCAGCCTCCACGAGACTATGTACCGCCGCCGCGAGACTATCCTCCTGCACCGTATCGCGAGGACTACCGCTATATACCACCTCCGAGGGATGCCCGCTATCCCTATGACTACCCTCCTTCTGGGCGTGACTATAGGCGACCGCCCTCTCCACCTAGGGATTATCGCGACTACCCACTTCCTGTGCGTCCACCTCGTGAATATGACGACTACAGGATGAGGCCGCCTCCGCCCCCTACCCTTTCTACCGTTTCTCGCTATGAGTCCCGTCCCGGATACTATCCGCCTGAGGGTGATGCGCCGCCGCCTCCGCCGCCTAGCTATCGATATGGACCTCCTCCTCGAGACTACTACGACCGCTATGATAGAAGGACTGTCCCATCGACCGATCGTTACGCTGCGTACCCTCCGCCTCCGCCTTCCACTAGGTCTCGAACACCACCTGGCGGCCCTCCCCCGCCGCGTGCCCGCGATGACTTTGACAGGCTACCTGCTCGGTATGAAACGTCGAGTGTCTCATTTGAATAACGACTCTCATCGTTCTATCATCTTTACAGTGACTACGTGGCACCTCCTGTGGAAGGACGAGGCAGACCTGCGACTCCTCCCCCATCGTCCCGATATGCCGATTACCCTCCTGCTCGTGGTGCCAGTCCTGAGGGTCCTACTAGGTATCGGTGCGTCGCCCATAGTTGTCCTAAGGAGGCTCATCTGACTCACTTGTACAGTAGACGGCGCTCGCAGAGTCCCCCACCTCGGTCGGCTGCTGGTGGCTATGATGCACCGTATACGGGAGGTTCTGGCGGCGCGCCTTATACCGGTGGCTCTTCGGGCAGCTTCTCAGGCAATGGCTACGCCAACGGTGGCTCTGCTTCTAGAGGTTCTGGCGCAAGAGACTATCCCCCGCGTGGCGGGCGTGATGCTGGGGAACCGGGCTCTGGCTACAGCAGGCGTCCGTGAAGGATGCAATCTGATCAGAGCTGTCTACTAGTATTAATCTATTTTCGTTGCCTGTCGATGCTGAATGATCTTCTTTGTGTACTCGCCAAAATATCTCCTACGCTCCGCTTCTCCGGCGCCTGCTCTTCGTTCTACGCGTTCATCCGCTTGCTGCGTCAACCTCTCTTGCCGGCATCATCTGCTTCGGGCCGGTATGTATAAAGTACTGTACAGCGACTTTCTTGCGTATCTGTATGGAAGCGTGATAATGCTATGACGTTCCAGATGAATACCGGGCTGTCCATTTTGTTGAAGGCTTCTCGATCGGTAAGAGACGTCAGGCTGCTGTGCACTGAAGCCCACTATCTCGACACGACAGCATGAGCAGAAAGCACACGATGTGGCTGGAGAGGAATGAGGATGGCCCGATGCACTGAGTTTGGTAGGAAATCGAGTCTAGTTAGACAGTCAGGCTCAGAGTTTAGATCTTGCCGTCGTAACCGAAAGCCTGCCATTCAGTGGCTTTTCAGTGCTGTCAATCGTGGAACCAGGCTTACAATAAACTGAGGCCGGGAAGAATAGGTGCAAATGTGGGTTACATCCATGCATTGTGTCCGGCTTCCTGACTATTGAACCTTGTTGGTTTGGTGGGATCCGTACAGTGGGTATTATTCAATTTTCATTGCCCTTTTGGAGCTAAAGCGGATGAGCTTCGCTTCTTCAGTGCAGAAACACACAACGATAGATTGCCACTATAGTCTATTGGTTTGACATTCACATTCTGACATATAGCTCTACCTGATATAGACACCACCGTAGGCGGACCGTCTCATCATTCCGAACGTTGCACAAGGAGTCATTCGGCCTCCTGCCAGGAGCGTGATCATTAGCAGCTTAGGCCGCCTAAAATCGTCATGACCGTACGAATAGATGACAATTAACGTGCTGTCGAAGTCGGAGGCGATGATCGGCTCCAAGTTTACGCGATGATACGATAGTGCCGATCGTTACCAGCTGCATAAGTCAGGTTTCATAAATGTGTATTCGTACCTCCATAGGCCATGCCAGCGGCATTACGAGAAACTTGTTCCATATTCGCATAGCGGGTTCACCCGGTAATTTATCGATTAGCTTGATTGCGAAGCGGCGTGGCTGCGCCACGTGTGACAGAGGACTGGAAACATGCCGTGAGTGCTCATTCATTTGTGTTTCCATCGAGAGTAGTAGTACTACATCTCTTTCTTGATAGATCAAGGAGGGAGATTGCCCTACTGATCGGCAAGGAATCTACCAGCACCAATTGACTGACTGTTGAGCAGTCCGCTCAAAAAGTTATATCTTCACGAAGGAATCAGGCGCACTAGCGGACACGACGTGTTGAATGAACCCGGTGTTTGCATAATGAGCTCATCGTGTGGGTCGGAAATAAGCCTCCTGTAGGTGACATCTGGAATGACTGATGCGGTGATGCTAGAATACAGGCATTATAAGGATGTGGTGGGTCTCTGAGGAGCACAAATGCACAATTTATATTTCTCGTACAGATGATCCTCTGGCTTGTCCTTGAATAGTCATCACAGCATAGGTGTTGCGTGCCACCTCATCCGTTTGCACTGGACGATATTGATCGTTTATGGAAAGGCTCTCAGCAATGACCAAGTGCACAGAAGGGTGGAACGTCCACCTTTTGGCACCGAGATAATGGCAGCCCGGCCGAAATTCTGTCGGACGCCTTCTTTCCCAATTGCGGCAGTCAAGTTACCTTGGCCTTGTCAACTCCGACGGATCTCGGAAATCTGATTTCTTGTCGTCTGCGACTTCTTGATCTGTATAGCTTCCACACTTCCGACTGGAACGGAAACGCTTGTAATCTTAGCCGCCTGCGGAGTGCGTGCTTGGACTAGGAAATTGGCTAACTGAACTATCCGTCACAGTCTGCACTCCGCGTTACAGTGTCGTTCAATGCTTTCCAATCAGCAATGATGATGTCTCATTCAAGTGAGACAGTTTCAGGCGTCCTGCTGTGGCGTTGTCCTGTACCGAAGCTCCGGTACTTGAGACCTCCCCTTGGTATCATCATAGACCATTCGATGACAAGTCCGGCCGGAGACGGATTGAATTGCTTTCCGCAATGATGCTTAACGCTGGGACGTCCGCTAGCGTCGAAGTATTGCATGAGTGTTGACGATAGAGCGTTGAGGCCATGCCGCAAGAGGTGCATCGGGTTGTCGACTTTCAAATAGTCGGTCGTGCAGCATGTTTTCACTTCCACTGAGTCGCAAAACCAGAACAGGACGATGAAAGGAAACAAATCCGATGTTTCATCATTCACGAAGTTAGTACTGCAATTTATTGCCTATAATGAAATCAGCGCATACGGGTTGGTAAATGCCAGATGAGGTGCTGGTCGGGAGCTCGATCGTGGATCTCAGATGTACGATGACTCACGTACATCTCCGAACGGGATCTCATCTGATGCCTCGTTTCCACATTGCGCGACAGATGTGCTGGCACCGCTTGACCTTGTGGATTATTTGTGTACGGAATATGTTTAAGCGGTTCGCAGACATGGGCTCCGCATTGACCCTCAAGGCCTCAAGGTAGCTCAAGGCCTCACCCCCATTGCATATTTTCTGCATGATGGAAACTGTAGTGAGAACGTCAGCCATCTCCATTCCTCAATGAATCGAGCGCTCATGCGATGCCATCCCAAGGATCGTGTTTCAAGGCAAAATCAAGAAAGGAAACTCTGTTGGTGGAAATTAAGGCGATGAATGGCGGCTGATAGGTGCCATGGTGCTGCTCTAAACAAGCGCGGTTCGAGTCTTTGACTCGGACTGCTGCGCTCAACACTCGACGCTCACTTCCGCGTTCACCCCATCGCCGCCCTAGTCTCCCGTGGGCAGACGAGACAATTCCTTCAACCTCCGCGGGCTCCGGATATCCTTGTCTGACGCCGCCCCGGCTTCGTGAGACGATGAGATTTACCTTCGACTTTGCGGCGCGACACGTCTGGTCGTCACTGCTCGCCGTGCGCTCAGTGGTGTCGCAACTTGGACTCTGAACGTTTTACAGAGGCTTGTGAAGTTACCGGACGTAGAGCTACGAGGAGAGCAGCCAACGTAGGTGGTTCTTCGTAAGCCAATTACCACATCGATTTTCCCGGCACAGGCTAGCACGGCTCTACAATGCATATCTCCGCAGGAAGCGGTTTGGTATCTATCCATTGCATGTTGCGAAAGCCCGAGATGGCCTTTCTCGGGGCCGATTTGCACAGCTCCCCGGAAGTGCACGCGGTGCATGCTATGAATGAGAACCATGTCTGACAGGGCGGTATGTGTACCTGTACACTCTGTTGAAATACAGCAGATGCATCGGGAGCCTCCATGCGCACATCAGGCCGCCCAAGAATGTGCGACTTGTCGTACAACGGATCGGTGAAAGGCCTCCACCTCCAGATGATGATCCGGGCAGAATATAGGATGCGTGTCTACTGTTTATGCTCACCGATCTTAGTTAGACCTTGGGTCGCTGCATGTGCGCATGGCAGCCTGGGAATGGTCATACTGTTTTGACGTGATGCTTTTGTTTACTCGGTGATTCTTGCGGAGGAATTAACACGGCTCTGGCGGAATCTGCTTCCAATCATGGGCCTCGATGCGTTCGTTTCCCGGGACTCGCCTACCTATCGTTGGGCGGGAATTAGGCCATGCTACGAAACAGGTCGAAACTCAATCGTCGGCTGCGCGACATTTATCAGATGTGTAGGACGAACAGCCTCTGACGAGAGCGCACTCAACAGGAGTGATTGTCTGCAAGAGGGCGCACCGTACCACCCGGACAGGGAGTTTCACTATTAGTGAGTTGATCGTCGACATCATACATAAGGAGAGACAAAGGCAGACGAGCGAACACCTCCACTTTCGAACGTGGTGTATCAAATCTCCGCCAACACCGTAAGCACCATGGGTCAGCATGCTTCTCTCTGCACTCCTCATGGTGAAACTGACGTTTCATTTGCCCGTGCTTAGTCATTGCTATAACTGCCAAACTGTCGCACTTCACGAGAGTATTTGGTCAAACAGAGGGACTCAGTCTCTCGTCGAGTGCGGCGCTCATTACACTGTTTCTGCTCGTCTTCCTGTACTTGCGCCGTGCAGCGACGACCCGAAAGGTGCCCCTTCCTCCAGGCCCACCAGGTATGTCAGGGTTAATATTTACGCGTGCTATGCGTTTATTTTTCCCAGGCTTGCCGTTCTTTGGTAACCTGTTTCAGCTCAACCACGAATCCTGGCATATCTTTACTGAATGGAAGAAGATCTATGGTAGGTGTCTTCAAGCTCAAGCAGGGTGTCGATCATGGTCTCATACACCCTAGGACCTATCGTTTATCTCAACATTGGCGGCCAGCCCGTGGTCGTCTTGAACACACACAAGGTTGCTGGTGACCTCCTCGATCGTCGTGCAATCAACTACTCAGTATGGTGCCACCTTACTGTCATCTCGTCATTACTAATCCCTTCGTAGGATCGTCCCCGTCTCGTCGTCGCTGGGGAAATCTTGACCAGAGGCATCATGCTTGGCCTCACGCGGTACGGAGATGTGTAAGCGTCCCTTGTATTCTGCTATTTCTACCGTCACTCATGCAGTTCTAGCTGGAGGCGGATGCGCCGCGCGTGTCATGAAGCGCTCAATCCCGGCGTTGCTAGTAATTACCACCAGTCTCAGCAGGCCGAGGCCGTCCTCCTTGCGTATGGAATCATGAAGCAGCCTGACCTATGGTTCCATCACCTTCGCAGGTGAGCGTACAAATAACTATATTTTCCTCATACTATTCTGATATCAACTTCACCGATAGAGTAGCCGCATCTACCATCACTTCCATGCTCTACGACATGCCGCCCCTGGAATCACCGACTGATCCGTCGATCGCCAATATCAACAACATGGCCGCAAGGATCACGAAATCTTCCTATCCAGTACGTGTCTTTGTACAAATGATAGCCGGTGAACTGACTAGTTCGCAGGGAACCCACCTCGTTGAATTCTTTACATTCTTGGAGTACCTGCCAAAGTCGCTCGCAAAATGGAAGAGAGAGGCGGACGAGTGGTACCAACGTTACACCGTCGGATTCGAGAAGTCCTACGAAGTGATTCATGACCGTGTGGTACGTCTACTTGTCCATGCTTTCCCAGCGAGTAGCTCAATCGTCTCTTGATCAGATGGCGGGGGAGGAGCAGCGACCGAGCTTCTGCGCGACTCTCGCAGAGACGCAGTCTCGTCACCATCTCTCCAATAAGGAGGCATCTTGGCTCGCAGCGACTATGTAGTACGTCACTAACTGTCCATTGGATGAGTCTTTGTGACGCTCAACGTTTATTTCAGCATCGCCGGGTCAGAGACGGTGAGCCGTCACACTACGGAATGCCATATGTACTGAATATATTCGCAGACCTCCAGCTGCTTGTCTTGGTTCATGCTGTGCATGATAGCTTTCCGTGACGCACAAGCCAAAGGTTGTCCTTTTGGTGACCTGCTCTGATTGTGTTGTTGATCTTCTTATTTTGGTTGCAGCGGCTAAAGAGATTGAGGAGGTCATCGGACATTCACGATTGCCTAGCTTTGCTGATTGGGATCATTTGTCAGTCTCTGATCTCGTACATCTCGGGTATGTACTGACACGTTTGCTTCGTGTATCGATTAAGGCCTTATGTTCGCGCTTTGCTCAAAGAAGTCTTGAGGTTCGTTGTTGCTAGGTGTTTCGCTCGTTGTCGTCTGCTTCTGATTTATCACCGGCAGATGGCACACTGTCGACCCTCTAGGGCTTCCTCACGCATCTGTTGAGGTAAGATCACTCCCAGTCGCTACTTCGTTCATACCTCACGGTACCCGCCGGCAGGATGACTATTATGAGGGATACTTCATTCCGAAGGGCACGATATGCATTCCCAACGTCTGGGCAATGAACAGGGATCCTGACATCTACGGCCCTAATGCACATCTGTTCAGGCCTGAGCGACATCTGGACGAACATAACCGCCTCAACCCCTCTCCTGCGGACACCAAAGACGAAGGCCACGTAACCTACGGCTTTGGGCGCAGGTGATCCGCGTTGCCATACTAGACTTGTACGAACCTAAGCTGATGTTGGTGTCAACGCAGGATCTGTGTAGGACGACATGTCGCTAACTACTCGCTCTTCATTGATATCGCTACCATTCTCTGGGCCCTCAAACTTGAGCCGGAGAGAGATGCCGAAGGCAACTACATCGAACCGGACGTTGTCAGCATTGTCAGTGACGGATTGGTCGTGTACGTCCCCTCGTGCGAAACATGCATGCGCCTTTGGATTTGACTTTCTTTTTCAGTCGACCAGCTCCCTTCAATATTGTTACCTCTCTTCGATTCCCCGAAGCCGAAAATATGCTAGCCAACACACGGGAGGAGATCCTGCAAGCCCATTCTTAACTTCGCTACCGTTGATGTGTCCCGACGTCTTGAACTCTAGTTTCTCGTAACATAACAATAAACTACAATGCACGTGCTGTAAGGCGGATACGTGATGGGTCAGTTTCCATAGATGCATATCTATAGCAGGCAGTGGTCGGCGCGCTGCATAATGTGCAACACGCATTACATGTGTGAACATTGCGGTCTGCGTGGATAATAAAATCAGTTCTCCACTCGGTTATGTGCAACCGTCGGACGGATGTTGCTACTCAACGTGATCAGCGTAAGGTTACACGTCCCAGACAAATGGGCGGTGCATCTTAATGCCACAATTTGAAGATACGGTCCCCGAGACTTTTCGCTTCATCAAAATAGGCAATCCTTTTATTAACGATCCAAGTGCATATAAATTTCCCAGATCTGTTCAACTTTCGGGTACTTATCCAGAAGGACAGGTAAGGGCCTTCACCACGACCGACTTTTGGCTCCGAACGCATATAGTTGATGCTGTCTCGAGACTTGATCTCGCCTCCCGGCATGAATGACAGCGTATAATAGAAACGCGACTCAGTAGAAACGCGACTCAGAAACAGAATGACCAAACAGGAAAGAAATCTAAAAACAAATAGCTGGGCAGGGATGATCTTTGTGGGGCCCCACAGACGCGCCATGGTGAAATTGAGCGATTTTTCACTGCGCTTTGCAAATTAGGGCTGCGTGGTTAGCGCCGCGGACCGTGGAAATAGTATCGTAGAAGTATCGGCTGCTCCAAGCCCCTGAAGTAGGACCAATTCCTGCTCATCGCAGGTCAATTGTCACACAATGCCGTAAGCAAGAGTGATGACAAGCCAAGTATTCTGTCCACTTGTTCGCGATCGACGTCGTTAATCGCTTTCGAATGTCGGCGGCGTGATCTCGTCATGTCCTGGTTTTTGCACCAAAGCGGGAGCATATTCCTTGGAGTAGCATAGCAGCGACGAATGACTGGGAAGGACCGCACATTGCGTTCTTCGAATAGCCAAGCAAGGGGGGAAGAGAACTATGACGTCCTCCGAGCCGCCTCGATGCTCCCGTGCGGCGCACTAGTTGTAGTGCATCCAGTGTAGATGGTATTTCGCGGAATGCATACCCGCCGCACACAATTACCTCGTAGTCATGCATGCCAACTCGAGCTTGGACTCGAGCTTGATCCAACAGCCGAGCTCCATGTTCCTCGTCGCACGGATCATGCATCATGGTTCATGAGGGGCGCAGGCACTGATATCAGTCTGATGGGGCCACATGAACATCGACATGGGAGACAGCCAGTATCCGAAGAGAAGTGGCAGAAAGAGGAAGGTGTACGCGGCACACGTTTCATGATGCATTGAGTGCGTTGAGTTCTATCTGCGATCGCGATCGGCGGTCATATGAAGATGAAATAGATATTTACCCGGAAACCAAGCTGGCGTTCGAGCATATTGTGGCTGTATGTAAGCTGCTGTAAGTGTTTTTTCTGGAGATGTATATGCCGTCGGAGGTTGACATCATATGCTGATGGCTGTCGTTTGTTTGTCCGATATCCTGCAAGCGATCGTGAATAGGATGATATTCGAATCCGGTACTGCTAGGTAAAGAACGCCGGGATGCACATACGGATCGCTCAAGATGCAATATGTCTGTGAAGCTTGCGTAAAAGAAACAGAAGTCGACGTAGCTTTGGAGAAATGATCGCAGAAGACCCCGTTGCTTAGGCAGCTTAGAACGTTCGTGTTCAAACAACCGGAGTTCGGACTTCAAAACGTGGGCACAAGTACGAGTGCGACAATCATGTTATAGGATTGCGTTGCCTCAGTATATCAATATTGACGCAGGACGAATGGTACTCCAACGAGCAAGACACAGGCTACCAGAGAATCACTGCAAGGCGTTGAGATGATCAGGCAAGAAGGGGTTGACGTTGATCTTGGGAGCGCAGCTCTCGTCCAGTCCATTCGCGGATATCGGGCTATCTTGGCCGCAGCATACGAAAGGAGTAGTATTATTGCACGATATGTCACAGGCTAGTGAAGCCATGCCGGTTCTGGATTTAAGAGATTCTCGGTTCGATATCTATTGGAGACGTTGACAATCGTCCCATGGAGGTGGCGGAACGTCGAGAACGTGGCATCGACCAGACAAATTCGCAATGCCGCAGAGATTGCGGTATGTGGTGCGATTTGAGGATACGCTGCACTGCGGAAATCCATGCGAGTCGGTGGAGATGGGGCGACACGTAATCAGGAAGTTATAATGAGTAGCGGAAGCTCAGGGAAAAGAGGAAAGGCTGCGCCGGTAGACTGGGCAACTGTCTCAACCTCGCATATGCAAAATGCCATTTCGTTCCTGTCCACTTCTTCCTGTGCCTATGTGAGTGAGCAGCAGACTCGAGCTGTGAATGTCTCCATCGAGTTGCTATAACCAGCCGGGCAGGAAGAACTGAGAAAGGAGGAAGACCCCGAGCGGGGGAGCTGCCTAATCGGGCTGCCACAGGGCGGGCGGGGCACACCAACCGCGCCGAAGATCTAAACGAGATCCGAGATCGGGACACGACTGGCCGCTGGTTCCACCAGACTCCCGCCACCGACAACAAATGGCCTCCCCTGCTCTTGTGCATGCTCCGCCTCTGCATAAGTGGCTCATCTCCTTTATCTCTCCTCATCCCCCATTTTCCCATTTTCCTTGCCCTTCGTGAACGCAGCGACAGAGGGCATGACGAGAAAGTTCATCGGCGCCGTGAAGGATGAGTGGCAACTGTACAGGTGCGACCGTTGCGAATCAGTCGGACCATCCAGAGTCTGACCGCGTTCGATAGCAACGACCCCGCCGATTACACCATCGGTGCGCCCATCGGCTTCGGGGCGTCGTCCACCGTCTATGCTGCTCAGTACCAGCCTGCGGCCACGCAGCAGCCCGTCCCATGTGCGCTCAAAGTACTCGATCTCGACCGCTTGCCGCCACACGCTTTGCGACTCTTGCAGCGCGAGACGCAGCTCATGTCGCTGTCCAAGCATCCAAATGTGCTCCGTGTCCGAGGAACGTGGATGAATGGCCATAAGCTGTACATCGCGATGCGACTCATGAACGCCGGGAGTGTCGTCGACGTGATGCGGTATGCGTGGCCCGGCGGCATGGAGGAGGAAGTTGTCAAATGCATACTGAAGCAGGCGCTGGAGGGACTCAAGTGCGTGTGATTCAACGTAGTAAACCCTGCTGATTGCGACTGACCTACGTGCCCCAGCTATCTCCACACGAACGGACTGATGCACCGCGACGTGAAGCCTGCCAACTTGCTGATCGATGACGATGGCACGGTCCTGCTCGGTGACCTCGGCGTTGCTGCATTCCTCTGGGATACAGAAGACACCCCTCCACCCTCGTACCACCATCACCCACATCAACATCAACATCACCATCACTTTCATCTTCATAATCAATCCCACCATTACTCACATCCGCACGGACATGTGTCTCCCAAACCCACTCTACGTGCCTCTCGTCCCGTCATATCGAAACGAAAGTCCTTCGTCGGAACACCCTGTTATATGGCTCCAGAGGTCATCAACGGTCGCGCATACGATGCCTCCGCCGACATCTGGTCTTTCGGCATCACCGCTTTGGCTCTAACCCAAGGTCGCGCCCCGCGTTCGCTCGTCTCTCCACAAACAGCGCTCCTCCAAACCGTCCGCGACGCCGCACCCACGCTCGACCGCACCTCGGGCGTATACACCTACTCCGGTGCACTGGCGGAGGCCATCGCCGCATGCCTCGAGAAGGACCCCACGAAGCGACCGACTGCGACAGAGCTGCTCGCGATGCCGCTGTTCCGCCGTGCGAAGCGGAGAAGCTACCTTGTGGGAAAGGTGTTGGAGGGCCTGCCGCCACTCGCGAGCAGGATGGAGCGGCGGAGGCTGCCGAGCGTGATGACTCGCGGGACGGTGGAGAGCTGGGACTTTGGTGGGAGTGTAGCGGCTAGTCCGACGACGAGCGTGTATAGCAGGAGGGTCTTCGCACATGATGAGGGAGAGGGAGAGAAGGTGGATGTTGGTGAGATGAAGGACAGTGAGAAGGCGATAAGGAGGAGCAACGCAGAGGTGTATATGCGGTCAAGTCGCTCGCACTCGCGCAATGCGTCCTGGATGGACAACGAAGATCGGCACAGCGTCAACTCGACACATACACACTCGCATCAGGAACAAATACACGCACATCCCGCACCCATCGCGGAAGTTGAGCTTTCTACAAGCTGCAGTTTTCCGAGCATCTCAGCCGAGTCTGAGTGCGAGTCGGAGATAGACTCGAAGCCATCGCACCTCAGAGCGACGTTGTCCATCCCACCCATCTCGCCACTCTCGTCGTCTCCCTCCAGTTCGTCCTACTCCTCCGCATCCGCGTCGAACGCAGCGTCTCCTCCCGTTCGTTCGCCCGCATCAGAGCGCGCGTCTCCTTTGGCAGAACCAAAGACCTCAGGCCGGCTTCGAAGGATCTTTTCGGGCAAGTACGACGGGGACAAGAACAACGAAAAGCAGAAGGCCAGACGTGGGTCCATGGGGAGCTGGACTGTGGAGAAGAATGATAAGGAGAAACTGCGGAGGAGTTGGTTGAACGAGAGGGACGCGCCTACTTCGTCTACTGGCGGTGCACATGGAGTGGGTGTGGTGCGCCGAAAGACGCTATCGAGACTTGTGCGGACGATCAGCGTGCCAACGGCGCCATCTGTGGATGGTGATGGTGAGTTTATGCGTCGAATGTGGGTGAGAATGAGCTGACGGATGTCGTTCTGCAGGTTTGCTACCCAAACCGAAAGTGAAGTAGTGCGGGCGCCTGTCTAGCGTGCCGCATGTGCTAATTTTGTATTTCTATTCTTTCACTTCGGTGCATTGTTCACATGCTATGGTACCTAATTGTATACCCACGACATTAATTGGTACACTAAGATCAAGTCTGATATGTAGTTCAGCTGGCAATGCACCTAATGAAGCTAGATGCTCAGCAAGACGCAATGTTAGACAAAGAACGCACTCGACTCATGTGCGTGGCAATGGCTGAGACATTTCCGGGTCAATATCTTTAGATGGCGCGAGTAAGTGGTGCGTGTAACTTCTCAACTATTACGCTTTAGCAGCGGTGGGAATTCTAAGAGTCGATCATGCTCAGGCTCAGTCGTTTGCAGTGGACGGATGCAGCAACGACCACATTCATCGCATAAATATGATAACACAGACAACATAGAGTCAAAGCATGAGCGACAGTAATTGGCGAGGCAGTAAAAACAGAATACCGGTCACAAACGATACCACATGATTTAAAACGGGAACGGAGGAACGAAGGTATCGTTGAAAACATTGATCAGACATGGGAAAGGGTCTCCTTCGGCCACCACAAGTCAACCAGCTTGCGGTCATCTCCAGCTTGTATCAGACCGTCAGGCTTGCCAGGCCAATCGAGTGACTCATTGCGCGCTGCAGGATAGCGTACCTGACCGGCTTTACCCGCCCAATCATAGTCGATGATCTTGATCTGCGGTTCTCCATCCGTGATCCTCACCATGATGTTGTTCGACCTAAGGTCACCATGTACGAGATTCTCTTCCTTGAGCAAATCGAGAGCACGTTGCAATGAGGCGTAGATAGCTTGATGGAACGGACGGGATGAATCGCGTCTCAACAAGTCGAATAAGGATCTCCAATTCTCATCCAAGTACTCCATGACGTAGGCAGCGGGAGCACCTTCGGGACGTGCATACCCATAGAGGGCAGGCGCAAGGTTGTGGCGAGCCAGCAATTGATGTACTTCTTCACCGTAGGAATCATTGACAAGCTTGACCACAACAGAAATCTGCGGGTTCTCCGATGCAGAGGTGGACAACACTGCCGTGAACAGCAACCGGCCACCATGAAGGGCCGCAAGAGGCTCTTTGAAGGTGAGGGTTCCCTCGCTTGTGTTCCCAGCATACAACGTGCAGGATGGGTAGATCCGAGGGGTGCCAGCAGGGAATGGTGGTGCTGCAATGCTTGACCTAGCCAGCCTATAGAACGAAGTTGAAGGTGATTCCGCAATAGTATCGTTGTAATGGGCAACGTACTTCTTCAGCTCGGACATCCCTTTGGCCAGTGCATACAGCAACGTTTCAAGCCGCTGCTGCCGGCTACCGGTAAAGTCTTCTAGCATAAAACACGATGGACCTAACGGTTCCACCATAACCCGCTCTCCATCTGCAAAACCACCCAATATGGACAGTATAGGTCCTGTTTAGCGATGGTCAGACATCCCAGTAAAACTACGCAGATCCACCCCAAAGTACATACCTAACAGGCATACAAGAAATATTGGGGCGCCCTGCTCCAAGTATCGGGCTGACGCCGACATATTGTCTCTCAAGCTTTTGACTGCAAGATCGTAGCAGCGTGCTACGTACAGATAGATGTCGTAACCCGTTTGTCCCGCCTCATAGTTGTCCTTACATAAGCAGATTGGCACGCCGTTGGGCCCGAACCACACTAGATCCACCTGGCAGCTGGAGACATCCGAAGATGGATTGAACGACTGATTAGGCACTGCACCAGGAAGCAGTTCCTGAACACATTCGTCAAAATATTCTGAGCGTTCGCCCTGGCTGTAAAACGCGTCTCCCATTTCCCTGCACAACATTGCGGTGGCACGGATGGAGGCACCCGCGACACGCTTATTGTGTCTGTTGGTGGCTGATGGTGGTGGAAGCGGTTCATGAAGTCGGACTAGAAAACGGCGGAAAACATCGTGAAGGGTGCATATCGGAAGACCTCTGTTGTCAGTGGGACGCAGACAGAAGATACCGGCACTTGAGGATTGTACAGTTGGCCATACACTCGGTCTGGCGAACTCCGATGGCGGAGGGAGGGAGTTGAGCACTCGCTTGAATAGACGAGAGAACTTTTCAAATTCGGCATTGGCACGTTCAAGTGATAGCTCTATCAAGTGTGTTAGAACTGGAGACGTGAAGAAAAGACAGCAGATTTACTTGTTTGATGCGGGTAATTGGCCGGGATGTCTATACGTAAATCCAACACCATCTGCATTGCCTTGCCAAACCTCTTCTCTCCAGCGATAGCATCCTTCAACACCAGCTCCCAACAGTGAATTGTGCCTTCGGCCTCGGTCGTATTAACATGGAGTTTCTGTAGCAATGTGAACGTGGCAGCTAAGGATATGATCGTGTCTTGAAGTTGAATCGCGAGAGCTGAAGCCTCTTCCTCGGCCTCCTGATAAAGTGTCTTGCGGCGTTTGGGGGATGACTCCAAGGCCGCATCGCTGGGACGTTTGGAGGTCTGTGACTGAGCATCTTGCGGAGCACCATGCATTGGTATGGTTGACATGGTGGCAATCCCAGTTGAGAAAAAACAACAAACGTCCGGGAACCGACAAAATAATTCAGTCTGCTCTGCACCTGTCAGAGGGGCTGGGGTAAGGTTACTCGGCGCCGTGGCCACTGGGCTCCTCCGCTGCCTCGTGGGAGTCGTGGCGGTGGCGCAAAGGTCGGATTGGCGAGGTTTCTTGTCTCCCCTAGGCAGACCTATAAAATCGTCTTTTCTGAGGAAGCGACGAAAGACGATATTAAGGCGGGTTTCGCGTTCGAATACGATTTCGAGGCATGCATTATACAAGCTTATTCTGTATTTGACCTGTACATCCCAAGGTATCCAAGCAATGGGATCGGAACAACTACAGCAGATACCTACACGAATCATAACAGACCCGCGACCACAAAACAACAGGAAAAAGGGGATAATATGACAACAAGAGGCAGATAGCCAAAAGCGCACGGAAATGAGTACGCCATGTATGTATGTCTCAAGTCCATACACTTGAGTATCGATGATGTTTTACCAGAACAGAACCCATGCACCGACAAGGATGCCGATCAACACGCCAATCGCCCGCAACACAAGCACGACGACGAGTGCCTTGCGCACCGCCGCATAGAACGTCGTGAGCGCAGAACCCGTCCAGTTGATCCTGCAGCAAAGTATTGCTCAAACTTTTGTCGCGTATCACTGTTCTAGAAACAACTCACCTGCGATCATTCGTCCCGCCCGCCCGAACACTCGCTTCCCATCCGCGCATTACCGCCCGATAGCGCTTGCCAAACACCCAGATCCAGAAATTCACGTCCGGATACGAGAAGCGCGGGAACACGCTCGTCAGGCTCGGCGCCACCACCGGGATGCGAAGCATCTCGAGAAGCTCAGCGTCCGGTGGAAGCAGCGCACTCGCGTTCACTACCGGTCCGTCCTCTTCCTCCTTCTCTACCATCTTGCCCTTCGCCTTCTCGCTATCAGCTTTCTCAATTCGGGGAACAGAGGGAATAGCAGACGCTGGCACGGCCATGTGGGCAAGCAAGTCAAGCGTCATGCCCAGCGAGAGGCCCCAGAGCTTCAGCTCCTCGTCGGTATTCGACCGCCGACGCAGCTTGTTCAAGGAAGGTTGCCTCCTTAAGACACCACCTAATGTGCCAGCAAATCCATTCTCGACATGTGCGCGCTTCGCGTCGATTGCCTTGCGTTCCTTCTCACTTTCACTCGAGTAAGCCAAATCAGCAGAGGCCGCTGAGGAGGATGGCGAAATGATAATTGCTGGGAACTGCATGCTCCCAATGAGGAGACGCATTAGCAGACGGAGCATCGCGGAGTGTCGTGGAGCAAGACGCGAGGATGCGTCAACGGTGACGTGCGACCAGCGAGGATGCTTCGACTTGGTTCGCCTATGAGCACCGCTGGACAGAGGGTACGGAAGAAGCTCGGTAAGAGGCACCCAGTGAAGCGTCGTGCCGGGTGCAGGATCGACAGGTGTGGTATATGGAGTAAGCTGTAGGAAGACGAACGGAGAGAGAATCATGAGAAGGCGCTTGCCGAGAGAGGTTGTCACCTCGCGATCATCAAGCTGGCCGATGGGAGTATACGCAGATTCGGCTAGGTCGAGGCCTATCTCTTCCCATGTCTGGCGCATAGCTGCGTGTGGAGGTCACGACGCTGGCTCTTAGACGTTAGATGAATACACGCACCTGTGTACATACCACCCTCGTCGCCCTCCTCGGTCTTGCCTCCAGGGAACGCGACGTGAGCCTCTCGCGTGCGCGGACCACTGCCGCTCATACGACCCGCGTCGGCAGACAACTCAGGTCTGTCCCTGCGCAAGAAAAGTATTTCTGGCTGAGCCCCGAGTGCATTAATCCAGTCAAGCTGGAAGAACTCGGTCAGGGAGGAGGCTGGGGCAAGCGCAGGCGAGCCAGGCTGGGACCCAGTGTTTTGAGGATTGATAGTATAGGAGGGAGGTGGTGAGACACGTATGATGAGCGCAACGGCTGCTCGGCGAGGCTCTGCATGGGGAAATGTGGGGAAGATGATTAACAGCGGTCGATGTGGGGAAAGAGATTACTGACGTGTTGCGGGGGAGGCTATAACTCTCGGCGGGGTCGAGCGAATATGATGAAGGGCCCGAGAGAGCAAGGGAACGATAGACGGCTCTGCAACGAAAATCAGTCGCGCTCGTCGTCGACGACGTCGACGACATACCATGCAGGTCGGCCATGGTTAGTGAAGGCGGGACGAGGAGAGGCAGCGAGCAACTTTGGTCGAGGAGGGTTCGGAGGTTCTCGGCAAGGCGGCATTGGCCCGGCTGCATGTTCACCCGCAAAATACAATTCGTTGGGGAAATGACATCACCTCCTCCTCTGCATTAGACGCTACATCATTAATAATCCCGCTATGGCTTTATCTCCTGCTTCATCCATCACTCTTCCCAGAAAGCACTCGTAACGCCGAGGGAGGATTCAGTTCCCATTCGGAGTCGGTCTAGATTATCGACAATTAATGTCTTTGACGTGGATTTGAATGCCTGTAATTCTGAGCTACCTCAAGCCTATGTAATGCGACTCGCTTCTCTCTCAGCCTTGGGTCTGTTTCACCCGGAGTGGTGGATCAAGGTCTCCATCAAGACTACATTCCACATTCTGTCACTATGTACGCGGCTTGAAGCATCAAGGTGTATCTACTGCCTTCAAGTTGCAAACGTCGTTGTGGCCCCATCACGCGAGATCCAATCTCGGCGTCTCGGCGTCTCGGCCCTGCACATGACCTCGGGCGCCTCCTTCAGTGGCATACTTTGCTCCTCAATTCTGTGCCAATGACCAGATACACCAATCTCGGTCGCAAGCGGACGTATGTGCAGGCTGGTCTTAACTACAGAGATGATATAGGTGCTCTGGAAGACGGTCATGGCGACAAAGAGCGCACGAATGCGCCGGGTGCAGAGGAAGCCACTATAGACGATTCAAATGGTGCGCTAAAGGGAAAGCAGCGTGAAGGAGACGATCCAGCCATGAGGAAGGCCAAACGACAAAAGCTTGCTGAATCCGCGAATGCATCTGCTCAAGATGCTGCGACAGAGGAAATCAGCGCGGCGGGCACTACTTCTGTCATTGAAGTCGGCAGTGCGAAGGCGGCTACTAAAGACACGAAGAAGAGGCAGAACAAGAAACGTTCGAAAGGTAAGCCTTTCACGAGTTCATCACACGCCTTTCAGAGAACTCGGTCTTAATTTATTCTCTTGTCGCAGATGCTGAGGCACGCAAAGAGGCATCCGAGCGACGGCGATTGAAGCGTCGGGCCGATCTAACAGCGGACATAGTGTGTTTCGCCTGTCGAGAAAAGGGTCATGCTGCAAGAGACTGCACCAAGGCTATTTCTCTTGCTGGGAAGCTTGACGAAGAGGACACAGGACACGGAAGGTCTGGCATTAAGACAGGAAGAAACGCGGTTGGTATTTGCTATAGGTATGTATGCGCCGGTCATCGAGGCATACCTGCATATTGACCACCCGTCATAGATGCGGTTCCCGGAGACATAATCTCTCAAGATGCAAGCATGCACCAGATCCGTCCAATCCCCTGCCATTTGCATCTTGCTTCGTGTGCTCCGGAAAGGGCCATTTAGCATCTACTTGTCCGCAAAACCAGTCTAAGGGTGTCTATCCAAACGGCGGATGCTGTAAGCTCTGCGGAGAGACGACACACTTGGCTAAGGATTGCGCACTACGGAAAAATGGTTTGTTCAGACGTTCACCTCCCCGTCCCTGCTCGTTGAATATTAACACATCTGCAGAAGTAGCAGCCGCAACGGTGTTCCTCGGCACAGGAAATGGTGCCGGTGCCGATGAAGACGATTTCCACACCTTCAAGCGGAAGAATAGCGAGATTGACAAATCAGAGAAGGTGGAAGAGCGTTTGAAGAAACAGGCCAAGATCAAAGTCGGCGCGCATTCGGGCGTGGTGAAGTCGTTCGGGAAGGTGCCTGTTGCTGAAACGAAGAAGGTGGTATACTTCTGAAAGACGTCTGTTCTTGCCTATCAGTATTTCGTCGTACCGATGAACTGCAATACCCTATTGTCTTTTACATATTGTCTTTTATTTGGTATGGATACATTGCAGGCAACCGTTGGGCTACTCGAAAGTCTGTCTCTGGCATGTTGGAGATTTGGACAATCCTTGCAAAGCGCGGAAACACTTGGGACACAAAACGAGCATGCAGGATTACCCTTAGTGCGACAACTCAGAGCACACTTGACTTTTCACAGCATGGTCGACAAAAGTACGGCAACGACTCGTCTAATAAGCAATATCTTCTACCGATCCAGAGCATAAACATCCAGAGCATGATGATAACTAAATACATGTAGATCATTGCCGTGCACCACCCGCACCGAATTGGCTCGCGCTGAAAAAAAAAATTGTCAGGAGGGCCACCAGCAGTGGTTGAGAGCAACTCACATGTCCCTCAAGGATGGATCAGACATGATCTCCGCCATTGACGGCATATTTCCTGACTGCACACTGTTCATCTGTACGACAACTGTATCAGTTCCGCCTCATTTCAGCAAGGCATACCAACGCGACCCACAAGATTTGCCAAGGCCGGGTTTTGCATCAGCCTCTCCACCCCTCCGTTCTGCATCAACTGCTGCGCCATCTGCATCGCAATCGGGTTGCTCATTATGCTCGCGAGGTCAGGCATGCCCCCGCCCGCACCGCTGCCGGACGCCAGGTTTCGCAACATATCTGCAGCGCTATCCTGGCCAGCACCAACGTCAGGACTTGCCGCTGCATCGCTCGATCCCGCCAGTGGAGGTAGCTGTTCGTCATCATCAGGCACCATGCGCGCTTCGGCGTTCTTCAGACCCGACTTGAGCGATGCGTTAGAGGGGTCGATCTCGAGACCGCGGCGGAATGCAGATGCAGCTTCTTTGAATTGGCCCAAACTGTAGTGTGCATGCCTAGAAACACGTCGTTTAGGTGAACTGATCATTACGGTTGGATATGACAAACGGACCCTAGGCGGTGAAAGGCCTTGACAAAGTTGGAGTCGACCTCAATAGCATGCTCTGCGTCCAGAACAGCTTCCTGATATGCATTCTTGCTGGAGTAGGCCGCAGCACGGTTGGAGTAGTACACAGGATTGGTAGGGTCGAGAGTGATCGCGTTTGTATACGATTCGATGGCTGCATCGTACTTCTTCGCCGACATGTGTGCGTTCCCTTCCGCTTTGAACTTGTCTGCCAGCTCTCTGTCGGTTGCGCTTATGTTGACTGGCGTAGGTGCAGGCGCAGCGGTCGCGGTCGCGGCCGGGGACGGCGCTGCGAGTTTGTCGCGAGTCTTCAGGAAGACGTCGAAGATGGACGGCAGCGTCGCCGGCTGCACGCTGAAACGTCCTCTTTGAGCCTCGTCGGACGGGTCGACATCGAAGGCCTCGCCGATGCATTGAACTGCAGGTTACGTCAATGGGGTTGTGAGATGAAAGAATGTTTAGACGAGGAACGCACTTGCCACCTCGAGGCTCTCCTTGTCGTCCTGCTTAACAGTGCCATCCTCAATGGAATGGTTCAGGAAGTCGATGATTGAGAGAACGAGCCGCTGCTTATTCGACATGGTGGTGCACAAGAGAGACACCTTTGGATTGTGGCCAACAATGATAGACGTGGAAATAAACGCGCGTCTGCAGTGCGCGTCAATCTTCAAGTTGCAACTTGTCTTCAACGCCCACAACACGGAACACGGACTGACCTGTGGCCTTTTACGCAATGTTTTTCTGCTCAATCTCAGGCGAGCCACCCCAGGATCCCGTCGTGTCGCAGAAGTCAGGTCATGTCTACGAGCGTAGGCTGATTTTGAAGTACATCACGGAGAATGGCACTGATCCTATAACGGGTGACAAGTTGGAGGAATCGGACCTCATTACCGTCAAAGCTAGTACGTATCCTGAAGTCTCGCTCACATTTTGTTTGGTGCTCATAATGTATCCTTCCCGCAGACCCGAAGGCGTCAGCTCCTCGTCCGCCATCTGCCACCTCGGTCCCTGCCCTACTCCATACCCTGCAAAATGAGTGGGATGCGCTCATGCTCGAGACTTTCTCGCTCAAGCAACAATACAACTCTCTGCGACAAGAGTTGAGCTACGCGCTCTATTCCCAGGACGCTGCTACGCGTGTCGTCGCGCGTCTCATTCGCGAGCGCGATGCTGCTCGAGAGTAAGTAATCACGTCGAAGTGCAGAATATTGACGTTAACGCTCGCTTGCTGCAGAGCGCTTGGAAGTGTGTCTGCCACGATGGGCGTCGCGCCAGCTGTGGCTGGTGGAGACGTTGAGATGGCAGAGGCGGGCCAGGAAACAGGTGTCCTCCCCGAGGCGGTCGCCAAGGAAATTGAGGAAACTCACCAAGTGCTCTCTGCGCAACGCAAGAAGCGCAAGGCGCCTGCTGGATATGTCACTCCAGCGGAAGTGAGGACATTCACAGCAAAACACACGATCCCTTCCCTGCACTCGCCCTCGCCGGCTGGTATCACGGCACTGGCTGTTTCGAGCAAGCATCCCTCTCAGTTCCTCACTGGCGGAAACGACAAAATCGTGCAGCTCTATGACCGTGACACAGACAAGGTGCTAGCATCGCTCAAGGGCCACTCAAAAAAGATTACGCATGTCGCCATTCGCGAGGAACTCGACGAGAGCGAGCCCATGCTCCTCATCTCTGCAAGTGCGGACAAGCTCTCGAAAATCTGGTCATATGACGCGTCCTCAAACGATTATATACCCCGCGCGACAATCCGCACGCACAAGGGCGAGCTTACAGGTCTTGCAGTTCATCCTACAAGCACGCTCGTTGCGATCGCGTCGGCAGATCACACGTATTCTCTTCATGATCTCACGAGCGGCACGCTCGTATATCGTTCAGCGGTCGCAGACGAGCCTTTCGCTTCCCTCGGCGTACATCCCGATGGCACCCTCGTTGCTGTCGGTACTCCTACCTCGACCATCCAGGTCTATGATATCCGCTCCGGAGATGTTGCTGCCACGCTTTCCCCTCCTGATAGCGCGCCGTTCACAGTCAAGACTCTCAGCTTCTCGGAGAACGGCTATCACATGCTTGCACCCGACTCTCTCTCATCAGTTGCAATATGGGACCTGCGCAAGCCGAAGATCGCCCATTCGATTGATCTTGGCGAGGGCTTCAAGGTGAATAAGGTGACCTACGATTTCAGTGCCCATCTGTTGGGTGTCGCGGGCAGCGAGGGTGTGCGGATCTACGCACACAAGACCTGGGAGGAACTAGTACGCTTTGAAGAGGGAGGAGAGGTCGCGGATTTGGTGTTCGGCGAGGCAGGAAAAGAGATTTGGGGAGCAAGCGGGCGTGAGGTCAGGATTTGGGGGTTGCCTGCGTAGATACTACTCTGTGCTCTTCCCGTGTTGTAATCTACCCGTGCTATAACCGATCGGCCGTTTGCTTGTACAGATTTTTATTGTCCCAGCGGTCACGTTACTTCCACCTTGCGACTGCCCCTCCTCGCTCGGCGGCGAGCTCGGACTCGATGTCCAACAGTCTTTTCAAGAGAATCAGTCTGCCAAAACGCGTACCAACGCCTAAACTCCCACGAAGACAGTTTCTACACACATCGACCTCTTGTCGCGCCGCTGTCTCCATCTCTCCTGCTGATGTCTGGAACTGGGAAGTCAAGGGCAGCGACCCTAGGGACGCCGTCGTCGCGAGCAAACTTGCAGATCTCAAACGGATATTGACTATCACTTCTTCCGGTCCATCCCGTGTATGGGGATGCTACGTCGACTTGCTCAACTTTCTCGGAAACGAGAAGTTGCCTTTGGAGGTTCATCGCTCCGTTCTGCGTAAATGCACGCCTTCTGCGCGAAAGCTACGCACCACGGCTCTACAGTTCGCTCCGGGGACACGGAGAATACCAGGAGTTCATCCCTTCGAAGCTCGCTTTCAGGCGATCATTCGAAGTATTCGTGCATCGAACCAGGTTCCTGACATTGAGGATTACCACTTCGTCTTGGATCAATTCGCTGCAGTGGGTCATCATCTGGGAGCGATGAAAGTCCTTGCAGAGATTACCGATGTTGGACTTCAGAAGGTCCCGAAAACGTACGGATTGTGTCTTCAAGCTCTCTGCCATCGCTTGACACTGCCATGTCCACAAGAACTACGACAGCACGTCGTCAAGGAAGTGACGCGTCTCTGTGTGGATATTCTGAACGAGATGTCTATGCACAATGTGCATATTACTTCTGCAAACATGGACCTGGTGATTCGAGTATTCGCGGCGACAGTGGACGAAGAAGGGTTCCGGAAATTGCTGACGTACGCGTACGGCGTTGATCCCTCGTTTCCAGACCGACCTCCTCTGGAGTACTGGGACAAGGGCCAAGACACTTCCATGAACTTACCTGTGGAGGGTGTAAGTTTCCCCCTCCTTAGTCCCCTACCATTATCTACCGAGGCCCTCAACGTAGTTTTGGACTTCTACGGTCAGCGAGAGTCGATCTCAAAAATGGTGCAGATGTTCGAAGTTCTCACCACGCCGCTTCCACCACATAGCCTGACGACATCGCCGCCATTCGACGAGGAAGACGAAGACGACTATGGCATTTCCAACCCTCGAGTTTCCTCTTACCAACCACCTCACGTACAGCCGAGTACGACCACATTCCTCTTGCTGCTGAAATGGGCGTCGAGGGCAGGATACTCCCATTTGTCGCGGCACTATATGCTCCACGCCATTCGATACGAGGAAGACGCAGATAGGCAGCTGCGCATGGACTGTGCCCGAAAGCCTCGTTCTGAGCTGGTGCGGCACAGGGTTGGGATCAATCGAAGCATCATGGTGGCGGTCTTCGGGGTGGCAAATCGGGAGAAGAACGTACAGTTAATGCGTCGGGTATTAGACAAGGCTACCTTGGTGATCAAGATGAAGGAGGGCCATATCAAGTATTATGCAAAGGTTCGAAGGAGATGGCAAGATGCCGACCAAGCTGCTGGTATAGTTATACAGGGCCAGGACTCGCAAATTGATGAGGCAGTCACTGAGCGGTCGGCCGTGCCAGAGCATGTACATGCGTCTGAAGAAGGCACTACAGCTACTGGTGCATTTTTTGGATGTCTTGCTCCTATTTATCATCAACTAATGCTGTGTTTGTTCTCTCTTCAGCTCGTACTCCAAAACTTGTTTCGTCGAAGCCCAAACCCTTTTCCAATAGCTTCTTCATCCCCTCGTCGACCGCTTCGCCATCGACAGAGGTTCCGCCAATGCCATATTTCGACGTTGACCTTGACGCCCCCGCGCGTCCCTCTTCTCCCACTCAAAAGCCCTTTGACATCGACACCCACTTGAAAGTCATACGGAAAGATCTACAGATGTTGAACGATTTCCGGATCCATGTAGCAGACGCTATAGGGCGTATCACGGAAAGAATCAAAGAACAGCTGGGCCGCAGGGTATGGGCGTCCAAGGACATTTATTTGCGCGACCAAGGCAGACGTGTTCTCATTACCAAGGAAGATTGGCAGCAAATAGCGGGCTTCCGTAGGGCAAGAGCGATGTCTCTCGGACGGCTGCGACTATCCTCGCCGAGTTTGCGGCCAGCTCACATCCGCCCTGGGTCGCTCGCTGCTAGTCGTGGATTAAAGACCTCAGCTTTCCATCCGCATACAGCCCCTTATAGTTTGCGGACTTGTGCATCATAGCATGACTCTCGATAACGCGAGTGATTGCTGCATTCGCAAAAGCCTTCTTCCGTACCTAAAGGACGACAGAGTCTGTTCAAGTTACCCCATCTAGGCTTTGTCATCTCTCATATTTACTGCACTCTGTGTCATATCTTCCCGTCTACATGCGGCCCGAGCGGGGAAGCTCTGCTTTGGTATCAATTCGTGCCATGAGATACAGGATCGTAGTACAGTCGCACAAGTAACAAAGTCGAAAGAGGAACGAAGCCCCGACTGTCCCTGCAGGTGTGAAGAAAGGGCAAGCAAGTGACTACAGCACAAGAAAATTTGGACGTGTACGATGCGAGCAGAGGCGTGCGCAAACGTTCATAATGATATAATAATGCTACAAAGGGGTAATCGAGGTGAATCGGAACAGTTCATGACCACGTTAAAGGACCAAACGAAGTATTCGTAGTAAGGAAGGGCATGCCGAGCGTGTCGTAGGTGTTTTGCCAGACAGTGTTTCCCCACCAGTTGATGGAGACACCGCCCTTGGGATACTGTAGACACCAGAAAATGAGGATGAGGGTGAGAGCGACGCCCGAGTCTAGTGCTGCTGAGAGGATGTAGTTGTAGCGCATCCACCAGCGGAAGTGGAAGCGGCGCATGAACCACTGGAAGAATGCGCCGACCATGACCCAGGAGGAGTAGTTGATTCCACTGGCGGGCGGCATCTGTCCGAGGCCGGCGAATAGCACGGGCGTGTTTACGTATCTCCAGATGGAGTACGGGTAGCGGCGGGCAAGAAGGTAGAATGGGATGGGCGCGAAGGCACCGATGAGGAAGAACCACAACATTGGGTTGTAACTAGACGGAAAAGTCATGATCAGACTACTTGAAGCAGCTGGTAAGAGACTGTAACTCACATTTGTCCGGGCGAGAAGAGGCGCTGCGGGCCAATACCGCCCCAGATGATCGATGCAGTTGCGAACGTGTCAACGTCCGGGCAGGTGAAGTAGTCCTTCTGATCTGCCTGGCAAAAGTCCGGGATATTCGCAAACTGCCATATCTGCACCCCGACGCAAACGAAACAGGTGATGACCGTTGCGAGGGTCTGCGCGACGAACAGCGTGCGCGGCGGGATCTTCATGTAGTGCCCGATCTTCATGTCGCTCGCGAGCGAAAGTGACTGCGTGACGGTGATGAAGCCGTACGTCTTGAAGAGCATCATTGCGACAGGCTTTCCCGGAACCATGTAGCCGACGAGCACTTCCATGATGACGTTGAGGGGCAGCAACTGGTTGGTGATGGCGCGGATCATGCCCACGGGGATAATGAAGACGACGGCGATGAGGATGCTAATAACGAAGGACCAGACGGGGAGGCCAGTGCCAAAGACCTCAATGCCGATGACGCCCAGGATGAAGGAGATGACGCCGAGGGACGCGTACCACCACCAAGGAACATCCGCGTAAACCATCATCAGGCGAGCGTGCACGTCACGCTCGTCCGTCAGTGCACGGCGAAGCTGGCGAGCAATGTCGTGCCTGTACCAGACTGTACTTGCACGATCAGAAGGAGTTCATCGTGAAGAATTGGCTAACGTACGGAAAGTGTGCACGAACACAGCCGAGATGGCCGCAAACTGGATGCCGTACGCAAGCGAGAAGGTCGTCGGGAGGAACATCGGGGAGTAGGCCCTGTACTTGACTTCGTCAAAGACGCCGTTTGTGATGATTTCCGAGATGTTGTAGGATGCTCCCGTATTGTCATACGCCCCAGCAGCAGAAATCGGCATGTACTTGGCGAAGAAGATGTTCTTGACTAGAGGATCATCAGTTTCACGAAAGAAGAAAGACCATGCTGGTACGTACAATACAAGATTGGGGCAAGGAACCAGAAGAAGAACACGAAACCAACCGCGATATTTGCTTCCGCCCACCACTGAAACAAAGTCAGTAATTGCTCAAAAGCCTTGTACTGGCCGCACTTACAGGAGTGACCAATGGACTGCCAATCCAGGATATCATCGACCAATCGAACGTAAGGAAGCCCATGCCGAGACCCGTCGAATAGCCGAACAACGCGTTGACCGTCGGGTTCTTCGGCGCAATCCAGCAGACCCAGTTGAACACGCTCAGTGCGGTGAAGATGTATCCTGGGAAGAAGTACCACACGGTGCTCGCAATGAACACGTAGAGGAAGAATCGCTCGCGCGACATGTGCCGCTTCTCCTTCTTGCCGAAGTTCTTGTGCAGCGTGTTCAACAGTGCGCAGGACACTAGCGCGCCCGGCCAGATCATGCTCGCGGGCCACACGAGGAACTGGCGCGTCATGCCTGCGAAGGAGTAGCCGAGCAGCTGTGTGGAAAGCGCGAGGAGGATCTGGTATGCAAAGGTGAGTGACTGGTTGAAGAATGCTTTTTGTGTCGCAAAGACGGTCGTGACATAGACATCGGAGTACACCGCACTGGCCATGATCGTGATGACGGTGTGCTCCTTGATGTTGAATGGCCCAGGGTTTAGCGACCAGACGTAGCCAAAGGTGTTGAAGCGCTTCGTGGGAAGGAGCCACTCCAGGAATTTGCCCAGCGGGAGAGCGATAAGCTGAACGACGAGGGCGCTGATAGCAAGGGATGGATCTGCGGATATTTTATTAGCGCGATAGAACACCATGCATTGGCATTGGTAATACTGACATCGCTCCTCAAAGAAATGATTTAGACCAGCTAAGATGAAAGAAAGAACAATTCCGAGAAACCACCTGCAAGGAGAGTCAGACATGAACTCAGGAAGAAAATATCACATTTACATTCGGAATGTGTTAACTGGCATCAACGGGTCGTCTATGTTAGATACTGCAGCACGAACTTCCGCATATGGAGATTCACTAGCGATGCACCGTCAGCGATCACTTGCCGATGGTGAGAAAATTAGCGCATTTTTACTCACTCGTTGAATTCCTCGATGTCTGCTTCTCGAAGATGAGCTCTTGATGATGAGCTCGTGGTCTTGTACGTCGAGTCCTTGTATGTCGAATCGTCTTGCGACTCGGTATCCAGCTCAGTGCTACGGAATGAGTACCCGCTTGAAGACGTCCTCTCAATTTTGTCATTGAGCTCGACAGAGCCGACGCTAGCGGTCGGCGAAGCCTGGTTGAGGTCCCAATTGGGATCATTTAGGTGCAGCTTGATGTAGCCGACATCTTCTGGGACATCGGGTACAGGGTTGCGTTGTCGCAGCATCTGAGGGAAAGGAAGAGAGAAAGAGCTGGACTTCGCCTCCATCCTTGACGAAGTAACAGACCGGAAAAGCGAAGGAGAAGGGGGGCTGCAGGGACGGAGGGGCTTTGAATGACCTGGACACAAAACATGGCCCCTTTCATAGTGGTCGGCTGTCTCCTAGAAGGCTGCTACGCGCGGTAGCTAATTGTTCATGAGTCCATTCCACATTTTTACTGGGTCCATGGTATACCAAAGAAGGATGGTATGCGATGTCAACGAACAATAAGAGAGACGTCCGATCCGATCGTAACAAGAAATTCGCCATGCACGGCGCCAGTTATACAGCTACCGCACAATCTGCGCCATATGGAGTGCGCAATACTGTCTTTCTGCGTCAGCACGCAGTTTCACTGTTATTCATCTTTCGTTAGTTAATTCCAGACATCTGTTTCGAATGATATCTGCGGCGCACCAGGGCGGCTGGGCAGGCCATGAGGCCGAGCAGACCATGCTTTGCAGCGTAAATTACATGCGAGGCACGGGCAAAGGAGTATTCTTGGCTATCAGTCTATTGTCTGTGGGCGAAACGGCGGGGCAGCGTGGGAGAGATGCACACACAATAAACACGCCCCGTGACCAGAGTGATGCACGTTATCTAATCTCGTTTGTTGACGCGTTGTTTGGGCAGGCGCCGAGGCCTTGCCGTGCCGATGGCGAGAGCACATTCTCATCGTCCCTATCGCTGACGAGCTTTACACCCTCAAACGCCTGCAATTGCGTTTTCACAGCGGCAGATGGCGCCAGCCACAGCCTATATCATGGGTGCATTCGCATCACGCCCTCTCAGACCCCTCGCGGAGCAATCCACCGAAGGCAATCATCACCATGTCTACAGCAACGCAGACAATTAGCCAAACTGCCAAAGAGGCGCTTCCCCATACGGTCAACGTGCGCTCTTCATCAGAACAGGCCAAGAACGACGGATCGAGCCAGCAGGAGGGATACCGATATGCGCATATGCTTCCGGTATTTCCTCAGGACGAACATTACCCGCCGCTGACTCCCTTCGAGCACCACGATCCTGGGGCTCGTGCCTTGAACCACCCGAACCCTCGTTCTTTCCTTGACAACGCTACCAGCGTTGTCCAATTGACTCCCCATCTGGGCGAGGAAGTGCGCGGAGTTAATCTCGCTGCGCTTGATAGCGATGGATTGGACCAACTTGCGCTCGAGGTCAGTCATCGATTGCCCGATTCAGTGTGCCACGCTGCATAGCCATACTCATTGTTCTCTTTCACAATAACTACATAGGTGGCCAGACGCGGCCTGGTGGCTTTCCGCGATCAGCAGGACTTCATAGACAGAGGTCCGGATTTCTATCTCGAGTTTGGCAGGCACTTCGGGCGACTTCACATCCATCCGACATCGGGACACCCTGCCAATTATCCGGAGTTCCACCTCGTATATCGCGACGCCAATACCACCTTCAACTTTGAGCGCGAGGACCGGATCAGCTCCACCGTCTGGCACTCGGACGTGTCCTACGAACTTCAGCCGCCTGGCCTGACCGCGCTCTTCCTCTTCTCGTCTCCCGAGACTGGAGGTGACACCGCGTACACGTCGCAGGTCGCCGCGCTCAAGCGTCTATCGCCCCAGTTCGTTGCGTTCCTCCGCACGCTCAAGGCGGTGCACTCCGGTGTCGAACAGGCGGAGTGGTCAAGGTCCGGAAAGAGAGGCGGCGTCGTACGACGTGAGCCGGTGGAGAACGTGCATCCAGTTGTCAGGAGGCACCCTGTGACTGGAGAAGAGGCGCTCTTCGTCAACAGGCAGTTCACGAGGCGCATTGTGGGCCTGAAGCGGGAGGAATCTGGTACGTCAATTGTACCTCTTGCAACGGAGTTCTTGCTAAACGATGGATGTTTTCAGACACGATTCTGAACTTCCTGTATGACCACATTGACAAGAGCGCTGACGTACAGGCACGCGTCAAGTGGGAGCCGTACACCATCGTCCTGTGGGACAATAGGGTTACAGCACACGTACGTCTCTCCATTGTTTGACTTCCCCGATGAAATTGACAACAATATACGACAGTCTGCCATCGTCGACTTTGCGAAAACCGGGGAACGCCGACACGGCGCTCGCATCACGCCTCAGGCGGAGCGGCCCATCCCGGCCCTGGAAGGCCTCGAATTATAATCCTACTCAATCTATGGCATCTGTCGGGCTGTACGTTTATGTACAGTAGACGAAAAGGACAGTGTACCACTACTACTAGCTGTATACTGTACACACATACCAATTGTCCCCACTCACCGGAAAAATCGTACGACGAAGAGATGTTCTCGGCCTGCTCGTCGTTGTAGCACTACCTGCGAGCACGTCATGAATTGCGCGATGGTAAGACGGAGAGAAGAGGCCACACCTCGCTGCGTAGACCGTGCTGCCGCTGCATGCGGGCTTGGATGCCCGGCACGTCGTTTTGCTTGACGGCGACGAGGTAGAACCGGCCTTTGGGCGAAAGCAAATCCTGTGTTCCAGGCATATGTCAGTGGAAAATCGGATGTGCAGAGCTCGACAGACTTACTTCGACATTGTCAAGGAGGACGTTCGTGACTTGCATGCCATCGAGGCCGCCCGCCCAGGAGCCTTCGATGTCAGCGCCGTGTTGGGCGTCGTGGGCCTCCTCGATGTAGGTCGGCACGTAGGGCGGGTTGAAAATCAGCACATCCACGGCGTGCCGTAGCCTAGACATGAAGGGCCCCGCCAAGGAGGCGAGAATGGGCTCGAGTGGAATCTACTATGGGTGTACATTTCTTGAGGAGATTATGATAACGGAGGGCGGTCGAGAGCTCACTTTGTTCTGTCGGCCGGTGAGCTTGATGCAGCGGCATGCGTGCGGGTTGATGTCCGTGCAGAGGTATACTGTAGGGATGGGAAGCAGCGTCAGAATTGAATATGGAGAGGGTTTTCAGACGCATACATGAGTTCGATGGCCCCAGGATGCTGCCCACGAAGCTGGACACACAGCCTGACCCTGAACTAGAGGTACCTTTAGCCTAGGCGATAGAGAAATGTACGGACACATGTACCCTATTTCAAGACATACAAGCGGACTCAAGGATCGCAGTTCGTTTGCGTCCTCTTCCAGCGCATCAAGAAGTATAAATGTGTCCTCTAAGTAACTAAAGTCAACAATCGCATTACAGCACGTTGCAATAGACATACCTGCGGGCTCATATACGTGCTCGTAGTCATCCTTCGTCAGATGCGAAAGGTCTGGAGTCGGTATCATCTCGCTGAAGGATGGCGTCGCCGCCAGATTGGGAGGATAAGTTTAGCACATCGCGCGTGCGCGTGCGCGCGGAATCACGATCGGAATGGGCGCCTATCACTGTATCCATCCAGAGCACACTGCCCGGCGCCCACAGCGCACAGCAAACAACCGCCATGACGGACCCCGGGGCTACGTACTACGCTGCGTTTGTGGCCTTGTCAATCTTTACATTGAAAGCGGTCAATGAAGAGGTTACAGAGCCTTACATGGTGCGTCGGCCGGCACGCATGCAGACCCTGTCCTGCTGATGTACACACGACGGTCTTCTAGGACGAGCCCTTCCACGTCCCGCAGGCGCAAGCGTATTGCGCGGGAGACTATTGGAAGCGGGATCCGAAGATCACCACTCCACCTGGACTGTAAGACCCACACTAGTCTCGACGTCAATTGCTGAGAACCGTCTGTAGCTACGTCCTCAGCCTGGTTCTTCGGAAGGTATTCATGTTAAAGTGCAACCTAGCTATGCTCCGGATTACACCCCTGCTCTCGCTACTTGTCCTTCCCATAGTTATGACACGCCTACTGTGTTACCACCAACGCGTGCGGCCTCCTCTCTCGCTGCTCACACCCACCACGGAGGCCGTCGTCCTCGCCAGCTTTCCAATCGCGTGGTTCTTCGGCTTCCTCTACTACACGGAGGTACCGAGCCTCGTGTTCGTCGTGGTGACCGTGGTCGCCGCCTCGCAGCGCAGACACTGGCTCGCAGCTCTGGTATGTTTCCGGCTCCGCTCGAGACACCGGACGCCCGCTGAGGCGAGACAAGAACGCTAGCTAGGCGCCGTGAGCTGCACTTTTCGCCAGAATAACATCGTCTGGGTGCTATATGCGTATGCATCCAGCCAGCTCATGTACTTGCGCTTCCGGCGTGTGCCCGAGAGCGCCAAGATGAAGGCCAGGCTGCATGACCCGGACGCGTTGGTGGCTAGCTCAGGTGGGTCTGCTGCGATGTATGGGCATGAAACGCCATTATACTAAGTTTAACTGCGCTGGAACTTGTAGGGGACGTGCTAAAGTTATTATGGAGCTTGTTCTATGTGATTCCGGACATCCTGCCCGCTTTCATACCATACGCGTTGGTCCTCGCAGGTTTTGGAGCCTTCGTGATATGGAACGGTGGTATCGTCCTAGGTAAGGGAAGCCTTCATCATGCGCAGTTACACGCTCATCTTCGATCCTGTGAACAGGGGACAAATCAAACCATGTGCCGGCTTTTCATATACCACAGGTGTACTATTTCGTGGCATTCTCCACCATCATCGGATGGCCTGCGTTATTATTGGGCCAAGATGGGGCGCGTGCTCTAGTGCAAGAGGTATGGACACGCATGTTCGGCAGCAGGAGGTTCGTACAATGTGGATCATGCATGGTGTGCAAAGAGGCTGACTATTCATTAGAAACGCCATTGTGACGGTAGTCGCTTCGCTCATCATGGGTGTGACGGTACGGAAGCTCACGTCAGTTGCCGCCGTAGCTTTGGAAAGTTGTTGCCTTTCTGATCATTGGAACCTGCACGCAGAATCCACCACCCATTCCTGCTCTCGGATAACCGACACTACACCTTCTATGTATGGCGTAGAATATTCCTTTTGCATCCTAGCGTGCCGTATCTCCTAATTCCCGGTTACATCGCGTGCGCGTGGGCCTGGTTCATCCGGATCGGTACGTGTCCTCCAGGGGCTCCTCGAGCGCATTCAATGCTGACCAGCTGACGTTGTCTTGCAGGTCGCGATCAAACCCTGTTGCAGAATCTCCTAGTGCCCTTGTTCGTGTTGCCCACGCTGATTCCTACTCCGCTGCTGGAGCCGCGCTACTTCCTCATCCCATATATACTGCTACGAGCGCAAGTGGTGGACGTCCCCCTGTGGGCGGCGCTGGTGGAGGGACTGTGGTACGGAGCGATCAACGGAGGGACGATGTATGTGTTCCTGCACAAGGAGCGGGCGGGCGTAGGGCGCTTCATGTGGTAGAGGCTTGTCAGAGCACATGGTCTCGTGACACGTGTTATTTACGCGATGTTTGTTGGGTTTATACCCGACGCGCTTGCAAGCGGCCCGTCCTGATGGGACTTGGGCGAATGATATAGCAACGACTCAACAACGACCCGCGCAGCGCCCACGCTCCCACCCACGACGTCCTCGTCACCATTTTAACGTATATAAATATTTCTGTTCGGTCTGAGCTTCCAGTCCTTACCCGAACGCCCCCACCATGTCCGTTCGAGCTCCTGCTGGCACCAACCCGCTGCCCACGAAACGGCCTGCGACACGGAGCACGCTTCGACAGTCCCTCAACCTCACCTCTGTAGGCAGGGCGCTTGCGGACGTGATGCATAAGTCTGATGGCAAGGATGGAGGAGGAGACAAGGAGAAAGGGGCGAAGAAGACAAAGGATGCGGCCTCGCGGCGCATGAGCGGGGTCGGGGTGCCCCGCGCACCATCTTGCTCTGCAACGGAGAAGTCGTTGCTCACGAAGCTGGATGAGGCGTCTCCGGACTCGAAGGCGAAGACGATCACCAAGCATTCGCGCCGGGTATCTGTAATGAAGAAAACGAGTGCGACGGATTCTGATGATACGTCGTCATCACCGTCAGGATTGGCGCCAAAGTCTACGATAACGCGGTCTTCGACCCTTCGGCCCAAGGCGACCAACGCTGGTACCGCGTTGCCCAAGTATAGGCCCAAGTCTATGCTTGTCAGCGCTGCGGCCACAAAGAAGCCTCCATCTCCTGCACCGCAGGATGCGAAGTCAGGTGCAGCCAAAGTGTCCGAGAAAGAGGCAAACGGTGGTCACAAGCGCAGTGCTACACTGGATATTCCTCCCTCGGGCGGAAAGCTTGGTCGCTCAGCTAGTCCGATACGTCGTCGGTCCGTGTTGAAGGTTAACCTTACAAAGGCCATCAATGTGCGCCCTCAGTCACCGGAAAAGAAAAGTAAGGCTACCACGCAAAAGCGATCACCATCACCTTCGTCTCAACCTACTTATGGAGCAGTCCCTCGCCCGTCGAAGACCGCGAAGACTACGAAGACGGCTACGGGCGTATCTACGGTACGGCAGACGGATCCTCATCTTCCCTCGTCAGCATCATCGTCAATGTCCTCCTTGCCCGGCACCTTCCGGAGCAGGTTGAAGAATATGTCAGCCAAATCGTCCTCGGGCTCATCCTCGGACCAGGGTAGCCAGAAGGAGAGTGCGCGCCCAAGCCCGCTACGTCATACTGTCGCGGCACCAGAGACGCCTCCTAGTCGCCGTACAGCACGAGAGATAGCTCAGGCGATCGCCGAGTCGGAGTCCACCCCCACTGCCCTGGACGTTACCGCTGCCGCTTCTGCTGCGGACGTTACGGAAGGCACGAGCACCGATAGCATTGACGATGTGGAGTTCATGCTATCCACTATTGCTTCGCCTTCGGGGCCGACTCCAATACTTCCTAGGCTCCGTCTACCGAGTATCAGAGAGGGCGGCGATCCGCATACGCCTTCTCGCCCATTCCTGCCCTCTCGCGCTAACCTCTCGTATCTCACTCCTGATCAACGTTCAACAAACGGCTCACCTTTCCTACGCCCCTTGCATATCCAGCAGGGAGTGGATCGCGGTTCGATCCTATCATGGGAGCAGCTGGCGAAGCACAGCAAGGCCCTGCAAGATGAGGACATAGATCATATGCTCTCCGAGATTCCTGCTCCTTTCCGTTTAGGCGCGATCTCCCCGAGCGTCAGCTTTAGCACTGACGCGATGCCTGAGAGCCCAAGTATCAGCTCGCTGCCTTCGCCCAGCGCGTATGGATCGATATCGCAGGTGCTGCTCCCAGATGTCACGCCATCGCCTGCCGTTCGCATCAGCGAGTTGCACTTCGATAATGCCGCCGCCGGCCCATCGCTCGAGGATGCTGCAGCCATTACGCGTCTACGCCTACAGCTCGCCTCGGTCGAGACGAAGGCGCAGGATCGGCTTGCAGAAATCGAGTCGCTTGAGAGTCAGCTGCAAACGGCGAAGGCAGCGCGCCTACGTGACGTGGAGGAGCTCGCGAAGCAGATCTCACAGCTCGAGGAGCAGGTGCACGGTAACCTCAACGTAGACAGCGAGCGCATGGAGTATATCAAGTCGTTGGAGGAGCAGCTACGGCAGGCACAGACTGCGCGCGAGCAGGCCGTACAGGAGGCGCTCCAACGCATGCAGGAGCGCGTCGAGGTGGCGCATGGTGCGACGCTGGCTAAGCAGCAGGGACGGTGGAAGCTGGCACTCTGTGCGCGCGATGCCGTCGGTGCGTGGAACTCTGTACGGGACCTGGCTGAGTGCGAGCTCGAGCGCGTACGCGCGGACAGGGAGATGCTCTCGGTGCTCTTGACTGGGCTTTACGTGGTCCACCCTGTTTGCTCAGTCGCATGAACAGAGTATGCACGCCTGTGAGTAAATTGCAACCGTTCACCTGCTATTTCCGTCTGAACCTCGTTGACATCATATAGCGTTGTCGACACTCATCAAGCATATTGCACTATTTGTATTTGTAATTTATAACGCCCCCTGCAGAAGTGCCTTGGATCATGAATATTCTACGCCACCTCCGATGTAGTCATGGGGCCTCATGCTATAAGGTATCTGCAGCATCGGACGACATATGTAGCATCAAAGGACTTGGAAGGTTCCGCACGACGCACGACGCACACCGCACAGCACGGAGATGGTGCAATCGCGTCGATGCGTTTTGTTAAATTACAATCAGCACAGCCCATGGGGTGGTCCAGGCAGGACAGGACAATCAGCTGCTTCGCACGCCATGCAAACTAACCATCATTAGGACACATATATACCAAGGAGGGTACGCAGGGTTGTAGCCACAGATGGTTCATCGAGGAGCTTGCACTGGCATGCAGCTACAGAAACGTCCGTACAGTCTGTAGGATGACATTTGGTGAACGTAGGTGGCGGCATTTGTTCTATGTAATTGCAAACCATTGTACATGTCGGACGAGAACCCAATTAATAGATCACTCAAATATTTAGTGAAGCCCAACGCACCGATCGATATGCGACGACAGCAACTACTCACAAGCACATCATCATCATGTAGGTGCGTCCCGAGAGGCCTGGTTCGTACGCGGCGGCGTGGAACCGGTTTGCAGCAATGACGCCATTTATGTATTATCCGCCTCTCCCGCTGACTATGTTTCTCTCTGGTCGTTATCAAGCGAGGATGTGCTGAACGACCTCGATCATACTGTAAACTACATACATCCTCTGCATATACCTATTTATACAACACGCATAGATTAAGATCCAGCTCAATGGACAGATCAGATAGGCTACATCCCAATACGTACAGGCAATGTGTCCCAAGAGTGGACGGACCAAAAGTCGTTGTCCACTATTCATATTGTTCAGTGGCTTCAATACAAGCATCCAACAAACAACCATGATTGTCGACTGGGCTCGCTTGATCTAGCCGACGTCTGACCGCATTCAAGATGACATCCCGCCTGTGCAAGCATCGTCAGGTACATTCACTACACGGTTTCAGCACTTACTCTATTCGACCGTATGCAACCTCTACATCGGTCACCAGTGAAGCAATCGATAATGGCCATCTTGATAATGTCTGCTCGCTAAATCTGAAAGAGATAGCTGCTTTGCCACGCGCGCTGGGAAATAGTACGGTTGCTTTCGCGACAAGGCCTGGGGGGCCTGCTTCCGTCTTCGGGTCGACCTCCACCGAGAGAGGGTACTTGACAGCCAAGAATGTGAATTGCGTTCGCAGCTGTGAACAGGACGACCAGAAATCGCTCAGCATCTCCACAATCTGCCGATGGAACAGATCAACGTATGCGTCTTCAGTGCGACAGCGAAATAATTTACCTGGCGAATGCTTATCTGTTTATCTGCGTTTGACACGATACGCTGAGCCATGCGCAATCCAAAGTCCGTGAAACGAGGGAATGAGTCCCGTTCTCTTGTCCGTACGTCCGCCATTCTGGTTACTGTGATTTTGAGAGGAATTGGCTCGTACGCCTTACAAGGAATCCTGATCAAATATCTTGATGCATAGATGGACTCGGCCAAATCTGCGGTGATTCGCGTCGCCTGCCAGAGGTGTAGATTCTGCAAAGCCTCCAGCTCATCTGGTCTTCTGTTCAGCAACAGATCGCATGTACTCGTGGATATTGGCAGAAATTTACCTCTTAGCCGCGACACGGTCACACTTGTGCTTTCCCTCTGAATGCGCAGCACGTGCTCGGTCTGTGAGATGGCAGCAGCAATCTCCTGCTTCTGCTGCTCAAGTTCGGCTTGTTTCTCCTCCATTCGTTGGAGCTTCGCTCTGTTTTCAGAGACGTCAGACCTGAAGAGCTCCAGTTCGTGGCTAAAAATCTCATTAGACGAATATGAAATGGATGAGCTGTAATGACCACGCACTCTTGCTCAGCGACGCTAGCCTTCAGGTCAGCCAGGAACTTTTGATCTGAATTGTCGATCTCTGCGATGTCGGCCTGTTCTTGTTCAAGCTCCGACATCACTTGAGCGAACTCCTCGCGCAGGTCAGGAAGCATTTCTTGTGCTTGTTTGATTACCTTTGCCAGCGCTTGTGCGTCCTGTGCATTGATGAGACGGCCGTGATTACCGAGGAAATAGCCAATCTCACAGTTTCCAAATTAGTGAATTCCTGCTGAGCTCTGCCGTACAATCGCTTCGTCCAGTCCATCTTCCATTCGTACCATTGAAACTTGGCGGTGCCGTAATTGTTGGCTTTGATTAACTTGAGCTGATGCTAAAAGAAATTGGTTACGCATGAAGGTCGGCAATTAAGCATCGGACACGTTACTTACCAGCAATATGCCCTTCTCTGTTTCATCCGCCTCGACGAAGTCTTTGAACAACTCGGGCGTGTCCTTCTCCGTCTCTTTCTCCACCTGCAGACAGATCTTCTTGCTCTCCTCAATCCATGCACTCAGGTCGTTGGCAACAGCCGTATACAGCTCCAGTCGGGGCAATTCAACTGCCATTGCAACAGAGAACTCGGCGAGCGGGATTTCATCCTCTTCATCATCAGCACTCGTTTCGATGGACGACCGCCGCCGCCCGCGAGAGCGAAGTTGTGGCGGGGGTACCACTGATTGCCGCGGTTTGGGCATCGTAAGTTCGTCCATGAAACGAATTCCAGTCATCGCGAAGAACTGTTCAATGGATATGGGAGGCTATAATGAGAAAGATCAGACTGCAGCACAATAAGAACAATGGTCATCCTACGTACGCCCTCGTCATCCGAGGCTGCATCCTCATCTTGCACCTCTTCCCGCCATTTTTCTGTTGCCGTAGAATGTCCTGATCTCTTCGGCGATATAACCTTTTCCGTTACAACACTCCCGGAATAGCCTGAAGATGATTGTGAAACAGGGATGCCGGTATGTCTAAGGTGCGTCGAGATCGAGGACATCGGGAACGGAACTGTGCTCGGTATACGAGGCGATACTCCATCTGCAAGAGCCTGGACAGGAGTGCTTGCAGGCGAGGCGACACGTGCTTTCCTAGGTGAAGGTGAGCCCCTTGTCGGCGTAGGTGAGGCAACCGCCTGTCGAGACGCTTCTCTTTCGCACGTGGCCGTCTCCTCGCGGTCCTGAAACATTGCTTGTAAAGGCGTCGGCGGAGTCTCGCGCACGATACGCTCGACATCTGGGTATAGCGGGGCATTATCCGCGATGTCGGCTCCCGGCGCACCCATCAAGTCCCAATCAGAATCAGGACTAGTCTGTGCTTGTTCAGGTTCCGCGCCTGGCATCGTGGGCTCCTTCGATGCATCCGGGTACACTGTTGCAGTTGCAACAACGATAGGGGCAGGAACATTGCTCGCGCCCATGCTCTTCCGTTGTGCGAAGTACCCCGACGGCCGTCGTACTGCACTTGAACGCCTAGCGGCCCTGTCCTGAGGTGTCCCTGCAACCTGCTGAGAGCTCTGCAGCTTGGCCACTGCCATGCGCTTGGAAGGACTAGGCCGCTGATCAGTACTCTCGTCTTCAGGCACCGGTCGCTTCATAGGCGATTTGCGGACAGATGGCGGTGCGAAGGCTGCGGTGCCCCTATGCATCCAGTGAGCAGCTGGAGACTGCGGCACACGAGCTGGACTGGCAGTAGCAACAGGACCATTGGTGGACGTCGAGGGTCTTGGTCGGCTGAAGGTGAACGGTTTGGGGACCGTCGGCAGCGGTACTTTAGAGGGCGAGCGATGAGGAGCGGGCGTCCTAACTTCAGGGTTATTGAACACTTTTGGCCGCACAGTTTCAGGTGCATGGAACACATGCTGTGTGGAATCTTGAGAGTCCGCTGAGGTTGTTGTCGTCGCTTCCGAGGCGGTTATCGTGGGCTGTGCGGGGCTTTCCGACGAGACAACCTCGGCTGAGGCTGGCGACTCTGCAACTACATTCGTCCTGCTAATGACCGCCGTGATGTCCATAGAAGACTCTTGACCGCCCAGACTGGCACGGAGTTTGGTTACATTGATCGTACGATTGCCATCATCGGAGTCAGCAAAGCTATTTTCTGTGCTGGTGAAGCTGTCTTCCTGAATGTCTGACCTCTCTGCCTCAGTGGCATTCTGATCATGTGCTCTCCCAGACAGGGAGATGAAGGCAGGTGGTAAAGGAGACATGCCGAGAGACGGGCGCGCCTCGAGGAGGCGACCCATGGCAACGGTCAATTCCATTGGCTCCCCTTCTGCTAGATCATATCGGATGGGCACGCCTGAGCCGTCGTCCTCGGAATCCTCGGGTGGTGGCTCATATGGTTCATCCCCGGAATGCGTCATGGCACGCAGCTGAAGCCACGCCTCACTGGGTGGCGCTGGAGGGCGTAGGGGTTGTGATATGGGTACTGTGAACTCCATGGGCTGCGTGTATTCTCCTGAGGTGCCTTCAGACGTGTACGAGTGGGACTGATTAGATGACGTGGTGAGATCCTGGTCATTGTCCTGCGCGTCCTCATGCCTATTATTAGATGATCGACGATGATGCAGTGGTGGAGGTTGGTTCTCTGACTGGCCTTGAGTGGAGGTGGTGGGTATTGCGGATGAACGACGACGGATGGGCAGAGAATTTCGCTTTGGGTCAAACGATAGGGATGACTTGCGCTCGATCTTCATTCGAATGGCTTCTGTGATCTCCATATCTCCATCAATATCATCTTCTTCATCGTCGGAGAAGGGGTCTTCAGCAACAGCATCGGCGTTCATTCTGATATTCAAGAAATCTTGAGGAGCTAGTGCGGTGTCATCCGTGTCCATGTCCATAGATCGCTCTCCGTATTCGCTGAATGCCACGGAGGATCGTGTACGAAGAGAGCTCCGACGGCGGGCACGAGATTTACCAGAGTCTGTTGCGTCAGGATTTTGAGACTCTGCTGCATCCTTATCCTTGGTGTCGAAGAGGCGGACATGGGCTGCGGGGGCAAAGCTAACGCGACGGCTGAGGCTCCTGCGTGAGTTGACCTCGGTGAGATCCATGGAAGTGGTATCATCGCCGAGCTCCGCGCTGTCAGCGTCGACGGGGGCTTTCAATATACTCTTCCGGGGCTTCTGCATATGTCATGTCACACATTTCACGTATGCAAAAGATGAGGGACAGTACACACGAGGGAGCGGTGTGCTTTTGCAGCAGGGCTGAGCTTCTCTCCGGGCGCAATGCTGTACGCCCGTCTGCGCGTGCTATGACGGGACCGTTCACCCTGGTTGAGGACGGCGACGGATCTGCGTCTGTGTGGCGATACCTTCTGCGCCATTTCCTCTGCGCTGCAAGAAGGAGGGGATATCCAAGAGAGCGGGCATGTGCACGTCCAAGGCATGCAGCAGACGCCTTCAACGAGTTGAGACGCGACGGTCACGTGCTCGACGCGGTCACACTGCACGTCGCGTGTTCAGTTCAGCGGCCGGTAGCCACCTTTGTCGCTCTTCGCTTACCTCCATCTATCACGATTTCTGACTTGGCTTGAGCTACAAATTTTATGTACTTGTGTACTCATTTCATCGGCAACAATCATCTTAAACTTCGCCTCTCCTCGCACACACAAATCCAAGATGGCCACGACGCGTTCATCAGCACGTAGCAAAGCCACAACAGCTCCTACTGCGCCTGCAGGTAGGGCAACACGGTCCACGAACGTGGGCGGAAGGGCACAATCTACAACTACAAAAGCTACTGCTAAGAAGGCCACCAATCGGAAACCGCTGGTCAGCAGGGCGAATTCCATGGACACTGGTGTGGACAGCGAGGCGCATCCGGGCTCATCCCAACAGTCCTCCACAATGAATGTATCTGCTATACCGTGCTCATCTGACATGGAACGAGAACCGATCAAGGTGGTGTACACTGTCTCCATGCACGATTAATCCCTCACGTTATGCGCATGCAGGCCTTCCTGCGGATACGTCCTCAATTAGGGGACGGACCAACGTCTGAACCATACTTGCATACCATATCTGATACTGCCGTCCGCATGTCCGATCCATCCTCCCAGTTGCAATCGAGTTCACGACTCTCAAGCCTGAATCCCTCGTCCATCTACACGTTCTCACATATCTTCCCTCCAGATTCTCAGCAATCACAGTTCTTCAACAGGACCACTCTGCCTCTGGTGCAGGACCTCTTAGAAGGCCAGAACGGGCTGCTATTTGCGTACGGAGTCACAAACTCCGGCAAGACATACACGGTCCAGGGTGGTAGCGACAGAGGTAGCGCAGGTATTCTTCCGAGGACGTTGGATGTCATATTTAACAGCATCGAGGGCCGTCACGGCGACGGTCAGGTAAGCCATTTAACGCAAGGCATGACGAGAAGTCTTACTTTTACGTACATCAGTTTCGCCCTGTTCGCCTCAATGGCATCGAAGCCGCCGATGATGAGTTCGAGGATGTCTCCCCACACAATGCTTCAGGCGGGCGGCGCCCGTCTCTCATCGACATCCTCGATGATGCACTTGACATAAGGGAAGACATCGATCCCACTGTATTGAAGCTAGACAGGAACTATGAATACACCATCTGGCTCTCATATTCCGAAATATACAACGAGAAAGTGTACGACCTATTCTCTTCGGTGGATCCCTCCGAACACTCTCCTCAATCTGGTTCTCGGCCAATGTCAACCTTCCTTAACATGCCACTGCCGTCCTCGCAGTCCAACCCTCTCCTTCTCTCGCGCAAGGCTCTAGCACTCAAATCATGTCCACCATCTGATAGTGGTTTGTCCGCAGATGACGTCGGTCTCGCGGGCAAGTATGTCACCGGCCTACGTCAGATCAGAGTGCACAGCGCAGCACAGGCAAAGGAGCTCCTAAGACTGGGGCAATTACACCGTCGCGTCTTTGGGACGCTTGCAAACAGCCAAAGCTCAAGGAGCCACGCTATCGTGACCATCAAGGTCTTGCGCGTGCATCGTGGAGAACGGAACGTAAGTCGCTCCATAGCGTTGCTCTTTCGGGATGTAGTTGACAGAGGCACCAGGACCCCAGCTCAATCCAGACGTCCCGTCTCACAATGGTCGATCTGGCGGGATCTGAGCGCACTAAGTACACCCAATCCTCGGGTGACCGCCTCCGCGAGGCCGGCAACATCAACAAGTCGCTCATGGTCCTTGGGCAGTGCATGGAGACACTCCGCGCCAACCAACGCGCCGTCGCGCGCAGCTTAGCAACTCATGGCGGCCGCATCGATACGCGCGATGTCAAGAAAGGGCTGGCAGTCGTGCCATTCAGGCACAGCAAGCTTACTGAGGTGCTGATGGACTACTTCATAGGAGATGGCCGCGCGGTAAGTCTTGACCCGCTCTCAATCATAACATGCTGACTGCAGTCAATACTAGGTGATGATCTTGAACGTCAATCCGTATGATACCGGATATGATGAGAACTCGCATGTGATGAAGTTCGCCGCCCTCGCACGAGAGGTCTGCACCGTTGCACCAACTGCCACCTCCCGCCCACTTCCTGTCCTCAAGGACAAACCTGAACGACCCCAAAGCAGTCGTGAAATTGCACCACATAGGAGGAAGGTCACCATCTCAACTCGCAGCACAGGTCATAAGGCCAGTGAGGCCCATCTGGAAGTCCTCGAAGGTGTGCTCGGGCCGGTCCGTCTCTGATACCTGCTTGGATGGCTAACGTTCAATGGTCAGAGGACGAAGAGCAAGATGAGGATGATGAAGGGGAGATAGACCCAGTAGTGGAGGCACTGTTCGACGAGGTTGAACAGCTCCGCGCACAGGTGAGCCTGACAGATCCAAGTAACTGCATTGCTTCTCATTCTTTCCTTCCAACAGTTGCATGAAGCTGAGATGCGATGTGCTCTCATCGAGGCGGAAACAAGGGAGGAGGTCATGGAAGAAATGGAGGAGCGAATGCGTAGCATGGAGAAGATGTTCGAGCGACGACTGAGGAGGGAGGTTCGTGTGATTCTGGTTTCATGAGGGTTTTCTATGTTTGCTCACAAGCACTGTTGGATTCTGCCTTGTCAGGCTGAGAACCACGAAAAAAAGATGGACGCTAAGATCGACATGATGGCACGCTCCGGACTCCATCGACCAGCTCCGCCTGCAGATGTCGTGTATCCATCGCTGCAACTGAGTGATGACGAGGCGGAGAACTTTGTAGACGAATTAGTGAGTGCCCAGTTTTAGCACGAGACAGCATGGCGATCATGTAGACACAACTCACAACTCGTCTAGGCCGAACTGGCATCTGATGGGTCGAGTGACTCGGAAGAGCATGCCTCGACCGCTAGCAGCACATCACCCTCCCCTCTAGCGAGGAAGTCCGTGAAACCACTTTCCAAAGCCCAAAGTCAACCTTCACAAGGTAGCAATGGGAATCTTCGGGGTGCTTCTCCTTCCAGCAGTCAAGAAAATGCTGTCCGGTCATCTGATAGTGCAGGGCACGATGGGCTCGTCCCCATGCGCAAGCAGCTACTCAACCGCCAGATTGCCAGCCTGCAAAATCGTGACTTCAGTGCAGCCCCATCGCCTGTCTTCGAGGCAGACGTTAAGGCTGGAAAGATGGCAGCGAGGCTCGCGAAATCTGGGGACAACAAGCTGCCAAGTCTGGAACGCAATCTCATGCAACTGTCGCTCCAAGAGAAGCCCCGTGAGTCGACGATCATCGTACCTGACAAGGTGGCTCGTCAGGAAGCTGTCGCAAATGGCGGAGATGATGTTGAATACGTTCCACTGCGAGGCGAAGTAGACCCAGGAAAGAAGAAAAAGCGGTGTGTAAACTACGTAAATTCAAGAGCTCATGCTGACCGGATTGTCGCAGACAATTGGGGAAGAGCCGTGTCATAAACGAAGAGGGTATGGCCGACATTGTGCTTACTAGCTCTCAGGAAAGCACAAGGCAGCTTCGCGCGAGGCATTAGGAGAGGAGCGTGAAAGCCACTTGGATCATGACGTGTTTCTTGTGATGTTCCTCCACGTAGATATACCATGAATACATAATACATTGGGATAAAGAGGCGCTCATATCATGAATATTAGGAGAGTACGATGTACGTAGTAGCCAGGCCCAGAATACATGGTATAATGTGATACTGTTGCCTGGTATGCAAGAAAGGCAGTGTCCAAATAATACATATGCGATCGATGAGACAACAAAGCAGAGGAAAGCACTGATCAGTATTTACTCTACTCATCGCGATCTTTCCGACGACTGAGGCTGAATCGCGATGGCGATACGATGGCTGGTCGTTCTCCCGACTGGAAGGACGCACGCGTACGCGTCGGGCTGAGTGCAGTAGGATCGAAGTCTAGGCGCAGATGGAGTATCCCTTGACCTTCGCGTAGCTCCGTGGTAACTTCCGTGGATAACACTCCTTGCGCAGGTTGCACATGACGCCAAATCTAAGGAACAGCAAATTGAGTACAGCCATCAGCTCCCATAGAAAGAAGAACATACATCGATTTCGCTAGACCCCAGCAGCTTGTCCTTGCCCAATGTTTTGTGATCATAAACCCAGACATGCATCTTGGGCTGCGTAGCAGGCGCTGCAGCGAAATTGAATGTCTCGTTCCTGTACATCATACGTGAGATCGAGCCTGGGCATGCATAACACATGCATACCATTCAGGCGTAGCCGTCTTGTGCGAATGCTTCGTCTTGTATTCTTTATCTCCGACGCGGACTACAACGTACGGCTTGAGATCGCCAGCAGACATGTCTTTGGCATCCATGACGAGGACTCGCAGAGAGCCGGGCTCGTGCCCATAGTCCGAGAGACTGAGGTTCCCATTGATGGAGGTAGGGCTACCATTGGCAGCTGGCAGTGGTGCTGTAGGAGCAGAAGCAGCGATGGCAGGCGATCCGACAGGCTGAGACGCTTGGCCGGAGGGCGCTTGGGGCGCCACAGCTTCATCACTATCGAACGATCCCTTCTTCGCATGATCCTTGCTTTTGAAGACGCCTGTGACACCATGCACGACGCCACGCCCTGCACCGACTGCAACACCTACAGGAATGTGCCCAATCTGTGTCATCGCACGCCCTGCGGACGAGAAGGTGGACGTGTTCTTTCGTGTCTTCACGATAATCTCTGGTTGGAAGAGCAACCGTATTCTGATGCTCCCCTTTTCGCCATGCTTGGCAGATGACAGAGGAATCGTTCGCTCCGCGGCTTGGAATGGCTCGATATCCGCAAGATTGATCTTGCCTGCTCCGAGAGTCTTGGCTTGCTCAATCTGATTCCAGTCAAAAACCTCAGCCGTGAAATCGGCAGCTACTCGTGAAGGCTTGGAGTACGTCAGTCGTTTCTGTGAAAGGACTCTGCGTTATCATCACTCACCACTTGGACCATAAAGTTCTCATTCCACTCAGGCGACAGGGTCTTTTTCTTTGTCTCTGACTTGTAGACCTTCTGTCCGTTGAGATAGAAGACAACGAAAGGATCGGATTTGCCTAGCAGCAAGTCAGTTGCGGGAGTGCTCCAAACGATGCGAATGGATGCACATACCTCCGCGATCAACAGCCTGGATATCGCGACCGTCTAAGATATCGACGCGCAGCATCCCTTGGTCTGCGAGAGTGTGAGTACGACGGGTGTGGTCAAAATTTTAGTGCACGCACTATTGATGCTTTCTCTAGCCTCCAGCTTGATAGGGACAGGAAGGTATCGGGCCTCGAGCTGGACGGTAGACTTCTTGTCTGCATCGTCTTTGTCGACGAGAGTGAACGTCGTAGGGCCATCCTGCAAAAGAAACGATCTATATCGGGCTCGGCGATCAGGTAAGACCCTATGACCAACCATGGTGCTCTGAAGGAAGGGTTTTGCATCCCCCTTCCATTCCGCGATGATGTCGTCTTTGTCGCCTTCGTCCGCTTCGTTCAACCTGAGCCATACACGACCAAAGTCGAGTTCCTTGATGAAACCTTCGCCGATGTATTCCCACTGCGCCTTGTGACTGCGTGGTTTGACGGTACTGAATGCAGGCCAATATGCATCGTCCAGTAATACCTCCAGGCGTGCCTTCTTGCACAATTCCCCCGACAAGACATTGCAGATCAGGATGCCGGATTCTACCCGAACATGAAAGATTGAGATTGAGAGGTAAAATGTCAATTGTTTGGTTCGGTACGCACGATGTTTCAGGAGCTCCTCCTTCGTGAGCTCCACGCCCTCCTCCTCGGGGCGGTGCTCCTCCACCTTGCCGAGGTCGGGAGATCCACCCGTGCCGGAAGATCCACCAACCTCTGGAGACTGCGGGATGGGGGTGCCCGCGCCGGAACTTTCGTCTGTCTTCTCACCCGCACCCAGAGGCTGGGACGCGGTAACCCCTTCAGGAACGGGGGCAATTGTGCGCTCACGCTTCAATAAATGCAATGAATCGCGCGAATCCGATGGCTCCTCAGCTTCAGAGCCGCTCGGCACAGCCTGCTGAGTTTCGTTCGCATGCTTCTCGAACCCAATGCCCTTGACAGGGAGGGCCGGAACAAACTCGGCCTCGAAGTGCAGTTTACCCTTGTATGTACCCTTGTCGAGTTTAATTGACTCAGCTCCTGTCTTCTTGCCAGTGGATGCGTAGAGGAAGTCGCCCTTGGATGGCTTCGCAAGCTCGGAAACCTTCAGCTCGACGTACCCGAGGGAACGGTCCTGTGCATATGTCAATTTCATCTCACGGAAGCTGCCCGATGTAGATAGTGCACCTTTGTAAGATGTTGATAGTCCATGCACTCGAGAAGCATTGTCTATTGTTAGGTTAGTTCGACTTTCATTCTTTTGAGGCTTCCATGCATACCTCCTTCAATGAATGCACTAGCCACACAACAACATCAGTACCACATAGCGCTTCCACAGGTTACGCAACCGGAAGCGCCACTTACCAGGAATGTAGATGATTTGATCCCACTCCGGATTTAAGTCTGAAACATAGTTCAGTCAGTGTCAAAGTGCATTCGGATCTCTGATACTTGCTGTTGTTCACGACCTCGGTGCGCCCCTGCGTGATGTTATTGATCTGTACTCGGACATATGGATCACTCTGATAAAAAGATCAGCCGTCGCGTCAGCAAATGAAACAAACTCTGTTCAGACCCACCTTCCCTCCCAAAGCAGCCTCCACGTTCCTAGAAAGGGGAATCACATAAGCATGTGGTCTCAGATATAAGAACGTGCATCAGTCCACCACGCACTTGACATCCGTTGCCTTCTGCAACCATAACCTCACCACACCGATGGGAGGTACATACTGGTCTATACCGTGCAGGCTGCCGGGCATGTTCAGCGGCCTCCACTCGACGCTCAACCGCATTTTTCCGCTCTTGCAACTGCTCAGAGGCCACCAATCTTTGCCCGCTTCCTTTGATGCATTTATCAAATCATCCAGACGAACATTCATATAGCCGATGATAGGGTCTCGCAGTATGTCGCGGTCGTCGATAACCTTGACGGTGATGATCGATGACAAGCGATCCATACAGAGAAACTCCGTACTTGACTCCCAAACCGGATTGTTCGTGTGCTTGACTTTCTTCGTCTGGTAAGTTGGTTTGCGGTTCCCGTCGAGATGCACGCGTACGAATGGATTGAGGTCGTTGGACATAGACTTCGTGTGGTCAAGTTCCTTCGCTTGGTGCAACGTCAAACGAGCAATTCCAACCTCTACACTTATTGTCAATAATGCACACAAGTAGCGGCAGAACCAACTCACTGGTATCCATCGGCAACATCTCCTTCCCACCGGAATCTACTTCTGGCTTCAAGATAGGATAGAACGAGACATCGAACCGAATCGTGCCCCTTTGTTTTCCGTCTTTCAGGATTGGAGCATCAATGCCCTCCTGTGTCGAGTCTTCGCGCAGCTTCGACATGTCAAAAACCGCGCTTCCGATTTCGGAGTCCTTTCGATGCTCATTCCAGTCAACAACAGAGAGTACAAGCGACTCTGTGAGGTTGTTGACGAGCAGAAACTTGGTTTCCATCCATGTCGGGTTGGAGCTTGCGGAAATCTGTCAGACGAGGCAAAGAGAACCCTCAAGACTGGATACGTACGTGTCGTGCTTGTAGGTAGTTCGTGCGAGCTCCGCCCGATTGTTGATGCTCAGACTAACGTAAGGATCGGGAGTACCACCGGCAATCTTCGTACTCTTCAAGCCGCGTGCTGTCTGCACAGTCACCTGAATCACGCCTACGGCCGTATCTATCGGTTCGCCGGACAGAAGCTGCTCTAAGTTGAGCGTGAACACGTTGGGAGCGTACATCATTGGTGCCAGCGTGGCGTGAACGGTGTCGCGGATGAATGAGGACAAGCCCGGAATCTGCGGCGCAGGTTACAACGAAGCTAAGGCAAGCGCACTCAGAATACTCACAAATGATATGTCGAACCCAAAGGTCTCGCCACCAATTGGTTTCAACGCCCAGTCAATTACCGGTTTCTCCAAGAAGGAGAGATCTACAAGCTGGATGTGTGGGAATGTCGTCATCAACTTCATCCGTACCCGAAGTATGCCCGAGAAGGAGAGATCCTCAAGCAGGATGGGCATCGTTGCGCTTGCAATGCCTTTTCCGACGCGTACTGACAGTACGATCTTCGGGTTCACCTTGTCCTTGATCTGCCTCTTTGTCATATCAGATGTATCATTCGGGGTGAACGAAATGGCCCAATCCATCAGCACTACATCGTCCTCCGTCCGCGGGCTCGTCTTGACCTTGTCGACTCTGGGCGCCTTCGTGCCGAGAGTAAAGGTACTCAATCGAAGGCTTTCTAGGAAGGTAGGGCAGTTCGTACTCAAGATCTGGTCGACAGATGCGATGATTGTCTGGGAGAGCACCGGCTCGTAGATCAACCAGAATCGGTCCAGGAAGTTATTCAACCAATCGGCGCTTTCGAATTCGGTCTCCAGTCTTGTCTTGACGAGTTCGCGCTGGATGTCATCCCGTGCGCGTCGTCGCATGCGTGACATGGAAGTTGTGTAGTAGGTGTTGCAGAACGCAAGCAGTAGCAAGAGCCAGCCCCATCCAAAGTTGAAACGCGTAAAGTAATGTGACATCACGACAGCCTAATCATCATACTGAGTGCTTCGCTGTCACAGAGGATACTGTACTACTCACCGCTACGACGAGGGCGGCGTTGTGATACCAGTCCCCGTAGAACTGCTCGCTGAGGAAGGTCTGCAGAATGTACTTGTCTTTCTCCTCATCTTCGGCCTTCGGACGAGTATCGATTCCGCTGACTTCGCGCCAGCCAACCGTGTACCAGTCCGGAACAGCAGGTGCAGGCCCCACAGGCATAGACCCAGGGACCTGTGGCTCTAGTGTTGGTGGCGTCTCGCCCCCATTGGCTTTCTCATCCACATTCTCAATTGTGATTGTAGGCACTATGTTGCTGTTGCCCGTGCCAACCGGAACCTCTGGTGACGAAGATCAACTTCACCCTCCAAAACCGTTACGGATAAGGCACACCTTTCCCGACCGCATCAGGTTCGGCCTGGTTCAGCTTAAGTTTCTCCTTCTCCTTTCCAGCAATAGCGGCCTTCTCCTGGGGAGGCATATCTGGGTCGAATGAATGTACAGCGACGCGACCCTTGGCGGCATCATCTTGCACAATGCCATTGACCTTCGCTTGGGTTTCAGGAGATGTGGCCTGCCCATTCATCGTTGGGGACGGAAAGTACTCTCGGTGGATAATAGGATGTGGTAGGGTATAAGATGGGGACAGAACGAGCGTGGCAGGGTGAAGAAGGCGGAGCGGGGCGAGCCAGGGGCGCTCATAAGCGCGCGAAGCATTCTATGACGCGGACGACCCCAGCCACCGCCGCCTCCGCATTGCTGTACTGCATTCCTCGCTCGAGCAGTGCGAACGCACTTCAACTGTTATTTCTTCTACGAACAAATCGTCTCTATAGGTCTTGTACTTGACATCAAGCTCTTCAATGGGAGCAGGTATCATCCCTGGCCCTAACCATTGCCAAGCCTGCACAGTCGCATTGCGTAAGCGCTATTACAAAGGTTATTCAATTCTGCATAGCATAGCTGTGTATATAACAATTTGCATGAACTCGTTTTCTGTTCCGGCATACTTCATGACGAATTCTCTAAGTTGCCGGGTGGAGAGCCAATCATGCATGTGTTTAATAGTTTAACACCGCTTATATTTTGACAGCAGATCGGAATGGAGACATGCATCGGCTTTGTCTGGACTCGAGGGTCGTGGCTGCACAATATCGTCCGAACCTTCAGCGCTCTTCAGCAGCACAACTTGAGAACGGCTGAATGGTGACAGTGCTGGAGATAAACTGCAGTACAAGATTCAGGTTGAGGGCAGTTGCGTCACCGCCGGCTCCTATTATCAAGCCCTCTCCACAAGAGTTGCTATTCATAGTTCATGTCTCGGGGTCTCACTGTGAACGATCCCAGAATGGGCAAGTCATTTTGCAATCAAGGTGCTCACCGCTGTCTGTTTTTTCCGCGGGCTGTGGCGGCCGCGTCTGTCTGGTTCCGAGCACACCTGCTGCAGTCCTGGGAGCCGCGAGAGATAATCAAGATGCATGCTCCTATAGTCCGCATTTGCGAACATTTAGGAATGCAATGCGCTGCGGCGCAGATAGCTATTCTCTGCGATAACATCAGCCAGCCTCCAGCTGGTAGCACGACGATACTGCTATCATTATACTGCAGCGTCGCCGCTGTCACAGCGTGATAGGATCGGTTTCTTATGGCTCTGGGTGAGCGACGTCGTGTGGCCCCGAGTAAGAACGTTACCGCATGGCAGTGGAGTGTATTCCAAATAATGCTTGGCACATAAAAGGCTGGTTTGTCCATAAACGTATGTCTTACTGCAGCGTTTCGATTTTCAATGGCTTGAAAAAAGGCACCGCTCTCTTTGAGAGTTCTACTCTGATAACCCAAGTACGACTTGAGACGATTGTATTAGATTTGCTTGAGCCACTTTGTTGGTGAAACTTCCAAAGTAGATCCCAATGTCGGCTGTTAGATTCAGATCAACATATATGCGCACTTGATTACCTGCCACAGCTGCATGAAAATGTCATGTCCATGTTCTTGATCGCTCCAATGACTGTTGAGGCAAAACAAAGCGATTTGAAGCGAGGCGAATGTATCATGTATGCGCACCTGTTGGCAAGATGCCTTATACAATTCCATACTTCCCCTAACCGCTTATTGTCCGCTCATTTGATGAATGCTTCGTGCGTCCCGTAAAGATCACGATAGTCCGGGAGATTAGAGGGAGAGCAGCTGTGTAAGTAAAGATTATTGAGCAAACATCGCTCAGCGGTGCATGGATGTTCACGATTTACCACAGATGAGCGATAGAAGTGGCTGACGAAAGAAAGCGAGCCGGATTTAGATGACAACGTTCAGACGCCATGATGAGAGAACTGGAGAGAGGATGATAGGTGGAGACAAGAGCACATTAGCCAAAAGACATGCTTTATATACCCTCAACGAGGCTGATGTCACGGCGTGAAGCAAGAGGCAGCCATCCTACGGCTCACGGACGTGTTACACACGTGACCGTGTCAGAGTTCGGCAGCGTCATGGCACCAAACTGGTGCAAACAGCGCGCTCGCCGTGCGCGGTGCGTTGTGCGCTCGGCCGCTGAGGTTCTCCCGATCTCAGCTGTACACTGCTACTCAACCAGTTGCTTGTTTTTGTATCCCTGTCATTTAAGACAACAGATCGTGAAGATTTTGTGCATGTTCCCAACATGACTTCCCCACCCTCGTCTCTGCGGGATTTGTACGCAGCACCATCCAACGCGTGGTCGTTTGCCCCACCATTACCTCCAGCTGCATCGGAAAATACATTGAGCATTGGTGCGCAAGCATCCTCATCTTCCTCACCATCTTACCAGTGGTCAACGCGCACCAACGGCACAAATCCGCTCTTTGACTTGTCCGCGACTTTCGATGAGGACGAGTCCGGAGTCGATGTAACGGTCTTGCTGAAGGGCCTTGCGGCTGCTGCATTCATGCAGTATGCGACAACCGCTCTGGTCATGCCGTGGGAAGTCGGCAAGCTGCTCTTGCAAGTGCAGTGGGTACCTCGAGATACCGGGGAGGTTCCCCGAGGAGCGGTGCTCACAACAGATGTCATAGAGGAGGAAGGAGAGGTGCGGTATGATCTACATAACTGCATTTCGAACGCGCAGCATTGATACCCAGGCTGCGATCTGACCAGCTCAGCGATGACTCTAACGAAAACGATGCGTACTTTGCGGACCCAGCCAAGCTCGACTCCGCTTCCTCTAGCCTGCCCCCTCCACGGCTCGCTGACGAGCGGGGGTACGTTGTGCGGCAGTCTGTCCTTGAAGAAGGCACAATACCAGAGTATGTCATACCCGTTGGTACAGCAAATGGCACGTGGGGCATGATGAAGCAATTGGGACGTTTTCGCGCGGAGGGTTGGCTCTCGCTATGGAAAGGTACTGTCGCTTGCATTGTATGCTGCTCATGCGACCTGATACAAACTTGTACCAGGATTGCTGACCTCCAGCATTAATGATGCGTTATTTGCCGTTCTGGAGCCCCTCTGCCACAGCTTGCTGCAAGCCGTGCTCTTTCCTCCTCCCAGCGATGTTTTGGCAGCTCCGTCCTCCTCCTCATCCCCCCTCCTTCTCCCAGTAGCATCACACGTTCTCACGGGCTTTATCCTCTCCCCTCTCGACCTCATACGTACACGACTCATCATTCAGTCCTCCCTCCCGCGCTACCGCACCTACTCCGGACCCATCGACGCACTCCAACAGATCCTCGCGCAGGAGGGCGGGCTCCGCGGTGTGTACCTGCACCCACACCTGCTCATCCCGGCGCTCCTTGACTGTACGCTCCGAGCGCTCATCCCACTCGCGCTACCCGGGATCGTCGCGTCCTATCTCGGGTTCGGCACGCGCCTGACGCCTGAGACACACCCGCTTCTGTGGACAGTTGCAGAGTTGCTGGGCAGCTGCGCGGGCCTGCTCGTCACACTGCCTATTGAGACGGTCAGGCGGCGGTTGCAGGCACAGGTACGGGGCAACGCAAAGCCGATTAAGGCATGTGTCGAGCTGCGGCCTGCGCCCTACAACGGCGTCGTGGACGCACTGTGGCATATCATCACGGAGGAGCGGTCGGACCTGCCGGTGAAGCGGAAGGGCCGGGCGAGGAAAGCGGCACACGCGAAGGGGAAGGGCAAGGCGGCGGAGGGATACGAGGAGGAGGGCGTGGAGGGCGAGAGCTGGACGCGGAATACGGGCATCGGGCAGCTGTACCGCGGGTTGGGCATGCGGGTCGCTGCGAGCTTTGCGGTGTTTGTGCTGGCGATGGTCGGAGGTGAAGAGCCGGATGCTGGGTGGGCGGAGCTCTGATGGCCTCGTAGCTATCTGAGTCATTGGCTATCTCACAACTCACATACAATAGCGCTATCATCATCTGCGTACGCGAATTATCATATCGAAGGAAGGTACACATACGGTGCTACTGCCCAGAGCGTTGGTATGCGCGTGAACCCTCCGGCGTTAGCTGTTCCGTCTCTAAAATTGGGGGAACAATCGCAAGGTCAAATGGACAGCACGTCAACACCACCACACGGATATGGAGGGAATGCAAGCCTAGAGCGAGCACATGTCTGCTACGTCGACGTATCTGTATAAATCACTCTTCGTTCATTCATCCGCTAATTCATCAACCAGTCAATCTTCCCTTCCGGCGCGCTGGGCCTGACGGCGTGCAGCTTGCGGTTCCCAGTACAGTAAATGAGCGACATTTATCTATCGCCCTGCCAACGTCAGTGCGAGCCCTGAGTGCCTGGGCGTGGTACGTACGAACCACAGATCCCACACGTACGGCATGCGGCGCTGCTTGAGAATGCCCCCAAAATCGAAAATTCCAATTCAGCCTTCATTCCGCCCGCACGGCGGAAGCCTTGGCCTGTGTCTTCTCCGCCATCTTCCGCACCAAAGCCGGGGGGACCGCGTCCAACTGCGCGGGCAGCTCATTCGGGTGTCCCTGCATGCGGGAAGCGGTGAATATGTCAGTGAACTAAGGGTCGATGCAAGACAATAGCAAGCAGAAGCGTACGTGCGCAAGGTGGTATCGCAGCCCACTGAGCTGCTTGTACCGGTTGGGACAGTGCCGGTGGGGACAGGGATACGTCTTTCTTGGTTTGGTAACGGCTGGGGTTGCCTTTGCGGTGCCTGCCTCTGCCTCGCGGCCGTTTTCGGGTTCTCGGTTATCAGGCACATCTCTCGCAGTTGTGCTTGGGTCTGCAGCTGCGTTGTCCTCGGCGGCCGCGGCCGGAAGGGTCGAGAGCGCCTGTTGGAAGTGCGTCTTTGAGCTGATCAAGGATAGCGTGTCAGAGTCAATTGTCGGATGCAGTGTTTCAGGAACGCACATTTGCAGATGATATTGCAGGCCATTGATGCTCTGCAATGAACGTCAAAATTAACTGAATGTTCGCATTATGAGTGCCTAGACAAACCTTCCAGCTCTTCTTGCACCCAGCCAACCCGCACCTGAACGGTGTGCTGCCTCCAAAATCCTCCGTATGCTCCGCCTTGCTGTGGTCAGATAGTTCCTTTGACGTCGCAAAACGGGACTTGCTTTCAGAGACATCTGTAGGCCAGCAGGTGAGATGCCCACAGGCATACGCCAGCACCGATGTGCTGAACCGTGCGTGATCAATCAAAGGAGAAAGAAAAAGATTGAGACGTGATGCTCACTCTGAGGTAGCAGGCAAGCTTGAAGACAGGCGGGGAGAAGGACCACGGCGCGTAGCGCGGCGTTGCTGTACCCAGTCTTTCGCCTTCTGCTTTGGGTCACGATAATAGTTTCGACTTCCCGTAGCTTCTACAGTTGCGTCCCCATTTTCATAAACGAATAATTGTGAGGCTAACACGACAGAGGGGCGATCGGCGGCCTCCTCCGGAACACCAGCCGTTGGATGATTTATATCGGAAGAATCAGGCGGGGTAGCGTTGGATGACGCACTCGTTCCAGGACAAGCGCTATATGGCTGACTGGAAACTTCTTCTGACCTGAAAGGAGTCGTACCTCTGTCGATTACTGGTGCTCCATTCACTACATCTGGGGGCGCTCCGGGCACATAGCCATGGTTATTGTCCTCAGGATTGAATGGTAGAGTCTGCGGAGGGTGCACATCCTGGGCCGCCTGGGGTGGTTGTGTATAGTAGCCATCATAATCTTGGAACGGCTGATAACTCTGATCAAACTGATATTGAGGGTAGTCGAATTGCTGTGGCCCGCTGTGCAGGGTAGATTGTGCAATTGCACGGTCCGGGGCATACGCGTAAGTCTCAGGCATCTCGGAGTAATAGGGACTCCCGGAAACGAGAGTTTCCGACGGCACACTTGCAAAAGGCACAGAGGAAGGTGCGGCATGCTCAGCGGGGGGGTTCCAATACCCTTGAGGCGCAACCTCGGGAGGTATATCCCACTGAGGCTGCAGTGGTTCCACAGGCTGCTGCGACGTGGCAGTCGAGGCAGCATTGCTGGGCCCAGCATCTCTAGTAGCGGCAGCTTTCTTCTTCCTCTCCAGCATTCTCCATCTAGTACGATACATTCAGGATAATTGCACACATAGAGTGATATGCACGTACCTGTTTCGACATGCCAGTCCACTCCGCTGGAGTTCCTGGCCAATTTGGCCCCAACGACCGCCGAGTCTATTGTATGCTTCCAGAAGCCGAGCATCCTCGTCTGAAGTCCACTCGTCCCGCTTCAGTGAAGGATCCAGCGCTTCACGATATCGCTTCGAGCAGGCATCATCGGTGCGCCCTGAGATATGACGTGCTATGACAGCCCATTTCGTCGAGTGTATGGCGTAGAGCGAGAGGAGGAGCTGGTCCTCTTCTGGCGTCCACGCTGACTTCTTCACGTTTGGAGACAAAGAGTGAAGCCATCTCTGACAATTGGGATAGACATGACGCAGTGTGCAAATGATTAAAGCGTGAACAAGCCCACCTTCCTGCAAGCCTTATTCGTACGACCCGGCACAGAAAGGGCGACGATCTTCCAGTTGTCATTCTCGCCGTGGACCGCAACTGCCTGGATGAGCAAGTTATCTTCCTCTTTTGTCCATGGCTTCCCGACTCCTCTTTCCTGCATTAGCAGAGAGCATAGGACAACAGCACAAGAAATGCAGCCAGTCACCGGTCAAGAATCAGACAAGCAGCGACAGTCCAGGGAATTTAGCATGCATTGTCTCCGCGTGCGCTTGCCGAAATGTTTTGATCGAGCTACAGCCACCCGCGCTAAGGTTACGTAACGGGACGTGCTTGCCTTGCCTGCTGCCTCCATGTCGTTCATCCCAGGCTACTCCTCAGGCGAAGACGACGGCCCTATATCGGCCACCCAGGATGTCTTCGGGCTCACTTCTCTTCCTGCGGCGAAGAAGCCGCGCATTGACGAGCTCAGTGCATCAGGGTCTGCCCCCTCTATTGCCCCGGATGCCGCGCCAGATGTACTGGCAGAGGTGAGCACGTCTAATGCCAATTCGCAATGAGAACACGCTAAACGAATGTATAGGACCCTTTAAACCAAACATCTCTGATTACACGACCAACAGACACGCGCATGAACGTGAACATCCCGTACAATGACATGATACTGCCCCTCCAAGGGCCCGAAAACCCCTTCGGAGACCGCGACCGTTTCCTCAACCAGAACGCGCTCGCTGGACATGTTGAGGAGCAGGCCATGACAGATCATTCTTTCCGACAGCAGCACCTCACACACGCCATCCTCGGTTACTCCGCCAATCCGTCTGTGGATCCCAACGCCCCGGCCGTCCTCGGCTCGCTCCAGAAGGCAGAGGCGAACAACTTCGCGACCATCGGCGCATTAAAGGCGCCAAAGAAGGAGAGGATGGAATTGAAGCGGAAGCGGAAGCCGAAGGGCGATCTCGAAGTTGTGGACGGTGATGGTGCCTACGAAGGGCCGTGGTCGAGGTGGGAGAGCGACGAGCCACATAACCTGCTGCTCGGCGAGGAGGTGGCTGAGGAGGAAGAGGAAGAGGAAGAGGAAGCGCCAGAGGAGCCGGTGCAGATGAAGAAGGCGAAACCGAAGCGCGGCGCGCCGGGGCTGGAGTCGTCCGTGTTCCATGGCAAGTCGATGTACGACTACCAGGGCCGGACGTACATGCATCCCCCCATCGCAGAGGCGCCGCAGCTACTGCAGGAGGCGGGCTCACAAGAATCGTTCATCCCGAAGGTTTGCATACACACATGGACGGGACACACGCAGGGCGTATCGGTCATTCGCTTGTTCCCGAATACAGGCCACCTTCTTCTCAGCGGCTCCATGGACACGAAAATCAAGGTTTGCATCTTCGCTGCCAGCAGATTGATTCTCTTATTCACATACTTGACAGTTATGGGACATCTATACCCACGGCAACTGCCTCCGCACCTTCCATGGTCACATGAAGGCTGTCAAGGACGTGACGTTCTCGAACGATGGCCGCAAATTCCTATCGTGTGGATACGATAGGCAGATGAAACTATGGGACACAGAGACCGGGCAGTGCTTGAAGCGGTTCAGCAACGGCAAGATTCCATACGTCGTACGGTTCCATCCGGATGAGGACAAACAACACATTTTCCTCGCGGGTATGTCGGACAAGAAAATCATTCAGGTGCGTTCGGTTCGTCTTCTCGCATACAGTTGCATTGAGAACGTTCGAACAGTACGACATCAACACCGGCGAAATTACGCAGGAATACGACCAGCACCTGGGCCCGGTGAATACCATCACGTTCGTCGACGAGAATCGACGCTTCGTCACAACCTCCGACGACAAAACGATCCGAGCATGGGACTTTGACATCCCAGTGGTCATCAAGTATATCGCAGAACCACACATGCATTCGATGCCCGCGGTAACCGTCCATCCAAATAGTGAGTGGCACGTGCACGGTCGACGCGAAATGAGTATTCTGACGACCGCTTCGATAGAGAAATACTTCGCTGCACAGTCCCTTGACAACCAGATCCTCGTATACAGTACGGATAACTTCAGGCAGGCACGGAATAAGCGGTTTGCGGGACATTCCGTCGCGGGCTATGCCTGCCAGGTCGGGTTCTCACCCGACGGGAAGTGGATAAGTAGCGGCGATGGCGAGGGGAACGTCGTGTTCTGGGAATGGAAAACAGGGCGAATCAAATCACGTCTTAAGGCACATTCGAAGGTCGTTATCGCACACGAGTGGTTGCCTCACGAGACGGTATGTAATTCTCTACGGCTCGGCACTGCCTTAGCGATTTTGACGACATGTTGCATTTCTCAGTCGAAAGTCGTGACGGCATCTTGGGATGGCCTGATCAAGCTATGGGTGAGTCAAACAAGCTTGTCCCCTCTTTTCTACCTTGCTTATCCGTACGTCATAGGACTGAACGGGAAGTGCGTGTCAAGCATGCTAGCCCGAATAGAATGCGCCGCTGGTTCAAGATAATTCCGTCCGGCTCAGAAACGCACCTTATATAACTGTCCTGGCCAGGAGTATAGAGTCGGTGGAGTGGGTTCAATTGATATGCTAACATCTCGGCGCGTGGTGACGCTCACCGAAAACTGGAAGGGTTTTGAAAGATGTTCGTGCTCCCCGAGGTGCTTGACATGCTTGTGATGTCCAAGTAGGAGGGCATTGCCGTACCATTGTGGCCCTCCACAGCACGTCTGTTACGTTTGTTTGATGAACGTGAAACATCTCACATACGTTGAGAATTCGAGATTGAACCCGAGCCGGACAACGTTATGGAAAGGCACGCTTGCAGCATGTTCCCGGATGCGTATGACCCTCAGTTCATGTTCCGCGGACAGATGACATGATGTTCCGAATGGATACTTTCCAGAACGGACTTACAGGCATGATGACTATGCCGTGCAAATCTCAAGGCACGGTATCGCAGGGATCACAGAACGGGCGGTCGACACCCTCCATACACCAGTGGCTTGCAGATGACCGAGAATGCAGAGGCCAAAGCTTCAGAATGGAACCCTGTGACGCTTGATGATAAGAAGCGCTTCCCGACTCCGAGCACGGGAGCGGGGCACATTGCTGAATGCGCAGTTGATCGCCTGCACACGTTTCTCGAGAGGTTTTTGCGAGGCGCTTTCAGCGTTCACTTGACCGCTCATAGTATGAGCGTCAGGCGTTATGACGAAGTTTTGCCTGAACAAAATGAAAGGTTGAGCATGTATGATACGGAATCGGCAACAGTGACACGAGAGAGTGGCAACGAAGGCGGCGCCCAGGGAATGGACATGCCAGATGATACGCTGATGTTAAAAGAGTACATATGGAAGCGAAGTGACAGCAAGTGCTCGATGACGAGACAGACGATCAGCGACGATCGGGGGTGAGGGAAAGCGAAACTGGGCGGGAAGGGGCGGGCACGTTCGGACGCTTGGTCCGTGCAATGGCGTTCTTCGGGCGCTGTCCCAACCCACTCGCACTTGTGTCGTGGGTACCGCGCGCACGCCGACCGGTTGGCGGTAGAACAAGCGCGAAGGCGTGGTCAGAATCTGTCTGATCAACTCAGCGCATGCTCAGATGGCAGGCGGTGGCTGCCATTGACACCTCCAGGAGCGTGGAAGGAAGCAGGCGGGAGCTAATCTGCCGTGATAAACCCTCGGATTTCCGCAGAAGATAGATTGGCCGGGCGCACGTGGGGACGAGTTCGCACTGTGCGCAGCGTCGTTCTCTGTGAGAGGCGATAGAGGCGATAGATGAAGAATGTGGGAAGGGGAGAGTGCCTGGTCGCGCGGACGATTGAATGAGCGGAGCACACGCCGATCGGGCGCCTTGGTGTGCCGGTGCCCCTTAGCCTTGCTCCGTCATACCCAGACTCGCACGCTATAAATCCCCCTCCTTTGCCCACTTCCTCCACTCCTTCCCCCGACTCTATCGCAATGCGTGTCCTCTCCCTAGCCGTCCTCTCTCTCGCCCTCCTCCTAGGCGTCGCTTCCGCTGCCCCCGTCAGTCTTTCATCACTCTTCCTGATCGCGACTCGTTCGGCTCACCGTCTTCTAGGTCGCAGCACCACTTGAGAACCGCGCGGATGAGAAGCGCGAACCCGAGGTGGTCAGTGTCACCCGTTGCCTTCTGCATCTATAATTCATTTATCCCTCCAGGTGGAGCGCCAGTGGAACTCGGGTCCCGGCAGCTGGTGATCATTGAGAGGTTAACCCTCTCGCACGTCATTAAACGGACAGGTATGTTGCTCGCGTCGTCGTGCTCTTCGCCGTCTCACTCTCCGCACAGTTCACTCCCGACATCGTGTGCTACTGCTCTGACCCCATAACATTCTCCCATATGTTGCGTTTCCTGGTTGTCGCCCCCGCGGTCTCGCTGGCACTGCATAAGTGCCCTCTCTCACGCCGCGTCCGCTCGTTGGTCGGTTGAATTATCCTTGACTGCAGTGATTGTACCCGTATTGTACCTATCCTATCTTGCAACCCTATCGGTACTATACATTGGTGTTTTGACCACGACGATAGCCAGCAAACGTTTGACGGATGAGATCGCCAGGCACGCACCGTAGATGCCTTGGAGACCCGGTTACAACAGGCACGCAACGTTGCTGCGCAGTGGCCCAGCCAAAGGCCATCGATGGCTGCGGGTCGGTCGATGCCGGGTCTCGGACGAGAGAGCGAGCCCGAGACAATTGAATTGTACATCGCGACAAAGTCACTCACGGTCTGCATAACAAGCTGTGAGAGTCAGTGAAACACACTGAATATAGATCAAGTTCTGGCCCTAAAATCTATGAAAGAAGATGTGCTTGCCATGTTGCATCAAAGAAAGTCAATGAAACCGGTAACTACTCTTCTTTCTTGATAACTGTACTTTTATGGTAATCTCCGGAACGTTTTGTACCTTTTCCAAAACCATTCATGCTTGATGGGAAAGGCCACCTCATTCTACGTAAATGTTAATGCCTTTGCTGCAATGAGAATCGGTATTTCTTTGTTGTGAGTGTCACTTTCCAGGGCTAAGCTTTCGTGTGTTCCTCACACTGTTATCGTATCAGTCACAAGACCCAGTTTAGGGCAGGCCTTTTCGCGACGCATTAGCCGCGTCGCGTCTGCATGCTTCACTGCTCCCTCACCGGCACCTCTCCAGAGCTCTATCTTCGCGGCCACGTTCCATCATGTCGCTGCTCGACGAGCCCGTTCCCGACGATGTCCTCATGCGCGACAGGACGCGCGTCTTTGAAGAGTTCATCGACGCCGAGTCCCAGCTCTACAACTACCGCGACGACATCGCGCGCATGCTGCGCCAGGACCAGCGCCGGCTCATCGTCAACATCGACGATCTGCGCGACTACAAGCGCGACTTTGCCGACGGGCTTCTCAAGCGCCCCGTCGAATTCCTTCCCGCGTTCGACGAGGCCCTCGCCAACGTTGTCAACCGCGTGCATGACGCGGAGAAGCACGATATTGCAGGCAACGAGTACCGCGTCGGGTTCAGTGGGTCCTTTGGTGATCAGCATGTCAGCCCGCGCACGCTGCGCGCGTCTCAGCTGGGCAAGATGATTTCTCTTGAGGGTATCGTGACGCGCTGCTCGCTCGTCCGGCCCAAGATGCTCAAGTCGGTCCACTACTGCCCCGAGACGCGTCAATTCCACGCGCGCGAGTACCGCGACGCGACTACTTCCACGTCAAATCTGCCGCCGACATCCTCGGTCACGCCACAGACGGACGACGAGGGCCATGTTTTGCAGACCGAATTTGGCTACTGCGTGTTCCGGGACCATCAGAGGATCAGCATACAGGAGATGCCGGAGCGTGCACCCGCGGGACAGCTTCCGAGGAGCACTGACGTGATATTGGATGATGACCTCGTCGATAAGTGTAAACCGGGTGATCGCATACAGCTTGTGGGCGTGTACCGGAGCGTAGGAGGAGGCGCAAGTGGCGCATTCAAGTACGTCTCAGGACCATTCATTGACATATTCTGACGCGTCTCGAACAGAGCTCTCATCCTCGCAAACAACATCATCCTCCTCTCATCCAAGGTCGGCGGCGGGATCGCACAGACACCACTGACCGACTCGGACATCCGTGTGATCAACCAGCTCTCCAAGCGCTCCACCATCGTCAGGCTCCTCTCGCAGTCGCTCGCGCCGTCCATCTACGGCCACAACGAGCTCAAGACCGCCATCCTCATGCTGCTCCTCGGCGGCGCGGAGAAGAACCTCCCGAACGGCACGCACATTCGTGGCGACATCAACCTGCTCATGGTCGGCGACCCGTCCACCGCCAAGTCGCAGATGCTCAGGTTCGTCCTGGGCACGGCGCCGCTCGCGATCGCCACGACCGGCCGGGGGAGCTCGGGCGTCGGTCTCACGGCCGCGGTGACGACGGACAAGGAGACGGGCGAGCGGAGGCTCGAGGCGGGCGCGATGGTCCTGGCGGACCGCGGGGTGGTGTGCATTGATGAGTTTGACAAGATGTCGGATATTGATAGGGTGGCGATACATGAGGTTATGGAACAGCAGACCGTGACAATCGCGAAGGCGGGTATCCATACGACGCTGAATGCGCGGTGCAGTGTCATCGCTGCAGCCAACCCGATTTACGGCCAGGTGAGTATTTGCTTCGTGTAACGTCACCCTCGACTGAATTAAATCGCTCTCGCAGTACGATGTCCACAAAGACCCACACAAGAACATCGCACTCCCAGACTCGCTTCTCTCCCGTTTCGACCTCCTCTTCGTCGTGACCGACGACGTCGACGAGAACCGCGACCGGCTCATCGCGGATCACGTCCTGCGGATGCACCGCTACCTGCCTCCGGGCGTCGAGGAGGGCACGCCCGTTACAGACAGCCTTACGCAGAGCCTCTCCGTCGAAGGGCCCGGTGCGGCTCAGCCCGACGGCGACGGCGGTGAGGTGAGCCCGTTCGAGAAGTATGACCCGCTGCTGCACATCGGGATCGGCGAGGCGCTGTCGTCGACGAGGCGGCGCGCGCCGAAGAAGACTGAGGTGCTGAGCATCGCGTTCGTGAAGAAATACATACAGTATGCGAAGAGCAAGCCTGCGCCGGTGCTCACCAAGGGCGCGGCAGACTGGATCGTCAGTGTGTATTCGCAGCTGCGGAACGAAAGCCTCGATGACAACAGGAAGCGGGTACGTAGCGTGCACTTTCTCTCGTTCGCTCTTCTTGATGACGAGGACCGTATGGCGTAGACATCGCCGCTGACAGCCCGTACCCTCGAGACGCTCATCCGTCTCTCCACCGCACACGCCAAGGCACGTCTCTCGCCCAAGGTGCAGGAGCAGGACGCGATGGCTGCGGAGGAGCTCCTCCGCTTCGCGCTTTACCGCGAGGTGCTCAAGCGCAAGCGGCGCACGAAGCGCCGCCTGAACGACGGGAAGATGCGGCAGCGGGGCAGCGACAAGGAGACGAGCGAGGACGATGAGTCAGAGAGTGATGAGGAGGCGGAGGAGCCCGCGAGGATGCGAGCGACGGCGCCGACGGCGAAGGGGAAGGAGAAGGCGATGCCGCAGGACCTTCCGAGGGACCCGGTGTGGGGAGAGGGGAGTCAGGATGTGCAGATGGAGGAGGGTCCTGTGTCTGCGTCGGCTGGTCCCGCTGACGATGGACGCATCCGACCGGAGCGGTAAGTTTTCGATGGATTTCCTTTCCATGAGTATGTTCCTGAGTGTCTGCGTCTTCACAGGTTGAAGCTCTTCCGTTCAAGGCTGGCGCAGCTGTTCGCGACAACACTGCAAGACGAGGAACAGTTCTTCTTCGCGACTCTGCTGCAGCACATCAACGAAAGCTTATCCACCGATGAGCTGTTCGGCACGGCAGAGGCCACACGGGCGTGCGAGGTCATGGGTGAGGCGAACGAACTCATGCTGAGTGGTGACATTGTGTATAAAATCTGATCTTGTTGGGGGCTTCTTGCATTGCTGTCTGCATTCATCTGCATATGCTACTCTGTATCTCTTACCATCGCACGATCCTGTATACCATGAATATATAATCAAACGTTTAACATGGGATATTGCAAGTCCATATCACCGCCCACAATCGCTCCTCGCCCGCAGGACCTGTGAGACCTCCTCCCTGCTCAACTCCGAGAACCCGACTGTCTCCAGCATGATACCCTCCCATTTCTCATCCCCTATCACCCCGAACGTCGCGTCCAGTATCTCTTGCCACTGCTTTCCTTCCGCGCCCACCAATCGGCTGGCCTGGAGCAGCTGCCGCCATGGCCCTTCCGCGCGAGCCCTGTCGCTCCGTGCGAGGGCAACCTGGCACGTCTCCACCCACAGCTCGCTCTCCGCGCGGATCGCCCTCCCCTCCTGTGGTGTAATCCGCCCCCGACCATGGTAGAGAATCTGGCGGTGGTAGATGTGCATGGCGAGTCGTGAAGCAATGCGCCGGTAGAGGCTTGTGACGGTTGTACGTGGGAGGGCTGATGAGAGGAAGGAAATGTGCGAGGATAGAAGGGCAAGCGGGCCGAGGAGGGTGGGCGCGAGCGCAATGTCGTCCTGCGCTCCTGGCGTGATTACGTTGGGGGTCACTTGTCTGTATAATAATCGTTAGCGAGGAAGCGCACAATTCCAGGGACGTGGACGAACGTTGATGAGCCGTTAGAGAAGTGGGCCCTGAGCCCAACCTCGACTTCTCCACAGACTGACTGCACGATCATATCCTCGGCACGTTCTGCTAGCTGCCCATACTGCATGATAAGTTCCTCGAAGATCGTGCCTTCCGCAGCCTCTGTCTCGCCGCCTTTAGGGTTAGGCAATGCCGATGCGGCTTGTATCTGCGAGCGCAGTGAGGCGCGGTGATTGATCTCGGCCCACAACTCCAGGAAAAACTGCATTGTCATCGAACGCTCAGCAAACCCTCTTTCTTCACTAGATAGGATTGCGCACCAGATCCTCTCCCCAAGCTTCACACGCAGCACTGATGTACTTCGCGCTGACCAAGGCCTTGCACAGCCTCTGTACGCCCTCAACGCCGCTGGTTAGGCTCTTAGGATCTCCCACCCTCCCCGATGCATCGCTGACACTGCCCAACGCACCAGGAACAGCGCGTATGAGGCTGGACGATAGTGTCTCGTATGCGTCTAGTGAAGACGAGATGCGAGAATGGTACGACTCCAGGATCGGCAGCTGGACGACAATGAGGAAGCGCGTGCGATGTAGGAATTGCGGGAGTGGTGAATATCGGTCTGTCACATAATGAGATGATGACGATGGTTTGAAAAAACGTCTCCATTTACCAGTGACTTGCTCGACTAGGGCCTTGACCCTTCGGGCAGAGTTAGTCGGTCTCAGGTCGCGGTCGGTAACGATCGCATCCTCCGTATCGCCTTCGTCATCTGCGATGAGCCAAGCGTCGGAGGCGCTGATGATCTCAATGTACTGATCCATCGTAACTGCAGCGTGTCAATGCCCTCCATGAACGATGAAACAAAACACAGACTTACATTTCCTCTCGCCCTCCATCCAGGCCTCGAACCATTCTTTCCTTCCTAGGATGACATCGCTGATGCCCTGCCACTTGCTTCCCTCGCTTTTCTTGCCGTCTTTTGATGGCTCACCCGCCGTAGTATCATTGATGTCGAAGTTTTCTTCTCGCAATGCACTGTCGAAAGCAAGTGCCTCGTAGATGGTGTGTGCGAGTAGAGACGGATGTGCCAGAAGGGTCGGCATGGTACGATGGAGCTTGCGTTCAAGTAGAGGTAGAAGAAGGAGCGTAAACTCACGCTGCGTGCAGCATTTGAGCGATGATGAGAGCAACGTCCTTGAGAAGTATATGCGATCACTAACCCAAGCATTGATGTTCCGATATTGCGTGTCTGACAGGAACGTCTGCACCACATTCTCCATGAATGGACGATGTTCATGTGAGACGTTGAGGACATGAGTAAAGTACCATTCCGGCTGATTTCCATATAATCGCTCAGCACCCCTCGGGAGCATGATTCCACAAAACAACTAACCTTGTCAAGTCTATTTGTTTGCCTTTCTCCCTCGAAATGATACTTGAATCTCAAGGAGATTGGTTGGACTAGTGCCTGAATGGGGTACAGACCCTCTCGTGCAACTTCCTTGCCTTTGATGGCTGAATGCAGTTGCTTCCCGCTGAGGTTGCAATGAGCACGGCGACCGGCGTGGGGCGGGGAGACATACATTTTTTGAAGCTTTGACATGTTAGAGAAAGCGGCCTCGAACGCCTTCCTATCTCCCGTAGTAGCTGACAGGTAGTCGACTACCATCGGCCAATGTAGTTTCTCCGCCGCGGACAACAACGACCTAAGGTGCAATCAGCATGCGTCGGGGTCAAGATACACTGGACAAAGGCAACTAACGTGGACAAAACATGGCGCATATCTGCCCACGTCCGTTCTCGGATGCTCTCCAGGAAGCTGAGGATGTGTAACTCCTGCTCGCCCGCAACGTCCTCCACCTTCGCGCATACTTGATGCACGGAAGCCACAAATTCTTGCAGTCCCTCATATTCGCTCACGGAGGACAGCGAAGACGAAGAGCGGATTTGGTCTACTGCCAATTCACTTTCATTCACTGTGGTCTAAGTAGACTTCAGCAAAGCCTGAGGAGCATTAACATACCTGAGCTTTAGAGATTGTTGAACTATCTGCACGTATCCTTTGACACTCTGCACTTCTTTGAGGCTGCGATGCAATGTTTCGAGATCCTCCAGCAGCGTGGGCTTGCGCTCGGGATCACCCAGTGAGGATACCAATTGTTGCGATAGATACGATAGCTCGTCTGATAACGAATGTCTCAGCAGAGAAGGCTCTTGAGCTGTATGCAGTTGCAATTCCGCAGAGGCCCTCGTCTCCACAATCAATGCATTCACAACTTGCCGAGATTGAGACAACTGAGCTGAGACGGAGGCATCAGCATTCGCGCGATGCTGCATCCGACGGAGGACGCACTTGCGTTTTCATGTCCTCGCTGTGCTGTATTGCATCCTGGACGACTCTTTCGACGCCTGCCTCATCTTCGATGTCCTGCAATGAGGTGAATCGGGCATCGAGGAAGTCCAGTGCGCGCTTCTCCGACTCCGCAATATCTGGGCCTTGCAACAGCTCCTGTATTTGCCCGGACGCCATGTGGGAGCGTTTGCGACGAATCGCTAGAACGTGCCTGGTCTGCGGTAGTACGAAAGCTAGAGATTGTGCGGAGAGGTGCGACCGTCAGATCACTGCAGCAGCTGCGTGAGAATTAATAACGAAACCTGTTACTCCGCGTTAACAAATTACAAGTCCGCGCGTTGAGTCCGTGCAACCATATATAAGGTCGGACCTGCGTGTTTCTGAAGCGATATACACGCGCCCCCCCTCTGCTCGCGCTGCTTGACGGTTTCGCTCACTCTGGTGACTGTACATGTGTTGTCTTGGCTTGCCGGATGATATACCAGTCATCATTTGTGATGTGAATGCCGACTTGTAGTGCATGCCGGCTCACGCTCTTCCCTTTCCCTCCTTCGACAATATCACCTTGGGACAGTGACAAGGTTTCCGATGACTTTGATCAACAAGCTCTCAGCCATAAGGGTTCTTTGCGACGGCATGGTAATACTTCGTAATGCAGACGCGGCCTCCGATGCCATCGTTATCGCGCTGATATCGCTCTTGCACAGGAACGTCGCACAGACGGTAAATGCAAGCTCTTACGCATAGACAGCCGCTGTCTAATTGTATCCGAATGGGCAACTGCACGCGACGCGCAATGATTACGACCGCAAATTTGTGAACTCCTCGCCAATTGTGCTGTCTCTCACCCACGTCTTCAACGTCGTGGTCAGTATCTTCTGTCGTGGGTCACAGCATGCGCGCTGAAGACCTGAATAACATCAATTATGACATGCCATTGCTGCTTTCCAGCACGGATCGTCAAGGCAGCCACATTTTGAACAACGCTCATCTGTAGCATCGCGCCGCCATCTCTGGAACCGCGAGGCTCGACAGCTTGTAAGTGATATCACTTTGCATCGATCGTCAGGTGATGACTGCACGAATCTGTAGACTCTGGAAAGCAGCGCCGCACTCGATTCGCAAACGACAAGGTCGCATAGGGAATGCAACGGCTACCTTAGTCGGACGTGATTCAAAGGGAATGACCTTCGCTAGCTCGCCGCTGGCGATCTGTCCTTTGTTTCCGCTAGCTTGCCGCTGGCTATCCGTCCTCCCCTTCGCTAGCTTGCCGCTGGCTATGGGTCGTATTCTGCTAGCTTGCCGCTGGCTATGGGTCGTCTTCTGCTAGCTTGCCGCTGGCGATTCTTTCTATCCTCTCGCTAGCTCGATGCTGGCGATCCTTGAGTGACTCATCGACATCTATATGGTGGCTTCCCCGACAACACAACTAGTTATACTGACGCGGTCAAGGGTATACGCGAAGCGGCATGATGAGCACCAAGATCGCAAGACATGCTGGCAAATATTGATATAACAATGAGAACTGCAGCAAACATCAACTTAATCATCAAGAGCGGCCGACATACTGCCGCCGTGTGAGCGTCGGAACGCCGGCAACATCTACCTCATTGTAGGTAGCTTTGTTCGCCGTGCCAGCTGCAGACTAGGTGACTGCCCGCGGGTTCATGTCGTGGGGCGGCCGACTCTGTTGCGCAATTGAAAGCTCTTCGATTACTCCTCATTGTCAGATTCAATGGCGAGTGAGGAGCAATCTGGGACGACATGGTCATCAATACTCATTCTTGTCGACTTTGGCATGTAATAGAATAGTAGCTTATTCTGAATGAATTTCTCAGGTGTTACTCAGCCCTCTTTGCTGCTGGCTGCCTATTCTCCAATTTGCTGCTGATGATTTGTCCTCTTGGCCTGTCAGCTTGCTGCTGGCAAATCCTTTTTCTTCTCCTAAATTGCTGATGATATCATGATTTTCCTCCAGCTGACCATTGGCACTGAGCTCTGTTTGGTTTCATGAGGACTCCCTGCAAGATCACCTTTTCCAGTTATAGGAAGCTGAAGGTTGTTATGCATCAGGATGGCAGATATAATGCACAAAGAGATAGCAGCAGAACTCACCGAGAAATGTCACAAAGAGCATGCTATCAAATACAACAGATGTTTGCTGTCGTTTGCTTGTATCTGCTCGGGCACACATCCAGTTGATTTCAAGCCTGGGATAAGCTCAAGTAAGTGCTTGAAATGATGGTTCAGACTATGCTGCTGCGCATGGCTCGCAGAATACAGGATGAAGTGAAGTGCAAGAAGCACGCATTAACGGCTATCATTTGCAACGCAAGCAACTGGCCTGCGTCCTTGTGCGGAATTTGACCTTCGATGGCAGGTTTCCTGATCGCTTAATTGTCGAAGTATATCCTGGTACGTATGCTGCCTGAGTTGCTTGGATGTGACATTTGTGCACAGGCATAGAAGTGCATTCTCTTCGGTCCCATTTCTGCAAGCGCAGACGTCCATAATAGCTGTGATCAAAGTCGAAGCACCGTCCCATCAATACGAGTCGTACGACCGACCACGACATGCATGATACATACGGCCGACGCTGAGCGCAACGCTCGTAGCCTATACGGTTACACACGTATGACTTTCCTTCACTGCCGGCTGCTGCTCAATCGTATAGTAAGTTATCTTTGCATCATCGTCTGCTGTCATTAACAACAAGACAAAGAAGATCCTCGACAGCGTCTTCGGCATCCACGCGCTCTTGACGATTCTCACTGATGACTGTCTCATGTTGCGGAGCCGGTTCGGTTCTATCCTCTCTCTCACGTCCGAGATTGACTGACATTCATGATATTCAGTTCCTCCCTGGTGTGGCCATTAAGGATGTTCGCGTCGAGTCGGGCTTTTAGCGTTTCCGTGTTTGTCCAATGCGCCCAGGAAATCACCAAATCGATTGTATTATAAATAGTGTTGTATTCCCTATCACGATCTGTAACCGATATTCTAGTTCCATGTGATGTTGCGTGATCTGCCACACGTTGAGTGATACATTTGAGCAATCCTGGTCATCCAACAAGAGATACCTTACCAGCTCTACATTACGAGGATACGTGATCCAGGTAAACGATCAGAGGGCCTTTCGCGTCAGGCAGTCCGTATAGTATAAGTTCATCCAAAGAGCTCCCCCGATAACGTGGATGCAATGGCCATCACTCTGATTTGAGGTTTTGCTCCACCCAGCTGACCACCTCTTTCCAATGGTTGACTCTCTTCAATGGCGCACTCTCCGGGATCTCTACCTCGTCATCCTTCCACCATTCCCTTCCGCCCTCGAGGCGATGCCTCTCATCGAAGCTCACTTCGAACCGGATGTCCACGTATTGCGCCTGTCTTTTGTTCCATTGATAGTCACCGAATAGCAGCGTCGGGACCGGCGGCTGGTGATCGATGCACTTGAGCGCATTTTCGAGCGAGTCGTCGATCATCAGTTTGGCGCCGAGCTTCTTGCACACCTAAGAGATGCATGCGTGAGCTACCGTATGAATCGAGATTTGCCAGTACACCCACATCCGCCTTTGAGAGCTTTGCCATCATGGCCTGTTGATCCTTGAGGGTTTCCTGTGACATCCCGGTGCAGATGATGGTATCAAAGATGCCGTGGTAGTGTGTCGCTATCCAGTTTTCCGTCCGCTCCAGCTCGCGCACCTGTCTGGCGGTGACCACGACCAAGTTGAATCCCATGTCCTTCAGTGCCTGCAAGCCCTCGTGTGCGCCTTCGATGGGCGGCGCCTCGTAGAGTCGGGGAGTCTGGTAGAATTCCTCTACTTTCCTGAATGTCTCGTCTGGGGAGCCCCAATACGGGTTCTGGGTTGCGAGGTCAGGAGGAGGGCATAAATTGAGCATATTTCAACTCACTCGCCAGTAGTAGTAATCTAACGACCCATCAATGCCGCGTAGAAGTACGTAGAAATCCGCACTCACAGTAAAACTGATCCAAGGTCATCTTGGAAGCATAAGTATCATTATGCCCTACCAATCGAAAGGTTCAATAGTGGCCTCGCAATGCGGGGAAGACATCGCATCTTGACATACATTCCGCAACGACACGATTAGTTTGGCTCAAGACGTCGTCCAAGTCAATTGCAATGATCGGTTTTTCCGCAGGCAGGCTCTTTATGATCAAGACTGGGCCAGGAGGTTTGCCATCCGACTGGTTCTCATTCGCTGCAGAGGATGTAGTGACCGACATGGATGTTCGACGTCCAGGTGACTGACTCTGCGCAGACCTCGCAGCGGCGGAAATACTATTGACTCGAGATTGATGGTGAGATGATTGATCCGTTCGGCACTCGACTTCCGGCAGCCACATGCAGTAGCTCGTATTGCATTGCATTGCTCTTCCGGGAGAATTGCATTTCGGTTGAGGTCTGCTACGGACAAGGTAGAAAGCGTGACGGCGGTGGCTCGCTGCAGGCAGGGTGCAGTTGAAGTTCAAGGTCGACTCACGCGTGAATGCCGAGCGCTACATCAGAGGAATCACGCGCGTCGAGAAACCCCAGTGCATGTATCGCCACCCACAATCGTCGCATGCAACTTCATACAGCCACCCACCAACTTCATAGAGCCGCTGCCCGTTGGCTCGAGCACGCTCTACGCGACGACCTTTTCGCATCATGGCACTCCTGTCCACACTGAGGCCCAGCCGTGAGCGGATCCGCGAAATTGGCAGATTGTATGCGTCGCATCGTCCGATCATCCAAAGACTCCTTCTGGTCGGTTTTATCGTGCATATTATCTCGTACACTGTCGGCGGGCTCGCAGCCAAGCCCAGTGTGAGCCAGAAATCGTCAAGGAAAGGCAAGGGGAAGGGGAAGAGCAAAGCCGCTGAGGCGGCGGAGGGGCGGAAACCGCGAGTCGCTGTGAGTCGCGTAGCCTCACTGTGTTTCGTGCTAGACGTGAATGGATGTCGTGTGTGCATAGATAGATGCGTTGTTCTATCAACGACTGTCGACGATACTCAAGATCGTGATTCCGAGTCTGCGCTCGAAAGAGGCTCTACTGCTCGTCATGCACTCCAGCCTTCTCATCTTCCGAACCGTAATCTCGCTGTACGTCGCAGCATTGGATGGCAGGTGAGCTTCTGTCTACGCCTAGCATCAGGAAAATTCAAATCGACTTGTGGCTCGAGAACCTTCTTTTTGACTTGTTCTTGCTGGTATTGGCTTGTACAAGCAAATAAATGCACAATAAGAAGCTTCCAACCCAGAAAACAGTTTTAAGCCGGATTTGAGTTTTCCTGATGCTAGTGTCTTTTCTCTACCATATCAATGTGAGTTATGTTCGCTCATAGTATGTCTTATGGTTGGCATAACTAGAATTGTGGCATCTCTCGTCCGAGCGCAGCCTATACCTTTCCTCCTCAACATCCTGCGGTGGTTGTTAGTTGCAATACCTGCTACGTGGACCAACAGCTGGTTGAGCTATGTCCAGAACAAGATTGCTCTGGCATATCGAACCCGGTTGACCGAAGAGGTGATGAAGCAGTACCTAGGTGAGACGGCGAATGGGCAGGACCTCAAGGTATTCTACAAACTATGTGAGTACCATCGCACAATACGTGACACTATGCAGGTTAACAATCGTTCTGTTAGCTAACTTGGACGACAGGATCAAGAACCCAGATCAGTTGAGTCCTCCGAGCCACTCAGTTCCAGGGGCACAGAAATAATGGCCTCCTCGGGCAGGATGATCACCCATGACATCCAACGTTTCTCAACACACTTAGCAGCCATCTACGCGAACGTCGCAAAGCCGATGCTAGACATGATTCTGTACAACTACCAGCTCTCGCAGAACGTCGGCGCGGAAGGTCTCGTCTTACTCACCATCGCCATCGAATGCAGCGCAGCCCTCCGTACGTTTTCGTTCCCCGCATTCACATCTTGCCGGTGTTGACGGCATCTCCCTCCAGTACGCGCATTGACCCCGCCCTTCGGCCTGTACACCGCACTTTCCGCGCAGCTCTCGGGCAATCTGCGCCACACGCATTCGCGGCTGGCCGAGTTTGCGGAGGAAATCGCGTTCTTCGGTGGCGAGCACACGGAGAAGATGCTCGTCGAGCGAGAGTATGCGGGCCTCGTGCAGCATGAGGAGAAGGTGCTCCGGAGGGCGTGGTGGCATGGGTGCCTGGAGGAAGGCGTTATCAAGTGGCTCTGGGGAAGCTTTGGGGTAAGCATGAGTGGCATTTGGTGAAGAGCTTAGATCATTTGTTGACCTTCGTGTAGCTGTGTCTGTGTGCGATTCCCGTGTTCTTTAAGTTGCCGGGAGTGAGCGGTATTGACTTGGGGAGTCGTACGGAAGGTGCTGTACCATGGAATCACCTGTGCCTCATGAGCTGACTTCTAATCCAACAGGCTTCGTTACTAATCGGAGACTGCTCTTGTCTGCTTCCGGTATGCACCCTGTGGCATTTGATGTCATGGAGCGCACGTTGACAGGCAGATGTAGATGCATTCGGGCGAGTTATGTACTCCTACAAGGAACTATCCGAACTCGCAGGATATACCGCACGAGTTTCCCAGCTGCTAGAGACGATGGCGGATATCCGGAAGGGGAAGTTTGAGAAGGCGCTTGTCAGCGGTGCGGATACTGAGGAGCACGCTAACAGTGAGTCGTGCTTATCCTTGTTGCCTGGCTTCGAATATTGAATTGGGCTTCGGCGCTCTAGTACTCAAGGGCAGGGGGATCAGCATTGAGTCTGACGAGATCGAATTTGAGAACGTGCCGATCGTGACGCCCAATGGCGACATACTTGTCCGCAGCCTGAGTTTCTATGTAAAACCAGGAGTACGTCTTGATTTGCTCTTCACGACGTGATGGCCTAATGGTGATTTGCCCTAAGCAACACCTCCTGATTGTCGGACCCAATGGTAGGCGGAACAATAGCGTCGAAGCGCAAGCTGAGCGAACACTGGACTACAGGTTGCGGGAAGTCCTCACTGTTTCGCATACTGGGAGGTTTGTGGCCAGTTTATGGTGAGTAAGCGATCCTCCATCTAGTTCATTCCGTGAGACGTATCTGCGCCAGGTGGGATCGTTCGCAAGCCACCAGCATCACAATTCATCCTTATCCCACAACGACCGTACCTATCTCTCGGAACGCTTCGTGACCAGGTCATTTATCCTCATAGCAAGAAGGATATGGAAGCAAGTACGTGGTAGCCGAAAGAACTCACCGGTCCTTCCGAGTCTCGCCGTATTGACGCACCGTACGCAGGGGGTGTGACGGACGACGATCTGCGCGCGATCCTATCCGAGGTGCAGATGGACCATATAATTGAGCGTGAGGGTGGATGGGATGTCGCGCGCGACTGGCATGAGGCACTCAGCGGAGGTGACCAGCAGAAGATCGCGTGGGCGAGGCTGTTTTACCACAGGCCAAAGGTCAGTCAGTCGACGCGTGTTGCTGGATCCCGTCGCTAAATTTAGCATCGTATATCTAGTATGCGGTGCTGGACGAAGCGACATCGCTCGTTCCCCCGGAGATGGAAGGCAGGATGATGGAGCACGCGACGCGGCTGGGGATCACCCTTTTGACGGTGTCACACCGCCCGTCACTATGGAAGTACCATTCGATGATCCTGCAGTACGATGGGCAGGGTGGCTATGTCTTGTGCGTGTGTGAAGAGAGCTGTTTCCGACCGGCTCGGAGCTAACGGCGACTTTGACAGTACGAAACTCGATGCCGAGAAGCGCCTTGCACTGCAACAGGAGAAGGAGGCGCTGGAGACGAAATTGCTCGAAGTGTACGGTCATGCTTTGTCATCAGTGGTGCTGCTGCTCATGCGATTTGCAATTTGTAGGCCGAAGATGCGAGCGAGGTTAGCCGAACTGCAGGCTTTGCAGAGAGGAGGAGTGGCTGGGAGTGCGTAAGCCGGTGTCCGGGTCCGATATGCGCTTCTTGAGGGAGGACAGGAGTGTGATTTTCCTTGGATGTATATACCGCTATGGATTGCGACAATTCGCTTGCAAAGGCCGCATGCTGAGACATGCACGATGTGGGCGCGGGCGGCCAGGAGATAGCCCTCTCGTTTCGCGCAAGGACGGCTGCGATTGGGCAGCTGCAGACGCGGGCCACCGAGTGGGTCCGGGGAGATAGATCGGCATCGGGCGGCGGGGCGCGGGGTGTGTCAATAGCCAAATGGGGCCTGCCGAGGAGACGATCGTGCCGGGAGAACACGGAGCCGTTTTTTTGGATCACGCGCCGGCTTAGTGGGCGGCTAAGGGCGCCGTATTCCTCTTATTGGGCCCCACCGGTCGCAGCCCACTCACTTGAGCACCGTTGCTGTGCCTGCGGGGGGACTCTATCTGCTTTTTTTCCCTTACCTTACACCCCTCCGTCCTATTCTTTCTCTACACTCACTGTCTCTGTCGGACATGCATTATTTCTCGCAGCTGTTCCATTACGAGTAAGTCGTGTGATGCCCCAGATGCTGAAGTGCTAATGCGGGTTCCAGTCACCCATGGTCGCACGTCGTGATTGGGATGTGGCACAAATACCCCAACCCGCACTGCTCTCATGTCGTTACGATTGATGTTCTCGACCGCGACGTCGACCCGAGCACGGGGGTCATTCGCACCGAGCGTATACTCGGGTGCAAGCAGAAAGCGCCGATTTGGATCGTCAAAGTGAGTTGGGATTCTTTCTGCTATCTGCGTGAACGCCGTACTGATGAATGCGTGCGCCCCAGCTATTTGGAGGATCGGAGGACGCGTTCGTTCGCGAAATCTCGTTCGTGGATCCCCGCACGCAAAACACAACCATAACGTCCGTCAACCTTTCTCTGTCCCAGTTTGCCACGTGCCTCGAAAACATCCGCTACTCGCCAACGGAGGATGGGCGCACCGCATTCACGCAGACTGCCGAGATCCAGGCTCGAATGGCTCTCTGGCGTGGAGCGGCAGACAAGCTGGAGGGCTGGCTGGTGCAGCGCTTCGAGCAGAACGCGCACCTGGGCAAGGTCGGATTCACAGACGTTTTGCGGAGTATGTGGGAGGCAAAGGAAGGGCATCTAGCTCACTTATGAAGAACATTTGGCTCAACTTGACGTTGTTCTTTTTCCCTGGGCTATCTGACTCCACCCGGTAGAGTGAGGCGGATATAGAAAATAAAAGAGTCTACAGTGGGCTCTCCTCGGTCCTATACCATACAACATTGTACTATCCCCGCATACAATATTTAGTGTACCAGTACCTACGCATTTACGAAGCCCGTCCATTAGAGGGCGATGGCCGCGCACTGCTCGTCTGCTCCGCGGCAGTGAACCGAGCGCTAATTGGCTGCAGGGTTGGATTCCGCTGAGTCATGTGTAATACCCCAGATTTGGAAATCGTCCTTCAGTGGCCTGTGCCTTCGCCGCTCTTCTTGCGACGCGCGATTCAGCTTGAGCTATCGCAAAGAGACTGGCTGCCTCTCCTTTGCGTCTAAGTGTATTCGCTTAAAGAAAAAGACTGTTGAATTTTCTTGCGATCAACGGATAGCTCGTCATCCCTGAAAGGTACGTCGACGTAAGCTGTGGGTAGGGCGCACGCGACTCTAATCACCGTTCTTCACGCAGGCTCTACGCTATGGACGAGCTCATTCATCACTGCGTGCGTGAGTTGGCTTTCGACGGAGAACTCGGTACGTGTTTACGGGCGTCAATACTACTCCCCTCCTTCAGGGGTTCGAACCCTCCCTAAGGCAAGACTTTGTCTTCACAAGTAAACTCACTTCTTGCTTGTACAGGATGCGATGTCTCCCGTTTGAGGGAATTCATTCAAGGATTCTATGCACGCAACAGTTCCACCGCAGCGCAGAAAGTTGATGACGCATATTGTGCATACGTATGGGCCGTGATCGCTCAGCAGCCCACGGTCAGGGTGGGGATGGTCCCGCCAGGCGGGGCAACGGAAGTACATATCGCTCCTCAGGCGAGTGCTAAGCGCAAGGCCAAGACGAAGGGAGAGAAACCGCCGGAAGCACTCCCCGCTCCAGAAGGTCTGCAAATTATTCCTGATGCAGCCATAAGACCTCTCGAAGAGCTCCGTGCGGAATATGGCGAGGGTCTGAGGATTGCTGTCGATTCTGACACGGCGTTCACTGCCATTACGGGGTCGCATATTAGGGTGAGTTATGACACCCTGCGCGCAGATGAGAAGGCCATATCTGATTTTTGCCCACATATAGCATCCGAAGTTGACGTCTATGGTATATACGGCATTACAGTTCATCAGCCGAGGGCGGGATGAAGGCATCAGTGTCATTGATCTGGGCAAAAAGTCAGGTTATGACCAGAAGACCTGCTTCTACCTCATCAAGCAACTAGTTGACCTTGACCTCGTGTAAGTCATCATTCACGGACAAACCTAAAGTTTCGCCGCTCAACTCCTCTCAGGGTGAAGCGCAGGAAACCAGGAGTTAGCACGAATATATGCGTTCACAAGTATTTCTTTGACAGGAGCGAGGTATGGAAGCAAGTCCTTAAAGAAGAGGCTCAGGCTGCAGAGTCACAGCAGCGCGGCGGACCAGACGAATCAAAGCAAGAGTCGGACGAGGAAGACGTGCAAGACACTACACCAAGCACTGTTCAGTTTGACCCCATCGACTCGCGACATCTGTCAAGCCTCCCTCTCGTACGTGCCCGGATCACAAAACTGCTGCAAAGCTCTCCCCATGGCATCCACTCGTCAACTAACGTCCTGGTCAGAATTGTGAGCGATTATCTTTCGGGAAGCTACCTCAGGGCTAACTAAGAAACATCAGGGCTTTGCAAATCCTACCAAGAGTGACCGACGCTTCTTCCGCACTCTCATACGGGAGCTGCTTGACCAGGGAGTTATTGAGAAGGTTCAAGTTATGCATCCGGACAAGCAGCGGTTCCCCAATAGGAAGACCACTTGCATCCGCTTGGTGCACCCACATGAGGTACCTCTTGCTGAAGATCAGATACCGGCTGTCCCGCTCAAAGGTAAGCATATCCACTTTCCTCAAAAATAAGTTGTTAAATCATGCACGTCGACATGCAGAGATCGCTGAGGTGGGGAATCCGCTGAAGGTCGATCTCACAATCTACAAACAGATCATCAATCTTCTCGACGAATCCGGTACCAAGGGCATGACGATGAATGTGAGAAAATATTGTGGATGATATCGTTCATTCGATGACCTCATTGATCGTATCCAGGAGCTGTCTGCTGCGCTCTGCAACTTTGACAAGCGGACCATAGAGCTGCTTCTTACGCGGTTGGAGCACGACCCGCCACCGCCTCATCTCGGAGACCTCGGCATCGCACAACAGGCCGAAAACTACGGTCGAGAGCGCCGTTATAAGTACTACACCGTCGCGCATTTCCACACCATCGCCGCCAGAGAGAATTTCGAGGATCATCAATACAAGGACGTAGACTTGGACCAGGCGGGTGGCTTCATGCAAGTCAAGGAAAGCGCGTTCTACGACGATGAGAGCGCTCTAAAGAGATATGTGGATAATTTCAAGACAATACAGGATGCGAATGTTGCCGATACTGCGAAGAAGTCGAAGGGCAAGCAGAGAGTGTGGAAGAATCCTATCCTTCCGGATGGGACTGTTAAGAGAGGTAGACCGCGCAAGTATCCCGTTTCGGAAGATGCAGCCACCTCCAAGAAAGCCAGCATGAAACGCAAGAGAACCGAGGAGTCGACACTCGAAGAACGTCCCGAGCTTAGTGCAGGCGATATCCAGACAGCTGAGACTCCACCGCCTAAACGCAAGCGCGGGAGACCGCCCAAACAGCGTATCGAACCGGCGGTTGCCGCCTGCACAACTCTTGAGGGAACAATATCGGCGGGTCCCTCGGTTTCTGCTGACATGGCTCCCCCAGAGGCAGTCCCGAAGAGACGTGGGCGACCGCCGAAGCAGAAGGCCGCGCCCGTAGTTAGTGCGGATGCAGGCGTAGATCAAACAAGTTCTGTTCAGCCTGAGCCTGTGCAGAGGAAACGCGGGCGGCCTCGCAAGAGTATACCTCAACCAGAGCCAGTAACGGCAGAGCAGCCCAATGACCGCATGGACGAAGAACCTGCACCCGACGCAATATCCGTTGCGGTATCCGACGGGGACTCTCCCGATGGTCTTAGTCAAATGCTCGTGAACGCTGACAATTCTCTGGACATGTCCACGGCTGTGGACGAATCACTCATTTCTATGGATACATCGATGGCTGCTGACGAGAGCTTCACTACACATCAAACTGTACCTAGTGACCTGTCCTCCGCTTCGATCTCTGCCAGCGCCGCTCAGTTGCTACGTCCCTTGCCAAGGAGCTGCCAGCCCCTTCAATCTGCCAATGTGCCGAGTCCGTCAATTGGCACCCATGTGATTGCAACTGAACAGCATCCTATAGATTTGCAAAGTGATGCTGAAGAAGCAGACGTGGTTTCTGACCAGGCACGTCGCCCAGTCACTGCGAACGTTGGGCCGCCGTTATCCGCTCCGGTCAGCGCATCGCTGGGAGTCCCGCTGCCTGCTGCTGGTGGTTCACTGGATATACCGCTCTCTGACGTATGTGGCAGTGCGCCGCCCGCGCTCGCCGGGATCCCCATTGATCCGATGCTGTTGGATACTCACGACCAGGTCACCTCTCTGACAGATGGGGTCCTTCATGTGAGTTCTTGATCTATTACGGAATGCCGAGACGTCTGCTGACTGAACATGCAGCAGGATGTCTCGCAGGATAGGTCCAGCTCAGCAGCATCATTATACATAGCTGAGAATAACGTCTCATCCCAATCGAATACCGCAAAGCGGCCGAATCCGGGGGCCACCACTCCTGCTCCGTCTGCAAAGCGGGCCAAGACGGACAGTGAAACCGAGAATCGCTATCACTCCAAAGTGAAACTCACCCAGTCGCGTCGAGAGAAGGAGTTCATGCGTGTGATCACAGATGCAGGAGGCATCGTGAATGTCAGCTCAAAAGGATTTTATGAGGCTTATTCCGCCGTGATCGAGGCCATCACCAAAGCCGGAGAGATCGCTAGCACTCTTCCAGGGACACGCATCGACAAACGCACAGTAGAAGCCACTCTAAGTGATCTTGAGAGCCGTCAGAAGGTCAAAGTCATTACCACTTCGGTCAAGACATCTACTGGTGGTCATCGATCAGTGCGTGTGGCATATCTGCCAGACATCACAGAGAGCGACCTGAACACGTTCCTGTCCAACCTGCGCATTCAACAGTTCCCTACGTCTGCTCCTATCAAGTCCATAGAGGAACCAACAGTGTATGGTGGGAAACCCTCCAAGCTACGTTCTGCCACGACCTCTGCAGGCTTTGCACGGGACGTACTGCAAGGAAAGAATCCTGCCACGATGCAACAGCTCGTGCAGTCTGGAGATACTGCCGTGCGGGAGGCTCTCCTGGGGGAGAAGAGTACGCTAGCGCAACTATATGGTTACATCCCTGGCAAAGCAGCAAGAGCGCGTGAGCTGCACCTCTGGACTGTCAAGCTTTTCGAATCAAAGGCGTCCTCTCCCCACATCGTCTCAACCGAACAGCGGGTGGTGTCTTTCTCGTTGTATGTGAGCGAACTACCCATCTCACTGTACTGCGCTTTCGTATCCACTCTATGGCAAAGTGATGAGCTGCCCAGTCTCCTCGCATCTGATGAAGGCCGCATGACCCCCATCGTAAAGGTTGCACCACTGATCCGCGACGGACTGCAGATTGCGCGTTCGAGGTCTCGCGAACGTCTCCTAGAGCTGCTATACATGCTGTGTTGTCTTCGGCTTGTAGATCCACTGCAACCTACCAAGTCAGATGATCCGGCAGTCAGATGCGCCCGAGGAGAGACCTCCCCGTCTGCATTTGACATCGTTCCTGTCGATTCCTGGTCGCCAACCACTGCTCCCGTCTTCTGGCGGTTCAATACGATTGTCCCCTTGCATCTCTGGGCTTTGTCAGAACATTCTCCTCCTCCTTTTTGGAAGAATGTGACAGTTGAGTCCCCCGGACAGTGCATCGAATATTGGCGAGAACTGCAGTATGTAAGCATACATACCGAGCACTGCAAGCACATCGTAGTCGCAACCGTCGATGAATCGGTGCACGCTAAGATCGGCAAGACTCTCAAGCGTTCTAATTCTTGGATCGACCGATATGTACTATCTTGGTACCAGACGGAATACCTCAGACAAAATGTGGATCAGCCCACTGGAAGTACGCCATTGCAGGACCAAGAGAATGGTGCAGCGCGAATTCAACATATCAGTTGGGTCGTTTGCGCTCCGACAGGCGTTGTGGAGGAGTTCTTCACCAAAGCCCATAGGAAACACCGCAAGGAGCAGAAGAAGATGCAAGAGAGGGCAGAGCAGAGAATTGAGGAGAAAAAGGCCCGCGAAGCTAAATCGAAAGCAATCCTGGCGCAGAAAGCGGAGGAAGCCCGATTGCAACGCGAACTTGACTGGGATGCCATGGTCAGCAATGTCCATCCGGAACCTCTCAAGGGCTCGGCCGCGGCCCGAGTGCGACGCATTCGTTCACAGTTTCTTCAGAGCTCTGCCAAAAATCGGAAAAAGTGGGAAACTCAGATAGCTAAAGCGATAGAGGAGGCCAATATGGCCGCTAAACAGGTGCTGTCGACAAACAGGCTCAGCCCACCCAGGATGACCCTCGGCATAGTACCATTGCCACCAGTAGTGGCTAACGCTTCCGAAAAGACTGTAGAAGAGATCATCTCACAACAAGGCCCACCACTTGTCCCATGCATTCAGGAGGCAAAGGAGAAAACCAAGAAAAAGGGAAAAGGCCGCAAGAAGGGTGAGTCGCAGTGAGCAACTGGCACGGCCAAACTGATCACCAGCGTCGCAGATGGTCTGCTACCTGCAGAGCCGAGTAGACGGCACAGGTTCCAATGGAACCGGGATTTTGATGAGTTAGCGCGAGATGCCTATGTCATCATAAAGGCGCGCTGTCGTGGCCACGGAAGGCTAGAGTTTGCAGCATTACAGCAGGCTTTTCCTGCTGTACCGAGAAATTCGGTTCGACAGCGAGTGGTAAGCCTGAAGGAGGTACCCGGTGCTGCGACGTATATGCAGCGGCTTGAGGATAAGTGGTATGAGGTTTGGGTTCAACATAGAGGAACACCCAATTTACCCGATGCTGACCCTGAGAGTCCGACGAACTTCGACCTTGTCGCCCACATCAAATTCTTGCGCAATCATGTCGACAAGAATGCCCTGTACGTCTTGTCACATGCGTTGAACATTCGAATATTCATGACCATCTTTCCTAGCCGTGTTGGATTCTTGCAGATGGAGAAAGAGAGCACGATAGTGCTTCCTGGTACCATTGACCAGTTGGAATCTTCCTGGAATATCATAGAGAAACCGCCCATTGCGCCCAAATGGGATTTCATATGGACCGGGGTAGCTGAAGAAGGGCGGGAGAAGCAATTCGTGCAGCAAGCATTCACGATGGATGCGAATGAAATACCTCCAACTCAATGTCAACACTCAGAGAGCGTGTATGTTGCAGAGGCAGCTCTCAAGGTGATTTTGGCTTCGGTGAATCGACATAGCCGCTGAAGCATGTTGTCTGCACAGATGGTAATGGGTACACCAAACGACACATATGATGCGCAAGCAGCAGCCGTCTTCCTCAGCTCCGTCGGTGAGAATGCTGTGCAGGCTGCAAGCAAGGATCTCCTCGCTCGTGGGGTGTTTTCCAAGATCATCAGAGATCCTACCCGGTCTAGACCCGGAAGAGCTCTCAAAATCTCAGATAGGTAATGTGATTGTCCTGCATGATGGCATGATGAAGTTCTAAGGGGTGTCTACGCCGAAGTAATCAAAATGCCCTTGGAGGCTCGCTGTCGCAAGATATTTTCCAGGATGCGTCGGCTCTTGAAGATCTGCTTGGCCAGGACGAGGATAATGCATGGCGCGAATGGTCGCTCCTATCAAGTGACGGAGACATGGCTGCCATGCTTGAACTGGTATTGGATAACAAGGTGACAGAGCAAGCAATGGGTCGTGAGTGAGATGCTAAGATTTGTCACAAACAACTTGCAGATCGAGTTCAAGGTTGATACGACGCATGCGCAAGAGAGGCGTGCAACTGTGGACTGGAACAGCAAGAAAGCCGGTTGGTCATGTTGATATTGTCGAGAGCGATCGCGGACCTGATGTATGCAATTATCAGATGATGATGACATTGAAACGGCATTGCTGGCACGAGCTTCAATTCCGCTGGCATCGTCATCTCCCCCACAAGCCGCCGAAGACTCCGCCCAAGAAGAGCAGATTCAAGCAGTGAAGTCCTTTGGGGAAGATCAGTCAGACGAGCACGGTCGGACAGCAAGTGGCGAAATGGCATTCTGTCGCTTCACCTCGAATAGCCTGATCGACTGCGCTGCTTGCCTGCATGATTCGAAGGTCTCGATTTTGCAGGAAGCCGGGGAGCACGAAGAAATGGTAATCTCAGCACTGCTTGAGGAGTTGAATAGCGCGCGTTCAGTTGGAATCTCTAGAGAACGCCTTCTAGTGCGCAACACATATATGTTTATTCATGATCTCCCTGCTGAATTGCATTAGACAAACACAGGTCCCTCGAGCACTATTCAAGCTTCTGCAATCATCAATAGGCTCATAAACGCGTCGATTCCCCTGGCGTACTGGGCTGGATACACCAAAATCATTTTGGTTTCGGCAGCTCACATCCGGCCTTGGGCTGTGTGCCTTTCAGACACAGATGGGAGGAGTGTCATGCTGTTCCCTCGGCGCTGGATCGACATTACTGGCAGAAGAATCAATGATGTATGGGAAGCAGCTCTTCGAGCCGTTCTCGGGATCGTAGTGTTTAGACCTGGGATCTGTCAGGTCTGTATCAAATCATTACTGCGGAACTGTTACTCACACCATACTGTTCGCAGGCCGAAATCCGCTGGAGACTGAGATCTGTCTATGACAGATGGGAGGTCAACGACGTACTGCATCACATACGCGAAGAAGGTTATGCCAACAGACGCGTCGGAGAGCCGCTTTGCGTTCCGGACTCGTGGCCTGCGGACGAAGAGGAAGAGCGATCGGCATTCTGGTTCTTGAGAGATGATAAAAGTTGGTATCATATTTGAATGGGACTGTTGACCTTTAATTATGAATGTTCGGGGAGATAGTAATGATGAAGAGCTACTGGACCAATCTGTTTCTCTCGATAGATGGCGATCACTGTTACCGCCAAGAACAGAGACGGTCGCTCCCGGAAGCAGCGTGAGCATTGCCCTAAGCAAACATTGGCACAGCGCTGGGGACCTCACCGCATTACTGCGGCGACACGCCATCCACGCTGCTCGTGCTTACCGTGGAGAGTGCCGGCAAGACGTCGATATGATGCGAGGTCACCGAGGCGATGCGGTATTGAGTTTACTATTGGGTAGGCGCTCGTCGTTCCCATGCTCGCGGCCAAAGCAACCAGCCAGCAACTCGCTCCTTTCCAGCGGCCCCCACTCTTTTCTGCCTGCTTGCGTTCTCTCCTTCATCCTCTTCGACTTCCCTGGCCTGGGAGTTCGGCTGGACCGTTGTGCAACCGTCTATTATCTGAACTGCTGAAATTGGCTGGCCTACGGTTGCTGCTTTTGTTCGAATTTATTTACTTTCTGTTTCGAGAGCATTCTAACTTTCGGTGAATGGGATGCGTTTGACCTCGGAAAACGTATATTGAGCGAAATTGCGGCTGCAGATCTGGTCAAAATGCGTCCGACTCTTGAGCAGATAGCAGGATACATCCCGTTTACTTCGAAGCTATGGCTGTTCGTGAGTGCTCGTCAATTTGCTCCCCATTACAGGAGGTGGCTAAATGCTCTATCGATAGTGGGAACGCGTTACCTTGTCGTGGATCACGACGATTTACTTCATCTTCTCCATCCTTCACTTCTCCGTCCAACTCGGCCTGCAGAGCCAAGCATTCGTGATCAATGCTCAAGCAGCGCATTTCTTGACCGAGCTCATTGATCTGGGAAATGCAACCCAGTCAGGGTTCACTGTCTACGATGGCTCGCTACACATGTGCGAGAGCGCTCCCATGTCCATTTCCGCAAGCTCGTGCGAGACCCTCTGGGATCCCGATTCGGATTCTGCTAGCAATTCCACCGATCTTAGCATGGCGGGCAATACGTCGAGCTTGTTATCATCTGCTTTGTCTAGTACAGCCACATCCGCTGTGCTGGTGTCCAGCGTCGTTGCGTCGTCCCCTACATTGTCGAGCAGCGTCATTTCGTCAGTATCTGCTGCCACTACCTCGCTGTCCAGTTCAATTTCTTCCGTGCATTCTAGCACTTCGTCAAATGACAACGGTACTCTATTCAGTCTTTCCACCGGCACTCAAGTGACTCCCTCAAAACCCAGCAGCTCTAGCAAGCTCAGCGTGACAACGTCCATTTCAGAGGTTGCAGATGTGCACACATTGACACGTACTATGACTGTGACTGTGAAGCCCACTGCAACGGAGACCGTCGCTGAGCCTGACAGCAATGGAGACAAGGATTTTGTTCAGGATGCCGACGGAGACACTGACACTGGACAGGTCAGTGGCAATACATCCCATCGCCACCTATAGGCTCTGACAACCTACATGCAGCATCTTACTCGGCGCGGCTTTCCAGCGATACAGATCATGAAGAAACATGATAAGGAACCTGAAGCGGTGCTCAATGGCGACGGATTCGACAATGTCACACTGGATTATACCTGTCTAACAGTGTTGAACTGGCCAGTTTCTCAGTGCGTTTGGAGCATATTTACATGATCTGGGATCTTCTGTTGACTGCTAAGATCACAGGTTGGACAACACGAAGCGCGAAGATATCGCCTTCATCATGTTCCAGTTCTGGCTTCTTGGCATGTCTCTTGTTGCTTTGTTGAATGAATCCATTCCGCACATGTGAGCATCAGTCGCAGCTCTCTGACGAACATACTATTGATGCAGCCGCGACCTAGTATCGCATCGCTCCTTACCCACATAGGTGCTACGGCATGGGGTGGCATTCAAATCGTAAGTTGCATCGAGATCGTACATACATCTTAATTACTCACCCGGCTTCGCAGTACGACACCGCCCAGTTCCACGACGATTTCACTACTCTTACCACGAATGGAGCATGCGGTGCGAATCTGCTGCCTACTTACTGGCAAGCGCGATCAGACGCGGAGATCCCTAGCTTGGTTCTCAACGCTGCTGCCTTAGTGCTATCATCCGTTCTTTCCTGGAGGCTAATCAAAGTCAGTCACGGACGTCGCTCCTACACTGTCGCTCAATCCTCACATGCTCTTCATTTCAGGCATTTGGCTGGCAAACGTTCAAACGCGTGGGAGCCTCGCGAACCATTAATCGCTTATACAACATTGTCCTTCTGCTTTCTATTTCCATCCAAGTAGCTTTGTTCTTCATCGCTTTGATGGCTGGTCTTTGGCTCGATCAGCTCATCAACGGATATATTGGACGCCTGACCAAGGATCCCGCGCCTTTCAAAGCTGTTGACATCATTGTCCTGATCGTGAGTATGCCAAATCTGTTGAGGTGGTTTCGTATATTTTACCTGCACTGGTGATCAGTTCTTGATCCCTTGGCTATCCATGGTACGTCTTATGCCGTATTCTGCTCCCGCGTTCTACCAATTGACTCGCACGTAGGGCTGGATCTCTGTTCGACGGGAACACAAGAAAGCCATGACGGCTTTCCTGTTCTTGGCCGTTGTATACCTTGCTGCATGGGCATCTATGTTCATCGCACCGACGTTCAGGTGGACATTCACGCAGTGGCGGTTCTTCAGTGTGATGGCCTCGGCCTCCTTGGTCATCTCTTTAGTGACGTTGATCCTCGGAGTATGTTGTCGCGTCAACTTCGGCAAAGGTTTGCCGCGTTACCGTAAGTTTATCCAACATCTCGCGTAGTCGTTCTTCTGATGGACATCTGGCGCTGCAGTCAACGCGCAAGAACCAATCTCTGACGATGACTTCCTCCCAACGGCTGTCGAGACCAAAGGATCTGAGGACGTGGAGAAGGCCCATTTCCCATCGGACGGGCTCCCAATCCCTACATACCTAGTTTCTGCTGCTCCACCATCGCCATTGGCGTCCCCGGTGGATCCACAGTTTGCACCCAGACGCTTGGGCCCGCGATTCTTTAATCCCTCACTCCAACCGTTCGAACCGCAGCCGGATACCCCTCCCGTTTACGGTACGCGTCTAGATGCGTCCGCCCTGTCCTCTCGCACTGCTGTCTCCGATACCCGCTCCTTCAAACGGCCCGAGTCTGTTATGAGTGATGATAGCAGCACTCAGTCGAAGCGATGGGTAATTGAATGATGTATTGATCCTTTTTATCCAGATCACGGAGTTCACTGTGTGAATCCGTCGTATTGTTCTTCATATGTAGACTACCGTCGTGATTGGAGGATTGTGCAAGAGACAATTGGTACACGTCATAGAAAAGCTAGGCTACAATGCAAAAGGCAAAAGCAAGGCCGATAAATAACACAAGGTCGACGAACGCTATGAAGGTAAGTCAGGGAACATTCCTGATAAGTCCCCGTCCGATCTCGGTGTTTCAACGGGTGACATCGTCGGCGAAACGGAGGCGATGGTTTCGACTTGCTTCTCCTGAATTATCGCTGCTTGACGAGCTACCGAAGCTGACCCGTAGGTAGACTCTAGTGGCATCTCTACAGGAGGGCTTGTCGCCAACTCAGCCTCCTCGTAGCTCTCAAGCGCGGCACGGAATTCAAGCATCCATGGATGGTCCATGAGCTCGTTGGCGGTGGGCCGTTGTATGGGATCGATCGTCAGGCACTGCCTGATGAAATCAATACCCTTCTCGCTCAGCTGACCAGGCTCTGGTAGTGGCGGATGTTGCGTCGCGACACCGATATGGAACATTATCGCCCTGTTATGCATGAGAATCACTTATATGCGCACTGAGAGCTTTGATTACTTACCACTCATTGTCGAGGTTGCTCCACGGCTTCCTGCCCGTGGCACATTCAAGTACTACACAGCCTAGCGACCAGACATCCATTGCACCTTGTCGTCCGCGGGAGCTGTTTCTAATGACTTCTGGAGACATGTACATGGGAGTGCCCGTGAGACTGTTATGCACCCCCAATCCTCCTACAGCGCCACTTGGTACGTCGGAACGGCGAGAGCGTTGGATGGATCGCTGGTTTTTCGCAAGGATCTTAGCAGCCCCGAAGTCCACGAACTTGATGACACCCATATGATCAAGGAGGATATCTGCGATAAGTAGCACCATGGCCGTCAGTTTAAGTATATGTGACAATAACACCCTCTTACTATCGGGTTTAATATCCCGGTGGACGACGCCCTTTGAATGCAGGTATGCAAGACCCTCCAGCATCTGCATTGTATAGATCTGGAGGATGCCCTCATCTTCAATGCGTCCATGTTCTAACAAGGCTGCTAAACTGCCGCCCTGGCAATATTCCTCGAATATGAACACCTTATCACGATGTACTTCAATACCATAGTACTCGACGATGTTCGGGTGATGAAGCATTTCCATGACGTTGAGCTCATCTTTGATCTGCGAGTACAAGTTCGGTAGACCTGCGACTTCTTGGAATTTGATCTCCTTCACTGCCATCAAAGATCCCGAGTCAAGATTGACAGCGAGATAAACGGATCCGAATGACCCTGCGCCAATGAATCGGCCCTGTTGCCAGCGTATTGACACGTTCGATGCAGACCCTGCGAGAAAGACCAGCGAACGGTCCACAAGTTTCTCCTCATCCAACACGCGGCCTATGGTGTGTTGCTCGATGCCCACGCGAGCTCTCCGATCTTCTACGTCCCGCACAGCGCGAATAGTCTTCTCCCAGAACGTACGAACGACAGGGTCTGTGTATGCAATAGTAGTGTCGTCCCGATCCAGCGGGAAATCGAATAGGACGTCTTCCTCGTGCGTATGTCTGCTGACCGATTGTTGTCGCACGAGTTCCTCCTGTCGCTCTTTCTCCCTCTTGGCCTCGAGGGTGGAGCGAGCACCAAGAATGTCGAAGTGACTGATGAGCAGCGTCATACAGCTAGCCACCTTCTGTCGAAGCATCTCAAATTGATTGTCAGGAAGCTGCAGAATGTTGTTGCGTCTCGTCCGATGGAGAGTAAACTCAAGAGCAGTAACCGCCCACCTGAACGTCCTCCGGTCATTAGGATCACAGTCATCGCATATGAAGGACACCCAAGAGATAGCCAGCTTGATCAACAGCCAGTTGAACTTGAGCAGCGTCGACCGGTCCATGTATTTCTGGACATGTTGACCGTGTTCTGAAGCGAAGCTGTACCAATTCTCCAGCAGCTCCTGATAGCCGACTGCTTCATGCAGCGCAGTACGCACATATTGAACAGAATCTACGATAGACTCAGCTAGCTTGTTCATGATGCGGTTGATCTTGCGCAGTTCCCGGTTGACCGTTGGCAGATGGGCCTGCTGTCCAATGAGGCAGACTGGTGCAGCTAAGGGTGGCTCAATCGTCTCTCCATCCTCCTCCACAGGCATGAAAAGTTCCGCGAACCGTGCTTTGGCTGAAGCTAGCTGATGCTGTGATCCATCTGCAACCAGACGCACCCGATTGTCTTTTAGGTCAAGATCAAATGTGGGTATATGCAGCATGAGAACTAGACCATTCCATAGGAAATGGGTGCGCGGAGAAAGGACGAGGAGGTAAGGCACATCCTCCTCCTCATCCTGATCCTGGTCACCGCCTTCCATTAACCAACCGCCTTCGTCAATTTCGTTGGCATGGAAAGCCTCCATGAGGATCCGTCGAATATCCTCTGGACGGTCACGGAGACTAGGATGTGCGACAATGTATGTCCCATCCTCCTCGAAAGTCTGAGTGTAAACGAGGAAGTGGTCCGACTCCACAAGCGTTGCAATAAATAGATCAATCGGGACATCCTCGAGGTCATATTCTGCGGAGTTGCTGAAGCGCTGAGTGAGCACCCTGCGCAGACCACACTTCGTGAGATACTGGTCAACAATTGAAAAGGCGCTGCGGCTCACCGTGCTAGACGTTGCAGCTTACGATACCTCTGCTTGACTCCTTCTAAGATCTTCCCATACCAACTTATACGTTGCTCGTTCGTCATGACCTTCTTGGTGGACGGACTCGTCTTTATGTGCGACTGGAAAGCGGAGTCGGTGTTGCCATGGTGCGACTTGCGGTCATGACTGACGGGCATACGCGAGGAATCGTCTTGGACAGGAATGCGTATCTGGGTATCAAAATAGTTCGTAACACGGACCATCAACTTGTTGGTAAGCGCACTGTGAACGATAATAAGTCGATGCACAGCAATTGAACAGTAGGCTGACGTACCATAGCTGCTCGGCAACAAGCGATGCTCCACCGGGAATGGTCAAGCTCACGTCGCTAAATGTTGCCCACTGTGCTTCGATTACTTCGGTCTCCTTGAAATAGATACCTTTTGCTCCACTTTTCAGCTTCCAGTGAATTAATTTGAAAAAGAAGGTCAAGGCCTCCAAGATGACGGAATCATAATCGGGACTGATACACGGCGGTAACTGCCAGTTACCACCCGGATCAGGTATCAAGAACGCTTCGTATTGCCTCTTCAACGTGCATGCGAATCCTATCTTCACCTTGAGGTCCTCCGTCATTTGGTCGATGATCAAGATGTCTGGATTCTTCAGCTTCTGCGCGTAATCCAAGCGTACACGTAGAACTGCCTGAGTGAGATTTGTCAGGAACGACACCAGCGGCACGAGCTCCCGTTCAAATGAAGGAAGATTCATTTGCCTGAACATATTCGCCAGATTGACGTGGGCGTCGCGAGTAGTACCAACGAGAGCATGAATGGTAGTCATAGATCCTTTCTCGAACTGTCTCTGCACGGAGTCCTCTTTCAACAACCGGTCGACGAAAGTCGTACCATGCGCAGCGTTGTCGCTTTGGTTGCCGTTAGGAGCGAACGGTGTAGTAGGAGTGGAAGTAGGTTGGGTGACGTCCAAGCTTTCGCTACCAGTCCATCTCCGCAGAAGACCAATGAGCTGGCGAAGAGATGTAATAACTGTCGACCAGGTATTCAGCGTATCACAACGCCTCCGGAAATCCGAGTCTGCGGCAGCAGGATAGTCCAAATAGAGAGCTCGATAGCTCGGGTAGAGAGAATGAGCAATGTCGAGTTGATGTAGAACAGCATTGACTTGTCGCAACGCATGCGTAGCCGCAGGCTCAGGGGAATCATTCGGAAGGTCCTCCACCCGGAAAGTCATGATCTCCTTGATGACTGCATCGACAGTACGCAATCTTCTCTCCTCTAGTCTCCTCCGCTCCTCCTCCATTATCCTCCCATGCAGCTTCGCACGGATCCCTAGCCAGAGGTCCAAGCGTAGGTTATTCTCCTCCTCCGATGATGACTTGAGCGCGACAGCAATGCGCGTGTTCTCAGACTTGAGAACATCCCCAGCCAACACTGAGGCTAGCATGGTCTGCCACTCTAATCTTTCTTGATCCTCCAATGTCTCCGGCTCGATGGGTTCGGTGTCCAGCATAAGTGAGGACAATCGATCGACCTCTCCATTGGTCCCACCGGCGGCACCTCTAGTGTCCTCGTCGTCACTATCTCCCGCATCCACAAGCTGCCCCAGTCCTCGATGATAATAATGGACGTCTGGATCATTGCGTGGATCGTCGTCCACGCCTGGGGCTGTCCGATATCGTCGAATGAACTGGTTGTAGATATTGGGATAGGCTCTTTGCGGGTACGCCGAGGTCGAAGCAGACACATTAGTAGATATATTCGGAGCTGGCGAAAACGGGCCCCGCTGTTTCGCTTTGGGTCGTTTCGAGTTAATAGAACCTGATGAAGATGGAGGCGTTTGCTGTGCTCTCGACCAGCTGCTCGAATCGCCTTCGTCGTCCGCGTCGTGTTCGGCGTGCGTGTAGAGGGTGGGGGTGTGTCGCTTCATGCGCTCGTCATGCAGTGGAGGGTGGAAAGGCGAAGAGCGTAGCTTACGCTATTGAAAGGGTCGGTACGCTCATGCGAAAGATGGGATGAACTTGATATTTCGTCAGGGCCAATCGTCGTAGCGCCCGTGCTGGCTTTCCGCTCGGCCTTTCCCACCCTTCCACGCCTTTGATTGCACACATTGTCGACGCTGTCCAACCCGTTGTTGCTAGAAATTGAAGAGCTGCCAACATGGGTATCGTAGAGAAGGTATGCGTGCCATATCTTATAGCGGTGCAATTAATCATGTCGCGGCGTTATAATTCTCAGATCAAGGAGATCGAGGGTATGTGCGTGAAACCGTACGGCGCGTCCGATGGTCTGACATGATGCGGTTCTCGGCGATGCAGAGGAGATGGCGAGGAGTAAGTCGCGTCTCTTCCTTCGGCATCTGAACTCATAGCAATTTTTTGCGGAACAGCGCAGAAGAATAAGGCGAGGCTTGCCGTAACCTTCCGACCGAATGCGCGATTCACCATGATATCAATGAAGTAGGCTACAGAGTACCATCTCGGTCTGTTGAAGGCAAAGCTAGCCCGATATCGAGCCCAACTGCTTGAGCCTGCGACGAAATCGGGAGGCGCAGGGACAGGTTTCGATGTGCAGAAGTCCGGCGATGCCAGGGTGGCCTTGATTGGCTTTCCCTCCGTAGGAAAGGTACTGCTCCCTCACCGTTGATCATACACCTGGAGATGTTGATTGTGTGCAAAGTCCACCTTGCTCAACAAGTGCACCCACACCGTATCGGAGTCGGCGGCGTACGAATTTACAACGCTTACCGTAAGTGCCATTACTGCCAGCTGTCGCACGATCTGACTGCTCACACGTAGGCGATTCCTGGTGTCATCGACTATCAAGGCGCGCGTATCCAGCTGCTCGACCTGCCTGGTATTGTGGAGGGTGCTAGCCAGGGTCGTGGCCGTGGTCGGCAAGTCGTCTCGACGGCAAAGACAGCTGATCTCATCTTGATCATGCTGGATGCTACCAAGTTGGAAGAGCAAAGGCGATTGCTTGAGATTGAGCTTGACACGGTTGGCATCCGCCTCAACAAGAAAAAGCCGGATGTCGTTTTCAAGCGGAAAACAACGGGTGGGGTAAGTGTGGCCGTGTGATCGTTGATGTTGCGATTGATTTCCGTAATGCCGCTTTCGATAGATTACGGTGAGTGCTGCCGTCGCCGCTGAGACATACGGGAAGATCAATTTGCCGAGCTTTTTGCTAGCTCAACACTACTGTCAAGTTAAGTAAGACCGATGAAAGAACGATACGGACTATCCTCGCGAGCTGTACGTAATATTCTTCCCTACGATGGCCAGACTTGACAACTGTGCAGACAAGCTGCATAACTGCGACGTTATGATTCGTGAAGACGTGAGCACTGAAGACGCCACTCATGAAAACGACACTGATTGTGATGCCAGATCACAACGGACGAGTTTATCGACGTGCTAATTGGTGAGAGTTACGGCGTTCATACTCGGAGAGTACTCATCTGCGTGGTGCAGGAACGCGTAAATATATCCCTTGCTTATGTGAGTGAGCCGAAGATCGCGCCCGCTTCGGCGCTTGATGCGTCGCGTAGATGTCTATAACAAAATCGACGCCATCAGCCTTGAGCAGATGGACAAGCTGGCACATGACGACCACACTGTGGTTATCAGTTGCGAGCTCAACCTCAAGTATGTATCCAGACGCATCCGGCTAGTGGCCTGGAGACGATTGAAATAAACTTGTAGCCTCGACTACCTCATCGAACGGATGTGGGAAGAACTCGGGCTTGTTAAGGTGTACACGAAGAAGCGTGGAGCGCATCCTGACTTGACCGATCCGATTTGTCTGCGCAAGGGTGCCACGATCGAAGTGAGTCAAAAGCTGCCTCCGGCATTCACGGAAATGAACATCACCAGGACGTTTGCAATGGTATTCACCGATCCCTGGCAGCAAATTTCAGATACGCACTTATCTGGTAAGTTCGAGATTGCTGTTTGTCGTACAATGTACACTCATCAAAGATATGTGCAGGGTAAGTCATCCGTTGATTGTTTCGGATCCTATCCGGACCAAGTACCTGTAACTCTTTCCACTAGGGGAAATCGTCGAAGTTTTCACCGCATGCACAGAAGGTGGGGCTCAATCACCTCGTGCAGGACGAAGATGTCGTTTCTAGTGCGCTTCTCAATTACACAGCAACGGTGGCAATGACTGATCTCCGGACTAGTTTTTACCAAGTGAATTTGTGTCGAGCGTCCGGAAGAGCTTGGCGGCCGCGCCATCCACTGTACCCTTACACGAGCTGTACCATAGAAATCAATCATTAGCGTCAGGCGATGTACCTTTCCTTGCCTCCTTTTTGCGCTAGTATCGTTAGTGTTGTCAGCGGTCCGCGGCAATGTTGACGCCAGAAGATGGACACCGGACCCCCACAGCATGCATTAGCAATATTTTTCCACTGAAGAAACCGTGAAAATATAGTAAAAGAATATAAAGCCCTGCCTTGGAAAAATGCTAAGAGATATTATGTACTATTTTCCATATTTGAATAGTATATGCCCATATATAGCAATCTAATGATGGAGGAAGCTTCAATTTCTTCACCATTTTTCCAAATCGAAGCTTAATATGTTTTCAGAGTTTCTCTACTGTTTTCCAATGGAAAAACGTTGCTATGCACGCTGTGGGCCCCTGGTGGCCATCATAACCAGGACGGGATCTGCCACGTGCGGGTCCGCGGAGAAAAGAGGGCGCTCTTCGCGAAGAGGTGATGGCATGCCGTATCATCGCGCAAACTTGACCATCTTGGACGATGCGCTCACCGGGCAGTGGGCCTGGCAGCTCTTTTCTGAGCTATTCGCATGAGGACGCCGATGCCGTTCAAGCTCGCGAGACGCCATAGCGTGCGCTCAGCTGTGCCTGTGATCCGGTCTGATACCCAAGTCCTGCCGGCCTCCTCTCTATAAATTCAACGACCTGTGGTGCTGCTTGATATCGGAACCGGTGAACCCCCCCTGCTTTGCATCGACTTGTATGGCCATGGTTCACACGAACGGACACCACGCTCAGTCCCCAGTCGAGTTTATTTTCTTGGGCACTGGGACGTCTTCCACAATCCCTCACGTCGATTGTCTTACCGCGCCGCCTGATGCGATTCCTTGTCGCACATGTCTTTCGACACTTACTCCGGAGGGCCAGAAGAACAGAAGAGTCAGTGCGCTAGATCCTCGCTTATTGCACACTGTATTGAAACAATCCATAGCGCAACACATCTGCTGCTGTGAGGCTTCGCGGTCGTGACTCCCAGAGCGTGTAAGACACCCTTCTTCTGAACATCGCGACGTCTTACGAGAAGCACGACGGTCCAGAACTATCATCATCGACGTCGGGAAGAGCTTCCAGTCCGCAGCCGTGGAATGGTTCCCCAAGTTCGGCCTACGCCGTATAGATGCTGTGCTTATCACACATGCACATGCTGATGGTGTGTGCTGATTGTTCTGACATGAGCGGCCGAACATCTACTTAGAACATTTTCACTGCTTGTGTCAGCTATGAACGGCTTAGATGATTTGCGAGGTGGGGAATGATTGAACCCCCGGAGCAGCCCCTGGAATTTGACTGATTTTCACAGGATGGACTTTGCACGGCGCGATACAACCCCACATTGACATCTATGTCTCGATGGCAACATTCAAGGAGGTGCAGCGTGCCTTCCCGTATCTGGTATCGAAGGAGTTCGCGTCAGGTGGAGGGGATGTGAGTGTGCGTCGCGAGTCGTCTCCGTCAAGCTAAACTGTATATGATACAGGTCCCTGAATTTAAGTGGCACATCATCGAGGACCGTGTTCCCTTCGAGATAGGTGACACTGGCATTCGGATTCTGCCGTTTGCAGGTATGCCGTTATCCCTACGATCAGCTACCTGTCTCCCATCTGAAACACGCAGTCCACCACGGGCGGATGTTCTCATCGGCACCTCCCCTGGATATGTCAATTAGCCCGTATTCTATTTCACCAGCATCCACCAACCCGTCCACGCCCAACGTGCCGGGCACTCCCATCCACAGTGGATGCCTTCCCACGGAGCCCACCAAACGTGTGCTTCCATACCTATGCTTCGGCTTCGTAATCCAAGACGCGGTGACCTACGTTTCGGATGTGTCACACATCCCGGAAGATGTGTGGACGTTGCTGCAGGGGCAGCCGAAAATACCTCCGGTGTTCGTGCTCGACTGCCTGCGCATCCAGCCACACACGTCACACCTTAGCATCACGGAGTCTGTCGAGATCGCGAGACGCATGAATGCCAAGCGCACATACTTGCTTGGATTTGGCCACGAAATGCCGTACAGCGACTGGCTGGCGATCACCGAGGCGGCGGGAGGCAAAGAGCTGGAAGGAGAGGAGCTGGCCTTGATACAAGAACACAGGCTGGAGAGCGTGCGGGAAGGTGAACCCATATGGGTACGTCCAGCCTTTGACGGACTGCGCGTGTTCGTAAGTATAGATGGGTCGGTTCGAGACGAGGAGTGTATGTGATCTGGTGGTGGCTGGATCGACTTCATACTCTCGTCATTTGTATGATAGAACGTTAGATTCGCGCAACGCGTGTTAATTGTTCTGGCGCAGAAGTTGCACGGCACAGTGAGGAGAAGTTGCGCGGCGACGAGAGCGAGACTTGGCTGGACAGGCCGCCGCTGCAGTGGCCACGCGAGCATATGAGGACCGCCGTGACGAGCGCTAATGGTGCCGATATGCGAGGCCGAGGCTACGGCTCGATCACGTGGTCCTCTGATCTCCACAAGCGGAAAGGCATCCGCCGCCAGGATTCCTAAGAACTCAAAAGGGTCATCTGTCTGAGGGGGTCTATAACTCAGATCCTTGCTTCAGGCTTCACGCCCACGTCTCCCACCCACTTATCCTCTCGTTCACCGCCCACTCAGCGCACCTCATCGCCGGGATCGTCTGCTTCAATGAGGTTCTACTCGCAGTCCTTTTTGTACGAGTGAGTATTAGGTCGCAGTACCTGCCATCATCCGTACGTAATTCATTGATGATGGCGACCCCGCCCCACAGCGATCCCTGGTCAATCGTCTCCTATGCATTCTTCATGCGATACCCCAACCCCCTTGCCTCCCATGTCCTTTCCTGCGACGTCGTCTCGCGCACACTCACTCCCTCTGGAACGCTCCTGACTACGCGCCTCATCCTCAAAAGCGGTGCGCTGCCAAGATGGGCGCCAAAGGGTATCGTCTCGCGTGCGGAGTCGTGGGTCGTTGAGGAGAGCGAGGTGGACCCTGCTGGTCGAGTCGTGCGTTGCTCGACGAGGAACCTGGATCATGTCAAGGTGATGCGCGTAGAGGAGCGCGTCATCTTCCAGCAGATGGATGATGGGTACGCTATCTACACACTCTTGAAAGGGACTCATCCCACTAAGATCTTGTTTGTCGTTCAGAAAAACATTTCAAAATACCGAAGCGAGATTTGCATCTGGCTTTGGCTGGGGTCTGACAAAGAAGATCGAGAGCCACGGACTAGCAAAATTCAAGGCAAATATTCAGAGAGTATGACCATCGCTTTCATTCTCGCTTGCACGGTGCTCATTACTTCATAGTCACGTCAAGGCTTCTCAATGATCCTCGATCTTATTCGGCAGTCACGCATGCGCCCAATGACTATGGGCGCGCCCGCTGAGGCGTACCTCCCAGCTCACTACTCCGCTCCTTCCTCGGAGACAAATAGTGTTGACGAGTCGAGCATCAACAGCGACCGCGAGCAGAAAACACGCGCATCCTGGCTGAACCTCAAGTCCTGGCTGAAGTCATCGTGAACCGTGAATATATCCAATTCAAAGTCGAAGCAAGTAGCAGTACATAGTGTTATTCTGTATAGCTTAATCCTTTCCCCGTGTCACAGACATTCTACCTCTTCCTCTGTGTTCTCTAGGATTTTACGTCTGCCTCGCATCACCTGTATTTGTAGTTGCATCATACTGCCAATGACACCGCTCCCATTACTCACGAACTTCTACGCGTCGGGACGGCGCATCTGCCGCTTATCCGTATGTCCGGATCAATGACGCGTACGTGCGGCGACGGCTGTCCTCGGGAAGTCGATCAATGATCGTCTACATTGTCATGGTAAGGTCTACAAGAGTACAAGGTATCGATAGCGGGCACAGATAAAAGCAATCACAGAGCGTGAGGTATATGTACGATGTTTCGTGCCGGGTGCTGCCAACACGGTGTAATTTGAGTATAGACTGGCTATATGGCGTGGGTCATCCGCGAAATGTGCAGCAACTATTCGACCATAATCAGTGCAAGAGCGCGACGGAGGCTCTGAGCAAGACAGACCTGATCATGTACGGCATGATGGATGCAACGAGAAGGGCAAAGGCCGCCCAAGCAAGGTATATTCCATCCCCCATGGAGACGACGATTTCGAGAGGGGAGGTGTCTGAGGTCGTCCCGACCTGGACTTTATTGATAGACTGTGCCTTGTGTACGATGACAGTCCATATAGTAGCTCCTACGAGAAGCATAGCACTGCCGATGATGGCAAATGCAGTAGAGCATAGGAAAGTCAGCGGGTGCTTGATTATACCACTATTGTCAGAACCTTTTGTCACCGCGCGGCTATGTGTAATCTCTGTGCAGGGCTTACCTGAGCAGCGCTATGGCAGCGCAGATCGTACCGATGAGTAGCAGGTAATAGGCGCCGTTGGAAAACTGGCCGAGGTACGGTAAGTCCGTGAATGTCGTCGGCGAGATAATGTAATCTGTCAGGTCGGAGTAGTTCGCGAGCATGTCGGCTGTGATGACTTGGAACGGCTCAAATCTGTTAGCAGTCGTGTGATTCGAGCATGTGCCCGCGGTATGATTCACATAGGCACAGTAGGAGTACAGGCCAAAGTCGTAGAAGTTCCGTAAGCCAGCCTGCTTCTGCAGAGGCGCTGAGGCATTCGTCGTGTATAATCCTTCGATGGGGTCGCTGAGGGCTGTGTGCAGTGCGGCTCTGCGCAGCGTTATCAGGAGCCGATCCATGCGTGAAGACTGGTGCTTACCCGTAACCAGACATATTCACCTTCACCTGCACAGCTCACGGCGTTAATCACCTCGCACTGAATACAAGGCAGCTTCGGGATTCACCATAGATATGTCTCGAGGGACGGGCGAGGTGTTGATTTGTCCAACCTAATCAAATGCATACTTGAGATAAGGAACAACACGAAGGATAACGATGAGGACCGACATGCATAAATATGAGGCATAGCAGCGCCGCCAGCCTGGTGCCACAGTGTCAGGTCCAGTCAACCATACTCTACTATATCTCAGACGAAGCACTCACGAAAGAACCGACGCCGATCCAATGCACATCTCACCGCGGAGCTGCATGGTATACCCTACACCGACCACACAGACAGGAACGGAGAAACAAAAACGTGCACGGTGCCATCGCGCGCGGCCGCAGGAAACGAACAGTTGGGCGCCTATCTGCATGCAGCGCTACCTAGATCAGGCAATACCACGTGGTCTCTTACCCCGGACTCGGAACCGGCGCCTTTCCCCTCCCTATACCGAGGACGTACGCTACTCGTACACTGCATGACCTCAGCTTGCCGATTCATGTTCTCTCCTCTCCCTCACTGACACCACCATCTCACATACCCTCAATATGGCCGAGGAGAACCCTGCTGCCGACGCTGCGGCAAATGCGTCGAGCGGCCCCGCACCCGCCTCTCTAGAGAAACGCGGGGATCTCGCAAGTGATCTTAAGGACAAAGTGAGACGTGCCAAAGAACTAACGACGGACAGGCTCGGGAGGAACAGATCAGTTGGAAACAAGGAACAACTATCTCAGAGCCAACCAGCCTTGCATGCGCAAGGTCCAAGCCGACTGCTGAGCTTGAGGACCTTGAGTAGAGGCAAGGAGAAGTCTGCTGGTCATGACGATGGTACGCGAGTATTCTTTTACGTGTAATTCTGTACTCATTTTGAACAAGCGGCGACGCCAGCTGCGGCTTCAGTCTACTCGAGCAAACCGAGCCGGTCAAAGCTAACTCTGTCTGCTGCTAGTCGGCGCAATCCCCGCGCATCTTCTTCTCGCGGAGCAGACGATGACTCCCCGTTCATTACACCCCGTTCGCCTTCTCTTGGTCCCAAGAGGCCCGAACTACAGAAATTTTGCGGCGCGGGATCAGTGAGAGCTACTTTTCTGTCTCGTGCGACCATCGCTGAGGGACTTCTAGATGCACGCAGGAACGCAGACGCTCATCCAGGCTTTGCAAGCGATGCCATGGGCGGAAGAACAAGACGAAGATGACTGTGCGACACAAGGAAATACGCCCGCGGACTCGTCGAGCGATGAGGATGACCGTGGCAGTACGTTCAGAGTCGTCTCTGGCCTCGTGTTCTTACTGAGTGCGGTATCATGTTAGGCAATCGACTTGCTTCGTCCATCCACACGATATACCGACCCCTTGCACGCTCCAGACGGAACGTATTAGCATCTCTGTATTCGCGCGCACGGAGTCCCGGGCTGCCGAAGGTACCTGATCAGGATGAGACGCCGCGTACGGAGGAACCCTCGATGTCAGAAGAAGAACTCGAGGACGACTTTGAGCGAGGCGGGCCGCGTGACAGTCCGCGCACGTTGTCAGATGAGGAGCACGAATTGGATGGGTCTGGCAGTGAGGGACATAGGAAGGAGCCGAGCAGTCCGGGGAGCATGGCGACTGTGAAGTTGCAACGCCGTGCGAAGCTGGCGGGGAAGTTGAGGGAGGTGTTTGAGCTTAGCGGGATTCATGAAGTTATCGCAGGTGAGTGTTAGCCAGTCAGTTTGCACATATATGCCCTTGAGCTCATCATTTCAGAGATGCCGTGCTGGCTACTCAGGTCAATCTGTAAGTGCGCGTGAATGTCGTGCAAGAATCGCGCTGATGATTTCCCTAAAGTGCTCCAGGGATATATGTATCTGACAGATTCATACCTGTGCTTTTTTGCCCATATGCCCTCACGGGAGGTCAGCGATCTGCTTATGGATGCAATGCAGACTGATCTGACCTGTGCTTATCAGGATCAAGTCCTAAAGTCAGGATCCCTGATGAAGAAGGCGCAGCGCACTAAGCGCCGGATCAGACATTGGTTCATTCTCAAGAATGACGCCCTTTCATGGTATCAATCACCATCTGTACGCATTCTAATCGTGCCAATGCTTCTCTTAGCTAATAAATTACTTCAAAAGGATCCATACTTTCCGCATGGAATAGTAGACTTGCGTTATGCGATTAGCTGCGAACCACTGCATGAGAAGGACATTCGCCTCAGGACGAATCAGAAAGCCATAAGGCTGTCCGCGGATTCTACGCCTAGCCGAGACGAGTGGGTGAAGGCCATCAAGAGGGTTATGTTCAAGGCCCAGAACATGGGGGATAGTGTGAAGGTGAGATTCCACGACGACAAGTTCACGGATTGGCACTCACTATAGTCTTTAAGATTGCAATTCCATATTCTGCTATCCTTGAGGTCGAGAAGTCGTCGGCGATGGATTTTAGCGAGACCATAGAAGTCAAAGTCGTTGATAAGAATGACCAGGGGTCTATAGATTCCTACTTCTTTGCATACTTCCGTGATCTTCCAGCCGCGCTCGCTCAGATACGCGATGCCGTGCGCGCATACCGAGCGATGCCGCAAGCTGCGACGCCTCCTGCAGTGATAGATACAACTACAGCACGACCACCCAATTCTCCGCCTTCCGCTCTGCGTACCCAGAGTCTGCCTGTCCTTGGTCAGACGTCCAAAGCGTCTTCAGGTTCACGGTTAACATCGCTCCTGCGACCTCTACAAGAGAATGCGCCTCTCGTCCGACCCGCCCATTCTCCTGAACGTGATGACAATGAAGACTTCACGCATGTCGCTAAGAGGGGTTCGACAAATATCATGGCCATTACCACGTCGCCGAAATCTTCGACATACTCGGATGCGGGGATGTCACATAGTCCCGAGAGCCCTCCTGCTCCTTCCTCATCCAGCCAGCTAGTGGCATCCCACCATACCTATCCTCCGTCACCATCACCATCTCCTTCAATGTCTGAACTCACCGCGACTCCCACAAGAGACACCAGCCTGATCCCTTGGGGTGTTGGTATGCCCTCTTGGCTTAGAATGCCATCTATGCCTTCTCGAAGAACTCTCAGCAATCCGTTTGGAGGCGCCAGGAGCGGTTCCGAGCAGCCTGGTCCAGCATCGGGCAGGAGCGGCGGCGAAGGCGTGTCAGAAGTACTCTCCCCAAATACCGGCTCGGGAAGCAGGATGACCACAAGCGGATCCAGCGATTTCGGATACTTTAGCGTTTTGGACACACCGGAAACTATACTTGAGCAGGACACGGTGGATAAGTTTCACACTGCGTTCGCCTTTGATGAGCGAGAGAAGCTCTTGGGAGGTATATACCATCGTATTGAGCGGCTTTCGGGTATCTGCTGACATCCCAAAGTCTTCTCTGGGTATATCTACAGGATGCTGCCGGTGTACGGCCGCCTGTACGTCTCGACAAACTTCTTCTGCTTCAAGTCCAGTGGCCCCCTAAGTTCGCGAACGAAGGTAGGTCGGTGGTTCGTTACGCAGTGGTAATATTTGCTGACATCATATAGATGATCTTGCCGATTCGAGACGTCCTCTCCACGGAGAACTCCAAAGCATTTCACTTTGCACATCAGGGCCTCGTAATCGTCATCAGAGGTTACGAGGAGCTTTTCTTCGAATTCGCAGATGAAGAACGTAGAGCTGCCTTCGTGCACATATTGGAGCGCCAAATGGAAGATGTTCGTCGTCGTGTCGAGTCTGGTGACCAACATTGCCAGAGCCTGGGGCAGCATGATGCTCTAATTCTAGAAGAAGCGGGTCCGCAAACATCACCCGACGGAGAGATGGAGCAGAAGGTCGAGCACGATGCCTCAATGTCAGGCTCACTTCCTGCTGTCATGTTTAACTCGATGTCTTCGACTTTCCTGACTTTCAAGCCGAAGGAGCCTTTGCACTTCACGTTTCTTACGGTTGGCTCTCGGGGTGACGTTCAGCCATACATTGCATTGGCGAAGGGACTCATGAAGGATGGCCACCGCGTACGCATCGCGACTCATGGAGAGTTCAAGGAGTGGATTGAGGCTGTGCGTGTGTCATATCTGAAACCAAAAGAGGACATTGGCTAAATCTATTGACAGCATGGCATTGAGTTCGGATACGTCGGCGGCGATCCTGCGGAGCTGATGCGGATTTGTGTCGATAACGGCACTTTCACAGTTTCATTCTTGAAGGAAGGCATGCTCAAGGTTTGCCCACGTTCATATTGATGTTTGGTGAACTTTCTTGCTCAATGGTTCACAGTTCCGTGGATGGATAGATGACTTGCTCAAGACCTCTTGGGAGGCTTGTCAAGGCACGGATGTCCTGATTGAGAGTCCGAGTGCAATGGCTGGCTACCATATCGCGGAAGCACTCAAGATCCCGTACTTTAGGGCTTTCACTATGACATGGTCCCGCACAAGGTAATATTCACCCCTTTATGGTTTGCATATCTAACATACCGGTTGCATAGAGCTTATCCTCATGCCTTTGCGGTTCCGGAACACAAGGTACGTTACACATATGTCGCCGCTACGATCTAACCACTGATCTGCGTCATCGTAATGTGACAGATGGGAGGAAACTACAACTACATGGTGCGCCTGATCATATCGAACCCATACATAGCGCCTTGCTGATTATGGCCGAAGTCATATGTACTATTCGATCAGGTGTTCTGGCGAGCAACTGCAGGTCAGATCAATCGCTGGAGAAAAAACACCTTAGGCCTTGGCAGCACGAGTCTAGATAGGATGGAGCCTCATAAGATACCATTCTTGTATAATTTCAGCCCTGTGGTCGTCCCTCCTCCTCTGGACTGGCCTGAGTGGATACATGTTACGGGTATGCGCCTCCCCTTTCATCTGCTCCATCGTCATGCTCAAATGTCTATAGGTTATTGGTTCCTGGATGATGCTGATGTCAGCTCAAAGAAGTGGACACCCCCAGCTAGTCTCCTTGAATTCATCGACTCTGCGCGGAAAGCGAAGAAGAAGGTCGTTTACATTGGGTTTGGCAGCATCGTGGTGTCAGATCCGAAGGCAATCACGCATTGCGTCATCAGTGCGATTGTGCGCAGTGGCGTGTATGCTATTCTGTCGAAGGGGTGGTCAGATCGACTGATCAAGAATGTCGCCGAGGCGTCCGACCCAGAAGAGCCTCTTCCCAAGCAGATCTACCCTATAGCATCCGTGCCGCATGACTGGTTGTTTAAGCGTGTCGACGCTGCCTGCCATCATGGCGGCGCAGGTACAACAGGTGCTTCCTTGCGAGGTGTGCTACGAACCTAGTTCATTCATCCTTTGCTTTTTTCTGATATATTCGACAGCTGGTATCCCCACAATCATAAAGCCATTCTTTGGCGACCAGTTCTTCTGGGCAGATCGCGTCGAGGCGCTGGGAATTGGTGCTGCTGTTCGCAAGCTGACCGTGGAGCATCTCACCCAGGCGTTGATCAATGCGACTACTGATCAGAGGCAGATTGATCGTGCCCGAACGGTGGGCGAACAGATACGCGCTGTAAGTGTTGGTTCGCACATACGACAAACCGATTCGCTGATTAATTCTATAGGAGGATGGTGTTGGAACTGCCATAGAGGCAATCTATCGAGACATGGAGTACGCTCGGTCCCTCATCAAGGGCTCTCCTGCTGATGACCCGCAAGATGTGGAGGTTGATGCCGAGCATGCTACTATCCGTGACTACCCTCACGCAATGTCTCCTACACGTTCTGGCGGTACCCGCTCGGGAGGCAGTTCTGCCAGCTCAGCTCATGGGGCTACCAGCGACTGGAGCGTTATTTCCGAACAGGAGCGAGATTGAGTCATCGACGAGATCTTGGTGCCCTACGATTATCATCTCCACTCAGCCTAGATATACATTATGTCCTCTTATCTACAGTCCTGTTGTCATCACAGTTGTCGGAAACATCTTGCAGCATCTCCATGGACTTATCTCTTCCCCACAATCCTAGACAATCGGCATCTCTCCGCTCTGATCACCCATGCTTAGGTTCACATTGCTAGGTATTGTACATAATATGTAGCATAGACGGGTATCTTATGCTGTAGTTTGTTCCTGCTTGTAATGCTCGTCAAAAACACGCTTGCTAAACTGCCCGAACGTCTCGGAAGCGGCGATCTGCTGGTTTGTGTCGGGCTGCATGAACAGCGCGAAAGTCTCGCGGGAGACGCCCTCCATTCCCTGGCCGGCACCGACACGCACGCAGTGGGGAGTCGCGCGCAAGCTGCCTGCTGTAGCGAGTTCGAGGGCTTCTCCGGTCTGGAATGCCAGGCAGTTTGCAGGAATGGAGACCTTGGTAAGCGCCCCACCGCGCGTGCGGATGTACAGTCCTGATGAAGGCGACGGCGATGCTACCGCTATAGGTTCGTTGTTGGGGCCGGGGCGGAGGAACATGGCCTAGAGGAGTTTACGCTCAACGACAGTGATGAGCATTCTCGATTTCCGTACGTACAGAGCAGAGCCCAGTCAGGAGCGAGTGATCGAGGTGGAAGCCGCACCAACTGTCGATGGGTTCGTCTTCTGCAGGCAACGAGTTCTCCGGAGATGGAGGGAAATAGTGCAGAAGGCGGGCCTTGGTCGTCTGCGAAGTCTTGATGAGATCCGCCAAGGAAACGGAGGAATCAACTAGGTGTTGTGAAGCTGATTATTGAGTAGCAGCTCAGCGTAGGGCAAATATGTGCAGGAGAGTGCGCCTTTACCAAACGGCTGGCATGCCGCTGCGAGTTCGCAACCGACGCCGAAAATTATTCTGGTGCAGGTCGAGAGTTGGATGTTGCGAGACATCGTGCCAGCACTGGATAACACGTACCTGCCTAAGGCCTTGAATGCCTCCTCGAAACCTTCGATTCCCTTGATATCATTGCTCGGCCCTACATCGCGCTGCGTAATGTGCTACCGTGATGGAAAACTATGAGACCACTCACATATGTTTGAGCCATAGTACTCGGGATATGCGTCGCGGAGGGTTTGAGGAACGTCAGGAGTATCGATCACTGGATTGGCATAGTATGATCCCTTCAGAGTATCTGAAGAATTTTAAGCTAAGTTAGGATCGATTTGGCAACAATGCACGTCCATGATAACGTACCAGGCCTTCCGTTCATGATTTCCTGGTTCTGAGTTCAGTGATAGCACAATACGAGACGTCATGCAATTTACCTTGCCATGAGACCATCCGAAGCTGTATTTGCTCTTGGGATCCGCACAGCGTTCTCTCTTTTCGACATCTAGCTTTGCGAATTGATATGCAAGCTTTAGCAGCCGTTCTCTGGCTGATGCGAAGGTCTCAGGTAGATCGCGAACAACAATGATCCCTAGACAGTCGGGCTGCGATCCAAATGCTTTCTCTGTGATAACGAACTGAGCGCGATGTTCCGATGTAGGCATTGTTCACTCACCGATGGAAGGAACGAGAGAAAATGGCGTATTTACCAACTGAAGATATGATATCGAGACTGCCCCTTCGGGAGTAAAAGTAATCGGCTGTGTGGCACCATGGGCAATTGTGGCCATTCTTCTAGTACCGGAGACTCCCAGTATGCGAGTTCGTAGTATGCGAGCCGCAATGCTGAAGGTAACCATAGATTCAACCAATCGAAGGCTCAGACCACAGACTGCTTCTGAGGCAAACCCCGATGATAGCCTCATGAGAGCCAGGATTATATATGCCCACCGCACAGATATCGCCGCATGGCGCGTACAAATTCTAGATCCATACAAGCAGATAAGGATGCAATACAGACTAATACAGACCGGGAAGAACTACAGTGCCAGAACAAATGTCCTCCGATATCAATGCACTCCATTTACGAAAGCCGTGCCGTTCAGGGCGGGAATGATATGTGCCTCTGCCAAGGCAGACCGCAGAGCCTCGCCGGTCTCATCAATGAACTGAAGGAATCGCAGAATCTCGCGACAAAGCTGCCAATCCTTCACCTCGATGGCGCTCTTCAGCAAGCGGACCGCATCACCATTCACACCATCACCGTCCAGCTGGTCAAGGCCATGCAAGACCAATAAGTATGAGCCTGCGGTTTTGAGGCGGTTGGATGACAAGCAGACCTGGGAGTAAATCAGCGCCAACTTCTTATCTCGTTCTCCCATATGCTTACCTCAAACAGGTTCTTGGGGTTGCCAACGATGTCAAACAGCCGGGGCCACCTGGTCATCTCGATCTTCCGAGCGCACCCGACAATTACGTCCAGCGCAACGTCAAAGTGGTCCAGAAAATCCACTGTATCTGGTAGAAGCTGAGGTTGCTCCTCTACATCGTCATCGTCATCCGCACTGCTGTCATGCTGCGAGGTCGCGTCCTCCTCTACGACGCTGAACAGCATCATTTCGAGGGCATGGGCGAAGTAGACCAAATGCTCGTAGTGAGAAGCGAAGAGTATCGCCTCCTTCATCTGTCTGTTCTCCAGATGGAAAAGCAAAACGTGGTTAAGAAATAGATGGGACTGGCAATGATCTTAGAACAAGATCGGATATAAACACTCATTGAGCACTCACACTAGTCACTTGTCTGAACATCGTGAAGGATAGGCTCGCCCTTGTTGCAGCTTCATACTCCACTCCGATAATGATCCCCTTGTCCATCAAGACAGCTAAAGACATGGTCACGACGGACTTCGCATAATACCAAGCAGGTTGCTCACATAGCGGGTAAAATTCGAGCGGAATGTTGACATTCTCCTTGACATTAGCCTGGATGACGCCCGCTTCCGCCGTTTGACTCGTACTTGACTCGATATGCAAAGCATTGAGCCACAGGCGTATGCCCTGCCCATCATAGCCCCAAAGCGAGTTTTCCAGTGTGCCAATTCCGCGCAGGTGAATCCAGCAGAATTCTATGCGGTCAGCGAGGATCTGCATATCATATCTGACCTCTTCCTCCCCGGACTACCAATGAGGAGAGAGTCAGCTTTCAGGCGGTCAAGTTGTGTTCGTTTTACGAACCCTTCTAGGTTTCAGCAGAACCAGCTTTCCTCCCACAATCATCAAGACCGTAGCAACAGCCAAGTCGTCAACAGGATCTCCCAATTCTGTAGGACGATCTCGTATCAAAATCATGGACAGTTTAATCAGGATACGCACGTTTCTGAGCGCTTGGAATCATCCAACTCAACAATCGAACAGCTCCAGGGACAGCAATGACACCATTGAAGCTCATGCTGCCGCACAAGTGCAGTTTAATCGTCTCTGCGGTGGGAATGATGAGATAGTGATAAAGCGTGTTATCGGCCGTATAGACGAGCAGGGAGTTGTCGACCAATGAGAGGATGACGACAGGCGAAGTGAGCACCTCGCGATGCAAGACGTTCTGGTTGCTTAACTCCAGATCGCGGGAGTACAGTCGAATCTACAAGCGTGTTCGGTCAATATGACGGAATTATGGGTTCTGCGATTGTCTCCCACCTGGAATGCATTCGCAACCTCTACAGCGGCAATCAAAACGTGATGAAACCAGAGCAGTCCACCTTTCACTGTGAAAGCCTGCTCTTGCAGCTCGTCCGCGAACAGCTTCCAGCGCCCAGATGTAGTGCTGTAGTGTGCAAGCCCTCTGCGGCCAGCCACAGCAATGAGCCTGCCATCTGTACTGAGAGCTGAGTACCGTATCGGCCAGTTCGCAGCTAGGTAGGAGTGAGGAATCTACACTGCCTGTGAGCGGACCACACGTACAACAAAACATTATCTGGAAGTACCTTGACGTGCTGCCATACATCAGACTCGGGGTTGATCACACTCATGTCAGGCTGGTCAGCACCACGATATACCAGCACACGGTCATCCATTTGGAGGAATGCATATTGTGTATTATCCTGCATCCCTGTATTGAGATGAGGTCTCTCGTTGAAGTGGATATTGACTCACGGGGGAATGTTGACTGGTTGTCGCACTCTTCGCAAAGGGGATAATGAAGAGTTGACCGTCGTCCTCTATAATGATGAGATCTAGCAGCCGGATATGAAGGACAGCTGGCAGAGCACGCACTGTTTGGTGAGACGTTCGCAAGAACTACAAGCTCGAAGTTTCCAGGAACCCAAAACTACAAATTTCAAATGACATGGTGAGTTCCTGGGTGGCCGACCCAATATGGGAAGAAAGCTACCAAATCCCTGACGCCATACATGAACGCATCCTGGAATCTGGCGGAAATCAGCTTAACAGTAATCTTTGTTATCTCACGGAATACATACTTCTCTTTATCCACCTCGTACTCAACGCCGAATCCCCAGGCAAGACACCGCCCGCCCACACTCCACAGTGCCCAGCCCTTCTCCCAACCCACAGCCAGTACGTACCCATCAGAGCTCCATTCCATCGAGTGCACTGGCCCTGTTCCCTCCCGTGCATACATGAGCGGGATCTGCAGGACTTGAGGCTTTGGGGAGGGCGCTTCCTCCGTCGGGAAGTTCGTGAATTCCACAGTACCCGTCAAAGTACCCGTCGCCACCAGAGAGAATCGGATGTTGATAGCGACTGTCATCGCACGCCGCGGCTCATGGTATGCGTATTCGCCTGGCTTGAGGTCGTCTGGGTTTTGCCGCCGCCGCTTCTGAATCCAACGTGGCGGGTCAATGTTATGTACGCAGGTTCCGTGCCATTGTAGGTGAGACTTGGGGTGTGAACTGCGTGTCGGCGAGTCATTCGGTCTCCGAGACTGCAGAATAGCACTTGAGCTGACATGTAGAGTTGAGCCGTAAACCGTACCTCTTACATGGTAAAAATCGTCCGGAACCGTAGTCATTGAGCGTCGATCAGCGCCGTCCTCTTCTTCCTGCTCTTCATACATCTCGACAAAGTATGCACGGCCGTCAGAAGTGATCCAAGTCTCAAAGCCTATGACTTTCGAATTCGAGATCTTGGTCACACACACTATACGTTTGAAAAACGGCATAGTCAACAGGCTTTCTTCCGCTCGCAATGCCGTAGTAGCGCACCGTCAGGGTCAACTAGCCAGGGGAATTCTTCCTCGTTCATCATCCACGTAAAATACGCGTCGTCATCATCCTGCATCCCTGGCCATGGGATACGCTGCACTGAGGATGGGCTCGCTGTAGAGAAAACAATGTTATCATTGCGAGGTGACACGCTGTAGGTCCATAGCTATAGAATAATCCCGCAAGAGAACGTGAATGTTCCCGCACCTCAAGAGCATCCCTTCCAACCGTACAACACCCTCTAGGCGAAGCGTGACGGCTTGCAGCGGTAACGCCTCACCCGGACCAGGAAGGAAATGCCGCTGAGCACTGGACGCAAGCAGAGGTGATTGATAGAGCAGTTCATCTGGGCTGTACTGCACGGCCACAAGAACCAGGAAGGAACATGATGTCTATAGCACGATGTGGATACAACCGTCCATATGTCATTGTCGTATGCAGTTACATTCCCCTCAAGGTACACTCACCTGTATCACAATCCGCGCAGCACTCGGCGTCCAGCTCATAGAAACATTCTCGCCATGTTCAGCGATTGACGTCTGAGTACGTGACAAGTACGACAGGACGGCGGACGGCTGGAAAACAAACATGAACGTCCATACCGTTACCGCTGAGTAGTTCAGAGAGGCGTACCCGAACGCGCCATGCGGTGATGCCGCTCTTTGTCAGAGTGCAGAACAGGCTCTTGCGCGGGCTTGGCGACAGACAGACAACAGGTTCAGTGGGCACAGGCAGGGCAGGTGCTGAAGAGATCTGTCTGGCAGCGGAGGTAGGGAAGTACATGGTTCCGGTCACTTCAAGCTCATGTACGCCCGTTGAACGACACGATGAGCACTTGTGCACAATAAAGGGATGTTTTGGGGACGGCGAATGCTGTGAACATCGAAGTTGATAGGCCCGAAGAAGATAGAGCAGCAATGGCAGGTGGCACCAGGAACAGGATCCAAGAGTGAGTCAAAAACACTAGCCCACCGCGAGGGTCGAACTCGCAGCCTTCAGATGCCTGTTACTCATAAGAGTCTGACGCTCTATCCGATTGAGCTAGGCAGGCATGAAAGATAAATTAATTGTAAATATATATATGGCCATAGCTATATAGAATTGTCACTTTTGCATACTACTATCGGGGCATTCTTAGAAGCTGACTCTATCCTTCCTTCTAGGCTGCAGCTGGAATTAGCATTCTTCATTGTTGACGGATCACTCCTAGTTGATTGGTCTCTGATGCATAGTCGGAATATCTCATCTCGCTCGTCCGGGGGGGGTGATATCCGGCCGGTGAACGTAATCGACCTTATTTTCGCATACGTTCTTTATGGCAAGGATCTTACCTTTCTGGCCAAGTGCAGTGGATGTCCCTATGTCACCTAATAAGCCGTCTCGGGCTAGATGGTCACCGAATATGCAAGGTTATTCGTTGGGCATACGACAGACTTCGTTGCTTTATATCGACTAAGTGCGTTGCAGCTCCTTTCCCGTCAGTTCTTCTATGCTCGACCACCCCAGGATCGTCGTGCTGCACCCATAAATTCATCCGAGGTTCAGTGTATGCTCGGATTGCATGCTGCAGCTATTATTGCAGTTGCATTGCGATCTATTATCCCCGTGAGAACCAACACTCATTCCCCGGGAAGTCATGTCTGTCATCATCCCACGCGACGATCGTCGTGCTGCGCATTCTCCCTCATGCCCCCCATCTGAACAACACCATTCTTTCACTTTCTGCATGTCTGACATTTAAACCGCACATCGCCTGGTTCGGCCGGCGGAATGCTCAGCACAAACAGCTGCGACAACCCTAGCCTCCTCGACTCCAAAGCCTACTTCTGACGTCATGCTACCGCCAACGTCCTTGTGCGTGCCGCATTACTTCTCGCTCCCTCGCGACTTATACATCGCATCACCTGCTACCTGCAAGTGAGGCAGCAGCATCGTGCAGCTCTCGCCCAGAGCCCGGCTCGGCCTCTGTGTGCGTGCGTGTTCGCGACCCATCTTAGGTGGCGCGCACAGAGACTATACCCTCCATGTTCCGTGGAGCAAGATTCTCAGACCCCAGATCTGAGAATGCAGCTATTCCTGGCCTCTGGATCCGTTTCAGTGACGTCGATGCTGAGAAGTCCGCAACGCCATTCGTCGTGCACGCGAACGTTCACTATAGGGTTCATTCGCAAGGTTTCTCCGAGATGAATAAGTTGTGCGCATGTCCGATCCCGAAGCAGGTGCTTCAAGCTTTACAGCTGCGGAATCGCGGAAGGAACTCAGAGCTGCTTCCCGAATGTCTGCCGTTCATCGCGCGATCGGGGTAATTCTAAAGTACGCATGCATTATGTATGTGGTGCAGTAGTATGTGAACACGGACTCGAGACCCAGAGCTCGTCATCGACTTTGCACATAACAAGCCAAAGAAAAAAGTTAGAAATATAAGATAGCGCTTCTCCTGTCGGCTATCAAGTCAAGGTTAGGCTATGGGAGTGTAGGAGGTTGCAATTACATTAAGGTGACTGGCGGATCAGTCGAGGTATCAAAGTCCGCACCATTGGAAGATTGCACGCATATCTAAAACTAGACGTGGGACAAAAGATTGCGTAGCAAAAGGGCTAGTGCTTTTACCTAGCCTCGTTGAATTCTCATGAACGTTCGTGACTGCGACGAAAGGGACGTGGCGTCGGAAGGCAGTTCAGAGAAGGAGGGCGGTCATGCCAGCCACAAGGCTGAGGACAGTCGTCAAGACCGCCGCGTTCACCATTGTGGAGCCCTGAGCATCGCTGGTGGAGACACCTGACGATGTGCTACCCTCACTGCCGGCCGCGCTGCTGCTGCCCGAAGCACCAGTGGCTTCCGCGCTAGCAGAGGCCGCAGCTGCAGTCGCCGAAGCGTTTGTCGGATAGATCGATTTCGCAGCGTCTGATCCGGAACAATCATGTTAGTCAATGTCATCTACGAAAGACGATGGGCGAACTTACCAAGCGGAAGAGTGTTCGTGGAGTTATCGTTGGTTTCGATATAAGCGTTAGACAGCGGCATGTCCTGGCACTCGATGACTGGCGTGATGTTAAATGAAGGCGTGTGCGCGAGGGCCTGCGGGAGGATATAGCCGACTGCGATGTCCACGGTTTGCTGGAACAGATCATGTTCGAGCACAATGAAACCCGTGTCAATCTGGGACGAGTTGTTCATGATTGCCTCCCAATTATTCAAGACCTCGACAGCTGTGGTCGACCCGCTGGGAAGCGTGTAGTCTATGAATTCGGACGTTGAGCGCTACGCGATCAGGCACAACGTGACAGGATGGAAACCTACCTCCAGTGTCGAAAGTCTGGGTCTTGCTAATGCGAGTCCATATCACAGGGTACAAATTCATCGCCAAGCCGATGGCACGAACACGATCATCAATGTCGCCGTAGGGAGGGCGCCAGTAGATGGGCGTCACACCGAGCGCGTCCTTGATGATTTTCTTCGTCCATCCCAATTCAGCGATCACCTCTTCGTTCGTTTTCGTCGTCATGTAAGGATGACTCCATGTGTGCACCGCAATCTGGTTGCCCATCATATACTCATCCTGGAGCATAGCAGGGCGCGAGATCGCACGCGATCCCACGACAAAGAACGTTCCGCGCAAGTCCTTCTGGTCAAAGTAAGAGAGCAAGTCGGGAGTGTACGGCGACGGGCCGTCGTCGTACGTCAACCCCCACGCCTCCTTCGTGGGGCAAGTCGTGACGTCGACGTCGCGAGTGCATCCGCCGCAAGTCCACCAGCACCGACTTGAGTTGGCGGCGGCGGCGGTGTTGTTTCCACAACCTCCCAGGTTGGTCACGGGAATGTCCGGGATCTCGATGCCGGTCGCATAGACCTCTTCAATCCACGCCTTCACCTCGTCCGAGTCCGTCGGCGGCGTCTTGTCAAGAGCCGGATAGTTTGAGGGCTTAAGCGATGCCGCTGTCAAGATGTAAGTGATCGTGCTCCACGTCCCGTTGCATCTATATATGCGTACCGTTTGGCAGGGCTGGAGCGGAGGGGACCCACGTCTGGGTCGCATCGGCAGGATAAGTCGTGGAGATCGCATGCGTGGTCTGTGTACTAGCGTTCGACACGATGGACACGAGAGGCACCGCGGTAGGGTTGGTGGAAAGCAGCGAGAACGTGAGCGACTCAGTTGACGAAGACGCGGGAACTGTCAAAGCACCACTAGCACTCGAAGATGCAGAGCCAGCAACTAAGGTCACGGTGCTGGCACGGGCACGATGCTGGACAGCGTTTTCGGGATGGTGCGCAGACACGAACAATGGGAGCGCGAGGGCGCCCACGAGCGCGAACTTCATCCTCATCGCGATAGTCATGTGACAGGTGGCTAAACGAGTGGGAAGGTTTGGGTGCCGCGAGGAACGGCGAAACGGGAACGGAGGCGACGATGAGCAGGAGCTGCGTTGAAAGAGAGGATGAGAAATAGCAATACGTAGGATCAAAAACAGGTCGAGGGCAGGCGGAGCTGCAAATAATAAGATTCTTGGCAATGGCTTGGCAGGCAATCTCTCGCTCACGCCACCTTGCCGACGACGGCCAAACGGTGACTGGCAACGAGCATGCGGGAGACTAGATCATCCTCGCGCACTTATCGCGGTCCACCACCAGACGCGCCGCTCGTGCCCCGCCAAGCCTCCGATCCCGGGACAGCACGCTCGCCTGTCGACAGCCAGCCACCATGCTCGTTCGAGACGCATCCGACCAAGCACACCTCAACGTAGGGACTTGTAACTCACCTGCAGCCATGCTTGCGACGTCCGCCATCCGTCCTGACACCCACGAGCGGGGGCACGTCCAAAACAGGAAGGTGTCCAGGAAGGTCCCGAGGACGGCGAGCGTGCGCCGGTCGGCCGACTCGGTATCTAAGCATCGTGGCAACCCGATCGTCATCAACCTGTCATCGAGGATTTACCCCTGGCTTCTCCGCAACCCGGCCAGGCTTCACGTGAACCTTTCACAGCTGCGACTCCATGCAAGCGTCGAAGGCCCATTCGACACTGCAGGCGGCATACGAAAACAGTCAATGGTCAGCACCGACGGTGGCGTTAGCAGCTGTCAAACACGGAACGAAGACGTGAAAGGTGCGCACCATGTCAATCTGCTCCTGTCTGACACTCGCCCCCCACCAACAGTTGAACGGCGTTACAATTATCTCCAGTACAAATCGTGAAAGCTGGGGTAATTAGACAGGTACATTAGGTGCAGTCCGACGACGAGCCCTACACTATGAGGAGCGGACCACACGTAAGTACTATGCGCTGGAATATCAGAGAAAAGGACGAATCGGCCATTACATGGTATATATGCGTCCAAAGATGCAGTGTAAACATCAACATGCACATAGCGATAACTCACTCGGGCCTGCTTGTGAATGACAGAAATGGTCGGTACAAATGCGATGACAAGGACGTATCTGGATGCAATGGTTACGTCAAGCGAAAGAAGAGCCTTATGAGGCTCAGAGGAAGAGCGTGCAAGCACCAGCGAGCACTCCAATTGCCGCGGTGAGGAGCGCTGGGCTGACAGACATAATGCTCATGGCATCGCTGCTCTGAGCGTCGCTGCCGCCGCTGCCGCTGCCGCTACTGGCACTACCGCTGGCGCTACCAGTGCCGCTCGTGGTTTGTGTTGCTTTTGAGGCGGACGACGACACAGACACAGTGTGGTTCGCGAGGTACGCCACTATTTGGTCAAATCAATCAGCGCTACATCACTGCTACCACAGGGAGCGACGCACCGAGAGGTAGGGGATTCGAGGTGTTGTCATTTGTCTCTACGTAGGAGTTCGCGAGCGGCATGTCCAGACACTCAATGATGGGCGTCATGTTGTATTTGGGCTCATGGGCCAGAGCCTGTGGGAGGATGTAACCAGTCGCCATGTCCACAGTCTGCTCAAACAGATCATGCTCAAGCACAATGAAGCCAGTGTCGATATTGGTTGAGTTGCCCATGATTTCCTGCCACTTGTCCAGGACGGAATACACGTTCGCAGTGCCACCGACGATGCTCCAGTCTACATGGCAGAGATGGTCAGCTCTACGCTTTTTGCCGATCGTTGCAGTGCTTACCGGTAGTATCAAAGGTCATCGTCGCCGAGATACGCGTCCAGATGATGGGCGTCAAGTTCATCGCCGTCGAAATAGCACGGACACGGTCGTCAATGTCGCCGTACGGCGGGCGCCAGTAAATCGGCGTCACCCCGAGCGCGTCATGAATTATTTTCTTTGTCCATCCGAGCTCGGCGATCACTTCCTCGTTTGTCCTAGTCGTCATGTACGGATGGCTCCACGTGTGAACCGCGATCTGGTTGCCCATCATATACTCGTCCTGCAGCATCGCCGGCCGCGAGATCGCGCGCGAGCCCACGACGAAGAACGTCGAGCGGATGTCCTGTTGGTCGAAGTATTGCAGCAGGTTTGGCGTGTACGGCGACGGCCCATCGTCGTATGACACGCCCCAGTGATTCTGGGTTGGGCAATACTGAATGTCGGTCTCACGCACGCAGCCGCCGCATGTCCACCAGCAGGTTTCCGATGCGTTCGCGACCGCCGCGGTGTTGTTCGAGCAGCCTCCCGGGTTCGTTACGGGAATGTCGGGAATTTCAACGCCCGAGTTCATGACCTGCTTGACCCACTCCTGCACCATTGTCGAATCCGTAGGCGGGGTTTTGTCCAAGGTGGGATAGTTCGTGGGGATTAGCGCGATCGCTATCACCGCTAAAGTCAGCTCGGGCGGCTCCGTGATAAGTTAGCGCACTGACCATCTGGCAAGGCCGGAGCGTTCGGGATCTGCGTCGGCTTCGAGCCCGTCGCGTAAGTCGTCGAAATGGCAATCGTAGACTGGGTCTGTGCAGTGCCCGTTGCAATTTCGGAGAGCGGGAGCGCGGTCGGATTCGTGGAGGCCAAGCTGAAAGTAATTGAATCCGGGAGCGTACCCGTCGAGGTGGCGCCGGCTTCAGCAGCAGAGACCGCGGCTGAGTTGTCCGCATCAGCGGACGTCGTGGTGGTTGCATCCCTGCGGAATTTGGCGCGGTGGGCAGAGGCGAGTGCCGGGAGGGCAAGGGCGGCGAAGGCAGCGTACTTCATGACTGCGGACGAGGGACAGGAACGAAAAGGAGCGCAAGGGTTTATAGGCCACCCAGTACGGCAGTGAGGGATGAAAGCAACACGCGAAAGAAGAGAGCAGAAGGAGCGACATGCGTTTTATATGCGCAGCGAACATCAATGCTTCTTTGGACATAAACAACTTTTCGGAGCACCATCAACTTCGGCTCCGGACTGAGACGCCCGGCACCTATCCTATTAATAGACTGCCGACCAATCACGCACGGCGCACGGCCTATATAGCCCGTGTCACGGCTGGTCACGTACCTATTTTCGGCGCCAGCTATACTTATCGGTTAACGTGAGGCACAATATGATACAATGCCGGACCAACGCTGTCGGCAGCAGCTTGCCTCGCAACGTCCAGGCTTTTGGGTAACATCAATCCGCGGTGATTGAGGGTCAGTCTACTACGTTCCCAGTCTCCTCCAGGCTCACGCCCTCTTCGCCTTCTTCGGGCGCGGCTTCTCCAGGTCAATCTCCTCCTCGTCATCGTCCTCGTCCTCGCTGTCCTCTTCCTCCTCCGAGTCCATGTCGTCGCCCCCGGCCTGGCCAAGGAAATAGTCGATTGCCTCTGGGAAGATGTCGTTTGCGACGAGCACCCCGATCTAGGAATGAAGCACCATGTCACCAATGTCAACCCTCCACTGTAGGATGCACTTACGTCGTATGGATCACCTTCATGCTCAAAAAAGTTGAAGAAACTGCCACCCTCTGACGGCATGTCGTCACCATCGTCGTCCATCACCTGGGGGTGGAGCTTGGTGAGATTCTTCGAGTCATCCTTCCAGTCAATCTTCTGGGCCTGTTTGTCATAAGATATGCAATTAGCCTGGTGGCATTGGAACCGTCGCGAATTGCTCTTACCTGAGGCTCCACATCACGTTCCCACGAGAACTCAAGCATAGATTGTGTAATGCCATCCGCGTCAGGCTGATTGTCCTCCGCTGCGGGATGCGGCATGTATCGGTACTCCTTCTTCAGCACCCTGTTCGAGAAATATGGATTTTCCTTGAAATGCTGCACGTGTTGACAGTCAACGACGATGCGTCTGCACAACATGTGGCGTGCCCCACTCACAAATTCTAGCGTGAAACACCGCGACTCCCCCGAATCCCGCGCGACCCAGACGTCCTCCAGATAGCTGAGCGCGACCTGGTCCGAGTTGTGCTGTGCTTGCATCGCGAACATGTTGTGGTTCATGAGCGCGACGGCCCAGAACTTCGGGATCCCCTTTAGGATGCTCTGCCGGTCTTCATACACGGACAAGAGAAACTCCTGCGCACGGCGCTCTACATGCCGGATAACACGGCCCTGTTAGCTCGCTCTATCAAGGATGGAGGAGGGTGGGAGCGCACCTAGAATAAGCTCGCGACGCGCAAGTTCCCTTTGGATCCCCTGCAGCTTCGCCGCGTACTCGTCGGTCAGCTCGACGTCGCTGAGGGGATTTTTCTCCGTCGAATCCCCAGGGGATGCACGTTTGATGGCCTTGCTGCTCATCGTGAGGCTCTAGGAAAGGGTGGACGGGCAGAGAGGCGGTGAGACTTGGTCGTACAGCAGATGGCTTCCGAACAAATTTGGCTCAGCCACAGCGTCAAAGGGATATTTCAGACTCCGCGATACTCCGCTGCGGCCACTAATCGGCGCCACATATGTCGAAAGCACTTCCGCTTTCATCAGTTTGGTTCACGTCCGTCATGTCTTTTTACAACACATCAGTGCACGGCCTGCACAAGAAAGAACCTTAAGTAGAGGGATCCATAAGATGTGTTTTGTAGCGTCAACTGCACGACCACTGTTTTGAACCACTCGGACTAGCCACTTATTGCAACAACAGTAATATGCAAACGGTATGTTGACCAATCGCTTGCCGTGGTTTGACAAAGTTTCGCTGCATGTTGTCTCCCACAGGCACCATGCTAGACACTGTATCATGTTCCGGGTACCTCATACAATGTGGAACGCGGGACGCCTGGTCGCCGCCTCATGGACGACAACTCAATCCCGAGTCCGACTTGCTATTATGTGTCTCGATCCACATGGTCGTGTCATCTTTCACTGCACTGACTTCTCTTCTGAGAAGCGGGGTCATATCATCGATTCACTTACGATATCTGAGTGCGTGTTCAAGTGTTTCATCCTGGCACCAGTCGACTTCAAACAGCGCGTAGATCCTGTCGTTGTATGGCAGTCGACGCTCCACCGACTGTAGCATTTCCAACTGCGCTCCCCGTGGCGAAATTCTCTCACAGCTCCTGACTCGTTGCATGAGCGGAGTGTTCAGTTGGAGGCGCATAAAAAGCTCTGACCCTACGCGAAGTAGCCCTGTGCGACAGCTCACAGCTCTTTCGCGATGTCATCCTCATCTTACGTTGCATTACTCACCGTTGAGAATATCAGCATTCTTCAAGAAGCGTGAGCTCGCCTCTGGGTTGCATGTGTTCTGTGACTCACAGGCTATTGTCGCATAGCGCTGGCTGTAACTATCGCTGCGTTGCAGTCGCTGGTAAGATCAGCTTTGGCCGTGAGCGAATGAATCACTCATATCGAGAACTTTGAAGCTCTCATATTCTATGAACACATCATCCTTCTGTCAGACGAGATATCAATGCTTAGGCTGTCCAGGTTGACGTTTGCCACATTGCTTTATCTTCTGAATCGGTTCATGCTTGTGCTCTTGGGCGTAACCTACGTCCTGTCTATATTCTGGTGGGATACTCCCTTAGTGCGTTCACATCCCAGCTATGAGATGCACAACGCTGACTTGTTTTCTAGAGGTATGTCTTGATGTCATCACCGGAAGCAGCAGTCTTGAGAAGAAATAGCTGCGAATCTGTTGGGCTTCTGCAGGTGGCTGTTATTCTGATGCTGTTTACCACGACTACAGGTTGGTCACTAAGACAATGATTACAGCGAGCCCAACGTCTACTTTCCAGCGTTTTCTGCCCTTCGTACACTCGCCATTGGGGACTTCGTATACGATGCACCCGTCGACGATGGCGACGACGTCGTGGACCGCCCTACAGACTTCACCAGCAGGCCATTCACACCTGTAGGTGATACAATCGACGAGGAGATCAGAGAGGTTCCACTTGAGGTCGTAGAGGGCCCAAAAACATGCCTCATCTCGTAATGGTGCAGCAACAAGTATATAATAAACCCAATTGCATATGATCACGGTTGTGAGCAGTTTCATTGTGCCGGACCCGCATTGAAGGGCGCCAAGTCAAAAACTGTGTCGTATTCCAGGTACTCGCAGATGGATCGTCGCGTGAAACCGAACCCAGAATTCCTGGTTACAGCAGGTACTGGCCCGCTGCACTCACATTCCTATTGGGAATCGCGCTGTGGTCGTTAATGTGGTGAGCCACTTAATGTCTGTCTAGTGGCTCTTTGCGTTGATGAAATGTGCCAGTATAACTACGCCAAGACATCATATGCATACGTTGAATTCGTTGCGAACTATCCCATTTGCAGTTATAACACGTACATTTCCTTGGCGTCACAGCAAAAGTAAGTATGCCATGATCTGAATGAAAAATCATTTGGGTTTACATCGCGGTTGCAGATGTATTCATGAGTCAATATCTCTTCGAACAGCATCTCGGTGTGGATACATTGAATAGTAGCTATTATCGCGCGTGTTGGGGCAGTCTCGTCCGACTCAATTTTATTGGTGGTGACCTGGATCAAGACGTTCAAGCTCGCCAAAGAAAGCTCCAAGCTGAAGATGCCAGCGTCAGTGGGAGTACTTCTGTTCCGAGACGGTGAGCATTGGGCTTTGCAGTACCAACTACCATCTCACAGTAGCCCTTCTGGCCTTAGGCTCTTTGTACTTTGCGTATGTTTGCATTGCACTGCTACGTCCAAACCCCGGCTCATCCACTTCGATGTGCAGCACGCTACTGCTGCTGAACGGCTTAGAGATCATACTGTCGTTCGTCTATCAGCATTCCGGTGTCTGTTTGGTTTCTGTTCTCGAATCAACAAAAGCCTCAATCTAGATTCGTACAGATACCCCAGGATGTCACCAACTATATCTCAATCTTTATAACGTCGTGAGTACTTATCTATCATGTATGCTGTTCGCATGTAACTTTTTCTTCCCTAGTCTATCTTCCATCCTCGTGGGCCGTCTCATCCTGAATCTTCGCCGTAGTCTGCACAATCGTGGTGATTCACCTGACATCGATAGCGTCCACTTGGCATCTCGTATGATTGGGAATATTGGCGCAGATCTTATCCGGAGAGATGTCTCCGGTTGGATGTACATGCTGCGTTTCAATTTCAAGCCTCATCATCCCGTCATTTTTTTTCTTTCCCAATGATTGCGGTCGTCAGTGTATGCTTATGCCGAGCCGATAGTATGTGCTGGTAGATCTGGCCACGAGAAACACCGCACTTGAGCATGAGGCGCCCTGGCATGCCTGCACAATTGAAGCCCTGGATGCTCAGCGTATTGTCTGGTGTGACGGCCCCTTTGGGATGCCATCTTATATGCGACAAGATGGCTCTCAGCACCGCATACAATTATTTCTGGATTGCCGTGGCATTTAGAGGCTAACGCTCGACGTCAGGGCTGAAACAGTGATCATGCCAGCTCTTACACTCGAGCTTAAACGTTCCTCTCACTTGTGGACAATCGTGGGTCCACATCACTATCACCGCTTCCAAACTTCTCTATGAGCCCACCTTCTCAAAGAAGACACCGTTCCGAACCACCCACACCAAGAGAAACCCAAGGCCATAGATTCATGATCGCCGGCCAAGACCCACTTGGCGCGAGGACAGTCAGAGACTGCGGATCAAAAGAACAGAGTGCACGATGGGATATAAATAACCAAGTTACCGAGTCCTGACTCCTAACATGGCCAGCGGAGACATCACGCCGAGAATCAATCAACCCTCTCCTTCGCCCCCATCTCTATCTCTTCTATCTTGCTCTTCGCTCTTTGGTGCCCCTCCACCAGCTTCCGCGCGCCTGCGTCTGCGGAAGCCTTAAGCTGGTCCAGCACAGGAACGTTGAACCCCTTGCCCCTGTTGGCCGATCGGTACCCGGGGCCAGAGTAGTACACGATGTGCGTGAGCGGGATGAGGCGTGGCCAGTTGACATACTCCACGCCGTGCGCGAAGATGAAGACCAATGAGAATGACATGAGGGAAAACCAGAGAAAGAAGTAATAGGTGAGGGAGTAGTCTATTCGGGCATCAATGAATTATGCATAGATGATCGAGATTGACACTCACCAGATGTTCGTGGGAGGGTCAGCCCGGCAAAGATCATGAACAGAGAGAAATAAAAGATGTAGGGCATCTGCGCCATACATGAGCGAGAGACAAGGTGTCAATAGCTAAGTATACACTTACTGCGCGTACAATGAGACGTCTGTGGTCGCGTACCAATGACGAGGGCACCCAACCTCTCCGAGGCACGAATGCTCCAGTCATTAAATCGAATGCATCCTATCTCGATCCATCAGCCTGATAGTACCAGCAGTTCAGCAAGATCCACCGACCTGACGTGCGCCATCGAAAAAGTTGTTCTTCAAATACCGCATGACAGAGTTGTACCCATCCTCCAGCATCCCCTTGCGTGTGCGCTCGCCCGTGCGTGTGAAGTCAGTCTTCAGCGCTCCGGTCCCGCTATAGGCGATGGAGATCAAGTTTGCGTGATCCGCCCACACTGTGCAGTCTCCATCAGCCCGTGCCTAGAGACGAGCAGCATACGACGCACTCTCTCGGAAGTCTTTGATCACTTCCGGGTAGTTATCGATGACATCGTTCTCACGCAGGATCCCCAGCGCGCACAGCTGCCTGTTCAGTATCCACTTCGCAATCGCGGACTGTGCGACGTTCGTGCGGTCGAGATTGTCCATACAGTTAGTCCGGATAGCCCCCTTCTGCACCATCACAGGTTCAGGCTTTGATGCTTCGAGATGGAAGTAGCTGCAGGGTGAAAGGGTAAGTATGTCTCCTGAGGCGGAGCGTGGGAGCATACCCATAGCGTATGAGATCATCTTCTATTCTGGATAAGAGCACCTCAATACGATCCCAGTGCATATGCTTGCACTCGTTGTGGAAGTCGAAATACTCGTATCGGGAATCGGGGACACCTGCCTAAGTGAACGTCAAGCAGTGAATGCCAGTAATAGTCAACAACGAACCTCAGAGATAGAACGCTCGTACGCCTCCTTGACCGGCCCTTCGTGCCCTTCGTGGTCAACGAGGTTCACCAGGGTCTGCTCGCCATAGATCGACATGTTCGCCAGCAAGTGCTTCCGGGTAGCGTTGACCTAATTCCTCATCATCAGTCCATGAGCATATGCATACCGCAAGGAACACGGACCGTCTCCTGCAGGTCCATGATCTGAAGGTCCGGCTTATACCGCAGCGTATTCACCTCAGCCCAAAACACCGGAACGCTGCCGCGAGTCTGAACAAAGCTCAACTGGACGCTCGTATCATCCGGCCCAACCAAGAGAATCTGTTCCGTCTCGTTGAAGTTCGCAGCGCGCCCGTCCCGGTCGATACCTCGACGGAAGTACCGCGTTCCAGCGCGATACCTCGAGCGGCGGCTGATGAGGCAAATGCGCAGTGGGTGGCCATTGATGTTCTCGCCTCGAACGTCAAATGCTGGCGATGATACGGTCGGATGAGCCACATCTACCTCAAGTATAGGATATACGTACATCCGTACAACAGCGGCAGAATGTAAGCACTGAGCTATACACGATATCAGCATACAGTGTGGAGCAACAATAGGATGAGGACTTCGAACATTTTGGTCAGGATTGCTCCTTGTGACCTCGATGAACCGTGTCTGCAGGAACCTGTTCCGCAGCATGAGCATGCGCAGTTACAACCACCCATACGGTGTGCTCACTTGTTCCAGAAGAACCTATCGTCCGCCTAATACAATCTTCAGATGATCCACAAAGTACACCGAGGGCGCCGACTCACCACTTCCCACAGCGGCCTGTTAGCATCCTCTCGCAGCGTCGCCCACTGCGCCTGCAAGCGCCGCGTGAGGTCCCACGCATAGCTAAAGAAAAATGCCCCGCCCGCGAGATGAGAGCGCACGAGCGCGAGGAGGTGCGATTCGACAGGATGCGACGGCGCTGTGGCAGAGACATCCGGGTTCAGCGGGAGGATATCGTATTCGGTCGCGCGGTATACGTTATGGCCCATCAGCCGGCCGCGCAGCTCGCGCCCGGTGATGACAATGATATAGTCCGCTGGAGCCAGGGAATGAGAGACGAGTAAGCTGGATGAGGAAAGGTAAGGCGCACTGAGCGCGAGCGAGATGAGCCCGTAGATGCCGTATATTGTCTTGCTATAGCGTTCAGCGGTGACGGGCAGTGGCGCGTTCGGTGCTGGGTAACACATGTTATCTATCGGCTGAGCCCCGAGAGAAGACGGTGCAGACTCACCATTGAGGACGATGTCGCCCGAGTTTCGGTAGATGGTTAGAGAACGCGCGCCGACCGGTTCCGCAGGGACGAAGGTGTACGTCTCGTTCCCATTCGTGTATCTGCGTGTACGCTCAGCAGTCAGTCACATCTGACGAGCTACAAGTGTGCGTGCATACAGGGTTAATCGTTGATGCAGCGTCTTTGGGAACATGGTGGCGAGGAGAAGAGCAAGAATGTGCGCGGCATACAGCAGGCACACGCATCAAGCGCCTCGCTCAAACACTCGCTTGCCTTAGGCGCCCATGTCTGCGTCCACCTTGCCAGTGCTTTCCAGCAGCCCATTCTCAAGCTAAATTGTTAGGATCCCTCGTGCATACGCCGCGATGGTGAAACTCACGCCGGAACTCATCCAGTCCGTGCCCTCCTCGCTGAACCCGCTCAAAGAGCGGCAGCTGGATCTCAGAGGTGGGTGGCGACCGTTCGTCTCTTGTGCGCATATCACGAACGACGGGTCGGTCGTGTTGCAGGCTACAAAATCCCTGCGATCGAAAACTTGGGTATCACCAGGGTGGGTTTTTACGTCCCTGTCTTGACTGTGGAGGTCTCCACGCTCACAAAAGACGCGGTTTGTGTTCGCAGGATCAACACGATGCGATCGACTTTACAGACAACTCCATCCTCGTCCTGGGCAACATTCCGCTCCTGCGGCGACTGCGCACGCTACTGCTCGCGAACAACCGCATCGCGTCCGTCTCGCCCGCGCTCCACCTCTCCGTGCCGAACCTCACCACGCTTGTGCTGACGAACAACAACATCACTGAGCTGGGCGACCTCGAGCCGCTCAAGGACCTCAAAAACCTTCTCTACCTCTCCCTCCTCGGCAACCCCGTCCGCGAAAAGAAATACTACCGCGAGTGGCTCGCATGGCGAATACCCGAGCTGAGGGTGCTCGACTTTCAGCGGATTCGGGACAAGGTGCGTGATGACTTCGAGAAAAAAGAACAGGACTCATGTCTGTGCCTCGTGTGGTAGGAGCGACAAACAGCAAAAACGCTCTTCCTCACTGCCGATAAGTTGCCCACGCAGCTCGCAACAACGCTGTCAACAACCGTGTCGACGCATACTTCCAAGGCGCCAGTAGCAACCGACGAGCCTAAACCGGCCATCGTGCACGGCAAGGCAGGACGACTCATGTCAAAGGAGGAGGCGGAGAAGGTGAAAGAGGCAATCGCACGCGCGACGTCCATAGAGGAGATCCGGCGGCTAGAACGTAGTCTGCGCGAGGGCTTTATGCCAGAGATGCAGAGCGTCGGCGCGTGAACTTTGTACGAGGCCGGTGTGAATCTTGCTGTAATCTTACTATACGTTGTCATGGTATATACCTTACGCATTTTCACGGACTATTCCTGTCCTATGTGTGAGGCACTATTGACACAACACGGGCGTTTACAAAAACACACAGCGAGGCTAATGAACAACAACATGAAAGCAAGCAGGACAGATAAACATTCTTGGCGTAAGCAAAAAGACAGTGATGGCGAGAGCGTTGCGGTGGCTTCTACAATCCACTGCCGAAATTGCCCAACCAGAGGCCATGGAACAGGAGGGCCATCAGAGCAAAGAGATTGGCAAAAGAGCTCACGCCATGCAACATACTGAACGTGCTGTTCAGTGACTTCATTGCATCGGAAATCTACACCGCGGATCAGTCATGCAGGCCGCGCAATTAGGTCAGGACACGCACGCCGGGCTCGTTATAAGCCTTGCCTTCTTCCTTTTCCTGCTTGTGGCGTTGAAACATGGTCCTGCAGGAGGCCGAGGTCAGATTACGTTTGTTGTGGATGTGCTCACAGCCGGAACTGACTTGCTAGTGAGAGGTCCGACCACAAAGTGGTTAATCAAGTGCATTATCGTGACGGTGCCGAGCGCATAAGCCTGCGCCACATCAGCCAGAGCCGGATTCGTGATTTCAGTGAGGACGGTGGGATGAGCGCGCGACCAGAGCGCCAAAAGGCCCGAGGACATGGCGATGCTGATCATGAAGTAAATGGGGAACGTGCGATGCTGGAGGGTGCCAAACTGGTGCCTTGCTAGAGATGAGCATTGAGCATTACGTCTATGCGTGCGAGGGCGAGAGACGCACGGAGGGTCCTGAGTGCAATAGTACCTGCGGCACGAGGGGGTCAGGAACGCTGTTCGCGTGCGGACGAGACCGAAGACGCACCGCCGATGAAGGTCACCCAAATCGCTGCGATCGGGAGCAGTCTGAGTAGGACGCACGAGGTGAAAGGCACACTAGAGGTACGCACACATTCCCAAGAGCCAGCCATAGGTGATGAGATAGAGACTGCGGAGGTTGAAGAGGGCGCGAATGGAGGCAAGGGAGAGGACCTGGACGGACGACATGGCGAAGGCAGAGAGACTGGCGCTTGATAGCCAAGACGAATTGACTGCCGCACCCGGTCGCCATCCGACGGTTCCTGCCGCCCACACGCGAGACAACGCGCTGCTCAGCGCTCGCTTTGCGCAGAATACGATAGCATATGTTGCACAAAAGCTGCGGAAGAACTGGGACGGCGAGCGCGAGACTCGGGGGAGGAGAAATGGGCGGCTGTGTGCTATGGGTCAGGAACGGCGGGAGGGTGATGTGCCTGGCCAGTTGGCGGGTTCTTTCTCACTCTATGCCATACTCCATATCCCGCCTCTCTCCCTCCCCCTCTCCCAACTCTCCCTCCTCCCGCCTCCCTCCCCGCCCTCTGCCCGTCGCACCCGATGGCGAGGCGTCCCCCGAGCTCTGCTGACCGTCCCTACACATCCGAAAGGCCCTTCTCTGCCCGGCCCACCACCGCCGGCGCGTACTACGACCGCGATCCGCAGTACACCTTCTCCCAGGAGTACACCATCGACGAGGACGACTCCGACGAGTCCGACGCTGAGGACGTCTTTGCCTTCGGCCCTCCCTCTACACCCCAGCAGCAGCAGCAGGACGCCCCGTCCCAGCCCGACCATGCTCAATTTCAGACGATACCCATCGCCATGTCTTCCCCCGGCTTCGGCGCGTCTCCGATAGCATTTCCGCCCGTGCAATTCCCTCCTCCGACCTTTGACCAGTCCATGCGGGACCGCGTCGGCCCCGTCCCAGGGCCATCGACCTTGCACCCACGACACCCGTACCACCTTACCCCCGTCGAGACACCACCTTCCACCGATTCGCAATCGCACGATGGCGACCCGTACCGCATGCGACGCCTCAATCAGGCTCCTAGTTCGCCTCTTACTGCCCCGGGAACAGCAATCACCAGGCTCTCTGGCGTTAGCTCGGCTCTCAGCAATCCTGGCGCACATATATCCCTTCCAGATGCAAAGGAAAAGTTTCGCGAACTGTCCTCGATTGAGCCGAAGTTGAAGGACATCCCCTGCACCCCAAGATCATTGAGCTTCACGAGCATGCAGGACTTTGAAAGTCAGGAAGAGTCTGTGAAGTACGTGACGCAGTCATGAGATTTACTCTGATACTCACTCATTCGATACGATGTTCGTGCACAGAATGGACTACAATTTTGATGACCTAGCCGAAGAGGAAGATAGCCCGTATCCAGAGGTGCGGGCGTCGGTATCAAATATTGACGATCCAGATATGCCCGTCTTGACATTACGACTATGGGTGCTTGGTCTGCTGCTGACTGCCGTCGCTGCGTGCGTACATGTCTACCTATGTGCGATTCTTCCCTCACATTCCTCCCAGAGCGGCGAACATGTTCTTCTACATGCGACAACCAGCGCCAAGCATAAGCACGACACTCGTCGTTATCGTGGCGCACCCCATCGGCAAGTTCCTCGCGTTTTGGCTGCCCATCACGACCTATCGTCTCCCGCGCTGGCTAGGCGGGCATGAGTTTTCGCTCAATCCCGGCCCTTGGAACATTAAAGAACACGCGCTGGTTTTCATGATGGCGAATGTCGCGAGTGGTCCGCCATATGCCATCCAGGCTACGATCTCCATCGACGTTAGCTACGGCGAAAACCTGGGATATTGGTTCAATGTGGTGCTGATCTTGGCGACGCAATTGACGGGCTTTGGACTGGCGGGGCTGTGCAGGAGGATATTGGTGTGGCCGGCGAGCATGGTGTGGCCACAGAACCTAATCGTGTGCACGCTGCTGAACACGCTGCACGCGGAGGAGGACGAGCCGCGCGGCGGTATCTCGCGCTTCAGGTATCTGGTGTATGTGGGTGTGGCGGCGTTTGTGTTCTACTTCCTGCCAGGTGCGTGCGTCTGCGACCTGGTTCACCACGCTGTTTTGACCGCGAGGGCTCTTTGAAGGGTACCTGTTCACCGCTCTGTCGGTGTTCTCCTGGGTTTGCTGGATCGTGCCGAACAATGTGCCGGTCAACCAGCTGTTCGGCATCGAGTCCGGGCTGGGGATGGGCTTGCTGACGTTCGATTGGACGCAGATCAGCTGGATCTCGAGCCCGCTGATGGTGCCATGGTGGGCGCAGGTGCAAGTATTCGCTGGCTTCGTGTTTTTCTATTGGATTTTGACGCCGGCGCTGTACTACCCTAACGTATGTGTCTCCTCTCCTCCACCTGCTTCCCTGTTACTGATGCACCTTCCGCCGTCATGCAGGTATGGAGTCTCGCATACTTTCCGATGCTTTCGACGGAGCTATACGACCGCTTCGGAGACGTGTACAACGTCTCGAAGATACTTGACAGTTCGGGAGATTTCTCCCAATCGTTGTACGAGGCGTACTCGCCGCTGTACCTTCCCGCGGCGTACACGATGACGTACCTAATGGCGTTCGCGCTCGCGCCATGCGTGATCGTGCACACGGCGCTGTTCCACGGGAAGACAATATGGCAAGGCATCAAGCGCGTGAGCACGGAAAAGGATGATATTCATGCGAAGCTCATGAAGGCGTACCCCGAGGTACCCGACTGGTGGTATGCGGTCGTGTTTGTGACGTTCTTTGCGCTGGCGATCGTTGCGGCGGAGGTGAGTGGATCGTTGGATGCGTTTGCTGTGTGATGTTGAAAGAGAGTAGGTTTGGCATACCGGCGCACCCGTGTGGTTCTTGATTCTCGCTGCGATTATCCCTGTCGTCTATATCATACCATCTGGATACGTCTACTCGATATCCGGCCAAGTGGTATGTCCTATATTTCTTTCTCCTCTAATGACATCACACTCATCGTTTCACAGATTTCGATAAACATTCTGGCGCAAATTATACCCGGAGTAGTACTTACAGGCCAGCCCATCCCTAACATGGTGAGTATTTTTGACGCTGGAGGGTATGGTCGCATTCTCACGGCCTCTTCATCGCAGTTCTTCAAGTCATACGCGCTGCAGACGCTCACTGAGGGCTCGAGATTCGTGTCAGACCTGAAGCTTGGGCACTACATCAAGGTCCCACCACGGGCTACATTCGTTGGTGCGCGCAACTTGTTGTCTTCGTGGAGCGTCGTCAGTTGATTCTTCAACAGCGCAATTGGTATCGACGTTGCTGGTCGCTTTCATCCAGTGCGGTATGCAGCAGTGGATGTTCGAGAGCGTGCCGCAAATCTGCACGCCGCACCAGAAATACTCGCTGACGTGTCCGCATAACGAGGTGTTCTACGAGGCGTCCGTGCTCTGGTGAGCTCCTACCGTGTGTCCTCGTCCGTTTCACGGATCGTGACCGATGTTCGGATCCATGACACAGGGGAGTAATCGGGCCCAGGCGTCAGTTTGGCTCGGGGTCGATGTACAACCCGGAGCTGTGGGCACTGCTCATCGGCGCAGTCCTGCCTATCCCGTTCTGGCTCTGGACGCGGCGGAATCCAGAGTCGTGGATGCGCTACATCAACACGCCGTTGCTCTTGAACGGCATCGCGGATATCCCGCCCGCGACGGGTATCAACTACTCGTCGTGGTTCCTGGTTGGATTCATCTTCCAGTATGTGCTGCGGAGGCGTAACTTTGCGTGGTGGAGCAAATTTAACTACGTGACGAGTGCGGCTTTGGATAGCGGTGAGTGGAGGAGGTTTCTTGCTAGGGAACGAGCAACTGATTGAGTGGCTGGCAGGGACGGTGGTCTCGCTGCTTGTGATTTTCTTTGCGTTGGAGGTATGTCTTGCGATGTTATATGAGATCAACGGGGTACTCATGATTGGCGATGTAGTTTCCAAAAGGCGGCGTCAGCATAAGCTGGTGGGGGAACGATGTATGGAAGAATAGTACGTAGCTCTCGCTGTATGTTGTCTGCATGCGAAGGCTCATGTGTCTCTTTTCTCCTTAGCTGCGGATTACAGAGGTACTCCATTGAGATCAACACCTTCCGGCGGCATCTAAGCATAATTTCATATTCTATCTAAATGCATTTTTTTCGGCATTCACAACATTTCATGGCTCCCTCGTAGGAGATACCTTTACAATTTGCCTTCATTGCTTTCTATGCTGCACATAACGTCGTTCGCTTCATGTATCATTGTCTTCTGTCCTTAAAGAACCCCCACCACCCAATGCTACCCATTCGCATCCCACCGGTTCGTCATGCACATCGATATAAAAACTGCTCATGTACAAGCTCAGATCAACGTGTTCTGCATGTAGGTTTCACGCGCCGGCGTCGATCACTCGCCGCCGGTTGCTTCCCGTCTAGATTAGCGTAGCAGCTGTTTTCTCAGGTACATATTACGGTATATCCATCTTGCAATGGGAAAGAGAAGTTGTAATTGTGACTCGTGCAATCTGAGATTGATGTGTCGTGCCAATCGATGCAACGAATGCAAGCTGCTCCGAAAGCCCAACGTTCTACCGCAAGATTCCCAGAAAGAGGCGGCCGGAACAGTAACCGGACTCGAACACGCTGTAGCCTCTTCGAGTGCGATCACTGTTCAGGTCGTGAATCAAGAATCTTCTCGATAGAGAACGACAAAGTCCATCGAGATGCATATATGAGCGTATGCACGGACGATCTTTCCCATCGAATGGCGAGCCGTAGCAAGAACTTCTTATAATACGATATGACACAGAGGTTTTGGAATGGGGTAGGAGTGAGGAGGGAAAGAGATGTGGAATGCGGAGATGTCTTCCGCTGATTGTGGCTGGCGACGACGACGGTATTCCACAGGATGCAGGGACTAAGGCCTTATCATGGCCTCCATCACTGACAGCTCTGGAGCATCTGTGAGAACATAGCAGGATGACTTGTCCAAGGTGCTGGTACCGGATCATGATGTCCAAGGCGATGTAGATGCCGGTGCGCTCGGCCCAGTCAAAACGACTGATTATAAGGTTGTAGTGAGCTTCGAACTCGGCCGCCAATCGAAGCCGGCCCTCTCCGTGATGGTGAGCATGGATGAGGGAGAGGTAGCGTGGATATGCCTGTGGAAACTCGGCAGCAGATAGGAATGGCTCTCGAGAGGCATCAAGGATTGGAAGCGAAATGGTGATGGCCCCGTTCTCGACCTTGAGGGTCTCTTTCTGACGAATGAGCCAGTCGATGCATGCTCCAACGCGCATAGTTGGTTAAGGCGGTGAGTGGAATATACACTTTCAAGCTGGATCGGATGATCTTGATCACGGCTGGAGGATCCATGAGACGGTCAGGGTCAAGTTCCGTCGCCGCATCAGGGAAATCGCGCGGTGACAGTTTGCGAGGGCCAGAGGGCACAGCCGGGGTAGTGCGGGAAGGCAGAGGGCTACACATGGCCCAACGTCGTCAGCAATGAGTAAGGCAGGAGAGAAGAAAATGCAAGTGGAAAAGAAGGCCCGGAGGGGCAAGTAAGGTTGAGGTGGAGGGCACAATAGAGTGTGCGATCATGAGGCGGCGGACCGCGCTAGGAAAAAAAAAAACAGGAGGCGCAAGAGTGCGAATAGTTGCGGAAACGCAGGCGCGAAGAAAGCGAGAGGCGCGGTGGCAAGAAAGAAGCAAGAGGCGCGAGGGCACGGAAGAAATGGGGCACAGAGGCGCGAGGGAGGCAGAGGCGCAGAGGCGCGAGAAACGGAGACGCGGTGAGAAGGAGGCGCGAAGGCGCATAGAGGCCGTAACGCGAAGTGACACGTACCAGGAGGAGGAGCCAGCGAAGAGGGCCCGACCTCTTTGTCTGTATGCGGCCTTCCCTCTACTCGTCCCACGCAACGCTCGCATTTACCGTCCTCTTTCTTCCGCAGCGTCGGCTCTTCTCCTTTTCATGGCGCCTTCTCTGCATTTCTCTTTTTATGTTTTCGTCGCTCATTGCTCCAACTACCTCTTGCACAGCATTGAGCTTGACCTCCAACGGGCATGTTATCGGGTGTGAGATGACAGTTGGGATGTGCCGAATGATGGGTTGTGCAGTATCAGGCAGCTCGTGGATGGGGACCGAATTGAACAGCTGAAGCTGGACGATAGTCGGGCTGAGCTGGCTCCCTAGACCCTGCAACCGCAGAGCTTGAGCGAGAGAATGTCAGTTGGCATGTATTACCAGCAGCCAGAGCTCCATGTCAAAAAGAATGACGAAGGGGTTCACCGCGAGATAAACCCCGACTTCTTGTATCGGATTTCCACATACGACCCACCGCGACACTAGCTGGGTAATAAAATGTGTGAGCGTAGGATTGACTTGAGCGTGCTCGCCAGATACAGAGAACCCATAAATGAAGAAAACAAGACATCCAGCGCATCGAGAGACTTCAGAGTCGTCGCGCAACGTGGGCAACATGGGTGTATGTTGGCGGTGCAGACGAAGAATATAACAATTGGGAGGGACTCATATACGAACGTACTCCTATGTTCGAATTGGCATCGTTTGACCGCTGAGCTTCAGGCTGCGATCGTTCAATCTCACCTTCCATTCTCGAGCTAGATCCTTCCTAATCAGTCACTGCACCCTTGCTGCGTCCACCTTGGCCGCTATGGCCTCACCAGAATTCCTGATTTGCGATTGAGAAATTTGCGCCTCGCAACGAGCATATGGCTTCGAAATGCTCATATCGAGGTTACACGGGCAAAAATCATCCTTTGATGAGCGCAACATGGTGAAATCAGTTTGTGGTATGCATCATGATAGATGCGTGATTCCTAGTCTCGAAACCACGTACGAAGCGGAGCATTTACCGTACAACTTCTCTTCACTGCGAGCAAACACCGCACGAAATCCGTCGCCGATGCGAACCGCCCATCTATAACTTGCGAGAATGATCAGATCACATGCATTGACAAGAATAGTACACAGACTGAGAACGGACGGGAACAATGATACAGCAGGTGACAGGGGCATTTTGCGAGTCAAATCTGAGTGCATGGGATATCGAATCATTTGAGGTCAAATGTCGAGGTCACATCAACGGAAGCCGCCCCAATCGGAGGGCCTCATTCCCATCATGCCTATACCACCGAGGCCCATACCCATACCCATACCCATTCCTCGCCTCCGCGGGCCTGCAGGAGCACGCTCTTCCCTTGTAGCGGTCAACACATTGTGCTTGTCTATCAGCTGCGGGATGATGGTTGAGGTCAGCAACGCCATATGAGCAGCTGTGAGTATGACACACGTCGTTGAGCAGGCTAGTTGACTTTGTGAGCGCAGCTAGGTAAGCAGTCAGCTGAACGTCCTCATATTCCTAAAATGCAGAGCATGCAGAATAAGCAAGAGGACAAGCAGAAGGTACACATAACATACTGTATCGAATTCCTCCCGAAAACCTTTGTGTTCACTTGCAGGAAGCGAAGCGACCAAGGCCGAAAGAGAGCGTAGGGTTGCATGGTCTTTGGTGGCTTGGCCTAAATATGAGCAGAAGTGATGAATTACATTGATGGTCAATACGAATTAGGATAGAACTCACCCGCAAGCACGTCACTGACATACTTCACAAGCAACACTATTCTATCGTGTAGCATCTTGACTGCAGCACGCTGCGAATTCAGGTGCGACTCGACTGCGAAAGGTCATGAGGAAGACTTCAGACTGTGCTAAGCATACACTTACGGCTGTTGTCTCCTTCTCCACCCTTCGCAGTCCAATCAACCGCAATACGCTCCGCCTCGCCCGTTTCAACAGTAAACGGTGCCTCGATGAATACTGAGCGCGACTTGTTGTCGCGGATCTCAAACGTGGGTTCATATGCTTTGATAGGGAGCGCTTGTCCTGTTATATCTGAAGCCGCAAAGACCGTGGATGGCTGCAGCAGCACCAGCAGTGGCGTGGAGCTGTACGGCACGAACTGTGGCGGATCAGAAAGAAGCGATCCCGTACCGTTGAGCAACCCACCTGTTCGTGCAGGGCGATGTGCTGGATGTTGGGCCGAGGCGCTACAGTATACCATCCGATGAACTCGAGCGATGGAAAGACCAGTTTGTCTAGCGCATGTTCCGTTCACGCTCATACAGGACAAGATCGACGAGTGCTTACATTGTTCTTTTCGATCAATCAGAAACGCCTGGTCTACAGTAAGACCATCCTCCCCAACTGCGAGCTCAAAGGTGTTCACTATCTCGACTTCACGCCCGTTTTGAGTTCCCAGGAGTGCGCCAAGAACTAGCAGCACCATTCTAAGTCAGTTGCGCAGATACACGATGGCCGCACTCAACCAACCGAAAGGCGAATTCGACTTAGTCTGTAGTTTCAGGCGGGTCAGATGCTCTGAGATGTTGAGGATGGGTAACGGATGACTGCCCGGCGGATCAGCATCTCCGTCGTCCCTCGCACTGTAAGATTGACATACAGGGATAAAGAGAGAGTAGAAGTTGTGGTGGAAGGCAACACGACAGGGAGTTCGTCAACGTCCATAGAAGTCATGATGTGCAGAATTCGCCAGCTGAGGTACGAGAAATGGGGATGAACGAATTCGAGCTGAGCCACACGCGTACTCTCAGACAAACGGACATAGCGCGCGTGGGCAAGATTGCTGTGAGGCTATCCATAGACACCTTGTTGAATGCAAATGCAAAAAAGAAAACAACTCATTCCCATTAGCCGACTCGAACGACTGACCTCGTCATGGCGTTATACTAGTGACGCGCTCTACCAACTGAGCTAAACGGGAATCAATACAACTATCAGTTTGATATTCATGTTGCATTTCATTGCTGGAAACACGAATTAACCTGCCCTGAACTTCTTTATGAAACGCGTACGGCGCGTCGCGTCTTTACTCACTTCTCGATCTCCCAACCAGCAGTTCAGTATGTCTGGGTTTGATGCTGATCGTATTTTTTCCGTCTCAATCCATGACGCCCCCGAGCCAACATTTCCTGAATCTCCTTCTCAAACGGAGAGACTCCTTCTAGACTTCCTGCTGCAATATCGGATTGGAGGGGAGTTTGTCTATAGGTCAGGCTTTCCATAATGAATGACTTCAGAAATTTGTTTCTTATATAACCGTAGGGACAAGCTACGCGCGAATCTGTTACTGAAGCAGTATCACCTGGAGGTGGACCTTCGCCACGTTGGTCTATACAATGACGAGTTGGTGCATGGCATACAAGAGAAGCCCGCAGAGATCCTGCCACTGGTGTGTTGACTTCAGTGTCTTTCATGTGAACGCGCTCCTTACGTGTTTGTAGTTTGAAACCGCCGCGACAAAAGCAGCGCGAACAATCCTCTTTCCTCTCGCCAACAGTCACGGCAACAATGCCGATACCACAGCGCACTCCATTCCTAACATCCAGATACTCATCAAGTCTGGGCTGAATCTTCAGCAGTTCCGTGACCTATCTGCCAACACAATGAACAAACTCGTTCGCATACCCGGCATCGTCATCTCCGCTTCCGTCCTATCCGCTCGCGCTACGAAACTGCATCTCCAATGTCGTGCGTGTCGTAGTCCCAAGATTCTCTACCCACCAAACGGCTTGGGTGGTTTGGGAGGTGGCTCGGATAAAGGATTACCTCGAGTCTGTGATGCACCAGAGATTGAGAATCAGAAGAAGGATTGCCCCATGGATCCATATCTCATCATTCATTCGAAATCATCATTCTCAGATCACCAGACGTTAAAGCTGCAGGAGGCACCAGACATGGTGCCAGTCGGAGAGTTGCCTCGCCACATGCTCCTCTCTGCAGATCGATATTTGACTGGGCAGGTCGTTCCTGGTTCACGGGTGATTGTGACCGGCATCTATTCGACTTTCCAGGCAGCGAAGTCGGTTCGTCCTATTCCTTCGAATGTAAAAATGTTAATGCTTACGATCATCTCGCGAATAGAAATCCGGTGGCGCAGCTGCGCTGCGGAATCCTTACCTCCGTCTCGTGCATCTCGAGGTGTCGTCTCCATCCGCTGGCGGGTCCGGAGGCTCAAATCCATTCGGCATGCAATTCACTCCTGAAGAAGAGGAGGAGTTTGGCGAGATGGCTCGCAGCGAAGGCTTCTATGAGCGCTTTGCTAAGAGCGTCGCACCCAGTATTTTTGGCAGCCTCGGTATGTTCTGAATTTTGATCTCAGTCGGACAAGGGTCATTCACACGTTTTGCAGATATCAAGAAGGCAATTACGTGTCTACTGTTTGGCGGCTCGAAAAAGGTGCTCCCCGACGGAATGAGGCTACGAGGAGATATCAATGTCCTGCTATTGGGTGATCCCGGTACAGCGAAGAGTCAGCTCCTCAAGTTCGTAGAAAAGGTGACTAGAGCAATCGACCTGTATCAGATCCCAAGCTGATGCTTTGCCACGAAGGTTGCCCCAATTGCAGTATACACGTCAGGGAAGGGCTCGAGCGCTGCCGGTCTCACAGCATCTGTACAGCGTGACCCAGTCTCAGTACGTCTGTCAAACGCCCTTCGAACGTCTCATCTGACAATGGTGCATGCACAGCGGGAATTTTACCTGGAGGGGGGAGCTATGGTCCTCGCAGACACAGGTGTGGTATGCATTGATGAGTTCGATAAGATGCGCGACGAGGATCGGGTCGCTATCCATGAAGCGATGGAGCAACAGACAATCTCCATCGCCAAAGCCGGTATCACCACCGTCCTAAACTCGCGGACGAGTGTGCTTGCTGCAGCAAATCCAGTTTGGGGTCGATATGACGAGGGCCGTAGTGCGGGAGAGGTATGAAGCTTGATATACGCTTCATCGGGATACGACTGACATCTTGCCTCAGAACATTGACTTCCAAACGACCATCTTATCGCGGTTTGACATGATTTTCATCGTGAAGGATGAACACAACGAACAACGCGATCGGGTAGCGTAAAATGTTTCCAGTGCATGATATTTCGCTGAGCTCTTTCCTGCAGATGATTGCAAAGCATGTCATGAACATCCACATGAACCGACCAAATGACAATGCTGACGAAAACGGCGAAGCTGTGGGAGAGATCGACATCGATAAGATGAAGCGGTATATCTCGTATTGCAAATCGTACGCCCGTGCTTGCTTTCTGTGTCGACAACGGCGTTTTCATAACACGAAACCCACAGAAAATGCGCACCACGGATTTCGGCGGAAGCGCAAGAGATGTTGAGCAGCCACTTCGTCTCGCTGCGTCAGCAAGTGCAGCAGATAGAGCGAGACAGTGACGAACGCAGCTCCATTCCCATTACTATACGGTTCGTCCAGTGATCTCCACAGTCTCACTTGTCATTGACTCTTCCACAGTCAACTCGAGGCCATCATTCGCATTTCGGAATCGCTGGCAAAGCTAGCCCTCTCTCCAGTCGTCCACAACCATCACGTCGAAGAGGCCATCCGCCTTTTCAAGTGCTCGACAATGGATGCCGTGTCCGCTGGTTCTGTCGACGGACTGTCTCGTGGCGCGTTGAACGATGAGATGAGCGCGATCGAGAAGGAAATCCGGAGACGGCTGCCAATCGGATGGAGCACCAGCTATCAGAGTCTTGTGCGCGAATTCGTGACGCAGCACGGCTACTCTAGTCATGCACTTGAGCGCACGCTTTTTGTGATGGAGAAGAGGGAGATCATAAGATTCTCAGGACAGGTACGTGCGTTCCAACTATGCCTTACCACAGACGACTGACCACTGTGTTTTTTATCTGTTCAGAACAAGGTTGTTCACAGGTGAGCATCTCGGCGACTGATGTGTTTGGCGGTATACTGACAACATAAATTATAGATCGGGTGTGTGATATGCTGGTGGTGTGTTTTCCCGGACTGTGGTCGTATGCATTTGTATACTCTTTGGCTGTATTTATATAATATAGCGTCTTACTCTCTTCGCATCGCAACTATGTCCGATGTGACTGCACAGCATAGTCGTTATTCAGCCATCTCGAAAGGAAAACCATTGAGTACATTGAGCGAGCGATCAAAAAACAATAGCCCACCGCGAGGGTCGAACTCGCAGCCTTCAGATGCCTGGCACTCATAAGAGTCTGACGCTCTATCCGATTGAGCTAGGCAGGCAATAACGATATGCTATTGTGAATATATAGAGAGAATAGCAGGCGCCGGAGCAACGGGAACCTTGCCCTGGCTGGTGACTATGGCATCCAAATGTCACGGTGCGACTCGTCGTGCGCACGCTACCGCCTTGCTTCGAGCACCTTCGAGTCCCTTTCTTGAGCAATTCACGACATCACAGCGGATCTCAGCCCCCCCGTGGTGCAGTGATCGAGCGTGTTTCATAGAGGTTGAGATTGGCTGACATCCAGAATGTGCAACGCACTTCACGAGTAAGCTCCTGAGGAAGTGACTATAGTTTAAGACATGACCGTGGTAGAGAAGGCTTCCACATGAGCGTCGATCCGGAGCAAGCAGTCAATATGAACCGTATTTATGACTGCATGCAGACTCGACATAATAGTGCAAGCGTCCTCTGGCGGATCTGGAGCACCATGCGGTGGCTTGCAGGAGAGCGGAAGGTGGGGATGCGTACCGCATAGGGTGGGATGGTATGCCTCGCCGTCCGCGAGTGAGCGGCGTGGCAGATGTCCGTAAACAGCAGTGGGCGCGTCGCGAACTTGCGGGCGGCCTTGAGCGAGAATCTAGCACATTATTGGCGGATGGAATACGTACCGCTGGGGAGTAGCTGCCTTGCGCTCGGCACCTTCGGGTGATAAGGCCGGCCGAAACGCCAACCTTGGTCCTTCAGCAATGAACGTCCCTGCACGTCCGGACGTTATGTTTGAAAAGAGCGTTCCAGGAAAGCACAACCTCCCGCGACATTCACAAGAAACCATCCGACTGAACGGCGTATACATTCGCCCGTTCGAACCAGCCACGCGGCATCACAAACCGTCGTGAGACCACAGAGCGGTGCAGCTCGCTTCTCCAAGTATGTGACAAATTCCGCTCGACACTTCAACGGTCCTAGTACAATCACAGAAGCGGACCTTGTGATGAGGCGCAGATCCACGGAGAGTGAATGCGCGCGGCGTTCTATCCGCGGGTTTGCGGTAATATGCGGCCGCCTGGCTGATTCGCAGCCTCCAGGTTTTCGCGTGGCAGCGCCGCCGCCGTGGCGCACGTCCCTTCGGCGCACACGCACGCGAATGGAAGTTGCAATGCGGTCCCAGCGGACTTGTTAACAACTCACCAGTCGCCACCGAGCTGGCTTTCTAAGAATCAAGGTCAAGATCTAGGATTGACATGATCCATCATTCTGTCAGAAGGGCTTTCGCCGAGATGATGGAGGTCGCTACTCACGGAGGGGCCTAAACCGGAGGCTGTGCAGCGCCCGTCAGCTGTCCATGTCAGCCTTCGAGGTCGGACTGATAGCAAGATAGAGATCGCGCCGCGTAACGAGGTTTGTGCGATGAAGCCGGAGAGAAGGAGCGGCTCCCGCTGTCGTGATTAATGCCATCAGCAACACTGATGAGCGACACGTCAGCATTTCAGCAAGATAGCAGCTGAAAGGCCCAGCAGGCAAGAAGAAAAGAAATCAATAACCCAGCGTTCGGAGCGGCTTATATGCTGTCCATCTTGCTGCTGCGCTGCACAGTGTATCGTGCATCGACGTGAGACGAACTCTCTCGCTTGCGGACTGCGTAGCGGTCAACATTAGCCGCGAAGAAACTCATGCACTGTAGCTGGACATGGACGGTGGATGCATGCTGATGTTCCGCAGTCTGCTGCGGATCGCAGGCTCGGTGCATCATTCTGCTATACAGGTTGAGGACGCCCGAAGAAGATGTGGGCTTATGTGTACGCACAGCCCCGCTGCGGAGCGGTTTACTCTGACCGCTGGCGTTCGCTATTCCCGTTTTCGTGTGGGCGCAGCTCGACGATGTCTGTTCGGCTTCATCCAGTGGCGTTCTGTCTTCCATGCCGCTGCGGAGACGTCGACTAATTGGCCTTTCGAGGATTTCTCACTCAAGCTGTGGTGTTCGAGAACGCCGGTCTCTGCAAATCCGCAGTCGTTGGATGATGCTTCTCCCCTTCGGCCCAGCGTCAAGCGACTGCGCTGCTGGATCGCGTTTCTATTTGGAAGGGAATTTGACGGTGAGGAATAGGCGATTTGCTCAATCTGCAACAAGATGGAGATGAATGCGATGTGATCGATCGTTGAATTCGAGAGGGCCGCAGCAGGAGCCTCGGGGTCGTTTTCGCCAATGTCCACCGTCGCCACTGCCGTATACCCGGTAGCGCTCAGCGGCCACGATATCGCCATACGAAAGATATCGCGTGCTAGACTCCAGGAAACCGCGCTCCCGTGAATGAATGGAAGTTCAAGAATAATTCAGCCTGGACGACGGTTCCGAAGTGGTTATTCGTTCCGGCGGCAAGGCATTCAGGCCTCGTTGAGATGGAAACGCCATTGGCAGCGCGAACACAGATTTGGGGTTGCGAGGTTGTGATGGGTGCAATTGCGATCATAGTAGAAGAACACAATTGAGTGGTTGAATTTCTTTCCGAATTGAATTCCGGAGCCCGAATGGGGCGGTGAGTGACGGAGATTTCAGCAGTATTGGAGTTGGAAGCTCAAGTTGACTGTAAATGACAGTTGGCGGGGGCATCCGTGATTAAGCTGACGTGGCTTGATCCGCATGTAAAGCGGGGACTCGAGTCAGAAGAAGTGTGGCCAGGCCGCGAGGCTGCCGCGCAACCGTAGAATCTAGATGAGAGGCGTTCGTAATGCATGCAGCAAATGTTGAAGAACTGGTCCTGCATCCGGGCTGTTCTGAGAGGCAGCGTTGTGAAGTGAGCGACACTACTCTATACAACTGCCAATTCCACAACATAATGTGAGATCAGTGATTGTGGAGCGGAAACGTGACGCCTCAGGGTGTGCGTCGGCAGCGGGCGGCCGTATGTTTTGACAAACGTGCTTACACGGCGCGCGCCGGCGGTGAGTCAAGCTGGCTCGCGTGGGAACGCCCCGTCGTTGATGACAGGGGTGGGAAAAAAGCGCGAGACGCAGCACCTTTTGACTGGCACTCCTCCGCCCTCATCACCACATTTCCAGCTGCCCTCCTCTGTCCTCCACTCCACTACATAACCGCCTCCGCAGCCGACTGCACCATGTCCGTAGACTCACACTTTGCCTCGCCCGTATTCTACGCTCCCACCCTCTCCCGCGCGACCTTTCCCGCACACCCCAAGCACGACGACTCCCCCGGCGCCGGCCCCTTCCTGGACGAGGCCGACTACGCGAAGCAGTCCTTTGACTTTTTCCACTTCGGCAGCACAGCCACCTCAGGCGTCCTCGCGCCTCACCCGGACCAGTTCGAGTCAGAGCTAGACTCGTCCCTCGCCGCCTTCGACGCCGAGCTCTCGCTCCTCCCCGTAGAGACAGAGACCCAGGACATTTTTTCCTTCCTCCGCTCCGACACACCCACCTGCGGCCCGCCCTCCACCTTCACCGTCTCTTCCGAGTCGGTGTCGGGGTATGACTCTAGCTACGCCGACTCCGTCTCCGGCCGCGACAGCTACTACGCTTTCCACCCCGCCTACGCCCGCTCTCCCGCATCCAGCTACACCGCAAGCAACTACTCTTTCCGTACGCACGAGCTTGAGATGGACTTTAAACGCATGGCCTTGCCCGCGCCGCAGGACGAGCACAAGGTCTTTGCTGCGCTCCCCGCATCTCCATCTATGCGCAACTCTCCCGCGACGATTCCCACGATCGCGCGCTACTCCCCGACGACGGCGGGTTATTCCCCGCGTGGGAGCTTCTCCGATTATGAGCCCGCGCAGCCGCATCACGTACGCATTGGCAGCTCTGCGGCCTCGGACTACTACCCGCAGGCGTCTATCCCGGGCGTTAACAAGCAGTACAATTACGGCGTCGGCGCAGTTGTATCGCCCTCCACTGTGTCTCCGTCGCTACCCGCTGTGCCTCCAATCCCGGTCATTGCCACCACTCCAATGCCCAAGAAGATGGAGGAGATGCAGCAAGACCCGAAGAAGAAGTATCAATGCCCTTCGTGCCCGAGAGGTTAGTCTCTTTGTTCTTATTTTATCATTATTCCCAAGCTGCAGTTCCTGACTATTATTCTCACCATAGCCTTCGCTCGCGCCTATAACCTTAAGACGCATATCCAGACCCACGATCCGAACCGCTCTAAGCCGTATTCCTGCCACCACAAGTCGTGCGGTAGGTCGTTCAGTCGCAAGCATGATCTGACACGCCACTTGGTGTCGATCCACCGCGCCGAGTCGGTTTCGTCCGGCTCGTCGACGTCCAAGTCGATTGGTGTGAACAAGGATACCCGTGGCTGGTGCGACAACTGTGGCAAGGGATGGGTCGGCAAGGGAAAGGAGAAGGGCTGCGAGTGTGACAGCGCCAAGTAAACGAAGGCATGCTGCAGTGTTGGATTGCCTCTATGGTTGCGTACGTCGTCTCTTGTTCACGCTTTGCTACACGTCGAAGCTCATTATTGTTGCTCTAGCTATGTGCAACGCCCAGGTCCGTCTGAGTGGTGTGGAGCAGAGTGCCGGTTACAAGGGTATACATATGCAACCGGGATGCCCCTAGACTGCGAAGACGATTATGGCGGACGCGGTGGTCGTGCGTGTGTTCCTTTGCGGACCTGTTCCCTATGCGCGACTCTTCCTGCGTTCCCCCTTTACTGGAATGTTCACGCCTGCATATGCTGTGCCTTTGCTATGTCGGACTGTGTGATGTAGTGTGTGCGACACCTCTTCCACTGTGTTACTATTCTGAACTGCGTGTGATATGATGCATGGATTCTATCCTTTGGCTGTTCGGCCGAGTTCTGTGTGTATTTAACTGTTGCTTGAAATAAGAATGCGCGTTGGACGAATTGATGATCGTCATACATAGTGGGTCTATGTGGCCCATGGCTGACCTCGGGTGGCCGCCCGTGACCTATGCGCCGCTCCCGAGTGGTCGCCGACTTCCCGTTATGGCAGCTGTCCTGCGTCACTCTGACGTCCCAGCCATGGGCCCTCCTCCCGGACCAGCAAATACGCAGAATATATAATGGCCACCTCGCCTCTGGCCTGCTCCCCGCACGCCGTTTCTCCCGCCCTCCGCGAACAGCACATCCACATACCAACACTAAGTCGAAGGCAGCATGGCCAGCGCGATCTCCGGCGCCGTGAAACACGCGTTTGGGGCTGCGACACAGAATGCAAAGATTGCGGACCTTCAGAGCGATATCATCGACCCCGCGTCCATGCCCAACAAGGGCCTCACCACAGACTATGGAATCTACGTGTCGGACACGGATAACTGGTGGGTCTTGTGCCGAATTAATAGTATGTGCAGTGGCTGATGGTGCTTTCAGGCTGAAGGTTCAGGATGGCATCAACACTGGCCCAAATCTTCTTGAAGACCAAGTGGGTATATGCGTGTGTATTATATCGTGGCGGGATGCTCACCATACCACCAGATCGCGCGCGAGAAGATCCACAGATTCGACCATGAGCGTATCCCGGAGGTGCGCCAGTCACTCACGTTATACTCTCTGACACCGCATATTGATAATTTACTATTCAGCGTATAGTCCACGCCCGTGGTTCAGGCGCGCACGGCTACTTTAAGGTGTTCGACGACCGCGCGAAGAAGTATACACACGCACCCGTCCTCACCGACTCTTCGCGCACCACGCCCGTCTTCGCGCGCTTCAGCACCGTGCAGGGCTCGCGCGGCAGCGCAGTATGTTCCTCCCCTCTCCCCTCATACGACCACTCACCTGTAGCAATTGCAACGTAGGACACTGTTCGCGACGTCCGCGGATTTGCGGTCAAGCTCTACACCGAGGAGGGCAACTGGGACATTGTCGGGAACAACATGCCAATCTTCTTCATCCAGGATGCGATTAAGTTCCCCGACTTTGTGCATGCCGTCAAGCCCGAGCCGCACAACGAGGTGCCCCAAGGCCAGAGCGCGCACAACAACTTCTGGGACTTTTGTGGGCTCCAGCCTGAGTGTGCGTCGGCATGCCTTTCTGTATCCTTCTCCCTGCTGACCTCAGCGTATCCAGCGGCGCACATGGTGATGTGGGCCATGTCCGACCGTGCCATCCCCCGCTCGTTCCGTATGATGCAGGGCTTTGGTGTCAACACTTACAAGTTGCTGAATGCCCAGGGCGAACGCTTTTTCGTCAAGTTCCACTGGCTCCCGGAGCTTGGTGTCCATAGTTTTGTCTGGGACGAGGCGCTCAAGATTAACGGCCAGGACCCTGGTGAGGAGGCTCATCACTGATCTGTACATTCCACCCATATCGACTTGAGACGTGCAGATTTCCACCGTAAGGATCTCCAAGAAGCCATTGAGAACGGCGCATTTCCCAAGTGGACATTCGCGATCCAGACGATCCCCGAGTCGAAAGAGCACGACTTTGAATTCGACATCCTCGACGCGACAAAGGTGTGGCCCGAGGAGCTCGTGCCGCTCGAGGTGATCGGCGAAATGACGCTCAACAAGACGGTCGACGAGTTCTTCACCGAGACGGAACAGGTCGCATTCTGTACATCGCACGTCGTGCCGGGCATCGGTTTCAGCGACGACCCGCTCCTGCAGGGCCGCAATTTTTCGTACTTTGATACGCAGATTACACGCCTGGGCGTGAACTGGGAGGAGCTTCCGATCAACCGCCCGGTGTGCCCTGTGCTCAACCATAACCGCGATGGCGCGATGAGAAGGAGAATAACTAAAGGCGAGGTAAACTACTGGCCGAACAGGAAGGAAGTTGGAGCCCCCGTACCGATCAGCGAGGGAGGTTATGCCGAGTGTGTATTTTTTTCTCGTGATTAAAGAACAGCGCGGCTAACGCACACCCTCAGCTTTGCACAGAAGATTGTAGGTATCAAGCAGCGCGTGCGCAGCAAGAAATTCCAGGAACACTTCAACCAGGCACAACTCTTCTACAACTCGCTCACACCATACGAGAAGGCACACCTCGTGAGCGCGTTCTCGTTCGAGCTCTCACACTGCGACGACCCGGTCGTGTTCGAAACGTACACGAAGCTGCTGAACAACGTCGACTTTGAGCTCGCGAAGCAGGTCGCGATCAACGTCGGCGGCATCGTGCCCGAGAAGCCGCTGCGCGAGAACCATGGGAAGAGCACGCCGACGCTCTCGCAGGTGTATTACGCGCCCAAGGAGCCGACAATCGTCTCGCGACGCATTGCGATTCTCGTCGCGGACGGGTTCAATCTCGCGGAGGTCGAGGCGCTGCGCGCCGCATTCAAGCTCGGCCAGGCGACGACGTGGATCATTGGCCCGCGCCGCGGATTGGTGTACCCCGCGGGTCAGGTCGTCGGCAAGGGCGCAGGCGTTTGGGCGGACCATCACTATGAGGGCCAGCGCAGCACGCTGTTTGACGCGGTCATTGTACCGAGCGGCGCTGAGCATGCACAAAAGCTCGCGCAGAATGGACGGGCGATTCACTGGGTTCGGGAGGCATTCGGGCACTGCAAGCCCATCGGTGCCACTGGCGAAGGTTCGTATGATCGCATATCTGACTGCGTAGGGGGCATGGATGCTGACGAGCGATGCAGGTGTCGCGTTCATCCGTGAGGCGGTGCAGCTCCCGGGAGTGCAGTTCACGAACAATTTGAACAGCGGCTCAGTAGTAAGCTCGTACGGCGTCGTCACCACGGGCAAGTATGATGCAGGGTCGGCCGCAACGGACACGCTCAAGATCGCGCAGGGCGAGGAGAAGGGCTTCGTGTCCAACTTTGCGTATGAGATCAGCAAACACAGGTGCTACGAGCGCGAGATAAACGGGCTTACGTCGAGGGTGGCATACTGAGCGGATGTGAATGTGTACGCGAAGGTTTAAGGAGCGAGAAAAAAGAATCTGTACGATACAGTGCTCGACTTATATGTACTAACGAATGTATCATCTCTGTAGTATGCTGTCCATATATATATTGATTCAGTGAATGTAAAGGACCAAAAATTGTACCAGTAGCCCACCGCGAGGGTCGAACTCGCAGCCTTCAGATGGACTCTTATAGTAAGAGTCTGACGCTCTATCCGATTGAGCTAGGCGGGCGCCTTGTCATGTGACATGACATTTTATACTCAACCATTAAATGCTTAATTACGCTATGATTGGGGCCTCAGTCGGATCCTCGACCTACGTGCAATACACCACGCAATGGATTTGAATGATTTGCACCCTCCGGACGACTACAGCCACCGATTCTTCATTTGGCACGAATGGATACAGGTGTCGCGTTCCCGTCGTGCCCATCGTGCAACACACTAAGGCGTCCGATTCAACAATGACTGACTAGGCTAACGGACCGCTCACGAACGAGAATGTGTTCGACTATTTCGCGACGTCGATGTTCTATGACAAGCAAAGCAACAACCAAGTGCTGCGCATGCAGACGATGCACGTTGGAATGCCGCTTGAGAACGAGGCGGAGGAGCTCAGGTGCGTGACTGCGGTTGGTATTGCGATTCGATAGGCTGATTGGGTTTGGCATACGCAGGCGGTTTACTGGTGTCGAGTTTGCTGTTGTACATGCACAGCCGCCTGGGCTGTTTATTATCCACAAGCGAGAGCGACTGTCGCCCGATGAAGGTAGGCCACACATCCCCTTGGGTGCACCCCACTGCTGTGGCTTTGATATCTGAACCATCCACCAGTCCGGCCATTGGCAGCGTACTTCATTATCAATAACCGCATATATCAGTCTCCCGATGTCTATACCCTTGTTTCGAACCGATTGGTGAGACTCTCTGCGAGTTAGCTATACAGGCGCAGCTCAGCAATGAACATTTACAGCTCACGTCCCTCCATGCCTTACAAACGTCCATGGACACCCTCCGCGCGCATCGACCTAGCTATACACCACGCACGGGCTTCGTTTGGCCCATCGTGGAGTTCACTTCGACAACGGCGGGCAGCAAGCGCAGCGCGGACGAAGAGGGTGCGGCCGACAGCGACCTGACTGGTCCTTCAAAACGGCGCAAGAGGCCGCATGAGCGGCAGCAGAACAACTTGCTCCTGTTCAACGCCATGCGCACGACGGCCGTGCACGCGAATGCGTCATTCACGCTGCCTGAGGCGGCGTCTGAGAGCACGACGGTCCCCGAAACACCTGGTGCGGGGTCAGGAACGCGCTCGTCTGGGACGCCCGCGCCGGCATCGACGAGAGGGCCGACGCCGAAAAGAGGTGAGACACCGCAGGCGCAGCCCGCGAAAGGTCCTCCTGGTGGAGGGAAGAAGAAAAAGAGAAGTGGGTGGGCTTTGCTCGTGCTCACTTATAGAGAGCTCATCAAATTATGTGATTCAGGGACCGGTACGATGTCCACAGTCAGTTAGATCTGATCCCGACTATGGAGAGTGTTCAGATCTAGTTCCGCTTGCGTTCCGTTGCCTTGCAGAGTCTGTCGAGTGGCTTAGGACGTACTGCAATTGCAGAAGGCTGCATAGCGTGCCGCAGCTTATGCTACTTGTTGCGAGACTAATGCTCTTTGATTCGGACGGTTGACACGATGCGCAATGTGAAGTTACAACTAACATCTAACATTGTAGACTGTACATGTAATAATACACTGAGTGTCCCCGGGTTTATTATCTAGAGCCGACGCCGGCGAGCTTCTCCGTCAACCATCCTAGTGTCGGTATCGCAGAGTTTCTCGAACCGACCACGCCGCCACCAAGCGAGAGCGGGTTGGCAGAAGCATATGAATCCTTGCGTGCTTTGGCTGCTTCTTGCACTGTGAGACAACAAACAGTCAAGTTGTCCATTCTCAAGATGAGGGTGCACGCTTACCGCGCCGGTCGATCTCCTCCACGTTCGTCTCGAGGACCAACCCTCCTTGGATCACCTCAGAAAGAATTTGGTGCACCTGATCCTCTATCAGCAATAACATAGTTTGCGTGAGATATGACTTGCCTCGTCGAAGTGGAAAACCAGGTCCAACTCGCACACATTCTCGAATGAGCGATCCAAAGACTCCACAAACACCTGCAGGGTATCCGCGCTGAATTACGGTAGCACATTGGTTTGCAGAGGAACATGCGACCCACCTGGATCAAGTCAAGGATACCCAGCTCACTCTCCGCACTGTCAACGAGGAACACGAAATACAGCGTCGCGTAGTTCCTGTAGACGACCCGCAGCTTCTCGCCCGTCTCATCCTGCGGCGTCAAGAAGCTCTCGAGCTCTGGTGCATCGAGGAAGTTGCACAATCCCGGCGCCCGCGCGGAGACCAGGGCGAATATCTTCTGGATCAGTGCCTGCACGGAGCGGTGGAGGGGCGAGTAGAACTTGGTGAGGCGCGCTACGCCTGAGGTGTTGACTGTCAGAGCGACAGCACGGTGAGCATGAGCAGACGAAGCGGAGGAGAGGATCGGACAGATCAGCACCGCGTGTATCATGGTTTCCGGCCTCTACGGCTGCTCAGGTTCGGATTTCAGTACGGTCGAAATGCGGCGGAGGTTGTGGTAGCCGCATTAGAGACGGTAGATCTCACGGCGCGTTGTGGCCACCGCGCTCGGGTGGCTCGCGTCGTGATCTAATTACCAAGTATATGAACTGGGTGACACGTATCTATCCACCTTCGCAAATGTTTATATCAGTCAGCATGCGGTCAATGTGAGCTCTATACAAATTATATAAATCCGAGTTGCTTCGTAACATGCCACCGAACATGACATTGCTCTGGTCCGTTAGACGAGCCATTGCTTCATAAATCCACAGACGATGCGCTCCAATAACCAAGATTAAGCACTAAGGGGCGCCAATAGTGTGCCTAACCGAAGAAGGTGGCCGTTATTCATTGAGATGAATTGGACTCATGAGTCGCCTCGTAGGACGGCAGAGGTGCTAAAATCGAAAGGTCAGAATATGGCCCCTACAGCCACATCCAAAAAATACGTACATTCATGGTTCTTGCGTGATACCAGTCAGAACCCTGTAAGCAGCAATCATAACCCCAACTGGTCGATCTGTTCGTGAGTAACGGCCTGTAAGCCTACGGAATTCCCACTCACGCGCAAGCTTTGAGAGGTATTCTTATACCCGCTGATGCGGTGAGCATATACCACCGCTTAATCAAGAAATGCTGGGAAGGCAATGTACGAGCGTACGTACCTTTTTGCTTCTTCTCTAGCCACCACCAGACGAACCGTTCCCGCAGAAGGTCAGAGACGCATTCCAGACAGTACCAACCGTCTCTCGACCACGCCTCCTCGTCATGCAGCTCGACGATCTCCTCCATAAATTGAGCATAATCAAAAGTGATGTAGTTCCTGAATCTAGATTTCACGTCTGACAGGTAATCCAGCAGTAGGTTGACCTCTGTGTTGTTCATCTGCAGGTTATTGGGATAGAAAGTGCCGAGGAATGTCGGGCAGAAGATTCCGCGGAGTAAATCCCAATCTGATCAGTCATCAGTATATTGAGCAACACGCCATGGTCGGTGACGATGCGCCGATGCTTACTAGAAGGGCCCCAGAGATTGATGCCGCACGCGGCATGACATCGATCGCCTGTAAATCCACGATGTATTAACACAAGACTCAGACACGTATCAGATTATCAGGCAGGACATACATACATTCGTCTTGTGAACCAGTGACTTCACTCAGAATCGCTTCAAGCAAAGCCTCATGGCCAATCTTCGGACTCATTTGGTGATGAATCAGGTTGAGGAAGAAGGGATACCAGAAGAAACCTTCTTCGACATCCTCCGGTTCCTGAGGTTCCAGCGACTGAAAAATCCACAGCACACGCGCTGGGCCCATAGCCGAGATGTCTCTAAAGTACGTCACTGCCAGGGCAGATGCAGCTCCGGCGCTCCGCATGGAAAATACAAAAATTGAGACGACCCACCCGTAGGCACCAACGAGCTCGCGCACCCGCAGGAGTTATCGGTCCGTAGGAGCAGCTCCGCGCAGAAATCTGCGGCGCGCCCGAGCTCGAGCAACTCTTCTAGCGGTAGCGCCTGGAAGAACACCCTGCGCGGGAAGGTGTACCAGTCCTCGTCGGGTGGTTCGCGGTACAACTCGCAGTATAGCCAAAAGCGGTACATGGCGCGCCGGAAGCGCGATGACTCGTCGACGGTCAGTTTGCTTGTCCTTGAGGTCCGGTCCTTCTTTCTATTCGACTAGTGTGAGACTACAGCGCACTATGGCGATAGTGTTCTTTGACAGTGACTCACATCCAACTAAAGATATCCTCCAGCTCCTTCACGACCGGTGCGTGATAGACGAGAGCTTCACATATCGCACGGGTCAAAGGCAATTCAGCCACTTCCCTCTCTTTAGGAAGCGCATCGTCCCCGTTATCTTCCTTTCTTTTGTACCCTCGACCCGGAAGCACGTATGCCAACCTCACGGCTGCAGGGATAATGTTCGGATCGCCCGATGCATTCTGAGTGATGGCCTTCACGATCGATTTGGGTCGAGCTTGGAAGACGCTGTAGAGGTTCTTCGACGTGCGAATGAATGCAGACAGTGTTCTGAAGTCGGGAAGGAAGGTGAGTATACGGTCGAGAAGGTCTGGGCTGAGAGACGGTAGCGGCATGGTCCCAGTGTTTGAAACTGAGACGGTCGGTGAACATCGATCCCAGCTCTGCCAACGCGACCGCACACAGCTTTCCCACGGAACTCACCTGACCGCGTTTCAGCAAATGCAAGCACACGGTTACAATTTCCTCCAATAAATATGATCATCCCAAGCACACATATAGTCCAGAATCTATAGACAATGTCCAACTCAAACACGGTCAAGATATACATGTTCATCGTTCATGTTTCGACTAGCGTACCCGTCTTCCTGTTCATTGGAGATCTAGTCGCCGCGTGTAGGCACGCAGAGGTGCTACAGGCAACTCATCAGCACAGTCTTTGGCGTGACAGGATCAACTTACGTTAAGCCTCTTCGCGTGTTGCTCCTTATGCGACTGAGTCCGGCAGTTGTACCCGTACCTGTGTTGCACATCGTCAGCCATCACCCTACAGACAGACAGTAACTAGTATGAAGCCATGCTCACCAGCAATCCTCGAGGATAGGTATTCCCGCTGTGTCGTCAGCTTCTTATGAGATCCCAAGATGGACGCAATGCACCAAGAATGACGCACCCTCCTCCTTCTTTGCGCGCCAATACCACATGAGCCGCTCCTTAAAGAGCGTCCGGACGCATTCCAAGCAGTACCAACCGTCCTTCGACCACACATCTGGCGCGTCCCCCTCCCCGGGAACAACGGTATCGAACAGCCCCTCCATGACCTGGTTGTAGTTCGGCGATCGAAAGCTGACCGTGCCGTTCTCCTGCGCGAATAGGATTTCGTACATCCTCATCATTTCCCAAATATTGTAGCGAAGTCTGCCATGGAGCAGCGTCTCGAATATTGATGGGCTAAGGTGCCCATGGAGGAGACCCCAATCTGAGTTACGGCCGTTGTCAGTCAAAAAGAGCGCTGCAGTCAAAGTTAGGGAAAATGCGCACTATTTGCCCCGAAGAGCTTGGGCCCTTGTACAGAGTGGCAGCGATCGCCTGGGATGTCGACGCCATCAGTCCAACGGGAGCATGCCATTGGAGAAGAGCTTCGCTTACAGGCATCATGCTCTCCGACGACCTTGCGCAAGATCGCCTTTGCCGTCGCCGCATCGCGGTCCTCAGCACCTATCTCGGCCTTTTCCAGGATGCTAGCATACACAGCCTCGAAGAGCTGCGGCTGCCACCTGCCACCCTGCAGATAGGGGAAGATGCGCCGGATAGCAGACCGGTAGCTATCTGGAGCAAGGAGCACATCTCGGCAGACTGTAGTCGCCCATTGAAGCAGCTCCGTGGTGAACGACACTGCGCGCCAGATATCATGCAGCTCCTCTAGCGGGAACGCCGTGAGAAAGTCCAAGCGTGGCCGAATAACCTTGCGGTATTGTTCGTCATCAGGCTGCTGCAGGTTGAAAAAATATCTCGGATGCTTGAACAGCTTGCGATAGAGCCATAGGCGGTACATTGCACGCCGGAAGCTCACCGACTCGTCCTCGGCGAGCATACTCGCAGAGGACATGCGGTCCTTGTGCCTGTCATCAAATTGAGATCTTCAGACATTGCCATCATAAAATGAAACGATGCACATCCAGCTGAAGAAATTCTCAAGTTCCTGCAAAATCGGTGCGTGATCGACGAGTGATTCAGCCTGTGTGCGGGTTAGGGACATGCGCATCACGTCGTCCTCTGGCGGAGGAGGTCCACACTGTTCGTCTTCGGGACGTTCTTCATTCTCTTCTTCATCGTAGTCGTCGTCTTCGTCGGTATCTTCATCACTTTCGGGATCGTTGCTGTCTTGATATGCTCGGACCATTCTCACAGCAGCGGGTAGGACGTCAGCGTGGCCGACAACGTTGCAAGCGACGGCGGCGACGATAGACTTTGGGCGTGTTTGAAAGACGTCATAGACATGCTTCGAGGTGAGGATAGTTGCGGCAAGCGACTTGAAGTCGGTCAGGCTGACGAGAATCTTGTCAACCAAGTCTTGACTAAGGTCTGAGAATTCCATGTTTGCAAGCCCACGATATATTGTCTGATGGCGGTGATCTTCAGGAGGAGGGCAAGCATATATAGACCAGCGTCCGAGTCAATCGAGCCCGGCACCGACCCACGGCACCGAAAATAGCATTGCTTAGTATGCTATCTGGCTCTTGGCAGGCGCGATATGGCACGATAAGTTATTAATAACGTCCGGCATGTCGTTTTGCTGTGGTAAATTATTCACGGAACTGGCACCCGCCAAGAGCCCAAGGATAGAACGCTGGTCAGCAACTCCATGCCCAGACGTGGTTGATGCATTCTCGGCTCCCGAGTGTCCAGCGCGAAAGCGACGTCTTTCGGCCGCGTGTGATTCGCGCTCGACGGACATCGTCGGGTGTGCGTTCGCGAGCTCGCGTGGCGTCGACGGAGGTGGACGTGCAGGTCCCATTGCACTCGGGTCGTCGCGGTGGCCAACGCAGAGGTGTGGTGTTCGGCCGCGAGGAGCGAGGGAGGCTGTGGCGCGAGAGAGGCGTGGGCGTCTGTGAGTGGCTGCGGGACCGTGCTGTGCTTGGCACTGTCCGAGTTGGGAAAGTAGTCCTAATATTGGCTGCACGTGATAAATGCCAAGCCAGATGGAAGCAAAAATAGCAGGCTAAATTTGGGCATGTCGCGAGCGCGCTTCGTCGTCGTGCGCGCTTCTCCTCCTGCCCACTAATCCATCCATAATACTATCCTCTCGTCCTCGCCACCTCGCCTGCTCGCGTGTCTCCTCCGTGCGCGTGCATGCTCGCCGTCTCGGGCGTCGTACACGCTGTGGCAGCTGGTGCACGACTCTGGCTCGGCGGCGGATGGAGGCTGGGGCGAGTGAGCGGACTGATGCCTCGTCAGTCTTGGCAGGCTATATTTACGCGTTGGGAGTGCTGAGCCGCAGAGTGTCGTAAAGATAGTCACAGCTTGTCCTTGGCCTCCTCGTCCTTATAAGCCCAACCAACACCAATTCACCGCCCAGCTCTCCTTGCATCCGAAAAGCCCCTTCACCGTCCCAGGTACCCGCTCCTCCATGAACTCCCTCCCATCCCCGCCTCTCCAGCCCCTCCCGTCCGGCTCTTCTCGCCACCACGACCAGGTCATGGAGACACTTCTGGCCTCTGCGTGGAAATCCATCCAGCAGGTGCGTTTTTTCTGCCCGTGTAACCTCACCATTTAGTGACTGACCTGTTCTTAAAAATAGGCACCACCACCAAGCCTGCGCGACATTCTTGACGCCTACCGCACGAAAGGCGACGGTGACCGCGACATGCTCATCGCCATGCTCAATGCCAAGAGTGCTGAGGATCAGGTTTGTTCCGATCTGTCCATTCGTCCCGCTAGGTCTCACATGATGTCCTCCGCAGCGCATCGCATCCGTCGCATCATTGCAGCGCTCTATGCTCGAAATGTATCAGCCATCATTGCAGGCGTCTTCGCAGTCCATTCCTCCGCTGCAGCTTTCTGCCGAGAGCTCGCATTCGCACCACTCGCACTCACATTCGCACTCGCCATACGCCCTCCACCACCACTACTCCTCCACATCGCACATGCCGTCTCCCCCTACCACCTCATATGACCACTCACCATATGCGCATGATGAATCCGTGCACCACTCGCACCGACGAAGCGACTCCGGCTCCTTCTCACAGCGCGACTCACTTGTCGTGCCGTCTGCATCGCCTTCGCGGAAACGGCGCCGCTCGTCCTCGCGCGAGCGTGTCGACACGCATGATCTACCCTTCCCTCCGTCGCCGTACTCGTCCGCGAGCTCGCACAGCAGCGGTGGCTCACCACGTTCACGGGAGAGCATGGCCATTGGCGCGCTGCTCTCGTCGTCACAAAGCAGGACTGCTGCCGAGGAAAATGCGCGACGTCTGTCGACCTCGAGCACCTCCGTGCGGGAGGGTTGATGTGCCTGCTTGCTCCGTTTCTCGCTTTGGGTCTCGTTGTATTGCATGCCGGGTCGTGTATCGCATAATGCTATGTATTGGATGTGGATGTGGTTTCTCGCTTTCCTTCGGTGGTCGGTCTATCTTACAGCTGTCTCTGCTTTTGCACCATGATGTCGTTGTATATGCGCTATGCCGCTGCGATCGTGTACCTTCTACTACGTATTGGAGTAATTGCATGATTTGTCTCTGCTCATCTGGTTGTGGGGTGTTATGCATTATGCATTAGCCTTTGTCGATCGATCACAGTGCGCAGGGGGCAATTAGAGAACTGATTAATGGCCATGCATTGACATTCGTCCGTCCCAAACATTAACCACAGCGCCTCAGCGCGGGCCCCCGAGCGCTGCGATGAGCCATCGGTCATTACTCTGCTTGGCCCGAGACAGGCATTGCAGCTGACCACCGCGAGGGAGCTGCCAAGACCGTTTCTATACATACACGGATGGCCGCTATTAGCCCCCTTCGCCTTCGACAGTGCGCAGTTTTCGCGAGTCTTCGGACCTTGTTTTCGACGTGCGCGTGCTTGTTGTCTCAATGCGTGGAGAAAATTGCTGGAGCATGCATGGCAGCCGCTAGAAATTTGTAGTGATCAAAGTCGGTGTCTGTTGAGCGCGTTTGGAGGACCGTAACCATCATGTACGGCGTGAAGAGGCGTTGCAGCCCGGTGGGAAGTTACCGCGCCGATGCGGTTCAGCTGCGTGACTTTAGCACAATGCCTCAGTTCAGTTCGGGCGCTAATTCCATGTGCGTATGGTGTGACATTTGAACTGAGTTCAAACCGATCCGTGACGCGTTGATATTTGAACCAGTTCAGATGGGACGCGAGACCGAAAAACAGCATGCATACAGATAAAATTTGATAGAATGCTACACGTTTGAGATATACACACAACGGACGCCATCTCGACTCGTCATATAGCGCTCTGCATCTATCACAGCGCGAGAACAGGCACCAGACCCATCGAGAGCCGGCGCCCGACAGCACGCCAGATTCTGGGTTGAAAGAAGGGACGGAAACGGTGTACGGGAACAATAAAGACCCTGAGTCAAGAAATCACCCCATAACGTCAACCATTCATGAACATCGTGAATGAGCCCGGAGCCTCCAGGGGAATGGGGGATGGGGGATGGGAGGGAGGTGGCCGCCGTCCAGTGCGTCCGTAGCAGCATGAGAGAGAAAGAGAGCTCGCCAAGGAAACAATGGAGGAGTGGCCCGAAATAAAGCTCCGCTCTCGTGTCGTGGGATGTGCTGCACCCCCGGAAATAAACCTATTCATGTCATATATAGCCGCATAGATACGCCTTTCTCAGATATCTCAGAACCGGAAGAAGCGGGAGTTACTGCGCGGGGCGACCGGCGCGGGCGTGGGTGGCGGCACCTCACGCGCCGCGACGTCGCTCGACGTGCACGGACCGTCGTCCGTCCAAACCCCCGACGACCCTAACATCCGTCACGCGACACCGTCAGAACACAGTCGACGTGAACGGAGGTGCAGAGCCACTCACCGCCCGGCACGTCATTCTCTGTCCAATACTGCGCGGTCCACAGGTCGCCGCTGGTCGCGGTGGGCGTCAGCGTCAACACACGGGGCTGGCGCTGCGAGGGCGGAGTACGCACTTGTATTGCACCTCCGACCCGCCCGTGTACGCCGTACTGCTCGACCACTCCGCGACGCCTGCACAATTGCCCGAGCTCGAGGTCGCGGTTGAAATGGCACTCGTCGCCGTCGCGGTAGCGATGCTGGAGATGGACGAGGAGCTGCCGCCGCTCGCAGCGGTCCCAGAGCAGGCGCTCTCTGTGGAAGACGGTTGAACGCTGGTCAACGCTCGCACTGTGAGGAGAAAGCTTACTGGGCATCCAGTCTCCGTTGTAATTGGCAGTCGGCTCATCAGAGGCGTAGTACTTCGCCTGTATGCGGTGTATTTGAGAAAATCGTAATAATTACAGAAATTGCGAGTCTCACCTCCCAGATGTAGCTACATGGGCAGCGGACACAGTGAATATCTGGAAGCATGCCAAAGCATTTGAGCACGTACCCATTCCACGATACGTTCGTACCGCCAGAGTAGCTGGAACCGCTCGTCCACTCCTCCACATCGCAAGACGGATACGTAAAACCAGTGGCGCCCGCGGAGACCAACGCATCCTTGATAGCCAGGTCATAACGGTCGTTATCTGGCAACAAGTGCGGAAATGAGTGGCATATTTCCGCGACTCACTGTGTGGCGCTCACCATAAGCTTGGGACGCGTCCCACAACATGACACCTCCAAATGACGGGAACGAGTTGCGCGTGGTGATGGCAATGCTTGACAACGTGCCGATATCTTGGTAACCAGTGCCCGCAGCCGTGCTTGAAGCCGGGGCACCGACAAACACCTTCACATCGGGATTGATGCTGACATTTCGTGCCCAAATGTCCCTAACGTCGGAGAAAGCGCAGAGTTGAATGAGAATCCGTACGCCATCGAGATCATTCGCGGAGATCGCCTTACCACAACCCAAAGTCCCATCCCTACGCAATTCATCAGTATAGGCAGCGACCTTCCGCAGCATGATGTCATCCTCACCGAGGCATCATCAAAATTCTGTAAACCGCAGGGGTTGTTATCTGGTGATCGACAACGGTTGAAAACCGAGTCAGCGGCACGGAATTTACGGATATAGTCCCGGGATGTACGCACAGAATTGTACGTAGACCATGTCGAAGTAGGCGCTGTTCAGGGCGGCGCCGAGATATTCGTCGGGATATTCGCACTGAGGCGCACCGCTCACATAATAGCTGTTGATCGTCAGGTGTTGCGGCTTTAACGATATGAGGGCACACTTACGTCTTGTCCGCACCATCGAAGTACGTGCGGAGTTGAGTGACGAAGTTGGCATAATATTCATCCGAGCCGCCCTCGATATCCAAGTCCACACTGCAGACGACCCCAGATTGAGACGTACTATCCCCACAGAATGTGAGAGATACACACCCATCTAGAACTGCACTTCCAAACGGCCGAGAGTCATTCGAACCTCCAAGGAATAGGTCCCAGATGGTATCTGCAAATGCCTCCGCCTCCGCTGCACTGGAGAGTCCCACGCTTCCACCAGAACCGCCCAAGCTGATGGTCACGGCCTTGCCCTGATTTTGGCAGTACTCGATGTCGGATGCAAGGAACGAACAATTTAATAGTTCGGTCCCTGAATAATACGTGTTGTTCGTGGAGTTGCAGGTCTGAGTGCGAAGCAGCAATCAGACGCACCATCCTATTGAGTCACTCGTGTGCGAAAGACTAACGTTCGCGAGATTGAGAACGGGATAACCTCCCGTGCCGAAGAAGGTGTCGACGAACGCGATTGGGATAACATCGATCGCGTCGTCCTGAAAACTTTTCAGAACCAAGCCCAGGCTCGGTAGCATCTCCGGATTGACTCACCTGGCAGTAGAACGAGATTGGCTGCTGGAGGTCGGTCGTGCCGGGATTGGCGGCCGCGTATGAATCCTGACCCCAGTATCTGGCCTATTCTTAGCTCATACAATCCGAAACTGAATGGAGGAAGAACTTACACTGCGACCTGTGAAAGCGCACGAACGTGTGCATGATAGATCAGTTTGACTGGACTGCGACTGCTGAGATGAGAATCTACGTGCGTTATCATATAAGCTCAGATCGAATGCAGCGACGGACAGCACGTAGACACTCCCGACGAGCAACGCAAGCACCAAACGGCTGAGTAAAGGCGCGCAAGGCATCCTAATATCGCACTCGAGGAGGAAGATACAGGGCGGCCAACCTGCCATGAGAAATGCATCGAGGACTGCTTTATACCCTGGTAGCGTGCGTGCTATACATATGGATTGCCGCAGCTCCGTTCATCTAGCTCTGCATTGCAGAGGTGAGAAAATCTCCAGGCAGGTTGCAGCGTCGATACGCACAAATTTCATCAACCAGTGCCATGCGGTGAGAGACCACGTTCAGCATGCCTTCCGAAGGCCGCTCGGCGCATTACACATGTGCAGGCAGTTGCTAAGAGTGTAAAGACAAAGACACGGAGGCAATATCATTCTCGAAAGCATATGGTGCTCTGACCCAAATCAGTCGAGCTTCGAGTGAGAGGCGCCTGGACATACCTAGGACATACCATGGACGAGCTCGAGTCAAGGCAGCTTCGATCGTGAAATACCCATCAAACGAAAATACACGTGGAGGAAACGAACACCATGCGTCTCAGCTGGTCACGTCTATCTGCTTATCATCTAACGGCATCCGCCAGGTGCTCAGCTCCCCTACCTCGCCCGGTCTCGCTTCTTTGCACCACGGTAGACCTTACGAATCCTGGCAGAAAAAGAGCACATCATCCGCAGCACACCCAACAATACACCGGTCTATGTAACGATTGCTCAGTTAGCAGAAGCATGCCCTACACTGGTCATGAGACGCCGAATATGTCTATCTGCTATGCTGCAGCGCCCTTCCTATCGTCCTCTTGCACGTTGGCGTTTCTCACAGGTTCTGGGAACATAGGTTAAGGAAGCCACGACAGAGCAACGCGACAGCATACCAAAGTATGGATGTGCTTGAGCTTCCCTCGCCGTCAGGCGCTCCTGGTGGTCATAACGCAAGAGCTTGTCTAGGAAATCGATGGCCTCGTTCGAGATATATCGCTGATTCTCTGAGGTAATGAATCGCGACCACGGTTTCTTCGGGTAACTGCAAATACATCGCCTATGAGTGGACGGCAAACCGCAGACACGGACATGGCTCAACTCACCTTCCAAGAAGATCATCGTACTGAGTATCTAGTACGATATCGTATTTCTGGATGTAGTGGTATAGGCCTTCCGTTCCGAGAACTTTGGCAATCTTTACCAATTGATCGTAGTTATCATGACCATGGAAGAACGGTTCTTTCCGGAAAATCTGCATACGACCATGGATGAGCGTATGGACGGCCCAATGCACTGCAATCCTTACCATAGATGCAAACATGCAGCCGTAGCTCCACATGTCCAGGCTATAGTCGTACTCTTGGAAGTCTACGAGTAGCTCGGGTCCCTTAAAATATCGTGAGGCAACGCGCACGTTGTACTCGGTCTTCGGGTGGTAGAATTCAGCCAAACCCCAGTCGATCAGGCGGAGCTACAAGAACAAGAAGCGTGAGGCTCGAGATGGGCAGCGGCCGTGCAATGCACAGTTACGTACCTTCCGCCTCTCGTGGTCGATCATCACATTGTGCGGTTTAACATCCCGATGCATGATACCTTTCGAATGGCAGTAGTCCAACGCCTGCAGTTGCACCAATCAGATCATACCACAGGCGATGAAGAATAACATGCGGCGCACCTTGAGTAGCTCGAACATGTAGAACCGGACGTCAAAGTCGGTAAACCTTGGATACAGGACCTTGAAGTCGACGTTGTGAACATATTCCGTGACCAGACTGGGTATTTTCGAAGAGGGATCGCGGACAACGTCAAGTAGCGCGACAATGTTCGGGCCACCAGCAAGGTTGTGCAGGATTTTGATCTCTCGCTTTATTTTCTTCTTCTTGACCGGTTTGAGCACTTTGATTATGCATTTCTCCTCGTTCACGATGTTGATGCCCTCAAAGACCTGGGTACAATTGTAAGATGATTATCATCTTCGATTAACGGTGGCGCACCTCGGAATACTTCCCCCGTCCAACCTTGCGCACAATCTCGTAGTGGTCCTGAGAGCCCCATTGCACCTGCAGATTATCTTGTCTCCATGTAAAATGCATGCGGTTTTAACAAGTGTCAGGGAACTGCACCGTATTCATACCACGAGGGACCCATTTTAGCATTGACGTCTGCATAAACGCGTGCAACGGATTTGGTTTGTGACCGGCCCATCTTGACGAGAGTTTGAGGAGAAACAGGACGGGATAAGATGGGAAACACCGCGCGTTGGTCTTTGTGAAGAGGCACTGCAGGGGCGGCAGGGAAGATACTCGAGGGCCTCACGACTCTCGCGTGCAAGACAGGAATATTCACACGCTTAGTGGTCCTTCCCGGACGCTCCCAATGTGCTCTGGTCCATGATATGCGTCAAAGTCTTCGCAGATGTCTACCATTAATCCTAGAGAGAGTACATCTAAGCCACCACGTTGGCCGGTGCATGTTCAATACTGTTTTGAGCCCCGCTATCACTCGTCTGTGCCCGCAGAAATACGCGCGTTGGTCGGTCCAAAGGCGTCGGCTTCTGGTACCAAGACGACTCCTTTCTGTCGTTGGACGGTCATCAGACGAGTAACAGAACCTTCGCATCCCGCTTGCGGCGAATACGGCCTTTACGCTGTGAAGAAGATCCCGCCTCGCACGCACATTGTGGACTACATCGGGGAGATTCACTGCGATGAGAGGCTTCACTCCGACTATGATCTCTCATTATATCGCACACAGCATGGTCTGAGCGTTGGCGTGGATGCCTTCGCAATGGGTAACGAGGCCAGATTCGTGAATGATTACAGGGGTATCAAGGCGAAACCCAACGCCGTCTTCGAAGAACGCAGGACACACGCCGGAGAGCTGCGCATGAGTATCTGGAGCAGCAACGAAGCGATCAAGAAAGGAGAGGAAATTCTGGTTTCATATGGGAAGATGTGGTGGCATGCTCGGTCAGTGGGCAAGGATCAGACGAGTGAAGGAAGCCATGAGTAGGGTCGTAACTCGGAGGTCTATCACATCTGTATGTGAAATTTTTCTGTGTGAGCCAATCCTAGGAAATCCGATGAAATTAACAACCTCTTCGACAATGAAGGTTTCCGATTCTGTGTTTTCGGCATTGATGCGTTACATAGAATGCACTTCGGAGGCGCTTTCACTGACGAGCGCGCACAAAGACGTTTTATGTCACTACAGTCCGATTTATAAATCTGTTGTTAATCGACATATGAGTAGGAAGCCAAAGAATGGGCATGTGTCTACGATCCACCAGACAGAAATATAAGGATGCTGATAGGCATTCGTGGTTGTAGCGGCCAGCCGCTGATGGCAATGTACTGTTTCGGGAACCCTCCCGAAGTGCACGTGACCGAACAAAATTCGGACCGCCTGCACTCCGGCGCCTCCATCTCGATTGAACACCTCTGCTTAAAGCCCAACTCTTCAATGCCTCCTCGTCTGTCATCTCATCGGGCTTTCTCCGTCGTAGTCTGCTCATTCGCGCAGGCCGGAAGTAGCACTCGCACATTCTCGGCCTGCTCCAATGCTTGCAGACATCCCCCAAACTTTGGACGTTCACCCGGACGAATATCTCCTTCCCTTAATCGTCTCGGCAAGCAGGTTGTCCCTCGTCTATTCACGCTGGTCATGCTTTGTCATGCTCATATGAAGCATCTAGCGTGCATTCCATACCTCATCGTCTTTTTCCGCACCAAAGGATCCCTATAAAGTGTTGGGCGTCAAGAAAAATGCAAACGCGCCTGAGATCAAGCAGGTATACTTCTCAGTGAGTCGTATTCTAGCATTTGGCTATTCGGCTGCTCTATCTCCTTTCAGCTTGCACGGAAATACCATCCGGACACAAACCCCGATAAGGATGCGCAAAAGAAGTTCGTCGAAATCCAAGAGGCGTATGATGTGCGTTTCACAACGCCGCTGATATACTCTATTGCTAACATCCCAGTGTAGATCCTCAAGGACGAGAAGAAACGTGCTGCTTATGATAAATACGGTCCTGTTTCGCAACAGCCCGGGTTTGATCCCAACACATTCGAACGTAGTGCTGGTGGTAGGGGGTTCGGGGCAGGCGGCTTCGGCGGTTTCCAGAACGCGGAAGATCTCCACAGTTTCTTCGGTTCTGGTAGGACTTCTAGTGGCCAAGCAGACCTCTTTGAGCAAATTTTCGGTGCATTTGCCGGTGGGGCAGGACGGACACGCGCATCCGGGTTCGCGGAGAACATGCAGGGCAGTGATTTAGAGGCGACCGTCGGCGTGTCCTTCATGGACGCTTGTACGGGTACCACACGAAACATCATCGTCGATGCAATTGTGAACTGCTCCAAATGTGGCGGGACCGGTCTTAAAGCTGGCGCTAAGCGCCAGACATGCACGAGCTGCGGCGGTGCAGGTACAACGTCATACGTGCTGGATAATGGTTTCCACATGGCCACGACATGTCCAAGCTGCCATGGCGCCGGGAGCACTGTACCACGAGGAAGTCAATGTGTGGAGTGCGCAGGCCATGGGCGAGTCAGAAAGAAGAAACAAGTCAAAGTGGACATACCAGCAGGTGAGAATACTCATTGAATAATGATCAGTCTGAGGAACAACATCTCTTCGTAACAGGTGTGGAAGACGGTATGACAATAAGAATACCGGGCGCGGGCGATGCCCCGGTATCTGGCGCAGGCCGCCTTGGTGATCTACTTGTTAGAGTGAATGTTGCAACCTCCAAAGAATTCCGGCGACAAGGAGCCAATCTGCATTACGAAGCTCGTATTCCTTTGCACATTGCACTGCTAGGAGGGAAAGTCCGTGTTCCAGCCCTTGACGGAGATGTAGATGTGCGTGTGCCGCGTGGAACGCAGCACGGAGAGCAAATGGTGTTAAAGGGCGGCGGAGTTTCCTCCGTCTTCGGTGGCGGCAAAGGGGATCTGTTCGTGACATTTTCGGTTCAGCTACCTAGGTGAGCACGGAGATTGATCCGATGATGGAGAATTGGTGGAGATTTCTCTTCTAATATGCAAATAGATCACTAACGCCGCGACAACGAGAAATCTTGCAGCAATATGCAGATGATGTGGAAGGTCGGACAAACGCTAGAGAGGAAGCTCCAAGTCAGCCTGCTGCGGATGCAGGATCTTCCCAGAGCCAGAAAGAGCCAGAACCTCAGGCCGAACAGGATAATGGTACGAGCTTCTCTACTCATTCCTCTGCATCCCCAGCTAGCTGGGCGTCTCGTACTTGGAATCGATTCAGAGAGCTCATTGGATTTTGATTTGGCCATGCTTTCACCGCTGTCGTCTTCTTTGGCGCTTTTCAATCATCACTACGCGTCCCCTTCGATCGCGATGTTTAAGAAGAGGATCCTGGCTCGGCGCAGAGCGATGAAGAAGGACAGAGGAAAAAGGCTGCTAGCTAGATCTACGATTAGCTTGGGTATATCACCTGCGCGGTCGCCGGTCGGATGTCAATATCACGTCGGATAATGCAACGTTTTCACTCTAGATAACATACTATGTACGTGTTGCGTCCATCTAGCAGTAGACGACAGTAGAGCGATGCCATCATTAGTATCACAACCGTCGAGGGCTGGGCGCTCGCCGTGACCGCCTGACGAGCACTCCTGACGTTACCACCCGGGGATTCATTTTATTGTACCCTCATATATCAAGGGGTTAACGCTTTTAAGGTAGCTGTCAGCAAATAGCAAATTTAGTCGACTAGAAATTGATAAGAATGATCGTTGAATCTGAGTTTGTAGGTTGCACATGCTCCTGCGTGGAACCTCTTATGGATCTCCATTATTACGCGATCCTGGTTCGCCATCGGTCGAGTCGAGGCGTGGATCTCTACAACTTGCCCCGGGCTCACTGACCACTCAGCTACGTAAATCGAATCGAAGGCCGATGGTCGCGTGTGGGACGATTTCCTTGGCTGAGACCTTTTGCACTGGCAGCTGCGGGCGATTACGCCTTTTCTATGACCGTGCCTGGAGCCGTCAGGGCCGCTGAGAGAGCAAAGGGTCCACTCGCCGACGAGGTGGAATTCGCTATTGCCCAATCAACCATGCGCGGAATGGTCCCATGGATCTTCTTGCCTAGACCCCACGACTATCTCTAACAAAGAGGGTGCGAAGGCAAATCGCACGTCAGCCGTCCATTCAAGCTCGGTTTTCTAAATCGTCTATCATGATCTCAGCAGAAATCTCTATCTAGAAGTGAATGAGTTGTTTCCATGGTTTACTCAAGGACCTCGGCTTCATGACGTTTCTCGCAAGAACACCAGGGACGCTGCCGAAGGAGATTGCTCCGACTGTATAAAAACGCACAATCAGCAATGTTCGCCACTAGTCGCCCCTGCGAGACGTCCTTCTGGTGTTCAGACGTATTCAACCATGCGTTTCAGAGAGTCCAATCCAGTACTACCAGATCCCGAGCCTCAGCAATGTTCAGCGCCACTAGTCGCCCCAGCGAAACGTCCTTCTGGTGTTTCGACGTGCTCAACCATGCGTTTCGCAGAGTCCAATCCAGTACTACCAGGTCCCGAGCCTCACACATTTCTCGGGCCTTCTCTCCAGTCGCCACAAACACCGACATATCCACGTAGCGCTCTTGAAATCCGTTCCGAGTCTGTCGAGGTTGATTTCAAGAAAATGGCCTCAGAGCGCGCATCAGAGTCGTGCACAACGTTAGTCGAATGCGACGGAGAGAGGCCGGCGCTCTCGACTGTACGACTCTTAGCCGCACATTTCGGGTGAGTGCGTATTGATATATTCATGCCAGTATAAACACCGACCTTGGTTCGCAGTGCCGCGTTGACGCTATTTCTTGCGACCACAGATGCAGTGCGTCGTTCCAGTCAGCTTGTGCGATGTGACATGTCCTCATCTGCCTGTCAGACAATTGTCTCCACTATTTTACCGACAATAACAAGCCATTTCGAGGCGTCACCAGCGCAGTACACATGGGTCTCGGTAACATACCTGCTTACGCAAACTGCATTTCAACCGCTTTACGGAAAAGTCTCGGATCTCATTGGTCGTATGGTTCGTTAGGTCTGAATTTGCAATTCATGATGCCAATGATTGACGCGCGCTATTCGAGCAGACTGTACTATACTGCAGCATTTTTATATTCGCAACTAGTTCTGCACTTTGCGGCGCGGCACAGGTAATCGTCTCTCAAATCAGGCTGATCATGCACCTAACCAACATCGTACCAAGAGTATCGAATGGCTTATCGCAGCACGGGCACTTGGAGGTATCGGTGGCGGTGGCATTGTGAGCTTGGTTTGGACGATAACCGCAGAAATCGTGGAAATCAGATATCAAGCGAAATGGTCGCAAGCGCTCAGTGTTACCTGGGCTTGCTCTGCTATAGCCGGTCCTCTACTGGGAGGCGTGTTTGGTCGTGCGTGTCCGCATATACCTATTCTGTACTTGGTTTTATTGACCTACATTAGACGAGACTGGCGCTCTAAGCTGGAGATGGGCTTGTAAGAAATAGTCTCCTCCCCCCGGCCAAGCAATACTATTAAACTCAAAACCCTACAGTCCTGCTCAATATCCCCGTTTGTGCCGCTGCGACGATCGTCCTGTGGCTATCTCTGCATAACGTAGCATTAGGAGGCACCGACAATGTCTCGTGGCGAACGTTCTGCAAGACATTCGATTTTGTTGGACTGTGAGTTTCGACAGTCTGTTTTACTCAACGCGAAGCATTGAGGTGTCCACAGATTTCTGTTCGTGGGTGGCAGTAGCTCGGTGATCATCGGACTAAACACTGCTGCAGATGTTGGGTGTAAGTGAGGCGATGATCGCGGTTCTTTCTTGGTAGCTGGTTTGACGCGCTTCTAGGGATTGCACCTTCGACTTTGAGTGCAATTATAACCGGGTTGTTCGTACTGGTTTCGGCAGGCCTTTACGAAGTCCGTACCACCCGCGATGCGTTGTTTCCTCGAGTGATCTTCACAGATTTCACGATACGTATGTTAAAAATGCCTGTTTTCTTGGTCGATACTCAATTTTCTGGAGATATTGCAGTCATCGTTTTGGTTGTGATCTTCCTGCACAACTTCGCGTTCAACGCCGGCACGTACTACTTGGCCCTATTTTACCAGGTTTGACCGTATATCACACGTCAGTTAATGTGCTGCTCATGTTTTCTCCCGATAGGCAGTGGATGGACTGACACCGTTGCAAGCTGGTGTCAAGATGCTCCCTTATTCCCTTGGGGCGTCATTAGCTTCAATGCCAGGTCAGCTATTTACGCACGTAATACTTGATTACACACCGTTCTAATTTTGGCGAGGGTAGCTGCCTGGTTTATTGGATATTGGCAAGACAGGCATCCGGACATCAGTGGCCAGAAGATCACGATATGTCTCGGGCTCTCCATCTCGGCTGCAGGCTTTGGTAACACGGCTCGTTTGCCGAGATGGATCTTCGATTGTTCACGTTTTTTTCCCTAGGCCTCATGACGCTTCTGGACTGCGAAACTAGCCATGCTCTGAGAAGCATCTACACATTGATAGCCGGCGTGGGTATAGGCATGCTGTTCCATGCCCCATATCAAGTCTTTACGAGAGCGTTACGGAGGAAAGATACGGCATCTGGAACAAGTGCGTTCTTCCTGGTCAGGTTCACGGGAGCCACTGTGGGTTTGGTTAGTGCATGAAAGGAAGGTGTTGCATGAGCTGCGCTGACTACCCTGGCCATCAGACACTCGCAGGCGCTATATATGACAGTCGCTTATCTGATACATTACCTGCCGGGATCAGCGCCGCGGACATCATGGATTATTTCAGGTCGCAAAATCCAGGCCGTCTGGGGCATGCGGTTGTGTACGCCATCTCGTTATCGATAAGGGTATGTCGGAAGACAACTCGGCTGTACGACCTCGCTAAAGCTTGCTCCTCTCGCATGAACAGACCATATGGATTGTCTGTACTCCGTGTCTCGGCGTTGCCTTCTTGGTGAGTGTTGTTGCTGTTGGCTCTCATCGTTTGCTGACGCACATGTGTTGCAACCAGGCCTCTATTTTCATGCGAACGTTGTCGGTCGAGCCCTTCGCATGTCATCAACAGGTATCCGCGGCTTCTACCTTGCACCGCGATTCAGCATCAGAAGATGCGATAAAAACAGACAACCAACGCGGGTCCAACTAGGACCATCCCCGTGTAGTCGTATGTTGCGGATGAAACTTGGATCAGGTAACTGTACGTTACGAAGTGCGTCGAACACTGATTCAATACCATACCCGTGACCATTCATCTCAGTAGATCGACTGACTAGTGGAAGTGCTGTGGCCTCGCTCACCGTACGTAACGTAACTCGGCTAGGTCTTGCCGAATTGTCATGCGGCGTAACGGCCGCATGAGAACCCGCTGGCTACCATTCAGATCCATCTGCTAACCGAAGAAGTCTATACACAACCATCGAACTGGCGAAGCATGAGCAAACCGGAACCGAGCGCAGCACGGAAGGTCTCTGCATATGCGGCCCGCTGAGATTGGCATCGCGATCGCATTGGTTTGGAGAATTAGGGCTTCGATGCGAGAAGGTGGACATAGAGCGCATGAGTAAGGAGCATCGTCATCAGCTTTACACCTACATGAGCTATTGAGCTTTACCAGGACTGTCACAGTGATAAGAATAGCACATACCCACATGGAGCGAGCAATAAATTGACCCCACGGTTGCCTTCGACAGGAAAACTGAATGAGATGCCCAGCCAGCGTTGTGACACTTCCGATAGCAGCCACAAGTTCAATGTCAAAGCTCAGGTAGCGGGTGAGAACGTATTGTACACCCGTCGCTGGTGAGAAGTTGAGCAGGTGCGACTGCACTACCGTGTATATGCCATGTTCGATACTTGGAGCATTCCTACGCCATCTTGATGCCTCCGTAACCGATTAGCCCGCATGTAAGGTCACGATGGCTCAGTCCGGCTAGAAAGATAGAGACAGCCGATGTAGCACGAGGATTAACCTATCCACGAAATCCGAACACCAGGAGTCTGCACCGGCGGTGTGAACCGGCCGCGAAAGTGAGTTTGATAAGCTTCAACCCTGCAGGCCTGGACTTGCTTTCAGTTCGGAAAACCTCGGATCAGTAGAGCGAGGAGTAGAGTGCAAGCGAGAACGTTAACGGAGCGACCATGGTTATAGACGATTCTATCCCGATCAATTTCAGGAACTGATGGATTGCGGGTACTATGGACAGTGTAATATGGAGACCCTGGACTGCTTGGCGCATTGACTGCATAAACCTTCTGACTTCCGTGTTGCTGTCGGCAAACAGCTGGCGTCGCAGGTCTTCGCAGTCGCCAGATGCTGAGAGTGACATTGTCCAGGAGAGCGATAGCTGAAGCATATGACTGAGCCGATGGGACCTTCTGAAGCTAGAGTGCATTCTGAAGCTAGTCGGAGGTACTCAGGAAGATATCCTCATATGGCAATTATCTCACCCCAGGGGCCAGGCAAACGCTCCCTATCTCCTTGCACACGACAGTATTCCTCCTCGTGCTGTCGTGCACAACTCGCACCCTCTCGTTCCTCTCTACCATTACCAGCTCCATACTGTTTGGATGAGCAAGTCCCCATCGAGCCTTGTTCGCTCGAGTCCATCTGTTTTACGCACATTGCTCCACGCGATAAGTAAATCGCCTCTTTTTGCACTCGTGACCGCGAGCAAAATGGCACCAACTCTTGGTCCGGATATACCACCGTCCTCTTCTCTGTCACCTTACGGTCGGCCTGCCCAGCCGCGTAGCAGAAGCTCTTCATCGTTCTTGCAGAGTAGCGGCGACAATGTGACCATCGGTTCATCTCCGGCATATTCATCTTCGTCTGTGTCGATTCCGTTTGAGGATGGTGACGTAGATGTCGTTCGAGTGGAGGGTCTGCGGCATTCCGATGCGCGGTTAGAAGCGCGGTGAGTATCTGGATTGTTCGTCAAGCTAGCTCACGCTGCTCGACAGTCGGCAAAGCCAATTAGTCGTGGAACAGGAAGGGGAACTCTATCCTGGTTTGCTGCTGGTTGTGATGTAGCTTGCTCGAGACTGACTCGCTGTCCGTTTCGCAGACGTTACAAAACCACTCCCTTCTCGACGCAACTTCTTCAGACACTCCGTTCGTTGAGAGTGCCAACATGGGCCAATCCCGCGATCACGGAAACCAGGATGGTCATCCAAAAAGTGTCAGGCTCAATGACCAATGCTGTCTTCTTTGTATCGTGTCCCACAGTCTCAGGCACTCGCATCGTCCTCCTCCGCATCTATGGCCCTTCTTCGGATTCTATGATTTCCCGTCCTAGAGAGCTGCAGACCTTGTATGTGCTGTCCTCACAGTATCATATTGGTCCACGTGTATATGGCACATTCGAGAACGGACGAGTAGAGGAATATTTTGATGCTCTTACTCTTACCGCTGCCGATCTGCGCGACCCGAAGATCAGCTCATGGATTGCTGCACGCATGGCAGAGCTTCACGGCGTCAACGTCGAGGATGTCGAGCAGAGGCAAGTCGGTGACGATGAAAAGAGTATTGCGGTCGAGAGGAACGTCAAGTCTTGGCTGGGCTTCGCACGAGAGGTCCTCGCGTTGCCCTCCGCGTCGGACGCGATTCGTCAGGAGCTGGACCTGGATGGGTTTGAGCAGGAGTGGGAGCGGTACCGACTTTGGTTGCATAAGCAAAACACAAGCGGACTCGGCAATACTCGAGTGTTCGCACACAACGACACTCAGTATGGAAACCTATTGAGGCTAAAATCCCTCAAAGAAGGCCAGCCGGAACATCGTCAGGTACGTCTTGCCAAGCTGATCTGCACTCAACGTTTCCTGACATCTGGCATATGCAGATCATCGTCGTCGACTTCGAATATGCCGCTCCCAACCCCGCGGCGTTTGACATAGCAAACCACTTCCACGAATGGACCGCCAATTATCATTCTGATACACCACATGTCCTGGACCCTGCTCTCTATCCGACAACGGAGCAACGTCGCAACTTCTACCGCTCCTACATACAGCATGTGGCATCGGGCGCTAAGCTGTCTGCAGGACCCTCCGGAGATGCCTTGGAGGTTGAATTGCAGAACCTTGACCGTCAAGTTCGTGCATGGAGCCCCGCGTCACATGCAATGTGGGCTTTGTGGGGGATCGTTCAGGCGAGGGAATATGTTGAAGGAAAAGACGGAGATCCAGAATTCGACTATCTCGGATACGCCCGATGTCGGATGCAGGGATTTCGTCGGGAAACGCGGGAGCTCGGAGTGCCACTTTGATAAAACTTACAATATGCGGAACCGTCCTCTTATGTGTCTGCGTTCAGTGCTCTGTACAACCTATCCATCGCTCAAGCTTCCATTATGTGTAATCATCTTATCTCTCACGTATTTCCTAAAGCAATTCACACCTTATGACTCACATGAATGTCAAGCAAGCTGTGCCCCGTTTTGCGGCGTTTTTGAATGCAGTGAGAACAAAATGTATTGACTTATAAGATTAACATGCGTGAGCGAGCGCGTGACAGAGACAGGGTGGTCATGAAGCTATCCGAGTGTCAAGACAATAAGTCAAACTGTTTACAGCTGAGAGAACATTGGGAACGGAGCGCTGAGACAAGCGAGACGGGAAAGCACACACACAAAGACACAAGAGTAGGTAACGCGGATAAGCAGAACCACAACTGAATGGCATGTCGAAATCCGCTCATTCGTACTAGCCGAACAAGAACGAGAGTCGATGGTGAACGTCCATGCCAATGTGAGAGCATGATGATCCACATGGTCCCGCCTCCACGGGGTCATGAGTACAGACATACATGTAAGGAAACACGGCCTAGACCCAGTTTTTCTCCGCTAGGCGCGAGCCAACGGAAAACTCGGCCCAGGGGGAACTCGCCTTTAGCTCGCCACCCGGGATGGAAGAGAGTGGGTACGCCGTGAGGTGACTGCCGCGAGCGGTATTGCCCCAGTTGCCAGTGCTGCCGGAACGAGCATGGCCATTGATGCGCGATGCACCCTTGTTAGCATCAGAATTTCCCAACTGAGAGGACATGTTCGCCACGGTGGGAGTGGTGGAGAAGTCGAGTTGAAGATCACTCCCGTTGAAGGAATGGCGAACGTTAGAGTTTGTACCAGTATTTTTGCCAATTCGCTGCAGAACACCGCCATGTGAGCACGGTCATAGTCACTGACATCCAGAAATACACCTACCTGTGTTCCAACAATATCTAATCTAGAACTGGAGTGCCTGCCAAAGTCTGGGCCAGCAGTTACGGGACCGGGCGACCTAGCGGTGACTTCTTCGCTAGCAGGCATCAACATCCCATTGTGTGCGAAAGTGGGATAGGCGGATTTGTTCTGTTTAGAACTCGCGGCGGGATTCACAACCGAAGTGTCCACGTGAAGAGAACCAGGGCGCCCGCCGAGCTGGAAGCCACCTGACGGCGGCGTCGTACTCACACTACCCGTGTTTGAATTGATTGATCCTTCCTGCGTACGTTTTGCAGTGATTCGCGCAAGAAGCGAGGTGGGAACTTCGTTGGGATCGCTGTTCGTGCTGGGAGAGCGGTCGCGTCCGCTAGGGTTTTGCGGCGGCGGAGCTCCGTCTGCACCTGGAGGCGCACCAGAAGCAGGAAGCTCTGTGTGGATGAAGCAACATCTTTTGCCGTACGGGCAAGAGCCAGACACCCAGAACGTCTGCGATACAACTGCATGAGCTCTAAGGCGAACTTCCACAAGCTAGAAGTTGCTCACCCTGCATATCTCCGTTTTGTACTAGTTAGGCAAAAACAAAGTTAGCATTAACTCGGCGATGCAACTTTACAAGACGAACCTTCGGGTGCCGTGTGACCTTCCGCAGCTCCTCTTCGCCGTGTGCGAATTGGCACTTAGCACCGTACCGACAACTGCCTTTCTCCTCCCAGCTCCGACATAGTTCAGTCTTGTACAGACCCAGCTTGCGGTTGTTTGCACTCGGCCCTGTGTTTGTGCCCGTGTTCCCACTGAGGGTAGATGCATTGGCCGGATTCGCAACACCGACATTCTGTCCTGCGATTGGCAAGCTGTACGGGCCGGTATACTGCGACTGCAAGCGAACCATCATCTGCACGGCTGCGAGTTCAGGGGAGGGGTACGCGTCCTGTGGGGCACCATAAAACTGGCTTGCGAACATAGAAAGTGCTGCTGCCGGCGGCGCAAGTGCCGGCGGGTACATCTGGCTGGCAGCGAATGCCTGCATGTTGTTGTTAATCAGGGCAAGGGCTGCGGGATCACGGACAGACGCAGGATCAGACGGAGAGTGTTGGTGAGCGCCGCGGAAAACGTTGTGCTGTTGCTGCAAACGAGCCATCGCGGGATTATCCAGAGGCGGGGTAGGTAACATAATCTCATATAGCTGTTGCTGGGCGTTGTTAAGAGACATCGGCGGCGGCGGTGGAGCTGGATATCCAAAGTTGGTCGGGCTTTGCAAAACGGTAGGCAGCTGAGGAGTGAACCCTCTGGGGGCCTGACGGTAAGGAATATTCGTAGCCGCGTTGCTAGGAACACCACCAGGCCTTCCCTGAGCATACGCTGTTCCAGCTGCTGCTGAGTTCATTCCAGGTACTTGATGCATAGCACCGAACTGACGCTGTGCCAACTGATATTCTGCGGAGAATTCGTCGCCACGGGGAACAGGAAAACCTTGAATCACCTGTTGATGCTCTTGCGGGCGGGCAGCACTTGTTTGCAAAGTCAACGAGGGGTACGTCGGCTGATCCGCCACCGGCTGCCTTTCCGGAGTTCCGTTGGGTGAAGACCACGAATCTCCCTTGTTCGGAGGACTACCATCTGCTTGCTGAAGACGAGTGAGGTCCGCAGCGGATATGCCTCCACTGTACGAGTGCGGTCTGTTCCTCGCCTCTCCAACGGCTCCGATTCTCAAAGGCGTAACGGGAGAGCCTCGCAATGTCTGACTCGCCGAGGAGGCCGCCGATATGCTCGTATCGGCTGAGGATTCGCGCGAATGACTGGCGAGATTGATGGGATGATCAAGAGCATTGGATGAGCCGGATTCAAGGCTGGCTTCAGATGAGGTCTCAAGCGGGGATGTCTCATGAAAATGGGCTATGTTGGTCTTCGATGGCGGAGGTGTGTGGATCTGCGCATCGCCATCACCGTTTGCACCAATATGCATCTTGCCGATCTCCTCCGCGAGATCCCAACTCGCTGTCGCCGAATCTACAAGCTGGCCGTTACCATTGAACCTCCAACGGGATTCACCATTTGCGGGAGATAGCATGCTCCGCTCTGACAGCTCGGCTGACAAGATGGGCTCTTTACCTCCCAAAGCGGCGAAGAAATGCAGGAGAACATACCTTTCGGCATCCTCCCAGCAGGCACCCTCCGAGGTACTGACAAGACGTCTCTCCCGCTACGATTCATATTGGATTGGTTTTGCATTATGATGTCGTCGTTGAAAAAATTCTGAGATGCGGTATTCGTCACAGGTTCGTGGAGCATTTTAGTCTGTCCAAAGAAAATGGTCAACATCGGCATGCTCTGAGTCACTGTTGCACACAGTCCACTTACACTTAAGTTAGACTCTTGTCTGGTAAACGTGCGATGTGAAATTGTGGGATAAAAATTGCTTGGTGATCACTATTAGCAATAATCAATGATGTCGTGGATGGGGCGGCGAGAGGTATGCGGGGATCGTGCGCGCGATGTTGACGAGGTAACCAGACAACCAGCCCAGTTCTGAAGAATTCAGTCGCTGCTGGAGCGACGAACCTGTGTGGGGATCTAGACTAAGGAAATAAAGGTATAAAAAGGTGGAAAGGCGCGCTGAGAGGTCGTGATGTGTCTTGTCAGTATACGATTGTTTAGATATGTCGAGCGATGCAGATTTGGTGAGAGAGCAAAGAAAGCAGAGCGGAAACAAGGAGGCCTCGTTGGGGATGTAGATGGCGAGGAGGAAGGAGAGGAGGGGGCCTCGCGCCTGCCTGACGGAAGAAGTTCAGGGTTTGATTGCAACGTGCCCTTGTTGAGGCGGCGATTGCCAATGCTGCTATGAAGATGGGGTGGCCAGGCTCGGGTGGTCACCTCGCTCTTGCGTCGTGTATCTCTTCTATCGCTGCTCTCAGATTCTCTTCACATCGATTTCTGACAACTCCTCTCGTTGAGCAAAATGCTCGCAGTTCGCAGTCGCAGTCGCAGCTTTGTTGCGCGCGCGAACAGCCACCCGAGGTGCTCGGGCAGTGACCCCGTTCGCACGGTCTCAGCAACCTCTCCCCAAATGGCACGCTCCTCCACCCTTCGCGCTCCATTCATCATTTTCGGCCAGACTATGTCCGCTCTCACTCCACGCCCTCGGAGTAACTTGGTGGAAAAGGCGAAGGACCGCAGCAAATTTAATGCAGAATTCGACGCGAGCCGAACCGAATTAAAATCGCAGCTGAACCGGGCGTCTGAGAGATATTGCCGCCGGCGCGAGATTGCGGAAGCAGATGCTATGGCAGCGGCTGATCAGCGCCCCGAACAAAGTCATCGTTCGCTTTGGCATGCTATGCTCCGCTCACGATTATCGTGCACCAGTGCGCTCGCCTGCATTGCAGAGGGGCGCACGATGGTCCGTTTCCGCGAGGATTTTACAGGCAAAGACTCGTGTTCATCCAGGAACCGATATCTCACTTCGATCACTCGGACATTATTGGACACTCGCTGCAGTCTCGTGTAATCATAGAACCACACTTGCTCTGAGGACCGCAAGTAAGCTTTGTTGCTAGATATTGATACGTCTTCTCTGACACATCGCGCTATCCGATCAATCGCAATCATTCCTGCCGACTGTAGCACCTTTCTCACTTACCTATTGATGAAGACGTCTTGGCTACCATCGACCACAACCCGCATTTTGCAACACATGGTATGCTACTTGAACATTCGCGGCAGTCGGCCTCCACGGGCCCCGGTGATTGTCCAACGTAACCGAGCACCCATCCCATATATTCGTGCGCTGTACGTGTTTGCACATAAGCGGTGATGAATGTACGCACTCAGATCGTGAAGAGTTTTACTCAGCATTAGATAGGCGGACATACGCTCACTTCTCTTTCGAAAAGGCGTATGGGGCACGATTTCATGACTTCACTCACAGCCATGTGCAGCTGCCCGTGCTCAATCCCTGCGACCCATCATCGCATCGATTGCCTTGCATCCTCCGCATGTCCTGTGACCTGCTGCCCGTCATGATCCTGGGCGTTCCTCGTCTATCGCTTCACCATGTGATTGACATGTGTCTTGCCGTGGGTTTAGGAGACTGGGGGAGATTTGCCAATGAGGAGCACCCGGGCTTGCTTGTCAAGTGTTCTCCTCTGCTTCCTGTCTTCGGTCCCGTCTTGATTCAATGAGTCGGGGAGAGGTACCAATGAACCTACCCCACAGTGCTACGTAGTGTGATCTCTGAAGGTGGATTACGTGGCTCCCTCTTCTCTCAACGGCAGGATTGGTGCGGTGATATGCTTCTCTTCCGGAAGAGGTACTGTCTCGGAGATCGTCCCGTCTTCATCACTTATCCATGTTGAGAACAGCGCTTGTATAGGTTGCGGAGAGATGATATTCCGACTATTCGGTGATCCATCGAAACAGTTCTCACTGTGCTTTCAGGTTCCTTGCGCTGCTGGTGAAAAATCTATGACGCCAGTAGGAATCATACTTTATCGCAGATTTCCAGATAGAAGACTATTCAGATATGCGGTGCACTGGCACAGCCTTGACCATCCCTTTCAAAGTCACTTCTCTCGTGATTCTAGTGCTCCTGCTAGGCTATATTGACCGCGCCCAGACACCGATGGCCTAAGCTATCGCTCGTGGTACCTTGCATCACGGGATAGCCGATGTCAAGAGTACTTCCTTGGCATGTAGTTCAGTGCACGATTGCGTGCCCGGCATCCCCACTTACTGACGCTGTTAGCCAGAATGAGCGCAATTCAAACATCGAAGGGAGGAATCCTCGGTCTCTTTCCTCCTGGGAACGTAATTCTACCGGTGCCCGACGCTTCATGACGCTAACAGCTTTCTATCGTGGACAAACTCTTCTTCGCTACCTCTGAATCAAATATCTTTTACGTAGTATATACAGGGCCCCAGCATCATGAGTACGTCTTCATACGAACTTCGCTAGAGATTCAAATGGAGATAATTTCCGGAGTTTTATCGCATGACGATTACACATCCCGGGTTGCGGCACAATGCATATTGCTTTGGCACTGTGCATGATTCTCCAATTTCTTTCGAAGCGAGTCGCGGTATATCTCTCAGAGATTGCACTCGGCCTTTGCAAAGCTGGGTTGCTATTGATTCAAGAACTACAGACGAGTGAATAGACCCTGACGGAGTCTCTCACGTCTAGGACGATTAGTTAGATGAAGAGTGCGACGTCGTCATTGATATGGCGTATGAATAACATCATGTACAGCACAAATTACCTTACAATTATACTCCGAGAAGCATCTAACGTACAGTCCGTCCAAGAAGGCAAGAACCGCCACGCATCAAGCATCTGAGAGCAGACAAGAACACTTCAATCTTCTTGTAGCTTGATTATTACTGTGTAACTCACAATATGAAGTCCCGACGAGCATAGTGGATAGATTTTGCAATTGATCTTCATTGAACGCGACCTGATCTATATGCCATGTATCCTGTCGTACACACGTCAGCACAACCGTTGATCAAGTCTTCGTTACACAAACCTGATGGGTCTGTAAGAACGAATCATTATCAGTCCATAACATGTCTTAGCGGCTAAACGTGGGCAACAAACCTTCTTGAAGTCCGAAGCACACTTTCGTATGGTAGTGGAGATAGGCGCCGGATCTGTGGCATGCAGCGCAAGCACTGCAGACATACGTCAGAGGTGTTCACTTTCTATAGAGCGTTGGCACACTACCATCAGTGAGCGGAGGCATCCAAGGCTCAACCGAGTAAGGGAAACTTTCAATCAATGCACATAAGCCGAGAACAGCCGAGTGCAAATATCGCAGCGAGTCCGTATATGTTGGGTCGCGTCGGCTCGGCAGCCGAGTTTTTCGCGCGAGAGCCACGAAGTGATCCTATATGAATGTTTGAGAATCACCGCTCAATAGTGAATGCAGTGTTGATACCTTCAAAGAGACGATGCTTTGGCGTTGGGAACACCTGACGACATTGGACAACATCTTGGAGGCAGTTTCTCGAACTTCCACATTCTCATCGGCCAGACATTCCAGCAAGACCATCATCAACTTCGACACGACTACCCCAGAGATGCCCATCAGGTTTCGATAGTAGAATACTAACAGCGTGGGTAGTGCATGCAATCGGACACGCCATGACTAGTAAACCGGCCCGACATGAGTTCCATTCTCAAGAAAAGTTGATTGACGTACCTCAGATGATTCGATCGCTTGAATGAAGTTCCCCATGATTACGTCGACGTATTCGGCTGGCGGATCTACAGCTGATAGAACGTACAGGACGGCGTTACTGTACTTCTGCAATTCAGAGCTATCATTAAGTTCGGACATGCGCAGGATCTCGGGCCTATGCACCGGTCAGCTAAATCCGAAGACGTTCTGTAATCAGAACCGCTTACAGCAATGCTACGGCATAGGGAAGGATCAACGCAGCTTGTGGACCATGCGAGAACTCCCAGATCCACTGGAGCACTGCTTTCGCATTAGCCAGGTTTCTCCCCATGGCGAGAAATAAGCATACTGGTCAGTCCGACTTTGTCGTACTGTGACTGCGTTACTCTTGGCGGAGGGAGACGTTCCTCCTTCCATTTGGGCAGTTCTTTGGCTATATGTAGGATGCGATCCATGTACCTCGCCTCTCTATTGACCCTTCAGCGGTGGAACAGTGCAAGAAGAACATACACCAACCGTATTCGTAATGGGTCGTGCTGAGACTGGCAAGCGTCCAGGAAGGCCTTCGCTGAAGGGTACGTGGGCTGCCATTGGATGATGATCATTGCGTACAGGTTCTGCGCAAGCAGTGCCCGTATCTGGCGGCATTCGTCCACAAATTAATGACGCTGACACGGATTGCGAGAAGTTGAAAACAGACCTCAGCGAACCCGGTGTTGGCGTTATCAAGAAATGCGTGCATATATCTATCACATAGAGGCAAAAAGCGCAGACCCATACCATCTATCACGACGTTCAAGAGCGAGAGTGACTTGCTCACTGAAAAGCATCAAATTAGGACGGTATGAGAACAATGTCATAGATTACTCACTATCAAATGCGGAATCGCCATGGAAATCCAGTGGCAGGGACAAAATCCATTGAATGACCGGTTTCGCTCTTCGAGGATCCCTATCAACCAATTGCTCCTACGATTATCGGTCAAGATTGATTGCAGCTTGGAGCAGTAACCAGATTCCTCACACTGAAGGTTGCCTCCCAGAAACTGACAGTATCCGGCCTAGTATTCATGTAGATGTGCTGTAAACGCTCCGCGGTCCATGTCCACAGTTTATCAGACCATTGCTTTGGCCAATGTTTGGAACCTATTAGGGAGTCAACCAGCGATTGAAAATAATGCTACCAAGCTTTCTTACCTCGTAGTAGCCCAGCGAGCATTTCGGCGCCAGCACGCTGTTTGAAACGGTCAGCCTCCACAAGCAGAGGATCGATCACTTCAAAGATCGTATCAAGCTCATAGTGCTCAAATGTCTTGGCTACAACGCATGTAAGTGGCAAATCACCGAGACTGAAATTGCCTTACCAAGTGACTTCATAAACGTTATATTGTCCGCTCGCATTTCAGGCGTTCCAGTGGCCTTGCTGGATTCTTGAGACCAAAGCATGGCAAGCTTGACATAGAAAGTCTGGCTTCTTATAAACCCCTTCATCGCATCCAATGCTGGTCTGGATAGCAATTCCCATGAAAATGCTGTCTCGCCTTCAGGAACCGGTCGATAGGCTTTCACAGTCGGAGACCAAGCAAGAAATCCGGTATTGATCTTGTCTATAAATAATTGACTGCGTAACGTCAGCAAGGCCGCAAAGATGATCATAAAATACTACACTTGCTCGTTGTTACCAGGCAACTCGATAGGGCGTTCCAGACTTTCAAGAAAGCGTTGAGGATCATTGACAGCAATCTTGACTTGTAGAGGATTAGCCCATTCGTCCAGCCAAAGCTCCTCGCTGGACTTGGCAAATGTCCGGATTTTGATGTAGGAGGTTAACCTAGTAAGAGCTCTGAGGCGAGAGTCAGTGAACCACGGCTACACTAAAAACATGGCGCACGCACTTCTGCGCGGTAACTCTCGTTATAGGATGTGGGTTCAAGGCATGTTGCATCAAAAACTTTGCCAGCTCAGCAGACGGGCTAACATCCCTCCTCAACAATCCATATAGGAAGCTGACGGCCATCTCGACGTATCGCCACTGTACATCGTAGTATGAACCGAGACAACGAAGAAAAAATAGGCACGAACGTACATGGGTGGTAGGCTTAGATGCAAGTTCCAGAACTGCAGACACCTGCGCAGGACAAAAATTCATACACAATGCTTCCAGGGGACCAGAGCCGCAGAACTCACTGTCTCGGCATATCGCTGATTTTTTGACATAGCGCGAACGCTAGTGGTCGAAGTCGCCTCCGTCAGCAGTTTAGCATCTTCCTGAGTCGGGTGATATTCCTGCTTCAGGTCTGTCAAAGCGGTGAGAACGCCGGGGATATCTTCAAGGAAGGCATCCGTGTGGACCGCTTCCTCCGTGAGATATATGAGCGCGTCTTGCGCCAGATTGCTGACAAGTTGCTGTACGGAGGGCTTGTGCAACGACCACACTTCAGCACTTCCAACTGTGCAATAAATGCGTGGATTTACCTTCTCCTGATGTTGGCAATTCAACAACGAAAGCAGGTACTGCCCAGAGAAGTTCACGTCTACAAAAATGTCATTCATGTGATTGGAGAATTGGCGTCATATAAAGTTCTTACCAGCAAGCGCGTACGCAGCTAGAAGACCGGGAATTAGAACAAGTGTAATATAACGTTCTGTGGTGACATACCCGTGCCCTTATTCCAAAGAACGTGTAGAGCTCCTTTCATGCGATCAGGATCGGATCCCTTTGCAAGAGCTCCGAACAAGGGCGGCAAGCTCAGCCTGGTAGACCGGACAAAATACTGAGCGATGAAATGAAGATAGCGTGTCAATGAAGGGCGGCGGAGAGAGAATAAAAAGACCGACCCCACAAGCGTTGTGCAGAACCGCTTGCGCATTCCTATATATAAAGGTCAGATACATGACGTGCTATATAATGTACGCTCTAGTTACCTTCTTAGTCTAGTGTAGGGAGAAAGCGACATCTCGATTAGGTCGCGAAGGAGATCGTCATCGAGCTGAGAACGACGGCGATATAGAGCACGCATATAGACTCTGCCAGCATGATACGAATATGCACGCTTGACCAGCACAGCCCGCACGCTCGTTCTCTGCTTGGCCCACATGCGTGTGGAACTAGTCAACATTAGATATCTGGTAATAGACTCACAAGGAAAACTCACTCTCTCGCTTGCGCGTACGACTTGCGCAAAGAATCGAAGCGACTTCTTGTCATCGCATAATCGAGCAAAAACACATCGATGGATTTGGACACGTTGACGGCAGCGTCGATATGATCTTCGCCCTGATTCGGCTGCCGCAGGGCCACAGCTGCGCGGTGTATTGCTTTGCCATATCTAGCGCGATGGGCTGATGCTTTCTTATATCGCGGATCTTCGGGATCGGTGAGTGCGAAACCGGCCTGAACGCTAAGGGGAGTCACGAGGAGCTCCGCTAGTTCGAAGCTCTCGTTGAGGCATGGATTCTCCACCATCTTTGGGCCCTCTTGGAACAGTGTCGGGAGGCCACTCCAGGTAGATCTCGCGGTGTGCAGATAGCTGTGGTATGCTGTGGTCAGTCACAGAAAAGGTTCAATCAACAAAGACGGACCGGCAGAAGTCATTATGTGCAACCTCATCCCAGCTGCCTGCGGTATCAACAAGACCTTCCACCTTGTCGAGTGCAGGAGATACGATTTGATCCAGTATATCGAGGACGAAGTCAATCTCGTCCGGCGTGGGGACTGCACAATAAGTAACTCCTATCACTTGATTCCGAATCAAGACATACCGTGCCATTCGATCTTGACTTCCTGAGGCTCGTACAGGTGTCCCCAGTACGATAGGTGGTCCCGCTCGAAGTCTATAGCATCGTCCTCAGGAAGCCCAACCCATCGATGAAGAGAACTGTGAGACATACCCGGCATGCTCCATTCTTCAGCGTTCACAAAACGACTATTCACCGGATAAATAGATGTTAGACTATTGACCACCCGGTTCAACAACCGGCCGGTGCTACTGTATCCTCGTTCGCTCTTCGTTTTCTCGACGAGGAGCTTCATTAGTTCCATCAACTGTGCTTTATGCTTCAGGAGCTGCAAGCGATATAATGAGCAACCAGATCCACGATATATGCGCGTGAGCCGCACCGCAACGCCACCACTATCGAGGCATCCGCGTAATATGGACATGTCTGGCGGTGTGATGTCAATAGATAACAGGCGAACGGACCACATGGGACATACTCCAGTGCAGTGTCGTGTCCGACGGTATGGAATTATGTATGGAAGTCGTCCGTACACTTGATGCTCCATGCTTCAGCTCTTCCTGTATTTGCGCCGTGCAGAATGGTAGGAACTTGTCGATTGTCTTCTCAGGATGGACACGAGCGAGGCATGAGACAAGCTGGCCGAACGCTCTAACCGCATTGGACTTCGCATTTGTAGTCGCATATTCGTAAACGATCTTCAGGACTAGATCGAAGAGCGAATCTGATAGATTCTGGCAGACAACGTCGAGCATAGCCTTGACAGATTTCAGCACGCCCTCTTCCATCTTGCCTCCAGCGATGTGGCGCTTTCCACCCTCTTCTGGTAGGTTCTCATACAGTGCGAAGACACGTCGAAAGAGCGATACCACCCAGTCTGTCATTCAAAGAGCTTATTAGAAGAGACCATCGTGGAAGCACTGGCACACAATCACCTGTGAATCCGGACGTGCTCTCTCTTGCGAGCACACGCTCCTCCTCTCTGCTCCCGATGGACATCGTTGAACTCCCGATGGAATCAGGCAACCGTTCAGCTTCGGACGCATCGACCTCCATCATGTCTTCGGAGGGTGCGTCACCTGTGAGCGGAACACCTGCCTGCTGCATCGAGATATCACCGATCTTGATGAATTGCACCACTGAGGATATGAACATTGTCGCGCATAGAGTCTTGATCGGGTCGTTCTAGATGGCAATCGACAGCTGTTAGCCGGGTACAACCGCGTGAATCGTACCAACTTACGAGATCAATGCCAGGAACGGACAGCTCCAGAAGAGGGACAACGTGTTTCTGACCTCCGAGCCATGCCTTCTCAGAAACTAGAGGATGGGCCACGGCTGCAAGCATCGTCAACACTGCGGTCGTACGATGAGTTTCATTGATGATCTCTAAGCCATTGTATGCGCGCTCCAATAGCTCCGGCATGATCAACCTCGGATCAATAAGTGCCATAGACCTCAACGAGGCCTGTGCATAACTCATAGAGAACGGGTCCTTGGCGAACATTGCTAAAAGGGCCGCAGTCCGCAGTGATGTCACGAAGGCTCGACGAATGTCCGGGGTGAGACGACGGGTCTGTAAACTCGTTCAGGCAAGCAGATCGTGTTCCAGCAAATAGTACACACCGTAGGTGTCTTGCATGTCGGTTCTTGCTCCTCTTTCCATCGCTTTGAAAATTCAGACGTCACACGATGCAAGAACAGCGTCAGCTAAACCGTGTACGGCATTAGGGAGTGAGCTTTCTCGGCATATAATTTGATGCACAACTTACACTTAGACTCCAAGGGCCGGAATTTGACGGATGAAAGTAAGACTCCGTGCTTGTGATAAGCTTGTCTAAAGCGTCAAGCGCTCGAGACCCGGCGAGATATCCTTCTGCTTGCGGAGCGAGTAGGGAGTCTGTGTGAGAGCCATCGCTCGTTTCCCGTATTGGGCCATCCAGGCACATTGAGTACACGAACAATTTGGCCAGAGCGCCTGCTAATTGGTGAGCGATACTTGGTTCTAAGAAATCCTCAAAAACACATACTGGCTCTGCTTGTAGGCTTCTTGATCCGCAAAGATTGTTTATCACCCAAAGCATCTGCATGCGACGCAGTTGTGCTTGCTCCCTGTAAAAAAGATAAGCCATGGCTCTGAGCCGATACGATGGTATACTCACTTTGGTTACGCCAACTGGAACATCTAGGAAATTTTGTCAGTGAGTTGGATCACGAAATGCATTGGGCGGTCCACCTACTCATGGAAGAGAGAGCTTTCCCTGTCAGCACTCGCCATTCCTCCTCGTTCCATATACCGATGTCTTTCCATGCAGCACCACCTTCTTCTCCTGCATCGCCGCACTTACCGGCGACATGTTCCTCGGACAGATCGCCACATAGCTCTATCAACCTATCGTCAATGACGGAAGAATTGAACGCCTCCCAGATTTTGAACAGACAAGGGAGATAAAGATGAATGTGGGTTGGAGGAACAAAGGATGTGATCACAGGGACCATGGTCAAGACAGTCTGTAGGACGTATGAGCATTCCGGTCTGTCTCAGATCGACTGAGAACGCACCTCCTTAGTGAGCAGTGGCAGGAAAGCGTCCAGCATGTCGGGTATCTCACTCGCAGGGAAATACCTTCTGCACTGTTCAGCAACAAATAGCAGAATGTTTATCATATTTCGCCTGACGTGTGAAACTGATTTGAGTCAATGAGCTACGGAGCCAATAGTGGATATCTCACGAAGAATCGTGCAGCCTTTTCTTGGGCCACAGCTCTTTCTGCAAGACACGCCACAGAGGGCGCCATGGGAGCTGCAAGTCAGCGATCTCTAACTTGCGCCTGTTCTCCGGTTTCTTGGAGAGCAAGCGGGCAAGCATATCCGCCCACGCCCGAGTAACGCGCGGTTCAACTCCCGGTAATAGACAAAGCTCGTAGTAGAGACGGACAAGCTTCGCACGGGTGGTTTTAGGCATCGGATAGTGCATAAGCAGCCAGCTGCGGAGGTAATAATGGGTAAACGATCGAATAAACATGAACACGAGGAATGAACCATTGTAGCATGCCATCCCAGGTGGTGAGGACCAGCCAGTTCTTGGTCTCAGCACAGATGCTAATCCGTGCAAGAATGTATTCCAGTTTCTCTTGCATTTCCTCCATAGATTCACACTTGTACGGAAGAGCTTCAAGGTATGTCCGGAGGGATGCCTTCTGTCTCTCGAACGCAGACTGGCCAGGGGACTGGGTGCCGGACTCCCACATGGGGGAGTCGGGCACGGACATGTCCTCGTCATCCATGATGGATCTGAGGAAGTCTGCGGTGATCCCGGAAGAAGCGAACTCTGAGAGTAGTGCATCTAGCGTGTTAGCCATGATGGGTACGGGGAAACATTGACGCCCACGTACGTCTGGACTTATAGCGGAGGGCAGAGGCTTACGAGGCCCGGGATGACGCGTCGATGGGGATTGCTCAGCCACAGGATGTGAGAGTCTGACTCGGGTCTAGAGGAGAGGCCAAAAGGAGTGTCCAGCGCAGACCCGACCTCGGACCCTATGCGACGCGTACTGCACGCTCAAAGCGCCCACTCCTGTCGCGTCCTAACGCACCACGTGCCCCGAGCCACCTCCCTGCTCGCCATCATGCTCGTACAGACCAGGCTCGCCCAATGCTTCGTCGCCAGCTGTCGCAGCCGCTTTGTGGTGCGCAGCGTGCACACCCAAGTCCGCGCTGTGACGAAATCCCGGTCTCTCAAACCTCTGTTGTGGTGTTCCGCGCTGGCCATATCTGCCGCGTTGGCTTTGAAACGCACAGTCCATCTGGATTCAGAAGTTGTTCCGGACGATGCAGGAGAGGAGACACGGAGTTCGTTCATTCTCCAAGACTCTCCGGCGGCAAGGTTTCCCTGATGCATGACCTACTCTAGTCGACCCGGCAACTTCGATCGCGTTTCCGACGACACTTCGCATCCCGTCTAAAACTCCTCTGCCGACTTTCACTCTGGTCGGAGTTGGAGTGAGGACTGTGTCCTTCCTGGGCATCAAAGTATACTCCGTCGGGTTTTACGCTGATTTGGCGAACCCTAAACTGAATGTCGGTGTCCACTGCGTGCTACTCCGCACTGTGACGATCTCAATTGCGCACATTCTGTCGGGTAGATACCAAAATCGGCGTCGCCAGAGGAGAAGGTTGAGCACATAGTGCGCAACAGTGCATGCGTCCTGAGGATCGGTACGTGACTCATCATTCCTTTGGACGTAACTGACTGGCAGACTGAGCAAAGTGCCAACACGGTCGACTTCATATAGCCACCTCCGCGATGGGTTCATGCGCACGATGCAGGCACGGCTACTCCTGAGCAAAAAGCGCGGCTCATTGTCTCCAGAAGAGGAGTTTGCCGTGCAGTCACCACTGCGCAAGTTCAAGTCCATCTTTCCGAACACCCCGCTTGCCAAGCACACTCCTCTCGACATCATGCTTGCCCCTCCGTCTCTGGACAGTAAGCAACCTCGCTCATTGGTCATCCGCGACCTCGGAGCCGTGCAAAGCAACTGGTTGGCAACCGAATTTGTGCTGGCTTATTTTGAAGGAGATGGGCTAAGCCCTCCGGTAAGCCATGTCCAAGTCCTTTCACAGGATGAGGGAACTGACTTGAGCTGCAGCTGAAGCAATCGGTTATAAGCGCTCTGAACAATTTTGGAAAGTAACCTGATGAGCTGAAGACGGCCTCTCAGACTGCTTCCACAGAATGTGGGCAGTTATTAAACGTTGTGGTAAATCTTTTGTGATGTTATACATTCCGCATCTGACATACACAGGAATTACCTTGTGACATGTATGAGCATACATCGATGTACATCTATACTTGAACACCATCCTTTCGAATGAGCATTGGCCAGAGAATACATATCGATAAACCCGTTACTGCAAGACTGGTTCAAAGATGAGTCGTGATCGCATAGTGTATCGTCCCCGCCTTGCGTTTGTGCGCATTCCCCGATGTGAGACTTAGGGCTGCCTAGTCAACAGCAGTCTCACCAAGAACGAGTTCCATTGCAATCAGACCTAGAAGAACAACAATGTTGACACGTCGCGCCTGTGGCCACTCGACATTCGAGGTCATGTCAAGGTCATGCGACTGATTTTCCCCTAAAGTCAATCACGTGATCGAACAGTGAACGCGTTCCCTTGATGCCACAGTTTCCTCTACTCGAAGGTGCGGGTTCTCCACGCTCGCTGCCAAAATGACGACCGCCATCTGGCGGATTTCGCTATACCATCCAAGAGCTCATGTCATCAGACAATGCACCACGCCTCATCAACAGCTTGTCATCCACGCCCGCGTCGCATTTAGTCGATCATACGCGACCGTAGAGAGCGATCGAGTCGCAGCCTCCGCCTCTCGGCTCCTCTCTCGTACGCTCGATCGAAAGCAGCAGACGGTGCAGCGCGAGGACTATGTCGGGCCATTTCAGTTGGGCTTGATTTCTCCGACGCCACGGGACGGCGCAAAAGAGAAGAAGTGGTCGGAGCTAACCACAGCGGGTAAAGGTACGCGGGCAAGTTCCCTTTCTTCGCATGGTAACGAAAGATGAATCAATCTCGCCCTCCTACGCAGTTGCGCGGACGACTGCGCGAACGTCAAACCTCGCAGTGATACTGCTTGGTGCAGGGCTATCCGCTGTGCTCATCTACGCCCTAACTTCGGAGCTCTTCTCGAAAAACTCGGCAACGGTGCTGTATGGTCAGGCTTGTGAGAAGATCAAGGGATCTTCAAAGGTGCGCATCCCCATCTGACTCGCCTTCTCCTCCTTGATGTCGAGACAGCTCGCACAATACCTTCAAGCGCCTTTGATCTTCCACAACAATCCGCCTACAGCGCTCCGCCCGAGACACCGCAACCACCTTGTCTCCTCACAGATTGTACTTGACTCTGACGGCAAAGAGCACATGCTACTACACTTCTACGTGGAAGGTCGACCACCAGGCACCGCTACTTCCTCGGCTGAGTCAGAGGAGCCTTTCGTCGATATCGTCGTGCATTGGACGAAAGACACTGTTGACAACCTGTCCAAAATGACGTATGACGACTTTGTGAATACTGTCGAGGCGCGTGCGGATGCTATGAAGGAGGCCGCGAAAGAGATGTTCAGGTTCTTGAGCGGTCAACCTGCCTCGCGGTCGGAACCAGAGCCGGAACCGCTCAAGCCAATAGTTAAGGAGGAGGTGGAGGAGAAGGGCTGGGCGTCTGGATTTACAGGCCTGTTTTCCGGACTACGTGGGTCAAGTAGGAGTTCGACGGAGAGCGGTGCAGAAGCTCAGAGCGGACGACGATTGTATGATGAAGGAGAGGTGCACGTCGATCTAGTGATGGTGCGTTCATCAGCCGTCCGAATTCAACGCATGCTCGTTGCCCTATTTTCGCTGCTCACCGATGTTACCACAGAACGATCAGGGTTATTTCGAGTTCCGCTACCTACTCGTGGACATTCCCAGTGAGCATCCTGCATCATCCACCTCCAATTTTCTCTCTTACAATTGCCACAGATTCACGTAGCTGGAGTGCAAAACGAGTGTTTGTTGAGAGAGCGGATGGCGTGAAGGTCAATGAAGCGGTCATGTCATGGTATTCATAACACATTTACCACCTATGCTGTGGTTTGGTTTGTACCGTCATTCATGTCGCAGTCTAGCCTTGTATTAGTACGTGTAAAGCTTACTGACATGCAATAATCCGACGATTCTGCATTGACATTGTTGGATTTGATTACAAGTAAGACCGTGTCCTTAGCACCTTCATTCTCCATACAGCTTCTGCACGCGTTTGAGTATTGAATCTTTCGCTGGATCTATGGTATGTCAATACAATCATCAACTCCTGCTCTCAGGTTTACGCAAGGGGTAACAAATACCGTATGGATGGTCTTTCGAGGGAATCTCCAACAGGGCCGGGAATGCTTGTTCGTACTTGTCTACCATTGGCCTAATCTTCTCTGCAATCTAGAGAATCATTGAGATAAGGGGACATTAGGGAGATGCAACGTTTAAACGAACGTGTTGGTTGATCAAGAGTATGGCAATATCCTTCCGTTCGGTGAACTCCTCAAACGCGCTTTCAATGTGAGGAATCGGGGTCTCTATCTCACAGGTCATATTTTATTTGTACATAGGTCGCAGTATGACTTACTAGAATCCACGACAAGGAAGTTCCTCTTCTGGTTCTCGCTAATGTTGCCAATGCCGGCAAGCAGGAGCCCCGTTACAGTGTCCTAATTCAAACGTGAAAGGTCGGTTTACACAAAACAACAGCAGGGGAGGCAGCGCATACCTCGTCGCCGATGACTGCAAGCAAATCTCTATCCTTGAAGGAAGTGGCCGCCATTGTCGACGTCGGTGGCGGGAGTGCAACCCTAAGAAGCGCCTGTGCAGTAGCGCAGCCCAAAGAGGAAGTTTCTGGATCCCGTGATTTGTGGGGTGGACGCGTCGGCTTGGGCGCTTGGTCATCTCGATCGCACCTCGGTCGCTTACTTTTTCCCGCCACTGAGCTTGACGCCATACGACACTTTTGACCCACGACAGTCACCAACTTACAATCCTCCTCGATGAACTCGGTCAAGGATATCTTCAATCGGCCTCCTGCCATCTCGGAGGACACGCTTCAGTACACTCTTTATCCGCAAGATGACATCTCAGATCGTGCTTCTGCGACTACTCTCGCGACTCTGATGCACGAACATGTCGACTCCTTACTACCCGGCTTTCTTTGGCACCGGGATGCGTTCGAGCTCAAGGTAGTGCAGAACCCGGATTGCGAGGGATGGGTGCTCGAGGGCAGGATGAGAGTGGGGGACTGCGTCGACGACGAGTGGTGTGCGGTCTGGCTGCTGAGAGAGATCAGCGCAAAGTGGGACGTCACGATTAGGTATGTATGCCGGTTGATGGAGGTAATAATTACCTGACCAATGTTCCGCAGTGTTCTCGACTCTGACGGCGAATTCATACTCATTGAAGCAGCCGAGGCGCTTCCATCATGGGTCACTCCATCCAATGCTGAGAATAGGGTGTGTCCCCATCTTGTCAGCATCTATGCGTGTTTGCTGACACCCTTTAGGTCTGGATTTACCGCTCCCGCCTTCATCTCATTCCTCTCTCATACGTCTCTGCACCATCTAGCAAACCTCGCCGGCGGCGTTACCCCGGTGCAAAGGATAGCGACGAGGAAGGCGATATGACGCAAATCGACGATGATGAAGACTACATAACGGTCCAGGATGCTATCAAGCTTGTCCGCGACCCCCTTGTGGACACATTCGCGCCTGCTGAGGTAGAGCAGACTGTGTGGACGCGGCTCTCAGGGTACGTAAGACCATGCGTATATCGCGGCGTGTCTGATCAAGATATTTTAGGTATCCGACTGCAGCTAGGCAACATGTGCATGTCGCGAAGGCCTACTTGCCAGTTGACATTGCCAAGGCTCTTGCGGTCGATCCATCTCTTGTGCAGAAACCCACCGAAACATTCTATACGCGCGATGCTATTCAGCTCCGGGTAGGTTCTTGTTATATTGTCGCTATTCGCCCCGGCTGAGTATTTTTGCAGGCCGCTCATAAGATGACGCGCTTCCCTCCCGAGCCATCCATTCTGACGACTGTCAAGATGACCAGAACAGCTTATGCCCAATTAGCTGGGCAGAAATTCTACCCTCCGAAGGTATTCGGTCGGTGGCAAGAGAAAGAAGACACAACGGAGTGGCGATGGCGAGACGTCGGAATGAAGATTGTACGTCGTTGATACATTTCCTCCTGGTTTTCCTTCTTACAGGACCCGCAATGGCAGGCGTGTGGATTTGAGATGCTCTACCAGGAGAGCAAAGATCGCACAGATACCGTCAACGTCTCAGCTGAAGCAATGCAATCATCGGTACGCGTGCTTTCACCATCTACCTGTGGTCATCGCCCATATTCACCATTTCATATTGCACTGTTTTAATGTAGGCACAGGCAAGGAAGGAGGCTCTTCACCGCAGCACGGAATACGTAAAATACATACAGAACCTCGTGTCATCTGGCTATTTCAAAGGCGAGCTAGAAGGATCCAAGCTATGGAATGAGCTCGAAGACAAGGCAACCGCTGTATTCCTCGAAGTTCGCAGAGAAGAGCACGTGCCTATTTGCCTAAGCTCCAATGTATGCGATATTAACATTTCATGGTACAGCGATGCTGGTAGACCCTCGTTCGCCGCTGCCGTTAATGCTACCGTTTCCAAGGCAGCAGGCGCGCCCATCCCTCCTGCACAGCGAGAAGAAGATTCGGACGAGTGGCTCAACGTGAACGCAGAAGACTTCGAGTCAATGCTGGAGAAGAACTTCGGTGGCAATGTAGACGTGGAGGACCAGGGACCCTTACCCGATGCGATGGACATAGATAAGCAGACGCCGACGCGAGAGTCGGAAGAAGACCGTGTCGCGAGGGAACAGGCATCAAAATTGAAGAATCTCGCAAAGAAAGTCGAGGAGTTCATCGAGGGGGAAGGTGACATTGAGGGCGCAAGATTCGCTGAGTAAGTATTTCTGCCCCGCCCTTGGACTGCGCTCACTGAATGGTCATATCTAGCGAGGAGTTTTCAGACGAGGACTTCAGCGAGGATGAGCATATGTCCGAGGACGGATCTGAAGCTCCGACACCTCCGCTGACCGAGCAGACTGAAGCACAGCGAGTAGCTCGACAAGCTGCCATGGATAAACTCGTACCAGGCATCTTGCCATCTGAGTATGGCAAGATGCCGCCTTCTTTCCACAGTAACTCCCAGCGCGTCGCCCCAATCACCATCGAGACCGAGACACGCGAAGTCCCTACCAAAGGATCAGACGCCTCCGCCGGACTTCGCAAGCGGCCAATCCGACCTCCCATTCTCCCCCGTGACAAGTATGAAGGTGTCGATTCCGATGACGAGACTGACGGGGAAAGCGGAGGTGAAGGCGACGAGGAAGACGAAGAGGACAAGCCGCAAGTGGTAGGCGACGTCGAAATAGACATGAACGAGGAGGAAGATGAGTTTTTGGAGTTCGCACGCCAAGCGCTAGGAATATCCGACGAGCAATGGGGCGACATTGTCAAAGAACGCACAGATCGTGGCGGCAAGTGATCCATATTACTTTTCTGGCCATGGGGACTCATATTCTTTATAACAGCGTATGTTCCATTACATGTCGTTGCCGAGAACACACTGTTGAAGAAGACGGCGACATCGACCCATTACAGTGCTCCAGAGCTTGCTTTTAACACGCCTTCTCGCAAATCTGCCGCAGGACCGCGTCCAGATGTCAATCCAAATTTGGACTCCTTTGAAGCTGTTATGCGGGCCATGGATGCTGAGTTGGCACAGTCGCGGAAAAGAAAGCATCCTCCGCCATCGCAGACAGACAAGGGCAAAGGAAAGGCGAAAGAATCACTCGGTGAACGTCATGATATCTTAGATATCGAAGCAGCAATGGATGCTGAACTTGAAGCGGCTTTGGAGAAGGAGCATGATGGCGATGGTGATGAGGTTGATGCCGAGGAAGCGGTCGATTACAACTTAATCAAAAACTTCCTGCAGAGCTACAAGAGCCAGGCTGGCCTTTCCGGCCCTGTGGGTAACCTTGCAGGACGGTTACAGTCAGGTTGGATGCTACCGAGAGACGAGTCGTAACTCGCGCTTCATGTACTGTACCAAGATTGTATGCATCGAGGCTCGAAAATACGATCAACTTTTGCTTCGCTTCTCATTGCTGCTCCGCTTTAGAGAAAGTAGGGTATAGATTGTGTCTTACGGTACAATAGATAAAAATAACAATACCGTCAGCCATTCGCATGCAACCATTGTCTACAATGGGCTTAGGCATCACCACCCTGGGCGTCGCCGCTCTGGCTCACGCCGCCTGCGCCGCCCGTCTGAGGGGCCTCGTTCTCGACGAATCCGCCAGCGTTGACAACGCTGCCGCCGACAGCGCTGCCCGCCGCGCCGCTGTATGCATTGCCGCCAGGACCGTAGCCATTGCCATCGCCGCCGTCCGCTTCTCCAGAGAACGTCTCGCCAGCGTTTCCGCCCGTGTCTATAAGCAACACGTCGTCAGCCACGGCCCATGAGAAAATCATGAAAGTCACTTACTAGGCGCACCGTTGAAAACCCCGCCGTCGTCGTTAGAGGCGTTGATGACGTCGCCTCCATCAACGTTGCTGCTCGCTCCACTGTACGCGTTGCCGCCAGCGGTCCACTGGTCCTGAGCACGCTTGCGGGGGGGGAGAACGGGGTTCGACGCATCACCGCCCTGCGCGTCACCGCTTTCGTTGAAACCGCCGGTTCCGCCAGTGTCTGGCGATAAGGGGCGTGAGGAACCTTCAGCATGTCGTTAGAATGTTACTTACTAGGTTCCTCGTTCTCGATAAATTCGTCGCTCTTGTTGATGACGCGTCCTCCCTCAGACGGGCCCACGGCGCCAGAGTACGCGTTACCTCCAGCACCCTTTCCGTCACCGTCGCCACCAAAAGAGAAGCCACTGAAGCCGTCACCACCGTCACCGCCCGTGTCTGAAACATGACATGAATACGAACATTGTATATTACGATGAGATAAGAGACTTACTGTCACCATCATTGACAATACCGTCTCCACCCCCTGCACCCCCGCCCTTACTGTAGTTTACGACCTCCCCACCAGAAGTGTCGGTAGTTGCGCCAGAGTACGAGTTGCCACCAGCAGTGTACTGGTCCTGAGCACGCTTTCTGTGAGAGGTGTATGAATCGATGGTCGACGGCGAAGGGTTGTGCAGTTGCTGCTCGGCAGCACGGTGTGCCTCGGGCGTCGGCTGCTTGTCGTTCTTCTTCCCTCCTTGGGACTGGCCGATTACCGGCAGGGACTCAATGTTGGGAGCACTGACGGGGGCCGGAAGATCGGGGACTCCTCTGGGGACAGCATTGAGGTTGTGACCTTTGGGGAGAGATGGGCTGCCGGCGAGATTGTCGAGGGGTTGAGGGAGGGCGCGCGCTGAGTTTCTAATCGACGAGTTGGGATTGGGCGATGTCGGCGCACCAGCGACGAGGGTGGGGCTAACCGCAGCAGCGGCCAATAAAGTGAACGCAATGACCGGGCTACGCATCTTGATGTGGTTGGCGAGTGGTGTAGGTTGTACTTGAAGTTGACGCGGTTAGGAGGAGAAGGTGAGGGAAGAAGGGAAAGCTGGATGGGCAGTAGCGTCGAGATGGGAGGCCTTATATATAGCGAGGTGTTATGATTCAGATTCCGCCGCGTCTTCTGAAGACGGCTGGCTGCAACTTGGGTGGAGAACGACTTGCGATCGACAGCTTCTTTAGAACACCTGCCCGATTTGGGAGATGACTTACCATATGTGGACACGCACGCAGACATACACGACTTTGAATGCAAGTAGGATCCTCTCGTTCCGTGCAATCGTCTATATTCGTGTGGTCACATATGTACAACTCAGACGGGATCCAGAGGGCGATCAATCTCGAGCTCCGTCCTAGGAAGGGCGATGAAATTATTCTCCCCGGCTAGTAGTTACAGAACCGAACCTCAGGCAGCCGTATCAATTCCACTTCTTCGAAACCCTCGACTGGGTTATGCCCGACAGCGATGACGATTGGAGAGTCATTCCTTCTGTTTCTCTCGCTGTGGGAACGGGCCCTGTGTTTCTGAAGTGCAGCTCTCCAAGGTGCCTCCTCGAACACTTTGTCGACTTCCTCGAGAGAAGCGCCTTTCGTCTCCGGTTGGAATGCGAGACAGATAACAGTAGTGAGCAACGAACAACTACCGAAAAGCAAGTATGGACCGGAGGATGTCTTAGCCAGGAACGCGGGAGTGGTAAACGCGATAATCCAGTTAACGACCTATTGTGTAGAGTCAGCAATGCCACCGTGAGCATGACAGAGGTCATGTACAAACCCAGTTGGCGCATTGCCCCAGACTGGTAGCGGCCGCTCTCGTCCTCATCGGTTGGATCTCGCTGGCGATTATGCGGACCACAATAGCCCAAGTGGCGACGTAGCCGACTACGAAGACATAGATCAGCACAATGATAGCCCAGCGCCCTGCTGCGTGGTCTGACGCATGCGAGGCATAGATTGAGCCAATAATAAGCATAGCCGTTCCAATGACAGCACCCCCACGTATCATGGATGCCCGCCGTCCCCCTGAAGCGCACAAAATCAATTCTGAATTCTCCGTGAAACATACAACGCGTCCACTCACATTTATCTGCAAAGAACTGAACGCCGAAGGTGAACACAACCATGATCATTCCTGAGACGCCAGATGCTATGAAAGAGGCAGTGGATGCGGATAAGCCGGCCTGAGAAAAGAGGACCGGCGCATACTTGAAAGATGTGAGCAGCGAAATCGTGACTTTAGGACTCTAATGCACCACTACTCACATATAGCACGCCATCAATACCAGAAGCCTGAGACGCTCCTTCAGATGGCGCAAAGCTTATATTGAGAAGCGTATAACTTACCTGTTGCATGGCCATCAGAAAAACGCCCAATGCAGTCCTCGTTCTGACGCCATTCATCCACAATAGCTTGGTCTCTTCCCACCAATTACCCTCTGTATCGTTGCCGCGGACGTTCAGCTCGATCTTCTCGACGTCAGCGGTATTTACGCCCAGCTTCAGCCACGCAGCTTCGGCATCGGCATCTCTGCCAACCATCCTCAACCAGCGAGGCGAGTACGGTAGGAAGGGCGCGCCCGCAGCAAGCATGACTGATACCACAGCCTGCATTCCAAACGGGAAACGCCAGGAAAAAGAGCTCGGTGAGCAAGCACTGCCGTAGCAGACAAAGTAACCTAAGAAACATAGTCACAATCCATCGACCCATGAGGAATTCATCATGCATACCAGACGCGATGCCAATGGTGCACAGCATCTGCACCATCGATCCAATTCTGCCTCTAGCAGACGCTGGCGCGATCTCAACAGCATAGACAGTCACTGTCGACAGGAATAAACCTTCGCCTATGCCAGCAACGCATCTTCCCACGAAGAGTTGGGCTAACGTATGAGCGGAGCAAGAGATTGTACTGCCTGCCGCGAACACGATCGCGCTAAGAGAGATCGTTCTTATTCTCGAGATCCTATCTGACAATGGACCAGAAAAAAGCGACGCCAACGAGGCAGTGATGAGGATAGTCGACACAATGAGACCTTGCAACGTGGACGACAATTTGCCATCAGTGGATATCTGAGCGACGAACTGGGGCATAGTCGTGATGGAGCCTATACTGCCGGTGTCGAAACCGAATATGAAGCCACCAACAGCAGTGAAGAGCGCGCACCAGACATAGTTGGGTACATGGTCGACAGCGAGAGGTAAGCGATAGCTACGTAGCTGCTGTATCACGCTCAGTGGAGGATTGGGGAGACAAGGTCTGAGTCCACGTGAGGAAGCATCCGCATCCATTCTGACGAGAACACCTGCTCGACAGTTGCAGTGCACGAATAGTGTGACACAAGTACTTGCACTTGAACGTAGGTGGAGATCTAGTAGTAGTAGTTCCCTGAATCGACGAATCCGAGCGTCTGCCTCAGACCGGTGATTACGCAGAGGCTCGGGAGTTTCCCCCGGGCGCGAGTGCATCACCGATTACAGCGCGACTGTGAAGCCCCAGGTCGCCGCTGACGAGCTTAGGCGATGCAACGAGGAGAGAGCACATCTTGTTCACAACCCATCGATCTAGCTTGAGAAGGGGGGGTTCCAAGTGAACGGCACGATGCGCACTGCGTTCGAGAAAGCCGTCGCGTCCAGCCACGTGATTGACACGTCACGTCAAAGTTGAAGCGAGCGCCAGTTGCCGTTGTTGGGAATTCGCGTGTCTGTCCGAGCCGCTTCTAATTGCATGCTGTGCAATTGTTGCGACTTTCACGTACACTCGCAATATCGACCATCACCTAACCCTTTCTACCAACTCTATTACTGTTTGAGTCGTATTACCTCTTGCAGCCAATGCCCATCATAACGGATGAAGATGAATTTGACGTTCTCCCGGACATTTTCGAAGGAATTGACTGGGACACTATACCTGCTCTTGCAGGTAATAGCGAAGAAGATGGAAACAATGATACTCATGTGTCCCGTGAAGAGCCTGGCAGTCCCGCCGTGATGGACGAAATTCATGCTGTCAGCGACGGCGCCGATGCCAATCGTCCAGCCCCTGCTACGGTGGAAGCAGATGCCGCCGATCACCGCACGACCTCCGAACAAGAATTTGAGCTCATTCCAGCTGCAGAGCCTATCATCTCACGTTCATCCAGTCAGTACTCGTTTGACGATGTTGATGGCTCGTTCCTCGAAGAGGTTGAGGCTATAGAGGCGAGCTTCGTAGAGCCTCTCCACGGTCCGGGGACTTCAAGTATGTGATTGTCAGTTCACTGCCCTATGTCTTGACGTTGTTTCATTTTCTAGGGCAAAATGCGCAACAGCATGGATCTACTGAAGACGGTCGTTCTACACATGCGACCGACACAGGTCTGTTTCCAACAACGTGTGATACCCCTACCCTCAGCTCATATGCCATGGTTCTAGTAGCATCTCGTGTGCTTAATATACCATCCAATTTGTCAGGTACCGCATCTTTCGAGCGTCGCGTTACTGTGTGTCATAGGATGTCCTACAGCAACCACCTCCATGAGAGCTCCAATGCGCGCTGCCTCGACCACATCAGGACGTCAGCTATATCCATCTTTACGACTCGGTGCCCAGCGCTGATCATATGCGCTTATCAGAGTTAGGCATCGCTGAAGACGGAGCAGAATGCCCACCAAAGGGCGGAGCCTTCAGCTCACCACGTAAGAGATGCCGCGCCGAATTCTCCGAAACCGAGCCTTGCTCTTTACGCAAGAAAGCCAGGAAGACTAGAGAGGAGAAGGATCTGATCGATCCGTACGCTGGAGTACGACAAGCCCTGGCAGAGCTCGGGGACGAGTTCACCTGCCCCATGTATGTTTTGGGGTGTTCTTACGCTTCATGCTCTGTTACTGACGGCCTGTCTGTCCTTCTCCTCCTAGATGTTGTGACTTGATGTCAGTATATGCGCCTTCTGATGCATGCATACTGACGCATCCGCGTGGTAGGGCCGCTGCACACTTATGCAATCCCTGCGGCCATACGATATGCGGAGAATGCGGCTGGAATTGGACCATGCAGGCAGTGAGCTCCATCCGCACTCAAGAACCTCCCTATAGAGCTGCTCAGACCAAGAGCTGTGTTCGCAGAAATCGTCACCAACTTGTGCGATCTGTCGAGCAGCACTAGCGCCCCATTCAGCGATGATACCGAACTTCGCCCTGGACAACGCCATCGAGAAGCATGTCGCTGCGATCGCAGCAAGCGGTTGCACTGACTGGCAGCCGAGCGGGTCCAAATACATCGACTGGACCACGCGCAAGGAGTGCGTTCTGATCGTTATTCCTCCGTTGCACGCCGCATGCTGACCGACGATCGCAGGAAATGGAGAACAGGTGCATCAAAGCGCGCAGCAGCGAGTCGTCGAGCAACGAGGACACAGCACGCCGTGCACGCGCCGGCGGCGCAGAGCTTTACTCGTGCTCGCCACGGCGGAGTTGCGCCAGCGGCGCCGGCATTCCCGTACGCAGTGATTGACCTAAGTGTGATGGACTATGAAGGATACGAGGGTTACGAGGACAGTTCCCATGACGAGGTATTTGGCGATGTCGCCTACTTTTGGGAGTGAGAATTGCACTATGCAGTCGTGCATGGAAGGCATGGTAGTATGATCGAGAAGGCGGAAGTCGTCACACCTGCTTCTATCAGTGCTATTGCGTGAGCTCTGGCGTGAGATGTGTTCATGCAGGGTGCACATAACGCGAAATAGTAGTACTCTCGCCCTCCTGTATGCAGGTTGATCTGCTATATGGAGAGATCACGTAAAACAATACTGCAGAAGTAATGTCACATATCATAGGGCGCGGATGGTACATTCTTCACGGAGCCTTTGGGACCAAGACACTACAACTGCAGAGGGGATTGAGTCAAAAAGACGTCTCAAAGGACGTGACAGCTCATCATGACATAGCACGCAGAAGAATACATCCACTTTTTTGAAATCATATCCGACTCGCCCCAAAGAAAAACTAGGCGTTGAAAATTATGTGCAGTTTTCCACTCTCAAGGCCAGATGGCATGGCAAGACGAACGAGGGAATAGCCCTCGTCTTTAGTGGCAACGATCTCCGGATCTGTTATGGGATTGCCGTTCAGTGTGAACCTGATTGTTGTAGGCGACACAACGAAGCCAGAGGGGACCTGCACAAGGAGAGCGAACTTGCCCGAACGTGCATGTATGTCAGCCGACAGTGCTTGCGGCAGGCGTTTGAGCTGCTCCGCCATGGGCACGGTCTGCTCGGCTACAAACTTCGCCTGCTCAACTTCGGGCTTCGTCTGCTCGGCACCAGGCTGCTTAAACTCGGATTCGAGAACGACTTGCCGCTTGAAACCAGAGATGAGCGAAGGTTGCTGACTCGACATCTCCATGGACGCGTCTGCGGCCGTTGAGGTATCGTCTGTAGAAGTATCGCCACGAACATCGGCACCGTCGACGGACACTCCAGAGCCTTTGGAGCCTGGTTCAGCAGCAGGTTCACCATTGTCGTCTGCCCGGTCACGTTCCGGCTCGTCAGATTTGGGCTGCATATGAATATGGGCCCCATTCCCGAAATTCGACGTCCGAGTTCCGACTGCGCCCAACCAAACGAATGCTAATCTCTGGAAAACAGAACGCCACAGCCACGCGAACATCAACAGGCAACTGCGCATATAGATTTCCAGTGAATGAGGGCTCCGGACCAGGGCCAGTGCATCTGAGTCCCTCGAGCTTGTCTGGGGGGCGGTTGGCGGGCTGGGCGTAGGAGACTCATCATGAGTAGAAGATGACGGAGAGATGGGAGTGGGCAATGACGTAGGTGCAGATGAATCGACCGTAGTTTCTGAAGCATCAGAAGGTGAGGAAATCGGGAGGGCTGGCGGTCGCTGGAGTGGGCGAGGTGCCATAGGGGGGGACGGTGGAGGGGTCGGCAGCAAACGCTGCCCGTCATTAAGTTCAGTCGCCTCGTTGACCATGGCGTTTTCGTATGAATCGAGAAGGCAGATCTTCCAAGAAGAACTCGCAGTCCCATCCGTCATCACAATGTATGTAGGAGAAATGTTTGCAGTACCACCGTAGGGGCTGGAATGGAGAACAACTGTCTCGTTCTGCGAGAGCGCGCAGAAGCTATGCGACGAAGGCAAGGACATTATCAACGATTCTGTAGTGACACCGGGCATGTGAGACAGCAAGTCTTCCGTCTTCATTTCTATTGGATGGTGCCCAAATAGAGGCTGGGAAGGAATGACTAGAAGAGAGGAAGGGAAAAAGCGTGTCGACATAAAGACGGCGCATGGAGATTGTACGCCCTGCTGGGAGATCGTGTAGCATGTGAGATGGCATTCTTCGAGACTGGAAGGAGACACAGCGTCGACGGGAGCGACCGACGCATGACCGTCATCGAATTTTGAAGTGTACCTTATCTCGCCCTGAGCGGATACGCGGACGGAAGCACCACCTGTAGCATATAGAGCGATCGTTCGAGGAATGACCAACGTATGAGAGCGCATCGAAGGGACGAGGACAATCAGGTGGGACAGCGGCGTCTCGACTGAAGTTGAGAAGATGGGCAAACTGAACAATATAGCGCCGTTTCCAAAGTCAGTCAGAGCAGATTGAACGTGAGTAAGGGGTTATGGGACGAACCTGTCATCCCTAATAGCCCAGCTGGACCATTCCAGGCTCTGATTCAAGGTGCCCACCACTTCCTCCTCGCCGTTTCTACCGGTCAACTCGGCCTTTCCGGCGGGATCATTCACCCATTCCTCGGACAAATTGACACCCAGAGTAGCCATCGTCGACTTGTGCTCCACAACGAGAGCACCGTTCCTGCCATATTCTCCCAGCCACTGCACATCTCCAGATGGGTATACCATCCGGTATGTGAAGGAGAAGTGGTGGCCAGAGGAATAACCTTGCAGTTGGACGGGCACCTTGGCATACATGGAATTCTCCTGCTTCTTGCCAACTGAGGCATCTTGTTCCACATCTGGGAACAATGTAAACGTTTTTTGCCCATTATCATCAACATCCGACTTGAAGTCTTGCAGTGTTTTGAAAACGATCGCATTCCACTCTTCTGCCGCACATCCCTGCACTGGCAGGTCCGTCCATATCTCGACTCGGACACCATCCTTTTGCGCCTGCTCATACGACGTTTGCGATTCGAATGACGCTCTGAAGAGTAGTTCCTCGGTGGGTGCGAGCTGGTCATCAGGACAAAGGGCAGTGATAAGGGATGTCGCCTCGCCAAGGGGCGGATTGAACGAGATATGCATAGTGTACTGAGCTTTGAAGCAGAGGGAGGTACGGGAAACCGAACAAGGGGGAGGAGAGTGGCCAAAGGCACTTTATAGTCTATTCGACGAAGCGGAGCCTGAAACGGTTGACGGAAGCAGAGGAGGGTGGAGGGTGAAGTGGCGATGTCACGTATCTGGCATTGTGTGATGGCTGGGCCACGGTCCTGTCGTATTTGCATTTTGCACGGCTGCGACCTCGGCGCCAATTTGGACTCTGATAACATCGTCCACGGCTGAAAGTCGCGGCCACCCTCTCTGCAAGGCACATGTCTATGGCTACGATGGGTTCTCATGCGTTGTCGCTTCCGGTGCATATCCAAGTACATCACACACATGCATGCAAGAACGTATCAGATAGTAGTGCAATATTCACCCGCTGGGCCTAATCATAATCACCATCAAAGGCATCGTCTCTCCGCTTCCCCCTCCGGTCTTCGCCGCCGATCTCCCCATTCGCTGCACTGGAAACTGTCCGCTCCACTATGTCGTCCAGAAGTTCTGGGGGGAGGTCATACTCCGAGCTACGCACGGCAATGGCATAGGCGACTGAAAGAACGTTGTGCGAAGTCAGCTCAACATGGCAAAGCACCAGTAAAACAAGTATACCATCTTCGATCTTCTCCAACGACTGAGCTGTGACACTCTGCTTTTTGCGCAACTCTCTAAAGTATGGTGTAAAGCCCTCAAAATCTCACATGACATCAGCGATATCCAACGCGTCACCATGGAAGACTTCGTCCTACCTGCTTTGCAGCTTCTAACAAAACTGCAGACCTCGCTTGCCTTGGCGCGCCCACCACGGCGGGCGATAGCAGAGATCGCATAGCGCATCAACTCTCCTGTCAGATCGGACAATCCTAACAGATAGTCACCCAGTGGCAAAGGGAAATACTGAGAATGCATTAGCGGACGTTCGCGCCAAAAGAACATATGTCCAATCCACGTACAGGTGTACCCTTCTCATCAGATAACGACTTTTGTACATCTTCGTACGAACTCAAGGTGCGATGTTGCAGATAGTAGGAGAAACTGAAGGCCTCGATGTATTCCTGCAAGCCCGGCGATACATTCTTCTGGTGTCTCCAAAATCGATCGCCCGTAAGTTCCCCTCGCATTCCCGCGAAGAGCTGCTGGATACCTCGCAACTTGCCCTTTGCACGGGAGACAGCGCGCAATGAGAGAGCGCGATCGTCGGATTCGGAGGAGTCTTCCGTCATGGAACGGTGCAAGAGAAATATGACCTTCTTCGAGAGGTTGGTCGCGTCGCGGCTAGACTACCATGTAAAATTGCCCAGGCCGGTAGTTGGACGCAAGAGCATCCGCCGCGACAAGTCCATCGAGGTGAACGTGCGAAGCAGGCTAGCTGTAAGATGGCGGACCTTGATGAGACGCTCCCTCCTGTCATGAAAGTCATCGAGCTCTTCTCTGAAGTGCTCAAAAATCTGGATTATGGGAGCCCTTGAGTCGAGCGTATCTGCCAGAGGCATCGACATGGTGGATCGAGACGAACAAGTTATTGGTGCCTTACTAGGTCTCGGCGTTTGCTGATGTTAACGCCGAACCCCTCCCCACCGTACATAGACAGCTAGGCCTGATCAAGCGCGTGCATGTCCACTTGCAACTTATGCTTAACCTACTTGTTTTGTTATCCTGTCATGGCGTTCCCTTCAAAGTCTGACTGTTCAATATGCAACATTGTCTCCCCGTCACCTGCAAGAATGCCTGTGGAAGATCTAGACACTCCTGCGTCGTCGGCGAAACAGCCAGAAATTGTATGGAAAGATGATTATTTCGCTGTATGCCGTGAAATGTCGGTCCCCTGTCTCGAGCAATGGTCATATTGTAGTCATCGTCAAGTAATTTGAAAACAATTGGTCCGGGTCGAAGGCATCATCTCTGTCTCCACGTCGCCTAGTCGGCATGTCCCATCAATGTGAGGTTTGATATGCCTGCTTGGTGCACCACATTTACGAACCATCTGACCCGATCATGGCCACCGCCTTGTTGCAGTCCTCAAACGATCTTCTATTCTGGTCGCCATCCGCGAACTAGCCGAACGCCTCCTTTCCAGCATACATGCGCCAATCAGCCATGCTTCCTCCTCAACACCGCTCGACACACGGCTTATCGGCTCAATACCTGCCATCAACACGCGTTTTGCAAACGGTGTTGGTTTCATCGTACGGCCGTTCCGTGACGTAAAGATACCCATGACCGATAACCTTCATGTGCATGCGTATGTACTCCCTGCTGACGGTATAGGGTGATTTCGCGGCTTCACATACAGTTCATTAGCTCGGCACAGCGCCGGCGATTTAATCGCTAAGATTTGGTGCGCTTAACTTTGTTCACCACATCCGAAGAACAGTGCTCCATTGTCTGATTGATAGGGAGGAATCTTCCTACAATTGTATTCATTCGGGTGTCGATGCATGCCCCATAGATTCCGTACCGCAAGCTGGTGTCCGAACAGGCGCCGCCGGTGGTGTTGAAACTACGGAATGATTACGAGCCGTGTGGTTGATCTTGAGCAAGGCCGCCCGAAGGTGATGTGAGAATCGCGACATTGATTGCCACAAAATACATGAAGCAGAGAGGTTAAGCAAGCTTGATAATGTAATACAGCCTAATCCATGTAGAGAACTACAGGTAATCCGTTGTCAGCGCCTTTGTAGGTTATCGCGACGATTGTAGGATACACACATATCAGAGATACTTGACTACAACTTGACGGACGAAGTACAACTACAGCAGAGGCTTCATACAGCAGATTGATTCACGCATCTGAGTAGCGTCACTGTTTAGTGTTGCTACGTCTATCCGTTTCATCAAGCACTCACAGTACGAGGAGCCGGTGAGCAACGTAGACAGAGCAGTAAGTTGACTATCGGTGAAGCGCTTGCAATCCTCGTGCCATGTGTCTTGATGAGTCTTCTTGAAGTTGCTCGCACACTTCCTGACTGTTGTAGAAATTGGGATCTGTTCAGACGTCAAGTCAATGATCTCTTCTGACTGAAAGGAAATTGAAACCCACGGGATCGTATGTGTGCTCTGCCAGCACGTTAGTGAGCAAATCGGGCAGCCACCTCTCAACTGTGTAAGGATAGCTATCCACCAAGGCGCAGATACCGAGAATGGCTGCGTGTCGTTGGCGCAGTGCAGACGTGTATGTGGGAGAGCGCCTGCCCGGTAACTTGCTATTCTTGAGAAGTCGCACAAAGCGATCCTATAAACGCGACATTGACGTCAATATGCAGCGGACGTTACAAACGTGCTAGCTAACCCTTAGGTGGAGCACGCTCCGACGGGGTGACAAGCGTAGAATCCCCGATAATGTTCTGAAGGTTTATCAATTGAGGCATTGTCACCGGAAATGGATACGCCTACGTTGCAGCCATTTCACGAACTTCAACAACCTCGTCGTCCAAACATCTACAAACCACCTGAGGACCCACCGTCTGATCAGTCATCATGCGAATGGAGAGATGTAAAAGCTCACCTCTATCATCTCGACGATTTTGACATCACTAATGAGAGGAAATTGACGGAAGTAGAATACTACGATAAATCAGTAAATGCAGGTAGGGAGAATGAATCAAACAACCTTGAACAAGAGGAAGGACCTTGAGACGGACTCTCCAAGACTTTTTTTTTTGATTGAGCGTCACTCTACCCATTACAAAAAATCGCGTGAGCTTACCGGCGATGTTTGTATCGCTACAAAGATAGCATCCAACATCGGATATATCAGAGGCCGCGGAGGAACTACACCACACATCCGCACTAGCAGTAAATGCGCACGGTGCGCTAGGTCGTCATTGTCGTTCACTGGATAAATGTTAGTATGGGCCACTCAATATTGAGATCGAGGGTACAGAAGCATACCTTCCGCGAAGCGGAAAAGCTCAGGCTGTCCCAATCGTTGAGCGACAGAGCATCCATGACAATAAACGTTAACGCACCATTAGAGGAAGAATGTAATCGAACGCAGCAATGGCATTGACATCGTGTACCATCTGGAATAGCCATTTACAAACAAGCACACCAACCCTGGAAGAAAAAGGTCAGGGTTGCAATGCGATACATCTCGAGAACAGTGGCCGACCTGTCATACGTCGACTGGAATGCACGAGAACCAGGCAACCGCTGTCCACGCCACGCTTTGAACTTCTCGACGAGGTCCAATATTCGACCCTCGTGGAACGTTCCGCGGACTCCCATGATGTCGAAATCCAAGGGAAGGATACGGCATTCACGAACAAAGACATCAGCAGTCGGTGTAGATGGTCTTGGTGCCCACTACAGCACGGTCATTTCAGAGCATGAGCGTGCAAGAAATACTATGATCTCATACCATCACTTTTCCGCTGTAGGTCATAATCTCACTGATGTATGCCAGGACCTGGACGATTTTCAGTACAAGGAGACAAGGAAAAGAGATGGAATCTACGTCATCGTGTTCGGTTCTGCTCAACTCTGACCAGCACCTCTCCACAGCATCGTCAACCCACGGCGTGAACTTCCAGCCAAGCTCCTCATAGAAAGCTCGGAAGATGCTGAGGACATGAACAACTTCCGATGTCGACTCATTGTTGAAATCCACGTCCTCGAACTCTGCCACGATATAGTCCACGAGCGGCTGTAGTCGTCGAGGGTCTCTGTTGAAGAACACGTACTGCAGGTGTTGTCAGACTGAGAAAGACAGAGCCCGTCCGTGTAATATACCTCAACGAACGAAGTCCAAACTGGGAGGGTATCGTTACTCTTGTGCGCGAAGATCGACTGCATTTGTGGCTTAAACCACTCCCACAACTTAGCTTGGCTGTTAGTCGGCCAATGCTTCGATCCTGATGAAGTAGAATGTGAAAAGACGTGAGTCAAAATGGAAGTCAACTTAACTAACCAGCAAATATTCCGGCGAGGAATTCGGCAGCGGCACGCTGCTTATTCTTATCCTCATTCGCAATGAGTTCTTCTAACGTGGGTCTTAAAGCCTCGAATGGCTCATATTCGAGCAATTGAACTTCAAGATCCGATTAGCATCGAGCGCCACAGCACTGCAGCGTAACTCACAGATCGACTTCACACATGATGCATTATCTTGGGAGACGACATCCGTGTGGTTCTCCGCAGCATAGTGAATGGCGAGCTTCTTCCAGTAAGAGGGATCTGTTACTATCGTACATATTGCCTCGAATGCCTCTTCGCAATCGGCATTCCAGGGCTTGAACGTTGAGAGGACAGCATCAGGGGCGAGGAAGCAATCTGCTGTAGCTTTCCACACCAGCCATCCGCTGGAAAGCTTGTCTCGTATCAACCTGAAGATCTTGAGCAGCCTAAAAGCAAGAACAAACGTGCAAGGCTTACGGCTCCCTTCTAGCTCGCTCTATGTTAATCGGACGCCTTAATTCCGCTAGCCATTCAGCAGTGAATTCATGAGTAGGCTTTGCGATGGAAACAGTTCGTCGAAGTGGGTTGTGGTTCTGCTCAAGCGCGAGGTCGATCGGACCATTGGACAAGGTGCGCAGCTTGATATACCTAGAGATTTTCATGATCGCACGTTGTGCATACTAATTGCAATGTCAGTGATACAAACGTCAGCCGCAGAGGCGCTGACGCTCACATAACGCTGGAAATGCGGGTAAGCAGCGAGTAGTAACACAAGCATGGTCCGTGGACGTACAATGCTCGAATGAGAATCCAATGTTTTCTCCACGAGGTACCGGGCGTGTGGCGCTTGAACGGCGATATCCCGTCTGACTAGAGTCCTTAGGCACCTGATGGCAACGATAGCATAGCGCCAGTGAGTGCGCGGAGATTCTGCGATCTCAAGCAGTGCATTGGTCTGCATCACGGAATGAATATCGCTCCTGGCGTATTCATTTGACTACTGACCGTGTCTGCGATAGCATCATTCGCCAATGACAGCCTTGAAATACGTTGGTCCCTACACCGTTCCACCATCGCGCTGTCGTCATGGCTTGCCGCAAGAACTGCCTTCATGTCCGCTATTGCTTGTCGCAATCCTGTGTTCTCGATATCGTATACGACAAAACAAGGCTCGTTAAAGCCGTTCAAGCCTGATCGCCTATGAGAAAGTCATTGTACTTATTGATAGGCAGTACTTACATGTGTCCGATAAAGACGCGACATAGTCCTGTATTGAAGGCTGTCAAACGTTTCCAGATCAGATCATGATAGATAATCGTCACGGCGATTATCTCTAACCCTTTCATTATGCTGACAAGCGAACAATCTTTTCACCAGTTCGGTAGTCAATATAGGTTCTATGGAGCAAGTATCAATATACAGGTCTAATGAACGCTGGAAATCCTTACCTCCGATTGCATATTTGGCTATTGACCAAATCACGAGAAGGAATCAATTTGAGTCAAATCCTAGACAAAGAATCGCGACGTACCAAAGGCAGAACAGTTGAGGGTCCAGAGCGCACCCTTCATGCGGTCGTCTTCTGTTCCAGGCTCCAACGCTTTATAGAGCTTTGGCAGGCACCGCCTTCGAATGCCGTCGAAGCTCTGTGGACAATACGATGTGAGATTTTCGATCTGAGCAAAACCAAGGACAATTTACACTGCAGAGGTCTTCCAGAAGGGCCTGGCTTGTTCTATCTCGGATATATCGACGTAAGAAAATGGCTGTTACACTTGTCCCAATGAGACTCACTCTCTGACTGCGAGACGTCAGCAGGAAAGGTAGATCAACGTGGTGGTACATACCGGTCACATAGTGCCACATGGCCCATTCAGTGATGTCGTCAATAAGTTTGTCTTCAAGGGGTCCTCTCCTTCGCTCGATTGAATTCCAGCGCAACCGTGCTGAATGGTAGAACCTGCAGCCACATTATGAAGGAACAAGTACGAAGTTGCTCTGACAATGAACGCACCTCGCTCTGCGAACGTAGAGAGCGCGTGGCCAAACCTTTTGTTTCGCATAATGGCGTGCAACATTCTGCTCCGAGCTGTAACGATCGCTTTGCAAAAAGTAGCTGCACGCAAATGTGAGCAGTCATGGTAATGGTGAGAAGAGGATGCATGACATACTTGTCCCTGTTGTCGCCATAATCGAGCATGTAAGTTCGTATCGAGCGAATCTACCTCAGCATCAACCCCATTCAGTTATTTGATGCAGAAATGATACGCACCAGCATATGCACCGCGTCAACAGTGTTCTCTTCACCCTGTTGACGCAGTGATTCCGAAGCTGAATGTAAGAATTCCCCGAATCGCTGTTTCAAAGAAGTTATGTACTGATGACGAGGGTCAGACAGATCTTGTAGAGCGAAGCCGGCATTCAGAGGTTCAATGCTGGCAATCATTTCGGGCAATTCGTGGCTGATAAAAACGTTAGAGGAGATCGTAAAGACAGCAGACGATAACGTACATTATGTCAGTCGTCTCGATGCCTCTCCGCATATCTGCAGGAGGAATAAACTCCTTCGCAAACGTAGGGATACCTGAGAATGCGTTACGGACGAAGCTGAGATGTCTGTAAGACAACAGTCAATCGTCAGCCACTTAGACCGTGCTGCAGCACTCACCGGCAAAAATCGTTACGCCAGACGGCGTCACGCACAACTCCTAAACAAAAGTCAGGGATGTCACGAAGGAACAGCTTGCTGGTCTTACCAGGTTCCAACAACCCTTCAAGTGTGGTCAAGGTCGGCTCGACCACCTTCCGGAATATCTCAAGTGCGAAATCAGTCTCTTCGTCGTTCGGAACATGCCACGAGAGCTAGTGACACATCAAATATTGTTATCAAGAACAACGGTGAGCTGCATACCTTCACGTCCTCCGGCTTGTACAGTTTACCCCAGTATTGATGATGGTTCCGACGGAACTCTGTGTAGAAACATGTAAGCAGGCACAATTTAGCATGAAAAATGCTTACCTTCGCTAGCCCATTCATCAGGATTGACTAGCTTGTTTTCGAGAGGGTACGTATGCGTCAAGGTGAGCAAGGTGCTGGACAAGAGCTTGCCAGTGTTTGAGAATCCGCGCTTCGAGAGCGTCTTCTCGTGCAGCAACTTGAAAAGGGCAATCAGGTCTTGGCGGTACGGTAGAGCCTGTATATTGGATGATCAGACCACGGACACCTAATGCAATGGTACTACACACCGCTCTACCGTCACTGTTTTACGGCAGAATTATCAGCCGACGCCAGGCAGGCAAGTGCTCTCAGCTTACTTATACATCGATCCTCGAAGTATGGCCAGATCTGGTGAAATGATAAGCACATTTATCCGTGATACCGACATGGAGAGACACACTCCAGTGGAGAGTAGCATCGGACGGAAGAGGAGTCGATGAGGGTGATGTAGTCCGCAAAGAGCTGGCACCGTGTTCCAGTTCAATACGGATGTTGCGGTCGCAGAATGGTACAAATTTTGCGAGGGTCTTCGCTGGATCTGCATTCGCGATACATTCCACAAGTTGATGGATGGCCCGCACGGCGTTGGAGCGCACATTTTCACTTGCGTAGTCAAACACCATGTTCAGAACCATGTCGTATAGTGGCTGAGACAGATGGACGCAGATCTGGCTAAAAGCGCCGCAGACAGCGTCTACCAGCTGGACTGCACAAAGTCAGATGGGATAGTCAAGAGGAACAACTTGACTCAATTTACAGTACCTTCGGTTGCTCCGCCCGCCGTGCCGTCGGCGCCTTCCTCAGGAAGGTTCTCAAAAAGGAGGATTACTCGACGCAAGAATGCAGCCACCCAGTCTGCGAACGTGGTGGACATATTCTTTAGGATAGCATCTTCTTCATCCTTGGTCAATTGCACGTCTTCACTGGATTCAATTCCTTGCGGGAAAGCTGTGACGTCCAAAGATGGTGCGTCTGCAGTAGCGCGTCCCATGTCAACATCAATAGGTTTGTTGCTCTCTTCGCTTGTCATTTCCCCGAATTTGATATACTGGGCTATCTCAACTATGAAGGCGGTCGTACAAAACTACAATCTAACGTGAGCTCATGCGTTGAAAAATAGCATATAGGTAAGATAACTTGCCGTCTTCGGAGGATCGTTCTGATGGAGGTCAAGAGTCAGGTACCACCGATCAAAGAAGTCAGGTTGAAGCATACCAAGTCAATGCCAGGAAGCAGAAGTTCGAGTATAGGCAACAAATGTTTAGCGCCCGCATAATAAACGTGACGGCACACAAGTGCAGGTGCGACAGCTCCTAGTGCTTTGATCACAGCAATCGTGCGTTGCGTCTGAAATCGCATGAGCAATTTCACAGAAAACTAAGGGACAGCACCATTACCTCAACCAACGTTTCAAGTGCAGGTACTGCCCGTTCCAATACAGGATGGAGTATAAGGTCAGGCTCCATAATACTCATTGATTTGAGACAGCTTTGAATATTGCTGACAGTCGAATTGTCCGGTGAGAACATAGCCAGCAGCGCAACCGTCCTGAGACTCTTCACAAGCTCGCGCTTCATATCCCGTGTCAATCGCCGGTGCTGAAGATGCCGTGAGATCAGCTTGGTCATATTACTGATATCGTCCGAACTGACCAGTGGCGTTTTGCAATCAGGCTGCTGTTCCTCATACCAACCTATATGATGACGGGTAAGCCGATATCTGGAAGAAGTGATCATAAATACTCACGTTTGTTGAACTCATACACAATGTGTTTGATGAACGCGCTGAGCTGAAGGAACAAAATATGGTAGTTAATATACTGTATTATGATTTCGGACAACGGCAAATGTGCTATATAGGGTATCAAGGTACTTACATCGGATGTCCAGGTCCCAGAATTCGTAGGATGGAAAAAGCCCTCAGTAGAGGCGATTAACTTCACCAGAGAATCTAGAGCTCTGCACCCGGCGAGATACGTTTTAGCCTTCGAATATACGCCTTTCGCAAGAGATGCAGAGAGATAGTCGCTTAGCCCACCACCGTTGTGCTGAGGGAGAGGTGTTGATGACCTTGACGTCAACGGCGTAAATGCGGGCGTCGGAGTGGTAGATCCAGGGCTCGACATCCCGTCCTGTGCCATTGAGTATACGATGATGCGCGCGAGCGATGCTAGACCGGTAGATCCGTCAAAATTGCCGTCCTTGCACTTCGTTCGACGAACTCACATATTCTACCCGACGGCTTAGGTAATCTGTTAAGCTCGAAGCTGGCCTGGTTGTCCGCATTAGGACCCGTTGTCAGAGAACCAGCGTCGGCGAGCGGAATTTCTGCCAGCACCATGAGCATCGATCATCCTGAGCGGACCAGCTCTGCATCAACCCACCCATGGATGCCAGACATTTGGTCACAATGAAATTCCAGTCATGTTCGGTGAATATACCGACATCTGAATACAAGCCCGACCACTTCCATTTGTTCTCAAGATCCCTCTTGTCCCACTTCGGCCTCCCCTCACCCTCCGACCTCGCATCGTCAGGGATCTCCTCAATTCTGAGAGGATCACTGACCGTCGGGTCCACGTGCATCTCTGCAAGGTTCGCAAAAAACTGCAGCATATGATCGTCAAACATGTACGAGTTGACCGATTCCCAAAGGCGGAACATCATGGGGAGGTAGGATTGAGGATGTGACATGGGAAGAAACGTCAACATGTAATACTGAGAAGCGAGGATAGTCTGCAACAAATATGTCAGCATCCAAAGTGATGGAGAGTTCCGAAGACGCCGTACGCTAAGGCTAGTTCCCTTCATCATGGGCAAGAACGTCGACAGCATTTCGTCTATGGCTACAGGGTGGAAAAACCTCTGTATGTTCTCAGCAATGTACCCCATGTACCAAGATGTTTGGCTGCATCATTGGTAGGTAGAGTTACATCAGGTTATGTGAATGCGAGGGAGAAGAGGGGCGCTCGTCACCTAATCTCGAATTGTCTCCTCGTCATGAACAAATCCTTGCTCAGAATATTGAAAATGGGCTTCCAGGGAAACCTCATATCCCAAATGGACAGCTTATTCTTCGACCTGGTCAGCAAATAGAGGGCATCGCATCCCGCAGCGACAACGTGATTGGGCATGCCCGGCGTTGTGCAGACATTGAAATAAAGCTTCGCGGTGGCAATTCTCTTCTCTTTGGGAATAGGGTATTTCAGCATGAACCAGCTGGACAGCGTCACATATGTCACTCCTCACGTAGAGTGGTCGGATGCGGGCGACGTACTAAGTCAACATGCTGTCCCACTGCAGGAAACCAGGATCATAATCCTTGGCATCCACGCATTGGGTCAAGCGTAATAGAATAAGGTCAAGCAATTCTTGCATCTTCAAGTAGGGCTCAATGGAGTACGGCAGGTCCTTTGCATAATTACGAAGCTTCTTCATGTAGTGATCCGTGGCGTTCATGATGTCGTGTGGGATGCGCGGGGTAGAGCCCGGCCCGGGATCGTCGACGGACAGCGAGGAAAGGTTCAGACCATCCATGTCTTGCAGGCGCATTCAGCAGGGTGTGACGGGTGTGCAAACGAGGAGTCAGATGGAAGAGCAGAGCAGTGATTGAGGAATACAGGGGGAGGCGGGCGCACCGCCGAATGATATAAGAGGCTTGTGGCGCCGCTTGCTGATCGGGACTAAGGTCATCCACATCAATTATCGAGCGCAGTTATAAGGAGACTCGGTTCTGTCGCACGCATTGGTATTCCGATGTCGGCTGCAGCATGCGACGGCATGAGTCGTACGTACAGGTGCATTCTGATGCAATGTTTAGTTATGCACACGGCGAATGGCGTATTAGAAGCACGCTTATTGGTCGCTAGGTCTATAACGCGGAAGCAGAACTCGACGCTACATCTTGCAACTCCTTGATGGCTTTCCGGCGCACCAAGTCCCACACTCCATTCCTCTGTGTTCGCGCATCACCCAATCCATCTCTGATCTCCTCCAGCCTCTCAATGTACTCCCTTCCATCATCCTGGAACTCCCGCAGTGTTGCCAGCGATTTTTCCAAGCTCTCTAGCTGGACATCAGGATGGCTGAAGTGGGCGCCGTCGTAAACAGTTCCGGCCCCCTCCCCATTCATCAATAGGAAGAGTTTGTGCACAACGGGAGTGAGGTCGGGAGCCCGTGCCAGTCTCTCTTCCCTCTCATCATCTTCGTCGTCACCCTCATCTTCCCGTTTCGGCACTACTGAAGCATCTTCTTCACCGTTCACTGGAGCGCCGCCGGCATTCTTCAAAAGCACATTCTGCTGAACCGTCCCAGAAGTCGGCTCGGGGTCTTCACTCATGACTTGCCACAGCCTTCCGAGCGCTCGTCGCAGTGCAGTCTCACCTTCAATGAGACTATTTGTGGCGCTTTCGAGTTCATCAAGCAGACGAGATCGGAAGGAGTTCGTCACTGCCTTGTCCATGACGAAAGAGGTGTATGAGAAGTGCTGCGTGTTCGGTGTAGGATATGGAGCCGTCAAAGGAGGCGAAGGTGATCGCAGATGAGGCAGAACGATTGTCGAAGGTGGCTCTGGTTCCGGCGGAAGCAACAGCTTGATGCGCTTACGTGCACGCTCTTCAGCCTATGCGATCGAGCAATCAAGCGTAGTTCACGCGCATGTTGAGTGACGGTACGTACCTCCCAGTCTTCCAGGCCAGGTGCCCAGGGGGCAATCTTCCCTCTTCGAACCCATCTCGCGTCATGTACCGTTTTACGACCCCAATTACCTTTCGCCGCTGTGTAACGAATGCCGTCGTCTTCGTAAACGTGAGATGGGTAATACCATGCGTTCTTGTCGAAAGACGGTAGGCTCGCGACACTGTGTAAGACACGATACCACATCAGATTTGACAGAATTAGTGCCAGAATGATCATTGCGCTGACCTAGGATCTCCGTATCTCGCCTCTTCGAGCATGACTGCGTTGAAATTCCTCTTTTGCGCGAGCGCTGGCGTTTCTTGCATGCCTGTCGATGCTTGCAGTTCATGTAAAGCAAGATCTGCGGCCATGTAGTGTATGCCTTGGTGGGAGAGAATCGCCCAGGAGCGCTAATGAGGACTCCAGTAACTGTGGCCCGGCGCATGTAAGTGGCAGTCTGCACACCGGCACCGGCAGATGCCGCGACACTCCTATTGGCCAGCCCAGCTCACCACAGTTCTCCTTCGTCTGGCACAGATCTGGCTTGTTCGCTCTTTTGTACAGAGGTAAGTACTTCACGCCTGGCTGCGCGCTGCTTGTTGCATTTTCTAACGGCAAGAACTATGCGCTGCTCGTGTGCTTGTATCATTCGCGTGCCACTCCTGAAGAGCGACCTGGGCGAACTTCACTACATACGGCGTCATCGGACGCGTATATGGCTACCACTGAAACTTTGGATTCGTCCGGGAATGACCAGAATGCGGAAGAAGTCAGTCGAAGGGTTGGGGGACAAGCTGGAGAACCGGAGCATAACTTCTCCTCAAAGGAGCATGTGGCTGTAGAGGTTTTAGAAGGACAGCTGCAGGACGCAAGCCCTGTATCTCCTTCATCGGCAACAGGCTCGACGCCGTACAGGGCGAGTCCAGTCAATGGGCTGCCGCCTGGAGCAACGAACGCTCCTACTTTGAACGTGCCTCATCCCAAGAAGTTCAGCCACAGCAACATCAACAAGAAGTTCTTGGAGAAGACGCTATCCACCTCCTCTCCAGGTTCGAGTTCATCCGTGTCTTCTGCGGCGAAGGTTGGAAGCACAACACGTATGTTGTTCCCTGACCTCAGTAGCTGTATGCGGTCTTTGACACATAAAATGTGCAGCAAAACCTATGGCTCAGACAGCACCTTCTCATTCCCGGCTGGTGACCACCAAGCTAACTGCTTCGCCGCAGCCATCAATGACAACCGGACCAGGATGGTCTCGTCCTCCATCATCTGTGTCCTCTGTGGCTCCTACCCCTTCATCTGCCACTAACCCCAAACCTCCGCCTCTCCTTACCTCAACAACCAATACATCTGCCCCTCAACCAGCCCCCGCAGGGAAAGTCATCCAACCGCAACCGCGTGGAGCGTCTGAGATGTTCGCGACTTCTGTAAAGAAGGATGGTCCCAGTAGACCTGCATGGGGCAACGCGAAGAACGCAGCGACCGTGGTCAGTAAGTTGGATGCAGTAGCTAGTGACTTTCCGACAGCGGCAGAAGTAGCGCAAGGTAAACCTTTGTTCATCCATGCTGTCATGGGCAACACATAATATAGTCCCATTGCAGGTCGAACATCAAGAGCGTTGGAGATCAAGGAAGCTGCTCAAGCCTCCGAAGTTCAGAAGCAAGCATTGGCTGCAGAGGAGGATACATTTCGTGGAGTGCACCTTGATCCTAAGGCGCATCACTGGGATGAGGTAGGCGACGATCGCAGTCAGTATCGCAGTTCTCACCGCATTTTCAGATGGAGGAAGACAACGACGATTTCCTTGGCGGAGTCATCGAGTTCGAAGATGGCCGACAGTACAAAGTCGAGGAGACGGAGATAGTTCAATCAGCATCGATATCCCAAGTCTCCGTGCGGGGGTCTGATGGAGGTTTCGATTCCACACAACATCCAGTGAGCAAAGAGGAAAGATTTGCGGATGACTTCGACAGAAGCTGGCCTCGGTCAAAACACGCCATGGGGTTCCCTCCCCCTCGAGACCAGTACTCAAACGGCGCTCCGTCTTCGGCGTCCTCGCAGTCTGTGCATTCTCCTCAAGAATCGTCTCGCGTGCTATTCAATGAGAGGTCAAATAGGTTAGAGCCCTATTCTAGCGCTCACCCACCTCATCGGCAGAACGGGGCAGGACCGTCCTCCTTCTTCTCACGCAGAGACAGTCGGTCTGACTATGCTGCACCACCTTCGGAGATGAGACCAGGACGTGACGTGCCTCCTCATGTTCACGCACCAGGAGTACAGCTTCTGCAAAAGGAATTCGGACATAATGAATTTCGTCAGGAAAGCCATTACGGACGTTCTCGTGTCGTTGGAGACCACCACGGACCAATTACTACGTCGCCACTTGAGACATCTCGCTTCCGCGACCGAGAATCGCATCGACGAGATTTTGGCGCCCCGCCACCAGCTCTTACGCGCACATCTTCTCAGGGGTTTAAAGGGCGGAGTAGAGATCAGCACACTCCGTATGGCATGCCCGGTGGCATGCCCAGCTTGTCTCCCGGAGGTAGAGATGGCGAAGAGCGTCCCCGTCAAACATCCACAATGGGACCACCTCCCTTGCCGATATCTCCGACGAAAGACAGTGGACCTGGCAGGGAATTACCGCCGCATATGTCGACTCCGCAGAGATCACCAGCTTGCATATCACAGACTACGACTCTCGCTGAAGGTTTGCATCCCAGCCCACTTCCGGTACCGCCCTCTACGTTACCGCCAGTCGAGCCCTCTGCCAACGCTCCAACGCCAGCAGGAACGGAAACTTCACCTCTGCCACCAACGCAGTCGCCCGTAGATATCGATGAGGTGCGCAAAGCAGTCATGCATAACGCCGTTGAGCGCGCCAGAATTCGAAGGCAACAGGAAGAAGAAGAGCGGGAGAAAGAGAAGGAACGTGCTCGCAAAAAAGCGGCGGAGCTTGAGGAGAAAATGAAGACAATGGAGAAGGCCAAGGCGTCACAAGGACCAGAAGCTAACGGGACAGCGGAATCCCAGGTCTGCTTATGATCCATCTCCTGCTTATTGGCGCATGTTAACGATGTCTTCAGGCGATTAATGTCATTGACAGTGCTGTCAAAGGCGCGATTGCTAAGGAGGCAATTGTTCAGGAGGTCACGTCAAACAACGCCGATGCTTCAAGGTCAGGTACCTCTATAGAGCAACCGCCTTTAGCTCGGCCGGCTTTCAATCAGGCAGCGTCATCTAAGGGCACATTTCGTCCTGCACAACCTCGGCAAATGTCATTCGCTTCATCTGTTGCTGGCGAGATGCCCTCACCTGCTGCTGAAGCGCAATCCTGGCGAAGCAGAGGCTCCGGCCGCTCATCACCTCCTCATCATGGTCCGCCAAGTGATGAGCAACTGCTACCACCGCCTCTCATCCATGAGGTAGAGGCCTTACTCGTCAATTCTGACGAGGATCTGGAAGTGGTGGACTTCTCTGAGATGGGCAAGCTGGTCGATGCACATGGTACCGCACTACAGCCTCAAGAGTCATTGCAAACAATTCATCCCTTGTCAATGCGGCCTCTCAGGCCTGTTGCAGCCGATTTCTTTGGAGACAGCAAGGCAGCACATGAGCTAACGTCGGCTGCCATTACTGACGAGAGTACGTGGAGACGTAAGAGTACGCATCAAAATCATTCGCCGGAGCGGCCAGAGATTGTCTTCGCAACGGGACCCAAAGGAGAAAGGCCGATGACCTCATTGGAACAGGCAGACATCCTCAGATTGCCTGGACACTCCCCGGTCTCAAATGCGCATTCAGCGATTGTGCCGTATCTCAGGCATCATGATGACCATGCTCGTCCTCATCCCAATTCCAATCACCTCGCAGCTGCACCTGCCCATCATGTAAACGGGTCGCAACGATCACCATTGACTTCGTCTTATCGGGAGGCACCGATGTCGACATTGGACGACACACTGTCGCGGATCAAGGGTGCGCTGGATGGGATGCATTCTCAAACAGAGCCTGTCAAACATGCCAAATGGTTGCCACCTGCTCTTCGACTCAAGCCTGCACATGATATATGCCTTCCATCGGAAGTCTTTGATGTTACGGGCTTTGAGCCTCCCAAGTCTCCCAAACCCGCTTGGAATGTCTACGGCGTCAAGCTTCCCCATGTCTCTCGTCCTGTGCCGCCTATTTCCAGACAGCAGCTTCGGTCTTCGCAAAATACTTCGGCTTCCAGTTGGCCAGAGATTTATTCATGGAATTCCTCTGCTGCCGGTGTTCGACGACGTGGTTTGTCGATCAACGATATATTATTCCGTGAGCCTTTCACATACAAAAGAAGTCCACGATACACAGTGAGGCTACCACAGAGGCGATATGCCCTTCGGCCGGTCATCGAAGAAGCCATTAGCCCCGTTGTGAATCTGCCTTCTAAGCCGTCTGGTGTAAGACCTACCTCTGCAAATACACAGATGCCAGACGACTCGCAACGGGGTGAATCAATGCAGACTTCCTTCGTGGAGGTCCAGCCCCCGGATGCTTTCTCTCAGTACACACTGGATACTATTAGCCGGTCGCCTCCTCCCGAGCTGCTTTCTGGTTTACCTCATACAGCATCTCTTCCCAAAGGAGAGGCGGTATCCAGGTCCGCAGTTGTTGATGCTCCCGTGAGGTCACGGTCACAACCCAAGATGCCTGTTGGTTCTGACGTTGCTTTCTACCGTGATGCGAGAGTTGATTATCGTGCGCAGCCAGAAACGACAGTAAACTTCATTGTGACCAGTGAACTGGAAGACGAACGTTCGAATGCGACAGAGGCGGCTGTGTCGTTGAATGGCCTTCCTGGGCCTTCGGAGGACGGCCACCCTGAACCTCTTGCAAATCATGTCCCTGACAAGGCAGAAGGCAGCAAAAGTGAACAGGAGAAGACTACGCTCCCTGTAAGTTTGGACGACTGTGCTGTAGCGTTCTCTTCGCTGATAACGTTGCAGCCTGAGCGAGCGGTCATCACTCCCCCTCCTAGCAATGCAAATGGCTTGCTCAATAAATTGCCAAGAACATCCAAGGACTCATCGCGGAGAGTTCCAGACCGTGAACATCTGAAGGCAGTCTGGTCACAAACATCCGATAAGGCGGATGTGCCATCGGTAAACTCTCTAAAGGGCATTGCAGATGACCTAACAGCTGTACCATTCACTTTGCATGAGGTGAAGTCTGAAGATGGTGAGACGCCTCCCCCTTCTGGTTCGGGGCCGTCGTCGAGGATGTCGTCACACGACGTTATACGTGCCTTCCAGCAAGTGCCTTCACCAACCGTGACGTCTCCATCAAGAAGTACGACTTTACCTCCACCAATAGGGTCACCACCGAACGGCCAGGCGGCGCGCTTGCCATATGCATATGCCCCCATGCCGACAGGAGGCCTACGGCCAACATACGGGTATCCCATGATGAGTCAGACTCCCAGTCCGACCATCATGTACCCTCCGCAGATGGCACCTAGTCCGGTACCTAGGCCAATGTTAGTCAACGGTCCACCTTCCCCATATGCTCAGCCAATTTGGATGCCAGTGCAAGGGCCAACTGCTCCTCCGCAACCGGCCACGATGATGCGTCCGATTCCGTCGCCTTACCCTGCGCAGCTTCTACCTTACCCTTCACATGGTGGGGCAGTTCCGGTTTACGGTCCTCCACTCAACATGCAGGGCGCATCTACTCAATCAAACGGTATCCAGGGTCGAGCTAGCATGCCCATGATGAGTCCTGGATTGCAACCGGCCATTCCTAATCTTCCGATGTATGGCAGTAGTCCCGTTCTCATGCATTCGCCATCGATGTTACCAATGCCGCCAGCTTATGCTGGTGTGCTCCCCAACCGGGGACAAGGACGGGAACATGCTCCGGGAATGCCAGCAATGTCTCCGTCCATGAATCATCACCCGCCACCTGCCGGTTCATACGGTGTTGCGCCGAACTCCTATTCACGTCCATCGTGGTGACACGCACTCATATCCAGGTTTGTCTTCTTACGGTTGCTGCTACTGTGCCGTGTCCTTTGCGCGCGACCTGTATATACTCTGTTTTCTTGCTCATCGTTAAACGCTGTCGTTGCATAAGTTATCCGTATTACAAGCAATCAGGACTAGTCGGGACCATCTTCATTAAGCATGAGCCAATCGAACAGCGTTCTCCGCTGCTTCGTCTAGTTCATCAAATGGTATGATCTTCAGGCCCGAGTCACGGATCATCCTGGAAGGAGCCCTTGAGACACAGAAAAGCGAGATCTTGGCGTCACTCACTGTTTCGCCTCTGTCTCCTTCGTCCCCTTCAAACGGACGACCAAGGGTATGTGCAGGCCAAGCTCTTTGGCTGCTTGAATGACGCCCTCAGCGATGTAATCACAACGCATGATGCCTGGTATTAAAGACTTCAGTCCTGCAGATTGATAAGCCACGCTTGAGATTTTGGCGTACCGCCGAAGATGTTGATGAAAATGCTCTTGACCGCGGCGTCAGCGAAAAGGATCTCGAATGCTTTCTTCACAGTCTCCGGCGTAGCACCCCTTGGATCGGTCACTACCGTCTGTCATTCCGAAGAACAGATCACTCACCCGCCCACATCAAGGAAGTTAGCAGGATTGCCTCCATGCAGTGCTAGGACATCCATAGTGGCCATAGCCAATCCAGCGCCGTTCACCAGGCAGCCAATGTTGCCATCGAGCTTGATGAAGTTAAGGTTAGCCTTTTGGGCCTCAACCTCCGAGGGCTCTTCCTGAGTGATATCACGGAGCGCGAAAATATCCTTCTGACGGAACTCAGCGTTGTCATCAAAACCGAGCTTGGCATCCATGCTTCGGCACCGCGATAAGCATCTCAGAATAGCTGACAAGGTTGGCTAAACCTACCAGAGAACATGACCATCCGCCGTTTCACCCAGCGGGTTGATCTCAATCTGCGTCGCATCTTTGTCCTTGAATACCTTATACAGGTTTATGAAGATCTCGGCAGCTTCATCCTCAGCAGCCTCAGTCTTGAATCCCAGCTTCTTGGCTACTCCCAAAGCCTCGGCTTTGCTGAGACCCCTCGAGAAGTGGATCGGAGTGGTGATGATAGCACTTGGGTCCTTCGCGGCGACTTCCTCGATGTTCATGCCTCCCTGGGATGACACAACTAATACGGGACCTTCTGTAACACGATCATTGAGAACCGCGACGTAATACTCATGTGCAGCATCTCGACGCTCAGCCAGCATCACCTAAACGGCGTATGCGCTCAATCGCGGTAGAGGATGTAGGTGAGAAACAACGCACCGCATTGCAGATGCGGCCTGCAGCACCAGTCTGCTTGGTTATAAGCTTCGCGCCAAGCATCTTGCCAGCAAACTCCTTCGCCTGTTCAGGACTGCCATACTATGAGTCGACTCGTTGACCCCACGATGAACATGCGTACCTCTCCACCACATGCACTCCACCTTGGAAGCCATTGTCAAACTTGCCTTTGCCTCTTCCGCCAGCCAGCACTTGAGCCTTGATCACACAGCCGGTCTTTCCTTTGGCGACCTGTCAGAGACGTATACACAATGCATAGGATGCCTCATACCGAATCGCTTGGCAGCCTCGAATGCCTCATCGGCCGAGTGGGCAGGTATGCTTTTTGGTGTCGGGACGCCGTACTGTGACGACAACGTGATAACGCGTGAGACTTGTTCAACGTACACCAGCAATTCTACTTACAGAATTCAACAACTTCACCGACTGGTACTCATGGATGGATAGGTAGCGCCTCTGACCCGCAGACGCGAACTGCACCCCCCGTTTATAACGAATCACGACCAGATAGACACATGTATCTCACCCGAGCTACGGATCCTGCATTTCTGAGCGACCTAAGCATGGCAGCGAGAGCGGACTATGGGCAAGGTGGACAATCAGACTAAGAAGCGGGGCGCCGGTGTTGTGGGGTTAAGAGAGAAAGCGGGGTGCGGCGTTTGCTTGTGGGCAGTGAAATGACCCCGCTCCGACGGGTTGCCGTTCCCGCCTGTACATACGCCACCAAGACAGTTCACAGCAAACATTCTCGTTGCAAAGGTGTTGAAATTGCATTAATTTACCCGTTGAGCGAGTAACGTCCATTTTGCACCTTTTGTCGGCATTTATTTGCAGCAAGCTGCTCTTAGTGATTTACAAGTGGTCGGACATCGCAACGCGGAGAAGTCAAAGAAAATCCCCACATTTTCTCATCATAAGAATCGGGTAGCTTCTGTGCAACGGCTTCAGCCACATCCCTGATACTCTTTCGCTAACACATGTCGCGTGCCTTTCGGCTCTCTACGTCCTAGTGGCCCTCGGAGGGTCACGATGTAAAGTACCGTCGTAATATGGAATATCTCGCAGGCCGCGACGCTCTCGGCCACCAAAGGGTCTCGAGCGTCACAGAGGTGTTCGCTTAGTCAGCAGCATGTTTTCCTTTGCAACCTCGGACGCCGTGTCTCCCTTCGACCGGAACGATGACGACGGTTAGCAGAGTTCTGTGGCTCTTCCTGTCTCTCACCCGCCATTCTCACAGCAGCGTGGCCATGGGCTTGGTTCTGGGAGAAGGATAACGTGTCCTCGCTTTGAGTTCGGGCTGCTTACTGTTGAGTTGTCCGAAATTGTGCAGAGGAACATCGCGACTATCACTGTCTGGCTGTACATACAGTAATCTACATCTCCGAATTCATGCTATCGTTTGTTCAGACACCGTGGTCATTCTGATGTGACTGTTCGCGACTCGTTGCATTCGCGTTGCAGCCTCCACTTGGTTGTGACACATACGTCCACGTCGCTCTGGAACTCATGCAAAGCGGCCTTTGTGCTTATAGCTCGTCCACCTTGCCCCTTCTATATCGCCTCTGCCTACAATTCATATGAGTGCCGCCAGTGATTCTGGTGCTGAGCGAACGATTGACGAGGCGACGGCCTTGGCAAGGCTGCTCGAGGTCTCCCGGATCGTACTCCAACAGGCCGTCGATCTTGTGGCCAGCTCATTGAGTACAAACGAGCAACTCACCTATACATCCAAATTCATACCTGGGTCTACGATAGGTATGTTCTGTGAGTCATGGCGTGTGCATTCATTCTGAACGTGTCACTTGCAAGGCAAACATCTAAGACACGCAAGAGATCACTTCGTCCTTCTCATGGATGCTATCGCTTCGCCTCCACCTCATGTTCTCAATTACGACTCCAGATCTCGTAACACGCCCATGGAGAGTAGCCGAGAAGCCGCTCTGGAAGCATTGATAACCACCATAGGCAGGCTGGAGAGGGTTGTCCCGACTTCCAGAATGGACGAACAGATAACCCTGCATGCGGTTACGCCCTACCCTCAAATAATGCAAACAACGTTTGGGAGAGAGGTCAAATCCTTCACTTCTTGAAAGCATCTCCAGCTCATTTATCCTCGCCCGCCATGCAGTTGTGGTTCACTGGCCTACATGCGATCCATCATTGGTCCATGGTGAGCTTTGTTATGATGTGTGCGAACATGGCTCTGATTCCAGAGCTAGGTCCGTGTTATTTCCGGTGAACTAGTCCGTCCAGCGTTGCTTGTGGTCTCTGATACTGTTCGACTGAGCATCCTGTTCATAGGGCATTCAGTTGGAGCCCTCATTCGGGTTTGCACCGTCAACGCTGGTTTACAACGGCTCCCATGCTCCGCTGGGCAAGCCAAAGATGTAGTAGTAATGATTTCTTCTGTCGTAATGCCCGGCCTTGCTCGTCTAGCGCTATACGTTTGCTATCGGATTGTTGTTCTCCATAGTGCCCTCGCGACAAGGAAACTATTCAATGTCATTGCAGGGAATGCGTTGACAATGAGTTGCAAAGGAGTCCCTTCGAGTAGTAACAGATGACAAAGGTGTATCTAGCGCCTTTCCTCCATCTTGATATATGTGCCAAACCATCTTCTCAAGAGTTAAATAACGATGTATCACCCATATTAGTCTCGGTTCCAGACGTTATAGGTGCTACTGTGCCGTGGTGGCTGCGCCACGGGAAGAGCCGGGCGGAGATCGAAGAACCGAAACGCGCATACGCACTATAACGTCTGGTAGGTTTGAATAGGACGGGTGTAGGTAAAGGCCCACCCAGCCACAGCAGGCCTCATGCTTGCCCCAAAAATTCTTATATCATTTAAGGATTGAGTGAAAGCTACTGGACTGAAATTTTGAATATTCCTGCGTTTGAGAGAGGTGGTAGGTGAAGCGGCATATGAGGCGGGCGAGCGCGCATCAGCTACCACAATCGGATGCCACCGCCGGCCACCGCACGCGCTGTGTGGGTTCACCTTGGTCAAAAGCTGGTCTAATTGATGCAGGCACTGTCATTTCAACTTATGTATGCACATTAATACAATAGTGAAAAGCACAAGCATAAATGAGGATGCTCGTGCGGAGGGAGGGGTGTGAGGGAGGGGTGGCCCTTACCTACACCCGCCCTACCCAAACCTACCAGACCTTCTGTACCGATGCTTGCTTTCGTTTTTTCGATCTCCGATCGGCTGTTTCCGTGAGGTACAGAAGGTCTGGGAACGAGACTACACCCATATCATAAAGCATAGAAATGTGCAGGTTTCTGTTCCCTTTCGCGCTTAAGGAATCGGTAGTTGTGTGACATTTTCTGTTAGGATCGGAGGTTATTGCCAAACATGGACAACTTCCGCGGCGTCCTTCAGGACTTGGGCGCTTATATCTTATCCTTTGGACCGACTCGACCGCCACCACATCTAATCCACAGCTTTCACCATGGCACCTGAAATGATCCCTCTTGAAGGAGAGACAAACAAAAAACGCGTGGTATGTTTATTCCCAATTTCTCGAACTATTAAAAAGGTACAGACATACGCTTACTATAGCCGTACGTTCCTCACAGTGCTACTTCTTCGATTCCGATGTTAGTGGATTCCATTATGGCCCTGGACATCCGTAAGTTTCACATTGTACTAGCATCTTTAATTGGTGACCCTTTACTGCATATGAAACAGCATGAAACCCACACGCATACGGATGTGCCATTCTCTCGTCATGAACTATGGCCTCTACAAGAAAATGGAGATATTTGTATGTCTCGCTCTCACAAGCCGACAATTTATTTTAATCATCAGAATCATAACAGCGCGCGAAACCTGCCACAAAACGAGAGATGACCCAATTTCACTCAGATGAATACGTTGACTTCCTTAGCCGCATAACCCCCAGTAACATGAACAACTTCACGAAGGAGCAACACAAATGTTTGTTGTGAATCCTTTCGACGTTGCGATGTTCATTGTAGGTTTTTCGCGCAGACAACGTCGGAGATGACTGTCCAGTGTTTGATGGGCTGTTTGAATACTGCTCCATCTCGGCCGGAGGCTCGATGGGTATGGCGTTATATTGATGTCATGCGCTGTGACCATCCGCATTTACATGTAATCTCAGAGGGTGCTGCTCGCCTGAGCCGAGACAAGTGCGACATTGCAGTCAACTGGGCAGGTGGTCTCCACCATGCGAAGAAGAGCGAAGCAAGCGGATTCTGCTATGTGAATGGTACGGTGATCTGTCAGTTATGTTTCAGGTCATTTTCACACATCGCCTCCAGACATCGTCTTGGGCGTTCTCGAGCTACTACGGTGCGCCAGTCCCATGGTCACACGCGCTGTATATGAACTAAATGCTATTGAAATGCTCAGATACCATACCAGGGTTCTCTATATCGATATAGATGTGCATCACGGGGACGGCGTAGAAGAAGCATTCTACACAACAGACCGTGTCATGACTTGCAGCTTCCACAAGTACGGAGAATACTTCCCCGGAACCGGCGAACTGAGGGTGTGTGCTTCTTTTCTCCTGCGGTAGCATCTAAGCACTCAAATGTTGTGAAGGACGTTGGCATCGGGAAGGGGAAGTACTATGCGCTTAACTTCCCGCTGCGCGATGGTGTTACAGATGAAAACTACAGGAGCGTCTTTGAGCCTGTAATTCTATTCGTCACTTATAGCCACACTTTGATGACTGACGGGCGATATAGGTCATCCGACAAGTTATGCAATCATACGATCCTGGAGCAGTTGTTCTGCAATGTGGCACGGATTCTCTGTCAGGCGATAAGCTAGGCTGCTTGAACCTGTCGATGCGAGGTATTGGAGCAAATCAAACCCTCAATCGATCTGGCTGACGTCCCACAGGCCATGCAAACTGCGTTAAGTTCGTCAAGTCGTTTAACAAACCTCTTCTTTTGGTCGGTGGTGGTGGCTACACCATGCGTAATGTTAGCCGATGTTGGGCCTACGAGACGGGTTTGGCGGCTGGCGTTCAATTGGGTTCAGGTAGACTTCATCACGAAACGACATCGTTTGCGGACTCATTGTCGATTACTAGAAATTCCAATGAACGAGTACTACGAGTACTTCGGGCCAGATTATGAGCTCGACGTCAAGTCATCGAACATGGAGGACATGAATACCCCAGGGTACCTCGATCGCGTGAAGAATATCGTGTTAGAACACCTACGACATGTAGGCGGACCACCGAGTGTACAAATGCAAGGTACATCTCAAGCTTGAATATCGCGGTCAATTGTATGCGTGCTAATAATAAGCACAGACGTCCCACGAATGCCCATAGATGAAATGGTGGAAGATCTGAACGAAGATGAGGATATGATCTCGCAAGATGAGCGACGTCCACAGAAGATGCTAGACTCAAGGCGTCAAGCAGATGGCGAACTCTCTGATTCCGATGACGAAGGAGAGGGAGGTAGACGGGACCATGCCAATCATCGCGAGTCTGATAGCGGAGGTTCAGCAACTGGACGCCGTTTCGGAGCTCCTGTGGGCATCATGACCACCGGCTCGACGCATGGTGTTGGGCCAAGCGTGGCACCGCCGGTGCCTGGAGGAGTGGCTCCGCCCAGCGTCAGAGCCAGCTCCTCAGGACAGTCGGATATGGACATCGACGATGATTCCTCCGTGGGAGCACCGAGTGTCGCGGGAAGAGCTCGATCAAAATCGAAGCCACCGGCCGCGGGCCCTTCTGGTACTAATGGTACCACTGAGGACCAGCCTATGCCTGACGCTGGCCCGTCCTAGCAGCAACCTCGATCACCCGCTATAACTGTATAATTTCTTCTTTTGCGGTTCTTCAGGGTGGCGGGATCCAGGAGCATCTACCCACATGATGATGGTCCTGCCTTTGTACAGTTGCACATTCAGTCGTCTCTACTATATTATGTACTTCCGGACGCTATAAGATACACGACATTCACCATCCTTTCTTAATTCTCGTATGGGCGCCAGAGGAATGGTATATAATGCTTGTCGAGCTCATTCTTGGATCGGGTGTGCGCCGCGACGCCGAGCATCATGCGTGACGCGGCTGTGGCTGTGCCACTGACAACGTGACCGCGACATGGCGGAGGCGCACATCGGCTTACGTGAAGTCTACTGTCTGACTCTTACCCGCCCTGCTTGTGCTACTTTCGCTTTCGGTGGATACATGCGATTGATTCGGTTCTTCCAGCAGCATGTCAGAACTTCGTGACAATGCTCGAAGACTTAAAACCCCTCCACCGCGTCCGCCAACTGATTTGGAGCTAACTCCAGAGCAGGTGAAGCGAATAGAGATAAACAGACTTAAAGGTATGTCAGCACATCTCAAGGATCTTCATTCTTATTCAACGCCCACGAGACAGCGAAGGCTAAGCAGCGGGATCGTGAACTCGAAGCATCAAGCTCATCCACTCCTAATGCTAACAACAAGCGGCCTTTAACCGTCATCTCTGCGTCCTCGAGCTCGCCAACGGCTCCTAAATCTGAGCCAAAGCTGAAGCGTGATTCGCGTCTCGGGAAGTACTTTGAGTATGATCTGTCCAAGATGGTCAACTCGAAAGGCGGGTTCCTGGTCGAAAATGACAAGGAAGTCGATGGCGAGCTAAGAGCGAAAGAAAAGGAGCGCGAGAGGGAAAGGGCTATGCAGAGCTTGGATCCTCGTACGTTATCCGTGTATCTGGCGTCCTTCCGTCGCTTAAACTGCTCCTGAAGCTATATTCTTGGATCCCAATCTCAACCCGAAATGTCAAGAATGTCAATCGCTAGACATAGACCAGACATTCAAGAAGGTCTTCGGTTGCTTGGTTTGTAACAGTTGTAAGAATGCAAAGCCTGAGAGGTATAGTCTTCTGACGAAGACGGAGTGCAAAGAGGTACGATGGGTAATTTGTAAGCAGAGCCTGCCGTTGATTTCGCACATCTACAATCAGGACTATCTCTTGACGGACGGTAAGGTCTGCTGGTTTCTTGGTGGCCTTCTGATTCACAGACTTGACCAGCGGAGCTACGTGATCAAGAAGCCATGCCGCATCTGCTTAAAGCGAATCCGCACAAGTCGACATTTGCGAACATGATGTTATTCCTGCGATATCAAGTGGAGGAGTTTGCCTGGAAAAAGTGGGGCTCTCCAGAAGCCTTAGATGCCGAGTATGAACGGCGAGCAGCGGAGAAGAAGAAGAAGAAGAATAAGAAATTTGAGGCAGGGTTGAAGGAGCTTCGAAGGCGGACACGAGAGACTGTATGGCAGAAGAGACAAGACCAGGAGCATAAGCATGTCTTCGGTGTTGTAGAGAAAGGGCGAGACGGTGTTGGCAAACAAGTCTGTCACGAGTGTGGGTTTAGCATTGACGTAGAAGAGTTGTGAGGTTATTTCCCATGCGGATGCCATGTAGACCCATTGCTATAGTACCCCGCATTTGGTTCACCATGCATAGATCGATTGATACTTGATGGCCATCCAGCGCTTCCCGGTAATGTCGGGAACCACTACATTGCGCATGATTGCCGTTTCCTGTTGCCCAAAGGGGCGCGAGTACATATAATGGGGACTGCAACGCCGACCTCGTCCCCATCTGCATTGTCTTTGCTCACGGTGCTGCTTGCTTGCTTATTCTGCAAAATCTACAACGCTTCCGAATCGCACACATGGCCGAGGTAAACGACGGACAAGAGGAGCATGAACAGATCGCGACATCTTTGGAGGTAGAGCAGTTGGACACGAACCTGTTTCGCTCCAAGTCTCTCTGGCTCCCGGTTCGTTCTAGAGGTGTCTACGGAGGGCAAGTGATATCGCAAGCGCTCGTGTCTGCTACGCAGTGCGTGGATCCGGCATATTCGCTGCATGTGAGTGCGCTCATCTTTTGAGATGCTCTGCAATATCCTCATACTCAATGTAGTCTTTGCATGTAAGTGCCCGTCATTAGCCTACATCCGTCGCGTAATGTGTGTTGTCTATATAGTGTTACTTCCTGCTCAGCGCATCTCCGGCTGTTCCTATCGTGTACCATGTAGGACGAGCGCGAGATGGTCGCTCCTACGCTACGCGGACTGTCAAGGCGAAACAGCGCGGGCGGACTGTTTTTGTGATGCTATGTTCCTTCCAGCGTCCTGAGCCAGGCCAGCCGTTCCATCAGCAACCCATGCCCCCGAACGTCCCCAGCCCGGATGCATGCGACGACGTTGAAGGATACTACGAACGGATGCTTCGGTATGAGGGTCTCGAGCCAAGGCTGAAGCAATATGCAGAAGAGTATATTGAGGTGAGCTGCGGAGGAATCTACTTTGATTTCACGAGAACATTGCTCTTAAGCAGTTATCATGCTGCGTTAGGAACGTAGAAGAAGCCCCATAGCAGTGAAGGCCGCTGGCCGCATCAATACGTCCGACGGGGCGCTGGTGTACATGTGGTGGTTCAAGGCGAGGAACATCCCGAAATACGACGCTCCGTTCCAGAAGGTTGCTATTTCAATACACTTGTTGCAATGTTGTTAACCTTATCGGTGCACAGTGCATTCTGGCATACATATCAGACTCCCAGTTGTACTTGCTTTTCGCGACCTAGACAATTGCTTGTTGCTGAGGAGCGCATGTTTCTATAGCATCGGCGTCGTCCGCCGTACGCTTGGTCTGAATGGTCACTATGAGGGACCGAAACAATTGGTGATGTTGGTAAGCACCGACGTCTAGACAATCCTTCTTCAAGGGCGCTCACGAGATTATTGTAGACCTCTCTTGACCATACTATCTGGTTCTACGAGTGAGGCTTCTCTTGTGCAAATGAGAAATTGCGAAAACTGACAACATAACAGCGATTCATTTGATTGCGGGGACTGGCTGCTATACGTCGTACGTGTTCTCCAGGTTTGATATTTCTCTGTCAACACCCAATGCGTCGCACGCCAGGTGGAATCTCCTCGCTCAGGTAACGGACGCGGGGTTGTGCATGGTCGGGTAAGCAGCCACTGTGGCGTTCCCCTGCGGTATCACTAACACGCGTTGCAGTTATATACCCGCAGTGGTACGTTGGTCGCAGTGACTTCACAGGAAGGTGTAGTTCGTGCGCGCGGTAACGCACCTGCGAAGACCAGTGATGACGTCAAAGCAAAGCTTTAGACAAACCGCCTTCCTATAGAGCACTTCATATTGAAGGTATTGAAGGCTGGGTCCCTACATATGTTATCCGGGAACGCTCCATACACTTAGTTCCTACGTCCATAATTAGAACGCGTAGGGTCATATGGGATAGCAAAGCCATATGCAGAACCTATGTTCCGTTACCATCTTCTGAGATCTTCTGAATTGTCGCATAAACCGAGTCGATGTGAAAGAGTAATCAGAACAGTGGGAGAACGAACTGCATTACAATACACTATCCACAGATGATGGGATACGTGAATGTGCGAAAGCGCGACGAAAGAGATATAGATGCAAGGAACCCAGATGCTATGTGCTAGTGCGATACAAGGCTGACGGAGAGATGATGTGTCGAACGGACAGAAACTCTCAGTTCTTCCGACGGTACGAGCTCCCTGGAGAACGCGTCAGAACAGCGGATGTACCGGACGAAAGGAAGGTACGCACCCTCTGTCAATCTCGCTTTTCCACCGGTGGGTTGGCAAAGCACTGTCCCGCATGCTCCACAGAGGACAACAGTTTGCGCATGCGAGAAAACAGTCGTAATGGCGAAGCAGCCTTATATGATACCGACCGAGCTGAGTAACCACCTCTGACAAAATCTAGTGCTTCAGTACTCACCAGGGCACTTCACATCCATGAAGTACGAGTTGGGAGACTGAACAAGGCGCTTGAGCTTGTGTCTCCTCTTCTCCGATTCAGCAGAAGGATTGAGCAGATCGACAGCAAGAGTCTATCGTGGAGGTTCAATTGATGTAAGCTCATGAGTGAGCCCACTGAGCGTGAACAGTCTACACACCATTTTGGAGGTTGAGGAGAAGCAGAAAAGTGAAGGTCAGCGTCGTCTGAGGAGCGAAGTGTTCGCGCGACCTGGGATCGACCTTGTGTGGATGAGAGCACAAAATAAGGTTTAGTATAGCTGACTTAGTGTTCGGCGGACCTTGAATCCACGGGGCCGAGTGGCTGAGCTGTGGCTGCTCTGAGTCGATGCGCTGAGTCCTGGACGTCGGACTCCTGCTAATTGAGTTCTCACTATTGACTTGTGGTTCTTCGTCTCGTGCCGAGCTGTTGGCATCGATAACGTTGTATCTGTGTCTATGGCTCTGATTTTCAGCTCGCTGATCGGGGATGAGTACTTTCTGTGTCACTCTGGCATCAGCGAATTGCAATCCTTCCTTCAAGAATCGCGAAAGCCTTCGCAGAGCAGTCGCAGCACCACAGTCAGACGTGCGCAGCGTAGTCGCTTGCACCGCCTCAGTGACCAACTCTACCTTGTTGCCAATTCTTCGGACTCGGAGCAGCTTCTCAAAACAAGACCGCAATTAACCCATTCTGATGCATCACCCCGACTTCGGATACGCATTTTTGACGCCATGCTCTGGGCCTTCTGACAACGGCTATGCTGTGACAGTCCGATATCAGCCCTGGTTATAATAACCCATGAAGTTCATAGCTGGGCCACACAATAGCATGCGATGTCTGGTGAAACCCATCAGATTCTCGAAGCGAAACTTGCTCCCGCAGTTTATTGCATAGCATCAGACAGAATAACAAGAAATTCAGGGAAGATAGGAACTGGAATATGGAGAGGTCGTTGCAATTGTTCTCGAATGGTTTTCATTATGGATTTTGCCGACGACACACACGCCACGTGGAGTAGCGCTTCGGTATCAAAGCCATTGTGAACGGAAAAGGCAAGTATGGACGGGGGTCCTTTTGTTACAAGGCTTTTTATTGTTCTCGTCCTCGCTACGCGCCGAGTCGCTCTGACATGACCATTGTGCTCGCCAGACGCGCTCAGAAGGAACTGTGGAATATAAGTATTGGGTGAAGTGCCGAGGTGGTCTCCCCAACCCAGGCTTGGTTCCAGTTTTCTCTCTCTGATCTCATTGCTCCCCATCCAGCTACTTGTCAGTTAGGTGAGTCCACAAACACTACAGTCCATAAGCAGTACCTGACATCTTGCACAGACTTTATTTCCGCGTCGTGCCGCACGCTCTGTTAAGGACCGCACGAACTTCCCGGACGTCTCACCTTGCATCTCTGCATCGCATCTCTCTGCTTCAGCGTGTTTATCTCCGCATCTCCATCGCAGGTCGATATACTTCGCCAGACTGCCGTCACTCTCTCGTAATCGCCACACTCACTCCTTTATCCAACTTCATCATTCATTACAATGGCTTCCTCGACCGCTGCTTCCGGCTCACTCTCGGTCACTCTCGCTCAGGCCATCGCGTACCTCACACGCCCGCTCATCGTGAGCTACTCCGCCACGACTATCATCAAGCTGCAACTTGCATTGGAGACGAACTTGATTGCTCAGTTCGTGTCTTCCTGGGTCCCGGCTGAGCCGCTTCGTGGCTCTGGCCGGCGCTGCCTCACATTGTCGCCCAATGCTGTCCCTCCACGCGCCATCCACAATGCTTGCAAGGCTGCGAACGTCGAGTGGTCGGAGTGGATTGCGCTCCTCGGGGGGCTGGAGTTTGACCTCTTCATCGACCCAGGGTGCATATCGGTACGCTTCGGTAGCTGGGATTCTGGGAGAGTGAGCAAATATTTCGTCGTTTGGTCGGAGGATTCTGTCGCAGTGTCAGAAGAGATTTATCCACCACGGGCTGCTCTTCCTGTGGCGTCTGGCAAGACGCTCGCACAGCAATTGTCGGAGACGGACCAGGACGAGGATGAACAACTGTTCGCAATGATTGCCGATGAGGTCCGCGAACCCACATGGATGACTCCCATTGCCACCGAGTTCCCTACTGTCCCGTCCCCTCCACGCTCCACAATGTCCTCCCCTGTCTCTATCCGCTCGGTCTCTTCGAGGCATTCGCGTTGCAGCTCGTGCACCTCGAGCTCTGGCTTCTCATTCTCTTCAAACGGCACCTTCGACTCGACTCGTTCCGCGACGACCGTCTCGTCGCGTTCGACATCTCCTACGGACGAGCAAGCGAAGACCAAGCTTTCCCGCCGTGAGAGAGCCAGGCAGGCGCGTGTCTTCATTGACACCTCAAAGACCGAGGTGACGAATTACGATGGCGGCAAGACAACTGTTCTAACGGGGGGCGTAATGCTCGGCGCTGGACGCCCTGCTACCCAGGTCAAGCCCGCGACGCACAAGAAGACGAACAGCTCGTGCTCCGACTGGCGCTCCTCCCGTGCATAAGCACTTATCCTCTGCCACGAGTGCCACTCTCGACGCTGATTCTGAAACGACTCCGTCGACGCGAAGGTTCGCGCCTGTCAGCATGCCTGTCACGAAAAATAGCACGAGGAATACCGCATACATTCGCCTTACTCTACATCGCAGTCGCATTTTTGTATCATCTTCGTAGCATTCTCCATTCTCACTGACTCGTTCAACTGTAGCTTCTATCTGCTGTGTCGGACACTGGATAGCCTAGGCATGCTATAATCTATAATCACTCTTGTATTCGCGTTTCGCATTCACCGCTCCACTGTGCATTTTTGTACCTATTGTACTATATTGTCTCTCACTGTATAACAGAGCTGGATTGGGGAAGCATTTTCATTCATCGTTAGGCTATCCGCCGTTTGCTCAGTAAGACTACTAATGGTGAAGCTTAAGACATGGACGCCGCGCGTGTACATATATCATGACTCATACTGGTCACGTGTTTGTCATAGGACGTAAAAGGGAATTTCACCGTACTAAACTGGATTATACAGTCACTCCTACGGAAGCCGTGACAGCGGGGTCATAGCGTGATTATCAGGTATGTGATTGGTCGTTACTGCGCGCTTAGCGTAACGGAGGCGCGTCAGTGGCCGGACAGGCCCTAAGACTCCGCTGATTGGTTGTCTGCCATAAGAGGCGTATGTCGTCAGTGGGTTAAGATGATACAGGATCCGTGGAGCGCGTCGAAATTTGAGAGAACGGAGCAGTAATGTCGCTGTCTTTCATATATTATAAATCCCCAATTGCAGTTTCATTCCCTTCCCACTGCCTCGCGCAACATCCCCTCTTTCCATCCGCTATTTCCCTATTTCACAATTTCTCCATCGCACGCCATGACCACAGCCCAGGCCGACATGCACGACGTGCCGTCCGTCGAAACACAGAGGCAGCGTTACTCGCGCCAACTCGCAGAATATACCCTCCTGCAATGGAATATCGCTCGACAGGCGTTGGAGAGAACAAAGACGCAAGACAAGCCCTCCTCTCCGTCGGACCGATCCTCGGAGTCTTCATCGAGAGATCATGAAAGGTTCTCCCGGACATCGCAAGGTCAGACTATCATCTGCATCGTTGTAGGACAACAGGGATGACCAACGCCGTTGTAGGTATACAGCCAATTGACTTCGCTACAAGATCACACAATGGTGTAAGATTTGGAGGTCGCACCATAATCGCTGGCAGCGCCTAGCTGCGCTTGTATGTCTCCGTTATCCTCATGTGGAACGTCACATTTTGATATCATCTCCTGGGTGGCATGGGCTACCTGTCCGACCCCAGACAACTCCACACGTTGAACGTTGAACAACGAGAATATTTGAGCGGATTGAAGATGACGCCGAGGATGACACATAACAAACCACGCATCACGAGATGCACAATGACCAGCATTATTAGGATTTGTCTCATGGAGTGGACCGATCACCTAGAGGCCATTAGTTGCACTCACGTAGCTATACCCATCCACTTCACTGCTTCAAGAGAATCCCTACTTCACTGTGCACATGTATGCTGTATGAGCCTTTAATAAGCTGAAGAGGTTACTGTTTACAAGTAAATCCATGCATAGCGAGAACTGCTCCCCGGTTGGAAGTGTCGCCAATATCCCGACAAGAAATACCCGCATGACAAGCATGGTACGCAAGCACACCTGGCACGCTGGGCGTTCTTGTGGAGCCCACGCTTGATCAGCTGCTATAACTCACATAAAACGTTGTGATCGTAAGCATTAAATGAAGCAAGCGTGCTGCTGAGATGGGGAGTTTGGGCCCGGTATTACTCACCGACGTTTCTTCCCCGTAACCACTAGGACTTCCAGAAGGGTTGAGCAGACAGATACACGGGGCACAGATGTCTAGACATACCATTCTCACCCACAGAGCTCCACATAGTGGAAGAGCATGGAGATGCAATCTCCAGCAAAGCAGGCTCGTAATTGTTCGACGGCGTGCATCTATGAATGAACATCAGGAGGACAAAACCCATGCGATCATGCATTGAATCAGCGCGTCATATCCCGCAACAATGTTGGCAAGGGATTGGATACCGAGATATATATATGCAATACCCACTGACGTTCATTTGCGAAATTTGTAACGGCGCACTAGGTGTTGGTTCAACTTGAAAGTCAAAGCACACTGTCACAGCAAACCATCGCGGCGGATACCAACCCTTTACAATTGGCAACATGGCCGTTAGACAAATACACGGACGATGACACGTTCGGCTAGGGCGCACTGCGCAGCCGTCGGTAACTGATCAAAGTGTGTCGAGAATTCGGCCGATCTTGAGATTAGTTTTAGAGCTACCCCATTTGCCCCAGACGGTCCGATCTCTCGTGTTGCGCGCAGCAATAGCTTTCGCGGCCTGATCAATCACAGCGCGGACAATACCCGCTCTAGGGCCCTGCTCCGCCAACACGACACGTTCTGCGGTGACCCGCGTCTTCTTGTGTGATGTTTCGCGTTTACTCTTCGTTGCGTCTCCAGATTCTATCCCCCACCTGGCGGGGGCTCGCTACACACGCCTCTCAGCCTCACATCGTATCTACAGTAGTCCGACACGACTGGACGAAAGCCGAGATCAAGAGAATCTATGATGGGCCGCTGCTAGACCTTGTCTTCCGAGCCGCCGCTGTGCATCGGCAGCACCACGATCCAAAGAAGATCCAACTATGCACGCTTATGAACATCAAGAGTATGGCTGCTCTCTTTTTCTTCGAGAGGTACAGCAGGTGCTGACCGTCACGATGCCCAGCTGGTGGTTGCACTGAGGATTGTACGAACCCAAACTCCTACTTTCGATGCATGTTTAATCGTTCGCAGGTTCCTACTGTTCACAGTCATCGCGTCACCCTACATCGACAAAGGCCTCACGCCTGGTCGATATCGAGCCCGTCTTGGAGGCTGCTCGGAAAGCCAAGGCCAACGGGAGCACGCGATTCTGCATGGGTGCTGCATGGAGAGACCTTGCAGGCCGCAAGCGTGGCTTTGAACGAATTCTTGAGATGGTGCGCCAAGTGCGCGGTATGGGCATGGAAGTCTGCACGACCCTTGGCATGCTGTCTCCTGAACAAGCCCGACAACTGAAGGAGGCGTACGTGATCATCGATCGATGCACTACGTTGTTGTCTGCTGAAAATCTGGTGATTGAAGAGGGTTGACGGCTTACAACCATAACCTTGACACGTCGCGCGAGTTCTATCCTGAGGTGCTTCACGTTCTATGTGCCTGAAAGTCTGGATCCTTACGTTCCACCCTCCAGGTTATCACAACGCGTTCTTACGATGAGCGCCTGGAGACGATCTCCGCCGTGCGTGATGCAGGCATAAGCGTCTGCTCGGGTGGCATCTTAGGCCTCGGCGAGAGTGATGGGGACCGTGTGGGGTTAATTTGGGAAGTTTCAAGGTAAGTCAAGCACTCTAAGAATGTGGATTGTCAGTTCGACAACTCCCTAGCATGCCTGAGCACCCCGAATCATTCCCGGTAAACGCCCTTGTCCCAATCAAAGGCACGCCGCTCGAGAACAACGAGGTATTTGGATATTCTCATCGTCCGCGCCTCAGGAACATCTGAGCGCATCTGTCACAATTACTTTCCAGCCTGTCCCTTACCAGAATATCCTTCGTACTATTGCAACCGCTCGGATTGTTCTTCCCCAAACTATTATTCGGTTAGCCGCGGGACGGCAGACTCTGGACGATGCAAAGCAAGCGATGTGTTTCATGGCGGGAACCAACGCCATCTTCACGGGAGAGCAGATGCTCACCACTCCTTGTGCGTGCATCTCACTTCTCTCCATACATGAGGTCAATGGCGCTGAACACTCGGTGCAACTGTCAGGCTCCCCGTGGGATGAGGACAAGGCCATGATGGAACGCTGGGGACTGGAGGGTATGCACAGCTTCGAGCAGGTGAATGTGGCGCGGAAGGAGCGTAGTGCTCTGGAATCGAGCCACGAACTGACGGAGCGTAGTCCTGTGCCCAATGTGGGCGCATGAGCACGTTGCTCAGAGTGATGGCGAAGGAGAGGTAGCATTTATGTCGTATGTAGCATTAAAATAAAAGCTGTTCTAGGCTCATCTAAGATAGTAACGTCGTGTGATCGCTGTTCAACGAGAGTATTAAACTTCTTTGGATGATCGACAGGGCTTATGCTGCCATCCCCATTGGGGAGCCTTCCAATCAAGTCATGCTATCTAGTCGCGCCTTATTTAGCATTATATAACGTAGGAAGATCGTTCCTGCTCCCATCTGCCATTCATCCACATCGTGCGGATCTGTGGGGGATGGTCCCGACGTGCTGGATCATATTACGCGAATAATTCGTGACGTCCGGTCAACGTGGTGACATCCGTATTGCTCCCTAAAGGACTCACTGCCGAGGGGCATCGAAAGTGATCTGATCCAGGGACTTCGGCCGTGGCACACGCACCCGAATGAATGATGCACCAATGGACGCGCGGGTTCTGCCAGCTCTAGAGTAGAATCACTTGCATCAGTGGATCACCGGCAGACCTTGCCACGTGCCGTTGGCCTCGACGCGGACGCTGTCATGTTGAATAGATGGCCCGTCAAAACGGACTTTTGTAGGGCCCAATGCGCCCTGAGGCGATCATTGCAAACGGTGAGAGTGCTTCTGGTGCTTCACCCGTCGTTTCGCATTTTCATGAGTCTACGAACCATGGATCGGAGACCACGGAAGACTGGCGGCCAGTTGCATTCCCAGATTTTCCCATCGACGAAGGAAGCCACGGACGCTTGGAGACGACGGAAGACAAGCACAATTGGGGACTGCTCCACCAGACACGGTCTAATTCTGCCTCCGCTGGGCACTTCTGTCGCAGCAGTCATGACAGGCTTTGCTTCTGGAATCTCTCGCACAGCGCTCACCGACCAAGGCTTACGTGCAATTGGTGTCATGTCATCGCGCCGTTGGGGACCATCGTGGTAATAAATGCTCTCGAGGCCTCGCGGCAAGACTTTCCTCGACAAAGACAATCTCTCCGGATCCCGCCTCAAGGTTGAGGTCGCCTGCTCGGATAGACATGATACTCCAGCACCTGTCAAGTTCTTCGACGGTCATTGGAGAGATCCAGGACCCGCAATTTCTCTCTTTGGCTGTTCTCGCGTATGGCATGGATCCCGCAACATATGGACTACCGGGGGTTCCGGGACCTAGTAAGGTCGTTCATCCACACACTCGGATGCCCAGCCGACCCGCAAAATTATACCCACCTGGGAAGTGCGTGTCCGCGACGATCTATGTTGTCCACTGACTCACCGAGCGATTTATAGATATGTTGCCGTCGCTGCTCAGGTCGTGTACTATGGAATTGTCTCCAGGCTGCCCATGGTTGCGTGAGCTCCAATCTCCACATATTCCATAGACCTGGCGGTGACGACGTCCCGCTTCCTCTGGAAGGCGTGTGACCATGGTAGACTATCGCGGCAACATTCTGCTAGATACATTTGTCCGACCGACGTGAGTGAGCGATGCCAGAGTCAATGTCAGCCTAGACCCTTCTAACCTGAGCTCGACGACTCACCATGCAGTCAGCCAGTCAGCGACTATAGAACACCAGAGACCGGTTTGCAACCTCTGACTCTAGCGTTAGGTGCATCGACTTTGCTACGGTTTTTTGTTCAAAATATTGGGCGCTGATCACATCGATGAAGCGCCGACTTTCATCGACGTGCAGCGCCAGGTGGCAGCACTGATAAAGGACAAAGTTATCATAGGATATTCTCTGTGGCAGTTCCTATCGGTTAGTGTGGTCGCTAGTCTCGTGCAACTTCCCTCTCAGCATAACCGAGCAGGTCTTGGGTCTCGCTCACCCGGCTATCGACACTCGAGACGTGGCCTTATTCATGCCGTTCCGCCGCAGTTTGGGGTCTAAACCCAGCGTCACACTCCCTCTAGTGACTCTGATAAATCGCTTGATGGGACGCCACATTGGCCTGCACGGCGAGTTCCCGGTGAGTCGATATGCAACAGGTTGAAGGCAAACTCACCTATAATCATCACACATGGACAGGTGGAACATGCGCGAGCTGCACTCGACCTCTTCCGTTCATGTGAACACACATGGGAAGAGATCATCGAGACGGGGGCCTGGCCATGCGCTCTGCCTCCTACCGCATATGCGAACTGTTTCACCTGAGTATGGCTCGCTGGAGCCCGACACACTCGCCATTCATTCTATGCCATCACCACGACTTACCTATAGCACATAAGTTATTTCGGAGGCATTGTTGTAATCGTTCATGCACCTCCTTCCTATTTGCGCAGTTGTCCCTCGGCGTTCAGAACGCTTCTACTTCTTTCTGCTTGTCTGACACCTCATCGTCTGAAGCGGCATTCCGCTTCGGACAAAAATAGACCTAGAAAGCAATGGTACAATTACATCAGAGCAATGATACAATCTCAACTACCAGCAGCGAGCTCGGCTTCCGCTTTGTTGATCCTGGCAATCTCAACCTCTAACGCTACATTCGCCATCTCAATTTGTAGGATGCTCGAGATGAGCTCCGTCCATCGAGTCTCCAAGGAGGTAAGTTGATTCCCTATGCGAGTCTACCGAAGAACATTCAGTCGTGGCAGTGCGTGCATACGGTCGTATTATACACACCTGGAAGTTCTTCCGTTCCCGATTCACTTCCGTTGTGAGATTGCGCAAGTCTTCAAGCGCCTTTTCGATGTTCTTAGCGTCCGCCTCTGTCAGATAGTTATGTATTCTCCAGGAGTTGGCGCCGTAGGACTGCAGGAGGGACAGGTTTTGGTGCCTACATCATTGATAGGATTGCGTTCTGCGCTCAGCAAACCTGAGACTAGTTACGAACCGTAGACGCTGGTGCTCTAGCTGTGCGTGTGCATTCGAGAGAGCAGTTTTCCATTCATCCTCATTGTCTGGATGAGATGGCCCTGGTAATTGATACCGCGTTGTGTCCAGTGGGACCAGCGGCTGGTGAGATTCGATTCGAGTAAGCTCAGCCTCGAGCAACGGATGGTTCTGTGGCGCTATATCAGAACATGCCACGTCAATTCCGAGCAAGGACGATGCACACTAACAGCAAACAGCTGAGGAGCAGGTGGAACGCGCGGGTGCAATGTCTGAGGAGGTTTCGCTTCGCGTGCGAGCTCTTTCTCGACCTTTTCCTTCAGGATGGGGTGTTGCTCAATGTCATTGTCATAGTAAGGCAGTGAGTCGAAGATAGCAGGGCCCGAAGCTTCTTCAACCACCATATCTGTCGACATTGTGAAACTAGTTACAGCAGGAAGTGCGAGCAATGAGGAGAGGTTTGCCAGAGAGAAGCGCCCAGCTCGAACGCGACGTCCTTGCAGGCGCTTCGGGCACACTCGCGTCCAGGACAGGAGCCCACTCTTACACTTGCATAACGATGTCCTTGCGGCTGGCTGCTAGAACCGGTCGCCTTATTAGAACGGCAGCTCCTCGCAGGGCTGCTGCTGTGGGACTGAATATCACACGCTCCATTCACAGCTCGCGACCATCGAAAGGTAGCTAGCTCGGTATTCTCCTGTACTCCTCGAGCGGTAGGCTAAGGAAACGTGATAGCGTCTGAATCCCCGTTCCAGGAGCCGACATCGCCAAATCCTACCGTCACGAAATACGCAGAGGCTTCGGAAAAGCTGCATTCATATGGCTCGTATCTGCTGCAATGCCTGCCGAAATACATCCAGCAATTCTCTGTCCTCAAGGATGAATTGACACTCTACATCTGTCCCTCTGGTGTCATACCCGTCTTGACATTCCTCCGCGATCACTCGCAGTGCCAGTTCAAGGCATGCATGGACATCAGTGGCGTTGACTTCCCGGAGAGGGAGAAGCGGTTCGAGGTCGTCTATCACTTGTTGAGCGTGAAGTATGGTGGGAGAATCAGGGTCAAGACGTATGCGGGAGAGACGGATCCTGTTCCCAGCGCTGTGCCCATATTCAGGGGAGCGGATTGGTGTGTACATTGTGCCTATCACCTTGTTGACTGAATGAATTGACCGGTCTCCAGGTACGAGAGAGAGGTCTGGGATCTCTACGGTGTATTCTTCGAAGGCCATCCTGATCTGTAAGTTCTTGCTGATGAATGGTGTCTTCACATTTACTGAAGGGCGTTTTGCAGGCGTCGTATCCTTACGGATTATGGTACGGACACCTATCATCGATAGAGCTCATCCATTAATTATGTTCGCAGGCTTCGAGGGCCACCCGTTGCGGAAGGATTTCCCTTTGACTGTGAGTTGAAGCGTTCATGTTTATTCCGGGTGTTGACATTCGCGTACAGGGATATACGGAAGTCCGGTATGACGAAGAGAGGAAGCGCGTTGTCTATGAACCTCTACAGCTGACCCAAGCCTTCCGGTGCGGCTCCTCATGCTATGCTAGATCTTATGCACGTTCTTATCAGGGTCCAATTTAGAAACTTCGATGCATTGTCACCCTGGGAGCAGGTCGGTGACGGTACGGTGCCGAATAGGCCGGATGAGTTCAAGCCCGTGCCTCCGCCTAAGCCTGAAGAACCGCAGAAGAAGTAGTACCATCGTCGAGTCGATTGCCGTGGAATGCATCTTTCCGTTCTCAGCGTGACGTTCTTGAGCGAGCTCGTGTATGGTGAGCTCATTTGAAGCGTGATACAATGATGCTCTAGGCCGTTAGCCTGTGATGGGTCGGTATATGATATAGTATTTCAGTCGATCCTCACGGTGAGCGTTCTCGGATGCGCGGCACGCGCTCACTTTGACAGGTTGACGTTGAGACGTTGATGGGCCACCCATATTGCACGTGGCCCAGGATCGGTTCCAACTCGAACAATTTGCGTTTATTCAGGTCACGCTCATCGTCTCCAAGTGCCCATTAATTATTGGTCGGACTGTCTCGTACACCGCCTCGAGTCTCACTGCGTTCGGGGTTCTCGACGATATTCCCGGCGGACAGCTTGAGTCGTTCCTCCTCGTAGTCGAAACTCTGCATTACTGACGGTGTCAGACGACTGTTCTCCTACAGACTGCGCGACACCCGCTTTCAATTCTAGAGTTCTGTGATTGTCCGACATTCCAAGCCTCTTTAGCTCAATTCAGGGACAGCGCTATCCCTGGCTCTATCCATTGCGGCAGTCATTTCTAGGATCATGGCGCTACCAGCAATTCTCCTTAAGTTGATCTTCTTCTGCACGCTCTGCCGTGTTGTGCGCGCCCTGCCCATCAGCTTGTTACCTGACGAACAAACTGACCCCCTTGTATATCCTCTATCTGTCTTGCCTCTGTTGGCGCTTGCAGTGTGCAAATTCTTCTATGTGCGACTCCGTACGGTACAATCCATCGGTGCTGCCGATCGAGTTGTTCAAGCAGGCGCTTCCTCAACGCCTATCCACTTCCGGCTTTGGAACAAGTACAAGATCGAAATAAAACTTGCTCAGACCGGTTATATCATAGGATTCCTTGGATCGCCGCAATGGGAAACAAGATCAAGACGAAAGGCTGATCGTTCTGGCCGGACTTCTCGCCCTGCAAGCTCTGCCACATCGAAGCCTCCTTCCTCTGTTTTGTACTCCTGGATTCTACGCGATAGTTCGCGCAGCAGTGGAACCGGCACTCCTCGTCATAGTGCAGGTGGCCGGCGTTCCCAATCGCGATCGAGGTCAGCTTCCGTCCGCAATGTCTCGATACAATCTCCGGTGCCACATTTCGACATTGCTAGTTGTGCAAGTGTCCACCCGTCATCTCCTGCCTGCACCAGTGAAATACCACCTTCGTCTAGCCCTGTTGCACAGATACCTCCGCGCAACATCACCGGACCTGCGGAATATCCGTCACCCACACTTATGCAGATGATGAAACCTGTCCTGGCCTCTTGGTATGATGATACAAGTGGGACGGAAACGTTCACCGATCACGAAAAATCCACATCCACTAGTAATGGGTCCACTGCAACCGGTGAAAAATCCCGGGACCGTTCCCAATCACCGAGTGTGTAATGTTTTGCTGCTGTAGTCTTGATGCATTCCTAAGCGTATACTACTGTCCTCTAGCTCCTCCTTTCGAGACTCCCCCGATGACACCTCAGCCTACGTCTCCAGCAAGCACGACCATCTCCTTGGATATACCTCGTCGTAAGGAGATGCCGTCCATCGCTTCGTCTCTTTTGACGATTGACAGTATCGAACGACTCACTGTGTCGGTCTACGAAGGTCCAGCACTCGCGAGACCTACTCCTATTCATATCGCCAAACCTCATCATGGCTCCATTGGCTCGACAATTGTGGAACGGTCGATCGGTCGAGTGAATGAAATGTCTGCAATCGAGAAGCTCTTGCATTCTCCTACCCATCGTTCGCCTCCAACACCACCAAACATCTATAGTTTGGTATCCACTAGTATTAGTACGCCCCATACTCCCAGCACACGTCCACTAAACGTAGCTCCTGAACACATGCCATCGCCAACTCCTACGTCCCCTCCGTTAAAAAACATCACGCCTCTCGAGATCATCAAGGGAAAGCGGCGCGCATCGCGGACTGCTGTATCGCAGAGGCGCAAGAGCGGAAGTCCCCTCGTAGGACCCTCGCCCCTCCGCAATTCTGTGGTCGTTGAGTCATCGTCTGCATCCACTGGCAGTGGTTGGGAACTCGAAGACCTAGTGAAAGATGGCGAATTGGACATAGACGCCGTCACTGCTGTCCTAGGACTTGGATTGTCTGTTGGTTCTGGCCATAGCAATACCTCGGACTTCAGTTCTCAGCACGAGCATGTGGAGGTGTCCGACGTGTCAATCCAGTCTGATTACTGGACAGCTGTCGAGTGGGATCTCGGCTCCACGTCTGGTTCCACGACGGTACAATTGAGAGTCCCTGGAGAGCAGCTTACATCTATTCCAGAGGAGAACGAAGATGTTGTCTCGATTGCTAGCCACGTCCGCGACTCGGTTGGGTCGATTCCTGATGCAGACGTGCTATCAGCCAGCACGGATCTACAGCCTGCGATCGGTTCCTCGGGTTCGGCGCAGCAGATGATGCTTCAAATGCATGAGCGTACCGTTGATCTCTGGGACGACGAGCAAAGCTGGAGAGACAGCTTCTCTGCTCGGTATGTCCGCGATCTTCACAGCTGTCGCAATTCTCTAACGATGACCGTACCTAACGCCAGAGAGAACATACAAATGGGTTTCGCTTGTTGAGACAACCTCATTTGCCTACCTCCAAGTAGCGCCGTTGTTACCGATCCTTCGTCGGTGTGTCTCGTCAGGATATTCCTTGTTTCTTGTTTACATTTCCATCATCGAGAATTGTATAACGGTGTGCATCCCGGCTCACACTTCATCAAGATTCTTCGTCTTTTGTAGCGATAAACTCAGCGATACCCCTTCCCCCACATTTATGACTGTCACGTTACACATATTCACAGCTGCACATTCGTTTGCACAGTAGAATGTTGTATATCTGCTCTATCGCAGGCATTCTCTGGCACAGCTGGCATAAATGTGATGAAAACCTCCATTTCATATCTGTAACGTATTATCATTTGAATTGATACACGTTGATCCACCCAAAGTGTCGTCATGTAATCAGAATCAGTATGAAAGGCGGCAACCCTGCATAGTAAAAGTACAAAAATCTACACCTGTGTGAGCATAAATGTCCTATGCACACATCAAGCAGTTTCTGCCTGATCTGCCGCTTGTTCCGGCTCCGTTGGCTTGTCCATACCCTTCTTATCCCAGCCCATCCTCGATACAACGTATTCCTGTCCAATCACTTCCACGCCTACCCTGATTGCCTCGACTACCAGATCCTCGACCCACTCATATTCGTCCCAGAGTTCCAGCCAATTACCAGGGACAGCCTGAGTCAGTGTGGAGTGGTTGAGATTGTGTGCCGGGTCTGAAAGGTAGAGAAGGAACTGCAACGATGTGCTATGGGTAGGGGTAGATGATCCTGAAGATGCTGTCGTCTCGGCCGACTGGGGAAGAGGGAGTGTTGTCATGCACGGCTGTATGCGCAAATAGACATAAGAGTATGTCGTGGGATTCTGTGTAGACGAGGTGTGAGTACTCGGCGTCTTTGAGTTGCGCTTAATTATTTCTTCAAGATTGGCCTTGGTCAAGGTCAGCGTTGTAGAAAGTTAGACAGCAACGATACAATCAGCATACCTGAGCCAACTTCAAAGCAGCGTCCAGCCCTTCGACAGCGTTCAGCTCTCTCCCAGATTCAGCTACGTCCTTCGGCCGCGACTCATCTCCTCTGTTTACAACAAGATCACCACCTTCAACTTGTTCCATGATCTAACGCGTTCAGTTAACCACTAATATGACTTTAGACCGGCATTTTAGAGTGTACGAACTCGTGATAGAGCCCTGTACACAAGAGACTCGACGCCATCGTAACCTCTCATGTCGTGACTCAACCAGACTTGGATGACCTCGTGCTCAGAAATTGGAGGAGCAACGACGTTGAGGATATCTGTTAGCGTTGAAAGGCCGACTCTCTTGAAGTCATTGCCTGATTTCTAGGATAAGAATAACAATTCTTTGGATTCTGAGTACGAGTTGCATACCGAGTTTGTCCAACTGTGCGGCCCGCGCGTACTCCAAGACACCCTCACCCCACTTCCGTGCTTGCTCATTCTTTGGGAGCTGCTTGACCTGCTCATCTACTACAGATTTCGCCTGTTGAATAGCGGCGCTGGCGCTTGACCAAACACTTCCCCAGCCCCAGCCGCCTACTGGTGTACTCTGGGCCTCTTTCTGGGAAGCTTCCGGCTTAGGAGACGAGGAAGCGGACAGCCGCGAATTGTTTGAGTCGGTCCGCGAAAGAGCAGAAGACGGAGTGGCTGAAGGGGGTAGCAATGGCGCGGGACCTCCCACTTTGACTCGTTCGGTGCTCTTCCTGAGCGTCGGCGTGCCTGCACGGGAGACAGGTCGATCTAGATGCGAGATGGTGGTACGAGGAGGCTCGGAGCTCTTCTGAGTGATCTCATCAATGAATGCATAGACCTCAGCCTCCCCCTCCGGCGGTGCCTGCTCGGATCCTGGGACGCCCTCGGGAGGTGGCGTCAAGGAGTCGAGTTGGTCGAGGAACTGAAGTGCCTCTTCCTGTTTGGTTTTGGATTTCGCGGACATTAGTGTGAGGGACAGGAAATGGAGAGTGCTGAGACTAGAGTCCGCGGAACGAGTTGCTGCGTCGAGCAGGCGCAGCGCTCAGGTCTCCATCAAATGGTGACCGCTACGCGTCGTGATCGAGAGTGCGTGAAACGCGTGGACTGCGAGTGGCTAGCTGCCAGTTCATCCTCGTTCAACGCTGCACTCCCACATCCTCTACAGCGTCGGGAAATCTGCGCGTCATGCCGAAGAAACGAAAATCGCAAGGGACGTCCGAGTCAGAAGAGCAGGAACAATACCATGTCGGTAGGTGTGCCTCGTTTAACATGGCATAACACGTTACAGACCCTTGGAGGCATCAGAGGTCATCACACAGGCGCGAGTGAACGAGGACGATGGTTGGGTAAATCTATCTGTTTGACGCCCCATCTTGGTTGATAACGAACGTTTTCAGGATTACTATGTCAAGGTCAGTAGGATCAGTGCTGCTGCACAAGTTATCTCGTCCGATCGCTGTAACCATCATAGTGGGCAAATTATGATTCAGACAACAACACGTGAGTGGTTGACTGTCGACCAGTCTATATATTGTTTTGAGCAAGCATACCAGGTGGGAACCTGAAGAGAACCTGCTCGAGTGCAAACGTCTCTTGCGCGGCTTCTGGAAAAACGTGGGCGTCGACGACGTAGACTATGCGATAGGCCATACTGTTCGTGCCACTCCCTCCTGGATCAGTATGTGCTGCCGCCCGTCTTTTCTCAACCTCATTCCGACTATTGCGTGTTTTCAGAGAAAGAAAAGCAATTCTTTGCTGAAAGCTTTGGCAAGGAGGTCCTGCAAAGTGAGTCAACGAGCAATGAAGAGGCTCGACAGCCTGAAAATAACGATGCGCAAAATTCATCAACGGTATGGATGTCTGGCTCCCCTTTCTCGACATGACTCATAACACTTCTTCATATGATTCGCAGAAGAGACAAGGTCAAAGCAAACGAGCGTCCAAGGCTGAATCTTCCACGCCTCGTATGCCGAAAACTTTTAAGAAGAAAAAGTTGGTGAAACTAGGCAAACGTCGTGCGAGACAAGAAGTATCAGAAATGACATTCTCCTTGTTTGGCTTCTCCTTGACATGTCATAAACACCCAGGATGAAACTGACGACTCTGATGCTGTGACGCCTTTGAAAATTCGAAGACACAGAAAGAAGCGTGCTGTATCTGTAAATGAAGAGGAGGTGAGCTGCTGCCGCAACGCCCGATGACCGTTTGCAGTCTGAACAGGTAGTGACAGTCTGAAAGTTCTACCGGAATACCTCTACGTAAAATCCGCAAGGCAGCACTTACGTCTGGAAAGGAATCGTCGGATTATCTGAATACTGGCCAGGTATTGTGCTTTGTTCGTCTGCCGCAATCAATGCTCACGACGGTATCCCGAAAGGACAAGGGAAAAGGAAAGGCTATCGCAGTTCCGGATTCCTCATCAAGCGATGAAGGAGAGAAGAGTTCTGGGTGCCATTCATTGTTCTCGGCACCATCATCTCCAGTTGTACTGTTGAAAGATTTGGCTCCCGCCACTCCGGCGCATCAGCCGCCGAATCCAGAGGCTGCACCTCAGAAACAGCCGTTGGCTTCGAGCAGCACCCTGTCGAAGCCTCCAGAACGATTGAACGTCCAAGAACCGTCCATGAAGATCAAAGAAAGCGGCGCTGTCATGGGCATCGCGACCAAAAAACGTGTCGCACAGACAGCCACAGTCCTTGTGGCAGTATCGAAGTCATCGAGTTCTTCAGCTTTTAAAAGCAAATTCCCCAGATTTTCTAAGAAAACTACCGATACAAACAATAATGTGACTGCTTCTGCTCAGGAGAAGCAGTCGCCAACCAGGCCTGATGCTGCTAGACAGTCCTCGAACAGGACGTCGACTGAGTCACCAATGGAAATCACAACTGATGCTGCCAATTTCGTTCAATCTCCGGTCTCCATTTCGGACCGCTTGCCTTCAGTGGAACCTCCACCTGCAGAGTCAACTCGTGTGAAAGAGACTCAGTCAAGGTAAGTAGGCTGTGCTTACACGAATTGCTGCTGAGAAGATGTTTTTTACACACTTAACATGAAGACCCGAGCCTCTACCGCTACCACGTCGCCGTAATATGCCCGAACAGCCATCTGCGGGGCCATCGAATGAGGTTGATCGGTTCTTATCAAATATCATGCCCGATGTGTAAGTGGTTCGTCTGTCGTCCATGGGTTGTAAAGCTAAGGAGGTTAACATTACAGTCTTGCGGCGCCCATGGTGTAAGTCGTTCATCCCCTACAGAAGACAGCTTCCTGAGATTTCTTGCAGGGAATCTGACAGAGAAGGTGCATTAGGGAGACCTTCCCAAAATGCTTCGTTGTTCAAGAAGCTGCCGTCTCTCCCAAAGTCAGTGCTCATGTATTGTGCTGTAGACGGTCTGCTGATGCGGTTGTATATGCATGTAGGATTCCCAAGAAGTGGAGATGGTCAGGCGAGCTGCACGTCAATCTGGACTCAAGTAGAACGAAACGTCTATGCAACGTCGAATTATCCGACGCTAGCGAGCCTCGGCCCAGCGGGCTACGCTTCAGTCTTTGCCTCAATGACGTCGATTCTCTGACGATGAAAAAACTTCATGTCGTCTCGGATCTTTCTATGATTCTGCGGGCCTGCGGCATGATCCAGCAATATGCGAAACTAGGGCCTCAAACCCCCGAGGATGTGAGTTCGATCACGATACTCGCCACGCACATGAGGCGAAAGCGGATAGTAAGTGCTGGTCTAGTTAATCAGGCGACGTCAGCAACTTGAACCCGTGCGCGATGACAGTTCACGTACGCTCATCTCGACTTGGACGGACAGAAGGCAGCGTTGTTGTTGATGTTTCCCCCTTCAAACAAAGAGCTGTTTATGCTCTTCAAAGTTCCAAATGATTATGTGGACAACACCCAGCTCATAGTAGTTCTAGTTCCTTGGGAAATGCCGCGTCACCAATACGAGAAGGCTTCTTGGTTCAAACGAAGGGTCGCTCCCTCAAACGAAGGGTCACCGCAGGCAAGCCTGATCAAACAGCTACGTGGGGTCGGTCGCACTTTCAGCGACAATCGTCAACTTTACCGAGCGCTCTATGTCCTCAAGTTTTCTCGGAGTGTTATTGATTACATGTCTTGGCCAAAACGTCCTTACTGCGTCTGGCATACTCCAGGAGATGGTACTATGGCTGAGTCTGGCGCGGAAACAGCAATGCTGCGTGCTGTTCTGGAGGCTTACACAGCTGAAGATGTCGGATACAAGAAGGATGTCCGTGCGATCTTCATCCATGTCGGAGCCCTTGCATCATTTAACGCGTTCCCCGCGCTGGCTGAACGACGGTCCAAGCGGCCGGACATTCAATTCTACACGTATGGGACGCACGAGAGTATATCACCAGAACGGTGGGGCATCCGTGAGATTTACCTATTCGGTAAGTGCGCAGGTTTCCTATGAGCACCAGGCTCATTCTACACAGGAGGTGTCGTAATGTTCACTCCATCTGCCGTCCTGGAAGACATATTCGGATGTTACGATTTGATGAGAAAGATCGATGAGCATCCTTTGTGGCAATGTTACATTCTACCCTCCGTTGTTACAATGCTCGCGAAGTTCACCTGTCAAGGGCAAAATCCTCTAACCTTGCTTGATAAGTGCGTATTTCGATACGCGGCATCGCCGAGGATACTGACAGAGCGTGATAGAGGGGACTTCCTGCTGGATGGTCTTCTGGGACTCATCGAGAATGGGACGATCTCGCTTCTTCGGGCGCCTGCAACAGGGTGGGACTTTTGTCAGGGTCAAATTCCAACGGAGGAGTGGCTTTCATGGCAGATGAGCTTGCTGAGCATGAAAGCTCGCGATCTGCTCGAGGAATGCATCAGAGTTGCCTCCACGCAATATACTAATGTCCTAGAGCACGAACTCCAGGAGGCTATCCAGAAGGAGATTGCTCGGGACATGTGGTCAATGCAATTGCAGCCGTTAATCATGGACAAATACAGGCGTCTGGTTGTGGTGAAAAGCAGAACCGATCGGTATTTCCACGAGGACAGGGAGGGTGTAAGTGATCATCATATCTGTTCG